GGGACTCAAATTTACAAAGGCATGAGGGATATTGTGCTGGTCTTCTGCGATATCGGGAGGTATTGCAGTTGGTATGCGGAGACGAGAAGGGACAAAGAGGTCGACGCGGGATATTGAACTGTTGCTAATAGACGCAGCGAATGAGTGGAATATAGTAGAACGTACACGAGCCTGAGGAAGCCATGCAGGAAGTGTGGTAGACGATCACATCGAACGCTGTACGCGACCGCGTTCAAATTTACAAATCGTTCACGGGAGCGCTGGTCTTCTACGACTCGGATTTTTGGATGTTATCGGATACGGAGGAGTAATATAGAGAGAACACATGATCACTGACTGTGTTTGAAGCTTGTTCGGAGAGTACTGTTGCTAGAAATGATGTAGGAGGATCAAGACGCGCTGCACGTGACCACGTTCATGTTCGCGTCCGAGTGTAGCCGACTATCGGAATGGAGAAGTATTCACGAGCCTGCTGAACGGTGAACATCAATGGGATCGAGCTTCTATTCCCTGCCTTCCGCATTGAACTCACGCCAAAAAAGTGGAGGTAGACTGGTGCAAGCGCGAGAACTCTCCTCTCATTTGCGCAAATTCGTTTCTGCTGCAACGCTGTATCAAATGTCCGCTCAGTATGTCCCAATATCGTGTTACAAGCTCTGCTCCCCATCACTCACACCAGTCAACACACTGACTCTGGCCCATCCTCAGCCCACGCATCACATTCGACGATGCTCATCTGCCACTCTCGTAACCTAACACAAGCCAGAAGCAAGCGTGTCAAGTGACTGGCGGCGGTGACCTTCAGGTTCGACAGTGAAACTCGGCATACCCAGTAATGTGCAAACGTTCTCTGTGTACACCGCCCTGTGCTGATCATTGGCAATTACCTGTCTATCCTTATATCGTCTACCATCAGACATCTGGCTTCGGAAGACGTTCAACTTTATTGCTGGCCACAGCATTGCATGCATCTATTTTGTGTTGCAACTCGTCTTGGATTGTCGTCTCGGAATGGTCAATCGAATCAAGATCGTAGCTGCATGGACTCGCCGTACGTGACCACTGTTCACTTCAAGTTGGACAAGCTTCTCCAAACTCTGTGTTCTGGCCACCGACTCAACGTACTGTAGTATTACGTTCGTTCGTTCGTGTTTGCCCTCCCTATCTGCATTATCTAACGTTGACCATCCAGGCGCATCTCACTATCATCTCTGGAACTTTTGGACGCGATGTTCGCCCGCAGGCCATGCCGCTGACCGGCTCCATGGTTTCAACTTCCAGCCAAGGATTAGATCCGAATCCAAAAACCAAGACTACGAGTATTAGTGGAGCTTCAGTACATAGCCTGCCTGGCCCTGCCACAGTGAACTTAAAGCAACCTGGTCAAGATCAGAGTCGGGGACTGGCGCACAGGCGCCGCTACGATATTGGTATCACCGTAATCATTTTTGTGTGTCCAGTGTCTATTAGATGCTACAATATACATGGTCTCCGCGTCTCGAGAGCACAGGGATTAGTAGAGGGCAAGGAGCGATTGATATATTTTAGAACTAACACCGTGAGCATCAGAAGCACAGATTATCACCTAAGCAAGGCGCCTGTAAATACAGGATGCAAACGGCATATCTAGAAGGTCTGCTCATTGTCCCCACTATCACCAACGTCCCTAATCGTGGTCATGCTGAACAAAACGGCCGAGTCAAGCACGCCAGGGAAACAGAGAGAGGCGGACCAAGGACTGCCGTCAGACCCATCAGCGCCTATTGCTCCCCTGAAGCGCTCTGAGTATCCGCCGGCTTATGGTGCACAGCACTGCCAGGATGCACTTTGGCAAGGTGAGCGAGCACATTGTGAAACCAATTGACGGACTCAACATCGAGCAGGAGGGAATGAGGCGCTCCCTCCTATGTGGACAGAGCTCCATTTTTATGACGGACCATTTTATCGCGACGAGGCACTCCTCATGTATGCAATGCACAGACCATTACCAGGAGTGCGACTAGGTGAGCAAGGAAAGTGCGATGAGAGCGAGGAACTGAGGATCGAGCATAGATAACCTCTGGGAGTCGCCGCTCATTCCTGGATGCGAATGGCACATCTCGCCGCTAGGTCGATCCTACTTTGTCAACCACAATACTCGGACCACATCGTGGAAGAAGCCAAAGCCAGAACGTCCAACAGGGAGTTTGATGCCAGAGGGCATGATCAAATGCGACAACCGGTTCAACAACACCCTTGCCTGGTTGGGCACCAGTGACATTATAATGAGTACCTCGGACGATGGTTCAATTCACCAGTGGACAAGAGATGGAAAGCCCGTAGGAAAGTCTTGCGATGGTGATGGACACAACATAACCGCAATGGCGATGTCTCTGGAGGAAACAATGGTCGTATGTGGAAGCTATGATGGCAGAGTACGGCTGTGGAATGTAAAGGAGGGGAGCGTGGTTGGTAAGCCGTGGGAGGGGAACAATGTCAGAGTCACGGTGCAGTGCCTTGATTGGTCTCCGAATGGGGTGGAGGTAGCAGGTGGAATGGACGACGGCACTCTACGACGATGGAACCCGGCCACTGGCAGACAAATTGCACAACCGATAAATGGAAGCGATGAAACTGTGTGGACAGTCAAATACTCTCCACAAGGCGACAAATTCGCGAGCGGCGGCAATGACAACATGATCCGGGTGTGGTCAAAGGACGGCAAGCTGCTTATCGAGATGAAGGGACATGATTACCCGGTGAAATCGATATGTTGGTCCAAGGATGGGGCATACATCTTCTCTGCCTCAAATGATCTCACCATCCGAAAATGGCAATCGATCGACGGGGAAGAAGTCGTCGTTTTTCAGGGTCATACCGACTTGATTCAATCCATTTGTCTGTCTCCCGATGGATGCCATCTTGTCAGTGCATCATTTGACTACTCAGTTCGCATCTGGGACCTCGAAACGAATAAACAACTTGGAGACCCACTCTGGCACGATAATCAGATCACAATTGTTGCCATGTCCTCTGATGGACAATACTTTGCCAGTGCTATCAGGGAGTCGAATGAAACAATCTATGTATGGAATCTGGAATCAGCACTCGAACGTGCTCGTGGGATTGACGTGCGTGTATACATCGCTTTCGTCAGGCTCTTTTCTAAGCGATCTTGTGTGTCGGTCAGGACAATGCCGATCCTAACGCGAAGCTCAAGGCGAGTCACCTGTCTTCTCTTTCATGCCTCATCTTACTTCTTTATCAGGGACGTGCAACTCGACCTAGAGACGTGAGCTTGTCATAAAATTGTGAATACCCTGATGATTCGCTCATTTGTCTCATAAGATCTCTATTGCGCCTAGACCGCAAACCAACAATAGAGGCTTGGCCAGATATGTGAGTCTAATGCGACTATTTCTGAGATTTATCTATTCTGACACCTATTCAGGGCAATGACTTCTTCGGCGATCACACAAACCACACGACTCCTCGCTCAGCAGAGAGGTCATCTCCGCCTGGTATGCGCAACTTATTCGGCTTCCTGCGCTCCAGCACTCGACCTGCAAATTCGCCCCGACCGATTCAGCTTCAGCCTCGGCGATTGCATTTCAGCCCATTTCCTGTGAGAATATCCAGACGCCCCGTTGAACAAGTTGCTCCTTGCCGTGACGAAGACGTAAGTGGTTCATCATCATCAATCCATGTTTTCTTTGATATCTTTGCAGAGATACGGTATAACCCCTGAAACCGACGCAGAAGCAGAAGCAGCTATGCGACGTACGAGCAGCAAGATAGGCGAGGATTCAACACAGCAAGGACACGTTGCAGAGGGACGACCAACACAGACTGCTCAGGGGCAAAGTTCTGTTCCCAATACAGAGGAACCATCATACCTAATAGGATGCTGTGGATTTTATCTTGTCCGTCGTCGGCCCGCATCGAACTAGTCTTTCCATTGCCTACGAGGGAGGTTTCGGTGATTCTTGTGAGCATTTACTCCTCTATGCGCATGAGCCAACGTAACGATAACGTCTCCCTCTCCATCATGTGGTCTGCACGCATATTTCAGCGTAGACTGCGACTATGAACATTACGCATTCGAAACATGATGTGACCTCGGCTTATCATTTCTATAGAACAAATATTCCTTTGACAGTCAGCTCTTTCTTGGCTTATTTCAAATTTTCGAGATCGTGCAGATGCTCGTACTGGGACCACGCCTTATTCTTGGCGTTCGAGAATATCATGCTGCAACCAGTATGACCTCAATCGCTTTCCAGGAGCGCGTGCATATATCGACTGGCAGTGATGTGTAGCATGGGAGATGGTCGATGAAGTTAAGGTTGCCTGCTGCTCTGCAGGGAGCAGGAGAATTTGATCGTTCAGGGATTTCAAGTTTTGTCGTGGTATTTTGATTTATTCAAGTGATTTGCTATGGGTGAAGACAATGTTCACTCAATGGGTATCCTTACTGCCACCCACAGTTGCTCGTATGCTGTAGGCCCAAACCCGACTCGTTCAAGAGCCTCTCAACTTGCCTCTTGAAGTCAATTGTGAGTTCTTCTGAGCAGGATGCTCAGATGAGGTTTGCAGGAGCTTAGCAAGGAAGAAGAGAGGTTGCTTGAGCATACGGGATTGCTGCAGTTTCTCCAGCAATCCTCCTCGCTTTAATGAACGTACCGTCCTTGTCTTCTCACATGACTAGTAACGTCGACTGGCTTGCAATGACTACGCACTTGGCAGACAGATTCCGTTGCATGATGAAGGCCCACTCGGTAACGAAGAAGTTGATAAGCAAGCAAAGAAAGCCTCTGAAGGTCGACACGCACTCACCTCACTTTATTCGTGTAGGCTCCCGAGTCACCCCCTCTCAGTATTTCTGCCTCCGTCTGTCGATGATCAAGAAAGTCTTTCCGTTCTACAATGATTACCAGTCGAATTGAACACCACTAGAGCGAGGACGTGGCATCAACTGACGATATCAGTCAATCAAACCAATCTGGGAGTTTCGGACAGAAGAACGAAAACACAAGTACTTCCACATGAGCAAAGACGAGCTAGAGGTTGTATATACGTGATGATATAATGTACTCGAGCGCCAGCAGTAAAAACCAATGATAAACATACAATAAAGATTCGAAGGAGTCTGTAAGTTAGCAGCAGCGCTAAATGGGCATTCTCTAGAGCCCTTTGGTATCATAGGTTCGCCCTGCCCCGCAAGCAGTGGCGTCGGTCACCCCATTCTAGGACTAGAGCTTTGCACGAGGTATCAGTTGTCCCTCCGCGACATCTGTCTTCGCGCGCTCGCGAAGTTCACGACGAAGGATCTTTCCAGCAGCACTATGATTTCACCTCATCAGCCAGACAACAGAGTGAAAAGGCAGCGGTGTGTACGGACCTTTTCGGCACCTTGTCGATGATGACAACCCCTCCTCTCAGCCGTTTGTGCGGTGCCACACGTCGTGAAACCCAGTCTTGGACGCCCAGTGCGAATGAAGACGCTTCTTGAGAGGAAAGCGGGCGAGAGGGCGTTATATACGCGCTGTAGAGCGAGAAGCTATAAGTTTGATTCACGCGAAAATGTTCATGGGCTCACCGAGGCAATTCCGTTGCTTCCTCCTTACTCTCAATCCCAATTACGGCTGCGTCTGCGACCTCGGCATGCTGCAACAGCACTGACTCCAGCTCGGCGGGAGCGACTGAAACATTAGTTTATCAGTTAGACAATCAAACTGAAATGCTTTCGATGTAAGGTCACCTTGGAAGCCCTGTGTGCGTGGCCAGATGAGAAACGACAACCAGACGCATTGCAACAGGAAACTCACCTTATATTTGATCAACTCCTTTCTCCGGTCCACAATTGTGAAAAACCCATCCTTGTCCCGCACACCAATGTCACCAGTCTTGAACCACCCATCAGGCGTAATAGCTTCAGCGGTCGCGCTGGGGTTGTTCAGGTATCCCTGTTGCGAAAAGCGTGATCAGACTGGTTTGAAGGATGTTGGCATGTAGAGTACCTTCATGATCGTCGGCCCTCTCACCCATACTTCACCCGCGCCTGGGATATCCGTGTGTGCCTGTAGATTTGATCGTTGACTTCGCTAGATGAGCGCAAGAACAGGAGTACGAACTTCGCCTTCAGCCTCGCCAACCAGCCTGACCTCCAAGTTTGGAAGTAGTACTCCTGCCGCTCCGATATGACTGCTGGCGTCGGGAATAGGGAGAAGGAACACCGTCGGTGAGGTTTCTGTAAGGCCATAACCTATACAAATATTAGAGACCTAGCACTCCCAGGAAGTGAATTGAGAGAGACGAAAACACACCTTGAGGAATATTCACATTTGCACCAATGCCTTTCATGCGCTTCATCACGGTTGAGACAAGCTCAGCGCCAAGGGGTGCGGCACCTGAGAAGAGAATCTCGAGGGAGGTGAGGTCATGTTTCTGAATAGCTGAAGGTAGGATTGTGTCAGAAGTTAGAAATAAGATAAATGATGAGGGAAAGTGACGAATGGGTATATGCGCACACAACAGACCCCAAAAGGAGTAGAATCCATGAAGAGAGTTGGCGTTTTACAATGATACGAGATAGGTCGGTCTGTGCGTACCATACGCAGTAAGACTGAAAATCCAAGTTTTGGCGTAGGAAAGGATGAGGAGGAAGACCTGCCTGGGTGTCTCGCAAATACTACTAGCATCGGAGGGACTACAAAGCCAACCGTCACGCGGTATCTTGCGATTGCGGCACAGAAGTCATCGGGGTCAAACCCTGCCATGACAACCGCAGGTGCGCCTAGGAATAACGGCATATGGAGAAGCTTGACTCCGCCATAAATGTGGTAAAAGGGCAGACACCCAAAGAGCACGTCTACACCGCCTTGTTCAGGAATGAAGGGAGTAAGGCATGGCTTGGATTGAGGCCAGACAGGTTTGATTATCTCGAGGACAGATATGAGATTGTAATGTGTGGTCTCGACACCCTTTGGTTGACCTGTTGTGCCAGAAGAGTAACAGAGATATACGGTTTCATTTGAGCGTTCGCCGTCGAAGCTGACTTCTTCTTTGAGCTCGCCGCGTTCAAGTAATTGAGCTATAGTCATAAGGCCTTTCAGCTCGGCATCCGGGACAGATGCGTCTTTAGCACCCGTGACCCAATGAGCTCCAGCCACGATGACACGGCTCCGTATGTCCTGCTCAGAGCACCCAAGGGATCTTAGCATAGTCCGGGCTGTGCCAACCAGCGAAGGGTGGACGAATATCAGATGAGCTCCTGCGTCAATGTATTGATATTTAAGTTCATCTGGCGTGTATGCGCTGTTTGCAAGCGTCGCGCTGAAGCCAGCGGCCACCGCGCCAAGCATCATGACAGGCCATGTGATTGAATTGGGAGAGAAAATGAGTACTGTCTTTGTGCGGTTCTCCAACGGTGATGGAAGATTGTGAAGAGAGAATGCAAACTGAAGAGCATATGAGCGAAGTTTTCCTCGAGAAATTGTTGTACCGGAAAGGGCATCTATGAACGCGGGAGATGAGGCAGGGAAGCCACCGACTGTGCCTGGAGAAGACGGGGAGACACCAAGAATATGAGTGAAGATAGAACGACGACAGATAGGGACAGACGGGTAGGACGACGTGTAAATGGTGTCCGTCATCGTGTTGTTCGTTGTGCTCAGGGTGGGAGTGAAACTGGGGCTGCTTTACCAACTAGAGCTCCGTGATAAAAGGGTTCCCGTTTGGGATAGCACTACACTAGTGCAAAGATGCACGTTTCTAGCGGATCGCGAGCTTGCGAGTGTTGACGCGCGAAACTCTGCCTTCGTAAGCGTGCACGTGAAGATTCTCCATCCGTGTGCTTCTCTGAGAGTTAAGCACACATCCAGCTCGCTCCTCACTTAAGGACGAGATTTTGAGAATCGACGCCTCATTCCTCTTCTTCTCTGCGTCCATCTCCATTTGCGAGTCGCTCACCAAATTTTGTTCACGACTCCAACACAGACACCTCTCATATACGGCATGGCTTATATCACTCCTGTTACCGGTTCCTCCACCGCACAAACCGCAACTGCCTCAACAGGCAATACTTCGACTACTCCTGCCGTCAACATTACTACCTCGGCCTCCTCATCGGCCATGCACATGTCGCATGAGCAGATTCTAGCCGATAATGCTAGACGCATCGCCGACAATCAGGTCCTTCAACAACGCAGGGACAACGGGGAATCTAACGTTCCTATCGACGAACTCCTCATTCCCATACCTCCCAGGCCCACCGGCACAGCTCTCCAGCAGTGGATCTCGGCCTTCGCGCAATTATCTCCTACCTCACAGAATCAAGGTTCTACCATCATCACGCCCAAGACAACAATCAGGCCCAACGTTACGTCACTATCGAGGGTTCTTTTTGATTCATCAAAAGAACTTCCTTCCGGTTCTGGCCTAGACTCCACGTACAACTTCGGCATACATAGCTTTATCCAAGACCTTCTGAACGCTGGTCAATATTGTCCTCTTACTCTCTTCACCAATCTCAACACCGAACGCCTCCATCGCGAAGGTCATTCTCTCAAACGATCCAAAATCCACGTGGACGGCACATCACATCATCTCCTCGACCTCTCTCAATTTGACAACGAACTGGAGCTTGACCCACTCTCGTGGCAAGAGGCATACCAGCGCTATCTCACCTGGATCAAGGACATCGGTGACCCCTCCTCCCACAAGCGTTGGACTGATCACTTCACTACGCTATCCAAGGATGACGCGGTACGAAAGAACTTTCGTGCCATCATCGAGTTTGACGTGGAGACACGACAAAACTACGCTCTTCGCCCACATCAACACGACCAGCGGGAATGGGATCACCGTCTGCAGAAGAAGAAATATGAGACAATGCAAGATGTTCTTTTTCGTCAGCAGGCAGTCATGTCCCGCTCCTCTCTCCCCGATCGTCATACTCACTCTGTCCCCTCTCGCTTCGAACCATACAATCGCGAGGGCTCCAAGTCCTTGGCCAAGAAATCTCCGGACGCTGATGCGCAGTCCTTTCGGGACAAATCCTCGAAGACGACGGACCCCATGTGCATCATCTGTGGGCGCACAGGGCATCGTTTTTCAGCATGTTCAGAAGACAACTCCGCGAAGGGCACTCAAACTTATGCCAAGTACGCGGACGGCTCTCTTTGCAGACGCTCCAACGGCTCCCAGCTATGCGTCACCTACAATCTCAACAACCCCAGACGCCCCTGCAAGCGAGAGCATCTCGAGCAGCACCTCTGCTCCTTCTGCGGACGAGCAGAGCACAGCGCTCTTTCGCGAGCTTGCATTTGATCCTCCCGAAGAGGATTCTTTCTTGTTGTGCCCCACAGACACTCCTCTCTCTTCATCTCCTTCGACTCGACACGTGTATCACGATCAATTGCAACATATCCCTTCACCCTATGATAGTGACTTCGAATACTCTTACATTAATACGCCGTACTCTCCCGATGGTTTTGACACGCTTCTTGCACGCACTGGCCTCACATCGCAATTTCCAGAACTCACATACAAACTTCGCAATGGCTTTCGCATCGGACACGAGCTCTCTCCACTTACGCATACTTATACTCCATCTAATCTTCCCGGCGCTAACGTTTTCAAAAGTGTTTGCGACGACTACGTCGCAGAAGAACTTGCGAAAGGACGATACTCTGGTCCATACACTCATCAAGAACTCTTCGCCAAAATTGGACATTTCCGCTCCTCACCCCTGCAAGTAGTCGTCAAACAGGGCATCAACGGCGCGTCAGACAAATATCGTGTCTGCCGACATCTTTCATACAGCGGCTCCATGGGTTTTTCGGTGAATGACGAGATAGATGCTGCAGACTATCCCACCGAATGGGGTACTGCTGCGGAATTTGCAGATATCGTACGTATCTCTCGCTTCCTCTCATACTACCTCGTGCACCAGACGCACCCTCAATTACTCCATCATCTCACTCTCACATCTCAGATTCGCAACGCCCCTCCAGGCGCACAACTCGCAACGCTAGACATCGAGGCGGCGTATCGTGGTATCCCGTGCGCGCCCGAACATAAGCGCTATCTTATAGTTTACCATGACGGTAAACTCTATATCGATCATAACATCCCATTTGGCTTAGCTTCAGCGGCAGGCCTCCAAGGAGAAGTCGCTGACGCGACGGTCCACATCTGGCGAGAACTGAAAGTCAAGCCCTCGAAGAAATGGGTAGATGACGTCGGTCTCTTTCGCTTCCCCTCACCTCACGGCTTGTTTCTGGGTATTTGCAATGGTGAAGTATACCGCTATGATTATGATCTCTCTCACGCCAAATCGCTCATCTCTCCCGCCAAAGTGCCATGGCATGGAGACAAGGGTCAACCATTCGAAGACACCGGCATTTACGTCGGCTTCTTCTGGGATCTTCCTAACAAGACAGTCGTTTTGTTGGAGCGCAAACGCCTGAAATATATCGATCGTCTTTCACACATCCTCACGCATCATCGAGACTCAAAAGTTCCGAAGCGCGACCTCGAACGCATCGCTGGCTTCCTCAACCACTCCTCCTTCGCCTACCCCCACGGCAGATCCTACCTCTCCAATCTATACGCTGACATCGCCTCTTACACGACCGACTTCGTCCCTCGATACATCAGCAGATCCACCAGATCAGACCTCAAGTGGTGGCTTCAGACTCTTATCACACCGCCCACACCACTCGACCTCTCTCCTCTTCCTCCTACCAAGGATTTCGGGATCTGGGTGGACGCATCCACCAGCGCAGGCATCGGCATTCTCTGGAACGCTCGCTGGGCCTTTTGGCCCACGACAGACACGTGGCGTGGTCCTTCGCGAGATATCGGATGGCTAGAGGCCACAGCCATAGAACTTGCAGTTCGCCTACTACACGCAAAGAAGATCCGAGATTCAGATGTGCTGATCAGGAGCGACAACCAGGGAGTAATCGCTGCCTTCCGCAAAGGGAGATGCGCCAACTATATGATTAATCTGGCGATTCGCCGTTCCGAGGCTCTCCTGCGAGAATCTCGCTTATCACTCTCCTTAGTTTACGTGCACACAGCAACTAACCTCGCGGATCCCATTTCCCGAGGTATATTTCCATCAACCCACTTGCGTCTCACATCTCCCCCATCTCTCCCCTCAGAAATCTCCTCTTTCTTCGTCCATGAATGAGAGCGAACTATACCGCCGTGTCATGCAGGGCGTCGACACGGAAGCGGCTGCTGCCTCCTTCTGGGCTACTCACCCCCCCTCATCTATTCGCAATTCCGTCTCACAGTCTCTTCAGCAATCTCGCCCTCGTCATCCTCGCGCCCCTCGGGCGAGCTCTACCATCACCCCGTCTGCTCATAGGCCTCACGTTCTCGCGAGTGACCGACTTCTTCTTTGGTCCACTCCAGCAGGTCTGGACTGGCAAGCTGCTCTCGAGCAGAAATATCCTGAGTCTTCTCTTTTTCGTCTCTTTCAAGTACGCCTTCTCGCGTACACTCTCCATCATCTCTTTACTCAACACTCTGACTCGCTAGGTCATGGTTCGTTCTCTCGACGCTGACACGCGCAGCAACTACGGCGCGGGACTTCTTCGCTTCACTCAGTTCTGCGATTCCATCAATATTCCTGAAGCAGAGCGTATGCCTGCCCCTGACACCTTAGTTGCTCAATTTGCAGCAGCCTTCGCCGGTACTACTTCAGATAAGACGCTCAACAATTGGCTAGCAGGTCTTCAATTCTGGCATGTCATCAATGGAGCGTCATGGCAATCTACCCCGCTTCTCCATCACGCCAGACGTGGCTTCGCTAAGATGGTACCAGCCTCCTCCCGTCGAGCTAAACGTCCTCCCGTCACCATTGATGCGCTGTGCATCCTTTTTGATCATCTTGATCTTACTCTCCCTTTTGACGCTGCTGTCAGCGCAGTTGCTTTAATCTCTTTTTGGTGCTGCTGTCGGTGCGCACCATCTAGTCATATTCTCTCTATCACCCTCTCACATCTTTCATAGACTCGGTGAACTTATTATCACGAGCCCTAATGTCTTCGATCCCTTTAAGCACGTATCTCGTAGTATCACGCCCATCATCCCCTTCACGTTACCGAATCAAGCTCAATCCCGCGCTGCCATACTTCACATCCCCTGGTCCAAGACTACCAAGGAACAAGGCGCGGACATTTCCATCACTGAGCGAGACCATCGCACGTGTCCCCTAGCGGCGCTGGAACATCATCTTCTTATCAACGCTGACATCCCCGAACATGCTCCTCTCTTCGCATATCAAAAAGACTCGGGATGGTCTCCCATGACCCGCCCCTTATTCCTCGCACGTTGCAATGAGATTTGGGTCTCGCAGGGTTTTCCTAACCTCCCGGGTCATGCCTTTCGCATTGGCGGCACCACAGAGTTGCTGCTACAAGGCACACATCCAGATATCGTAGCCACACAGGGGAGATGGTCGTCGGACGCGTTCTTAGACTACTGGCGTCGCATAGACATGATCTTGCCGCTCTTCATCGCATCATCAGCTAATACTCAGCGTTTACTTGACCTCGACAGAACCATGGACTCCTTCACACGTCGTCATCATCCTTCTCGTTCCATCCAGGCTCCACCATCTTAATACCTGCCTTCATCTATCCATCCACGTCTCTTATCTTACGGGCCATAGTTGTGTCTGATCAAATGCATAATTGCTTTCATTCGTCGTTCAGCTGTAAGTGTGTGGGTCGGGTCCGAAGGACCACTCGCAGCGGTGAGCTTCACTCTGGTATGGTCTGTATTCGTGTTCTCTTCGGATTTCTCGGTCCGCGCGCGTTTCGCATCAATCACGCTCCGAAGGTCTCATTCCGTCAATCCCAATTCTCGCCAAAGCCACTGCTCTCGGCTTTCTTGGGATTCACGCGCTGCGCACAGACTCTCGCCCTCTCGCGAAGGTCTGGCAAAGCCAGACCTTCCCACACACAAAAACGAATCAAAACATTCAAGCCTTCACTTTCGCTGATTCGTTCCAAGTCTCCTCCTCTTTCTAGTCGTTCGCACTTCACTCTCCGAAGTCTGTCATTGATCTGGTCTCGGCATCAGACTTTTAGATATTAGCTATGGTACTCGTCGTGCTAATATCTATCTATCTATCATCTTCACTCCCAAGCACGCGTTTATACGAAGGTGCACGTTTCTAGCGGATCGCGAGCTTGCGAGTGTTGACGCGCGAAACTCTGCCTTCGTAAGCGTGCACGTGAAGATTCTCCATCCGTGTGCTTCTCTGAGAGTTAAGCACACATCCAGCTCGCTCCTCACTTAAGGACGAGATTTTGAGAATCGACGCCTCATTCCTCTTCTTCTCTGCGTCCATCTCCATTTGCGAGTCGCTCACCAAATTTTGTTCACCCTACCCACCTCCCTATCTATATACTCTAGCGTGTTTTGGTCTGTATTCGTGTTCTCTTCGGATTTCTCGGTCCGCGCGCGTTTCGCATCAATCACGCTCCGAAGGTCTCATTCCGTCAATCCCAATTCTCGCCAAAGCCACTGCTCTCGGCTTTCTTGGGATTCACGCGCTGCGCACAGACTCTCGCCCTCTCGCGAAGGTCTGGCAAAGCCAGACCTTCCCACACACAAAAACGAATCAAAACATTCAAGCCTTCACTTTCGCTGATTCGTTCCAAGTCTCCTCCTCTTTCTAGTCGTTCGCACTTCACTCTCCGAAGTCTGTCATTGATCTGGTCTCGGCATCAGACTTTTAGATATTAGCTATGGTACTCGTCGTGCTAATATCTATCTATCTATCATCTTCACTCCCAAGCACGCGTTTATACGAAGGACCTTGTACTTGTGCAACGAATCGCGATCAACAGCGGCAGGACTGATAACGACAACGGCTTTTACGATATCTGTCAACTTCTTTTATTATCATCGCCATGACCATGGGGAACCATTAAGCAAGCGCTGCCAAGCGTGAGGTTAATTCGCCTCGTCCAGTCGACGCTCTCGAACTCTTTGTTTTATTGGACAGTACTAACGATCCACCGAAAAGTTTGGATGATCTCCACTAGGCCAACCGCTCGATATTTCGATAGCTCTCAGCAACTCTTTAGGACCCATGATCAGGCAGACGGGAAGAGTCATCACCTGACGTGAAGGCTGTAACGTTCAGCGAGACTCGTCGGATCACTGGGATTCAGCGCTCAGCGACGGGCGCCTTAGTATTAACTAATCTTCAGAAGCCAACGGTCTTCCTTTGCCTATGCCCTAGCTAATCTAGGCCTTTCATTACGCCCTCTTATTAGCGTAATGATTATCATTGATCGACGCTATGTACGTATCTCACTCTTAATACATGCATCAACCTTCCCTTTCGAAGAGGAATCACCTAGTGCTCAGCGCTATAGTGCATGCTCGGTAGGGCGCCTAGATATCCTCCATTTGCCTCTCTATTTACGACCAGTTGGGGCCAGATAACGATAACTCAATTTTGTCCCCCAGCCGTACATATCCAAAAGGATCCTTCAAAAGAATACATCCACAAGTCTGATGGAATTTTCGTAACGCCGCCCATATGCCCAGGGTGAGCCGTTAGCTAGTTGGATATACTATATGCACTATCTTTCACTATCACAATTTACTCCGCATCTCGGGGACCAGATCCTTTCCTTGCCCATCGCGAAGGAAGTCTCTCAAGTTAGTGAGCGCACGAACCTCCATGCCGCGCTGGGAATCCTGGTTCTCTGTCCCCATGTGAGGGAGGAGTACGTTTTGCGGGAATTCGAGTAAACGCGGATTCACGAACGGCTCGTTTGGGTACACGTCCAGACCAACGGACGAGAGCTGCTCCGGTTGTAGATAATTAAAAGGCGAAGAGAATAAAATATAATTATGACGCACATGACCATCTTCAAGAGCGCGAATCATAGCCTCCTCGTCAACAACCTTTCCACGCGCGGTGTTCACGATGATGCTGCCCTTCTTCATCGCCCGAATCTGCTTCTCACCCACCAGATGGACTGTCTCGTCGCGTAAAGGAACATGCAAGCTCAGAACATCACTTTCTTGACAGAGCCCTTCCAGGCTGTCAACGTACTCGCACCACTCTGGTGCATCGGCAGACTTGTTCCTCGAGTAATAGACGACCCGCATGGGGAATGCGTGGACTAGATGAGCAAGCCTAAGGCCAATACCGCCGAGGCCCAAGATACCCAGCGTGCGTCCCGTAACATCGCGAGCCCGCCCAGAATCGAGGACTGTTTTGAACGTCCCTTGGCGAAGGGATTGTTCGGCCCAAGCGTAGTTTCTGAGGCAAGAAATGACAAGGTACAGCGCCGTAGTGGCAGTCGCATCATCAACAGCACCAGGAGTATTGGACACGCTGATGCCTAGATCGGGTGTAAGCACATGAAATATAACCGGCGGCAGATCCCAACAGATGCACGGAATGAAAGCGTGGTTCATTTACCTTTTTCTGCGCATCTAAAGACATCGATCTGATCGTAACCTGCACCATTATGTGCGATCCACTTGATGGTGCCCGTCTCAGCCAGAGCATCAACGATCTCCTTGTCAAAGACGCCGATGCGATCAGCGGAGGTGTTGTGCCGGTAGACGCCCACGATTCCGTCATATTTTCCTCCCGGTTTCAGTCCTGCGAGGAATTCTGCGCGATCTGGAGAGTCCATAATCTGGGACATGTGTTTAATGCGAATGAAAACCGATGGAGGACATAAACGTACGACGATATCTGCGAGCCCATCAAAAAGCTGTTTGGCATCTTCATGAGCCCAAACGAGGTTTCCTGCGAGTACCGATCCTGTAAGTATATAAAAGTGTGGCCGCGACGGATCAGGATTTACCACAAATCAATACACGGGATTGGGGAGACGACATCGTGCGTATCTAGCGGGAGTGGGGGAGGCGAGTAGGAGGGTGCCAAGGAATGACAGCTTGTTTGAGGATAGACTCGAACTTTAAACCCTTCATCACGACGAAATTGAGTGGGTCAACTGATCAGTGAGTTGAAGGAGGTGATACGGAGGGATCCGGAAGCGCGGACCGGATGCCCGACGTTAATTAGTCGCCTTATCTAATGACACGACAGCCCTCCTGGCACCCCTGGACCTGGAGCTGTTCTCCATCTGAACCTGCACAGGACAACGACGTGGGGAATACCGGCCCGCTCTTCATACACTCGTGGTTTTGTTTTGCAGATAGTCCAGCCAACGTTCCACTTACAGTACATACCTTCTTATTTCACGATGAGCTGGCCAGGTTCCTTGCCATATATTAGTGCCTGAGTTAGTATCATTACTGCAACTCAGAGACAAGGTCTCGTCCCGTGCCACTCGTCAAGAAGTCCCTAAGATTTGTAAACGCGCGAACCTCCATCTGCATCTCGGTATCTCTCGTACGTGTGCCTACGTGCGGCAGTAAGGTATTCTGAGGAAAGTCAAATAATCTTGGGTTCACATTCGGCTCGTCGTGGAACACGTCCAACCCGACAGACGAAAGCTAGAAAATAATCAGCACGCCCAGCAAAATATCAACCAGAGCAACTCTTACGTGTCCGTCATCTAGTGCCCGTATCAGCGCCTCTTCATCAACCACCTTTCCCCGCGCCGTATTGACTAAAATGCTACCGCGCTTCATAGCACGAATCTGCTTCTCACTGATAAGGTTGACTGTATCTGACCGAAGAGGAACGTGCACGCTCAGCACATCCACCCGTGCGCAAAGCTCGTCCATGCTGTCAACATACTCGCACCACTCAGGGGCCTCTGGGTTCCTGGACCGCGAATAGTACAGCACCCGCATGGGAAATGCATGGACGAGATGTGCGAGACGAAGTCCGATACCCCCGAGTCCAAGAATCCCGATGGTGCAATTTGTAAGGTTGTGAGCGGCGCCAGAAGATATCGGGTTCTTCCAATCCCCAGCCCGCAAACATCGCTGGGCGAGGGAGAAGTGCCGCATGCATGAGATCACCAAATAGAATGCTGTTGTCGCTGTCGCATCATCAACTGCACCAGGCGTGTTCGACACGCAGATCCCTGAATGAAACAGAGAGAAAACGTTCAACGGAGCGGAATAAGTGGTAAGCCTTGTGATAAAAAGGTGCGACGGTTACCTTTGGCCTTGCAGGCTCTGACATTGACGAGATCATAGCCAGATCCGTTGTGTGCAATCCACTTCACGCTGGAAGGGAGTTGCTCGATGAGATCGGCGTCATATATACCGATCCGCGCAGCGGATATGTTGCGCCTGTATATACCGACTGTGCCTTCATATGGACCGCCTGGCGCAAAGCGCGTCAAAAATTCCGCGCGATTGGGTGCATCGTCTACCTGTCAGATATTGAGAAGTCTATCAACCGTTCGAGGTTCAGCAGTATTGCCTCTTACAATTACTTCCGCAAGGTCCTTGAACAGTTGGTCCACTACCTCGTGCGACCACCTCGGGCTACCTAGACATATGGTAAGTCAAATGTTTAGTAACGCAGCAACCCCCTCAAGGTGAAAAGTATCATACCGCATATCATGATTCGTGGTAGCTTCGTCATCACCGCAGACTGCAGGAATACTTGACCTGTACTCACTGGCAGACATTTATATATTGATAAAGGTGGTCTGGTGACATGATGGGCATTCTCATGTACGTATTAAATTACACTGGTATGTACTCGACCCTGCAGCATGCGCCGGCATCACGGAAACCGACGAAAGCAATACATATTTGGAATAGTACTATTGATACACGCAGAAAATGCACAGAAGAGAAAAGGATATAAAACGATACAGGTAACAAATATTAGTACAGTACTTAAGAGGTGTTAGAACATGAAGACAGCACACTAGGCTGGAAAACTCGTCAAAAACAAATATAAAGCACAACCTCCAAAACTACTCACTGGCTGCCTGAGACACCTCCGCTTCGAAAACTCTCATGTCAAACGCCTTCTTGAAGGGCTCAAATAATTTACCGGGAACAGCGAACACAACATCTTCGAACGAGTCTTTAAACGCCGCGCGTGGAACAGTCGTCTTTCCATCTTCACGATTCTCTTCGCGTTCCCCGTACACAAGGAGGTCTGCCCATATCTCCGCAACCATTTCAACTTTGTTCTCGCTGGAACCACACCCGAACGCACCGAGGACGAGAGCTCGGTCACCGCGTGCCTCAAAGATGCGAAGTGCCCTTGCCATGCGGTCTCGCATTTTGTCACGTATGCCGTCCTTAAAGATGTGAGCGTTCGAAGGAGTGATTTTGTAGTTCTGACGTATTGCGGCTGCGTTAACAGGCACAGCCGAGAGAACATTAATAAGATAAGGGGAGATGAAGCCATTTGGCGACACAGTCGTGAGTGGAGATGCGCCGTCGCTATCATCTTGGCGAAAAGCGACAACGCCTGGACTGTACACCATGGAGTGATCATGAATGCCAGCACCGTCTTCACTAAGGAATTTCCTGTGGGTGGTGTAGAATTGTTTGCCTGGGTCGGCCTGAAGACTAGCTACAAGCGACGAAGACCTGGCCAGGATCTCCTCTTGCTCGTTACCGCCGTGTAGATAGCCTCCGCCGGGACGTTTGGGTGACGCAAAGGAAAGGACTCCAATTGATGTAGTAGAGAGCGAATACGGCGAAGTACGGGTAAGGTCTGGTCTCCGCTCGTGCAGTTGCCGAGCAGCCGTGAGCGTAGAGCTGGCAACAAACGAAATGCTGGTTGGCTTGGTTCGGGTAGGAGAGACTATAGGAGGCTTGCGCCAGTCAGCCAGAGATGGCAAGCAATGAGGGAAGAACGTTGTTCCCTGCTTGCTCAAAATGATTTGGGATGATATGTCATGTATGACATGCGTCGTGGTCATGGCGTGCTGTTCTTGAGATTGAGAAGGGTTTACTTGTGACGAGGCGTGATCAGGGCAAGAGACAGGTGGAGAGATATGGGTAGGGGGAATGATACATGAGACAGAAGTAGAAGAAAGTTTCTCTTCGACGTACTTGCCATCCCCAAGAGCAATTCGTTTTGTTTCACGAGCAGCTTGAGCCCAGCGTTCACGCCTTGCCTTTTGGGCCACGAAAGCGAGACGCTTCCGCTCCCGCTTGAAATGTTCTTGCTTCAAGAGTCGGCGTTTGTGTCTTAAAGATGAGCCTGCGGATTGCTTGATGGCGTGCATCGGAGTGCTTGATCGCGTCTTCGATGCTGCCAGCTTGCGATTATCCTTACGAGCCATGGATCTGCGAATAGGTTTCTTGGTGTTGTTGGACTATCGTAATTGGTGGGGGCGTTAGAAAGGAAAGGTTCAGGCATGGTCTTGGTGATATGCCACTGTTTGTACCTCTTTGTTTACCTTTCTTCTCCAACTCGGTGACTCGTCACTCCTCTTGGTGAGAAGTGGACAATTGCAGCAGGCTGGCTCTCCGTGTCCACAGCTGTCCACAATGGTCGTACTCAACGACTCTGGCCTTAACACCAGCAACTTTCTGGTTTTCAAGACTACCAGCTAAGTTTGGTTACAGGTCTCAATAATCAGTCAGACTCATGATTCATGAACCAACTTAGCACTAGTAAGGCTAAGTAAGCCACTAGAAACCGGTTATTCGTGCTTTTTTTATTGCATGCCACTCCTCTCCTGTAAATAGATTTTATTTTGGTACACTGCTCCCTTGAAAGCTCACGCAGTAGCATGTTCTAGAAGACGAAGAAGTAGCCCTTGAGAAGCTTCGCATATGAATTTTTCGAGCTATCCATCACCATTGAGCAAAGCCGATACAACCGTGGCGTCGATAAAACTGTACGCAGTTGAAACTCGACCTAGCCGCGGAACCTGGGCGGTCTCAAGAGTCAAATGCCACGCTCTTTCCGCCGCTCTAATCGAATGACACTCGTCGTTCCCGTGACCCGTCATTGGCAAAGTCTTTTGACCATCCTTCGCCCGGAATCCGGATCGTTCCACCATCAGCCTCATAAACGTAGAGTGACCTGCAGGAAATCGAGAACGTAATACACGGGACAAGCTCGATGGCAAGAGTGTGAGCTGATAGCGCTTCCCTTGATCCTCATTCTGAGATGAGAGGAGCGTGGCCGTCCTTCTCAAGCCAAGATCGTGCCTTCTCCTTGGCTTGACTTTCCATAGCCTGCATTTACTTTGACAATCTGGACCCCTCTCGGATCAATCCTGACATCTTCTCATAGCCCGTCTATGTACGAAAAATTCATCGTGAGATGCCAACATCGGGGCCCCCTGGATCTTCTGACCAGCCTAAACAAAACGCAGGTACGAAGGTCCCTGTCGCTGAAGACTTATTAGGAGAATCGTACAGAGGCGGTTCGCGTACATCGTATTGCAACAAGTCACTGAACTTTACGGCACGACTTTGTTTAATTTGCTACGGTTCCGTTCAAGCGGATCAAGAAGTGTCATATGAGCTGATAATTTATTCAAAGTTGTGGGGTAACACAGTCACGGATCGTTTTAGCACGGTATGTACATGCGTTGCCGATCACGTTCTCCGCCTCTTTTGTTCGTGCGGGCCTCCGTTTCCAGTATTCTTCAATAATAGCAAAACAAGTTCCAGCTGATATGGTGTGTAATATGACATCTTGCATCCAATTCCACTTTGCCGCTGACACTGGCATTGCCGAATCTAACAAAGTTCCCACTTGAGTTGAACAGTTGGTGTAAATGATTAATCAACCTGCTAGTGGAAGAGAAGCCTTGGACATTCCTTGTGACTAGGCTCAGGTCATGGGTTACCGACACCGTCCTTTTGAGGGGGATTGGTTGTGTGGATTGTTTTCATCCTATCACCATGTCCAACTACGTGGAGGAGAAGAAAAAGGAATCATACGATGGGGATGTCGACATTGTCACTACAGAAGATGAAGAATACATCATGCAGCCCGAGATCCGCCAGGCTGCTGAAAGGAGGCTTGTGCGGAAACTCGATTTTCGCCTGCTGCCAACGATTGTGCTTATATTCATCATGAACTACATTGATGTGAGTGCAATTCTTTGTTTACTGCGGAAGACGCTGACAAACGGTTTTGATAGCGTGTCGCGATAACGTCTGCTAGACTGAAGGGTCTAGAGTCGGACCTAGGATTGACTGGTGTGTATTGTGTTTTTCACTTGATCTACACTTCATTCTTTTCCACCCCAGACCTCCAGTACTACACAGTTGTTGCGATCTTATATGTATCTTATTGCCCAGCACAGGTATGTGTACAAGGGAAATTGAATGTTTGGAAAACTCGTGTTAATATTCTCTAGATCCCGTCCAATATGGTAAGTACTAAGCCTGGCAATTTAGAGCATCCAGCACTCAATTGATGTGGCCGTTAAGCTACTCAACTATGTAACAAGGTCCGTATTCCTGGATTGATATGCTACTTTCCCTTTGAAATCGAGATGTACCAGGCCGACCTTCTACATCGGTACTTGTGTAGTGCTATGGGGAGTAACAAGCGCTCTGACTGGGGTAAGTGATCTAAAGCCCATGCTTTGACCGATCTTAAATATCCCGTAGGTAACGCATAACTTTGCCGGCATCATTGCCTGCCGGATATTCATTGGTCTACCAGAGGTATACAGTCTTCAACACTTCCCTGGCGTAGCTTGATGTCATGTTTGACTAGGCGGCTTTTTATCCGGGTGCAATGTATCTACTTTCTCGATGGTACACTCGAAAGGTAAACAAAAAAAGATTGTCGTGCGTATCCGTTGGTCAATCTGATGTGTTTCAGGAATTGGCATTCAGGTCTGCTATCCTGTACTCAGGACTTTTATTATCGAATGCCTTTGGTAGCGTATGTCTTTCACGCGTGCTTCTGAATCTACATAATCATATGGTGATTAGTTGATTGCTGCAGGCATACTCGGCAATATGCAAGGTGTACTAGGCATTGCGGCATGGAGATGGTTTGTGATCTTTTCATGCAATATTTTTCTGAATCCTTACTCAAAAAATACAGGCTCTTTTATATCGAAGGCGCCATTACAATATTTGTTGGATTCCAAGCCATGTACGTGACTTCGCTACTGAAACGCCGCAGTGCACTTAACTCAATCGCGATTCAGGTGGCTGCTCCCCGATTATGTATGGACGTATCACCAACCTCGATAATTGAATGTTAATGTCGCTTTTCAGCCGAACAACACTCGATGGTTGACGCCAGCGGAGCGCCGATTGGCACAGGCGCGTCTTGCAGAAGATGCCGGCGAAGCCGATCAAGATTCTGCGGAAGCTTCGTATGCACCCTTCAGCATAACGCATGCGATGTTGCTAAACATCTTCTAGGGTATTCGAGGGATTCAAGATGGCCATCAAAGATCCTAAGGTTCCAGTTTTCATGTTTATGTGCTGTTCGCAGTTACTAGGTCTAAGCTTCGTCAACTTCTTCCCAACGTAAGCATACCATACCGTGTGTGCTTGAATGAATTTATGGATGGCTTCAACAGCCTTACGAGCACCCTCGGATATTCGACGACTGTAACTCTTTTAATGTCTGCGTAAGTCGCTGGTTGCTCGCTTGTCAAAAACTTCTGAAATGTATTATCTAGTCCTCCGTGGATCTTTGCTTCTATCTGCACCCTCATCGGAGCTTGGCATGCTGGTAATTGACTTGACATTGCCTTGGACTTCTCTAATTCAAGCGTCTCTTTGCACTTGATAGATAAGACAGGGGAGCGCTTTTTCCATCAAACGGCTTGGTGGTGGGTGGTGATGGTCGGTTATATCATTTCCCTGTCGACTATGGCAACCGCCGGGAGGTACTTTTCCCTGTTTCTGATGACTACCGGATACTGCGGTATGTTTACTTGTCTAAAGTAGTCACAGCGGTCTGACTATTCACCAGGTTTTACTCTGACATTAGTCTGGGTGGCTAACGCGATTCCACGACCACCTGCAAAACGTTCTGTTGCAATGGGTTTGGTTAATGGGTTTGGTAACCTGGGAAACGTGTAAGCTTTTTATATGCTACCCTTGATTCACACGCTGATAATCGGCGTTCTTAGAATGGGTTCGTACATCTGGAATTCGAAGTGGAGCCCGCAGTACCATCAATCGATGATTATCGCGTTGTGCGCCCTTGCACTAGCAAGTTTCCTTAGTTTTGGTAGGTTGCACGATCGTGACCTCTCACTCCACGTTTTTCAATTTTCTTGCAGTGATCCGTTGGATGTTAGTCCGCGAAAACAAACAAATGGAACGCGAGGAGATGGATTTGATGCACGGTCCTGAACGCCAACGAATTGAAGAAGCTGCTAAACTGGAAGGCATTACCTTCGAGGAGGCAATCCAGCGTCGCAAAGGCTTCCGTTATCTGTACTAGGTGTATTGTCGCAGTACTACATAGTACTTACATGTATGTAGCCATACTGAGGCTTATAAGTTGTCCTCAGCACTACGATGTGATGTTTCGAACTCCGACTCATGTGACAACTTGGTTCCAACGCTCACACATCATTAATTCTCAAACGCCGAGCAACCTACTTGAAGCTTTAAATGAAGTCTGTCTGAAACCGTACGACTTCTGGTGATGGTATCCGAGGATTTCAGCCCCTGGTTGGCCGGGACGGGACTCCTGCCCAGGTGAAATTCATACCCTTCTGACCACTGGTGGCTGCAGGAGTCTGATCTTTGTTCCGCCCATTTCCTTAAAGGTCTTGAAGGATCAACCCCGCAGGGACAGGCACTTATTGAAACTCAGGTCTACGTACTGTACTCAGCCGACGGGGCGCATGTTGTCATCGGTGGCACACCTGTGAGATCCGTGTAGTGTGATACGCATAAAATTATGCGAAACACAGACTACGCAAACACCAAATCTTCTCACGAGATATGTCGGAGCGTACCTGCTCGCTCAATCACACGCCCCTGGGAAATTTTATTGCACCAGAAAGAATCTGGGACGCATACAAGCTTGACCATTTCAAAGCAAATCCGCAGCTCTCGGAAAGAATGGTTTCCCCGGTCGATCCGAGGTGTTCCCTACGTCTGTGGGGAAACGTGCTTTCCCCCTCGAACCGATGAACCTCGGTCACCATATCGGCATGTACATGTAGATCCATCTGACGGGAGATATGTGCCACGAGTTCCTTTGGTCTTCACAGCGACATGATTGCCGACTTGCCCCAGGCGAATCGACCTTCTCCAATATGTTCGTCATGCCGCTCTGGTCCCCTCTCCCCGGTATTGTATATATAGATACAAAGCCGGCGACAATTCTTGTACATGTCAATAGAAGCTGATTCTGGGCCACGGACCTGCCCAAATGTTGCCACCGTTCGCCAAAACAGATTCCCCTCCACTGATGGTATTCTGGTTGCCTTCCGCTTTTGGACTTGAGGAGCAACATGCCCGGTGTCATTGAATTCATTATCAGCATCGCGATAACACCTCCAGTGACCGTGGTATAAAAGGCATCTGTTTGTGTGGCTGGAACCGCGCTGAGTTAGGCGTAGCATTTCACTGCTCTTTCTTGCCCCACATGTCTATCGAGGAGGAGAAGAAAACTGAATCCTTCACAGAAAATGTGGTCGCAGTGTCAAATGACACTGATGACTTCAGGCTATTGACAACAGATGCCAGAATGGCGGGAGAACGGGCACTGGTGCGCAAATTGGACCGCCGCCTGATGACCACTGCTGTGGTCATATACCTTTTGAACTACATTGACGTGGGCAACATCCGTTTATGAACTTCAGCGTGCTCACGCGTATGCATAGCGTGTCGCTGTTACTGCTGCGAGGTTGCAAGGTTTAGAGCAAGATCTCGGTATAACAAGTGAGTGAAGTGGACTACCGTAGTTTCCATGCTTACTCGATTAACTAGCCGTTCAGTATGAAAGTATTCTGGCTATTCTTTATGTCACTTATTGCCCGGCACAAGTGAGCAAATTTCTGCACAACCTATGTAATCTCACTCACCATCCTATCTGCGACCAGATCCCCTCGAACATGGTTTGTTTATGTGCTATCGTTTGTGAATGCAAGACTGATTTTGATTGTTGACAGATTTTGAGTTATATTTCACGGTTTGTTGTAATTGGAATTATCTTGGTCTAGTCAATACTAAGGAGAAGCAACTCAGACCATCACTTTATATTGGGGCCTGCGTTATTGGATGGGGTCTTACAAGTGCTTTAACTGGGGTAAGCCTTGTTGGAAGTTGCAACTCGTGCTTGCTAACCGCTGCACAGGTCACAACCAATTTTGCGGGTATCATGGCTTGTCGTGTATTCATTGGCCTTCCCGAGGTAAAATCCTCCTTTTTTGATAACCACGTGCGGGCTGAACGAGTGCGGTTTTCCTCAGGCTGCATTCTATCCTGGTGTCATGTATCTGCTCTCGCGGTGGTATACCAGGAAGGTTAATACCAAGTTTTTGAAATGATGAGTCGCCACTCATGCAACATTCAGGAGCTCGCCGTGCGGTCAGCCTGGTTCTATTGTGGACTTTTAATCTCGAATGCATTCGGAAGTGTGAGATTTCTGTCGTCAGTGGACTTTGACGCCCGGTAACGATCCTTTTTAGTTGATTGCAGCTGGAATTCTCTCGCAAATGCAAGGCGTACTGGGACTTGCGGCCTGGAGATGGTAGGACGAAATCTTTATTCTTAGGAACAGTGCCCTGACCGGAGTGTCTGCCGCAGGTTGTTCTACATAGAGGTATATGTCACCCTACCCCTGGATCTTCTGTGCTGATCACTGACTTAATCGCCATAGGGAGCGATAACCATGTTCTTTGGCTTCTTGACCATGTGCGCATCTTCATGTTTCTATTCTTACTCAAAGTTGACAGCAACGATTTCGTCCAGGTGGCTTCTTCCAGATTTTGTAAGCAGAACAGTTTTAGAACGAATTTCGGCGGGGGTCTGATATGACATCACACAGCCCCATAACACTCGATGGCTTAACGCAGCGGAACGCCGCTTGGCTCAAGTTCGCCTTGCAGAAGATGCAGGGGAGGCTGACAAGGACGCTGATAACCTCACGTGAGTCCAGCTCGTGTTCCATCCTTTCCTATTACTGACAAGGTGTTGCCCCATATCACTTTTGTTAACTGGTACACTGTTCGGGTGTCACAGCATTTACGATGGCTTGTGGCTGGCTATCAAGGATCCGAAGACCATCATTTTCATGTTTATGAGCTGTTCGCAACTTCTGGGCCTGAGTTACATCAACTTCTTCCCCACGTAAGTACTTCGTGGACAATCTTGAATTTATTGCGCTAACATCGAGCGGGATAGCTTGACTCAGACGCTTGGTTACGGCACTACTGTTACGTTTTTGATGGCGGCGTAAGCATGTCATTCTGTTGTCACATTCCCAGTTGTAGCTCATCGTCGTCTGATCGCGAGTCCTCCATGGGTGTTTGCGGCAACCCTCTGCGTATTAAACGCATGGCATGCAGGTATATCTGATTCCCGGTAATGCATGACAGTCATTTTAACAAAACGAATAGATAGGTCTGGAGAGCGATTCTTCCATATCGCTACTTGGTGGTGGGTGGTCATCCTTGGATACATCATCTCGCTAGCCACCATGGCTACGGGTGGACGATACTTTTCCTTGTTCCTTATGACCACCGGATACTGTGGTAAGTGCTCATTGGACAACTGAACGCAGGCTTGACACGTTTTCGGAAGGTTTTGCCTTGACATTGACCTGGGTTTCAAACGCCATTCCTCGTCCACCAGCAAAACGCGCCGTAGCTATGGGTCTTGTCAATGGGTTTGGAAACCTCGGTAATATGTAAGGTCAATGCTCAGTGAAATGTCGAATTGCTTACAAGTCTTTACAGGATGGGTTCATATGTCTGGAATGCCGCATGGGGGCCTCAGTACCATCAATCCATGATTATAGCATTGTGCAGTCTCGTTTTGTCCACAGTTTTGGGCTTCCGTAAGTAAAATCACAACTTGACCACTCTGATGTACTCATATATTGATAGTAATGCGGTGGATATTAATGAACGAGAATAAGAAAATGGATCAAGAGGAGAAGAAATTCACGGAGGGCCCTGGACGCCAACGTATTGAGGAGGCTGCTAGATTGGAAGGCATTACATTCGATGAGGCTGTGAAAAGAAGGAAGGGCTTCAGGTATCTGTATTGATTTTTTAAGAGACGCTCGAGTCATGTACAATAGATTTGTGATAGAGCTGGACTCCTGTATTACATAAACTTGATTTGGACTTTGTACTCAAATCCACGTCACGAAGTGGGTACGTAACTTGAAGAGCCCATGCCCCCAACATGCCTCAGAGACTGTCATATGTAATTACATTCGTGCGTGTTTCACTGAAGTTTTTACCTGACTGACTGGACATTTACGTGCAGGTTGACATCTGTTCGTGATCCGCCAACGGCGTTTTACGCACAGTACTAGTGAAAGCTCGGCAGTGACGTTCGTATAGAATCGAGGGTTCACCTGATGCACTACCCTTTGTCCTGAATCAATCAATATGGATCATCCTTACCCTAGAACCCATCTCCATGAGAATCACGGACCTTCTGAGAAGCACCCGGTCAAATTTATAGCTCGTACCCTCGAGCTCCAAGTCCTTCCTGACCTGTTTGTTTGACCCACACCGTCTTGCATTGGCACCAGCTCGAAATCGACACCAAGATCATGGCGCACCCTGTCATATGGCGAGGAAAAGTGTTCTTTTACCCCATTGGCAATACACCTGCAGTTTGCCTCACACAGGATCTTTGTCCAACTGAAAAAGCAGACATGCTGCTTCTTGGTTGCGGCGATCCGAGGCATATCCTTTATACTGTATATACAAACAGTGCTGGCTTGCAAGGTAAACGCACATTTAGCAGCCATATTTTGAGAGAGTGGTGCGCTAATGTTCCGTGTTCAGGATCACGAAAACTGGACTTCACTTGCTGCGACATCGAGAGTGCAGTCATTGGTGAGCCCAAATTTGATACTCGAGACGTCTTCCTTATCCAATGTATCAAACAGCCCGTAACGTCATCTTATTCACCCTCCTTGCCGATGAAGGCGCTGCGCAGAAAGTGCCTCAAATCTGGAACATATTTTTCCACTTTTACCTCGACATAGCCTCTCGTGACCTGCTCATATCACAGTGCAGGAGGTTGGTCGAGCTATCCGAAGATCTGGATAGCTGGAACAATGGTCCTTACGGTCATTTCCTTCGCATGTGCACTGGAGATACTCTCGCCGAGTTGCGGCGCCTTTGGCAGCTCTACGTCAAGACGGCTACTTTCTCTCCTAGCCAGGCAAAAGAATTTGAATCTGCATATGCTGCTGATGTCAAGGCAGGCAGGGCGAAGTTTGAACACGTGTTCACATCAAGTCGCGCAGCCGGGCCATTGTCGATGTATGCCTTCGAGAAGGCCAGTGACCACTACAACGTGTACTGGGGTACAGGCATGTGCTCTGCCGTCCCCAAGAGACCCTTTGAGGCGTCACATCCAAATCCGACCTTAGCATACTCCATGGTTGGTGACAGATTTGGGGTCCACTATGGAACGGATCCTCTCGCTTGTTTTCATTTGGCAGAGGCACTTGCACCACCTGTCGGAAGCGTTCGCCACCCAGAGAAATGTACTCTGAAAGACATAGTAAATGTCTGCAAGATGCAGTTTTCGAGGTGGTGCACTTCGGTTTCCGAGGTCGTGTGCAATCAACGTCCATCTTCTCCGAGCCCGCTCATGATTCGTTGCTTCGTGGGCGACGCTCTCAGCTTGTGCCAAGCCCTTGGCTACTCCCACTCCACTAAGTCGACATCGACACCATTCCCTGTTGCTCCTTGGAAGCACGCGCGCATCACTTTTGATCCTGATGGTTACAGAAGTCACACGCAGTCGCCTGCGCCGACCACATTCAACGTCATTGATACTTCCAATCTTATTGATCACGTCGGCGTGTTGAATATCATCGCTATTACTTCTCCCATTCTTCAGCGAACTCCATCTACCACGCTGTACACGGAAGGTCTCGCTTCAAGTACCACAGAAGACACGCTGTCCCAACAACTTTGTGCAGATATTGCAACTATTGGTCTGCTCCTCGGCTTGATTCCTGCGTGCTTCGTATCGCAGTTCACGAACCGGTCGAACATGCACGAGCACATCGCGCGTCTGTCGCAAGATACAATCCAGAATCATGAGCGCCTCGCCTGGAAGCTGATCGGCGGGGCTGAGAGACTTGTGACGGATCTTAGCTGCCCCATCGACATCGCTCCGGAGCAGCTTGCAGGTGTTCTCTTCAACATCTATCTCAACATGTTTTCTCATGAGAACGTGATGCGAAAGATGGCCATGGTCAAGCAGTCGCCAGCGACAATCAAGTTGAGTGGAGTCGTACATTACCATCGCCGTTCATTCGCGGAGGTGTTGGGTGTCGTCAAGAGGAGGGTGAACACAGAGTGGGATTCAACCATGAACATGCTTCATGGCAAGATTCAGAATGACATTATCCTCATGACCGGAATGAACTTTTTCCAAGATCTCTTCTGCCAGCTGCACCTTCTCGGCATTTACACTGTGTTTTGGCTGTCTCTACAAAAGGTGCAGGAGGTGCACCGCGTCGAAAGGCCTGTCATCTTTCGCGATTGGAAGACGCTCCCACAAACTGTCTGTGTCGTCCTCGTTGTTCCTCGGGATCGCCTTCAGCCGCTCTTACCCGATCTTGACGAGGCTGGAACACCTGTGTTGCAGTGCGACCTGAGCGGCGTAACAACCCAGAATACGTTCTCTTGCATCAACACAGTGTTCGGTGCTATTAAGATCAGCGGCCAAGGTGATAGCAAAACTGCAGCCATCACAGAAGACGCCACTGGACGGTATGGGACCTCTCCTCTAGTGGTGTGGTTCTGGGTGCCGTCCATTGTGCTGATGAACGAGCGTCGTTTAACCGTCGTATTATCTGTTCTCTCCACCCTAGCGACTTGCGCACTCGCCATGAAGCGGGGGCTCGACCTTTCCATATTCCGCGCGGATATGGGAGACGAGAAACTTGTGCACATCCTGCGACAACGTCCTGATGCTGGCCCAGACAGTCCCGAGGAGAAGATTATGCAGATCGACAGTCGTCCCACGAAGACGTCTGGTACACGTACATTTGTCACGTTGGACAAAGAATGCAAGACACCTCAGACATTCACCACTCGTGTGGATATCGTCGAACCGGAGATGAAAGCTTCCCTGACCAGCGGTACCACACCCACTGTGAATCAACTTTCCATGCATTCGATCGCCATCGTTCTTGGAGGCAACTCTTTGCAATTGCCTTTCCCGCTTCCTGTCGATGCCAAGAAAGTTAAGCTCCGCGTCGCGCGAAAGTCGCTGTACATCGAAGTGCGTTCTCTCTCTCTGTCTGTCTCGCCAAATTCTAGTTTCTGACTCGGCGCAGGTCATCTTGCCCCTGAAGCTTTCTCTTGGAGGAACAGACAAGATTGACATGTTCCCTGTTATTCCGCAGGGAGGCGATTTTACTCTCTGGAACATGCACCGAGTCGATCTCGATCAATGCGTGCCTTTCAGCATCGCCAACAAACAGGCTCTTGGCTGGATCAACCCCCACCTCTCCCTCATGGTGTCTGAGCGTGAAAAAAATATCCCCTATGGATTGACAACAGGGTCCACACTGCTTGATGTCAAACACACACTTCATTCCATTTTTGGGAGTGCAAGCGGCCTCACGAATGGAAACCCCCCTCTATGCCACGCCTTCCAAGCGAAAGATGAACCGCAGATCTTTGTCATGCTCTACATCACGGACCTACGCTTGGACGTCGGGTCGCACACCATGATCGCTGATGCTTGGGTGATGCCGTCTTCTCCCTCGTTTGAAAAGTTCGAGGCTTTCAGCAAAGTTTCTGGGCACGTAAAACCTAGCAATATGCAGATGGTTGGGATGGGTGTCGAGGAGAGGAAGGCATGGATGCACCTCCTTGTGGCCGCAACGGAGCGGTGCCGTACCTGGGAGCACAAGATCAACTGCGAGTACCGTGTCCAAGGCGCTATCCCTCTAACTTTAGAGCCAGACCAGAGTCCTATTTGCTCTTGCGGTGCCGGGGTGGGGACAGAAGCGTTTGTAAAGAAATACCCGATGCTTCGGCCGCTTGCGCCGTATGTGACGAGGGCAGCGATCAGTCCGCTGTTCGCGCTGTCATACTTGGAAAAGGTCGGTGATCTAGAAGATGTCATTGCGACGAAGACTCCACCGACGCCTGCGCCGGCAGTAGCGGTGCGTCATGTGTGCGCTGCATGTGGAAAGGCAGGAGGTGCTTCTGCGTCGTTGTTGATATGCAGCCGATGCAAGGTCGTGCGGTATTGTTCAGAGGGTTGTCAACGCAAGGACTGGAAAGGGCACAAGAAGGATTGCATGGTGTCATCTTCCTGAATTCGAGATCGTTTATCGCCAGTAAATATTGTGTCGATTTGTCTTTTTTGCTGAATTCACGCTGCTGCGTTGACAATTACATAATATTGTGCCGCGCCAAATTTGCCTCAAAGCCAAATAGAAGAAAACCAACTTTTTTACATTAGTTTTGCTGCTCTTTTGAATCAATAATAAGTCTCGTTGACTCCAGTCAAGCAGCTGCCAGCCTGGTGGCAATTGCACAGTATTGGTTCGACGCAATTTCAAAGGCCAAGATATCCATTAATCATGATGATACAGAAGGACCGACTTTCTTCCTTCTAGTACTGATAGGCCTGGGGAGACTACGAGATAATCGCTTCTGTCCTTTTGACCTGTTTCTCGTGTGCTGCAGCTGACTGGACATTCATACGTGCAGGTAAATTTGCCATCTGATTCCGGGTCATGTTCATGCAAGCCCGGCCATAACATCCGTGACGTAGTATAGAATCGCTCGTGAAGGTCAACGCTCACGGTCTATCACCGTTTGCCGTGATCTTCCTTTCTACTTTGCGTGCTGGCCTAGAACCAAGCTCCAATTCCATAAGGCTCACGGACCTTCTAGCAACAGAGCGCTCAGTCAACGTGTTCGTGTGCCCTCCAAATCCTTCCTGACTTGCTCATTTGACTGTATTATCTTCGTTTGCGCCAGCTAGCCGCTCCAAATCCATACCAAGATCATCATGGCACACCCTGTCCTATGGAGAGGAAAAGTGTTCTTTTACCCTATTGGCAATACATCTGCAGTTTGCCTCACACAGGATCTTTGTCCAACTGAAAAAGCAGACATACTACTTCTTGGGTGTGGCGATCCAAGGCATATCCTTTACACTGTATATACAAACAGCGTTGGCTTGCAAGGTAAATGGACATTTAGCAGCCATATTTTGATAGAGTGGTGCGCTAATGTTCTGTGTCAGAGTCACGAAAACTGGACTTCACTTGCTGCGACATCGAGAGTGCAGTCATCGGTGAGCCCAAATTTGACATTCAAGGCGTCTTATTAAGCTAAAATATCAAACAGCTCGTAACGTTATCCTATTCACTCTCCTTGCCGATGAAGGCGCTGCCCAGAAAGTGCCTCAAATCTGGAACATATCTTTCCACTTTTACCTCGACATAGCCTCCCGTGACCTGCTCATATCACAGTGTAGGAGGCTGGTAGAGCTATCCGAAGATCTGGATAGCTGGAACAATGGTCCTTACGGTCATTTCCTTCGCATGTGCACTGGAGATACTCTCGCCGAGTTGCGGCGCCTTTGGCAGCTCTACGTCAAGACGGCTACTTTCTCTCCTAGCCAGGCAAAAGAATTTGCATCTGCATATGCTGCTGATGTCAAGGCGGGCAGGGCGAAGTTTGAACACGTGGTCACAGCAAGTCGGGCAGCCGGACCATTGTCGATGTATGCCTCCGAGAAGGCAGGTGACCACTACAACATGTACTGGGATACAGGCGTATGCTCTGCCGTCCCCAAGAGACCCTCTGAGGTGTCACATCCAAATCCGACCTTAGCATACTCCATGGTTGGTGACAAATTCGGGGTTCACTATGGCACGGATCCTCTCGCTTGCTTTCATTTGGCAGAGGCACTTGCGCCACCTGTCGGAAGCGTTCGCCACCCAGAGAAATGTACTCTGAAAGACGTAGTAAATGTCTGCAAGGCGCAGTTTTCGAGGTGGTGCACTTCGGTTTCCAAGGTCTTGCGCAATCAACGTCCATCTTCTCCGAGCCCGCTCATGATCCGTTGCTTCGTGGGCGACGCCCTCAGCCTGTGTCAAGCCCTTGGCTACTCCCACTCCACTAAGTCGACATTGACACCATTCCCTGTTGCTCCTTGGAAGCACGCGCGCATCACTTTTGATCCTGATGCTTACGGAAGTCACACGCAGTCCCCCGCGCCGACCACATTCAACGTCATTGATACTTCCAATCTTATTGATCACGTCGGCGTGTTGAATATCATTGCTATTGCTTCTCCCATTCTTCAGCGAACTCCGACTGCTACGTTGTACACGGAAGGTCTCGCTTCGGTTAGCCCAGAAGACACGTTGTCCCAACAACTTTGTGGAGATGTTGCGACTATTGGTCTACTCCTTTGCTTGATTCCCGCGTGCTTCGTATCGCAGTTCACGAACCGGTCGAGCATGCATGAGCACCTCGCACGTATGTCGCAAGATACAATCCAGAATCATGAGCGCCTTGCCTGGAAGCTGATCGGCGGGGCTGAGAGACTTGTGACGGATCTTAGCTGCCCCATCGACATCGCTCCGGCGCAGCTTGCAGGTGTTCTATTCAATATCTATCTCAACATGTTTTCTCATGAGAACATGATGCGAAAGTTGGCCATGGCCACACAGTCGCCGGCGACAACCAGGCTGTCCCTGATTGTACATTACCATCGACGTTCGTTCGTGGAGATTTTGGGTGTCGTCAAGGGGAAGGTAGTCACAGAGTGGGATTCAACCATGAACATGCTTCATGACAAGATTCAGAATGACAGGACCCTCATAACCGGAATGAACTTTTACCAAGATCTTTGCTGCCAGCTGCACCTTCTCGGCGTTTTCACTGTGGGTTGGCTGTCTCCCCCACAGATGCAGGAGATGCAACGTGCTGCAAGGCCTCTTGTCTTTCGTAATTGGAAGACGCTTCCACAAACTGTCTGTGTCGTCCTCGTTGTTCCTCGGGATCGTCTTCAGCCGCTCTTGCCCGATCTTGACGAGGCTGGAACACCTGTGTTGCAATGCGACCTGAGGGGCGTAGGAACCTCGAATGCGTTCTCTTGCATCAACACAGTTTTCGGTACCGTCAAGATCAGCGGCAAGGGCGACAGCAAAACTGCAGCCATTGAGGTGGACGCCAATGGACGGTATGGAACTTCCCCTCTCGTGGTGTGGTTCTGGGTACCGTCCTTCGTGCTGATGAACGTGCGTCGTGGAACAGTCGTATTATCTGTTCTCCCCGCTACAGCAAGTCTAGCGCTTACCATGAAACTGGGGCTGAACCTTTCCTTATTCCAAGCGGACATGGGAGATGAGCAGCTCGTGCACATCCTGCGACAGCGTCCTGATGCTGGCCCAGACAGCTTTGGGGAGAGGGGTGTGCAAATCGGCAGTCGTCCCATGACGACGACTGGTGCTCGCACATTCGTCACGTTAGATAAAGAATGCGAGACACCTCAGACATTCACCACTCGCGTGGATATCATCGAACCGGAGATGAAAGCTTCCCTGATCAGCGGTGCTACACCTATTGTGAATCAAGTTTCCATGCATTCAATTGCTGTCGTTCTTGGAGGCAACTCTTTGAAACTGCCTTTCCCACTTCCTATTGATGCGAAGAAAGCCAAGCTCCGCATTGCACGAAAGTCGCTATACATCGAAGTGTGTTTTCTCTCTCTTTCCGATCTCCAAATACTCTTTCTGACACGGTGTAGGTCACCTTGCCACTGAAACTTGCTCTTGGAGGAACCGACATGATGGACATGTTCCCTGTCATTCCGCAGGGAGGCGATCTTGCGCTGTGGAACATGCACCGAGTCAACCTTGACCAATGTGTACCTTTCAGCATCGCCAACAAGAATGCTATCGACTGGGTCATCCCTCACCTCTATTTCATGTTGTCGGAGCGCGAAAGAAAAATGCCGGTTGTTTTGACAACGGGGTCCACGTTGCTGGATGTCAAACATACACTTAATGTCATGCTCAGGCATGCAAGCGGTACCACAAATGGTAAACCCCCTCTATGCTACGCCTTGCAGGAAGAACCCCAGGTCTTTGCTATGGTCTTCATCACGGACCTCCGCTTGGACGTCGGGTCGCACACTATGATCGCTGATGCTTGGGTGATGCCGTCTTCTCCCTCGTCTGAAAAGTTCGAGGCTTTCACCAAAGTTGTAAAACATAGCGATATGCATATGGTTGGGATGGGTGTCGAAGAGAGGAAGGCATGGATGCACCTCCTCGTAGCCGTGGCGGAGCGGTGCCGTACCTGGGAGCACAAGAGCAACTGCGAGTACCGTGTCCAAGGCGCTATCCCTCTAACTTTGGAGCCGAACCGGAGTCCTATTTGCTCTTGCGGTGCCGGGGTGGGGACAGAGGCGTTTGTGAAGAAATACCCGATGCTTCGGCCGCTTACGCCGTATGTGACAAGGGCAGCAATCAGTCCGCTGTTCGCGCTGTCGTACATGGAAAGTTTTGGTACACTGGAAGATGACATCGCAACGAAGACTCCACCGACACCTGCGTCGGCAGTAGCGGTGCGTCATGTATGCGCCGCATGTGGAAAGGAAGGAGGTGCCTCTGGGTCGTTGTTGATTTGCAGCAGGTGCAAGGTCGTGCGGTATTGTTCACAGGGTTGTCAGCGCAAGGACTGGAAAGGGCATAAGAAGAATTGCATGGTGGTATCTTCCTGAATTCGAGATCGTTCATGACGATGGAGTGGTGCCGTCGTCTCGTGGTTGTCTGTGCTGGAATGATGATGCTACTGACATGCTGTGCTGCTCTATCCTAACCTGGCTGACTAAGCTCTCGGAATCGTCCGTATGGGGTCTTCTGCTCTACCCCTGCCCTAGAACCCCCTACTCCATGCACCCCCCTAAAAACAACCGGCGCCGCCCTCGACGCCGTCTACTGCTCTATCTCTTCTCCTGGATCCTCTATGTCCTCGTCGTCTGTATCCTCCATGTCTTCTTCTACCGCTGCATCCTCCTCGACTAATTGCTCTGCTTCCTCATTTTCTCTTTCAAGTTCTGTCTTTTTCATCGTCAATTTTTCGTCGTACGCCTCCTGGTCTCTTGCGAGCTTTGTTCCTGTTCTGGGAGTGAACGCTCGTAGGCGTCTAGCGCTAAAGTTCCCTTGTAGCGTTTCTCCTTCGAGAGTTTCGAGCTTGTACGAGTTTAACTCCTTCGATTGTACACGACGTGGTACGGACCACTTCGGTATTAGTTTCCGTTCGGTCTTGAATGTATAATCTAGGTCACTGCGGTAAACTTGAACTAATTGACCAATTTTAAAAATAACTTCCCCAGGTCCTCGTTGTAAGAGTTTTTTATCAAAGGCTGCTTTCCTTTTGATTGCGTGTCTGATCACTTCCTCGTAACCGTCCAGACGTTGTTGCTCAACGTATGCAATCTGTGTCGATGCGTCTACGTTTCTGAGTATCGACGTGCTTTCTTCTAGCGGTGTTGGGGGTGTGTTGACGATTAAGCGCAATAATAGTTCTTTCGGTGAGAACTTGAGAGCTGGGAGGAGACGATGATTGAGTGCGTGAACCGCGTCATCGAGGTGGTCTGGCCAGGACTTAGGGAGCTTGTCCCACGATGTTTCTTGCGCGTCGTCTTCTCCTAGCGCTGGTGCGCATAAACGTTTTAGAACGTGAAGCAGTAGCTTATTCGTTCCTTCGACTAACCCATTTACCCAGGGCGAATATGCTGCAACGGTGTGTAGTTTACTTGTTCTCGAAGTGCAAAATTCTCTCACCGCATCATTATTAAAATGTTTTCCGCCGTCGGCCATAAACGTTTCGGGTGCTATGAATGCGTTGGATATTCGCGTTAGACTATCGATCGTAGTGGTTGCGCTCCCTGCCGTTTTGTATTTGTATACCCAAACGTGCTGGGAAAACGTGTCTAGATAGACTCCTAGTGTACTGTACCCTCCTTTCCCTTTGGGAAGCGATAAATAATCTCCTACTAGGAGTTCAAATGGATGGCGTCTGGTAATCGGTTCTAGCAGTGAGTGTATGTGAGTAGGACCAAAATTCTTGCACTTAGCGCAGTGTTTGATTGCTTCCAGAATTGATGCGTCTAGCTTCGGGCTACAGATGCGATCTAAAAGTGTTAGTTTGATCGCGTCTCGACCCCAGTGCCCTCCTTCCGAGTGGGCTTGCTTAGCTAGTTCCTTGGCTTCTTCTTTGGTAACACATTCTACCCTCGATCTTGCCCTTGTCGTGTTACTCCCCTTTAGCCGCCAAAGCTTACCTTCGTCAATTAGATATTCTGAAGCTCGATGCTTCGCGCGTCGTCGTTTGCCGAGGTCCTCGTGATGATCTAGACCGTGAATGGCTTCTATCACCTCCTGGAAGATTGGTTCGTTGGCGAAGCGGACTCGTAGTGCGTCTATCGTGGAGTCGACTTCTGATATGTGCATGACGTCGTTGATGAGCCCGGTGCGTGCTTCCCAATCTTCGTTTACGGTCCATTCACTGCCGTCTCCCGGTGTACGTGGTTGGCCTTCCCACTTGCGGCTTAGCCCGTCTGCGACAACGTTAAGTCGACCTGGAACGTGTCTGACGTCTGAGATGGTATATGATAGGATGCCTTCCCTCCATCTTGCGTGTGCTGCTGTGAGGTTAGAGTTAAGTAGAGTATCTTTTAGCACGTTACAATCAGTTTCTATTTCGACTGGAAAACCCCAAATAATATTTGAGAATTTATCTAGCGCGAATTTCAATGCAGCGAATTCAAGAAGATAAGACTTATACCGTTGTTCTGCTAACAAGGTTCGCTTCGAAGCGAATCCGATGGGGTGTAGCTTCTCTACCCATCGTCCATCTGGAGTCTGTGTTCGGATTTTCTGCGACAACACTGCCGCAAAGCCCTCTGCGCATCCGTCTGTCGTTAAGACAAATGGCGACCCATCGTATCGCGGTCCTTGTACTACGGGTCTTGATGTGACCGCTGCTTTGAGGTGTAGGAACGCCTGGGTGTGTTCGGCCTTCCAGTGTGGTGCGAGTTTGTAGGCATTCATGATTCTCTTGTAGGTAGTCTTGTTATACTGCGCTGGAAGGGGTACGTTCTTGAGGAGATCTCGAAGCGGCGCTTCGCGCTTGGCGTATGCTTTAATTAGTGAGCGATAGTGTCCTGTAAGTCCAAGGAACGATACTAAGTTTAACGCATCTTCTGGCTGCGCCCAATCAACGATTGCTGTGAGTTTTGATAAGTCGGGTTTGACTCCTGTGGGTCCTACTGTAGCGCCTGCGAATTCCGTTTCGGTGACCATGAGACGTGTTTTCGATGGCGCTATTGAGAAGTTACACTCTTTGAACCGTTTGAAGATAGCCTCGAGTTTCTCCATCATTTCGTTGAACGTATCTGCTGAGCAACCTCCGTCATCCATGAATATTTCCATAGTGTAGCTCACCAAGAATTCTTGAAGTCTTATTGCGACCGCTTCGCAGAACATTGTTGGAGCTCCTGTTATCCCCATTGGCATTCTCTTGTACCAGAAATAACCCCTGCCTTCTACGTAGAAAGCAAGGTATGGACGCCATTGTTCTGGGACCTGAAGAGCGTAGAATCCTGATGCGAAGTCGAAAACTGATACGTACCTATGTCCGCTAAGTCGTTGTTGTTTCGCTAAGAGGTCCCCTTGAGGCATAGGCGCTATTTCGGTGAACTTGTTGAGTTGCCCGAAATTTTGACATATGCACCATTTTCTTGATGTTTCTTTTCGTTGTGCCGGTGGTGGTGCGTCTACTTCTCGTTCTGGGAGGTCAAACGCTGGTGGTTCTCCTGCTGTTCTGCACTGGTCGTTGATGCGCTGTCTGAGTTCTTCCCATGGTAGTCCTGTAGCCTCGTGAGCTTTCTGTGTGATTACGGTGGTTGCTGCACATTTGACATGTTCTGCTGGCGCGTGTTCGATAATGCCGGCGTCTAGCATATCGTCGATGCGAGCGCTGAAGAACCGGGATTGATCTGGGGTTAGTGGTCTTTGATGGGTGCGTAGATTGAACGTTGCTGCTTCTGGGACGTTGAGGTTAACAAATGCGTTAGGGATGGGTTTGACTTCTTTGAGGGAAAGCGCAAAGACGTCTGCGTTCCGTCGAACGAAGTCTTCTAGTTGTGTTTTCTCTTCTGCTGTGATGTCGTCTCCAAACGTGATCTCTGATATGATTTTCGCTATCCTTGCTGGGTTGTCAGGCCATGTGTGCCTTGTGAATATGTTGGGTTCTTGCGGCTGTGGTTCTGGGAGTTCGCCTATAAGTTCTCCTTCATATTCTGCTTGGCTTTGATCGGTGATGAGAACTTGGATCGGTGCTGCATGATTGGGATTGTCAACTTCATGCTGCTCGCGGTGTGAGATATCGTGCTCGACTTCCCTTGAGGGGAGCATTTCGCTCCCCTGCGTTTGACTATGTGTTGTATCCTTCTCCTTCCTTTTCGGCTCTACCTCTTGGTCGTCCTCTGCTTTCTGGACTCGTCTCCACATTTGGCGTGATCTCCGTTGCTCTCGTTGTCTCGAGTTTACGGTAGTTGGCTTCCACTGTCCCATAGGTATGTGTTCTGGATGTTCGACTGGTTCTTTTACACTGCTGGGGGTTTTTTGTTGCTTGACGTCTAGGGCGAGACTTGTGCCATGTTCTTCACGTTGTAATGCCTGTGGGTTCGCTATCTGATTGTAGATGGTTGTTGTCTTAGCATTGTCCGCGATTTTGATTGAGTCCGCCTTGTAGTCGTGTTCGGCTTTGAACGATTGTAACAAAGGCTTCCCAAACAAGAACGCCCATCCACCTGCGCTATCAAACACTTCAAAATCCCCTTTTGCTTTGATGCCGTTGATCTCTATTGTTCCGGACCATTTGGCCTCTGAATTGACAATGCTTCCGTTTGCCATTCTTAGCTTCCTTTCTGATGGGCCCCAATTGTGTAGGCGGTGTTTGACTTTTTTGAATATTGACGTACACATGGCTGCTACCATGGCCCCGTCATCAAAGAGAGCCCGTACTCTAACCGCTTCTCCTTTCGGTCCGTTGAGTGTGATTTGATGGATGAATGGTACCGCTTCCTTTGCTTCTAAGTGCTCCTTAGTTATTGTGACGTGTTCCACTGAATACAGGTTAACAGTGTTGATTGCGTCAAGTGGTGCTGATACATGAGTAACTATGGATGTAGATTGAAGCTTGGGGAGTGCGGATGAGTCCATGTCCTCGCGTGATGCCTCCGTACACGCGAGGACACTGCTTCTGGCGTGAAGGTCCGTTTTTCTCTGGGTCAGCGTAGTATGGTTCTTTACGCTGACCCATCCGCTTTTCCCTCGTCTTGTTCAGCGAGTTCTTCAATCCATGCTGCGTTGTATTGCGGGATATGGTTGGTTACTAATGAGATTGGTACCGCCGAAGTGCGATTGAATGCTCCTAGGACTTTGCTCGTAATGGCACGCCACGCTGCTTCCTTGCGTGTTAGTCGTTCTGCGTGGTTTATTGGTAATGGGCAGTTGCGTCCGTTGTGTCCGTGGGTTCCACAGCCAAAACATTCACTCGAACCTATAGCCGCTGTGCCTGGCTTGAGAGGATATCCTGTCTCGTGTGTAACGCGTGCGTTCTCGCCCCATTTCGCATTCCACTGCGCGAGCTGATTTGCGTATACTGCTTGGCCATTTGGGTTATCTGGTTGTTGGGGTATGGCTGCGACGAGCTGTCTGACTGTTGTTCTCATGTCGTCTGTAATGATGGTTTGCTGTTGGGATGGGGTTGTCTGACGGATGTATGGAGACTGTGCGTTTCGCTGGTTCTCTGCGGTTGGTACTCGAGTATACGTGTTGTTAGCTGACGACGTTAGCGATGGGGTTGGTGGATTGATCGCCATTTTGCTGAATTGGCTTTGAAGAGCTATGACTGGGTTCTGCGGTGGTGCACGTAGCTGAATACGAGCTAGGTCTGCGCGCAGTGCCTTGAGTTCCTGTGATTGCTTGATGCTCTGTTCTTGCTTTTCCGCTAGTCTGCTTCCCTTCAACTCCGTCACCGCTTTCGTGAACTCTGACCAGTTCTTGTATTCTTCATCCTTGAGCAAATCTTTCACGATGTCTGGTAACTTGCTGCGGACTTGCCAGATCATTGATGTACCTTGCTCGATGCCTGCGTTGGTGGCGAATTGGAGTGTGTTCGCTGCCCAAGCAACGTGTGTCCAGCACTCTCTGTCATAGAGCGTGGTCTTCTTTCCTACGTCTGCGCTTTGCAGCACGTGGTCTAATAAGTCCCTCTCGTACTCTGCCTTCGTCTTTTCCGCAATGACGATTGGTGGCCAGCGTTTCTCGAATGCTGCTACAAACGCAGTCCACGTAGCCTTATCTGTGGAGCTGAGAGCTTTAAACCATATTTCCGCTTGTGAACTAGTTCCCAAATAGTCGCCGAAGGCGTCTAATTTGTCGCTGCTTGTTGTTACTGCTTGTTGCCTCATTGCGCGGTTGAAGGATTTTACGAAGTCGGCTGGGTTCTCGGATGCGCGCCCGTCTCCATGAAAGATTTGCAGGGTTTCCGTAGGCATTATGAGTTTGGGCTGTGACAGCGCGAAGAATTTGGCTAAGTCGTAATCTGGTGCTGGGGGGGTGGGTTTGAGCGGTTCTGTTTTTACGTGGCGAGTTAGCGGTTGGTATCTGAGCGTTGGTAGTTGGAGGTCTAGGTTTGGGACGTTTAGTTCTGGGAAGGGGATGTTGTTGCGATCGTCGTCGTCTTCGATGCTGCTAAGCGATGAGCTGCTAAAGCGTTCTGGGGTGTCTAATGGGGAGGAAGCTGTGGTCGTTGTCGTTGACCAATTTGACCAGTTTGTTTTTGAGCGGGTGTTGGTCACCGCTTTCCCTTTTGCTGTTCTGGGTCTTAGGCTATCTGTGCTAGGCATCAGATGTCCACGTAAAAAGAGTTGAGTAGATACAGCCCTTCTTTTGTAATACTTGCGGTCTGTTGTGGTGCGGTGCACGTAATAAACTGCGTTTTCTGTGAATGTTTGGTTAGCTGTTTTAAATTGAAGTTTTTTCGAATTTCTGATTCGGTAACGCTAGATCAAGGCTGCGAGCTAAGACTATTGCGAGAGCTAGGACTAGATGCGAAATTGGGTTGGTTCGAACTCGCTCTGTTCACCACGATGGAGTGGTGCCGTCGTCTCGTGGTTGTCTGTGCTGGAATGATGATGCTACTGACATGCTGTGCTGCTCTATCCCAACCTGGCTGACTAAGCTCTCGGAATCGTCCGTATGGGGTCTTCTGCTCTACCCCTGCCCTAGAACCCCCTACTCCAACGACTAAATATTGTGTTGATTTGTCTTTCTTGCGGTATTCATGCTAGTGCTTTGTCAATGTAAAATAGGAATCGGGTCATGTTCGACATGTCGATAAAGGTAGAATACCAAATCAACCGTTTTGAATCACTCTACCAGATTCTACCATGAGTACTTTCCGTTGATTTCCCCCTGCAAACTTAGTGGTTCCTCCATAGACTCTGCTGGTAGAAATGCGCCCGTTATCGCACTTGGTATGCACGGATACAATTTCGTGACAGCACGCTCAGCTCTTTGAGGTGAAGATACTCATCGGGCTAGCTGAGCCGCCGATGCGGATATAGTTGGCAAGGCGGCTGGTATGGGTAGGCTTTCTGGACTAATCACTCAAAGTGGTCAAGAAAATGTGAATTCCACTAACAACATCAAGAGACCAACGACGTTCAGGACAAACCTGAGACATGCCAGCTTGTCCTATTTCCTCACTCATTCAATCGGCCTCGATGAGCCTGCAAGAATCAACGGCATAAGTACCGGGATGCGCAGCACGGTCGGATAATTACTACTGTAGTATCAGGAATGGGATGAACATGATATCTTGACAAAACGTACCTCCAAGGGAAGCGATTTCAGTTCATGATCATTCCTAATGGTGGGTTCACGAAAAGATGCGCTCCTAACCCCGCTTACCATATTGCTGTCGTGTACCCTGTGAGCGTGACGTGACTATCATGGTGTGACTTGCGTTTGAAGGGTATGCGTATGTTCCTGCCAGCATTCGTTTCGCACATTCCATCAAGGTATGATGAACTAGGTTGCTAATTTACGTTTATAGTGTGCTAACAATGATAATTGATTCAGTATCAGCGAACATTGCCGGAAACACGCGTTCACTCCCACAGCCAACAAACCCACCGTCCTATTTTTCATTGCTTCATTTCTTTGCTTTCTTCACTTTAACGTTCTCCAAGGACACTTTCTTCTGACAAAATGGGTGGTGCTGGTGCGTAAAGCTCTTTCATCATACTCTCCTTGCTGACTTGAGACCCCTCCTTCAATCCTCGAATGCTGTACATACCCTTCGCTGAACAGGCTGGTTGTTCTTGTTCTCTGTCCTTATGGCAGCTGGTTTACTCTTCACGATGGTTTTCTTCGTCCGTACTTCCTTCCTGTCCTATCCAGCCATCTATTCATTCATGCCCCCCAGATCATCATGTTCTCGGACTTGGAGTGCGACTATATCAATCCCATAGATCTTTGCAACAAACTCAACCAAGTACGTCTCACCATCCACAAATAGCACACTCTCTGACGCCCACATCCAGTTCGTCCTACCAGAAAACATCGCCCATGCCTGCCTAACCCTCCTCTTCCTGCTCTCCGGTCAATGGTTTGCATTCCTCCTCAACCTGCCTCTCGTCCTGTACAATGTCAACAAGTACGTCCATCCTTATCTCAGGCGCTTGTCAGTAGAGCTAATGGTTGCTCAGGATACGCAACAAGAACCACATGTATGACGCCACAGAGATCTTCAGAACTCTTTCAGGTCATAAGAAGGAGAGCTTTATGAAACTAGGCTTTTACCTCCTCTCCTTCTTCTACTATCTCTATAGGTGCGTGCGACTGACGTCGCTATCCCACGGTGAATCTGACCAAGTTTTTCAAGGATGATCGTTGCTCTCATCTCTGAGAGCGAATGATGAGGCATGTGGTGTGGAGCTCGATGACGAATACGGTTTCCGACCAGAGCTGGACGGATCTGCGGGACCAGTTTTGACGGGGCGAGCGGTTGCTGTCTTGTTTGGTTGGCTATCACGATCTACTTTCTTCACTATCACTTATTATTCCGAGTTGATGCTATTCAAGCACCGCACGGCGCACACACGTGCATTTCACCCGGCCTCGCTACCATTTAAATACTGATTGAGATGAGATGTGTAATCGGCACAAGGGAAAATACATATGCTAAGATAATGTGCAACGCAAGATGATGCAGGTACATGTCGCGAATCGCGCATGACTCTTTGATCCATATCATACCCAACAAGATTCTGTCCCTTAGTCGTCAATGTCCATCCCTGGGGCTCCACCACCACCACCAGCTCTCCTCCCACGACCTCGACCACGGCCTCTGCCACCGCGTTGCCACTTCTGCGTATCCGCACGAGAATTTGAATGCTGGCTGTATTGCTTTGGGTCCGCACCCGGCGGCGCAACCAAGACACTCGCTCGAGGATCCGAAGCAATGATTGAATCCGACCGCATTTTTCTGTAACAGCACAATAAGTATAAGATAAAGATAAAAAAAAGTAAACCTCGAGCCACTCACGAAGCGCTTTCATCCCCACCCTCCATAAGCACATCCACACTATCATCCACAACATCCACCCCAGCAAGCCGTCCCGACAAACCCACCGCTTTCGTGCCCACGATGCTCACTTGCAGAATCTTCCCGTCTGCAGGCTGCCCGTTAAATTTGGCCACAGCAGCGTCTGCCATCGCGACTGTTTTGAAAGTGAGACGAACGATAACGTTCTCTGAGGCTTTGGCGGATGCTGTTTCGGAGGAGACTATTGTACCACAGCGTTTGAATATGGCCTGTCACAGATTCGTCAGGCTTGTCTTGAGAAACACCCAGGAACAAAGTGTCGACGAGCAACGAACGAACGAACACACCTCGACATCAGCAGCACTAGTCCCTCTAACAAGCCCCTTCACCTCCACCACATTCCCCAACGGCGCCGAACTAGCGCCTTTGATACTCAATCCCAGTCCTTTGCCATCCCCTGTGGCATCCCTAAGCGCGCGCTGCGCAAGACGCGAATCGGGTTTACGAGGCTGAGCGGGTGTTAATGTGAGTCTTGACGACAACGAGGGTTTTTCTGGGTCTTCGTAGAGGTCGTGGGACCATTGGGCGTCTGAATCGCCTTTGGGTGGGCGGTTGGGTCGGGTCTGGTGCGGGGTGGACCGTAAAAAAAGAAAGAGTATGTGTGCGTGGCATAGGTAGCAGAGGAGGAAAGAAAGGAAGAGGTTACTCTTTTAGACAGAGTCGAGCTGGTAGGAAAGGTGTACGCACGTAGGGCGATGAGCGACTGCCTGATTTTGTGCGGACGGGGCCTATGGAAGGGGCTCCGACTCCGTTGCCTATTGGGACGTTCAGGCGTTCTAGGAGCGACATCTGAGTGAATTTAGAGCAGCTTGGAATGAATTTAGAATGGTTTGAGGGAGGAGGGAAAGAGGAGGTGGGTATGAATGAAGCAACAGTAAATGCTACGCGTTGTAAAGTACCATTTACAACACAAACACCAAGTGGCAAGCTGTGTGTTGTTGTTTGCTGTGTGGCGCTGCACCACATCAAGGTTCTCAACTTGTTGTTTCACGCTTGTGCAGCATCATGATCACTGGATATCATGATCAAAGGATGGTTGATCCACGGATACGACGGTGCTGTGTCTAAACAGGTGTGCTGTAGATGGAACCTTTGGTAATCTATTACTCAAGACGCCGCTCTATCTGGTGTGTTCTTCAAGAATTTATACTTAGTGGTGCGTGTGGCACAGGCGAACGGTTTCTTTCGGTTGACTGCCAAACAACTGTCCAGGACTAGAAATAAAAATAACGCGGCGAGACGGGAATCACTGAAATACATTCCTTCCGGCTCTTCGGCTTTCGAGGTCCATCTTTCATTCCCCTCAGCTGTAAGATGTCTTTGATGCATCGGCCTTTCGTCAGCGGCCAGGCCCTTGGACCCTGGTGCGATAGGAGTTCCAAGCACCTGTAAGATGTGTTCAATGGCGAGGCACATACAGTCCATGCACCATGACGACTGACCGTGGGATGTCCTTTGACTCTGAGTTGAATTACAACAATGAATGTAAGTTCAAGATACGCACCTTTCAGGATCAAGGGCCGTATCTTTCATAAACATGTGGCAGTTTAAGATACGCACCTTTCAGGATCAAGTGTCTTTCATAAACATGCGGCAGCCCTTTCATCAGCATCGATACATCAAGGTCGATGTAAGTTTTTAGAGTGAGATTCGGGATATGAAGCAAGTCATTTTGCGCTCTTCGGCGTAAATGTTGATAAGGGAAGAACCCTAGTTGCCCATATCCAATAATATTCGCTGAGCATGCCACCCTAGGAGGGCCTGTACAATGAACGCAGGCAGGAGGAGTGCAAATATAAAATGCCGTCGTTCAACGAGAAATGTAAATGTCAAACACAAAAGCGTTTGAAGGTACTTGTTCTGAGTTTGGCCGAATGCGAATAGAGCCGGCAAAGATTTTGCAAGATGGGTGTCCGATAGTGTTCGGCAAGAGCCCTCGTCCACTAACGTTGGGAGTCTGGGAACAATGAGTCAATACATGGGTCTTATTCGATTCTTAGAAGTTGAACGAGCATTGCCCGCTGCGAGTGTTTGTACGATGTTTGGCAAAGCCTTCCGTGTTCAATACGAACAAACAACCATGAATGCTCACCAGGGCAGAAGAGAGTGATATCATTCCTCTTGGTTACTCGAGATATCAGTCAGTACAATGCTACCTTGTGTTCAGCAGCTTGCAACGAAGGGTCTGCATGAGTTGATCACTTGGGTCACTTTTGGATGAAATTCGCTGCCGCTTGAGCAATGTAGGGATCCGTGAATATAACATCAAACACTCAATATGATATTGACTTGAAGTCATGTGTTAGGAATCAGAATCATTTCGTAGCTAGGGATTGTCAATGTCCCGAACTCTAAGACAGTTGAAAACTACCAATTGACTATCACCGGGTCCAGGTCCCTCCCACCAGGAAGTTTCGAGCGAGGCCTTGACTCAAGGCCCTTGCGGGGGCTGACTGCGAGGGAGCGTCGTAACGCCATTTATGCGTCAAATCCCCGACGCTCATATTATATAGGTCACCATTGATGTAAGGCCGACCCTTGGGATTCCAGGAGAGACAGCCAAGTGACCGTTCCACCAGCAACCTTTCGAGTCGAAATGGTGTCTATTGCCACGTCAAGAGTGGACTCAAAAAAGAATGCATGGGAATGTGGAATCAGCTGCCCCCTAATTGCAGGATGAACTGTGTAGTTCACTGCAGAGAAAACCAGAGAGAGATGACAGAGAGATGACAGACAAAACTTCTCTTCCACTGATGTTCGCTGTTCGGGGGCTGCCAGCAGCAGCCAGCAACTTGCAAATCCGAGAGAGCGGATTCAAACCCAGCACAAACCTTTTGCCGGGGTTCTTACTAATCCCACTTATCCGAGTCCGAGTCTAGACACCCAACGTTCCCAAATCAATGCAGAATCAGATGGGCCACGACCTCTTTCAACTTTAAATAACTCTATTCTTCGACGGTTCGAACTTCCCTGGAGGACAGCGTTACAGAGGCCTTCGGTATCGCATGAAACCGAGCATCCGAGTCTCCCGGTCTGCGACACTGTGCCCTGCTGGCCGCCAGCTGCGCATCCATATGTGTATGTGACCAAACTTTTTCGGTCAGTTGACGACAGGGAGTCAGGCTTGCTTCCACATCATGTGTCATTGTTTGGAGTCTATCGCAACCGTGACCTAAAACTCTGATTGCGTAGTGGAGTCGCGGCTTAGCCTAATTTTCTGATTTGAGCGCCATATACGAAGCACCGAATAGGTGACCTTGGTGACAGCGAGTCTCCTTGGCACCTTTGCTGGCCACGCTTATCTCATGAAATGACAATGTGCAAGTATAATACAGGGCTGATGGACCTGCCATTCATCTGGCCCAGTATTTGCTGTCCCCACCTCTTTCCGTATGACTTCCCGAAGGTCAGAAGAATCTTTGGAGAGCGATGAGGAAAAGGTCGAGGAGGCTAACGTAGTGAATCTTCAACCCTTAAATCACCTTCAGCTCGATACTGGTAATGAGTATACCAACTTTCGTCAAAAATGGTGGCAGTTTTGGTAAGTGAAGCTATTTGCAAGTAATGTCATTCATCGAGCCGCGAGCAGGTTACCTAAGGACCCACCACCTCCAGCTCCCCCGTCTCTGGAGGATGCAGCTGTACGCGAGCTCCCTATACACTAATTTCCTCCTCATAATACGGTGTTTAATAGTTGATACCTTGCGCCAATGCTTCCATTTTCTCTCGGCTCACATATACTTGGGCAACCGATATAATGGTCAGTTTTTGAACCCCGATCCCAATGTATATTCTACTGACATATAGTATATTCAGGTTCTCGGATATCAGCGAACATTACAAGCGTCTGATCTATACAAAATGGAATCATCTCAAGAGTCAGCCGTGCTTGCCGCTAAACTTGAAGCTGCATGGCAACGGCGTGTTAGGGCAGCAGCCGACAGGAATGCACGTCTTGAGAGTGGAGAACTCGAGCCATCTCTCTTCAAGCGCACAAACTGGGCCTTACGTGCAATTTACTGGAAAGGACAGACACCAGGCGCAACTTGGTCTGAACGACGTGCAGCGTTTCAGAAACATTGGCGAGAATCTGAAGGGCGCAAAGAGGCTAGCCTTGCTTGGGCTTTGAATGATGTCTTTCGTAATATGTTCTGGATCGGAGGTGTATTCAAGGCATGGGCCTTCCTCATAAATTGCCACTGTCATTATAAATTTGAAACACCACTCAGGTCTTTGGTGATACGGCACAACTCATGGGTCCCATCGTCCTTCGGGTAAATAGCAACCTGTGTTTGGTTGTGGTAACCTCTGATGTTTGTTTGCAGCAAATCATCGTCTTCGCGCAGGAACGTTCCGCTGCAAGGAATGCTGGAGAACCTGTCCCCAATGTCGGTCGTGGTATCGCCATGGCTTTTGGCCTCTTTGCGCTTACCGTGACAGCCAGCGTCTGCAGCCACCAGGTTTGTAAAACTTTGTGAGTTGAAGATACCCTCGGCTCAGCTGACGCATTTCAAGTTCTTTTGGCGTTCAATGATAACAGGCGTATTGGCAAGAGCCGCACTGATAACATGCATTTACGAGCGTGGAGTGAACCTCACAGGCAAAGCGCGTGTCAAACTCAGCAACGCCGCTCTTGTTAACCATATTTCTACGGACGTGACTAGGATTGATGTGTGCGCGCAGTGGTTTGTGAGTGGCAAACTCTAGCATAATACTCACGCTGTCGACTGACTGTGGCCTGTCCCTCGCTACTAGCATGCATGTCAGTATATAGGATCTCTGACATTCAAATTTCGAAATGACTTACTGTCTACAAGCCTGGACTGCGTCTATCCAGATCACAGTTTGTTTAATTATTCTTTTAACAGAGGTCTGTTCTACGCTACGACGGAATTCGTTTTATTCTAACGGCACTTGAAAACTAGCTCGGACCGTCTGCGCTCGCTGGTTTCTCGCTATTCGCCCTCATGATCCCAATTCAACAGCGGTTAATGGCAGTGCAGCGACGTATTCGCTTGGGGTCGATGAAGTGGACTGATCAACGAGCCAAAGCACTGCTAGAGGCACTCGGTACGTAACCTTGGGGCAGTTGTGACGTGCAAGGATGCTAAAGAGGTGCACAGGAGCCATGCGAGCTGTCAAGTACTTCTCATACGAGGTTCCGTACCTTCGAAGTAAGTGCGATGTCAAGGAATATCAACAGCATGCTTACGAACGCCGCTCAGAAATCTTCGAGCTTCGAAAGAAGGAACTGCGTGGTACCCGGTGGATCCTTAATGCAAATTCGGCGAAGTAAGTCCAGACGTGTATAGCATGGCTACGCCTACTGATTCAATTCACCTAGCTTGGCGCTCGCCTCTTCACTCCCAGTACTCGCTGCTACACTATCTTTCGTCATGTACACCCTTACAGCGCACGAATTCAACGTTGCCGTTATATTCAGTTCGCTCAGTTTGTTCCAGGTGAAATCATCTTCCGCAGCGTACATAAGCATGCACCTAACCGATAGACAAATAGCTTCTCCGGCAACCAATGCTGTTCATGCCTCGCGCTCTATCAGTTATTCCTGATGCATCCAGCGCGATCCAGCGGCTTATGCCCATTTTCCACGCAGAGCTTATTTCTGGGGATACACTCGTGATCGACAAGGACCAAGAGTCCGCGCTTCTGGTGAAGGATGCGACGTTTGAGTGGGAGTCGTTCGAGAAAGATTCTGGTAAAGCTTCCGGCTCGAAGGACGCAGGCGGCGGTTCACCGAGGAGCAAGGACAGGAGCGTGAAGGAGGAAGACATGGCGAAGCCCACTCCTGGAAAAGATGTACCTCTCTTCAAGGTAAAGAATGTGACTATGACCATTCCACGAGGTCAACTTGTTGCTGTAGTCGGGCCTGTCGGAAGTGGCAAGGTAATGTTGTCGAACGAAATTCTTAAAGCGGCTACTAACCCATGAACAGTCTAGTTTATTGCAAGGACTGATAGGGGAGATGAGGAAGGTCTCCGGGGATGTCTCGTTTGGCGGTCGCGTTGCTTATTGTCCGCAGACCGCATGGATCCAAAATGCTACGTTGGTTAGCATGACGTCGCTCTCAGAAGTGCGAATACATTAACGTTTTACCACAGCGTGATAATATCACTTTTGGCCAACCGTTTGAAGCGGACAGATATTGGCGCCTGATTGAGATTGCTTGTCTACTTCCTGATATTCAACTGCTCCCAGATGGGGATTTGACTGAGGTATGGTGGATGATATCAACTTGATAGCACTGTTTATGCTCTATTTCAGATCGGAGAAAAGGGGATCAATCTCAGCGGTGGCCAAAAACAGAGAGTGAGTTTGTGGTATGTCTCCGCTGTACGACTCGATTTTTATCTTCCACCCAGGTCAATATTGCTCGTGCACTGTACTTCGACCCTGAAATTGTCATACTTGATGACCCGCTCTCGGCAGGTGAGCTATGTGATATATTTTATGTCTATCGGATACTGACGAATGCATTCAGTGGATGCTCACGTCGGACAGTCCTTATTCCGAGATGTCATTGTGGGTGCCCTGCGAAATCGTGGCATTACTGTCATTCTGGTCACGCATGCGGTCCACTTCCTCTCTCAAGTAGATTACATCTATACATTGAATAACGGCGTCATCACAGAGAGCGGGACCTACGAGGAACTGATCTCCCGCGGTGGAGACTTTGCGCGTTTGGACCTGGAGTTCGGCGGTCATGCGTCGGAGGAGAAAGACGAAGACCAGGCCAAGGAAGCCACTCCTCACATAAGCGTTACCATGGAGGATGTGAGGTTGAAATCAGAAAGAGCCAGAGAAAAGGCTACTGGCAGTGGCAAACTCGAAGGTCGCTTAATCGTCAAAGAGAAGCGGTCAACAGGCTCTGTATCCTTGGGAGGTGCGCTCAAGTTCATCTGAAGGGGTTCCCTGGATTGAAACAGTTTCAAAGTGTACTGGACCTACTTGGTTGCGGGACGCGGTTCAATAACAGTGCCTGTGGTTATTTTCTTCATGCTTGTGATGCAGGGAAGCCAGATCATGAATTCGTACACGCTAGTTTGGTGGGAGACCAAGTCAGTATCTTTTTATCGACGTCTAGATTCCTTTTCTAAAATCCTGGTGCAGCGCATTTGACCGACCAAACTCGTTCTATCAGACGCTGTACGGCTGCCTAGGGGCTTGTCAAGCGATCTTCACATTCTTCCTGTAAGCCGGTTCCTATCTTATCGTAGATGGTGGCACGTTCACTCAACGCAACTTGCTGCAGTGGTATTGGAATGGACCTTATTTCCTCTTACGTGTCTCAAAACCTACACCACAAGTCCTTGCATACCGTCTTTCATGCATCGATGTCTTTTTTTGACACTACAGTGAGTGGTTGTGTATGAAAGCGTCGAAACCGATGCCCATTATGTTCCCGCAGCCTACGGGCCGAATCCTGAGCATTTTTGGCAAAGATATCGACAGTCAGCATCTCACTAATTTGTGCTGTGCTAAGCTTTGCTGAAACCTTTCACTCAGGTGTTGACAATCAATTACCGCGTGAGTTGTCTGTCATCGCATGCTGAGATGCTACTTATGCACGGTCCAGAATCAATGAGGCTGCGTACGTTATCCGCACACTTCGCTTACGGAGACTGATTATAGAGATCCAGTTATCTATACGCTGGCCGGCGTTATAGGCTCAATCATAATCGTTTCTATCCTTGAACCGTACTTTCGTCAGTGTATAGATGTCATTTGCGAGGATATGGCTCATGCTTGTCTAGTTATTGGTGTGTTCTTCATCGCTCTCGGTTATGGATACTTCGCTGTATTCTATCGAGCTGGTTCTCGTGAGGTCAAACGCCTGGGTTTGTTGTTGAATTTTCTGACCTAAAAAGTTGTTGCTGATATTGATTATTAGACTCCATGCTTCGCTCTCTTCTGTACGCCCACTTTTCGGAGACCTTGACAGGACTTCCTACCATCCGAAGCTACGGAGAAATGAAGCGGTTTATTGCCGCCAATAGATACTACGTTGATCTGGAGGATAGAGCTCTATACCTCGTTGTTACGAACCAGAGGCAAGTAACCTTACATAAATATTGGCGGTTGTTGGTTCCTCACCTTCCCTCAGATGGCTTGCAATAAGGTTGGACTTCATGGGAGGCATATTAGTCTTCCTTGTAGGCGTCTACTTAATGAAAAAGACCTCGTGCTCACTCAATGCTACGACTTTGTTAGGTTGCTCTTCTCGCAGTGATAAACGTCTCTGGGATAAACGCCGCCCAGATAGGGTTGGTGCTGACGTATACCAGTGGGTCTCCCATTGTCGCCACTAAAGTATACATGATTAATCTTTTTGTATCAAAGCCTTCTTGTCACAAGCGTGTAGCCAATTGACTAGGCAAACAGCAGAGGTTGAAGTAAGGCTTTCCTTATCTTACATCACAGGCTATTCAATTATCGTTCGCCTCAGAACTACATGAATTCAGTGGAACGATGTGAGCCGCCAATTTTATGATACCTTGACACTCGCTTACACCTCGCAGTGGTAGAATACGTCAAAGGCGACACGATACCTCAAGAGGCTCCGCATGAGATTGAAGAACGAAAGCCCCCGGCGCAATGGCCTGTACATGGCGCCGTCGAATTTAACGACGTTAAAATGGCATATAGGCCGGGCCTTCCCAATGTATTGAGGGGTATCTCGGTCAAGGTTAAGGGAGGCGAAAAGATAGGTATTGTTGGAAGGTCAGTTGGTTTATCAGATTTACATATGTGTGCTGATGTGGTGTCCTCCGCAGGACTGGTGCTGGTAAATCTTCGCTGATGATCGCACTGTTTCGAATTGTTGAGTTATCTGGCGGTTCAATCAATATCGATGGGTACGTTGGTCATCGCTCGTGACGAATATTGGTTTCAACCCTTTCTAGTGTCGATATATCTACAATTGGTCTTAAAGATCTCCGCTCCAAGATTTCTATTATCCCACAAGACGTTTGTAAATTTTCCACGTACCAGCCAACACAGGACTGATGTACGGACTTAATAGCCTCTTCTATTTAGCGGTTAGTGTCGCAAATCCACATGCCCCTGCCTGAAGCACTAAAAGATTACCAGGGACCATACGCTCCAACCTGGATCCATTCTCCCAACATGGTGACGCAGAGCTATGGGATGCGCTGCATCGCTCTTGTCTTCTTGATTCTAGCATCATTTCGAAAGAGTCGTCTCCCAGTGATGGCGCCAGAAGCGAGCAACCTTCCACCAGCCGCCACAACCTTGACAGCACCATTGAGAGTGAGGGAGCGAACCTCAGTGTTGGGGAGAGATCTCTGCTCAGTCTAGCTCGTGCGTTGGTGAAAGACTGCAAGGTCGTTGTGCTTGACGAGGCCACGTTAGTCGCGTGCTCTTCTCCTGAATGCTTGATATTGAATTATTATTTTCAGAGCCTCTGTCGACCTCGATACTGATAGCAAGATCCAGCATACTATCCAGACAGAATTCCAGGATCGCACGCTACTTTGTATTGCTCGTGCGTTCCATCCTTGTTGCTCTCATTACTGTAATGCGATGATATTTCAGACCGACTTCGAACTATCATTTCATACGACCGTATTCTGGTCCTTGACGCTGGCCTTGTCGCCGTAGGTTGTTTCGAACGCCTTTCAGCAGTCAATACTCACACTCTATCGAAGGAATTTGACACTCCATTCAATCTTTTCAATATGGAGGGTGGAATTTTCCGCGAAATGTGTGAGAGAAGTAATATCTCATTGAAAGATATAGAGACGAGCAAACAGGTTTAAATGGCGGAGCCCCAGGTCGTTTTTTTTTCCATGTTGGTCAGGCCCGCATACTGTTGTGTTCCCGCAGACAATACCTATAGACTAGGCCACTGCTATGTATTACTTGTGTCTTGTAGCGATCTTGAAGCTGATGTCTTTTTTCTCAGGCTCAAAAGAATATGAACTTTCTTATGATCATTAGATTGGAAATAGCTAGGCAATTGTCCAGATGCAAATGGTGTGAAGCAAGAATACGCACCAACCCAATATTACTTCCTTTGACATATTTTACTAATCTCCGCCCCTGCAACATGTGCATAGTTAATCTATATTTAATTCAGAGACTTGTCTCGTTGCGAGCATAAAATTATTGAAAGATTCTACGCCATCAAGCTCGCCAACATGTTCATGTCTGCGAGGGGGGCATTAAACTTGGCGACAATTGCGCTGACTTGTACAACTGCTTGAAAGTGAGGTGCAAGACGACAATTTTAGTAAGGCTTATAGTGTTGTATCATCATGACTCAGAATCAAATAAACAAGGCATGCCGTAGGCATTCTCAATTCACCCGAAACGCAGCTCTCATGTGTTCCTCCCTTCGCGAATTTATACTCGTGATGGTGCAAGCGAACGGTTTCGGTTGACTGCCAGACACAAAAATCAGCATTGCCCAGATATCAGTGAAACAAGACTAACATAGCGAGACCAGCAGTATACTCTGGAATCACCGGAATATCTATGCCTTCCGAGTCTTTGGCTTTCGTGATCCGAACAGTGGACAAAATGGAAACCATAGCAGCCCACAGAGAGAGCTCGGCGAAATGGCGTCCTGGACAGATACGCCTGCAAGACCCCTGGTTGAGACATGAATAATTAAGTTTGGGGGAATGGCGTTTACCTTCCGAAGCCAAAGGCGAAGTGTCCCACAAGAGGATCGTCTTTCAACTTCCCCTCAGCAGTTAGATGTCTTTGAGGATCGAATCGAGATGCCTCGGGATAGAGGCTCTCATCTCGAGATAGAGCCCTTTGGGTCATTTAGGCTGCGAACACAGACAGTGCTTGAGGCAAAGTACATACCATTCATTCACCACGACCATTGACCCTGCGATGGCCTTCAAGTGAATCTAGCGTGCATCAATGAATAAAATACAGACCTTTCGGAATAAAGTATCCTTCGTAAACATCATCTTGAGACGTCATGTGTGGCAGCCCTTTCATCAGCATAAACAAATCGATCAGAATAGCCAGAACGCAGTGGGCGACCTAGTGGTACGATGGGCTGCCATCTAAGAACTTCTCGGCAAATAGCTTCGATGTAGGGTAGTGATGGTTTGTGCTCGAAGTTTGGGACGTTATCTCCGCAGACGGCATCTATTTCGGCGAGCGCGCGAGATTGCGCGTCTGGGTGGAGTAGCATCGCCAGCAGGAATGAGTGCAGAGATGATGCAGTCTTGGGAGTAAAATGTTGAGCGAATATCAAAATGTCGACTACATAAGCTCACTGTTTCTGTTCCAGCTAAGTGATGCAAGATGTGAATATAAATTCGGCTTGTACATTTGATCGTGCATTGACTCACCAACGAATCCACTGACAGCTACACCTTTCATGAACTCTTCTTGTGCTGGAGAGATGTCACCCGCATCCAGGAATTTTGCTACGATAGAGGGTGATCGTCTACCATCCGTCTATATCTGTGTCCAGTCAATATATCAACAGAAAGATCCGAGTTACACACCATCTTCTCCTTTCCTATTTCGAAAGGTTCATCCAACATCTGACGAACAAGTTTCCTGGAATAAGGGGCCAAACGCCGATCTGACGCTCCTGGAAACCACGAAGGAAGATATCCCACTGCCAGGTTACTTAGTGATTGGGATTGTGACAGCCAATGTCTGATACGTACAGAAAGGAAAAGCCATGAGCAGCGCAGCTCTTTCAGGAGCCATCACTCTCTTGGCTATCTCAGTAGCCTCCCGAGTGCGGCGGATCAGAGGGTCGCCCTCTTCATCAGGCGGGGCTTCATATCCATATGTCGCAGTGATAATGACCGAACCGGAATACCTAACGCATACGGCATAAGAGGGCACAGACAGCCAGATTTAGGAACCTATCAACAAACATTTCGATGTGCTTCTCCAACTTTTGAGGAGTGCTAAGTAGATCGATGACAAGCTGATAAGCTTTGCGAAAGTATAAATCATGATACTCCGCAGACGCTTCTGCACCAAAAGCTTGATGGAACAGCTTGCGGTGAATCCGGAGTGTCTCTCCATATGGCAGGTATGCAGTATTGAAGGAGATTCCGAATCTGTCCCGTCACTTTAGCAAATTACAGGCATTTGTTTACCGCACATACTCTTCATTCGCGCGGAGGACAGGACGGTCAGAATATGTAGTGGAACGTTTGTCCAAAAGCTCGCGGGCAACTTCTATAGAGCCGATGATGATGATGTGTTGTCCCAAAACACGAGAGTACACGATATCACCTGACATGGCATCGGTGTTAAGTTTCGACATTGGCAGGGAGGGTCAAAGACCCTACCATGTTTTTCTTTCCAGTTAGTATATGTAAGCCAAGGCCGAGAAACGTCTATGTCAAAAGCGTTGCCCACGAATGGGAGCAAACGGGGACCCGGCGGAAGTGGCAGTAGACTCGAGTTCTTGCTGGCTGACCTCCATGCTAGGAAGAGAGGAACGAATAAGACAGCGCCATACACAGCGAGGTGGAGGTCCGATGGCATGGTCAATGGTCACGCACTGGCTCGCTGGTTCAGCTACAATATGTCGATTTATACCGTAGCCCGAGTACTTGGTCTCGGTCTCTCTCCTCGACGTTGAGCAATGATTAATGAGTCACTGGGACACGCTCAATACCGCACCTACTAATAAGTTAGCACTTCAACTTACGTACTTACCTTGAAGGAACCTGGGAAGCGATATGGTTCCGATACGAGCTCGGGCAACTAACCTTAGTATGGAAAGTTGACACCATCCATTAAATGAAACCTTCGAGATCGCTATGTACATAGGGTGCGCAGGTGAGAAGGAATGATACGAGCCAGACACATAATATACAAATGGTTTCACTGGTGCAGAATTACATCAGTAGCGTAGTTCGCCAATGAAAATTGTTTGTCGTTATTGTTGTAAACGTCCCTCTAGTAGCAGTCACCGTGACCGCGGTAGTACAAGATACGAGTCAATCTCTGAATCCCATTCCTTCGCTGATATAGTGGCCGGCTGCAGCTGGGGCGTACAAATGCCCTGCTGAACTCTCTTGACTCCGAGGTTCGATGACGAGTGGCGGCCGACGCTCGATATTAGCGTGTTCAATTCCTTTCCAACGTCTGCGTAACCCAACACAAGATGCTATGTAGTATGGGAAGGTCCTCAATATCCATCATCGATGGTCCCGAATCCTGATATTGTCGCTCCTCAGTAAAGGTGCGTACAACCCCATTTCTGGCGCTGTGGTGACTCATGAGGCTTTACCAGATTCTAAAGCCTCGTCACTCTTTCGAATCCACCATTGAGCTTCTCTTCCTATTGTGAAGAACGTGGCATGTATTGACTCCATTGTGTGCAAGATGTTTGGCGAGATCATGAACATCTTAAACGAGAGTCGTGGAGAAAGGAGGTGCCGGTCCAAGTTTTTGAGACTATTAGTCTTGAAAGGGGAACTGTGGGTGACATGGATATTGAAGTCAGGACTTGTGCAAGATGCTGATCACCTTATAAACCGAGCGGTGATTCCCAGCTTCGGATTCTGGAGGTCTTCACCCGCTCAAGCGAGGTACATAACAATGCCCCAGTTGGCGAGGAGCCGAACTATTTCGCAACGTGTCCTCTCCCAGATCCAACCGTTAAATATCCATGCTTCGTTGACTGTCGTTAATTAGGCTGCTCCCAACGAGACAATGAACAGAGAGTCTCACGACGAGAAGGCTGACGGACTTTTTCCAGCTCCTTCCCCTCCGCCAACGGTGCTTTGTCCCCAGAGATTGCCAGGATGTGGTATCGAGTCACTGAAGGCTCTGCGGCATGTTTTAATCGATAATCACACCAGACATCACATCTACTTCAACAACACGAAGTTTCATAAGTGAGTCGTACGGAAACCTGACCGAACCAGCTGGTGATATTGATAGTATCCAGTCATATCACCCATCGAGCCCTGGCTATATATGCAATGGGAGGAAGCGGACCCGTGATTGAAGCATTCTACAAACAGGATAGTGAAATGCAGAGACCTGCTTTTGCATCGCCCAAGCTTATCACAGAACAGAATTTCGTTGAGCACCTCGGTGACGAACAGTAAGTAGAAACTTGCCCAACTTTCCCCGACCCAGACAACTCATGTGTTTGAAACATCAAGTTTCTATGAGGCATACACATCCTTCTTTGACAAAGTTATCGAAGAGAAAGGCGCCGCTGCAACGTTCGAGGAATTCGTGTTTTCTGAAAAATACAACTTCGATCCTAGAAGGGACGCAGCAAGCCAACCAGAAATGTTGTCGCGATTCGTTGACGGAGTCATGCATCCGCTGATTCATTGTGGATATGGGGTAGAATTCGGTTTGAAAGGCATGCTTTCTGAGGGTAGGTCGCGCCGGTGTTAAGGATGAAGAATCGTTTACTCTTGCTGAACCTGCCTTAGGTCTTGCAATGACAGCATTACAAGATGCTCATGCGCGAAAATTCCTCCCACCGTCACTGTTTGTTGCCCAAGTGGCTAGTGGTGTCGACGAAACCGAGGCCAAATTTGCGTCACTAGTGCTCGACGACACATCCATGACCCCAAACAGATCAGCAATAGGACAAGGAACACATGCCTTTTCAATTCTGGCTCGAGTGCTCAAGGACCCCGGCCTTGCGCCAAATGGCCCACGTCAATTCGTTGCACAATACCCAGACACACTCACGGCTCATGAGGACAAAATTCGCGCACACGTTGATAATTGGACGATAGATCTCTCAATCCCAGGAGAGATTGAACGCAAAGTGGAGGAATGTATCTGGACAGCATCAGTGATGTACGCTGTTGGAGGGTGGAATGAGGAAGGGTTTACGGCTGACTTCTTCTTGTAAGTATGATTGGTTGCGTCTGAATGAGCCTCGACTCTTACTTACAATGATTTCAGGATGCATCTGGTGACGTCGAGCATATTCATCCCTTCACTAATCACATCCTTGTCTCCTCGAGCGCAGGTTTTGTTTCTCCGTGTGTACTTCGCAAGCGCAGTGGCATCATGGATATCGCGTGGCCGTCCCTGCTTGAATTTCAAACGCTTCTTTGAGTCAACGTCTCCAATGCCAAACCCTCCAAATAATCTGGCCCCACCAGTGGACAGTGTCCTAACACAAGATGCGCAGCCGCCCAACCCATTCCTTCCCCTTATCCAATCATCCATAATGCACCCGAATGACCACCACCTAAAGATTCAGCGAGCCTTTGCACACTTTTCTGCCGTCTATGGGACCCGGCCAAGAGGCTACTTTTCTGGCACTGAACTAGATGGGGCAGAGGAACTTGACGGCTCGTTGTTCCTACGAGCGGCCGTGTTGACAGCAGATTACATGGGATGGGTGGAAAAAGGGGAAGAGGCAAAAAACTGGAGTTTCAATGGATTCTTTAGTATGTAGGTGGGGAGCAGATTGTTTGGAGTCATCAATTCTTTGCTTCCCCTTGCCTCGCGAAAACTTGGATAAAGGTATCTCAGTATCGAAGATGTTTCGTTTTGTACCAGTGTACTGTAGGTTGCAAATCAAAGAGGACGATCCTTTTCATACATACAACTTGCCGCACCGATATGAATAGGTCGATAATGGCAACCTGTCCGTAAAATCAATGACCAGCCAGCATGTCCCAGGAGAGTAGTTAACAGGCCGAAGCGGTGATCTCGGATTGCGTTGATCAGCTGCCGGCAAATTCCGTCGGACTACTTGTTTCATTGAAGTTTAGCCCACGCCCCCCCTTACAGCATGAGCGATGATCATATTTCCACATTTTCTGATACGGAGGGTAAATTGGATTCCTCTAGCCTTCTTGAACTGCAGTCGGTCAATTACTTCTTAGCAAGCTGCAATCCAGGGAAGCTGGCTGAAGGAGATTGATATCACAAAGTACGTCTCGCCTCTCTACCTGGCACAAATTTTGCTTGACATTTTGATATAGGTATACGATATCTCGCGATCGGATCGCACCCCATTTTGATGATGTGGTTCTGGTGGCCTGTCTCGCGTTTACAAAGGACAAGCTAGATTCGGCGGCAGGTACGATCAGTGACACAAATAAGTATACTTATCGTATCCGTGTTAAAGACTATGCGTTCTTTGGAAAGGTGGCAACTTGCGAGGTCACCGCTGCATTCACGATGATACCTATCCCACGAATCTATTCATGGGACTCTGACGCTCGAATCATGTTGGGGCGGAACACAATGGTCATTGTCAAACACTAACTTACCTTTATCGTGGGGTAAAATCAGGACGAGAAGGTCTTGTCTTGATCATTACCCCACGATAAAGGTACCCCTGCCAGTCAGAACCGGACAGATCTCTCCGAGGAGATCAAAAGTCCATGGTCTCGCAGGTTACACACTATCTTGAATATCTTTCGAGCAATTTACGGGCAGAACTTGAGTTTATCTCTAATCACCGCACGGCCGGAGCTTCGAGGCCCTGACGACGATTTCAGAGTCAGCAGAAAGCCGACTCGAACTCAGGGAGAATATTATAAGAAAGGCCACCGAACTGTTTTCTGTCCGCCCAGGCGATACGTCGATACCTGTGAACATCCCCGCCCCCACATACCATTTTCCCTAAAGTTGGACGACTTCCGTTTATAATGGTATTGTCTATTATCAACGCCCATATAGACCAATCCGGTCGAGTAGTTGGCCTCATCGACTTTGAAGCCACGATCATCGCCCCTCAATGGGAATGCACAGTGATTCCACGATGGTTACAAGATGCAGATGACCCATGGCCAGAATCTCGTTGCGAAGGCAGATCTAGTGAAGTGAGAAGTGTTTTGCATGCCGCTAGCCGCATTTATTTCAGCTATGGAAGTGTTCGACCGATAAAGTGGACAAAGGCGTACGACGTGGGACATCCTTTCCGACGGTTTATAAACCTGCTGTACTTCCAGGCAAGTGTTTGAATTTCTAACAACCTTGACATGTGGGTAAAGAAACCTCTCGAACGGGCCAAACTCCACCCTTGCCTGAAACAGACGTACAACATTGATATATACCACAAGTCGCTTTGTGCATGAGCCTATGAGGTCACAATATTCCGATATCGCTGCACCTAGGAACTCTCGCAGTAAGTCAACAGTAATTGCACAAGGATCCTAGGCTGCCTGCAGCCTGAGGTAGTAGTGTTGTAGTATTGCATTATTGACCGGGTCCGTAAAGTAGTATCGTGTGCAGGACCAAGCCACCTGGCTAGTCAATATATAATCATTTCTGCAATCTTGCCAGCTCTCTCCCGATTTCCCGTAGCCGAAAGCGAATGTCTCGTCGTCCAGTAAGGTTCTCCTGTCGTTACCAGTGTTAATCTGCGATCGAGTAATTTGGGGTGTATGTGGAAAATATGTGCTTTGACCCAGATGGTCATCCCACGGCTAATCTGTCGCACCCATAGCTGAAACCTCGGGTGTCCCTCTTTCTTGCATGAGTGGACATAGACATCACCGATCTTGGGTGCTATGCAATCGTGCGGATACCGAAGCTCTGCTGAGTTCGCGGACTTGTACCAGCCCATGACGAGATCTTTGTTGTTAAGCTTTCGCTCCATTCGGAGAAGTTTATGGGCATTCGCGGCTGGAGAAACACGTGGCTCTTTCTTTGTTTCTGCCTCCTTGGTCACCGACTCATGTCTCTCCATCCCCATTCTTTCGACTTCCGTTCTCTCCGCCTCCTTGGTTGCCGACTCCGTTTTCTGCATCTCCATTCTTTCTGTCTCCAATTTCTCTGCCTCCCTGTTCGCCGCGTCCCTTCTTAACTCTGCCTCTCCTTTATCCATTCCCCTCTGATCTTTCTCCATCGTCGGGACTCCCATTACCGGCCTAGAGATTTCTGATATAGATGATGCGTCTGATTCATCGGCAATAATAACAGGGTCTGCCGCATGACTTCCAGACGCGGAAGGCTGCATGTCAAAGCCAACAGGAGCTGGCACGACGCTCGTCGTTTCGTCGGTAGCTCCAGAGTTTGATTCATATCTAGAACTGATGTCAGATTGGATATGCGCACGAATAACGGCACCTACTTGGACCAGAACCTTGGGGGAACATGGGATCTAGAACTGATGTAAGATTGAATATATACCCCCGTGAATAACGACACATACTGGGATGAGAGCATTTGTGGAACATCGGGAACGCATTGAGTATGGATCACGGTTGCAGCATCGTGCGTAGGGGCTGGCACGGCACTTAACCCCTCATCTGTGTGGCGCGAAGTTGTAACAAAATCGGCATGATCATACATTGTCAAAACCTGCTGCGCGCATCGCTGGGGATGGATCCTGCAGCCATAATCAGAACTCAGGAATACTTTTCACTGCTGATATTGTGAGAGACTGACCTCTGAGTCGGTATTTGGATATAACATCCTCTAGAGTTCAGCAAACGCAGGGGTTGCTCAAACTGCGTTGTGGTACTTTAACAACGAGGCGCCACGGTAAATAATTTGTGACTGACCGCTTCGATATCTAATTTCAATGTTGGTTCCCACTGGTAGGTGGAAGGAATGCTGAAGGACACGTCAAGTCCCGGATGTGGCGTTTGTAGCAGATGTTGTGACGAACTTGGCTCGGACGTCTGAAAAGTCAAGGGTATCAGTGTATTTCTTCAGCCGGGGCGCCACTCAGTGAGGGTGACCGCGCACCTGTGATCGGGATTGCACGTATGGGTTTCGAGATGGATCAGAGTAGCGCGCGAGAATCTCCTGGAGGCTCGCGCTGAACATCAGTACTTGCCGCTGCCACAGAATCCGTTATCGAGAGAGATAAAGAGGAAAGCACTGTTTCATGTCGATTTATACCCGTTGCCTCATGTCATTGTCACTTGTTCGATCAAAGAACCACCGACCACGGGTAGATAAGGCATGTGATGAAGTCGTCACTTTCGCAGTAGATGACACTATGTACTTACTGCAGAACCATTGTGTACCAATCGCAAAACTTTTGCTCCATTTGGTCAAGGAAGAACAATTTTCTAAAGGTGCAAAGTCTTCACTGAAATTCTAAAATTTACATGGTGACAAAAAATACACGAGCCAGTTCTGAAACACGCTGTCCATACAACTCCGCTTCCGACGAAAAGCCCATGCTTCGCATCTAAACAAAGGATGAATCAGAAACAGGTTTCCAAAGACAAGAAAATCAAGAGATTCAGTATGTCAAGTTGTGGAGCACACCCTCGAAAGAGGTCAACTCCCTGAAGAAATTCAACGAAAAAAAACCAAACATCATAGATCAACGAAAACGAAGCAATTACTCACCATAATCAAAACCCGCGCACAGGGTAAGATGGGTCGAACGGCGAACGTTCAAAAGTTTGAAAAATAACGCCCAAAGGCAGGGAACCGCGTCGAATGAGAGTGAGCCCCATTGAGTTGAAGACATGCCAGAAGCATTATCGACAATCGCATAACTATATCTATGAGCAACGAAGCGCCAACCGTCTTCCAAGACACTCAAACACGACCACGCTCATATCTTCGCATAGCCGTGCAGTTGTAAGAGCACTTGGAGTCAAGTAAGCAACAGGGTAGGCAAGCGGAACTGATCCTGAGCACGATGGCCACAAGTCCAGTAAATCGACCTTCCCGACCAGTCTCGTTCCCCGCAGCGCTCTTAGAGCTGGGAGATTTCCATTGCAAACGAGAAGGCATGACCCTGTTTCTCCGGGGACTTTCCCCGCAGACAAAGAAGAAAGTGAAACCTTTCCGTGCGTGTGCTGCGACAGCGAATCTTCAGACGATGCAGTTGAAGAAAACAAAAATTTGTTGCCGGCAACTGTTATGGACATAATTGAAACTCCGAACCTAAATTTGCCGAGACGCCGGTGCGGGGCTGCGTAGACATGCACTTAAGGCTGCCTAAGCCCTTGTTAACCGACTTTCACCGCGTTCTCCTATGAGAAACCCAATGGACTCTCCAGACGCGGAAAATAAGGATTCTACTGGGAAGGAGCTGCCCCACAATAATTCTGCTCAATCCACTACGCGCAAGGAACCGCAAAGCCGCCCGAGTATGTGGCCTCTCCCCTCTATAACAGTGACCCGGCACCCTTCTGGCGAGCTGCCAATCTTCTCTATTTCCTGGATCCATGTCTAACATTATCCGTGTGTTTACAGGAAAGTTTTCACCGCAGACCGATGAGCGCTGCTTTTCGTACTGCTCTCAGACCACACGCGGACGCACTGAGGGCCGTGAACCGACGTGCCGTTCGGTGTGCTTCCGCAAGGTCTTCGCTCATGAGGTCAGAACAGCGATTGCCCACGATGATGCGCTCAAGGAGAAAGCCGCTCAAAAGGATTATGGTTTCCCCCTTCCACCTGAGGGCCAGCCCAATATAGACAGCTTATCATCGCCCAAGTCTGATGATGTACGGTATTGGGAGGAGGGCTGGTACCTCTGGACAAGTAAGAGTCGGTGGGCAACACAGGAAAGACTGGACCTCATGATGTGGGACCTGGACCACCAGGATCATTGGCAGCGCCACAAGGATGAGGTGCAGAAGCAGTGGGACGATTATTGGGCAGAGCATCAGCGGCAGTCTGGGGAGCAGTTTCATGGCACGCCTACAACTGGGGAGAACATACAGCTCGAGGGGACGCCATATCCAGTCGATGGGCAGATGTTCCCTAAGCAAGAGACCAGGCATCCATGGTGGGTCGCTTACGTCCTTGATCGTAATTCAAGCTAAATCATATTTGATCCAGGCAAGAGTCTACTTTAGTAAAACTACCTCCTCCCCTCACCCCTTTGTTGGAACCAATCCACGACCTTCTTTCACCATCCTTCAAGGTTTTGACCACTTTGCAACGTAGTTTTGAATCGGGCGCCCATGGAGAACTTGCTGTTCGCATGTGGGAGAAGGCAAGGACGCCCGATCCTTTTGTCCTTGCGAGCACGGTTTGCAGGAAGATGTGGGAGAAATGGAAGGAAGGACCTCCAGACTCTGACACCACTTCGGACCTTTAATAACTTTTTCTGCAGTGTTATACCTCCAACTAGAATATTATTCTGACTACTCGCAAATCAATTTTTTTTTTGGGTTCCACATTTATGACTAGTAGCTGTTTCAGTTTTCGACACGTTACTTCGGTCTGCCATAGCCAAATGGAAAACAACTACTCCCTCCTTACCGCGGACAAAAAGTATTTGACTAGAGTGAGATTCGAACTCACGCCCTTTCGGACTGGATCCTGATTCCAGCGCCTTAGACCGCTCGGCCATCTAGCCATACGATGCTGGCGAGGTGTGTGCCGATGAGTACTATGTAGCGGCGGAAGGTGGAATCAGAGCGGTAAGTGGGTGATTGTTGACAACTTCTGGCTATGATGCTGTGGCCTACTTCGCAGTCTTGTTGTGGCCCCCGATGCTAGTGCCACGCTCGCACTGCAGAACCATTAATGTAGCATAAAGGCTCAAACAGGGACAAAAGAAAAGGCTGTCTTACGTTACTCACACTGCCCGAAGTGCTATGGTATGAGATCCACATCCCGACGTGGATAGCGCTGTGTAGCGCCCTTGATCTGGCCTCGAGAAATCAAGAACAATTGGTGCGATCCAGCGTGCTCAGTCAACGAGACCCCGCATTTTGATATCAACACGGCAACTTTCCCCAGAATATGTTCATGGACTAGTTGAAGCCTTGAAGGCACGACCAGGTACAGAAATTGCGGGAATTTGATGTCACTCGCTTGTAACTTACCGCCTGCATTTCCCGATGCTATGTAGCCTTATGAGGGTAGCTGCAACGCAATTTAAACGCCGCCCAAACGCCGCCAGAGCAAATGTCAACAAAGACATGATGTCGCCGGCAAGATCCATCGTTGATCGGAGTTCGGTGAAACTGGCGCTGAAGTAGACTCGAAACTAGAAAGTTTAGGAAGCGAGGAAAACTCCGGGGTAAGCGGAACTTCCAGTGTTCCTGGAAATGGATAGGCGGCCAGCTGTAGACAGCTGTTAGCTAACGAAATATATTCCAGATGGGACAGAAAGGCAACGTTGACTTTGGCGCATGACCTGTGTGGACATGATAGGTGATATGTAACGCCCGACAGTGACGGATGCCTGCCAGCCTGGGTTAGCAAGACGTGGACACAGGAACGACCACCATCGCGCGGCTCGAAGTGGTGAGCTAACGTTTCTTTTTGAGTAAATTAAGGATTCTTGAAGTTGCTCATCTGACGAGTGCCAGTGGCGCCAGGTTAACGCCTTTCGCGTTTCTCTGGCACGGGCGAGGTGATTGAAGGAGTGCAGATTACGGCCAGGCCCCCGTGTGGTCAGTACACCAGAGGGAGTCTTTGCTATATTAGAAGTGATGGTATACCTGGCCAGAGCAAAACTTGTGTGGGTCGTTGAACGAATGGCATCCACTGGCAGAGAGAGGAGAATGGCTATAAAGCATCTGCGCGCACGACCAGGGGTAATGTCAGTGTCACTGATACCATTGAAATGATGCAAATCACCGTACTTGGACTGAATTTTCATCGGGCCGCATCCGTGACATGTTCATCTGCCACATGAAGAAAATACGAAGCCCGAGGCCTAACTAGCGAAAGCTGTCCAACAACTGGCCGCATCCACTGGCAATAAGAAGCGTAATCATCGCTTGGCAAGGCCCGTTTTAATAATAGTAAAAAGTCTTGAAGACAATCGGGTGGAACTGAGTTGAAATAGGTGGGACTCTAGGTTACATTCAACTCTAATAAGTGACATGTTCTTCTCACCCAGGGAGTAACGTGACTAACTTTTCAGTATTTGAGTCAGCACCATCATTTTGTATCCCATGCATGCCATGATCCATGCATGCATGTTTCAACTTATCACGTTTAAAATTATCCATGGTATACTGGCAAGTTACCATTCATGCATCATGGTCAGAAGTCATTGGCAGCTTTCAGTGGAATCGGGCCATGTCGCCGTAACCCCCGACGTCACGGTCGGTGATCACTGACACGAGCCTTCAAGCAACCTGCCTGAAAATCAACATACCATATCACAATAATTCTGAAGTCAGCGGACTACATAGGCTTCGAGCTCCAGTTATCTGACATGATCGGCTGTTGCACCAGTCGGACAATCACACTACGTGTCAAGGAGTTAACACAAGAACGATATCTCCATCATTGATTCAGTGAGAACCTTTACAAATAGTATTGATAACACTCTGCTGACAAGGTACTGTTTACACACACTTCTCGACGCAATCAGGCCTCTTTTTTGTGCAGAACCGTTCAACCATGTCGCATGGCTACGGTCTTCCCTGCCCTGGTCTTCCATACAAGTAATATCAATTGCTGCCATTTCTCAGCGAAACCTCTCAAACCCCGCTCACTTACTAAGTCTCGAGTGCATAGTGGACTTGCAAATCGAGTGGCCAACCCATGGCACTGCAGTGGTGGAGTATTTTAAGTTTCCAGGGTTTTGGTGATATCTTATCAATTCTCAGGAGAACTGGGGACAATTCACGCCCGATGATTTCTTGGGCGTACGCTAATCAAATCTGCGAGTCTCATGTCTGACCCACCTTATGGGGATAGACACTGTGCGAAGGTTTGCTCCGTACATCTTGTGATAAGCCATTGAGCCTCATTGAGCGTGTGGAACTTATCTGACTAGATGACCGGGGTAGCTAAGGCTAGCTCCTGGGATCATTAGAAGTTTGGTTTGGGGCCCTTAGCAGTCTTCCTGTAATAAGGAACTGTCACGTAAGGGAAGGCTTCAACAAGTAAAGCTTTCAGTCGCTCTCCTGTGGAAGAAATATAAAGGCTTGCAAAGTATTTGCCCACCCTATCAAGTTTCCATCACCTTATTTCACCCTTCCGCAAGCCCCCCCTACAAATACAACAATGGCCAACAAGGCAAAACTTGAGGCGCTCCTAACCCTGATTAACACATCTGCACGAGATGCCATCGCATTGTATGAGCAGTATGGTGACGTACCCGCCATCGACCAGATGGAGCCCCATCCATTGGACAATGCGGTCGACCAAGTAGCTTTGAAGAGCGCTGTCCGTATCCTTGAAGGTGCTTGTGCTCAGATATGCACGACACTTGCTCCACCTGCCCACACTGCAATTAACGTGAGATCTTGAATAGTAGAATGTACTACTTTCGCTAATCAAATTGCACATAGCTTGTCCAAGTGTATGATTATGCTTGCGTGCGAGTAGCTGCTCGGGAAAACATTACCGATATTCTGTTGGAGTACCCCAAGGGTATTCACATCAGCGAGCTCTCCAAAAAAATCAACATCGAACCGAAGAAACTGGCCAGGATAATGCGTCTCCTAGCCACAAGAGGTTGCTACAGTGAAGGTAAGGAGCCATTTGTTGACTGGTCCTATGTTGTTCTCAGAATCCACCAGTTGACATGGACGTTTTTGCCAACAACCGTCTATCTCTGATCCTGCGCGCCGACAACCCTGTCAAATACATGATAATGCTACACGTGGACGCTGTTGCTAAGGGAGCATCGGTTTTCTATGAGACGCTCAAAGACCCGAAGATTGCGTACTCGTATGAACCAACGATTGCGCCTACAATGTACGCCATCAACAAAAATGGCACTGAAGGAACGTTCTTCGACTGGATGGCGCGTCATGTATGTTTTAAAATGTTTCTCATCATTAAGCCTTACTCATAATTTACTCATAGGACGGTCAACGCGAGGTACGGATGTTGGTCCCTTCGTGCGGCCATTTCTGACATCTTTAGTAGAACTATCATACCTCCATGAGAGGTCTGAACGGCATTATGGGCTCCCTTGCTGTCCTGACTCGTAAGTGTTCGAACACGCAAAGACGAAGGGAATTCGTGCTCATTAAATAATAGAGTTCCCATTCGAAAAGTTCTCAACCGTTGTTGATGTTGGAGGAGGTATCGGCGCATTTTCGCTGCCATTGGCTAAAATGCACAAAAACGTAAAAATCACAATCCATGATCTTCCGGAAGCATTGGTCCAGGCGAGAGACGTAAGTCATCAAGTATTTATATTTTTCACCAAACTGACAGAGTTTAGATCTGGGCGAGAGAATGCCCTGAAGCCTTGGCAGAAAAAAGAGTCGAGTTCGAGGATTTGAACTTCTTCGAACAAGTGCCCGTGAAAGGCAAGGACATCTACTATGTGAGCGCCAAACCCTGTAGACGGGCGACCTGCCAACTTAACTGTGACCACAGCTCAGAAATATCATCCACGACTGGCCTGACCACGAATCCGCGCTCATTCTTTCAAACCTTCGTAAGGCGCTCGGCCCAAACAGCCGCGTCCTCATCCGTATGTCATATATAGTATAATCTGTCGTCCCGCGATCTGACAAATTATAGATGACTATGTGCTCCGCCAGCTCAGCCGCAAGCAGGCAGAAGTAGAGGCTTCACAGCTGGGAGTTGTCGTGGTATGTTATGCTCGCTGATCTACATCCATCTTTGTTCATCCCCGCACCTAGGCTCCTGAACCTCTTCTTGCAAACTTTGGTGTTGGAAACATGCGTTCGTACCAGCAAGACATGACCATGTTGCTCGTACACAACGCAAAGGAGCGAACATTGCAAGACTGCCTCACACTCGCGTAAGTAACGTTCAATTGCTGCCTTGGCTTCATCTGATTGGTTCGGAATAGCACTGCCGCTGGTCTGAAACTGGAGAAGGTCTGGGACCTTGCTGAAGCATGCGTTTTGGAGTATTCTGCCGCATAATGTTCCACGAGCTAATTAGCATTTGGCTGATGTGTTCATCCACTAAGCATGGAGAAGGTCTGGGACCTTACTGAGGCATGCATGTTGGAGTATTCCGCTGGGCAGTGTTGAAACCTTTGGCTTATGTGTTCATCCACATTAGCAATAATTGCATATGCTTCAATCCATCTTGAGATTTGCGGGTTTGGCGATAAGCCTGGGATCTAATTATCGACATGTGTATCAGATAAATAGACTTTTGGCAAGTTTCCAGACGTGATATAATCACTGTGTGATAGTCCACAGCTTCTCAACAAGCTTCCACACCTTGAGAACACCAGTACCAATGCTAAAGGAAATCACAGTGCCATTAGCAATAATAAACACAAGTCGTGAGAATACCTACTTTACATCCTCTACTTGGGTGAGCGGTACCCACTGAGCATTCAATGTCTCTGTAATTGTATTAACCTCCACCTCGGATACCTCGGACACTTTTCGTTTTCCCTTTCCCTTGGGGGTTTTGGCGCGATTACCATTTTCCCTGGCGGCCTGATCTGGGGAAATAGCTGGACGAAGTTGTGGAAGCTCGTCTCCTTCCAATAATACCCACTGAACACGATAGGTCTTCTTAATGTGCGAAAATACATGAACAACATCACCCGCGGACGTCACTTGTGTTACTTTTGGAACCTGATAAGACGAGTTAGAGTTCGGTAACTCCTTCGAGTGCACTTTTTTGCTGTGCGAGGATGGTGGATGCATGAGAAGTCCTTGGAGAAGTGTGTAAGGTGCCTCGGCCATACTGGATGCAGAAGCGTCTGCGCCTGATAGATTGGCTAGTGTAGGAAATTCGTGTAAACCAGCTAAAAGTCCTGTATCCACAGAGTCAGGAGGTATATCTCTAGCTAGGCGTTTACTCACCCCCTTGGGGTCGGCGGACCAGTAGAAACCAGCGATCTCGATTGTTCCTGCTTCGCCACTCTATGACATTCACAGAATCAAGTTCTTCTCTGGGCTTTTTGCGTTCAGCTTTCATTGGATATATAGTCACAGATCCATTGTCCTCATCGGATGGTATAGGGTCACAAACCAAGCAGAGTTCCTCAACATCAGCTTCTACGGTACTTGGATGTGATGCCTGTCAAATGGATTCATTAGAAGGCGGCGATCAGGGCTTCTTGAACTAACATTAGGTTGCGTCCTCTGATATGCCTTACACCATAGACGCAGGGGGCAATCCGAACACACAGGATCTCGAACTGCACAGATAGTACTTCCCAGTTCTATCAAAGCTTGATTTATGTCACCAGGGCGCTTTGACTGTTTTATGAATGATTCAGCGCCTGCCCATAGGACATCTAGGGTTCGTTTAGATTTGGGCTGTGCATGCAGCGCTGTGAAACGACTGAGAAGTCGATGTACATTGCCATCAAGCTAGGGACCAATGAGACACTTCATTGCGGTGATTTTAGCGAAAATAACCTACCACAGGTACACACTGATTATACGCAATAGAAGATATTGCGCCTGCGCTGTATCTACCTACGCCCGGTATCTCTGCCTCCATATCTTTTGCATTGTCAGGTAAGCGGCCATGTAATTCTTTGACGGTTTTCTGGGCACCACCTAGCAACCGTGCTGCACGTGAGTAGTAGCCTAACCCCTTCCACAAGGAGTTGACGGTCTCGATATCAGAAGCTGCAAGGTCACGGATGGTAGGGAATCTAGATGAATTAGGTCAGACGATCCAGAAATATGAGTGCGGCGACGTACTTCGCTATCCATTTATTATAATACGGTATCACGGTCGCGACTTGAGTTTGCTGTAGCATGATTTCCGAGATCCAGACCTAAGAATCTGCCTTAGTCAACTCTGAGCAGCTTTTTCGAGTCGAAGTTAAATGATTACCTCGTATGCTCTTTGTGCACGTCCCTCGACGTCGAGCGAGGGGTCAAACTTCTTGCGCCAAGGCATTTTTCGAGCGTCGTGGACTCTGTCATACCACTCCAGGAGCGCGATTCGCATCGGCTCAACAGCGCTTATGACGTGCATGGACACTGGATGACCCGAATTATTGTTGACTACAGTGCAGCCATCATCGTCGTGACCCTTCTTACGCGTCGTACGCGGTGCTTGACGCGTCTTCCTAGTCTTCTTTGTCACTTCAGCGCGCGGTGTTTCGTTGTAGGAACTGTCGGAGTTGTCAGCATAATCTTCCCCCGATTCAGAGGCTGGACGTTGTGCGCGTTTTCGTTTAGGCATCTGCAATATTGTGGTGGATAGTAGATACGCTAACATATGTAGCCCGACTCCAGTTAGTCACTCAGCCTGAATCAGTCCATTTCAAACTCAGACTGCTTAACGTAAGACTAGGAGGATGCAGGTCGGGAAGCACAACTACGAAGACTAGTTATCTCCGCGACTCTGACAGGTATTGATCCAAATATTGGTAAACCAAAAAGTATGGGAGATGAAATTGATAGGTCCCATTATCGAGCAAAGAGGGTGAAGCCAAGTAAGAATAATTGTACACTCCTTATTATTTAGACTTCTTAAATCAGCCGCGTCTGTCCGCCAGGAAGAGCACTGCGCCGCCTTCGTGCACGCTCTAGCGGTGGTAGGTCATCTTCGTCTTTGGAAGACCTGAAGCTTGTATCTGCGTCTTGTGCTGAGTGAGGGACGCCGCGCGTAAGTGACAACGAACAAAGGAAATGCCGAAGAAATATACCCGGTGAGCCACTGCCATTATCTGGTTGTCGCTGTCCCTCATTCTCATCGGCTTCCGATGAGGGGTTGGCCGGCATGAAGTTTGACCCAGCACTAGTTGACATATGCTTCGGAAGCATAGAACGTCGCCTCTGAGAGATAGAACAACATGAGAACATGAAGCGCGACGCCAGACTCTGCATACCTTGTTGGTGCCCGCGATGTTGACTAGCTCTATATCAACTTTGAACTTCGCCTCATCCACCCTGGATCTTTGCTCAACGCACTCCACCACCCATGCAATCCCAACGACCAGTGGTTTGGGGTCATTCAGAAGTCTAACACATGGTCAATGAGGTTGTAGATGATGTTGTTCAGAAACTGACCTGTATCGCGTCAGCGTGTTCGTTGAACCATTCTTATACACAATGTGCGTACAGCTTTGCCCAACACGCGCAAGTATCTGGAGGGAGGAAATCATTGAATAACAAGCGAGTGGCACCATCTTGTGTCACTTACTCTGGCGCCGAGCCCTCTTAACATGTCGACGAACAGACTCCCCGCATCATCACCGTCATCCGTCCGCACGTCCACAAATATTGCGCACTTCTTTAACACTTTCAACACGCTCTTACCTGCGCTTCCACCTTCCACGGGACTAGCAGCGGCGTCATTCTTGGAGGATGCGTTCTGTTGCGATGCTGCGACATCCGTACCTTCGTTAGGCTTGCCTTTGTCCTTCGCGTTCGTAGCAAATTCGGAGCCTGAACCTGATGCGCCATGATACGTACTACTCGATGACCGAAGCCCTGTGCGCGTGCCCGCTGCGATTATCTTCGGCGGAGTTTTTGGGAGAACAGAGAGTGATCGCGATAAAGCATGCAATGCGCTTGATGCACGATGCGAATCCCATCCCTCGCGCTGCTTGCCTTTATCGGCCGAGCCTCCAAAGTCTTCAATGACAAGGTCGGCCTCCTTATTCTGTTCTTCGGAAGTTCTACTGCCAGACGGTATGGATGGGGTTGCCACATCGGGTTGCTTCCCCTGCCCGGGATCATCTTCCGCACCCCAAAGATTCGCAGTCGTATTGGCAACATGATTGTTGTCGAAGATACCTCCGCCTCCACCTTTCACTGGACTAGCCATGACACTTGGTAAACTTGTCTTTCGACTGGCCTTCATGGATGGCTTCACTAGACCTGGACCAAAGATACCGGTTGTCATACGTCCAAGTACTCCGCTCTTATCTTTCATCCGCCCCACGATGTTGACTCGGCTAGGACCAGAAATTGTAGCATGACGTTTTAGCGAAGATGCCGTCGGTCTTGCAAAGGTCCCTGATGAGCCAATAAGAGCACTGTCGTCCTTGACCACTGAACGATCTGCTCTTGTGTGTTCGTCTTTGTCTGAATTAACATTGAAGCCCAAACTTGTATTCGGCCGACTCGGCGGAGGCATGGCAAGCTTCTCCAAAGCTGTTGACAGTGTGAATAGCGAAGACTTGGGTTTTGATGAACTAAAAATGCTGGAACCGCCGATAAATGGCCTTTTCACTGGGGAGGTTCCCGCACGTTGCTTAATTGGGGACGCCGGAAGTGGAATCTTAGAGGGAGATGGAGGTGGCTTTTGCACAGATGGCGATGGTTCAGTCATAGACAATGAAGGTGTAGGTTTAGCCTTCATGAAAGAGGCGAGCGATGTCTGTTTAAACTTGGCAGGGTCTGGGAGACCTTTGACCGATGACTTGTCGAGATTTGGAACTAGAAATGTAATTGTCAAAAAGGATATGAGAATGATGCGCTCCACTGTACCCTTGAAATTTGAGGCCTGAGATGATGATGTCCCACTGTCAGGTTCATCGCCTGTACTCAACGAGGTGTTTACGGTTCTGTCTTTGTGTTGTGCGTGACCTTCATCCAGGCCTTCAGGCCTCTTCTCTTTCATTGAAACGCTGCGTGTCATGCGGCGAGGGCCAGAAGGTGGAAGTATGGCCTTCTTGCCTTTTGATAGGTTTGCGATGGGCTTTGAGCGCGCTGCATGCGAACTCCCGATAGTTGCTGAGCGCCCCCGTTTTACTGGTACAGGAGGGGGAGGCATGATCGACGAAGCGGACATGGACAGACGCGGGAGACGAGAGGGAGCGGCTGAAGAGGTAGAGGATCCTGCAACATGTAGCGACGGAGTGTCATCGGCAACATCTTGAGATTGCTTGACTTTCTTCTATCAAACCGGCATGTTAGTTTTATGTAAAGTGTTTGGCACACCATGTTAAGCACACCTCAGCAGCAGCACCGAAAAGACTTTGTATGGCGGGACGGCGACCTATGGATGAAGCAGGCGGAAGAGGCGTAAGAGGGGAAAGAGACATATGCGGAGGATATCCGGCCAGATTTCGTGGTGTCGCAGACTCAACATGAACCGTCGGAATGGTTGTATCAGGAAGCTTGAAGTCAATTTTCGGTACATTTGTGAAGTGGGACATAGCGGACGCAATGTCGACGTCCATTGCATGCCCTGTGCCGCGAGCACCCTCATCAGTGGTAGAGAGTGGTGTGAGCGGAGAGGTCTGGGCTGCCTCTGTGGGTGGAGGGACAGGCGTGATCCTCAGTTGATTGAGCACCTTCCTAGGCGAACGCATCGGAGAAAGGGTTCGAAGGTCGAGTTCTGGAACATGGTCTGTAGGCAGCGGAACAGAGCGTGCACGCTCAGCAAAAACGAAGGCTAGTTTAACTTTGCCGTTCGTAGGATGACATGCCGATTCAGTGGCAGCGCGGACAAACGATTTTGCTAATTTCTTGGGGGATCGTGATGTCAATTCCCGGTTCTCTACAGAGTGACCCATTGACAGAAAGTTCAACGCTGGTAATGGATCGATTTTGACGCGCTTCGGTTCGCGATAATTGGTAGGACTGAGCAGGTCTTCAGGACATGTATCGGACGACCGTTTGTTCTTCTTCGACGACAAAAGTATCTCGTCATTCTCGTTCTTATCTTCCTCCTCTTCAACATCCATCTCTTCCACTTCCTCTTTGTGTTCGTTGGTTTCTAAATATAGCTGGTTCCTCGACGTGACTCTAGCGTGCTTGAGAGGGGAGCGCGCGAGGGGTAGCCTCAGGACATGATCAGGTACGGCTAGTTGGGATCGCGTTCTCTTGGAGATTTCGACAGACATGTACGTGCCACTGTAGAGTGAAGTCGCACACTTGCCGTCTAATGCGATGGAATGAAACGCTGTAGGCGTCAGTGCCGCGTCACGGATGCTTGTCCGTTGATGGTTAGACGGTTTGAGCCTTGAGGTTCACACCAGTACTCTGACAGGTAACGTGTCGAACCACGTGACCATTTTGGAAGATCCCGGCCACGCCGTGGTGGCGGTCAAGCGTTCACTATTCAGTGTTTCATGGCAATATCCACAGTTCATGGGGTGTCCGTGTCAAGTTGCAATTGTCTGATTTTTTCCTCCTCCGCGATATTCTAGTCAAAAAAAATGTTTGGTGAGATGTGGTTATTCACATCCACTTACTCCTCGATAATGCCGGGGCTGCCGTTGTCACCCGTCGCTTCAAGTGAATCGAGTCATCATGTCGGACGCTGTCGGACCGTTGAAGCTGAGCCTCACTAATACCAAAGACGGCCAACTGCTCAGCTTCAACTTCAATTCATACTTCCCAGAATACGCGCAACGCCGTGCATTAATAATTTACAGTTCTGCATACTCCTCAGGCCTCATCGCCCCCGGGCACATGCACATGTGACGAATTCGGAGCTTGCGCCATGCGCAGTGAGATGAGGTCATACTCGGTCATGCTCGGTCATGCTAGTAAGGTTGTTTGCGCCCATCCTAGACTACTCATCCAGACTTGTGGTTTTAGAATGGAATACTGCGTATGTGATCCGAACTATGGCTCACGAACTCAATTCGAGCCACTGCAACTTTATTTGATCTGTTTACTCATCACAGATGACGTGCTTCTCATACTACAACGGTTCTTTCAGTCGCCGCCCTCCTCGTGACTGGATGTTTAACTCCATACGCCGAGAAATTTCTCAAGGTGACTGGTGGTGGTATGCTAACCCTGCTCCGTCAGTGACACATAATTTTATCATTGGCGCGATTTAATGCTCCCTGCACTGTCTGTATAGCATGCAGCATATGACTCGTGCGTGTGTTTACCCAAGTTAAGTCTCTCCTATAAGTCTTCCTATCAGATCTCGATCCACGAGTACCGCTGCTCTGGCGCCTTCTGAACTTTTATTTACCTTCTTCCTGGCAGAATCGGACGAATAAGTATGTTTTTTCTTGGCCATCTGCACAGGAGTCTCTCAGGCCCCGCAACATGCCATGAAGTTCGACATCAATCAATTGTTCACGACTCACGAGTCATCTCGTGGGCAGCTTCTGGAACTACGGTCATGTCTAGGTAGGTTATTTACAATCATTTTATCCTGTGTCTACCAATTTCTTGTGTGTTTATTGTGTGTTTATTGTATAGCTTGTCGCCTCGGTCCTTCAAATTTAGAGGATTTGACTGCACGCATGCCTGGCTATGCCTGCCGCCATAACCCACTTACACATGCATGATGACTTAATCATTCCACGGGGAAACTGTCACTAAATAGACTTGTTTGGAATTATCATCCCAGCAACATAAAGAGAATTGATCAATGTGAACGTTGCTTTCATTGTTGTCGCTGATAAGGCTTCTCTGCATCGTACCTGGTTGCGATGCGAGAACATTACAGGGCTTCTCAGACTCTCGCGTTCTTCCGCATCATTGCTAGCTTTGGCTTCTGTCGATGCTGTAGCCAAGCTCATCACCCCAGATTATCCCTGACGGCCACTGCGCAGCGTAATTTGCTACTTGTTTTGGCTAGAATCGGGCAAACATCGAGATTTCCATTGCAAAACAGCGCCGACGCCTCGCCCCAGCGTCTCCGACGGTTGCTTACCCTTAACTGAATACTTATACAGATGCTATGTCGAGGGTCGTTCATCCGCCAAAACTATCCCCATTTACATCACCTGATAGAGCGATTAATTAACCTTCCTTCTTCAGATTGTTGGATCCAGTGATTTAGCTTGCTTGGTGTAGGCCCTGCGCTGATACTGAAGCTTGGATGAAAGTATTTCATCAAGAGTGAATTCAATTTAAATATCAAGCCCCCTACCTGCATGCAACCCGCGGCTCTAGTTGAACCAGCCGGTTCGCGTTTTATTTTACGCGTATTGGCAATATCAAGAGCACAATTCAATAGCGCTGATCCTAGACCCTATCAATGAGATTGAAGCTTTGAAGATGATTCGAAACTCATGTGTATTCAATAAATTGCTAGTGTTTGTAAGCAATTGGCGTCGTGAAGAGTCACGTACGAGTTGCCTTTTTCGTCACCCCCAGGTCCGCAGTGTCACATCATGGACTTATTATGGGCGTTCATGGCCTTACCACCTATCTGCGAGAGAATCAACGAATCCTCGCCAAAGCCATCGAATTCCCCTCGAGCTCTAACGACGTGACGTCGATTGTGGTTGATGGTTGGTCGTGAGTATAAAGATGTTGTCGATGGCTTAGTGATGACAGCGATTATGCTACGCCCTTCAGGTTCATCTATGAGCTTTATGAAGAGTCTAAATTACCTTGGGTGTATGGTGGCGAGTACCAATCGTTTGCTGGATGTGTCGAAGGTGTCGTGAAGGCATGGATGGCTGTGGGACTCAGGGTATATTTTGTCTTTGACGGTATGTTCACTTGCCTATTCGTCATCGCTCATCTAAACTCATCTAAGCTATCTTCTGAAAAGGTTCTGCCCCAGAGCTGAAGATTCCGACCCTCATCAGCCGCCTCAATCGCTCGATCGTCGAACGGAGCCTTCTTTTCTTCAGAACTTCCGAGATAGCACGCTCAACTCCCCGCTTTCTGCATGAAACGCGGATGATACCACCACTCGCATATCATGCATGTCTGCATGCACTCCGTGAAGTCGCCTCTTCAGCAGATACTCTGGAAGTGCATTTCGCAGATGAAGAAGGCGATCCTTATGCCGTCGAACTCGCCGGCAGGCTCGGGGCCTTTGTTGTCGGCAATGACTCGGATTTTGTCATTCTTAATTCTGGGAAATATGCAGGATATATCCAGCTCGATGACATGCTGTGGCCAGTGCCTAAATCCGTTGACGCAGGCTCTGGTGATGAAGGCAGCGAGTTCCGCACAGTGAGGAAAGCAAAGACAAAAAAGAAAAGCGCTGCTCAACAAGGGACTCGCAGGGGCCTAATACCCCCAGAGCATAGCACGGATCTTACTCTGTCAGTTTTGGTCTACACGCCGGCTGCCTTGGCATCCCACTTCAAGATTCCAATCACATTATTACCCTTGCTCGGCGCCCTGGTCGGAAATGATTTTTCCAACCAGTCTTCTACACAACGGAACGTGCAAAATTTATTTTTCGAGCGTCAGCTAACGTTATCGCAACGCATTGCCCGTGTCGGGTCCACGTTAAACGGAATACTCTCCCCTGCCACTCAGAAACGAAAAGCCAGCCATCAGGTTGGTTCAGTCATGGATTTGATTGACAGATCTGTGCATGCACTCTTAATCAGACCACCAAGCACCATGGCCTCTGGAGAAATAGATGGCATCGTTGACCGGATCGTTAACGCAGCATTGCAGTACGCGATTGACAAGTATGACGGAGATACGTTTGGGCCGGATGGTCTTTGGCCTAGCAAAATTTGTGCACTGCATCACGCCGAGACTTGCCGCCTGCCGGGACTCTTCTCCCGTGCGCTATTACTATCTACCGATGATGAAGCAATCGACGACGACTCAGCGGAGCATGACACTCAATTGCTCCAGCTCCATTCACTCTACATCTCTGCGTACCGGTCGGGTCACTTGCAACCAAAGCTCATGGATATCTTGAACACCGGCACTTTCTGGCCGAGGTTGTTTTTGGAGAACCCCGATGCGGAGAATGTTGCGCGGAGTATCGGCAGACCTATCCGAGAGTGGATCTATGCCATTCTGGAAGATGCCGTGGGGCTGCCGGAAGCTCCCGCGGAAACTGAGGTGGGGCAATCTGACACATCTCAGGTGGATGAGGAAGACGAGGATGAGCTCATTGACGTCATGGAGGAAGATTCTGAAGACGATGGGGCAGATCTCCTTGCCCCATTGCGTGGTGAGCTCCAAAAACTTCGTTTGTCAGATGAGGAGTCAGAGATTCCGGCGTCGACTACATCCCGATCCCGGTCGCACCTACCACCGCGGCCAAAATGTGTCATGGAATACGTTAGGCGTGGAACTCGCGTTGCCCCGGAAGGCGTGGTCGTGCCAGATCTTTCTAGGCTGTTGGTGTCGTCCGCGTTTCACGGAAATAATCAAGAAAATTTTACCCCCCTGCCACTCAGGTCCACATCGGAGCGGATGTCAGTCTTTCTGCATGCCCTCCGTAGCAGTACTGTTGCTCTGGAAGAATTACCGAGCGAACAACTCATGTGCGCCCTCGTTTTGCGATGGGTCGTGCAAATGATGCATCTACGGGCGCTGGGATCCACGAGTAAGGAACGGGAGAAAGAAAAATGGACTAGATCGGAGGCAGGCGCCTTCCTTGCATTTTACATGTCAGAAGGGCACGGTCTCGATTTTTGTACCACGCCTGCACTTGCTGGCTCGGAGCATAACGCCGGATCTGAAACCACACCAATCAGCAGTCGTAGCATTCAGCTTATGGCCCAGGTGCTCATGGCAATCGAGAGCATACATCATTTGTCCCAAGTTCTATCGGTATCAGAACGAGTTCCAGTCCGCGTCCATACGCTATCGGGGCAGACGTTCCATACGTTCCTGGCTCATAAGGGCTCGAACTGTCGAGTCACACTACCGGTTGGGCTATGGGATGCATGTACGGAGGGGTTAGGTGATGCCTTCGCAGAAGAACGTCCTGTCAAAGCCAAGAAATCGAAGATCAATGGGAAGCCCATTGAGCGAACGTCGGTGCAGAAAGCGGCGCGTGTTGGGACGGGCAGCCAGTTTGGACTGTTGGCTGATCTTCAAATGTAACTTACTTGTCGACCTCCTGTGTTGTTTGTTGGCATCGAAAAGAACTGAGATGAGCTGTAAGTTCTACAGACCAAGAGACTAGTTGGTAGTTGGCAGTGACCAGCAGTGACCTACCTGTGGTCTCCTGTGCTTGAGAGTTTAGCTGTACAATAACCTGTGTGTTCCATGATGCGTTTCTAATTGCGGAATTATGGCTATTAGCAAAAATAATTAATAATTTAGTAAGCACAGCATCCCCGCCCGCATTGCTTTTTTTCTGGCATGTACAGGAAGGAAGGAGTTGGCCGACTAACACATTCCTTCTTTCTTTACGTACACAATGGTTCAATATCAGCGCCACACGGTTATAGTAAAGGCTTAAATAGTATGGTCCCCTTCAGTTCTACCCAACAAGCATTCCCCGAGTCACCATGCGAACCTCTAGACGTCAATCCCCAGCTCCTGCAGACGTCATCACCTATCGTCTGAACAAACAAATGATGTACGTGCCCCCAGCGGAGAGCTTCGATGTGAGTCTTTCAGCCCTAGCCTCTCAACCACTAAACTTACGCACAATCATTGCAGCAAGCGGTCACATTTGCCAGATCAGCATTTGAGAGGGATCTCACTGGGGTTGACAAGAACCGGATATCCTTCTCGTTAAATGTGCTCGCGAATGGAAAGCAGAGCTCTGTGGGCATCAGCCGTGTAGCATGGCAGTCAGTCATGTCACATATGGCGCGCTATGAGATCATAGATGTGCACATCCAGCCGGAGCTCACAGTGTCCCCACCCCCGCCGAGCTATCGATCTTGCAGTTCGGAAAAGGGTTCTGAGAAAGAGCACCACTCGTCATCAAAGTCATCAGCTTTCCATAGTTTCGTTCCCAAAAATCTGTTTCAGCGGCTGACTGCCTGACTGCAGCCTGAAACCGGGTACCTTGGGACTTCCTACTCCACTAGAGATATCATCACCATCACATACGGAGTGTTATGGAGCGTAATGTTTCAGTTCACATTAGATACCCGAGTGTTGCATTTTGCGCCACGCACACCCACTCTTTTGTATTACGTTCCCTCACTTAGCGTTGAACACTCCGGTGCGATGGTTATTGTTATTTCTATGTTTCATGTATTACTGCCGTGTAGGTTCAGAACAGAATATGTCGAATTAAATACTTGTACACATGTACTACTATGCTCATATCATACCACATGCAGCACCCAATATGCGTGCTTCTCAAATGAATGGACCTTATGTGCCTTCTGAAATTAAAAAAAATTGACGAGCTGTGTCCCGACGAGATCGAGTAATCAACAGCGCATAAACGCTGATGAGTCTAGTCACTCACGGAAATCTTTCATCATCGCAAAATTATTGATAGTTTGCCGTTGGCATTGCACCACAAAGGACATAGTGTATATAACTACACAATTAAGTACCGCCTGATCGAACGTCCGATCAAGCGTCCGATCCAGCGCCTGATCCAGCGCCTAATGAAGCGCCCACTGAAGCGCCCGATGTCGATCCCTCTAAGATTAGCGCCATACGAGCGCTCAATTTCCTTGGCAGCCTGCGTCAAATACAGCATGTAACGGGGGAACGGCAGCTTCAGCGCTTACCTCGAACCTAGGTTTTACCGCTGTAACGAAGAAGCGCCTTGCTCCGAAATGTTGCATTGTACTGCAACAAATTGTTAATGTCCCGCACCCAATCATCCTCTTTTCCTGGGCCAACGCCTTCTTCGCCTGGCTGTTCGTCTCCATAATCGGATATGGACGAGCGGTTAATGCAGGGCACTGGGTATGGTGAGGCTTGTACGGTAACGGACTCCCCTGGATTAAGAACATGCGATACACGTCCGTCCATCGAAACACCGGCCGCAGCACGGGAACGATCACCAATCTAATAGTAACAATCAAATGTTTGAGTTATTGCTTCCACGTGTTGTCAAGTTACACGGGGCGCGCGACTCACACGTAGCGTTACGGATGAAGACGATGGGAACACGAGGGGTCTGAACGATAAACTTCGTGGACATATAGGCACGAGCACTACGGCGCTCAAGGAGGGATGTACGATAGGCCCTCCAGCTGAGAGAGAGTAAGCCGTTGATCCTGTGGGCGTTGACACAATCACGCCGTCAGACTACGGAAATCAGTTACGCGCGGTGCTTGGGAGAGTTAGTACTTACGACAGCCTCCGTGAGATGTTGCCCGTCTACATAAATATCGATGGTATTAAGGTGCGGACTCGACCCACGGTGTAGCGCAATTTCATTCATAACCTGCCATTCTGTAATTGAGTCAGCGTCATGGGTGCATGTTGCAAAGTTTTATCCCGAACCGTCGTCGCCGAGCCCTATTTTCTTGTGATCTTTGTCATAGAAAGTGCACGACAAGCGCATGCGATTGAGGATGGTTGCCTTGCCCTGAAACACTGCCTCAAGCCCTTTCACAAAGTCATCGATGTCTGTCGTGTGTTCAGTGGCGTCCTGGCACCAGGGCTTGTACACTCACGGAACGGAAGCAGAAACCCAAGCGTGCCCATTGAGAAACTTAGCACAGGAGGGACCGCTCCAAGGCTAAAGAGTGATGCAGCATGCAGAATGGTACCATCGCCTCCAAGAGTCACGACAAGATCAATTTTCTCGGCATGAGGCCCTGTAATTGATTCATTCAAGCAGACTGCTTCAACGTGTACAACCTACTCACCGGGACGCCACACTTGTGCACCGGATGGAATGTCCGGACGGTCTTCAGAGAACACCTTCACACCTGGATATGTCTTTTGTACATGACTGTTGCGTGTTGGGCACCACCTCTTAATCGGCTGAAAAAATGCAGGAAAACGACCACGCACTCCAGTAGTTCATCTATTGCCCCAATCACAGGCTCTGTTCGGAGCTTGTTCACAATTAGAATGGATCGTGGAGAGTATGATGCTTCATGTTGGCTGTCTTGTTGAGCGTTAGCGGTCCACGATTGTTAAGGGGAGACGGCAGACAAACGCTTGGGATGATAGTGCACGAGAAAGACGCGAATGTGGGACGAACGGATTCGCGTGCGATGTCAAAGGTAGCGACGGTCGACTTCGTATTCGAGTGTGCAGGTAACGTCGAAAAGGAAAACGCAGAAGAGCTCGTTGCGCATGGCTGGCCATAGCAGTTAACATGGCTGCCAGCAAGTCTTGAGTCAACTGCACGGTGCGATTTCAAGTTGCATGCACCGTGACTATCATTCTTTCTTGCCACAACCTTGCGAAATGTTCTCACCCATTCATAAAATCGACCACAGCCAGCTAAGAATCCTCTTCCAACGAATTCGAAGACACTCATATTCTGGAGCTTTCTATTCTGCTAATGTCCTGTGTTGATGTTACAGATAAGTTACGAACCAGTGGTTTGGACCATCACTTATTTGACATTAACTCGTTATTCACAGCCTCCTTCTTCCGACTATTTTCCTTCTTCTATTCATAAAGGTCTAGAGGATACAGTAACAGCGCAGAGCCTCGATCATAGTACGTGCTACAGCAACTTTGTTGACGTTCTAGGGCTCAAGTGGAGAGGCGTATATTTCCACTCCAGTGGCACGAATCAGTTCCCACACAGTGCAAGCACAGGGCATGATTACCCGGATCCTTGACGTGCTATTTGGTCGAACAAGGGGAGACTATTTCGCGCTGGCAGTGGCTGCTTGGCGTGAAACATTGAAATGGACGCTCTAGAGTTAACGAATACAGCGATTGCACCCAGACCGCTCCTAGTAGATGTTTCTGGCGATCTGCAAGCGGTCATCGACTCAGAGGTGCATATGCATCAAGCTATCTCCGAGGTTGTGCTCTCGACAACAGATATGTCACCCTTCACCCAAGTCGGCCCTGCCTTGCTCGACTAAGGCATCAAAGCATGGTGGTCAAATTTTTCGACATGACCCAGCGAAAACGTTGTCTTACACTATGCCCGAAGAGGAAACCTGTTGGCTTCTGACGCTCGCATAGGTAAACTTGTAGAAGACCTGCATAATTGGCGGCAAATATGATCGGGACCTGACATTCCATAACCTATACATCGATGATTCGTGCAGGGGAAGCACCCTGAACTTCATCTAGAACGAGAATTTTTTTTTCATCTAATCATGGCGTAATTTTCCACTGGACCATGTACCGCGGATCTGGGCCGGATCTGCCTGGTCTCCTCACTTTTCGGAGCCGGTTTTGTGGATTTCTGCAACACGCATCGATTACGGGCTAACCAGGCGGAAATCACATCATCCCCCCAGTACTTACTACAAGATTTTGCCGTTGGCGAGAGCTATGGCTCTTTGAATGCGTGTATGTTCCTCCTTCAGTCATATCAATATCTCTTAATAACAGGTGTTATACAACTCCAAATCTTCAAGTGCGCCAAATTCTCAAAAACGTCCAGGAAATGAATACTCTGGGTCCGTCATGATCTGCGGCTCGGCTATTTCTTGCCCCCAGACTGTCTTGCAGCTCCGCCAAGGCAGCTGCGACCTTGTGCAGCGCTGTATTTCCATTATCGAAAGTTACGCAGAGGATCACATAGAACTCTCACTATAATTGGTCCGGATGTTTGCTCGCATTGTCTGCACTGACAATCGTGTCTGGCTGGAGTGGGACGTCTGGTTTCCAGACAATCGGGCGCTGCTTGTCAAGCAAGCTTGGGAGCATCCACGAAGAGTGCCCTGACGTGGTCCCTCTTCTCATCGCATTCACGAACAAGATGTTGCGAGTGAGGAGGACTTGACTATGCTCGATTAGAGCATATCGATTGCGGCGCTCGTGGGCATTTCAGAGCAGATGCGGGTGGTGGTGGACGCTCGTATGAATGTAAACGGGATGCAGAGTGCGTTGGAGGCAGTTGGGACGGGGGTAGTGAATTCGAGGGATGAGTTGTTGAGGAAGCTCGGTGCATAGCGATCGAAAAAACTCGCTGACTGGGATTGCTGGTACTCGGTTTCTTCTTGTGGTGCATATCATTCGACTACTTCATAAACTACTGAGAGAATATTTTTGACGTCAACAGCTCTTCAGCCGTGTCAATGATTTCCACTCCCGCCTTGTTCATCTCAGTCCATTCTGTCCCCTCATCAGACACGCTCTTGACCGCGTCCTTAACTACAAACGTCCTGAAGCCGTGTTTCTTTGCATCAAGTGCAGTAAACTTGACGCAATAATCCCCCGCTATGCCGACCACGAAAACATTCGATATCTCCTTGTTCTTCAGCTTGTCCTTGAGCCCAGTGTTCGTGAGCCCCCATGGGTCTTCGAATGCAGAATAGCATTCGATCCCCACGTCGCAGCCTTTACGGACGACCTCTAGGCCCTCGTGCTCTAGGTTGTCCACAAATGCTACCCCAGGCGTGTCCTGAACACAGTGCACAGGCCACAACACCTGTTCTAGCGCTTCAAGTGGCTTTTCATCATTAGGTTTCTTCGTTGCTACCAACTCTGCAGGAGGAAAGATGGCGATCTTCTCGAACTCATTCTTTCCCGCATGGTTACGCGCAAAGGAGATGTGGTTTGCGGGATGATAGTCTTGAGTGCCGATTTTAAGAGCGAATGGGAGCGTAATGAGTGCGTTGATGGTGTTGATAATCTGCTCTGCGTCACGGACGGCGAGACTACCGCTGACGAAGTCATTCTGCACGTCGATGACGAGTATAGCGGAGTTGGAGGGTTCAACATATGCAAGGTCTACTGGCATCTTAGTGTTATGAGTTGTGGGTTATGCGAGGTTATGCATGTTATCATGATCAAAGCCTATATAGCTATGATGCGTTGCAAATATCTATTGCAATTGCTTATCAACGCTGATTATCTTATCAACGGAACATCATCATCATGATGTAATTGGCATTTCGGCTATCAAATGCCTTGCGTTTGAACTTTGTTTGCTTGTTCTGCATTAACTTTGACGGTGACTTGCACAAGTTGCAGCAAGAATAGCACTTGACAGGAGGTAGATGCCATATACACCATCTTTTATAACGAGCGAGCGTGTTTACTATTAACTTTCGCAGCCATGTCCACCTTCTCGCATCGGACAAGAACTTGGCCAGCGAGCGATTCAGATGCAATCGAGCTGAGTGACACCGGAAAGCAACAGGAACAGCCGCAGCTAGTACATGATGCGCAGTTGGAAGCTGAACATCAAGCAAAGTTATTCGATGCCCAGATACACAAGATGAAGGTATGTTCGGCGTGTTGTGGTTCTTTCAACATTAAGCCTCATGGTGACCCGCCCCAGAAAGAACGTCGGTTCTTCGTTAAAGCTCGTTTCCTGTTCCCTCTCGGAATCCTGCGTATGTTATTTATACACAATCTCTCTTGATCTATGATGACATTTGTCTTACAGTTGGAATATTATTGGGCTTCGTCCTCATCCAGCCTTCGGACTTGCAGGATATTCACAGCAACCTTCTTCTCATCATGGAAGAGTACGACATTTCGCTCAAAATACCAGATATTGATTTGTCACGCGTCGAATCAGAATGGAGACGTTTTCGGAGCAATATCCCAGAGGTTTGGAAGCTGAACAATGACGGACGCGAGTTTCAGGTCGGGGAGGCGATGAAGGCGCGAGGCTTGACGGCGCACTATCCTATCGTGCTTGTGCCTGGCATCGTATCCACAGTAAGCTATCTAGTTAATCCACGTCCACTTGATATTGATCAGCGTCCAAACCGTGACTAGGGTTTGGAATCTTGGTCTACTTCGCCCGACTATCGAACTTTCTTCCGCGCAAAAATGTGGGGTGGCTTCAATATGGTCTCACAAGTGACTTTCAATCGTGACAAGTGGATATCAGCGATGATGCTCGATCCGGTCACCGGTCTCGACCCTCCAGGTGCCAAAATACGAGCTGCAGAAGGAATAGGTGCTGCAAGCAGCTTTATGACCGGGTACTGGCTTTGGTGCGTCTCATATAACGCGACGTTCTTTTGAGGACTGAAAGTGACAGCATTTATATTTATCCAGGTCCAAGATCGTTGAGAATCTTGCTGTTGTCGACTATGACACGAACAATCTTCACTTAGCCCCATATGACTGGAGGCTCTCCATGTGGAACCTGGAAGAACGAGATGGATACTTTTCAAGGTTGAAGTCCACAATAGAAGGGTTCAAGTATGGTGCTATAAATCTGAATATCACGCCAGACAATGTTCATATTCTATGACAGGAAACGACAAGGCAAGAAGACCGTGATTGCAGCACACTCAATGGGCAGTACAGTATGTACATATTTCTTTCGTTGTTGCCACTGTGTTCATTGTGGTACTTCTAGGTAATGCTAGTAAGTTGCTCTCAGATAGTCCTCTTCTGTAAAACTAATCATTTGGCGAAAGTACTTGTAGGTCTCGGATCTCTTCGATGCTCAACTGGCGATTTCTTTTTGACCTCTTGAGTGTAGCTTCAAATGGGTTGAGTCTCCCGAACACGGAGGCGGCGGACCAGATTGGGTAGAGGTGAGCCCCTGGCCACATCGTATCACGAGATACTAAAAAATTTGCTCAGAATCACATCGAGTCCTACATTACCATCGCAGGGACACATCTAGTAGGCCTTTCCTTTCCTTAAATACCGATCACTAAATTGCATTCTTAGGGCGTGGTAAATTCCGTTTCATTGCCTTATTGTTGTTTGCTGCTCATCGGTTTATCTTTAAATTTTGGAAGGCAAAAGCTATGGCTGCTTTCTTGTCCGGTGAAATGAAGGATACGGTGCAGATGAATCCTGCGGGCGCATACGGTTAGGACCTTTCAGGTTTCTTAGTTGTAATATTCTGATGATACCTTGAAGTGCTCGAGCGCTTTTTCTCGCGAAAGGAGCGGCAAAGGTTATTCTGTAGTTGGGCTGGCAGTGCCAGCATGTGGATCAAGGTAAGTCTAGACTGTCGTCTTCGGTTGAACGCCTCCACAACAATTATCAGGGAGGAACGGATATTTGGGGCGATGCCAGCTGGGCGCCAGATGACGAACCTGAATCATCACATACTCATGGTGAACTGATTGCGTTCAGACAAGTAGCCATGCCACTCTCTGCGCATGGTATCACTCCAAGTGTCGAGCCAGCACAGAACATGACGGCTGATGAGGCAAGCACATGGATCTTGGAGCGTACTCCTTCAACATTCCAGGTTCATAACTGTCGACTCTTGTCCGAAATAATGCTCACAAAGAGACAGAAAATGCTATGGGCTAACTACTCGTTCGGCATTGAGCGGAATGTAAAAGTGCTCAAGAAGAATGCCCTAGATCCGAGGAAATGGACAAACCCTTTGGAAGTGCAGTATGTTACTCGTAATCAGTCTCCTGAAGCGAACTGATAGACTCGCCTAGGCTGCCGAATGCGCCTTCCATGAAGATAATTTGTGTTTACGGTCATGGAAAGGAAACTGAAGTGCCCCCCAAAGTTTTTCTGTTGCATTTTCCAAGACTCAATTCGATGACAGAGATCATACTGGTATGCTCGTGGACCACACGAATACGACGAATCGTTCGTAGATGTTGAGCATTCGACTTGCACCGACCCCACCGACAAATGCAGCCACACACCACGCCCACCATTAGATATGCCATTTTCCAGGATGAACCGGATAGACGCTGACTACACGCACGAGACAACGACGCCCAAGGTAAGTTGGTGACTTCAATTTTGCTCAACCTCGTATGCATATCAATTATAGGTGCGTAATGGCGTGAAGATGGGTGAAGGGGATGGCACAGTCAGCCTACTGAGCCTGGGAGCGATGTGTGTAGAAGGCTGGAAGAGACCAAGATGGAATCCGGGAGGAATTAAAGTTACGACTGTTGAGGTACGTCGGCCTCACTCCCTGCGGTCCCGCAATATCCCTCATGCCCTCAAATACAGCTTCCTCATCAGCCCGCCCCAAACATTCCCCGGGGTGGAGCAAATACTTCAGATCATGTTGACATCCTTGGGTCGACAGGTCTGAATGAGCTCATCCTGAAAGTCGCCACTGGTGCCGGTCATGAGGTCGAGGATCGCTTTGTGTCTCGCATTCAGGAGTTTGCTCGGCGAGTGCGGTGGGATTGACCACTGATTGTTTTGTAGTTTATTTTTGCACATAATATCACGTTTTAGAAGTGTTTCAACACATGATGAAACATAGATTTTTCATGGTGAGGGCTTTCGAGATGCTGAAGAAGCATTCTCAGACTCTTATTTCGGTTCGGTTCGCCTCGCCAACAAACCTCATGTCTTAACCCATGCCCATCCCCCATCTGCCCAATGTCGGGAGAATGTTATCAACTAAAACCTCGGTTCATCTCCATCTTGGACTGCAGCAACCTCAAGCTCATCCAGCGTAGTGTATAGATTAGCTTTCAAATTTGCTCTAGGCTATCTGTTTGCGTCTAGATACTGTATTAGAAGTCTGATATGATATCGTAGCAAAACCCCAAATTAAGCATGCGTGCTCTCTGCATGTCCCGTGCTACACATAATCATCACTGTCAGTCGATACGCTGGCATGCCCGCGAGCGTGGAAAGCAATGGTGGTCATGCCGGTTCCCATGTCGGTCTTAGCCACGAGCTTAGTGTGATATTCTCGCACGCTAAGGATCAGACGTGGTCCCAGCACAAACATCTGCAATACTCGTGCAACTCGGAGCACGCCGCCATAAATATCAGCTGCCACGGCCGTCGAGTACTGTAAAACGATGAGTGGTCAAATGCAGGTGTCAAGTCATGGATTGGCGCACCAGCAAATTTGGAGACAGATCGCCGAGGCTGATGCAAGCCATGGCAGCAAAGCTAGTACATGCAGAGTTTCAGTGAGATAACAACATCCAAATCTTCGGACTTACGCTAGGAAGTACAATGCGTGACTTTTTATCAACATCGTAAAACATTCTCCAATGGAGGATCCTCTCGACGATCGGCGCATGTCATAGAAACGTTTTATAACAATCCAGACTGCAAGAATAAAGGCGAGGATCTCCCATACAGCGGTGGGTATCACCGTCTCATGATTCAGATTCATCTTGCCACTGCTGATCTGGACAAGACAGATATGGTAGCCGAAAATAACGAATTCCTCTGGTATTCGTCCATGAGTCTCAGGTACATAAAGCATTTATCAGTGAATAAAGCTTACCTCCTGAAATGCCGGTGTTTCCCATGACCATCAAAACTGCGGAGGCGATTGTACAAGCCAACAAGACTACAGCGAGAAAGACGAGAATCGTTCTAGACCGCTGGTACATGGCATGTATACGAGTCATCAGGATGCCTTGCATGACATTTCAGCAAAGTCACTTTCAGTAAGATACTGCAGCTGAACTCACCGCCCAACATGGCATTGACGAAGACAGGCGTCCATGCCTGGAAGAAGTAGAAGAAAGTGCCTGAAATATATATATATTCAATTACCAACGTGCGCGATGATGCTTCAGATGAACTCACAGCTGTTGCAGTCGTTATGTTCAAGAAACAAGGCAGCCGAGAGTATCACTCACCCCTATATAGTGCAGTTAGTAGTTGTATATGAACTCGGTGCAGAATACCCACCGCATTTGTATTCGAGAATGGAACATTCCCTACATGTCGTCAGTCAAAATAAATGAACATATTTGAGAATACATACCTAGCATATTGACGCTGATTATGAGAGATGGCTCGTTAGCATAGTGTAGCATGATTTAATCCGCCTCGCAAACATACACTGCATATAATATTCCAACATAGCGCACCTAGCACGTAAAAGTTAACACAACTTGCCAAGTGCGCTTATAACGTGAGCTACTCACACCGAAATATAGTAGAGTCATGAAAGTCCAGCGTCGCTTCTGTCCCGAATAAACTCCATTATCCCGTTTGAGCTTCTGATATAAGATATTGCTTACCCAGACCAGTTCATACTGTTGGAGCATTCTTAGTGAGATGGCTGGGCCAGACATGGTATCAACTTACCTCTTGCCCAAATACTAACGCTTAAATACCATATAGATATCAACTTCGATTCCGTCTGAAAGTATCATTTCGCTCACCCCAGTCGTATAGCACTGCGGCAGAAGATGCAACTGCGAAACCGCATTAAAAGTTAGTTAAGATATCACCAACGTCATCCAAATGATTTGCTCTCCACGAACCTGCAAAATTGCTGTAAGCATGTACCCAATTAATGAACGGCCACCATGCAGGATCATTGACGTAGGTCGTATCGGGATCGTGTGAGACGTAAGTCATATTGGAGAACTTGATGAATGTGCGGTGATGGACTTGATGCCATCCTACGCTTTTATAGTCACAGAACCTCGTTACGTGACACTGTCAGAGAATGAGCTGATCGCGCATATTGAGCGGCGAGTTTCCAAACACTTGAATGGATGAACAGTACTACCGCGTAGTAGCAGCACTTATACGTAAGTAAGGACACCTCGAATTTGACCGTCACCGCCACTCCGAACATGATGTCCCGCGATTTTCGCGCGATCACTTTGCTCTTGATCGTATTGATGAGTCGTTGTGAGTGCTCAAAACCATCAACATGCAAGAATTCCGGGGATCAGCGTTCAGCTTTTGATCAAAGATGGTCGTTGGCTTGGCGCTGACGGGCGGTGCGAGGCTCCGTGAGCGCATGGATCATCTTTCTGATAATCAAGGAAACTCGCCTGAGCGATGAGATATGGTATAGCTCAGGTACATCCCCTAAAGCCTACTAGTCTCCCCTAGACAAATGAAGAATAGTCGCCTCCTGCTCTACTACTAAGCAGGTGTGGACCTGAACTGGAAACGGAAATGAACTACACCAGCGTCCGACGCTAAGAGCAGAACTGGATAGAAGCTGTAACTCATGACCAACCTAGACCAGTACTACCCATCCTGAGAATTTTTAACGCCAACAAGGATCTCTCCTTGCGCCAGGATCCCGATGAGTGTTGGAGGAGTGCCTCTGTTTGAAAGCCGCAGTCTTCAGCCGGCATAGATGGTCAAATATAATATTAGCTGCGACGTCTCAGAACTACGCCATGGCATGATGGGATGTATGTGTCAAGTTTTACGGTTGAACTTATGATAGCGGACCGCGAACTCTCGTTCCGTGGGAATATTTCATCCTTTTCTGAATCCCGAACTTGGTACAAACTTAGCAGGTGACTTTCACCAGCTCAAGGTCACCGGCTCTGGATTCATGGCATGCAGCCCTGGCTCGGAATGAATCTGATGCCAGTGTGGCACCAGGATCACTTTCCGAACTTGTATGTTGTCTATGTATGTCACTCAAGCTCATCGAGAAGGACTTAAGTAAGTAGTTCTTTAATCATCAAGCGATGAACGTAATACTGATTGGATTCTAGGAAGGCAGCCGTTCCTTCTGTATCAGGTTAGCCATGCAGACCGGAGCCTTCATTACATTCAGATCGTGAAAGCATTTGTACGCGGTACTGTAGGTCATTCACTTCTGCTACGAACTGACAATTGTGCACATGTCGTTGCCTATTATTGTTGTGGAATCTATCTTCACATAATGGCTATAGCTGGTCATATTTCATTTACTCACTTCGAAGCCTTAACATTGTTCGCCTTGACGATACTGCCGGGATAATTGTCGACGAACCATCATTTAAAGCGGCCCAGTCAAAATTGTTGGTCAGAAAGATGGTTGCATCCAGATCCCTGCCATCTCTACTCATCCTGCCGGTGCTTGCCTTCCTCTCGCTGTCAGCGAGAGCCTCGCTTCGCCCTCTGACATCGTCGGGCACTGCTACTCTCCAGCTCGGCGTTAAAATCAGCTCAGCCGGAATCAAGAATGTCGCCGCCGCCGATCGAGCGCGAGCCCAGGCCTTACTGCAAGATAGCGGCAGCTCTTCCATCAGTGCAACCAACGCTGTGGTGATATACACCGCTGAGGTTGGCGTAGGGAGTCCACCAGCGTACTGTAGGCCGCTTGTGTTCCAGTAGCTTCTTGACTTGACGAACTATACATTTCATACAGACACGCTCCTGGTAGACACTGGAAGCTCGAATACCTGGATCGGGGCGAACAAGCCTTACGGGAAGACTAATACGAGCCAAGATACAGGCAATTCATTCGTGAGTGTTCGTAGCTTCTACTTTCTACTTGTTATTCACAATACCAATTCTTTGCTAGTATATTGCATACGGTAGCAGCAGCGATTCGACTTCTGCTTCTGGAGAGGAATACTTGGATACTGTAACATTCAGCCCCGACCTGGTCATCGAAAAACAATCTATTGGTGTCGCGACTTCCACCAACATGTCGGGTGACGGTCTGGACGGAATCCTTGGCGTTGGACCGGTTGACTTAACGCAACGCACTATCAGCAATGGAAAAGAAGTACCGACTGTGGTTGACAACCTTTATGCGCAAAAAAGAATCGATTCAGAAGTACTCGGGGTGTTCTTCTCACCTGTCTTCACTGGTGATATTGGTGGCGAGCTCACCTTCGGCGGTTATGATGCTTCCAAAATTATTGGAGACATCAACTATGTGCCTATCACATCAACATCTCCAGCGAGTAGATATTGGGGCGTTGATCAATCTATCAACTACGGGGCCACGTCGATTTTGAAGAAGACAGCTGGTATTGTTGACACAGGAACCACTTTTATTCTCATTGCCACTGGTAGGTGTCCTTTACGAGATCAAAATGCTACTAACGTGCAGTTTAGATGCCTTCAACAAATATCAGTCGGAGACGGGTGCAACCCTCGATGCAACCACTGGCTTGCTAAAGGTCTCACTCGAGCAATATAACGAGCTTTCATCCTTGTATTTTGAAATCGGCGGCGTGACTTATGAGCTCACCCCAAATGCGCAAATCTGGCCTCGATTGTTGAACAGCGCCATAGGCGGTACCCCCGATGGCATCTACCTGGTTGTTAGCGACCTCGGGAGCAACTCTGGTTCTGGCTTCGATTTCGTCAACGGTTACTGTTTCTTGTATGCTACTCCAATTTTACTTAGCAAGAAGTTGCTGAATCATGCATTCCCAGGGAGCGCTTTTACTCGGTATTCGACACGACGAATTCCAGAGTCGGGTTTGCCGAGACTGCGTATACCAATACCACGTCCAATTAATTGTGTGGTCCCTCGAAAGATGAGGGTTTTACCCGTATTGACATATGATATTATATAAATATCTCAAGTACTTTTGTTTTTGACCATCCTTTCGCCAGTACTACGCATCTTGCGTACGAGAACAGCAAAATGAAGAGCAAATTTCTGTTTGAGTTGGTTGGGCCCCACGATGTTGTGTACGTGCTCCTACGGCTGCTGAGATTGAATGACTGGCGGATATGTCTAGTAGGTAAGGTTCTTGCAATGTACAGGAAGGCTTCCCTCATACCGTATATGCCAGACGGGAAGACGTTGACGTATCGATACGAATACACCGGGACTCCAACCGAAGCTTGGTAACGTATTATTGGTTCGGGAAGTATTCTTTCATAGATTTGCAAAATGCTTAACCTGATCTCTTCACCGGCAGGCGGCGCATCTAGTACAAAAACTCAGAGCATCAAAGAGCATTGTCGATTTGTTGTAAACGCACTTCGTGGTGTTCGATGGCCTCACAGATACCAAAGGTTAGCCCTCCAGCAGATTCGCTAGCAGGACTGATATTGAAGCCACTGTGCAGCATGCTCAAATCCTTGTCGTTGGCGGAGGTCCCGCTGGCAGCTATACCGCCTCGGCCCTGGCCAGGGAAGGTCTCGACGTCGTGTTATTGGAGGCTGCCCAGTTCCCTCGGTAATAGACTTGTCCAAAATATTCATGCGTCCCCCTTGACAATTATCATGTAGGTATCACATCGGGGAGAGCCTAATTCCCTCAGTTCGTCACTATCTCAGGTTCATTGACGCGGAGCAAAAATTAGTCGAGATGGGGTTCAAGCATAAGGTGCGGCTAAAGTTTTCTCGAATAATAGGACCCAATGATACATTGTCAGAAACAGCCCGGAGCTGCAATGAAGTTCAATCGATTCAAACGGGAAGGATGTGAGTGACAACAGCAATAGCAATGAGCCGAAGAGATACTTACCCCTGCTTTCAGACACTGACTTCGTTGCGCTTGGGCATACTAATAGTTCATGGAACGTAGTATGTACTTGACCTCTCTTCTTTTCTTGAAACCTAATGCTCCAATTAGGTGCGCTCAGCATTTGACAAGATGTTGCTTGACCACGCGACATCCTGTGGAACAAAGGTGTTTGAACGAACACGAGTGAATACCTTCCGTTTCTCTGCAGCTGAGCCTTCCAGACCTGTGACTGCCGAATGGCTATGTGCTGCAGATGGAGAAACTGGAGTGATTTCATTCGATTATCTTGTTGATGCATCCGGGCGCTCAGGGCTGATGTCTACCAAATACTTACACAACCGTCATTTGAACGCATCGTTGAAGAATATTGCGCTGTGGGGTTACTGGGCGGGAGTCGATACATATGGCATGAATACCCCAAGGGAGGGTGCCCCTTGGTTTGAGACACTGACAGGTACGCATCGTGTTGTCTTGTATGGTGAGAATGCGTTGATTGAGCCGATATGTACCAGACGAATCCGGCTGGGCTTGGTTTATTCCTCTACACGATGGCACAACTTCAATAGGCGTCGTTATGAATCAAGATGTTTATAACGAGAAAGTTCGTGCCTTGAAAGGCAGTTCTCTGGAAAATCGCTATCGGCTTTTCATAACCCTCGCCCCAGCACTAGTCAAGCTTATTGGAACTGGCAGGATAGTACCAAAAGAAGCTGCTGGGGAGAAACCTGGGCAGCTTGACCAACTGGTACGATCAGCGTCTGACTTCAGCTACTCCGCTTCGAGCTACGGGGGACCTGGTTTTCGTTTGGTTGGGGACGCTGGTGGTACGGACTCGAATATCACCTTTGTCTACATGATGAAACTGATACACGAGCCTTCAGCGTTCATAGATCCCTTCTTCTCCTCGGGGATACACCTCGCAACGACCTCCGCACTATCAGCAGCAGTATCCATATGCGCTGCAGTCCGAGGAGATTGTTCAGAAGCCGAAGCAGCCGCATGGCATACGAAAAGGTTTTCACTGAGCTACACAAGGTTCGTGCATAAGTAGATGGATTTGCTCTTGCTGATCAGAGTGCCATGCGCAACGTAACCCACATAGATTCCAGATAGTCGTGATGAGCGCCTATCAACAGATACGATCTACAGATCTTGATATTCTGAGCGACATCGATGAGGACAATTATGATCGGGCATTCGCTGCCATTCGACCAGGTACTATCATTGCATAGTATGGCAAATTTCAAAGATGCTTATGGTCATCGTCACACAGTAATCCAGGGTGCATCGGAAATGGGGAGTCGGTTGAGTGAGAAAGAGCTCCAGAGTGCACTACAGTTCTGCAGCAAGTGCTTTAACCCGACGTCGCCTGAGCACCTTGCACCCCATTCGAAAGAAGCCCTTCCAAAGGATATGTTCGATGTTACAGCCCCGCTCATGGATCCACACGCTATCGAAAGCATTATCTCGAAGACTTTCAAGCAGATGAATCCAAAAGGCGACCAGGACTTTCGTAGACCTGAGGAAGATCTGAAACTCGCTCTGGATCAAATCAATGGCCGAAGAGTCGTGCATCGCGAGTATGCTATCAATAATCTCGAGGCTGAGGATGTGAATGGGTTTGTTGTGAGGTTGCGGAGAGGACATCTCGGATTGATGCGCACGTAGTTGATTGATAATCGTTGCCCGAGCCGCACGGGCCCGTGGACGTCGGTCCGACATCTTCGTCAAGACGCATCTGAAACGGCCGGCGGGAACGGCGGACCTGCGGAGGGGGAGGGGCAATTACTCGGGGCATTTGCGAACTTGGGCCAATGGACATAATTTGAACCAAATAAAAATCGTTGTCCTATGTTTGAGTTTAACGTTTAGGGACTGGCGGGGATGTGTATAGTCACGTGATATAATTTAATGTCGTCTACCGTCGTAGTACGTAAGTTTTGTCAATCTTCAATGATTCTTCATGGTCAGTTGACTGACTCGGAAACTCAGCTCAACTCGTCACGGTGTTGAACCTGTCGCCCGACTGCATGCCAATGCCGATGGACGTCCGGTGCAAAGCATCCCGTTAATATGTGCTGTCTTGATAGAATGAACTCGGATTCGCCGTCTTCCTCCGTCTATGATATCGGTCTTCCTGGTGGGAGAGCGTAACCAGGCTGTCTACTCATCTTTGCTTGCAGTGAGTGCGTTTTTTCCGGATTTTCCCTCGTCGTGATAAATATATATATGATCAAGATTTCCGAGTCATAGTGGCACAACAAGCTTTGCAAAATAGCCATAACAGTTTTTTCAGACATATGCATAAACGTGAATGCTTTGGATCTTGGTATGATTGATTCTGAGACTCCTTGGTACGGTTGTGGTTCATGGCATGCATGTTTCGCTTATACCGATATGATGAATTGACGTATTTCTCCAGGCCAGATGCAGGTAGAAGAGTGCGATGCCATACCCGAAGCATTCGAGTTTGCACATTTCCATGGGTTCTCTGCTATCTCCATCTCATAGGGCGAAGTGTTTCCTTTGGTTAGCGCTCAGAATCATATTTCAAAGGATGTTCTTTACGCCGGTTAACTCGATATGGTAGGCAACATACTTGATCGCGATGCTAATCTAACATGTCCTGATAGTCCAAATATCGAGGTAAATCCTCTGAACGACCACTAGTCGACGCGAGGTTCTTGGCTCGTGCACGTAGCGACGAATCGCCTTCTGATGACGTGCAGCAATGTGGATATCACAGGAACAGAACATCTAGGAAGTTCACCTTAGGCCTGCGCTCCACAAGATAAAGATACAAGACTGTGGATATCGCATGGTCAAGTTGGCAGCCAGCTCATATAAAGTCTTGATGATTGAAGCTTGAATTCGAGCTGATCTTATCCCTCACTCGGCTTTTCGAACACCTTCGACTTGCCCAAATGAAGTTCCCTTTTAAAGCTTTCCTGTCGATTCTCTTCGTTGTGTTGCCCTCTGCGGATGCATCTCCCTTGCGCCGTGACACTGGCAAGGCAACCCTCAGCTTCGCTGCTAGGGTGAACGCCAGAGGTGCTGTTAATGTCGCTGATGCCGACAGGGCTCGTGCTCAGGCGATGAAGCAGGCTGGTTCCATGGGCAAGCGTGCAGGCAGATCCTCTTTCACCATAGCCAACGGTGTCGTTACTTACACTGCCCAAGTTGGTATTGGCAGCCCCGCCACTGAGTGTAAGACTGACTGTCAGATGGCTTCAGATAAATTCTGACTAGACGACTTATCAGACACACTCCTCATTGATACGGGCAGCTCCAACACCTGGTTAGGCGCAAGTGCCCCATACAATCCCACTAGTACTAGCGTGGATACTGGCAACACTGTTGTATGTCTTTTCACATACTCTGCTCATAAAAAGTGGCTTATGACCACCTTGTAGTCTGTGTCTTATGGTTCCGGCAAGTTCTCTGGAGAGGAGTACACGGACACTGTTACTTTAAGCACTGGCCTGGTCATTGCCGAACAATATATTGGAGTGGCGAGCAGCGCAGACGGCTTCGATGGCGTGGATGGAATTCTCGGAGTCGGACCGGCTGACCTGACGGAGGGCACCGTTTCCAACGTCAATACAGTCCCTACTGTCACAGACAACCTCTATAGTCAGGGTATTATCGGCACTGAGACACTCGGAATCTACTTTGTTCCTCCCTCTGTCCCTGACAGCGCTGGCGAGCTCACCTTTGGTGGGCACGATGGCTCAAAAACAACGAGCTCAGTGACTTACTTCCCTCTCACGACTACGACACCTGCTAGCTATTACTGGGGTATCGACCAGTCTATTTCCTATGGACATTCCACCATTTTGTCTGAGACTGCTGGTATTGTTGATACTGGCACGACTCTCATTCTCATCGCCTCCGGTAAGATAAGTTACTCATAAATGGGTTGTCCCACATTGACTTTGACGAATGTTAGATGCGCTGAGCAAGTACCAGACTGCCACTGGTGCTACGATGGATGAGACTACTGGTCTCCTGATGATCACCTCTGGTCAGTATGATAAGCTGAAAACCCTGACCTTCAAGATCGGCGGCCAAGCCTACGGTCTGACCCCCAACGCCCAAATTTGGCCGCGTTCCCTCAACGCTGACATAGGCGGCGCCAGTGATAGCATCTACCTTATCGTTGGTGATATCGGCAGCAACTCTGGTTCTGGCTTGGACTTTATCAACGGTTATGCATTCCTGTTGGTGTTTAAGTGACCTCGGTTGGTATGAGACTGACGAGCTGTCATACAGTCAGCGCTACTACTCTGTCTTCGACACCACCAACAACCAAGTTGGCTTCGCAACCACTCCACACACCGATGCTACGTGCAACTAATTTGCTGAATTGACGCTCATAAGCACATGTGAACGTGTGTTTTGAAGCTATAGATGGTTATTCGGGACCGATGGGGCTTTGCGAGTAGGGTAACGTCGAGCGTGTCGTTCATTGGAAGTTCATTGCTTTTCAAGATGTTCCGTCAAATTACTTAAGTTACACTGATTGTAGAACATGTTGGGTCGGGCTCAAATACAGGGAACTGTTGAGCGGTACGTACACATGTGCGGCTGCCTACATAACAGTATGTAGATAATGCCATGATTTGCGTCAAGGCTTATCTCGAGACATTTACGCCTCGGGTAAAATGCGATATATTACATAAATGCCGACCGGAAATTCCCGAAATATTAAACGTTCGACTCCGGAACCATAACATTATGCCGGGGCTGCACATGCTGCTGCATACTCATTAATAGCGCTGAGGCCAGCCTGTCAAGAAAACATGGTGAAGGTGAACGCAGTACAGTACTGAATACTGATTTAATCGATCATGCAAACGTTGGGCTCGTTCCGCCATGATCAGCCATATAATACGTGCAGCAGTAAACTCCCAGCTGGACTCAGCAGACTCATATTCAAGACCTGTCACATCGAGCGTCAGCTGCGCTTATCACCGGTGAAGATGATCTAACATGCAGTGCAGAGAACAACAAGTGACTAGTCTAGTGACCACGGAATATTCATGTATGGACATGTTTGGTGTGATCTGAATCATTAATATCCTGTACACCGGTGACCCTTCCCCTTCACCGCGCACAGGGTCTTCTTCATCTCTCTTATCCTCTTTCCGCAGTGCTCATCTGAACTCCAACAGACCCTCCAAATCGAATTCCAAGCGTGAACAACGGATCTAGCGATGAGCCGCCAGCCGATCTCGCGACACACCTTCACCGCACTCAATAGCACTTTCATCGTCGACGGCGAGTACCAGTTCGTCAAGGAGCTTGGACAGGGCGCGTACGGTTGCGTCGTCGCTGCACGCCACCGTAGATCAGGCGAGGGATGCGCGATCAAGAAGATCACGAACATTAATACCAAGGTATCTATATCTGCTTGTTTGTTTCATGCCAGGCTGATCAGACGCCGTACCATAGCGGATCCTCACCAAGCGATGTTTGAGAGAGATTAGGTGCGCTATAGATTCATCTACACCCTGAGTATAGTACTGATGGGACGAATCAGATTGTTACACCATTTCAGGGGACACAAGAACGTACGCCAGTCATGCGTACTTTGGGTCTACATTTTATATTCCACCACAGATAACATGCCTATACGACATGGATATCGTCTTTCAACCCAGCGGGAACTTCGACGAAGTTTACCTCTACGTCAGTTGGCCGCTTTATTCGTTTTTTGATCCTACTGATCCCTACATCAGGAGGAATTGATGGAGGCTGATCTTCATGCCATCGTACGTCCTCTCTGATTTCTACTGATTGACACTCAAAAATCGACGGTGTTTGCACACAGATCCGGTCTGGGCAACCGCTCACCGACGCACATTTCCAGTCGTTCCTTTACCAGACCCTCTGCGGGCTTAAATACATTCACAGTGCTAACGTGCTCCACCGTGATCTCAAGCCAGGAAATCTTCTTGTCAACGCAGACTGCGAGCTAAAAATATGCGACTTTGGCTTGGCTAGAGGGTGCGCACGTCTCTCAATAATACATTTGCACTCCAAGGACTGATTTTACGTTATATTTAGCTTTACCCCCGGTGGCGGCACGAGCAAGAGTGCCGGAAACCAAGGGTTCATGACGGAGTACGTCGCAACGCGATGGTACCGCGCGCCAGAAATTATGCTTAGCTTCGCAAATTATGTGCGTGAGCTATTTTCCTTCGTCTATCACGTCCTTGTCCTCGGTATCATTTATTTTAGCGCTTAAGTGTTGTCTTACTCTGGCTGACCATGATATTCACAGACAACGGCCATCGACGTCTGGTCTGTCGGCTGTATCCTTGCCGAGCTCTTGGGCGGCAAGCCTATTTTCAAAGGACGGGAGTAGGTTCATTCTCACTTTATTATGGGCAATTTGCACATACATTAAATCGATGAAAATGATACTGACAGTCGATGAATTTTATAGCTATGTCGACCAACTGAATCAAATTCTTCACTACCTCGGTACGCCCTCCGAGGACACCCTCCGCCGCGTGGGGTCCCCAAGGGTATGTGCTCTGTCAAACTTGTCGATATACTCAGCTCACCCGAATCATGCAGGCTCAAGATTACATCCGTTCTCTCCCCATCAAGCCACGCGTGCCTTTCCAGACACTCTACCCGCATGCCAACCCACTCGCCATCGACCTCCTGCAGCAGATGCTTTGCTTCGATCCCGCAAAGCGCATCAGCTGTGAGGCCGCGCTCAACCATCCGTATCTGCAGGTGTGGCACGATCCCGCCGATGAGCCGGTCTGCGATACCGTAAGTTTTATATACCCCGTGTGAAGATCGAGTGTGCTCAAATTAGGTTGACGCCCTCAGAAATTTGACTTCTCGTTCGAGGAGGAAGACTCTATCGAGGGAATGAAGAGGCTCATCATCGAGGAGGTCCAATCGTTCCGTGCAGAGGTGCGCGCGCAGGCGAGGGCCACAGGCCAGATCAAGAGACAAGATAGGTCAGTATCATTTCCTCCTTTCCTGTACTTCATTACGGACCTGCTCATCAAACCACGCTAGCTTGCCCATCCCCTCACGGGACGAGATTATCAGCTCGCCGGTGCAGGAGTACGGCCCCGTACATGGCGCGACGTCTGGCTACACCACGTCGTCCCAGCGCCCTCCGTCGCCAGTCATGGATGACCCTAGCGATGCGCTTGAGAAGGAGCTCGCGGGGACGCATATTGGGAGGCGATGATCGGTCCACTAGTCAATTGGTTTGAGGACAATTTCTTGCTTCGCGTTTGTTCTTCTTGAGTGTTGTGACTGCCTGTTAGAGCGTTTCGTATGTACGGAAATGGAGGACGTAATCTGGAAAATACAAAGATGCTACATACATATATTTACTACGTATACCTGCACCGGTCGTACTGGAATCTGAATCGTTTGTCGTATAGTGATAGCAAGATATCTAGCGAGATATATAACGTTTGTCCGTTGCATGTGAAGTTGCAGGTTGCGCACCGGTACTTCTGCGTACAACGCCGCCACACATCGCCTGAACTGAAACATTGAGATCACCCACTGAGCGACACCGAGAATCACCGAGCTGTCTAGATTTAGGGCTCTAGGTTACAGTATCTCGAGGCCGTTCGAACCCCATTTGGTCACCTCAGCTCTCGAAGTTGTGAAATGCATCAACACTTGATGCATTGATGACGTACTGACCGAGCCAGCTCAGGCCCCCGAAGGTTTAACTCAGTCGTGTTGGATCAACTAACGTCGGTTTGGACATTTTACCACTTTTTGCCAAAATTGCAATCAAATTGCAATCTAGACCTCTCCCGAGCGTTCTAGGCTTGGTCTGGAATGCTCTAGCCAGGTCTAGATCTCCTTTGATTGAAATTTTGTGAGATATAAAATGTCGAAACTGCCGATGCTGTGGGCATTACTTTTCCGGATTTCACCGTGACTTGGGCCACCAACGCATGGTGGACACGCGTACAGCTGCTACGCACTGAACTCTCCAACTCCGAGTGAATGATGGAGGTTGTCGAGAATGAACCAACAGCATTGCGGTTCCTTCTCTACAACCCCAATCATTCAACAAAACTGGCGTACGCGATGGCTTTGGAACTTTGCGAGAGGCGCCGTGATGGGTCAGAGTCTATATAAAGTTGAGTCCTGCATACCTTACTGCAGACAATACGGCTTGGGCTGAAGAGAACCAAAGATAGCTCAGGGCTTCCAAGCCCGTACTCATCACTAGTAGCACCACTGCCCAAGTGTGACGCTGGAGTGAAACTAAGTAACTTAGCCTTTTCGGTGACATCTCGACGGGCCAGCTTGAATTTCCCTGCGCCAACGACTGCGCCGTTGTACAACATTAAGCTAATAACCTTGAAAGTCATTTACAAGTTGGACCGGGCACGGACTGCAAGGGAATACCAAAGGCCAAACCTTTAGGGCGGGCAGCGCGGCTCTATTTATCACAACATGCGGCAACCTGCAACCTCACTCCCACCAGCAGGTTGCGAACCAGGACTCCAGCCACTGTTCCAGGACCCTTGGCACTCGCACAGAGGCTCTGCGCCAGACCACCCTAAAGTTCGAGCGGACTTGATGATACGCAGGGGAAAACCGGTTGCGTCAGCGATACAGGGCATACACCTTGTATATACTACAATCCTTGCCTATCGGCACCCTCTCAACACCCACAATGGATTTCAGTATGTATCTCTTCAGCTCACCCATCTCGACTTGCATTACTAACCTCGCTTGCAAGAACATCTTTCATATCCTAACAATGCATGTAAGGGTCTATGCAATGTCGTAGACTGCAACGGCATTTTTGATTTTGAAAAACGCCCTGGCAGCCCCCGCTCACGATGCATGAAGTACATGCGTATCGTACTTCAGGATGAGCTAAAACAAGTCCTCGATCAACATGACCAAACGATTATTTGACTCAATGGCCTCATCGGTGTTGGACAAACGATCATCGCGTTTACTGTAGTTGAGCAGATGAAATCGAGGGGAAGGCTTGCCGCGACTTTCTTATTCTCGAGAAACATTCACAAACCGCTGGCAAGATTATTCCTACGATCATGTACCAGCTAGCACCAGCTTTTCCACGCATTCGAGGCGAGATCCTTCTATCGTCTGACGCGATCAGATACGGGAGTTCGTCACCAATCCACTACACACGTTAAAATTCCGTCAAAAGACGCCTTACGCCATCGTTATCGATGCTCTTGATGAATGCTTTTCCACTGAGGAGGCGGCGAGGTCGGTCACACTGTTGACAGACACGCTTGCGGGTCTACTTGCCACATCATCCACTTGATATTCACAAGCCGCCTCTTGTCTCTTTACCAGAGACAAAGACACCATACAGGATGTCCATCGCTTTCTGCGAGAACCGTTGGGCAACATACAGATAAGTCGTTATGCTGTTTTCGGCCTTTTCACGCGGATACAAAGAGCTTGGCTGTGATACTGGAAGCATTTTCACCCGTTATCTCGAATCCACCCCGCGGGGTCAGAAAAGTTGAGATTTATCACGCTTCGCTCCGCGACTTTATGACGGACCCTCTTCGCTCGAAGCAATACCACGTGGATGATGCACGTGCGAATGTCCACCTTTCATGTTACTGCCTTTAAATCACGAACGGGGACAGAGAAGCATACTCGTATGCCCTTGATTGGTGGGGTTATCATCTTGCTAAGTCCTATCCTAGTAGCAGCAAACTTTTAAGACTGCTTGCTCCGTTTAGGTGGAACTCCGAAGTTCATATGAAATACCGATCCTTCTCAAGCAAACTTTACGGACAATGAGCAAGGCTTCCGTATCCTTGGTGGTTGTTTTGGTTGTAATATGGTGTGTAAGTGGTGTATACTAATCAAAATTGAATTAGAAATGGATCGGGAGCTTGTCGGACGTTACGGTTGCCTGGGGTATTGTTGAAACCTTGAAAAAAGCCGATGGAATCACACAGTGAGTGTAAACGAACATGATATCATGTACGCTGCTTCACGTTCTTCAGACGCGCCAATATACATAGTTCAGGCCTACGGCACGAACACTGATGGGCATAAAATAGGATAAGAGAGCTGGATTTTTCGTGCTACAGGTAGTGGCTTTGCGCGACTTTCTTTCACTTTGGTTGTCATTGTGATCAAAAGTAGTGTCAAAATTTTGGAAATGTCAGACGACTACAAGCTCAGCCTAGCTAAGCAATGTGACACTGACAGCATCGCGGAGATTTTGGACCGAATCGGGTACAATGTGCTTGCGGGGCCGTTGTTCCATGTGCTTTCGCCTCTCAATGTGCAAATTTGGGTATCTCTGCTTCCGCCCAAAGCCAGCCTAGGCTATGCCAGCTGGGCCGTTGCCAAGCTGGAGGCTTGCCGTATAGTACTTTAGACACCTCAATTGTCACCACTCAGCACTGCGGGGGCCATATTTCTTCACTTGCTTCATTATTGGTGGGTGCTTGATCGTACATGCGTTGGTCGACTAACGTGTCCGAAAAGCAGTCACAGTTCCTCGCCTCATGTCGCTTTTCCTTTGTGTCGATTGTGGTGGTTCCAAGACGTCTGCTGTCATCGCAGACAAATCTGGCACGATCCTCGGGCGCGCCCTAGGAGGCCCATCTAACTTTGCATACATGTCTGCGGCTGCATTTACAGATGCTGTTCGTGTAGCAGTATCTAATGCACTAAAGACATGCGTCTCTCCACCGTCTATCAACCCCATTTCCCTCCCTCCCAACACCGAGATATTTGCATCCGCATGGTTCGGCATCTCCGGCGTTGATTCCCTAGCTGCGGTCGCCAATGCCTCAGCAGCGCTCTCCGCTCTCCTCGGAATACCCCTTGGTCCACGGTTAGTCGTGGCCAACGATACACATCTTATTGCTGCCCCACTTCGGCTTCATCCCGATATCAAGCACGCTGTTGCTGCGATAGGCGGCACAGGATCTTGTGTCGTTTCGTTTCAGCACGAGCCCTCGGGCATGCTCAGTGAGCTTGCACGAACTGGTGGGTGGGGGTGGATTCTAGGCGACGAAGGTGGAGGATTTCATGTCGGCCGCGAGACGATGCGTCAAATGATGTACGATGCTGCGCGCTCGTCGCTAGGGATGGAACCGTTACCCCAAAGTAGCCTCAAAGCGAAGGTGCTCGAAAGATTTGGGATCAAGGAGGTAGAGAACGCCCCAGAAGTCCTGCCTGTAGTGCACTTGCCCGAGCCGAGTACAGCAGAGGCGGCTGCCTCCATGCCCTCGTACCTCCTCGAGGCGCGAGAGAAACGGTTAAGCCAGCTTGCTCCACTCGTTTTTGAGGCTGCATTCAAAGACAAGGACCCCTTCGCGCTGAATGTGTTGAAGGTCTGTGCTGAGGGACTTGCGGACCAGATCGCAATGCTCTCCCGTGAGCCTGGAGAGGATCCGAGTTTGAAGCCAAGAGCAGTGGAAGCAAAGGAGACCGTGTTATGTTTTGGAGGGAGCTTGGTTGGCATCGCGGATTATAGGGCGTTGATACATGAGGCGTTGGCGGAGAAGGGGCATGTCTTCAAATATGTTGAGTTCGTTGATGATGCTGCGGCGGTAGGAGCAGTCGGGTTGGCATCTTTAGGGATTGGGCTCATTGAGAAGGACTGAGAGGAACTCCACATAGGTATTGCATAGGTAGCATGTTAATGTTGAGGCAATTTGCGCGATTAAACCTGCCCTAAATATTCTCACGGTCCCGTATAAAGACTACCTTGCGTTTTTTTACATTTCTCTTTAGTGCGGCGACACGGCCAGACCTTCCCCATGTTGCTCATAGCTGCCCATAATCCACGCGGCTGTTCGAGTGTCAGGCCGTGTCCTGAATAATTGGACGTCTTAGCACCCATTATCGCGTCATCCTATTTTTCTGGAGAGGCGATGGGTCGGTGGTTCATACATATTTTGACAAATTTCTGTCCGTAAATACATCCAAGATCAATGATACAACTAGTGCAAGTGAACGTGGATGTTTATTGAAGTAAGAAGAATTCGAGCACGACTGATCCGTGCAACACCCGTATCGTGTCAGCGCGCACCGCAAACAACTCTGGGTACACTGCTGCTCCGTTGAAGACCATAGCTACTATTAGATTAGGTGGCTAGCACAAGTAAACTGAGTCCGATGAGCTGCCTCAAGGCAGAATGTCCGTATCGAGAGGTTCAACTGTGGAAATGGTTGAGAGAACTGTGGAGATGATCGAGAACTGCGGAACTGAGTCAATGAGCTGAGGCAGAATGTCCGTATCGAGAGGTTCGACTGTGGAAATGATCGAGAACTGTGAAAATGATCGAGAGAACTGGGCCCAAAACGACCTGGAGATGAGTGTGAAAACGATCTGGATAACGAAAGTTCGTAAGAATGAGACGGTGCAAATGATACCTAAACCTCGAGGCTTGTGGTCCCGAATCCACGATAACGGCTGAGGTACGTATAACTCGTATATGAATGAATAGAAATAGTCAATGGCCACGTGCACGTGGAAACAATGATTGACAATATGGGCTTAACCAAAAACCGGAAGAGTATCTGGGTTTGGGATGGTGGAGCTGACTACCCCCCAATCGCAAGTGAATCGCAAAGGAGGGTGGTCACTGTCAGAGAGACGCCTGAGGATTACGACCTGGGATAATCATGAAATCTGCCTGAGAACAGTTGGGGCACTCCCGGCGATGTCTGGCAGCGAGATCATTCCGAGCTGCCATCGTCGTACTGCAGACGGAGCACTTGATTCTGATACCGATGTGGGTGATGATATGGCGCCCAAAACTTTCCGTCTTCAGCTCCTTCCCACAACAACCACCATCATGGTGAGGTGTGCTCCAGGAACAGCGGTAGGTTCCCTTGTTATCGACTCCAATGCGATGATGTTGGCGCAGGTGGGCGAAGATTTCTTTGAATGTAACCTGAATTTCGTGACCACAAAGCGTTCCTCCGATGTCCCAGCAACAAAGATAGGTACTGTGGTGCTTGTGGGGGTGCTTAATATAGTATGGCTTGGAGCGATTAGTGTTGCAATTACACACAGGAAGGTGAGGTGATAGCCAGGAACTATCAATGATGTCGTGGAAATCGCTCAGCAAGTTGTCCTGCATCGTGAGAATGGGGGAGGGGACATGGGGTCGAGAGATGCTCAGTTCCGTTGTTTGGGTGTTCATTGGCGAATAAGAGCCCGTGGACATAAAATCTGGATACAAGCGCGACCAAGTAAGAAGGACGCTCTCAACCATCATAAGCGCTCTCACCAGACCAGTGGTAGATGAGAGGATGTCTTGGCTGCGGCGCATGCAGTCCAGTCAAATCACCATTGTCTAGCAGATCATCGGGCTGAAGAAAATTAAAAGGGCTAGAGGAATCCATAGAAAGTGTTGTGCTGTTAAAGGAGGGGAAAGTTCAGTTCACTGTGGTCTTCCAGCATGTCGCCAGGATATTTATCATCACTGAAATGCGTGCACAGCACCAGAGTAGGAGCAGGGTCGGGTCGTTGCAGTGGAAGGTACCGAAAGAACATGAGCGTGGCGAATTTTGGCAGAAGTGAACGTGCCAAACTACTCACACATGACATCAAACACAAAGATCTTGCCATCGATAGTTCTTCTTCGTTCCTATCCCAACGGAGATCAGCCTCGTGAACGATGATAAATTCACTAAGCTAGTCACCGTTGGAAGTTGGAATGGAACCTTGTGGTACCCACATCCTACACGACATAGTATCATGATGAGGGTAAATTGCTAACACATGCTGCGGCAGCCTACAACCCAGTATTAATATATAATGGAGTCAGAAACAGAGCGAGACCCGCCAATAAAATATACGAGCACAGATTGTCACGGTCAAGTCATGTGAAAATTGACTTACCAATAGGCTGCCCAGCAGATATTCATGAAGCATGAAGGCTTGATGATGGAGCGTAAAAGTACTTTGCCCATTCCAAAGGATAACGATAACGTGACTCACGTACGTAATGATAAGAAGTCTTGACACTGGCCATGGCATGAATGCATGACCAAATATTGACGTCCTCAATTGTTCGAAACAATATACTTCTCGTGCCATGCCCTTGCTGCACGCCTTCATGTGGCTGCATCATGACCTGCTTTCCCTGATTCAAGTTCTCGCACCACTCACATGATGGCTGTGCTACTTTCACGGGCCTCCCCGAGTCTATCGACGTCTATCTCCGGCTCCAAGTAAGTACATGTATTTCATGGTACCCATACCGAGGACTCAAGTTGTCCCTTGCCCCCCCCCCCCCACGAGCTCTGCGTATATCTCACTTGTTTGCACCTCCTCGTGCCCATATTCACCCGCTAGAGGATAAAACAAAAATCAGGCTAAATGTTGCCTAGGGCTACAAATGATATACGGGGAATTCAGCAAGTAGTATTGGTCGACTTCCCCACGTGCTTCATGATACAACTTCATGCATCCCAGACCTACACAATGCGAATCCGACGGTCTGTGATTCTGCAGTAGTAATTTGGCAAAAGTGAAAGGATATGAATTCGAGGGGAACATTCAACCTGTGAAAGAAGATCCATCCGGGCCCTTCATATATTGACATTCCAAGATCTGTCGATCAAGATCAACACCGAAAGGCACTCATATTGTGCATACATGGTGAGGCAGCGTGTTGGTTCGCATGTGCACGGAAGATGAGCCATGGACTTGAGGTGGAGCCGCGCCATCACGCTTGTTTTCGCTGTCGTCCTCAAGTATTATCTTTCGCATCCGGCAGCTTGTATCATGTATACGGTCGGTCTACAATCCGCTGCCGACACATTTCTTCTTTCTAGCCTGAAACTGAGTTGTCTCGTGGATGAAGCATGGGAAACGTGTTCCTTGATGATATTTATATTTAAAAATATATAAATACAAGCACTTGTATGAATAAAATACATATCCGTACACAAATCTACAAAAAATTGTCAATGTCCGCAAGCAGAAACCTGATCGGCAACTCTGCGTGCAAGGAGGGTTCAACGTTCAACGTTCAGCACAGACGCCCATAGAAGTGGAGCCCCGAGGCGCCAGTCTCAATACTCTTCTGAACTGCGACCGAAAATTAATTAAAAGAACTGAGAGTCGCGCTCTCGGCCAGCTGAGAGAGGTTTAACTGGAGATCATATTTGGGTTTCAGGTAATGGAGCTGCCATGAGGACTGAACACTCACATATCACGGGGAAAACGCCTCAGTATTACGAGCTGGGACAATCATGAAATCTGCTTGAGAGCAATTCAGATGACGACGACGATGCCTGGTGGCGAGGTCATTCCGAGCCGGCATTGTCGTATCGCAGATAGAGCACTTCATTCTGATACCGGCGTGCTTAATGATGTGACGCCCATAACTTTGTAACCTCAGCTGCTCCTCACAGCGACCGTGAGCTGTAACCCAATGACAGCGGTAAGTGTCCTTGTTGCCGATTCCGATGTGATGATCCTGGCGCAGGTGGGTGAGAATATCCTTGGGTGTAGCCTGAAGCTCATCACCACAAAGGATTCCTTCGTTGTCCCACCGACAGAGAAAGGCGTCGTGGTGCGTATGGGGATATGCGTTACGGTACGGCTCGAATCGACCAAAACCATGGCTACGAGGAGGGTAAGATGGTGAATTGTCGGAGACGTCGGCAAAATTCTCAAGCAAGCCGTCCTGCATCCCGAGAATGGGAGAGGGTGCAGAGGGTCGAGGGATGCTCATTCCCATTGTCTGGTTGTTCGCCTGCGAGTAAGAGTCCATGTACGTAGATCCTAGATGAAAGAGATCACCCAAAGTGAGAAGGGTGCTTCGCCAATCATAAATATTAATATCTCACCAGACCACTGATGAATGAGAGGACGGCTGGGCTGTGGTGCATGTAGGATATAAGGAGGCCATACGGTGCCATCAGTTCCGTTTCGACTAGAAGAATTAAGCTATCACCAATGAATGCTAAAATCATGAAGAACGGACGCACTTTTCGAAAGGAATAGTGGTTGGATGATCCGGATCATCAGTGGGCACAAAATTAACGTGTGAACCTGCGGGTTGGTGGGCAGAGACAGATGTGTAATAAGCAAGTGACCCTAGCAGACCACCAAGGTTAAGAAACGCATCAGAAGGATCCATAGGTACCGCTCAGCAGACACCGTCGCTCTGCCCTTTAAGTATGAATTGTAGGTCTTCTAGTATGTCGACAGGGACAGGTACCCGCATGTTTATCATTATGAATGCCTGCAATACCAATAGTGGCATACAGCGGCGGTGTAGGAGCTCGGTTGGGAGATGATGCATGACAGCGGAATGCTGTTGTGGCAAATATCTGCAGAGAACATCGTGAAAGGTGGACGTGACCATCTACAAAAACCGGCCAACAAGACTATTTTGCCACTGATAGTTCTTCCCCTAGAAGCTGTAACGGAGATGATCATCGTGAGCAATAAAATTGACATCAGAACCATTGGAAGTTGGAACAGTGGCACTGCCCAAGCCCCGAAGACGTACGAGGGCTTGCCAATCCGTGTAGCCGTAGGCCCCACATTAATAATATAGATGGGCCAACAGAGGGAGTGACGACAACGTTTTAGATACCAGAAAGAGTATATGATATCTATGAAGTCTTGATGAAGACGGTCGTTGGTTGTTTGTGTTACATGATCCGGAGCGGCCTGCTTCCGCTGTTTCTAAAAACTTCGGGACAAACAAGCAGACCGTAGTCTCCGCCCGAGGCTTTTGCGTATTTGCCTCGCACAAACCTCGCCTGCGCCGTCATGGTCCAAACAGCAATGGTGCTCTGTGCAACAAGATTGCCTGTATTATCCTTTCAGAGAGTAATTGGCGGTAGAGCGGAGGTTATGCATTTTCCGTTTCCCTTTCAATAAACGGAACTTTCGCAGGATCAAATTGTGGAAGGTGGATGCTAAGCGCTAAGCTCTAGTATGCAACATACAGTGGTGAGGCCGATGCGCGTCTTGGATTTGCAACGCGTTACCCTTGCGAGCTTTGTTATGTAATATTGAATAATTGTATTATACCCTTCGGCCGAAGGGCACGGCCCTATGTAAGTAAATGTAAGGAGTAATAAACCGGATTGTCTTTGAATTGCCGGTATGCTTTCGCCCAAAACGACTGAATGTGCACATATGTCCGCGACATGATAGTCTCGATTTCTCGCCATCGAGACTTGGTCAATTCACGCTAATCCATTGATATCTGACATCACAAAGAAAGGTCACCCAATTGCAAAATGTAGAGAAATGCTCCGAGCGACGGTCAACGATATCACATCAGTCTTCACACGGCACGAGAACCTCTTTTCAATGGATCCCATGTGATGGTACGACCTCTTATTTACTAGCTTATGTTCTCTGCGCACGACCGTATGGCATGCCGCCGCCACTTCGCGTCCATACCTACCAACATTATGATCGTGCGTGTTCTATCGGAATCTATGTCCCTGCTATCTCACAATCTCACAGTGTTGACCACCATGCACTGCCTAGATTGCGAACTGGTTATAGTTCTGAGGGAAATCGTTGGCAGTGGCAATGTCACCAGCCCTAGCCTACAGATATATTTACATATCGGTGACCATCTTCATCGTTTGATCCACTGGTTCCGGAAGCTCTGAGTATGTTAGAACTGATCTCATCCATGAGTCATAGCGGAAGCAGATTCCACACAGGACAAGAGAGATAGATTTCAGGCGATTGACTCTTGACTTCGACTCTCGCACCATGAGTGGTGATAGACCAGTTGTATTGGGTACTTGCCCCGAACATACCGCCATGAGGGTAGCACTATACTGATGCCCACAGCAAGGATTGAATTTCAATCTCGAAGATTTACGAGCTGCCGCAAGCGGCACCGCAACCGCTTTAGGACTGGGAAGGCGATTGCTGTAAAAATGACAAGCACTGGGTTGGCCCCACACCAAAATACTCGTGCCGAAGTTCTCCATTAGCCGAATGAAGATAGTCGTTTCTTACCTGGCTTTGATTAGGGTCATTTGTGAGCAATATTCTTCAGAAATCAATTGTCGCTCACCGGATGCTGAGTGTAGGTCCGGAGGCCCAGGCCTTTTGATTGGCGCTCATTCTGGCACTTGCCGGTTCGGTGCGTTAAGCGATTGTCAAACGTATGTTTTCTCACATAAGTTCGACTGCAGCCATCTATTGCCGCCAGTGGTCAGATGTAGAAGTTATAGCACATTGCAGTAAACAGCTGAGAATGATTCAACATTGACCAAAGTATATCCCTTTTGTACCCCCTTTTGTACTCGCCACTGACGCGCGTCTGCATAGGTCTGCATCCGTGCTGGTCCTGGAAGTGTAATTTCCCCCCAGATGGGCCCTGAGTATATCTGATCTATTCCCGCTTCGTATAGCGCCGCTTTTCTCACCTCGTCCTCTAAAGTCATCCTCCTGCAGACTTTCGCGTTGCACAAGACGTCATCAATGTTCAGAAGGTCTCAATCTCCATTTTGAATACATGTATACGGCATTTACTCAGCAAGGCATCGTTCCCTATGCGGTGATTATTCTCTGCGCAGGCTCAAAACGACAAGCTCCTGCGCTACTTTGGACATTGGCAGTACAAATAGCCAATGACCCCTGGGGACACGCGTATGTCATTTGTCAGACACTCGACGCCATTCGGACATGAAGAACAGGCTGATTGCTGCACACTGTGGTGCTCATTGCAACCTGGCTGGTTAATGGCGTTTCGTTGCTGTCGCTTGAGGCGCGGATTATTACTATGGTGGCAAGGAGCTCCTTCCGTGACAAGGACATGATGCAGTTGGCCATCACAGCGGTATCACATTCGTCCGACAGATGAGAATTTTCGGGGGTGCTTCGTGTCTTTGATCCAGAGACACGCCCAGTGCTCATGGTCGCCGTCTGCTTGCCAAATTTCTGTCCAGCCTTGTGTCTTCTGATCCCTGGATGGAGCCACAGTTTCCGAGGAAGATGGATGATGTCGGAAATGGAACGAGGCTGGACCTCGGTTGTATACAGCTAGTCGTCGTGCGCATCGGGTATGGACAGGTAATGAGTCTGCTTCTTCGTCGAATACAGATAGTCGATCCGCAAATTTGATCCTGTGCTAGATCGGAGCACCTTCTCAATAAATTATCTTATCAGATAAGGTGCAATATCTAATTAAAAGTTTGCAAACGTGGCAGTTCCGAAAGTGGTTGCGCTGGGTGAACGCGGTGCATTAGGCCTTAGGCTTGACCAAAGTGATCATTACTAACAGTTTCTTAGCAGAATTCCTAAGCCACAGCCATTCATGAAGACATGAGTCCTCGAAAAATTGCAAGTTCAAGGCGGGCAACGTGGTTAGCCTTTGGCTTGGTGGCACTCGCTGCGTTCTCTGCCTCAGCCCAGCCTCAAACCGTCAGTACTTCAGTGTTATCATGGTTGCATGGTCGTGAATACTAACGTGTTCTTTAGGATAGTATAGAAACCACTCCCCTGGAACGGGAACACGGTGTGCAAGTCCCAAATGACGTATGCAGGCAGATTCAGGACATCCGCGTGTTTGGGCAGTGCTCATTCTTGTATAGGCTACCGTATATTCGGAACCAGAGTTCGACCAGGGTGCAGAGGGTGAGCAAGGTTTCCTTCAGCTCTCCAGAAATCTAATTGTATTCGGCAGCGACGAGAGCATACAAGTCTGCTTTATTCACACTTTCTAACCTCACCGCACATCCGCCGTCGCATACCCATGACGTATTCTCCCAACCGACCACTACAACGCCCTCTCTTCTCTCTGCGCTCCTCCCAAATCCACAAGGACAAGGTCCTCTAGGAAGCGCAATCCGCATAGCAATGAAACTTCGTCAACAATTCTTTCTTTTCCGTCTGTTCAGTGGACCCAGTGGAAGTGCTGCGAGAAGAAAAGATGAGGAGATGCGCGGCAAGGCAATAAAAGTGGTGGATTTGCTGCAACACTCTGCTGAGCTAGGGAACCTGGATGCGCTTTTTACGCTTGGGTATATATCTCTGGTAGGCCTTGCTTCCACGTGTTCCAAAACTTAACGCGCTAACTTATATGTGTAGTTCCCTCCAAGCTCCCATTTCCCTTCCGACCCTGAACTCGCATATGATTCACTCTCGCACCACGCAGCACTGACAGGCAACGCTTCCTCGCAAGCTCTTCTCGCATTTTTCCATGCAACAGGTTACGCTGATGTCGTCCCCATCGACCAAGCCCAAGCATTATTGTATTACACATTTGCTGCTCAGGGCGGCCACAAGGGTGCACAGACGGCTCTGGGATATCGATACTGGAGCGGTATTAGCACAGTCGAAGACTGCGGGCGCGCAGTTGAATGGTACGAGGCTGCCGCAGATGAAGGTGAATGAACGACAGTTCCTGAGTTTCCGAAGTTCTTACAAACCATTACAGCGATGTCAATGTTCCTGTCTGGTCCTCCTGGTGGCAGGACCCTGCCACTGACCGCAACGCGACTGTCTGATCTAGATGGGGGTGTGTTCGGGCCGGGCGCCAGCGTTGCATCCACCGGCTTGAATGTTATTAAGCCCGCAGTTAAGGCTGGCCTAGCACACACTGCTGGTGAGACGTGGGACGACGTTCTCGAGTACTACATCGTACGTTTTTTATATATCTATGATGTCATTCGCTCTACTCACGTAAGTTTAGTTCAACGCCGACAGAGGAGAAACAGACTTTGCATTCAAGTTAGGGAAGATCTATTACCAGGGTAGCATCTATGCTTCTGCGGGTGGTATCGGCTCTGGCTCGGAAGGCGTTGGACGTGTCCCTCAGGACTTCCAACAAGCACAGTCTTACTTCCTCCAGATCGCACGGCAGGTCTGGCCTCGTGACCCTGCGAACCCATTGCAGCATAACACACCTGGCTACAAGGCAGAAAACATCAAGCAACCTGGATACGCAGCAAAGAGCGCGGCATATCTCGGGCGGATGTATCTCCGGGGCGAGGGCGTGAAGCAAGACTATGAAATGGCCATGATGTGGTTTGAACGAGGGGTCGAGTTTGAGGAGAAGGAGTGCCACAATCTATTGGGTACCATGTGGAGAGACGGGCTAGTGCCTGGACGCCATGATATGAAGAAAGCCCTTGGGTACATCAACAGGGCCGCAGGTCAGGAACTCGCAGAGGCTCATGTCAATCTTGGAAAGTACAACTACTGTGAGTTTATCTTTCTTCGAACGAACTTTTGCATTCACTCAACAACAAAACAGACCGCGGCGAATTCAAACTCGCCATCACGTACTTCGAAACTGCAGTACGCTTTGGCTCGACGTTTGAGGCTCACTTTTACCTTGCGAAGATCCACACCCTGAACATGCGTATTGCAAATCAAGATTTTGCAGCAGGCTTCTGCGCTTCTGCGGTTTCATTCTTCAAACTCGTCGCCGAGCGGGGAGTTTGGGATGATGACCTCCTGACAGACGCCGAAGCTGCCTGGTATAGCGGCACCGAGCGTGGCAAGGAAATTGCGATCCTGAAATGGTGGGTTGCGGCAGAGAGGGGGTCTGAGATGGCTCAGAATAATCTAGCTTACGTTCTAGACCAAGGTAAGCCCAAATGAATGTCGAGGTCCTCGCAATCTGAGCTATTTACAGATCGGAGCATGCTTCGTCTCACGCGGTTTGCCCCTATCGAGGCGTCCAATGATACTGCTCTCCTCGCCCTCACTCAGTGGACACGTTCCGCTGCACAACGCAACATTGATGCACTGGTTAAAGTCGGCGATTACTATTACCACGGCCTTGGCGTCCCAGATGAGCCTGAGGCACTTAGATGGGAAAAAGCGGCCAAGTACTATCAGAGCGCTGCTGATACGCAAGTCAGTGCGTTGGCGATGTGGAATCTGGGCTGGATGTATGAGAATGGCATCGGCGTACCTCAGGTGAGCATTTCTACCCTCGGATGTTACTCGTGGTTAATTAAAACGCTTGACAGGATTTCCATCTTGCGAAGAGGCATTATGATTTGGCGGTCGAGACAAATAGTGAGGCATACCTGCCTGTGCTGCTCTCTCTGGTGAAGTTGTATGCCCGGAGTCTTTGGTACACCCTTCAGGGTGGCAAGGATGGTCTTAATTTGTGGACATATGATGCGGATAAAAGTGCGGCAAGTTCCGCTATGGTCCACAATTTCGGCTGATATGCTTCCAGTGTCCGTAGCAGAAAGGGCTCGCTTGAAGCGGGAAATAGATAGCGGTTCCAAAGAAACGCCTCAAAAGGACGGCAGTGCTCAACCTGCCCTCCACAAGGAGGACAGGGCTGTCGAAGAGTTTGAGGATGATGGAAATCCGTGGTATCTAGGTAAAGCCAGTGAGGATTTCCGTAGACGAAGGCAGGGCGAAGCCGCCCGTACAGCTGCTGCGGCTGAAGAGGAAGATGACCCAGTCCAAGTGAGATTTTTCTCCACCATTTCATCACACGCTTTCTTATCCTGAACTCCAGTGGGCACGAGAGAGAAGGAACGCGGAAAATGAAAGGGATTCTGATTTTGGTCCCGAGGACTATTTTGAGGGTGCTCTTCGTGGTGGACACCAAAGGGAGGAAGAAGTGGACGAATTTACGGAGACGATGCTGTTGGTGGCTTTATGTGCTCTTGTTGCGATCCTGATCTACGTCCGCACGCGGATTGTGCATAGAGCCAGAGGGCAAGAGCAGGAACAGCAGCAAGATCGGGGGGGTCAGAGAGATTTGGGGGTGTTCCCGCCACCAGGTGATCCAGCCCGGCAGGAATGGAATATCGCGCATTAGGGTATTGCACGTTCTTCATTGTGGTTGTAAGTATATAGCCATGACAGCACACCAAAACGTAGCTTTGGGTCATTAGATCCGGTTTGAAACCTTCTAAGTACAAGTCTTGCCGCCACCTATTTATGGATATTTGGCATTCAGCCCCTTGTGCGAGCACCGCGGGTTGTTGAAGTGTCGAGATTCAAGATAACCATCAGCCCTGGGAATCAGCATAACTCAAGCATAACTCAAGCATATCGCTTCCCTGTCTTCTGATTAGGCCCCCATTTCAAACCTAGAGCAGTGTTCCATCCTTACGACGCCTGAGCTGGCACGCAGCATCATTGCCACTATGAGCTTCAACCTGGAAGATCTCGAAGGCCCCATTATGCACATCCTCACTGCTCCAGGCGTTGATTTGAGCACTATCAGCGCAAAGGGCGTTCGGCAGAAGTTGCTAGAGGACACCGCGTTGGGCCTGACTGCTCGAGGACTGAAGGAACGGAGGACAGAGGTGGACACTATGATTTCGAATATTTATGAGGGTGTTAGTCGGCAGGCGCAAGCAGACGAGTCGAAGAGGAAACGCGAGGAAGAAACAGATGAAGGCACGGAGCAAGAAGATCAAGGAGAGGCTACGGAGGAGCAGGACGACCAAGATGATGCTGCGGAGGAACAGGACGCAGAAGCATCGGAAGAGGATGACGTCAAACCGCCAACGAAGAAAAAGAAGCGAGCTGCAAAAAGCGTCGAGGAGGCTGATGCTGAGTTAGCCAGGAAACTTGCATCAGAACTCAACTCTCGGTCGCGGCGTGGCGCGTCAAACGGCGCATCTGCTACACCCAAGAAGCGAAAAACGAAGAAGAGTGCAGCTGTGGTAGATTCTGGTGCCGAGGACGAGGGTGAAGATGGGGAGAAGCCAAAGAAGAAACGTAGCGGAGGTGCAAGGGGAGGCTTTGCGAAGGAATATATCCTCAGGTGCTTCAAATGCCCTGTTCTACGTCTTTTATTACCGTGCGATATCCTCATCTTTTCTTCGTTTTACAGCGAATCCCTGTCAGTGATCGTTGGCGTGGACAAACTATCGCGCCCCCAAGTCGTGAAGAGATTATGGGAATATATTCGTGGTCATGAACTTCAAAACCCCTCTAACAGGCGTGAGATCCTGTGCGACGACAATATGCGAGCTGTTTTCGGTACTGAAAAGGTCGACATGTTCCGGATGAACAAAGTTCTCGGACGGTATGTCTATCCTGACTGCTTCAAGACGCATATTCTCATAATGGTTGTGCATTTAGGCATCTACATGCCCAGTAACAACGCTGGGGAGAGGTATACCAAGCCGACGTGTGTTGTTAGTTCTACAGTGGTTACTGGTGTCTCAGCCACGCATAATTTATGATTTGCAGCGAACCTTCAGAACGACATACGCAACAACAAAGAGACCAGAATGTCAGACTCATGGCAAAGTCGTAAGTAGTTATTGTATGGCTCGCCAGTGGATCATATTACTTTGAGTATCGTGAATGACTCCAGAAAAATACTAGCTAGTTCAAATTTTGCAGCTTCATCCACTCCTTGTCGTTTGCGTTAAAGTCCACACCTTTATTCTTCCACCACTTTCTTGCTTTGTCCCCACCACCAATCGCGTCCTCAAGTGCTTCTTCAATGTCGCACATACGATATTGAATCGGCAACCCACTCTTATCCCACCACTCCAGCACTTCGCTTCGGTTATGCCGTGTTGCACCAGTCAGCACATCCTGATCAAAAATAATCTGTAGCCCGCTTCCAAGCCACCACTGCAAGACTTCCACCTTCCCCACACAGCTGGCATGGTGCATGACATGACGGTCATACGTATACTCCAGTTGCGACGTCGCCCACCACTTGAGTACATCCACATGCCCCGCCTGACTCGCCAACTCCATAACGCGCCCGACCTTCAGGGGCAGATTATGGGCGAGATGCTGGTACTTCCACCATTCCAAGACATCAACACGATTTTTCGCGCTAGCACCCTCAAGGGCAGCTTCTGTGTAGTCCAGCGGGAGCCCAGAAGTCACCCACCAGTCCAGAGACTCCACTTGGCCGCTGCGAGAGGCTCTGTCAATGGCACGAGCAATGGCCCCAGGTTTTGGGGGGTGCACTAGATCCGGATGTTGTTCAAAACCATGTTTCCACCATGAGAGCACTGATGTGCGACCGTGCTTTGATGCATGGAAAGGGATCAGATCGTCTTCGAAGATAGACAAAAATACTGGGCGATATTGTGTGACGAAAAATTCCAACACATTGACGTAACCAAAACGCACGGACGCGATGGCGCCGTGACTTGAAGGCGGATTAGCTGCGGGATCTGCTGCACGGATGAGGGGTATATAACCCGTGAGCATGGAGAGGTCGATAGGTGCAGGGTTGTTCCATTCGCTAGGAGGAGACAAGGATGTAGGAACGCCCAATGCACGAGAGAGCTCCCAATCACCGAGATGATCAAAGATATCAGCCAGAACCTCGACAGGGAGATCTACAGGACGTTCTGTGGTCGTCGTATCCTTCCCTTTGTCCATGCAAGACATTGGCGCATCACTAGAGATCGTAGGAAAATGATAGGTGTGGAAATCATGCTGGGCTAATCTCGATGCGAGCTCTATGTCCGCGCCCGACGTTGGCAGATTGCGTACTTTGAGGAAAAGCACGAGCTCATCGTGTGGGAGCCGACAATAGGCATTGAAAACAGCTTTAAATGGACCGTCATGGTTCTGTTAAAGAGTGATAATATCAGCACTAGTGTGAAACGGATGAATGATGAGAAAGATATTCACCGCCATATGCAGATGTCCAGAAAGATGTGGCTTGGGAATGAGAGTGCACACGAGGCTGGGAGTAAACTAACCACGTGGCTATGCTGGGAGTGCTCCAAAACTTTGCTTGTAGACGTTCGTTCGTTGATTCTTCAAGACCTTTATTAAAACTTTCGCAGGTGCTTTTGCCCGCTGTCAAGCCGCGAGAGAATATTGCTAGCTCCCGAAACTCTTCTTGAACTCAGATCAGCTGGTCTAGACTCTAGACAGGCTTGTCCGAGGGCCTTCAAGGAATGTGCTGCCCGGTCTTGATACTAGCGCCAGGATGAGGTGAAAAACGACACCGCCCTGATTGAAGGCCTAATCCTGGAAGACTCGCGCCTAGCCCATTCGACTCGGATTCGGACATATCAAGTCACATGGATTTTGAAGGAACAAGAGTTCCAGACTCTGCTGAGCTGGCATACTTGATCTTCTCGGAGGAGGCATGCCAACTACTAACCTTCCAGTTGCTCCGGAGCAGGCGCCTCAGGATTGATGAGTGGGAGTATTTATTTTATCCACACGGGCGCTATTTTACCTAGACCATACGGGGCAGAGTGGCCATCTCTCCGACTTTGGTCGCACGAATTCCGTGCAGGTTTATCAAAGTAATAGGCTTTTCTATCTGTGGCGACCAGTATGCTGGCATACAGCATACGAATAGCGGATCCTATGCAGAACAATTTCAAAGCTGTACGTCACGGCCCCGTGTCCAACATGATGTTTGCACTAGCAGTGCCCGAGAAGCTGACTCCTTATCCCTGCATATACCAAGTACAGCAGTTAGCTGTACGTTCGGAGCACCCGAACATCAGCAACAGCCACGGAAGGCTATAACTGAAGGTTCTTGCCACATGTATCATCGACTACAGCTGCTCGGAACAATCAGCTGTCTTTCACTTACAGCTATTAATATTCGAGGGGATAAGTGGCATAATACCCACGCGGTACAAGTGTACGTTGATCAGTTTCTGGAACACAATACAAAGCAGTGACGTAACCTGTACTTTTGCAGATACTTTGACATTGATTGTGGCAGGTCCTGTGGCCGATGCTGTTCTTCAGATACTTTAACATCGATTGTGGCGGGTCCTGTGGCCGATGCTATTCTTCAAATGTTTTCTATCGCACAGCAAAATCGGCATGCCAAAATTTTGTGGCTCTGTTATAATGCAGCTCCGGCCAAGGTGCAGCGACATCATCGAACATCATTCTAACTAGACCATATACGACACAAGAAATCAAGATGTTCTTCAAGTTTTTCTCCAATTTATTCGGAAAAAGGTCAGCGTCCTCCCGAAGCGAGCCCTTCGCGTTCATGGATGCCTTTTTTCTAGGGGCGGTTCAAATATTCGCCCAAGAGGACCTCAGAACGATCAACTTGCAAGGATGTAAGTCATCGTGTACCACTACTCGATCATATCAGGTTATTCACGCTCAACAGGCCTGATACACAGTCAGTTGTAGTTGCATACGTTCTTGTGGTGCTCATCGCTCATCATGTACAGCGGACGTGGTTGTTGCTAAGTCTGACACCAATGTGTTGGAGCAGAAGTCGCACGAGTTGTGTGGCAAGAGGTGCTCACAATCAACTACATAGATTCGGATTGCTATACCCTTGTGCAAATTATTTTGGTGAATGACATTTTGGTGTGTTCACGTACCTGCGATGGCTCATGAGCTTACCATTGGGTGAGAAATTTAAAGTTAGGGATACAGGGCGGCGGTGGTCTTCGAAGTGACCACACCACACCCTAACTGTTCTTGGCCGTGCTGAATAATGTCTTAGACCAAATTCGCGCACAACGTTGTTCGGCAGTTTTGTTCTCTATCTTTGATCTGGATTCATGGCGCGCAGGCGACGATCACACGTTACCGGCTCACGTCCCAGGGCGATCATGCTGTCTTCGCGGTGATCACCCTTAATTCCGTAGCGCTCAAAAGTATCAGTCCAAGATAAGTAAGCGGTTTACTCTGTTGACGGCGGATATCGTCACCTCGTTTAAGTATACTAATAGAAGCCCTTTTCCATTGTGCACAGCACTCTAGTACTTACGGCTTTGTACAGGTACTATGCATGCATTCGCGAAGGTGTCACCGCTTTCTGCTGTGAATCCAGTGTGCTCCTGTGGCGGCGTCAGATAGGAACACAAAAAGACTTCTAATGATAGCGGACCTGGGCGTCTTTCTTTCGTATATATATCTTCCTAGTCGCCTTACTGACCACCCAGCCTTAAACATGTTCAGAACACTTGCCAGTATCTTATGCGGAGGACGGTATGTCATAATGATTTATGGGCCACACTGCCGAATATTCATTCATGTTCGATATCAGCAACCAAGGTCAATCCAGGGCACCACAGGCTGACCAGTATGGTAGCGCGAAGAAGAAAAATGAGTACGAGATATATGCCCACCAACTTTTGCGATGAACTGACCTTTGAAGTAGCAAACCAATCAAAATCAACCCCCCAAAGAATCCGACGTATGTACCAGTATGTTGCTGATGATATATTGGAATAATTGACAAGGCATTCAGTACTATTCCATCTCGTCCCCCTCCAAACCCTGCTCCATATATACCTCCGCAGGGTGGTGTAGCCCCAAGGAGGTAGACCGTTTGACTGTGTTTCGTGTCAGGAGTGCCGGTGAATGTTAGCTTAGTAGGTACGTCCAACATTTTCGATATTTGATGGCCATCTTGCTTACACTGACGGACACTTCAGTAGATTGTTGGTGCAGATGCTTCTCAAAGACAATTTTAATTCTCTATAGAAAAGTTCCGAGTGTGATTCCTTCAGATGTATATATCTAATACGCTTTCCAAAGTCCTCCTGCATATCGAATGTTACATAGCATTTCGTCGAGTATGACGCTTCAAATGCCACTTTAATAAACTGCGCAATAGACAACATTTGAGTGCGCGGTACAACATCGAGTGCACGATACAACCTATCAAAGTGTGCAACACAGTCCACAACTGTCGTGTTCCAAAATTTAGCGTCAACTTGTATCACAGGGAATAGCAGGAAATGAAATCAACTGGGATCAAGTACATACACAAAGTACAACAAAACAACGAATCGAGTCTCGAATTAAATACCGATGTGAACAAATACGATCTGTTGTTCTAGCGGAATTATCTTACGCAACGATTTCACAGCCTTGTACAAAGCTACCGCAGCGCGTGTGCAGTCTAATCTCCCTGAACCATCAACCAGATGATCGTAAAACGTGGAAACAATCTGGCGCGCAACCTCGTCATCAACAGACCACATAGAACCTATCACACTGCGAAACCCGGAGAATTGCATAGCCGCAGCGAGATGGATAGACTCGTCGGGACTCATCTCATCACCCACGGTAGTGTGACAAGCCGATAAGAACGCAAACTCCGGATTTTGCCAGTTGGATCGGATGATGTCCCTGATTGTCAAGGGCCCATCGCGCATCGCGAAGGAAGACTCGAATGGTTCTTCTCGATTCGGCATTCCATGGCAGGCAAGGTGAAGCCATTGATTGTCGTTTAGTGCGTCCAGTGCACCCTGGACTGTTGCATCGCTGTCTGCGAGCGATGTAACGCATGCGACAGGTGCGAGACACTGAGCGACAATGTCTAACTCAGGAGCGACATATAGCAGCTCCCTCCCTCTGTCCGGTTTTGCTTGACCAATGGCAACAAAATGCTGAACAGACGCATCGCTGGAAACCTGTTGTCTCGCGCGAATGAGTGCCGCCAAAGTTGGGGTGTAGGAGGAGATGTAGAAGTGAGACAAATTATGGCTCTTCTTCTTGTAAGGTCCTGCCGCATGTAGAGGAAGCAGTGTGAACTCAGCGGTAGGACACCACCAAATGCGTGAGCCAGGTTTGATGAAGGTCCTGAGAGCTTCGACTACAGGGCCGACGATACGATCCCAAATCTTGCGTAGAATACCGACAATCTTGTGTGATTCGAGTCGATGATCAGAAGACCCAACACCCTCGATGAGGGACTGGAACTCGGAGGACAACTGGGAGACTTCGGCTTGTGTAATATGAAGGGGAACGTGGACTGGATCTTGCGCACTTAGGATAATCAAGGCGTCGCAGCTGTACTGGCTAGCATTGACAAGAATGACTGGACCATCTTCTGCCGTTTTCCTGAGGTCAGAGAATAGCGGAGGCAGGAGGAAACGGGAAAAAAATGGCAGCGAACGGATGCGGGCGATGACATCATCCCGTTGCGTGGTTAGTTTCCGAATGAGTGGGGATTGGTCTGCAGTAGACACATCTAACGCGGTACGAAGGCGAAAGTTAAGTTGCCTGAACTCTGCCGCCAAGGCCGCCCCGGTGCTACCTGACACAGCAAGTTCATCGAGTGGAGTGCGAAAGCGTGCCAAGTGGGTCCAGAATACTGCACGGCCTTGCTCCACTAATTCCACGGCAGTCACTAAAGCACCGTGGCGAACACTGCAGGAGAATGCATCCATGGCAAGAGAAGAAGTGGCCTTCCTGACGATATCAAAATCGCGTGAAGAAGACGACAAATGAGCAACATGCTGATCCAGGAACTTTAAAGTAGTCTGATAAGCAAGCAATGCAGAACTATGCTTCATCTTCTCAGTGGAGGCCACCCATGACTTGGCAGCACTAAGATCGTTACGAGAGGCTGCATGAGGTAGGTGGGAGAGTTGCAAATGAAGGCCAAACATTTCATTCAGGTCAGGCAGGAGGCCCCGTTGCTCGAATCTGTCATGAAGGGCGAAGGCAAGCTTGTTGAGAGACGTGGATCGTTCAGAACGGCCAGGGTGACGGAGGACCAGTGCAGCTCGATGAAGCTCAATGACCTCATCCAGGTCAGACAGGAAGCCCTGCTGCTTGAATCTGTCATGAAGGGTGATGGCAAGGTTGTGGAGAGATGTTGAATGATGAGAATGGTCAGGAGGACGGAGGACCAGTGCAGCTCGATGAAGCTCGATGGCCTCATCCAGATCAGACGGGACACCCCTCTGCTTAAATCTGGCTCGAAGGCCAGCGGCAAGATTGCTGAGAGACGTGGAACGATGAGAATGGCCAAGAGGACAGAGCTCCAATGCAGCCTGATGGAGGCCAATCGCCTCGGACAGGTCAGACAGGACACCCCGCTCCTTGAATCTTTCATGAAGACTGCGGGCAAGTTCGTTGAGAGATATAAAATGATGAGAATGGCCAGGAGGACGGAGCTCCAGAGCAGCCCGACAGAGCTCAATGGCCTCATCCAGGTCAGACAGGACACCCCGCTGCTCAAATCTTTCACGAAGACTGCTGGCAAGGCTGCTGAGAGACGCGGAATGATGAGAATGGCCAAAAGGACAGAGCTCCAGAGCAACACGATCAAGCTCAATGGCCTCATCTAGGTCAGACAGGACGCCCTGTTGCCCGAATCTTTCGTGAAGGCTGCAGGCAAGGTTGTTGAGAGACATAAAATGACCAGAATGGCCAGGAGGGCGGAGCTCCAGTGCAGCCCGATGAAGCTCAATTGCCTCGTTCAAGTCAGACAGGACACTCCACTGTATGAATCTGTCATGAAGGGTGACAGCAAGGTTGCTGAGAGACGCGGACCGATCATGATGGCCAAGGGGACGGAGTACCAGTGCAGCTCGATGTAGCTCAACGGCCTCATCCAAGTCAGCCTGGACACCCCTCTGATTGAATCTGTCTCCAAGACTGTTGGCGAGGTTATTGAGAGAGGCAGATCGATCTGAATGGCCGGGGGGACGGAGCTCCAGTGCAGCCCGATGGAGCTCGATAGCCTCATCCAAGTCAGACACAATGCTCCCTTGTTCGAATTTGGCTTGAAGGCTATTGGCAAGGTTGTTGAGAGCTGCAGATCGATCAAAATGGTTAAGAGGACAGAGCGCCAGTGCAGCCCGATGGAGCCCAATGGCCTCATCTAGGTCAGACAGGATGCTCTGCTGCTCAAATCTGGTTCTGAGGCTGCTGGCAAGGTTGTTGAGAGACGTGGATCGATCTGAATGGTCAGGGGGACAGAGCTCCAGTGCAGCCCGATGGAGCTCAATGGCCTCATCGAGGTCAGACGGGATACTCCACTGCTCGAATTTGGTTTGAAGGCTGTTGGCAAGGTTGTTGAGAGACACAAAATGATGAGGATGACTGGGGGGACAGAGCTCCAGTGAAGCACGCTGGAGCTCAATGGCCTCATCCAGGTCAAATAGGATGCCCTGCTGCTCGAATCTGTCGTGAAGGCTGACAGCGAGGTTGTTGAGAGATGTGGGTCGATCATGATGCCCGAGGGGAAGGAGTAGTAGTGCAGCCCGATGGAGCTCAATGGCCTCATTGAGGTCAGACAGGACGCCCTGATGCGCAAATCTGTCTTCAAGGCTGTTGGCAAGATTGTGGAGAGTTGAACATCGAAGTGAATGGCCGACAGGACATTCTTGCAAAGCCGTTCTCCATCGCTCCACATCGTCTACCATCTTGTAAGGAAACTGAATTTTACGCGAGGACTGTATAGAACACAGCGACTATCAAGGCGATGTCGCTATGAAGTGTCTCGTGATGAAAACAAAGTTAGGTAGATACAGAGTGAATACGCACGGAATAGCGGAAACCAGAATACTGACACAACGAGGAGCCGTAAGGGAAATACTATTGCGAGTGCTAAGGCAGCCCATGAATTTAACAGCCACGAGGTATTGGCAAGGCTGAGGGCATAACTTACGCTTACTAAGCCTTAAACGTTAAACGTTTAAACGCTGAGTAAATGTTTCAACGCCGTCTACCATAGTCACAAAGGGTGTAAACATTTGGGTGGCCCAACGTTCACAGCACATTAATATTGTGCATCGCGTGTGTTGTCAGGAAATGGTTGGTTGGTTGGTAAATATTCACGCCCAAGGTCACACCGGATTAGTAGTAGGTTAGGATTCAAACACCGCCGCATACTTAAGCGTCCCCGCCGCTGTTAGGAACAGTCACTACACTAATAGACTAGAGTGATGGGACCACGCTCGTCTGAGTTTGCAAGTTCTGGCTCGAAAAAAAAGAACCAAGAGTACGAGATTCATGCAAACCAATGTTTGCGATGGACTGACTTTTGAAGTAGCAAATCAATCAACATCCGAAAGAATCACACGACGTATGTATCAGAATGTTGCTGATGATTTATTGAAATAATTGGCAAGGCATTCAGTGGTCCTCCACCTCCTCCCCCTCCAGATTCCAGTAAACATCAATCTCAGCCGAATGGTGGAAACCCAAGGAAGTAGACCGTTTGATCTGTGTATTGTGCCAGGAGTGCTGGTGAATGTTGGCTTAGCAGGTACGTGCAACATCCTCGATATTCGATGGTCATCTTATTTACACTGGCGAACACTTCAATAGATTACTGGTGCAGATGCTTAAATTAATCCTGTGTAGAACAGTTCCGATTCTTTCAGATGAATACCTATGTCTTATACGTATACTTGAATTTCATTGAATGTTAGACATCGATAAGCACATACTGATCATGAAGCATGACTCGGAAGCCTCGCGCGGAGGCATACAAAATGGTACAGCATACAATGAAACGACAGCAACGTGTAGAAATGATTATAACTGTCAGGGGGAACCTGGTGTAAAGTAGGACTGAGTTTTGGTGACCATGTCGAAGACTAGCGCCTAAAGGCTTTTGACGAACGCTTGTAACAGTTCCTTCAGATAAGTAATACTAGTCTGTCTTGTATGCAATTCTAAAGACTGCCTGTACACACACGATGCAAGGTTTCCGATTAGAAGCTGAATCTAGTTGGATGGTCTGGCTTGCGATTATTGGTATGTCCCTCCCTTATACAAGCCGCATTTTATCATGAAGATAGCAGTTCCATCTACATCTATGCTAGCGCTATGATCTTGTTCAGCCTGTTGCTGGCCAATGGTTACAGGGTAGCCGAGTTGCCGATTTCTGCCCTCAGCTCAGGGACAATGTCTTTCCCGACTCCACCCAACACAAACGCTCTCAAGTTGCCCAATGCTTGCAATTCTCTTGTCCTCCACGATTCTGCTGACTCTCCCCCAACATGTGGTAGAAGTGTACATCGTGGGAAGGTCAATAAGCGCGGATCTACGCGTGGTTCATCGGGGTATACATCCAAGCCGACTGATGAAAGCTGAAAGTTGTGAGAGAGGCATAAAATAAGATGATGGAAGAAGTGTTACATGACCGTCCTCCAGTGCTCGTATCATCGCTTCTTGGTCCACTATTCGTCCTCGTGACGTATTTAGAAGCAAACTGCCCCGTTGCAGAGTTCTGATCTCCTTCTCTCCAATCATCCCAGCTGTGGATTGGTTGAGAGGGACATGTAGGCTCAGTATGTCAGCCTTCTTGCATAGCTCATCCACGCTTGAGACATATTCGCACCAGTCTGGTACGGATTCTACCTTCCTTCGTGAGAAGTATATGATTCGCATGGGAAAGGCGTGCGCAAGGCGAGCGAATCTCAGACCGATGCCACCTAAACCCAAGATACCAAGCGTGCGCCCAGTAACGTCATGAGTTTGCGCCGCATCATAGGTTGTCTTCCATGTACCAGAGCGAAGGGAGCGTTCTGCCATCGAGAAGTGCCGCAGACACGATATCATAAGATATAAAGTGGCTGTGGCAGTCGCATCCTCGTTCGCTCCCGGAGTATTCGACACCAGTATTCCTGGGAGAAACACACGTTAGCAACGGTCGATTCTGATTGAGAACAGACATTGCCTCGTTCTTTGCAAGCTTGTATGTCGATTTCATCGTAACCACCACCACTCTGAGCAATCCATCGAACCATGGTCGTATCGGCTAGAGCGTGGATTAATGGTGCGTCAAACTTTCCTATGACTTCAGAAGACGTGTTGCGCCTGTACAAGGCGACAGTCCCTTCATATGGCCCACCAGGCCCGAATGAGGAGAGGAAATGAGAACGAGATTTTGAAACTAGAGGCTGGAGGGGGAAAAGGATGATGACTCATAAAGCTGGAGGTACTTCGAAGGAAAGCCTGCTTACTACGGTCTCGGCGATCCCATGGAACATCTCCTTGAACTCGTCCTGGACATACTCAATCTCACCTGAAACATATCAGAGACCAAATCATCATTGGATAAACCTGGAAACTAACCACACACTAACACGCGGGGGAGCATTTCTGTGTACGCTGTTTATCGCAAGTTTTGTGGCGGAGGACAAGACTCAGGAAACTGTTATCTTTCGTCAATCTAACACGTGTCGAGAACATGGGACCAAAATAACTAATTGACATACCACGAGGTCGATGGCAGAGCACTCGCATCCCACTCACAATATAAAAAGGCTTCAAGGGAAATCAATTTGGGCACAATCATCACAGGCACATCAGGTGATCGTTTTAAACGCCATTTCCGTTGGTACCATTGTAAGCTCGTGTGGTACAAGCAGAAGACTGTCCTTTACCGACATGTCAACTAAAATCTACCCTCCATCATCTGTTGAAAGAACGTCAGATACATGCATCGAAGGTACGCAAATACCAGCGTGAAACTCACCAGAACTGCAATTTTCGACACGCCTCTGATTTTCTTGCATTCTTCTTGAACATTGTATCCGTGGCTAGTGTTAAGCGTTCCGGAATCGTAGTGGCGCTTCAAGTAACTAAGAAATAAGAGATGATGCAGTACTTAGATGACACCGCCTGTGAGGGGTTGTAATAACCCTGAGAACGAACCGGAGGCAGACTTCCTCCTTGAAGTCTTGATATATCTTGCGGTTACTCTTGCGCTGATGCATGTTCCAAGATCAAGAGCTGCCGAGTATGAGAGGAGAAAACATACCTCAAGTTTTCGCGCTTCCTCCTCATATGGGTGGCTCTGGTGCACGAGGAAGTGATCCGCGAGGACATAAAACGACATGCCCGAGAGGTACATCTCGTAGAGACAAGCTGCCTTGTTTCCTCCATATCCAACAAAGCGTTCATCGCACCTGGAAAGATCACATCAGACAGAAAAAAACAGATTTCTGACTCGGATTTAGTTGGCACCATGGTGGTCCTTCCTTTCTGAAGATCACGTAAGGCTCGTATGCGGGGTGGTACTGCGTCACCTTGTAAACTTCACCGGCGCCGGCGGCATAGAATCGCTGATAATCGGTGCTATTATGCCCAGGAACCCAAGTGCGGTGGAACATATCGATCTTCTTCGCCTTGACCAGCGAAAGTAATGTCTAAAACAATACATTTAGTGGCTTCCTCGAGTATTTCCACTCATCATCTAGACCTGCTTATCGCGAGGAAAATATTTCTGGTCCAGGCCATCTTGCTGTTTGACATATTCGAACGCAGGCACCACCAGAGCAGCGTGTCCCTCCTTAAGAATTCGGCCAATCTTAGCATCTATACTAGCCCTGATGGCTGAACGGAAGTTGGTGCAAATGGCAAAATCAACGTCAAGCATCATGACGAATTCAGTGCGGGCAAAGAGACGCGCAGCATTCCGCCAAGTGTTCAATTGTCGATCGAAGGGCGTGAGAACGAGGTGTATATCGACATAGGTTGACATCGTGGGCGTTGACGCATACAGGTCATGCAAAGCATCCAAAAGGACGTGGGTTGCGCTTGGTTTAACATGGACGGTTGCAGAAATTGGACCTTGACAAAACAAAATGTGAGAAAAGATTGAAAACACAGATGATAGCAAGACTGGAGCAGACCTTGGTATTGTTTCACTAGCTCGGCAAAGACCTTGAATCGATTGAATGTGACAAGAGTGGTGATGGTGACATCGTCCTGCTCGAATGTACCTGAAGCCCTATAGTAGTATGGGACCACTTTAAGAGGGTGCATAGACTGCGAGAATGCCTTGGACAGAAAGATATCTTCGCTCATTGAAATCCCGTCTGTTGTCCTGGCAGTTGTATGTTCGGGTGACAACGAGAATGAAGGCCAAAGTAGCATTTCCTGAGACGTTTTGCCAGCGACCTCGGCGTCTTGATGAACCTGGACAGCAGCTGCATCGTAGGAGACCATGTATAACCTCGCCAATGCCCGTAGTGGGGACAGGATATGATATGTTGTATAGAGGACCGCGATCGCAACATACAAAGAAGCTGCCAGACGGATGAACCTGAGGCCACGACTGAAATCTGACATGTGCCAAGCAGTGGAATAAGTGTCACTAGTCTCCGAGTCCTTTCCGTGCAGATTATTGCGAGATGCTGGAGAGTCGATGATGCTGTGGATGATGAATTTGGTAACCAACTACTAGAATTTCAATGCCAGCGTGTTTGTACAACGTTGACGTTAACGCCCACGAACAGATATGACAGATGCATCATGCTTCAGGTCGCTTGCTTCTTTGTTACTCAGACCTCCGTGAGCCATGATAGAATACCTTGTTAAAGTTGCGGCTGATGTGCTCCACCGTGCCCTCCGTTTTAGTACAACTGTCGAGGTCCTCCCAGGCGATGCATCCACCTGGATTCCAGACGTGGCAGAACGATACCGTTCCCCTTTTCTGTTCATGGAGAATAACCTCGGTGTACCTGAGAAAGAACTTCGTCGGTCATACCTCTTCGCCGTGCCTACCTTCGCCGCTGCACGTAAGGCTTCCGGACTTCATGCCCTCGAAAATCCATCCAACGATATCATACCTTCGGTGATTCAGGACTTGATCGATTCTTCTGCTGTCCTCATTTTGATGAATCCGGCTCACCAAACTGCGCTCAATGCTAGAAAGCGACTCATTGAACGGAATCTTATCAATATGGGGCAAGAACTCAAGTTCACAGCTGCTCTTCTTTCGAGCAGGCACTGTTGCAAACAGGGCGAGCTATGGTATCATAGGCGATGGCTTCTCCGACGCATAAACCCAATGCCGAGCGTTCCTCAAGGGTCGATTATTGACGTAGCTCCGGATTCGCCAAATTTCTACCTTCCTCCGGATGACCTCTCTTTGGAAATAAATCTTGTCACTAGAGCTTGCGAGCTCTATCCCCGCAACTATTTTGGCTGGACACACCGCACCATATGCACCCAATCTGCTCTCGTATCCGGGGTGCATTCTACCACCACAAACGAGATCACTGAAATCCTTCCGAAAGAAATCACCAGCGTCATGCAGTGGATCGAATCTCACATCTCCGACTATAGTGCTGTTCATCACCTTAAAATTCTCATGCTTCTTGTTGAAGATACGGGGTCCCTGAGCCTCCCAGACAATCTACTTCCCGTGATCGGACACGCTCTCACGCTCGTACGTGCATTTCCGGAGCACGAAACACTTTGGCAGTATCTCCGCGTATTTTGGGATGAGGGAGATGTTGCTGCAGCGTTTGTTGCGTCATTTGTGCTACCTCTACAAAGTACTAGGATGGCGAACCAGGAGAACGAGTCTTTTCTTGGCGCGCAACATGCTTGCCACTTCCTCGAGTGGAGAAATAAGAGGTTGAAATGACACAGCTGCTTGTTGACATCAGCTCATAGAAACGGGTTATGTTGGCGCTCCGAGCCCCGGATCATTAATTTATTCACGCCAGCACGACAGTCACAGGTTGACTTTACTATTAATTAAACATCAGACATCATCACGACAAGTCGAGACTCTTCAGGATCATTATTGATTCCATCGCAACAAGGTTGTCTTAATCTTCTTCACTTCATATGATGCTCTTGGTCTCCTTGTTGCTGACCTAATACAGACACATGATGGTCAATATGCTAGTATGACGCTGCTGGTAACTCTCAATCAGTCTCCAGACTCCGAAGGCTCGCCGTGCGCAGATCTGCGTTGGTCGTCAATAGCTGGCTCGATGTAAAATATGACAGGTTCTGCGCAGCTAGGGCTGGACTCAGCCTGACTCTGATCAAGCACGCGTGCTTGATTAGTTGATCCATAAACTAACATCCGGTTTATAACGACGTCTGTGAGTGCCCTATTATTGGAGGCTATTAGTTTGTGGTGGCTGACCTCACACACATGACAGCAAATAATGTTGTGCTGTGCGCAGATAACGACCACAAATCATTGTACTTCTTTTCTTGATTAGTCGATCCAGACTGACATCAGCTGACATCCCGTCAATTTCATTCGGGTCTGTGAGTGCCATGTTACTAGTCTGCAGTAACTGATATCACACATATATAATATCTAACAGTGTTGAGTTATCCGCAATAGCACGTTCATAATTGGACAGTGTGAGATAACCATAAATTGTTATACAAGTCTTGATCCTTGTGATCGGTGGAAGTCGGCGACCCACGCGTTTGAAAACGCTTGAGGAGCTGATGGTGGTCCTGGATTGTCTGGCACGGAATTAACTCTGCGGAACTCTTCGGCTGATTCGATCCCGGTTGAATACATCATGTATAATGTGCAACGTCGAGATGTGGGTTCACATAAATAACGAGGTGAGTGATCAGTTGAATATCTACCTACTTGAAAATTACCGTTCTACTGTACAGCCTGTACTTGATTCGCAATGCTCTTCTTGAGCTTCCTTCTTCTATTGCTTCATCTGGCACATGCAGCATCCATCATCTCGCGATCTCATTCCTATCCACTCAACTCTCGTTCGAGTACGCTGGGCCCTAAAACCGACCTAATAATTGCCAATAAAGTCATAGCTCCAGACGGGTTCACGCGTTCGTGAGTTTGTCCTCTTCGTGTCTTCATCTCTATTTGGAATTTTTAATAATTGTCACAGGTCAACTCTTGTTGGAGGAACATTTCCGGGTCCAATCATCGCAGCCAAGAAGGTGTTTTTCTGCCCGTTTGATCGAGTCATCAGGAACTAACAATAACTTGAAGGGTGACAAATTTGTGATCAACGTTGTGAACCAACTCACTGATGATTCAATGTTCAAAAGCACGAGTGTGGTGAGTACAACTAACATTTAAGTGCTCATGTTGTGTCAAGCTTAACCCATTCTGTAGCACTGGCATGGAATCTATCAGAACGGGACTAACTATGCGGATGGCGTTGTATCCGTTACTCAATGCCCCATTGCGCAAAACGAGTCGTTTTTGTACTCCTTCGAGGCCCAGAACCAGACGGGAACCTATTGGTATCATAGCCACTACTCGACACAATATTGGTTTGTTGATCTAAAGTCTTTGAAACTTTTGCAATGTGATCCAACACTGTTTAGCGATGGCTTGCGCGGGGCTTTGATTATCTACGATCCCGAAGACCCTCTATCTCACCTATACGACATTGACGATGGTACGGTGATAAGACCATGTTCACCAAAGCGCTCACTCAAACCGTTCACAGAGACCACCGTGATCACCCTTGCTGACTGGTACATTTCAGCACTATTTGCGGCCTGCATCCAGCTTACTATTTAATACAGGTACCATGAGGTTGCCCCTGTATTGAGCCATTTTGTCACTGTCAATGGTAATTCAACACTCATCAACGGTCTCGGTCGATACCAAGGGGGCCCCACTGACACCGAACTTGCGGTGGTCAACGTTGAGTACGGCAAAAGATACCGTCTACGCATCATAGGAATGTCTTGCGACCCCAATTTTATTTTCTCTATCGATGGCCATGACCTGACAGTCATTGAAGCGGATGGTCAGCTGACGGAGCCCCTTCTCGTGGACTCGCTTCAGATCCTTGCTGGACAACGATACTCTGTTGTGCTTAACGCGAATAAGCCAGTCGGCAATTATTGGATACGAGCGCTCCCAAATACCGGGGGCTCGACCTTCGACGGTGGCCAGAACATGGCCATCTTGCGATACCAGGGTGCGCCCGTCGCAGAGCCGACGACGACCCAAGGCACAAGTACCATACCGCTTCTCGAGACCAACTTGCATGCGCTCATCAATCCCGGTGCACCTGGTATTCCGGGATACGGAAATGCAGATATCAATTTGATGATGTATGTCAGCAAAACAAATGGAATATTTTACACCAACGGCGTTGCATTCGAGCCTCCCTCAGTGCCCGTGCTGCTCCAAATCCTCAGTGGCGCACAAGATGCAACCGATATCCTTCCAAACGGAACCGTCTACGTTTTAGAGCCTAACAAGGTCGTCGAACTGACGATGATAAATGGTGAACTCCACGGTCCCGTAAGTTACATTCGAACCCCATGATACATATATCTCATGATCTCACGATCTCTTCCTAGCATCCAATTCATCTTCACGGTGTAAGTGATTATGGATATTACTCGATCCTAAATTACTCATTGTCAATTGTAGCATAGCTTTGATGTCGTTCAGAGCGCCGGTAACAGCTCTTTCAACTACGTCAATCCCGTGCGCAGGGATGTAGTATCCGTCGGGACTCAAGACCAGCAGATGGTGATTAGGTGGGTCACAGATAATTCCGGTCCGTGGTTCCTGCATTGGTGAGCACAACGACATTTGTCAGTTTAATACTAGCACTGATCTTATTGTTCACCTAGCCACATCGACTGGCATCTCGAGGAGTGCGTACCTCGAGCGCTTTGAGTCTGGTGTAAATTGATGTATTTTACCAGTGGTTTCGCTGTAGTTATGGCTGAAAGTCCTTCGGAGACCAAAAAACATCAGCAAAGTCTTCCCAGTAACTGTTTTATTTTCCGTCTTCGCTTCTAATTGAGCTGATGGTGGAAACAGACGCATGGAAAAAACTTTGCCCGACATTCGACTCGTTAACCCCATCCCAGATTGGAGCAGAAAATTCATATCAGGAAGCAGAAAATCTCGCCGTCGCCTGGGAGCAAAATATCACAACAGCGTTATTTCCCTCATAGCGTACAAATACTATCGCAATCAGGTTCGAAGATATTCCCGCCCACATCCACGATCCCTTCTCAAAATGCCTTTCGTCCATTCTATTTTTGGTTCCCATCTCTAAATATATATTCTCCGTACGATCGTTTCCCTCAGATTTTCCAACTAAGGCTGAAACGAGCATACTTACTACCACGTCTGCATACATATACCGAACGATGCGATACAATTCGTAGCTCTACTTCCCTCATGTGCACTTGTCGTAGCAGGCTTTCCACCCAAGACTGAGTTCTTGTTCCTTTCTTTCTCGCGAGTCATTGAAATTCGTTCCTCGATGCCTGCGGGACATTGAGACTCCCCACTGGCAGGTCTTCGGAGTCCGAAGGAATAGCCTACTAACAGAAGATGATATTGATGTCGAAACGTCATTGTCAACGCCGGCGCCATCTAACGAGAAAATGGCAGCAACACCTCCCCAGAAATTTACACTGATTTCTTGCACACCAACGACCACACATCTTCTTTCTACATGGCTCTACAGACTTGGGCTCGGATGTGCATTCATCAAGGGATGATCGGCACCAAACGTCAAAGGCGGAGATTTTCTGACGACCACCGTGCTATGTGGTCAAAGTCGACTCTTCTCTCCGCTGTCCAATAATGTGTGAATGTGGTAGGTCCTAATCGAGCTATCCGCTACACAACATCACTGAAAACCAACATCCTCGGTCAATCTTATTGTACACATTGTGGTGTAGACAATACACTCTCGGTCTCGCACTGTGTTTTCAGCGGACATAGGTTTTTTTGCTTATATAAGCGGGAAAAGTGGAGGCTGGACCCGTGATGAGTCGGAAACTTCCGGCACGTGGCAGGTAATCTGCGACTCAGTCACTGGTTCAGTTGGTTGAAACGCCTTACTTTATGGATTCGTCACCACCAGCCATTTCCTCTATGTTCTCCATCTCGTAGTAACGCCTTCGTTATTCACACATAGCGTTTCTTATACAATTGTCGCTGTCCAAATACAGCCCAATTGGCCTCATTGCATCGCTTCATCCCGCAGCGGTCACGACTCACCAGTGGTCACTCTATCATTGTAGGTTCCAATCGCGTCTGTGTTATGCCGGAAGATTCATATATCATGTGATTTGACCGTTCCCTTCGAACGTCCATGTCAACATCTTAGGGGTGCACTACTCATGTGGAAATAGAAAAATAGGCACAGGTAAGCACGAGAGATTGATGTCGATTGGTGTTGGTAGTGTGACGTGTCGTGCCGGGTCATAATTTGAACACTCTGAGTCTTCGAAGCACAGCCGGTAGGAATTGCGGCAGTTCGGCCGGACAACGTTAGGTCCAAAAATGTGGTTAGGACCAGTGCGGCTCGAATGCTGGGAACACCTAATGACATACGGTCCGACTGCCACTCAAAGTAAGCTGGGGACTTTACCGCCAGCCTCCATAACATATTCACGCCAGCACAACAGGTTCAACGAGACTCTTCAAAATCAACTAATTTCAATTCATGTGATGCCGAACTCTCGATAATCAGTCTCCCGTGGCTCACCGTGCGTAGATAGGGCTGAACTCAGCCTGAATTACGAATGCACTCTTCATTTGACTCAAATCCATTAAATAAAGAAGATTTCAACTGAATTCACCCCGGTCTGTGAGTAGCATGTTAGTAGTCTGCAGTAGCTGACCTCCCACATATATGACAGCACAGTGTTGAGTGGTGTATAAAGCACTTTGATGATCCGGTAGTGAGATAATAACGACAGATCACGAAACTTTACGATCAGCGGAAGTCAACGACCCACGCGTTTGGAAACGACCGACGGGGTTGCTCCTGGTACATTCATTGTAGCATGTTATCAAATACAGCTCCCTCAACTTGCCACATTGTTGCCCATTCGGGAAATCAGCGTAGTTAGCCAGAGCAGCAAGATCAAACAGATCAAGGGGACCTCACAGGACGATTTCAGTGGTGGGCATGCCATGAACAGTTATTGGAGTAGGCTTACTTCCAAGGGCATCTACAGCTAGGGACCCGGAGTATCCTATGGTGGTCCTGGATTGTCTGGCTCGGGATTTATTAACTAGGTTTAGCTCTACGGAACTCTACGGTTGATTGGATTTCGGTTAAACACGTCATGTATGTTGTGCAACGTCGAAATGTACGTCTACATAAATAACGGGGCAAGTGATCGATTGAACATCCACCTGCTCAAAATCGCCCTTGCACTATTCTTGATTCGTGATGCTCTTCCTGAGCTTTCTTCTTCCATTGTTGCAGCTAGCACATGCGGCATCCATCATCTCGCGATCCCATTCCTATCCACTCAACCCTCGCTCGAATACGCTGGGCCCTACAACTGACCTAATAATTTCCAATAAAGTCATAGCTCCAGACGGGTTCGTGCGTTCGTGAGTTTGTCTTGTGGTTTTGTATTCTGTTGTTTTGCAATTTAAATCGTTGTTATAGTGCAACTGTCGCTGGAGGAACGTCTCCGGGTCCAATCATCGCAGCCCAGAAGGTGCTTTGATGCCCGTTTCGTCTAGCCATCAGGAACTGACGATGGTTAAAGGGTGACAAATTCGCGATCAACGTTGTGAACCAACTCACTGACGATTCAGCGTTCAAAGGCACCAGTATAGTGTGTGTTCAGTACTCGTGTTATGTCAAACTTACCCCACGCTGTAGCACTGGCATGGAATCTCTCAGAACAGGACTAACTATGTGGATGGAGTCGCGTTCGTTACTCAATGCCCCATTGCGCAAAACGACTCATTTCTGTACTCCTTCGATGCTCAGGGCCAGGCGGGGACATACTGGTATCACAGTCATTACTCGACACAACAGTGGTTTGTTGATCCCAGATTTCTTTTAACTTGCGCAAAATTTGACTTGAAATGGTTTAGTGATGGCTTGCGTGGGGCCTTGATCATCTATGATCCCGAAGACCCCCTGTCCTACTTATACGACGTTGACGATGGTACGTTGATCATTCCATGACCATGAATATTCGCTTAAATCATTCGCAGAGACCACTGTCATCACCCTCGCTGACTGGTACGTCTCGGAACTATCTGTGACCTACATTCAACTCACTATTTAACATAGGAACCATGCGGTCGCCCCCGTTTTGAACCATTTCGTCACTGTCACTAGTAATTCAACCCTCATCAACGGTCTCGGTCGATACGCGGGGGGCCCCACTGATACCGAACTGGCGGTGGTCAATGTTGAGTACGGTAAACGATATCGCCTACGCATCATAGGAATGTCTTGCTTTCCCAATTTTATGTTCTCCATCGATGGCCATGACATGACGGTCATCGAAGTGGATGGTCACCTGACGGAGCCCCTCCTCGTGGACTCGATTCAGGTACTTGCCGGACAGCGATATTCTGTCGTGCTCAATGCGACTCAGCCAGTCGGCAATTACTGGTTACGAGCGCTTTCAAGCACTACGGGCTCGACTTTCGACGATGGCCAGAACATGGCCATCTTGCGATACCAGGGTGCACCTGCCACAGAGCCAACTACGAACCAAACTACAAGTACCCTGCCGCTTTTTGAGGGCAACTTGCATGCGCTCATCAATCCCGGTGCACCTGGTGTTCCGGGATATGGGAATGCGGACATCAATCTGATGATGCTTGTCACCTCAACAGGTGGAATGTTTTACGTCAACGGCTTTGCATTCAAGCCTCCCTCGGTGACCATGCTGCTCCAAATCCTCAGCGGTGCACAAGATGCAACCACTCTCCTTCCAGAAGGAAGTGTTTATGTTTTAGAGCCTAACAAGGTCGTCGAACTGACGATGATAAATGGTGAATACTACGGTCCTGTAAGTTCCATGCTCATTCGAACCCCGTGATACATATATCTCAATCTATTCGATCTCATACTAGCACCCAATTCATCTTCACGGTGTGAGTGATTCTGGGTACAACTCCACCCCATATTACTCATTGTACATTGTAGCATCATTATGATGTTGTGCAGAGCACTGGCAACAGCACTTTCAACTACGTCAATCCCGTGCGCAGGGATACATCATCTATCGGGAATCAAGACCAACAAATGGTGGTTAGGTGGGTCACCGATAACTCCGGCCCATGGCTCCTGCATTGGTAAGTACGACGTTTATCAATCTAGTACTAGCACTGATCTTGTTGTTTACCTAGCCACATCGACTGGCATCTTGAGGAGTGCGTACCTCGAGCGTTTTGAAACTTAACCGTAACTTGACGTACTTCACCAGTGGGTTCGCCGTAGTTATGGTCGAAAGTCCCTCGGATACTCAAAAGTATCTGGGCCCCCTACCCAGTACCTGTTTGATTTCCTATCTTCCCTTCTGATTGAACTGATGGTGGACGCAGACACATGGACAAATCTTTGCCCAACATTCGACTCGTTAACCCCATCCCAGATTGGAGCAGAGAATTCGTATCAAGAAGCAGAAAATCTCGCCGTCTCGTTGGGGCAAAATATCACCACAGCACTGTTTCCCTCGTAGTATGTACTGTCGTAATCGAATTCGAATATATTATGACACATCCGTCGTACTACATTATGCATATACAATCACGTCGCGATACGCGCTTTGTCTCATGGATTTTGTTCACGTGAACCCGAGTGACGGAAAACGAATGGAGGATGGACGGACCGACTTCTATATATGTTCTGATCAGACACTGCTCGGAAGTGGTGCACGCTAGCTGGCTACCAGACAGCCAGACGGAACTTGCACATGTACATCCAGACAATAGTGCCTTCCGAGCATTCGCCCGTCCAGTCGGAAGTCGGAATTCCCGACTCCAACAAGCAACTTCGATTGATGATTGCATTCAAATCACAGCTCCAGCAATTCCACCAGTCCCTAATACGTATTTGCTACCCCACAGGAGCAGTTGTTGGTGCTATGTACTAACAGCTTCTATTCCTGATGGGACCAAATATCCTTGTAAAAGCGTAAAAGCTAGCAATCTATGTAGTGCGTCAACCACTGTGCTAGCCTGCTAGGTAAATTCATTCTCGCAATTCCCGTAAGGATCTGATACATCTGACAATAAGTTTGGCTACCGCTTAACGCTTAACCCTAACACAGCACCACCTATCTTCGCTGTTGGAGCATGGGTGGGTCTGACCCATACTGTAACGGGATGTCCCGTAGGGACTGAGCCAGGGGAGATAGAGTCACGGGATAGGGTGCCAGAGGTGAGAGGAGGTTCGGGGGTCTAGGTAGACAAGGACAGTTGGTAGACACGAGGCAGCTCAGACATCTACGTTGTTGTGCACATCTCTACGAGACTGCAGGTCTGGCCGGTCCATCTGGTGATGAGAGCGGGAGGAAATCCCTAGGACACAGGCAGCGTATTACGAGTTCAGGACAAATTCTGTTGGGAGACATTGCACAGATACGACAAGGACAAGGACAACGACGAGAAACACTGTCGAGTTGCACACGTCACTCTCCTACTTCTCCTCTATTTCCTTCAGTATCAAACGACCCAACGAATACGCCAGCACGTCGACGCAACTTTTCCGTACCCACATACATCGAACAACATCCTTCTCAAAGCTCGTATACGACGGGCTCAGACGTAGACGTGTTGTTACGTCCAGCGTTTTTCACGCCAAGACAGAACAGCGACTCCCCAGATTCATCAGAGTCATCATTGACCCCGACCAAACCAAACACGCCAGCTATACCAACTCTCCTGAAGATAGAATCACCGCTTCATTTCTGGCCTACACAGGCGCCAGTCATCTCCCAGCCGATAAAACCCAGGATAGTACCAGTGACTATACACAGAACCGTTCCCCAGACCAACACCACCACCGCTCCAATAATCAATCCTATCGCAGTCACAAACATGGCAACAGACAACCCTCGAGCAATCCCACTGTTTTACGGCGACTATGGTGAGAAGGAAGAACCGTCGGCATGGTTCGCGCAATTCGAACTTTCGCTCCCAGTCAGCTGGGGAGACTCAGAACGCATACTGAGGTTAGGCATGCAATTAGCGCCAGGGCAATTAGCAGACGAGTGGTTCCAAGCTCTTACCTCGTCCCAACTAGCGACGTTCCAAAGCCTCAAAGCAGCCTTCTTCAAACGGTGGCCACCACCCAAACCGCCCAAGCTGACACGTGCGCAACAGAAAGAAAGAATCAAAGCGCAAGTGCTGAAGGAAGAGGAAATAGGCATATGGTTGCCAGACGGGCGTACAGGGAATTACGCACACGTCACATGGGCTACGAAAGTCTCGCGACTCGCAATGGGAATGGGGGATGTTGATGCCGTTCTAGTGGAATATGCCCTTGAGAACATTCCAAACCTTCTCAAGGACCACCTTACTTGCAGTTACTCCACATGGGACGAATTCGTTCAAGACATACAAAGCGTCTCTAGCATCAAGATTGAACGAGGACGTGAGGACTTGGAGAAGAATAGGGCACGAGATACAGATATTGCACGCCTTAAAGCCCAGAGCGCATCGTCTTATACCACCAATTCCCCTCCAAGCAACGCCAATCGTACAGCTTCACCGGCATATCGAGCAGCGCTAAGACCACCAACTACAACCAATCTTAGCACAGGACCAACATTGATGCAAGCTCCCATCCCAGCGCCAATCCTTACTAGAGGAAACTACCCAGCAGCACGAGGTACACCCATAGCACGGCCACCGCTTACACGAGCCTTGATCATGGACAGGCTAGCGACGGTAGTGCAACGGCCAAACACTGAAGCAGGAGTAAGGCAATACGAGACGGACATCATACAATGGCACCAACTGCACGGCCCAGACGCAATACCAATGCTCGATCGCCCATACCCACTAAGGCCTGGCACAACACCATGTGGCTCGGGAGAATGCTATAATTGCGGAATGATGACAGACCCAGCGCACATTAGCAGCCAGTGTCTAGTGGAGGTGCCAATCCGCCCGTTGGAAGCACGATGGAGACAAACCGTAACCAACATGTTTCGACGCCTATCACCACTCGCATCGCGCTACACGTACGCAGCAACACCAGTGCAGTACGTCATACCCAACAGCCACCAACACTACAGTCCGTACGGGATGACAGCAGCAACACCTGTCTACGCCGTAGCACAGTACGAAGATCCGTATGGTGGCTGGGAAGAAACGCAGGAAGCATGGAACACTCAAGAGATGGGACATACCTGGAGTTCGGAAAACTACATGGGGCTGCCGCACCCGGCGGACCAGCAGTAGTCCCTATAGAGCGCCGTCAAACTAACATTCCTATTACCTCTCTCATGTCGGACCTTTCACTGACAACTCAGAATCATACCATAGACACGACAAATACAGTACATAATACATACACAACACCTATGCCGTCTCAACATTCCTCTACTATCTCAAACGACGAGACACCAACGTCACCGGTTGTACCTTCTCCTTCGTTGAGCAATTCTATTACTGATGTCTATGTGGTGGATGATCACGGCAAACCTATTAGAGCTCGAACGAGCAACCCGTTCATAACAGTACCAGCGTTACAAGGACCACGCGGGGAGAAAGTCCGTTTTCTGGCCACCGGCGACAACGGAGCCATGATCAATGCAATAGATGCGGCAGCATACCAACGCATCGCAAGGCGACTCTCTCCGCTAAGTCCATCATCGAGAACGTTACGCATGGCTGATGGGTCATTAGTATCATCAATGGGCATCTGGACGGGGATCGTCTCATGGGGACCTACCAGCATGGAAACATCGTTCGAAGTGTTTCCTAGCGGGGGATCGTGGAGAATGCTACTAGGGAAGCCAATATTAGAACAAGTAAACGCCACACAAGAATATGGCACGGACTCAATTATTTTACCGCTCAAGTCCACACAACATTGTATCTCCAATTTTTCAGCCTTTCGTCCTCTTCCAGTACCATGCTTACCAACAGCTGTCAGTTTTCCGTCACGCTCAACATTCGCGCCTCAAGATAACGTGTCGAAGGACACAACGCACCGAACCGACGCTCAAACGGATGAAAAGCACCAAGCGAACGTTCTCTACGTCGACAACGAGACAGAAAAACCTTTGTTAGGTGAAGTACCAGAATTCTCTTTACCAACTAAAGAGGATGATGTTTTCACAAGACTAACCGAACAAGGACCGTTCTACGCACCGAGAGTGGAAGCAATCGCCAATGCAGTCCGATATGGACCGCAACTTCAAGCAGACCAGAGACAGAAGGCGCGTGACTTAGTTATTGAGTTTGCTGATTGCTTTGTGTTATCCGTTCGAGAAGTCAAGCCAGTCGACTTCATCAAGTTTCGCTTAGCAATACCAGAGGGCACGACATTCTCTAAGAAGATTCATCAAAGACCGCTGACGCCGGCACAACGAGAATACCTCTTTCCGGTATTGGACGAGATGCGGAAAGCGGGAATCACACGGTTTATCCCATCTGACGAAGTGAAGGCAGTCGCATCAACAGTACTAGTACAGAAGACGCACTCGAGTACCAGTCTCTCACTAGAAGAAATACGACACATTGTTAATCAACAATGTGTCGACCTCGGTGAGCCGCCGGATTCTAATTATGAACCAAACTTAGGAAATGCGCGTCCCACAGAGCCAATTGACCTTGCCAAGGTCAAATGGCGTATCTGTCAAAACTTCATAGAGGTCAACAAAGTATCAAACGTAGCGCCGACTCCACAAGGTGATATAGCGGCAAAGCAACAGAGGCTCGCGGGGCACGAATACATCTGTGTTCTTGACTTCGCATCTGGGTTCTACGCCATCCCGGTAGAAGAGAGCAGTCAGCCGTACTTATGTTTCTATACAGAAGGCAGGGGATACGAGACCTACAAGCGCATGCCAATGGGCGTTCAAGGTGCGCCCTCCTGTTTCAGTGATCTTACGGCGATGGCACTACATGACATACTGGCGAAGCTCTTGTTCGAGCTTTACGTGGACGACGGAGCTATGTCGGGTGACGTGTTCGAGGAGCTGCTAGGCAGACTTCGTATTTTCTTTTACAGATGCCGCGAATTAGGTTTGTCGATCTCGCCATCGAAGACACAGCTTTTCATGCAAGAGGCTGTCTTTGGAGGATTGAGAGTAGGGAGGGAAGGAATCAAGCCGGACCTAGCCAAAATCACAGCGGTAGCTGAATGGCCAGCGCCCAGCAACCTGCTGGAACTAATGAGGTTCTTAGGCCTGACGGGCTACTTCAGATCCCTCATCAAAGATTATGCGCGCATAGCGGCGCCCCTCACTGACCTTCAACGAAATCTAGACCGTCCACCACATAGCGCTAAGGCAGGTAAGAGGAAGTACAGACAATATCTAAGGGAGTACAACCTGGCACGATACTGGGAACCGAGGCACACGCGTGCCTTCCTACGACTCAAGCAAATCCTAGTATCAGAGCCTGTTCTACGAGCTCCGAAGTTTGACGGCTCACCATTTATCGTTACCAGCGACGGCTGCAAGGATGGATTTGGGGCCGTTTTATCCCAACGGTTCACGACACGGCTCGAATCGGGGGAGACGAGAACCAAGGTCCATCCAGTGGGCTTCGCATTGAAGCGCACATCTCCAGCAGAAGAAAGGTATAAGCCGTACTTACTAGAATTTGCAGCCCTCAAATTCGCGTTTGACCACTTCGGTGGTACGATTTGGGGCTTTCCGGTAGAAGTGGAGACTGATTGCATCGCGTTGAGAGACACGCTGATCAGCGAGAAGCTTTCGTTAGTGCACGCACGATGGAGAGACGGGATCCTGGCGTACCATATCGTGGACGTACGCCATCGACCAGGCAGCTCGAATACAGCCGCGGATGCACTGAGTCGTCGAGCATCGGGACGACCACGAGTAGATGGGGATGGAAGTGCCTATTCCGTGAGCGAGGATTGGGAGGTCGCACATGGAATAGTTAACGACTTACTTCACGTTGACGTTACTGACTCTACCATTTCAGAACTACGAACACGGTTTCAAGAAGAACCGTTGTTCCTAGAAGTTATCGACGCGTTGAATAATCTGGATGGCGCCAAACCGGAACGGGATCGTCGGAGAGCGCGGCATAGAGCGCTGGGATATATTATTGAGGAGGGACGACTGTGGAGGATAGCAGATGGAAGGACCACTAGAGCACGGTCGCGGCTGGAATGCGTCTCCCAGCAAGAGGCGACAGAGCTCGCTCGACAAGAACACGCAGATAATGGACATTGGGGACGCGATCTAACGAAGCTCAAGCTGTTAGATCGCATTTGCAGCCCTAAGCTAGATCGCTCCATAGTGAAGGCCCTAATCGAATGTCCTCAATGCAAGAACTTCGGATCCTCACAGCTACACGCACTAATGTATCCTATAACACGCCGCCATCCATTCGAACTCATTGTAGCCGATTATCTTTCCCTTCCCAAAGGAAAGAACGGATTCCACAACGTTTTACTCCTACTCGACACTTATTCGCAATTCGTCTGGGGTTTCAAACTCAAGGTGCACGGTACGGCGAAAACGACTGTCGATGGACTTCAAGCCGTCAGACACACGTTCCGCGCACCCGACACGTTCATGACCGACGGGGGGTCCCACTTCGACAACGGCGATGTACGCGCATGGTGCGCAGCGCAGGATACCAAGCACCAAGTGGTAGCGGCGTATTCGCCATGGGTCAACGGACTCGTTGAGAATGCGAATGGGAAACTACTGGGACGACTGAAGAGGCTATGTAGCCCAGGACTAGGGGAGGATGAGTACGACAACGCGAGGATAGAAGACTTACCCAGATCGTGGCCAGATCAGTTCGATACCGCGATACGTCAACTAAACGAACGCATCATACCAGCCTTCCAATTCTCCCCCAAGGAACTTCTCCTCGGCCTAGTCGTTAACACCATACCCACACCGTCAACCATCGCAGGCGAGAATCCGTCGACCACAGAAGTTGATGTGCACATGGCATACGTGGATCAGCAACGGTTAGACGGCGCAGATCATGCCACAGCGCACGCAACGAAACGGAAAGCCACATTTGACAAGCGAGTTCTTAAGTCGAACGCAGGTGAAGTCATTTTCGAAACGGATCAATTAGTACAAGTCTACGCTAATTCATTAGATATGACTATGGCATCATCAAGGAAGCTACTACCACGATGGTCCGCCCCGAGACGTATCGTCTCCAGAATAGGGAACTCCTACACTCTCACAACCCTAGAAGGGTTCCCTCTCCAAGGACTATTTCACGCTCGAAGACTTCGCCGTTTTATTCCGCGAGACGGTACAATACTCGCATCTATGCAAGCTATACTCGGAGACGACATCAACGGAGATGACTTACCAGATCAAGAAGCAGATGAAGGAATAGAACTAGAAGAAGAATTAGGAGGTGACGAGGAGGAAAACATAGACAGCGAGGACTCGGACAGAGTAGCCGTGGATACGCCCCCGGAGGCGCGCACTTCGGGGGGGGGGCATATGTAACGGGATGTCCCGTAGGGACTGAGCCAGGGGAGATAGAGTCACGGGATAGGGTGCCAGAGGTGAGAGGAGGTTCGGGGGTCTAGGTAGACAAGGACAGTTGGTAGACACGAGGCAGCTCAGACATCTACGTTGTTGTGCACATCTCTACGAGACTGCAGGTCTGGCCGGTCCAATACCCATTGGTTTCATCATCGTTCTCGGCTGAGATTTTCAAGGAGATTAATCAGTAGGAAACAAAACTTACTGAATTGTGAATGGTCGTTTTGGAGGTACTTGTTGACGGCGGGTGATCATCGACATCGTGATGCCAGGGTGGTTTGACAGTGATCGAGTGAGGCGGGATAGGCAGAGCCGCTTTCAATGGCGAGTGCGGATCAGTGATTGGCAATTGATGATGGCACATTTACTCGGTCAAAGTTGCAGTATTTCCGAAACTCGGGGTGAGCTGATTAGGACGTACACCACTGTTGTTGCTGGAAGTAGCACCGCGTGAGCGGTACGAGTCTACGTGATTCCAGTCTGTCAGATAATTTTAGAACAGTATAAAAGCACATACATACTTGAGCGCTTGCTAGCAATGTCTCACGTGTACCGCTCAAAAGAATAGAGTAAGGCACTGGGAACTACTCAGTGATTCTTAGCACCTTGTTTGTCTGCCAGCGTTAAGTAGAAGAGTCATGATTCACCTGACTTATTCCGCCAACGCCAGCGGACTTTCACTTTTTAGGCGACTCCGAACCTCGCGCCAACGAGTCCTGCCGCACCATCCTTGTCGACCGTTCCCTTAGGGCGCCCATGTCCGCATTTTCGGGATGCACCACTCATGTGGAAATAGAGATAGCAAGCTGTAACATCATAAGGAAAAGGTAAGTTGATAGTCCGTCGAAATTTTCGAAATTTGAAGATCCGAATGTCGCTTAAAGGAAGGCGGGGAAATTCAATACCGCCGGCCTCCGCTAAGCCTCCGTACAATTAATTCGTGCCAGCGCGACATCAACGAGACTCTTTAGAAGTGACTAATTTCCCTATTCGTGTGACGCTGTTCAATGGTGATTCTCAATAATCGGTCTCCAGAGGCGCAGCTAGGGCTGGACTCAGCCTGGTTGACCCATAGGTTGATATCTGTTCTTGAACAACGAAGATTTCGACTGATGTTACCCAAGTCTGTCAGTGCCATGTTATTTGCCTGCACAAGCTGACCTCACACACATATATGACAGCACAGTGTTGAGCTTTGCGCAATACTAGCACTTCGATGATTTGGCAGTGTGGGATAAAGACAAATTCTGAATCAGCGGAAGTCAGTGGCCCACGCATTTGAAAACGTTCGACGGGATTGCACCGATTAAGACATTGTAATATGTTGTCAAGTGCAGCTTTCGCAAACACACTACGTTGTTACCCACTCTGGAAATAAGGGTAGTTGGCCATATGAGCAACATCAATCAGATCAAGGGGACCGCAGGGGACGCATCCAGTAGCGGGCATGCCATGCACACTTATTCGAGTAGGCTGAACTTCCAGGAACATCTACAGCTAGGGACCTGGAGTATCCAATGGTGGTCTCGAATTGTCTGACTCGGGATTAATTGACTATGATTAGCTCCTCGGAACTCTATGGCTGATTGGATTTCGGTGGGGCACGGCATGTAGAAATGTACGTCTGCATAAATAACGGGGCAAGTGATCAGTTGAACATCCACCTGCTCAAAATTTCCCTTGCACTATCCTTGATTAGCGATGCTCTTCCTGAGCTTTCTTCTTCCATTGCTGCATCTACCACATGCAACATCCATCATCTCGCGATCCCATTCCTATCCACTCAACTCTCGTTCGAATACCCTAGGCCCCGAAACCGATCTAATAATCTCCAATAAAGTCATAGCTCCAGACGGGTTCGCGCGCTCGTGAGTGTGTGCTGCGGTTTTCTTTTGCAATCTTGATCATGGTTATAGTGCAATTCTCGCTGGAGGAACATTTCCGGGTCCAGTCATCTCAGCCCAGAAGGTTCACTTCTGTCCATTTCATCCATTAGGATCTCATGATAATTGAAGGGTGACAAATTTGCGATCAACGTTGTAAACCAACTCTCTGATGATTCAATGTTGAAAAGTACCAGTGTGGTAAGTGCATCTAACAGTTCCGTGCTCATGTTGTGTCGGGCTTACCCTAATCTGTAGCACTGGCATGGAATCGATCAGAACAGGACTAACTATGCGGATGGAGTCACGTTCGTTACTCAATGCCCCATTGCGCAAAACGACTCGTTTCTGTACTCCTTCGATGCTCAGGGCCAGGTGGGAACATTCTGGTATCATAGCCACTACTCGACACAACAGTGGTTTGTTGATCGAAGTTTTTTGTTCAACTTTGGCGAAATGTGACCCGGAATTGTTCAGCGATGGCTTGCGCGGGGCTTTGATTATCTACGATCCCGAAGACCCTCTATCCTACCTATACGACATTGACGATGGTATGCTGATCATGTGATGGTCGCCAATCCGCTCACTGAAACCATTTGCAGAGACCACTGTTATCACCCTTGCTGACTGGTGCATCTCAGAACTGTTTATGACCTACATTCGACTGACTATTGAATAAAGGTATCATACGGTTGCCCCTGTTTTGAATCATTTCGTCACCGTCCATGCAGATTCAACAGTCATCAACGGTTTCGGTCGATACGCGGGTGGCCCCGTTGATACCGAACTTGCGGTGATCAACGTTGAGTGCGGTAAACGGTACCGCCTACGTATCATAGCGCTGTCCTGCGAGCCCGATTATGTGTTCTCCATCGATGGCCATAACTTGACGGTGATCGAAGCGGATAGTCATCTGACGGAGCCCCTCCTCGTGGACTCGATCCATATACTTGCCGGACAGAGATACTCTGTTGTGCTCGATGCGACTCAGCCAATCGACAATTACTGGATACGGGTACTCCCAAATATCTCGTCCCAGACCTTCGACGATGGCCAGAACATGGCCATCCTGCGATACCGGTGTGCACCTATCACAGAGCCAACTACGAACCAAACCACAAGTACTATGCCGCTTGCTGAGACCGACTTGCATGCGCTCGTCAATCCCGGTGCACCTGGTGTTCCGGGATATGGGAATGCAGATATCAACCTGAAGATGATTGTCAACAAAACAGACGGAATATTCTACATTAATGGCGTTACATTCAAGCGTCCCTCAGTGCCTGTGTTGCTCCAGATCCTCAGCGGCGCACATCATGCAACCGATCTCCTTCCAGAAGGAAGTGTTTATGTTTTAGAGCCTAACAAGGTCGTTGAACTGACGATGATAAATGGTGAAGTCCGCGGTCCCGTGAGTTCCACCCTCATTCGAACCCGATATTACATCCATCTCATGATCTCTTCGATCTCATTCCAGCATCCAATTCATCTTCACGGTGTAAGTGATTCTAGATACGACTTGACTCTAAATTACTCATTGTACATTGTAGCACAGCTTTGATGTCGTTCAGAGCACTTCCAACAGCCCGTTCAACTACGTCAATCCCGTGCGCAGGGATACATCATCCATCGGGTTTTTAAACGAACAGATGGTGATCAGGTGGGTAACCGATAACTCCGGTCCGTGGTTCCTGCATTGGTGAGCACGATGACATTTATCAATCTAGCACTGACACTGATCTAATTTTTTACCTAGTCACGTCGACTGGCACCTTCAGCAGTGCGTGCCTCGGGCACTCTGAAATTCTGACGCAACTTGATGCATTTTAACAGTGGGTTCTCTGTAGTTTTGGCCGAAAGTCCCTCGGAGACTCGGAAGCATATGGGCCCCTTACCCAGTAACCGTTTGATTTTCTGTCTTCCCTTCTGATTGAGCTGATGGGAGACGCAGACACATGGAACAATCTTTGCCCAATATTCGAATCGTTAAGCCCATCCCAGATTGGAGCAAAGAATTCGTATCAAGAAGCAGAAAATCTCGCCATCTCGTTGGGGCAAAATATCACCACAGCGCTATTTCCTTCATAGCGTGTACCGTCATAATCGGGTCCGAAGATGTCGCGAATCACGATGCATCTGTGGTATGCATTTAGAGTACATTTACAATCACTTCTCTTCGACGTTCGTCCGCTCTGCGACTTTGAACCTTGCATCCTTTCAACTGCATTGAATGCAACAGAAATCTTTCGGACGCCCGCCGTGAAATGCAGCGAAATGAATCGGCTCGTGTCTCCACTATCTAATCATCTGTCGATGTGGTTGAGAAGGTCCACCCGGATCCCTTCTAAACGCTTCGGGTGAGGCAGTCAGGTTTCACGGGAGTCGTATCAACTGGCTCATTAACGATGGATTGTGACACGAATTGTGGAATGGAAGAACTCGGTGAATTAGTAGTTTGGTTCAAGGGCGGTTAGGAATCACTCAGACGGGGTATCACAAATGCCGGGTCTGGCAACATACGATGATTTGAATCAAAAAATTATCATTCAATCTATTACTGAGATTTATACAAGTTGGACTCAGGTGAGTTCCGAAAAGGCTTACGCGAAATAATGAAGCTGTGGAGTGACAGAGAGTGAATGGACGGATGGACAGACGGGCATTTCAATCTGATACACTCGGAGGTGTACGATATGGTGCAGTTGAAGAATGAATCAGATGCAGTTTTTGCAAAACTTGGGGAGAGCTGATTAAGACGCGCCCCGCCGTGGTTGCTGGGAGTAGCGCTGCGCGAGTGGTACAAGTCTACGTGATTCAAGTCTGTCGGATAACTTTAACAAAACAGTATGAAAGCACATACATACCTGAGCGCAAGATGGCACTGGGAACCAATCTTACCTTGTTAAATTTGTCTGCCAGCGTCCGAGTCAAACAAGCGATTACCTATTCGCCTGACTGTTCAAGCTTTCAAGTTCCGGCGTGCCATCGCCGACGGTCCTTTCGCTTTTAGGACGATTAAATGGGCAGAACGACAGGTCCTGGGCCATCCAGGTTCCCAGAACCTTCCAAGGCACGCCCGGCCAACTAGCTGAAGACGTCCTCAAAAACGCAAAACTTTTGGCGTCGAAAGTGCGATTCCGGACAGAGGTCACAAATCACGTGGTGTGACGTAGTGTGACTTATCACTCAACTCAGAATCCTGCCAGTCCTCCGAGTCCAGCCTGCCCTCAGTGAAGGATATAAAAAATGCAAAGCCGGACAGACCTGCCAGGTCATAGTGCCTCAAAAATGCAATTCCCGGACAGAGATTTTGTCATATTTGAAAATGAAAAAAGGTATTTCGCGGGGGTACATTAATATTAGCTGGAGCTTCCGAAGTTCCGGGGGCCTCGCCATCCTTGTGGATCGTTCCCTTCAGGCATCCGTGTCCGTATTTTTGAGGTGTACCACTCATGTGGAAATAGAGATAGCGATTGTAAGAGGCAAAGGTGAGCACAACAGATTGACATGTGTGACGTGTTTGAAACCTATCCACAGCTGGACCCAACTTCTGCACTGCAGTTAAAACTCCGGTGAGGTCGGACCTGACTCGGAGGCCTGATGACCTACTGCCACATCTTACGCCACTTATTTCAGAAGGTGGGGAAACACCTCCATTATTTAATCAATTCATGCCAGCACCACAGGTTCTACGAGACTTTTCAGATGTGACTAATTTCACTTCATCTGACGCAGATAGTGAATCTCAGTAACGTGTCTCCTGAGGCGCATCTAGGGCTGGGCCCAGCCTAACATAAGCGTGCACTCCTCGTTGGACTCAGATCCATCCAATAACGAAGATTTCAACTGAATTCACCCAGGTCTGTGAATACTAGTTATCAGTCTGCAGTAGCTGACCTCCCACATATGTAACAGCACAGTGCCGAGCTGTTTGCAATAGCACTTTGATGATCCGGTGATGCGAGATCACACCATTATGCTTTGCGATCAGCTAAGTCAACAACCCTGCGCGTTTGAAAATGTTCGAGAGGATTGCTCCTGATTAAGACATTATAATACGTTTTCAAATGCAGCTTCTTCAACTTGCTACGTTGTTGCTCACATGGAAATAGGCATGGTTAGCCAGATAAGCAAGATCAATCAGATCAATCAGATCATGGGGACCGGTTTCAGTTACAAGCACATCATGCACAGTTATTCGACAGGCTACTTCCAAGGACATCTATAGCCAAGGATCCGGAGAATCCTATGGTGGTCTTGGATTGTCTGGCTCGGGATTTATTAACTAGGATTAGCTCTACGGCACTCCACGGGGTGATAGGGCACACGTCATGCAACTTCGAAACGTGCGTCTACATAAATAACGGCGTGAGTGATCAATTGAACATCGACCTACTCGAAATTGCCCTTGCACTATTCTTGATTCGCGATGCTCTTCCTGAACTTTCTTTTTCCATTGCTGCATCTATCACACGCAGCGTCCATCATCTCGCGATCCCATTCCTATCCACTCAACTCTCATTCGTATACGCTCGGCCCTGAAACCGACCTAATAATTTCCAATAAAGTCATAGCTCCAGACGGGTTTGCGCGTTCGTGAGTTTGTCTTTATCGTTTTTTTTTTGCAATCTTAATAATTGTTATAGTGCAACTCTTGCCGGAGGAACATTTCCAGGTCCAATCATCTCAGCCAAGAAGGTGCTTTTATGCCCATCCCATCGTGCCATCAGGAACTAACGATAATTGAAGGGTGACAAATTTGCGATCAACGTCGTGAACCAACTCACTGACGATTCAATGTTGAAAAGTACCAGTGTGGTGAGTGCATCTAACAGTACAGTACTCATGTTGTGTCGGGCTTACCTCAGTCTGTAGCATTGGCATGGAATCTATCAGAACAGGACTAACTATGCAGATGGAGTCGCGTTCGTTACTCAATGCCCCATTACGCAAAACGACTCGTTTCTGTACTCCTTCGATGCACAGGGGCAGGCGGGAACATTCTGGTATCATAGCCACTACTCGACCCAACAATGGTTTGTTGATCTGATTTGATCTGATGTCAACTTTTGCAATGTGACCCGAAACCATTCAGCGATGGCTTGCGCGGGGCTTTGATTATCTACGATTCCGATGATCCTCTATCCTACTTATATGACATTGACGATGGTACGCTGATCATGTCATGGTCATCAATGTGCTCACTTAAACCATTTTCAGAGGCCACTGTGATCACCCTTGCTGACTGGTGCGTCTCAGAACTGTTTATGACATGCATCAACACACTATTGAATATAGGTACCATACGGTTGCCCCTGCTTTGAACCATTTCGTCACTGTCAGTGCCAATTCAACACTCATCAACGGTTTCGGTCGATACGCGGGTGGCCCCACCGATACCGAACTTGCGGTGATCAACGTTGAGTGCGGTAAAAGATACCGCCTACGTATCATAGCACTGTCCTGCGAGCCCAATTTCGTGTTCTCCATCGATGGCCATAACTTGACGGTCATCGAAGCGGATGGTCACCTGACGGAGCCCCTCCTCGTGGACTCTCTCCGGATATATGCTGGACAACGACACTCTGTTGTGCTCAATGCGACTCAGCCAGTAGACAATTACTGGATACGAGCATTCCCAAATACCTTGTACTCGACCTTCGATAATCGCCAGAACATGGCCATCTTGCGATATCAGGGTGCACCTGTCACAGAGCCAACTACGAACCAAACCACAAGTACTATGCCGCTTGCTGAGAACAACTTGCATGCACTCATTAATCCCGGTCCACCTGGCATTCCGGGATATGGGAATGCAGATATCAACTTGATGATGATTGTCAACAAAACAGATGGAATATATTACACCAACGGCGTTACATTCGAGAATCCCTCAGTGCCTGTGCTGCTCCAGATCCTCAGCGGTGCACAAGAGGCAGCCGATCTCCTTCCAAAGGGAACTGTTTATGTTGTAGAGCCTAACAAGGTCGTCGAACTGACGATGATAAATGGTGAAGTCCGCGGCCCAGTAAGTTCCACCCTCATTCGAACCCAATGTTTCTCATGATCTCATCCTAGCATCCAATTCATCTTCACGGCGTAAGTGATTCTAGATATGACTTGACTCTAAATTATTCATTGTACATTGTAGCACAGCTTTGATGTCGTTCAGAGCACTTTCAACAGCCCTTTCAACTACGTCAATCCTGTGCGCAGGGATACATCATACATCGGGCTTTTGAACCAACAAATGGTTATTAGGTGGGTCACCGATAACTCTGGTCCATGGCTGCTGCATTGGTGAGCATGACGACACATATCAATATAGCACTGACACTGATCTTATTGTTTACCTAGTCATGTCGACTGGCATCTTGAGCAGTACGTGCTTCGAGCATTTTGAAATTCTGATGTAACTTGATGCGTTTAAACAGTGGGTTCGCTGTAGTTATGGCCGAAAGTCCCTCGGACACTCGGAAGCATCTGAACCCCTTACCCAGTAAATGTTTGATTTTCTGTCTTCGTTTCTGATTGAGCTGATGATAGTCGCAGAAACACAGAAAAATCTTTGCCCAACGTTCGAATCGTTAAGCCCATCCCAGGTTGGAGGCGTAAATTCATATAAAGAAGCAGAAAATCTCGCCATCTCGTTGGGGCAAAATATCACCACAGCGCTGTTTCCCTCATAGTGTATACTGTCGTAATGGAAGTCTGAGAGCAAGGCGGCATGAGAGATTAACACTGACACTACACCTGACTCATTGGGAACGGCACAATTCTGTGGAGTATAGCTAAGGGCGCAGTTAGAAATCATCCAGATGGGGTATCTCGAACGACGACGTCCAATTCGGATTTGAATAAAAGTCTGCTTAAGATCCGATGTGCGCTATTCTCACTTTTGCCACCGTTCGGCTGCCAAGCCGCAGCGACACTACTCGTAACTTACTAACTTACGAGTACCTTACCATAAAAACGTAAGTAATCAGAAGACCTCGAAAACCTTGTCTGCTACGTTAATAACGACAGTTCTGGCGTACGTCAAATAGTCTATCGACGTCAGCATCTGTTCCAAAAAGTTGCTGGTACATCTATCAACACTATGTACATACAGAATATGCCGGTCAGAACCCAAAAGCTGTAAACTAATATCAATAACACGACGAGTAGTTCTCTGACATTTGACCGACGCGGCCTGGCAATCCTTTTCGACGACATCAATCGTACAATTTCATACCTGTTTTCATCCTATTCCCTTCGCGCGGTCATAGTGGAGGGCTTAGCAACGTCGATCACAAATTCGTTTTCATCCCGCTCCGAGCTCTGTGGTATTTCAGCGTCGCACACTCGAACAGATGAGGTTTACAAACCTTGATGATCAAAATGTGCTCGTCATCGAAAGTAACATCTATCATGTTCGCAGCCGTCTCGATGCGTCCCTCGTCTTCAACGACCATGTAAGGAAGGTTTGTTACAATTTCTTCTTTGAGCTGTTGATGTTTGATTGTCGTTGGCCCTGTGATAATGCGACCGCGAAAGTCCTCGGAAGCTGCGGCACGCGATATGCGGTACTTGTTAAAGTCGTACGCGTGCAGGCTATAGGATGTGCAATCGACGTCATTCGGGGCGGCATGGATTGCTCTGCAACCGGCAACTTCTAATCGCAGGACGTAAAGACTGTTAGGGATGGGGTCTACGATGCATCGTGAACAGTTTGGACCCCATTCCTTCCAGGGAAAAACGCGGCTCTGTCCCTCAATATGTACACTGCTTTGGCAGGCGGTGAGGAGTTTATCGGTGTCAATGATAAAGACGAGGCTGGGTGGACCGTCGATATTGAAAGCGATGAGCTGATTTTCAGCATTTGGATAGAAGCGTATGTCCTGAGGGGCCATGGAACGACGGACATCCGGGGAGATAGTTACAAACGGAGAATGCCGCAGGAATGTTGCCTCTGGTTGGAAGGGTAAGACACACTCTGCAATGCGGACTGGGGGTTTCGCAAGGTCAGAAAATGAGAAGATGCTCAGTCTGCATGGTAGACGGCCGGTCATTCTAGAAGATACGATCAAGTGATCTCGGTTCACGATACAACAGTCATCCATCTTGCCGTATGGTTCCTGCTCTCGATAGACGCACTATATGATAATGAGATAGTGAGCGCAATCGCTCAAACTGATGAGTTTTTGTCCCACCTTGAAGTCCTGTCTCTCTTGCCAGTTCCAAATCTGCATTCTTGCAGGACATGGAAAATATTCATCGCAGAAGTTGAAGAGCACAATGCGGTCCCCCCAGATTTTGAGCTTTATCTTTGTCTGGTCAAAGGTACAGTTTGCTGAGATGTGCGGCTTGAAGGAGGTAAGGATCTCACTGGCAGCCAAAGGATGTGGCTCGCTTGTGCTAAGGGTCTCCAAGTAAATCCGGCATGAAATTTCCGCCATGTGGTTCGGCTCGAGTACCACAAAAGCAAACAAATCCTGGGATGGGTCCATGCAAACGCTGTGGACTCGGAAAGGAGTATCCTTTGGCATCGGATAGCTGCTTGCATCCCAACGCCTATATGACTGGGAATCCGAAGGGCCTGAGTCTAGCGCGCGAATTTGCGCGATCTGGGGTTCATCATCCCATGTGGTGAAATTCCCGAACGACATGGATACCTCGCCACCTGGCTGCTCAAAGTGATTCACGATGGTGGGTTTAAAAGCTCGCCAGGAAGACATTTGGTTCCTCAGAATCTCTAAGCGCTCTGCGGGAGATGACGTTGCGTCTGGTGCAGCGACCTCCACCATCTTTTGTGCTTCGAGTTCAATCGCATACTGCAGTGCTGAAGAGTCATCAAGGACTTTGCGAAGGTAGCGACAGGTCTGTGATATCAAGTACGGTCAGTGTTTCGACCCTTGATTTGGATTGATATGACAAACCGATGTACAACGCAAGATCGGTAAAGCTGGAAGGAAGGAGAACAAGTGGCACAATATCTCCACTGGGAGAGTGTTGAGACTCGGTGCTGATTTTGTGAAACCCATGCCCTGTGAGTGTTGGTCCTGACCAAGGAGATCAATCAATTGAATAATTTGCCCTGTTCAAACATAGACCAAGTCCCACGGGTTCGTGTTTCAGCTGCTACACGCACCGTTCTGCATGGAACTGTTTCGTATGTCAATATAGTGTTCTAGAAGACGCACACAGCGACATACACTAGCTTTTTGTGTCACGGCAAACACGATTCAGAAGCATATATACTAATAAGTTTTTTGAAGTGAACCCTTGGCAAAGTGACTTTGGGCAAACAGATACAAACTTACATATCATTGAACACTTTGCCTCCCACGGTTTTGTCCTTTCACCCAAACCCCACCCCCTCCTCCTCCTCAAACAATGTCCCAACCAGGAGGCGATATACAAGAGCGAATCGCCGCTGCGCGTCGTGAGGCGGAAGTTTTGAAGGAGAAAATTCGAGCAAGCAGGGAAGCTTCAGCCGATACAAGCTGTATGTTATTTCGTCGTTCTTGCCAATTCCTTCTTTTTGGACCGGTCGGTAACATGCTCTGTAGTACGCGCTATGGCTGCTGAGGTCGACACCCTACCTCGAATCGTCATGCGACCTCGGCGTTCACTAAAGGGTCATCTTGCAAAAATATATGCAATGCACTGGGCCGCTGATCGTCGACATCTCGTCTCCGCCTCACAAGACGGAAAGCTCATCGTATGGGACGCCTACACGACTAACAAAGTTCACGCCATTCCACTCCGCTCAAGTTGGGTCATGACCTGCGCTTATTCACCATCCGGAAACTTTGTCGCATGCGGTGGTCTTGATAACATCTGTTCTATCTATAACCTCAACAGCAGAGAAGCCAATGGGGTCAGAGGTGGGCGCGAGTTGAGCGCTCACTCTGGTTATCTCAGTTGCTGTCGTTTCATCAACGACAGGCAAATCGTCACTAGCTCCGGTGACATGACTTGCATGCTTTGGGATATTGAAGCTGGTGTGAGAGTGGTTGAGTTCAGTGATCACACTGGGGACGTCATGAGGTACGGTTGTTGCTGTACAGTCGCTTAACTGCTCACCCATACCACATAGCTTGTCACTCGGTCCAAATCAGAATGTTTTCGTCTCTGGTGCTTGCGATGCAACCGCCAAGCTGTGGGATATCCGGAGTGGTCGTGCAACCCAGACTTTCACAGGTCATGAGTCAGACATCAATGCTGTTCAGTAAGTTGGTTGTTTCCATGTGATGATACCGGGTACTTATTGTTGTTTAGATTCTTCCCAAATGGCGATGCATTTGCCACAGGATCGGATGATGCTTCATGCCGACTTTTTGATATACGTGCGGATCGTGAATTGAACAGCTTCACGCACGACAACATTCTTTGTGGTATCACTTCCGTCGCATTCTCTATCTCCGGCCGCATTCTCTTCGGTGGCTATGATGATTGGACATGCAATGTGTGGGACACTCTACGAGGCGAGCGTGTGGGCGTTTTGACTGGACATGAAAACAGAGTGAGCTGTTTGGGTGTAAGTGTGGATGGAATGGCTCTTTGCACTGGTAGCTGGGATAGCACTCTCAGGGTATGTGTCATCAACTGTACTGGTGACGAGGATCTGACGAATTTCTGCAGGTTTGGGCATGATAAAACTGTGGACTATCTCTTTCGTCATCTTGCTATATCCTCTATGCTCACCTGCGTTCTCGCTTGCGATGTGCGCCTTCGAGTCGGTCCTTACTCATCACTAGTTTCATGCTCGCCGGTATACATATATTGTCTCTTATCAGGTCATCTGCTGCTACCCAGATATTATTCCTTGATGTTCTTTTTTCCTCAAACCGTATTTAGTCATGAATTCAATTCGTCATTCAAACTGGTGTTCAGAGTCAAATGTTTCTTATGCTGCACTTAGGACCTTTGCTCGAGGCTGACGCCTACTGACGTGATTGATTCAGCCGTGGCAGTCAGTTTGAACATCGTCCGACCGCCGCAAAGGCCCTCAGTGGGCGATCTTAGGCCATGGTTTGCGCCTCGGATCTTCAGTTATTTCACAGGCTCACATTGTCTCTATAGCGCAGAAGAAGAACTTCGACCATTGATGCGGCGGTGGCGGGCCGCGTTGGTAAGTCCACCCAGTCAAGATCTTCCGCTTCCCAGGAGCCTACACGATCTACGGAGAACGCCAATAATCATGCTGTGGACCTGTATATATCTGCCATCTCTGACCCGTCTAATGCGCTAAGGCTTATCCTTCAGTTTCACGTGGACAGATTCTGACGAGAAGTGGATCAAGTCACTGGATGGACACCCCAAAGTTGATAGCTTCTGATGCCCTATCATAACTGGCCCGCCTCTCTCTTAGGCGTCGACTGTAACAGCTCTTTCTTGGCAGGAAGCCGCACTCTCACTGAGGGTATGCCCGCACAAAGCGCACTCACTTCTATTAAAGATGACAGCAGCTTACGGAGTTTGTTAGTTCCCCGAGTCGCCTGCTAAGAAGCATTGAAACAGGCATGTCAATCCATTGTCATGCTGGCTGGGTCACATCGAAGAAGCTTACGGAGAGAGGAGCGCACTGCAGCATGCTTACTTAGATGTGGCTGTCTAATCGAGGAAGCTATTATGGAGGAAAAGTTAAGCGATGATTTTGCAATTGAGGTTTCAGTGCGATAAGCACCTATCACGCCGGAGTCACGCAAGGTGAGAATGTGCAGTGTCGAGTCTGATGACTCCCTCACTGAACATATTTATAGTGGCACAGTCAATGAACGCCATTCGAAGGAACCGTCACCGCAGCTTGGCACAGCACGTACTGAGGTACAACACCTTCAGAAATTATTGGCCTCCTTATTTCATACGAAACTTCAATTCTGGCTTCTGTTGTTCGTCTTGAGGAGCTCGAGATTGGTGTGTTGACAATTCCGATAACAGCTTCCAACTGATGATTTACATCTAAAGATATAAGAGACGGGTGAATTTCTTCAGGCCGCACGCAACAAATCACAGTCGCTCGACGGATTTGTCCAAGATCTGGAGAGCAACCCTCAAAGCTCGGAAAGAAAGTGGCTGTTCAGAGAGTCAAGTAGCCTAGCGCGCCATTCAGTCCCTGGAGAAAATGAGGTTTGCATTTGAACAGTGTCGACAATGCTGGCGTTCACGGAACAAATAAAAAGTGATGGTACCCAACGCGAAGAGCTCGAACCTCGCACAACAGCAATCCACATTGAGAACAACCCCACAATCAGTTTCTCATGGAGTTGCAAGGCAGACCCGCCAGCCGCTCTATTGATTATATCTACGACGTGGGACTTTCACAAGCCAACTGATCTTTCCTCAATCATTTCTGCGCACTGTTCCGACAATTGGCATCTAATGCGAAGGTCGGCAAGGCGCTAAGCCAGTCTAAAGGTCGGCTTTAATAGTGAAGTGGCAGTCCGGCTATCCGGCCCTGTCTCGTCCAGCTTTGTTCAGTACTGAAGAACGACTAGGAAGCAAGAAACAACGATGAACGACTTAACGAAGAAAAACCCCTCGTGACCCCAGTGGGGGAAACAGAAGATTATGTGGTGAGTTGCACGGTTATCTGGTTATTATTATTAATGACCTACATTGCAGTGGGGTAATATAGGACATTATGTGGTGAGCTTGCGCGGTTATCTAGCTATTAACCACCCGCGCTGTCGGCAGCTCAGTTTGATCTATAGATCTATTCTTAATGGGCCACCATTTCGTGAGCACACTGTTCGCAGCTGAAGTGTTCACATACCGTTACCATTTGCGACAAATCATAAATTGTGGCTGACGAAGTGGTAGATCATAACAAATAGACCGCTACTAAATCCCGTCATGCTCTCTTTTTGGTGGCGTATTATGGTAATGGTTTGGTGGCATTTCAGTCTCCCCGTCATGCTGTGCGCAAGGATAATAGCATTGCGCTCGCCCGAGCTTTCCCCCAACTCGTGACACCTCGTGATTGGGTCTAGTACCACTTCAGCTTGACTTTGCTGCAGCACGTATAAGAAAGATTCTTAGCATTTCTTTCTGCTCCTAACACATACCCTCAAGCCCAGACATGCCGTTTCCTTCGCTTCGTTCGACACTACTCCATCGCGTCTGGCTTGCGCAGACTGCAACTTTCTCGTCATCGCGTGCTAGTATCATTGGAAACCGGTGCATGTCCCAGGGTATCACTCGGGACTCTATGACGGGGAAAACTGTTGCTCCATTCGATATTGAGGTATGGACAGTGATTTTGAAGATTTGGTTTCATCACAACTATCCACGAAGCCCTCCCGGCTCACTATCACCAAAACAACGAGCCCGAAGGAGCTACCTCCCTCTAAGAGCCTTGTCTTCGGACAGACATTTGTGGGTCATCTCCTCGTATTGCTTGTGTCTCGTGCCTCATCGTGATCCCAGTCAGACCACATGCTGAGAATCCCCTGGACTGACGTTACTGGTTGGGGGGCACCCAGCATCGTACCTTGTGAGTTGCTCGGTTTTCGCCGTAATTTTACTGATATGCTCCCTCGTGTATATTCTAGTCAGCGATATCAATTTGTCCCCTAGCAGTACTATGCTCCATTATGCCCAGTCACTATTTGAGGGTATGAAAGCTTACAGGCACACGGATGGCACCGTGACCATGTTCCGACCTGACATGAACATGAAACGTATGAACACTAGTGCACGGCGGCTAGTGCTTCCTGTACGCTCCATTCTTCTTCTATGAATAGATCATGACCCAACGCTCCTCACAACAGACATTCAACGGCAACGCGCTTATTGAATGCATAAAGGAGTTGATCACCCTTGAGCGTGAATGGATACCTAAGGAGCCCGGACACAGTCTTTATATCCGACCCACATTAAGTGAGTGTTATAACCCTGACTACGAATACAAATACTAAGGACCATGACGCTGCAGTTGCCACGAATAACGCGTTAGTTATTGCTCCCCCAAAGGAGGCACTACTGTTTGTGATCACCTGTCCTGTAGGACCATACTACCCTCAAGGGTTCAAACCCGTGCCATTGCATGGCACTACGGAGTACATTCGCGCAGCGCCCGGAGGTTCGCATTACTACTTCAAGTTGCTCCACCACCTGATATCGTAATCTGCCTACAGGCATCGGTGCATATAAGCTGGCCGCGAACTATGGTCCCTGTGTCGTCGCACAAAAAAGTGCAGCGAATCAGGGTTACGCGCAGAACCTGTGGTTACATGGTCCTGGGCACTGGCTCACGGAGGCGGGCACTATGAACTTGTTTGTTGTTATCAAGGACAGGGGTGGCGGTAAGATTTACCTCGGCGGTGCTTCCATCGCATTGAATCCATCTCCCTCGCAGTGAGCGAGCTCATCACGCCTCCTCTCGACGGAATGATTCTCCCGGGTGTCACCCGCGATTCTGTGTTAACGCTTGCACGTAACCATGTTTCGGGTGTTAAGCGCCTCCAAGGTCTTCCTGATGCCATCAAGGTCTCGGAGCGTCCCGTCAACATGGGCGAGATCATCCAATCCTCGAAGGAGGGTCGACTTGTTGAGTTATTTGGTACTGGTACGGCGGCTGTCATCAGTCCTGTTGAGAGAATTGGGTACAACGGAGGTGATATCATGATACCAACTGGTGAGGACGGTATGGGTCCCGTCTCGAGGCCTCTTTGGAAAGAGTTGGTGGGTATCCAAACGGGAACTGTCAAGAGCGACTGGAACTACGTGGTAGCAAAGTAATGCGGCCGCTGTTCACATCGGGTATCTATGCCTGCTTCCTTAGCTAGGCCCTATACCCCCTTTATACAAAAAAGACTGGCACTTCCTGGCGGTGATGTACACAATATAAATTAAAAGTGCACACATGCATACGTGATAGCGGCATCTGGGGCGGGCCCTGGGTATGAATGACCGATCTATGCGTTGCTGTCAGTTGTTCTAAAATAAATCAAACGCTCGGTCGTTCTCATGCCTCGAACTTCCGTACAGGGTAATAGCTCCAAAAGACAATAACTTGTTTTTTCAACAAAATAAAAGCTATGGGGCCCCGCTTAAGTTATGCCCCTTGCATGCACCCTACCTACGTATGATGAGACCAACCCAATGCTTATGTGAGACAAAAATTATGGGTTTCGCATTATGAAAAGTCTACTATCTGGAACTTTTGAGGGACGTGAGCGTCACGAACCACATTCTCTTTATGACTGGGTGAAGTGTACACCATTCACTTATCAACGTGTCTTCCTAGCCACAGGTTGAACGAAGATATTTTGGCGATACCATGATAATTCTATGGGAATGAGGTTACCCCACGCCCATCAATAACCATTACTACGTACCTTCGATGGAATCCATGATGTCATCCAAAGCTCTTGTACACTGTTCAGTTGCTGTACCAACGGCGACACTCAGTCTCCAACACTTACCTATGTTTTCCTGCTAATGGGTCCTTCGGAGCCTGATTGTCTGGGTACCATCTACGGCATAACTCCTGCAGGACATAAGTTGACAATTGTCGTCATTTGGGAATATCTCACTTTTATTGATGATACATCTTCAAAAACATCATTGCATCGGCCGTTATCTTCATGATAAAAAAGGCGATTGACTCACCAACGATCCTAGCACAATATCTCATCAAGTTTTGTATGCGTGAGGAGGATGGACTGCTGTTTACCGGTAATGAAGCCATTCAATAACTTCAGGCATCTCCTGCACCAAAAATGATCGGTCTGCGTGGACTGAGTTTCCAGCTAGAACCGCGGTCCGCTGTTGTGGCACCCATTTCTTGATGTACTCCAAAACAGCTTTTGCAACGTACTCTTTCGTGTGGGGCGATATTATACAGGCTTGCGTTAGACCAGACTGCATGTTTATTTCGCCAACTGTCAAGTAAGCACACTTGGTAATGCAATTACGACGAGCCTTTCCATGTTGGTTTCTGCACCATTCGTCCATACTGACCGGTCTCAGTATCAAGGTGTACTGTATTACTATAGAAGGCTCACGAATTCAAAACTGCCTTATCAGTCCTGATAACGAACCGGATGCCTCGTTCATCGACCAGCTCCAGGTTACCATTTGTGATCAATACCTGGATATTTCAATCACTGCTAACAGCGTTAACTTTTTTATAGTACTCACCGCAATTTCTAAGATTTTATCTTTTCTAGGGTCGAGTCCAGTCATTTCGCAGTCAATCCAAACCATGGGGCCCGAGTTGAAATCAAGTGGCGTCTGAGGCGACATTCTAAGCGAGCGGAACCAGGGATTTTGAAGCGAACTCTGTGAGAGACAGAAATGCCGAAGTAAGGACAATCGATGTGTTTGTGCTGCTCGTCGAAGCATACAAGTTGAAAGTTGAACGTCACTGACTCACGACCGTAGCACGAATACGCTGGGTCGGGTTGCAATGATGTCCACTACGTTGTGCCTCTCTACTAGTGAGAGCTTGCTGCTGCTAAGAGTCCGAAACCAACCCTCCTCCGGCTAGCTCCGCTAACACTACAAACAGCGTCAAACCCTCCAAAGCTCCGACTACCATGCCGCAGTGATGAGTGTATGGATGCTCGTTTGCGAGCTCATCCTATTTGCAATGAATTCCTCTCCTTAAACGTGCACGTTAATCACTTTGTTGAAGTTGACCAACACTTTATCCAGCATCACATTTTCCATCAAAGTCGATCGTCATGAACGGTCAACCGAATACAGTTTCCTCGGCGACCCGCGTACACAACTACGTTTAATAGACGCATACATCAACTCCTTCAGCGTCATACTCTGATCTATCGGACGGTCGTCGGTTGGAAATCCTCATTGGCTGAGACTTTCACACACTGATCTGACTGGCAAGTCTTTCCAGCGAACGGTTTTCATTGGATCGTATCCACACGACCAATGAGCGCCCAAGGTCTCGGGCCTCTTATAGCGCTCCGACGTCACCTGTGACTCGGCGGGTGCATTATCAAGCCGCCAACAGGTTGCCACGCAATTCACCCTTAAGGGCATCAAGCGGACTCACGCAAAATATTGCAATCAGTGTCACTGATATAAGTTAGTGAGATCATAGATGGAACACTGAAATTTTCACTGCTCTTGATCCACCAACTAGCACTTACTGTTTACTCTAAGTATTCATTGCTATGCCGGACCATGTAACAGGTGGGCTTGCAGGACTTCTTACTGCTGTTGTGATCGGTGTTGCACTAAGAAGTTACCTCGCCAAACCGAAGCTGCCGCATGGCGTTCGACTTCCACCAGGACCGACTTCACTTCCAATTCTAGGCAGCGCACTGGCAATCGACGTAAATGCGCCTTGGGTTACCTACCAGGCATGGGGCAGTCAATACGGCAAGTGATCTCGCAAAATGCCAACACCCAGGAGTATTAACTGATATTCCTGGATCATTTTATGCAGGAGATCTGGTTTATACCAAGCTCTTTGGTCTGGACAACATTGTTATCAACTCTGAGAGAATCGCAAGGGATCTCCTTGAAAATCGGTCGCAAAACTACTCTGACAGACCAGAAATCGCAACCAATGAATTGTATGACTTATTGAACGATTAACTATTCTTGTCGCTTACTTCTGAATTAGATTTGGCGTTGACAACACTACCGCGTTCATGCCATACAATAGCAGATGGCGTCTTCATCGGAAAATTCTTCACCAGTCATTCCGACAAGATGTCGTACCCGATTTTAGGCCTATGCAAGTGGCAAAAACTCACGAACTTTTATTGAACCTGCTGGAGGATCCTTCGGGCTACTTGAAACATCTTGAAGTGTGAGTATATTTACATGCACATCTACTCGCTGTGGGCATTGACGAGCTCTCTAGGCACGCAGGTTCGATAATCATGTCTGCCGTGTACTCATATGATGCAGCACGGCGTAATGACCATATGATTGAGCGTGCGTCGTTGGCCCTCGAGGTCATATTGCAAGAGATGAGACCAGAGGTAGCCGCGATTTTCAGCGCTTTCCCCTCTCGTAGGCCACGTCACAAGTATATCACGCAATTTCTTACTGTCTTATCTGCAGTGCTCCGCCTCCCGTCCTGGCTGCCTGGCATGCGCCTCAAGAGGGCTGCTCCTTTCGCCAAGCAGTTAGCGCTGGAAAACTCAGAGAAACCATTTGCGCACACGGAGCGTGGTTTGGTAAGTGCAACATGACTTGAGATGCTTTATTCATAGTTATTTTTTAGGCTACCGGAACTATCTCTTCTTGCATGGTCGCCGACCATTTGCTGAAGCTCGATGAAAGCGACGGCGATTCGGCTTGGCAGAAGAAAGCACTACAGGATTCTGCACAAACTGCGACTGCGGGTGAGCAATAATCAAATGCAATTTTGTTAGACTGATCAAATCGTCTCGCGAAACAGCTGGGACTGAGACGGTAGGCAGGAACAGTCGGCAATCTATCCAACGCTGACCAGTCCTAGACAGCGGGTGTAGAATTGAACTTTATCCTTGCGATGATTCTCCACCCAGACATACAAGAAAAAGCGCACAAACTTATTGAGAGCGTGATTGGCACAAAGAGACTGCCGACGTTCCAGGACCGTTCATCCTTGCCCTACATTGACGCCATTTTGCGCGAGATCCTTCGGTGGCGCCCAATGTTCCCTCTAGGTGCGTTACTCACTCAGCAAAACATAAACAGATTAGTGATGAATAATAGCAATCATGCATGCTGCCGTCGAAAGCGACGTGTATGAGGGCTACTACATCCCCAAAGGTACGTGAGCTCCTGCTTATTTTATTCAGTTCATGATTTGTAGTACAGGTGCTACGATCACCCCGAATGTTTGGTACGAATGATAATTATTCTTATCCACAACTTACTTACTTACTTTTTCGCAGGGCGATGTGCCACAACGAAGAGAAATACCCAAACCCATCTGAATTCAATCCTGACCGTTTCCTCAATGCGGACGGTACTCTGACAGATGATACCGTCGATGTCGTCTGGGGATTTGGAAGAAGGATATGCCCTGGTCGACATCTCGCTGAAGCATCTGTATGGTTTGCGATAGTCCACTTGCTTGCGATTTTCAAATTTTCAAACGCCAAAGACGAGAGTGGTAAAAAAATTGAGATCAAGCCACGGTGGGAAGGAGGGGTTACGGTGTACGTGGTCTTTAGCAGGATTTGTGCGAAGTCATACTGATGTATCACTGTAGACGACCCGCGCCGTTCCCTTGTAGTATCACTCCGCGGAGTGCAGGAATGGATATCACAGCCTTGCAGCATTTGATCAAATTATCCGATTAGGTGTGTACTATGCACATGCATTTTGCTGTGGATCAGCTGAAAGCTTAAGTCGATCACCCAGACAACCCAACTTACCATGATTGCACCGTCTCCCATCTGCCACTATGTCAGCATTGTACAAATCGCTTCGAATCACAACATCATCTCACGAGTTAGGTGCATGACTACTATTGATGATATGATGGATATCAAGACGCTGGAAATATTGTAGTGCATTCTTGTGGAAGAGGCCTCTCTGGCGCTCTTTCGTTCACGTCTTTACAGCACTTGCATGGAAACTTTACCCTTGCATCGTGTATCGTACACTGCCTGACAACTTGAACAAAGCGAGTAATTGTGTATATAGTGACACCGACAGCTTGCAACCCGTGATAACGAGGACCCAGGGCAGGAACCCATACAAAGAGTCGTCTAGGCGAGGACCTTGGCCCATCTGCGTCTCCACGACGTACTTGTTATTTCTTCGCTGCATTGTGTCGGAATTGGTCAGACAAGCACCGCATCACTCGTCGATACTTCCTAATTTGACCTAGCAAGCATGCATTGTTTTCCCCAGTGCCCACCAGGCATAACAAACGTACATTGAAGGAAGCTTGATTTATAGGCGTCGTGCGGCATGCTATAGTCGCCATCACATTGTAGTTTCCCCCTAGTAACTGTACTCCCCAAATGTCACTCAATCTCACAAACACCACTAGTACTGTGAATGACCTGACAGGAATGGTCGACAAGACGGAGCAGATCGCCAATGGACACTGCGGAGAGGTATGGAAAGGCACCTACACTGCAAAAGGAGGTCAACCAGTCATTGTACGTCGTGGTGATGGTGCGCATGTAGCATGATATATCTCACACATACTTGCTGCAGGTAGCCGTGAAGATCGTGAGATCAACGTTGTTTCTTGATAGTGAAACTGCAGAGAAAACAATGCGGGTAAACTCTCTTACCTCTCAATTCAAAATTTATTATTCAGCCAAATATTTCCAGCGACTCCTGCGAGAAATAAGAGTATGGAGCAAGTGTATTGATCCTCACGTGGCCCCATTTATTGGCATATGTTATGAGGTCACGCGAGGGCATCGAGTCCCCTGTTTGGTTTCTCCTTTCTATGAGAACAGAACCATCACGCAGTACCTAAAAAACAATCCGAATGCTATTCGGATGGACTTGGTACACTTTTCACCTCGCTGATTTTATACCCAGTTGACGAATGGTCGGACAGCTTCGCCAATTTATTTCTGGATTGGCTTATCTACATCAACCTGGCCGGGCTATTGTTCATGGGGACATCAAACCTGTCTGGCACCATTTTCTTGATATTTTGCGGCACCGGAGTTGATGCGATTATCTTTGCAGACAAATATCCTCATCGACGACACAGGCAAGGCAGTGTTAGCGGACTTTGGACACTCTCGAATTCTTGGAGTTTCTGGGTTCACGACAATCACAACGACCACAGCTGGCACGTTCCGCTACATGGCGCCGGAGTTGATGGTACCTGAAACCCACGATTCAACACCAACACCAACAACAGCATCAGATGTCTGGGCAGCAGGGATGACGGGCCTGGAGGTGCGTAAGATCATTGTAGCCCTGGCGCTGGATATTGATTTGCATGTTTAGATTATCTCCGGTAGGATCCCCTATGTGGAATACAAAACGGATAGCCAGTTAGTCGAAGCAATGGTGGCCGATAGATTACCCGACGGGAGACACTACCCTCTCGTTCGCCACGGTGCATGGACTGCCTTTGAGCAGTGTTGGAGAAAGGTCCCGACAAGGCGACCAGATATGCAAGAAGTAAAAAATTATTTAGATCGGGAATATGGACCTGACTCAAAAAGGTCAGCCAGACCTACTAGAACTCGCGGTTAAATAGGTGGAGATAGAGATATTTGCTCCTGGCGTCTTGTATGAATGGTTGATATCTGCACCTTATACATAAATTACAAGCCGGTATTGGGGTGTCCCCTTCTCTCTCACACATACCGAATGTTGTCTGTCTGACTCCGTCAGGAAGGAGCAGGCAAATGTTGAGCAATGAATCCGACGAGGGCCACTAGGACACTTGGCATAGTACTCGTCAATAAGTGCTAGGAGCGAACATAACTTCTCCTGTACAAAACATGTAACCATGTTAATTTCGCATAAGAAAAGATAGGTTGAATTCTTACTATAGTGCCACCTTTCAATTCTGCTTCATTTCCCCAAAGAGCTGGCCGCATGGCGCCAAAAGGACCGCACTGAATTTGAAATCGACCGTGAATAGTGAGTCGTAGTGACTACCATCCTATGAAAGTTCTGGCTTGAACAGTTGTTGCAGGGTATTGCATATGCTAGGAACGCGGTGCAGCACATATAAGTACTAGTCTGGACCGTCAAAGACTTACATACATAGGGCCGTACCATGAAAAATGAGCCTCGCTTGGAGCGCTCAGCGCGAAGCATTGTCATTGGTGGCACGTGACCGTGTTGCGTCAAGATTCGCCGACACGCTCCAAATTTTGAAACCAGCCTTGAACGTTAACGCGTTAACTTTGAGATTGAGTCTAGACCTTGTCTCTTCTTCTGGTTCAACAAAAAACGTTCAAGTTGCGTTGGTCCTTCGACGACCTTGCGTGCCTTTGACATGGGTAAAGAGTCGGATGATGGAGTCCCTCAAGAATACCCGTACTTTTGGTCTAAGGGGTCAAGCATAGATTTACCAGACTTTCTGACGAAGGTACGATCACAGCAAGTTCTTGTTCTCCTCTGACGCATACATGTGTTCTACCAGTATAAACCGTCCATGGTCCAGAATGACGGCACGAAACCAGTGAGCCTGTCCACTGTAATCCCATACTCACTGTATGTAACCTGACGTCCGTGAAGTGGATATGGGTCGAGGGAAGTAAACGAAACTCGGATACATATCCATCTGGTGCAGCTGCGGCCGTCAGTGAAGCTGCAGCTGTCTGTGAAGCTGCAGCGCTGCGTATGTCATATCGTTAATGTACTCCGACTCACTGACAATCTCTACCTTAGTGAAGGAAGTGACGCAGAGAATAGAAGAGATCAAGGTAGGTAGTCAGTTATATCCGATGTTCTTTCCCTAATTGTAAAACAGAACGATGATTCTATCCCCATGCGCTCTAGCAAAAAGACAGGAGCAAAGAGCAAGAAGGAAGTTCGTGAGAAGGTAGTTCATTTTCTCAATCAAGTCATGTGGGCACTCAAAGGTTTTATAGGTACAAGCAGACGCTGCCGAGAAATTGAAGGAAATTTCCATCAAGCACAACTATGTTTGTGGAAAGTGGTCAGTATTCCTTATTTGTACCATATCAGCAACCGGGAATGAATTGTGAACAGGTTGATATTCGCCTCCGCAGACAAAGTAGACGCGATATGGTCCAGGATTGCTAGTAAGCTAGACCACCTTTTGATATTATTATCAGGGTACCTCTTACTAAATTCTCCAAGCATCGCTGGTCTCTGGTGCCCTCGCGTCAACTTGCGCATTTCTGACGAAAGTGGCAACATCGCCGGCGAATGAGACACCACATCACCAACACCTCATCTGTCTCTACATTCCAAATGTTTACGACAAAGATTCTGTCACGGAGGTTTGTATCGTTGCTATTTGTCAATTTTCGAGTGTTTGATTCTGCGAGCAGGTCATGAAAGTTCTCTTGAGAAACCACGGTGTCAATCTCAGCGGCGTAAAATCAGATCTATACACAGGAGCAGGCAAGTATCGAACTGACTTGTTGAAACTACATGACGATGATTCCGATGTCTACATTCAGGTCTTGATAGCAAACACCCGAGCGGAATTCCATCAACAGTGAGTCTCATGCAACTTAAAGATGATACGCATTGGAGAATGTGATCAGGTTTGGAAAAACACTTCTCTACTCGCTGATTCCGAGATTAAGGCAAGTGTATAGCTCCGATGAGGGCATGCAAATGTTGCTCACGCTCTTGTGCAGGATCTCAAAGATGCATTTTTCTCTGAGTTGAATGCTGCTTCAACCCCTGCAGCAAAATTGGAAGAAAAGAAGGACAAGCCTTCTATCGCTGCAAAGAAAAGGCCCGTTCCCAAGAAGAAAACACAAGAAGATGATCCTTTTGCATCTGAGGATGAGGGTGATGCTCAAGAAGCGGAACGGAAACAAAAGGTACAAGCCAAGGGGAAATCAAGAAAGAGATCCCAATCAAGCGATATGGATGTGGACGATATGGATGTGGACGATATGGATGTGGACGCAGACCAGAGTGACAAACCGAAAACAAAGAGGATTAAGAGTACACGGTGACTACCCCACTCATCACATTGTCGTTGTTTCTTTTTGTGATCCCATGTTGACTCCTCTTGTGTATATTATTTGTTGCTTCCTTTGATTTTCGAACCAGTTCGAACCGCGGGCTAGAATCGCATGCATCATTTGTCTATTTCCGTCGCGGTCTCCCGTGACGACAATCAGGGTGCGCCCTCAGAACTGTGCTGTATCTTTCCCATGTTAACTGTGCACGTGTACGGAGTAGATACGGCGTTACGCACCATGCAGCGAGCTTCATATGAACATCAGTTACGGCATGATTCATTTGCATGGCTAGAGCAAACATACTGCGATCAAGCTTTATTCCAATGAGTCGTCTCGGACGGACTCCCCTTATTGTCACTGAAAAGTCTATCATCCTGCGGGTAATTGCCGGATCCTGAATGAGAGAGTTTCCAAAGCCAGGTTCACGAATACCATCGATGAGCTCAAGGCATTCAGAGCTTCCATGCTCCATCAATCACGATAGATATCTAGAAGCCTTCATATCCGCTTCATGGTGACTGACTAGGTGTCAACATATTATAAGCGCTGATTTCAGCAATCTGCGCTCCCACTCCTGCAAAGTTTTTCTCTGTTCATCCCGCTTCGAGATCAGCCCTTACGTCTCTTCATCCCCGCCCCCGCACACGCCGAGAGCATATATGCTGCCCGATTTTGATACATCTTCATCATTGGCGGCAATACACTTTATTCCTGACCTAGCCTCCCCTAGCCAGACCATATAGCAGGAAGACAGTCGTCCTTTCTTCTCCTGACCCAACAATTACGACTACATGTGGAACTCTTGGAGCTCCCAGCACGATTCCAGGCTAGAACAAAGAAGAATTTGCGGCCTGCTCAACAAACTGAACGTGACAAACTTCGACTCCGTTGCTACCAAGCTGATCGAGCGTCTTACAAATTGTAGACGGCACGGTGGCGTAGAGACCATCAAAGCCTTTGCTGATTCAATTGCACTACGTGCAGTTGAGGACACCCAACGTTCCCCCCTCTACGCATATCTATGCCGAAAAGTTGACAGAGAGCTTGAGATGGAGGACAGGCGGTGGACATGGCTCAACGACGGCACACGACAATCATCACACCCATCATTCGCCAGTATCCTCGTCGACACTTGTGAAAACAGATTCACACAAGCCCTTGATGAGCGGGCAGCACAGCTGTTCCCCTTGGTTGAATTCATAGGGGATCTGTTGCTGGATGGTGTTTTGCCCATCGCCGACGTCCAAGACCTGGTGGACCAACTCTTCACCCTGGCGGAACAAGGTCAGGAGGACAGCGCCGTCGCACTGAGCAGGCTCTGCCGTAGAGTTACTCGAGAATCAGAAGGAGTCTACATTCTGGAGCGATTAGGTGCTTCGGGTAGCATTGAGAGAGTGCTGGAGGAAGATATCATCACACCAAAAGCTCGTTACCTTCTGATGGTGAGCCATTGGATTATATTGTTGATTTGCTTGCTCATCTTTCTTTCAAGGCTGCGGTGGACTTGTTCCATCAGGAGCTTGTAGATGTCTTTGATTCAGCAGCGCTTAGAAACGAGATTTACAATCTTGATGACGATGAGGCGGAGGTCTCATCAGAACTGGATTCAGCACCAACAGATGTTGGCGATTCACTTCCTTCGGAGACAACAGCCTGTGAGTTGGAGGACCAAATCGAGTTTTCCAAGGTGGACACGTAGTGGGCAAGGTCGTCATTTTATCCCGCATTCATTCCACCCTCAAGGTCATTGAACGGCTCTGGGCATCAGATTGAATGGAGATACCAAGGAAGTGTACTATAGATACAAATGATGATGGATGCGTGGCAAGGACAAAATATGAACATAAAGATACCGAAATACTTTCATTCAGTGGGGACCTGCTTCTGTCGCTTGACTTGCGAGTCTTGTCCTGCATCTGCTACATGAGGCCGCTTTGTCACTCTGCGGCTCTTTTTCGTCTTGCGACGATCATTGCCTAATCCGTCTGCTCCACTATCAGAGCCCTCGACATCTTCTGGATGAGGCTTGTACGCAGCTGAGTCTGCACCATGTCGTTTGCTCCGCCTCCGTTTCAGGGTCGATAGTTGCGAACCTTTCAATTGTGGATCTTGAGGAACATTATCTCCTTCTAAGTCGACACGTGTTTCTTTATCAGAAACAGATTCCTTCCGTCGACGTTTTAGTTTGGGAGGACTGCCTTCTTCATCTGACAGCTCGTCGCCTGATGCCGAGAATAACGAAGAAGATGTGTACTTCCACAACTGCGCTTCAGACAAGGACGATCCAAATGATGTCGAGATCGACCCTGCGGTGGAAACGGGTGGCCGCGAGATCGACGTGAACGGTGAACGCCGCGACGCCACTGAAACTTGTGGCGAGTTGATAGCACTCTGCGACATGGATTTGGCAAGCTTTGACCCTGCGGTTGATCTTCGGCCCTTCTTCTTGTATTGTGCTTCCTCCCCGGGTTGGAGCAGGTAAAACACCTCATTTTCCCGAATCAGGTCCACTCCGACTAGTTGTCGCAAGATGCCGATGAGATAGGGATTGAAGTCCAAGGCCTCGATATTGCCCACCAAGCGGGGATAGTCTTCATAAGTTGCGGGACCATGATCCTGTATTTCCTCTTCGTCCATCAACTCCTGGTCACCAAGAGAGCAACCAGGTATTACAAAGCATACTCTTGGCCCACCTTCCTCTTTAGGTAAACTGACTTTATGGAATCGACAGTTAGAGCGAGTGACAGGTGAACTTGTGGATGCAGCGAGACGTTGAGCGTTGGAAGAGGGAGTACGTGTTGCAGCTGAAATGGAAGAGAAATCCTTTTGGCCCTCGGCGTTGTGGGAAGGTCCCGGAGATGTCATCTTGGCGTCGTGAATCTGAACTGGCACAGAAGGTAGAGGCGGCAGTCGATGGCGGTGATGCATGGCACCATGTGCATGAAAGAGCGGCGGGGGAATGGGGGAGTGTTGGATTGAAGAGGAATCACTTGGTGCAGAGGACACGATAGAAGAGGCCCGTGACCCATCAGTGCTAGTGAACTGGAGGATCTTGGCAGTGGTGCTAGCGCCAGAGCTTGCTGATCCACGATCGCTACCACTACGTTTAACGTCGAGGAGCTTCCGCTTCCGGCTGCGAGCAGACACGCTCTGCTCTGCTTTGAGATCTCCTTGAGATTTATTGCGTCCAGTTGAGACTTTGCCTGACATCGAACGAGTGAGACGACTCGACGTTTGTGCTGGTGACGTTCTCTTCCGCTTCGAAGGCTTCGTTTGAGATTCTTGGTCCTCAGCATCTCCAGACTTTTCACGAACATCAGAAGACTCGTTCGGTGTGTCCGGGACATTGGTGAATTGTTCCCTGTAAATCCGTTGAGTAAACATCTGACGGGTCGTATTTGATTACGCACAATCCATTTTTGGAAACGGCGTCCTCCTGGCTATCGTCTTGGCTAGGTTCGCGAACGGCGACTGATGGCACCTGACCCTCAAATGCCAGCGATGGCAAGGGTTCTTGTTCTGACAGAGGGCTGAGTAAGGGGGAGTCCACGGGTCTGAGGACGCCCGCGGGAACAGCTTCAGCTGATGCTAGAGCTTCTTCGGGGTGATGATCATCGTCTGATGGAGGCATTGGGGCTACTGCTGTCGGCGGTGAGCTTCTGACCGCCTGCTGAACTTCCTCAGGTTCCAGCGAAGCCACTGCGGTGTCTTCTGCTACTGAGCGGTATCCAGTGTCAGGCTTCGTCGGTGGATGATCGGTTTCATTCTCTGCATCATCATCGGCAGATGATGGATGAGATACACCAAGCTGCGTAGCTTCCACGAGTTCAGATTGACCATCTTGGTTACCAGTGGATCTTCCGGCTGGACTTGTTTCAGTGACTACGACGTTGTCAGAAATATCGGTCATGGTTGTGTGAATTACAGCTCGCGACTCTTCGGCTAGAGCACTCGCAACGGAGGCCACAACATCGTCAGAAGAGGGGAGTGGCAGGTCTGCACGAGAGGGAGAAGGCGTGCCAAAGACATCGCCTGTATCTACGCTATTCGGTTCGCCCTCCCTAGGGGTAAAAAGACCACTTGGACCGCTGCTGCCTTCAGATGGTGATTCCCGACGAGAAAAGGTATGCAACATTGACGTAGAGACGGATACTGAGACTGGGGTGGGTTGGCCTGGTGTTGAGTGCGGGCTGATGATGATGTGGGGGGTGCCCGGGAGTTTGACTAAACGTGGAGGAGTCTGTTGTGGATGTTTGGTCCCGGAAGAGATAGGGTCTGACACAGAAGGATCGCAAAATATGGGCATTGGGAAGGCCGAGACGTTGTGATTGTCAGATGATGGTAGTTCCGCAGAAGCAGGTTTTGGTGTTACAGGAACAGTCTCCACCAGCACGTCAACTGGGCCAGCGACCTCAGCCTCTGGCTCCTGTGAAGTATGAGAAGTTTAAGTGGTGAAAGACATATTGTGAGGTTAGGCTCACCACCGAGGCTTCTGCAGTAGGAGGCTCCTCGACTACGTATTCCCCATCGAGATCAGACACTTCCCCAGCAAAAGATATTGTTTCAATCCCTTCGCTCACCCCACGAGAAATGGGGGCAATAGATTCCATCTCTACAACAATAAAAATGGGCTCGTCGTTAAATTTGTCAATTTGGTCCTCGAGAGAGTCACCGAGTGGGGAGGTAGGCGCAGCAGAAGGATGGGGGAAATGTTCGGCATTCTCCAAGGCTACATTCTCAACATTTTGGATCATCTCCGTGGCAGGGGTCGGTTCGGTTGAGGCGGATAATTCTACTATAGCACCTGGGTGCTGCGACTGTGGTTCCCTATCCCAAGGCTCCAATCCTTCCGTTGGCACTATAATGTCACCTGTTCCAGCAGAATTCAGTGATAACATTTGTGACTGATCCGTGAAGTCACCGACCGGCTTCCTCAATGCCTTGCGGAAACGTCACATCCCCGCCAAGAAACTCAGCAGCGACAATACCGCTAAGGTCATCTAGCGTAGTCTCAACTCGTTCGGTCACGTTTGCCGAAGGTAACGCGTCGCGACCGAGAAGATCAAAGAAACTCTCCACCGCGGCACGTTCATCGGCGTTCAGTGGAGTTTCCAAAGAAAGCTGGAACTGGTTGGCTTCCGGGGCCTGAATATCATCTTCCTGGACAACTTCCACACCTAATCCGTTCCGGTCGTCGCTCTGTTCGTCCTGTCCCCCCTGATCAATCTCGTTATCATACCCAAGATCACTTGTGCCTAGTGGAATAGGACCTTCCGGGGCTTCTTCGCTCCCATCTTCTTCCTCATGATGTTCCGCATCGACATCGATGACATCATCCTGTGCCTCTTCATCCCCCGCCCTTGGAGAAGAAGTTTCGAGGTGTCCAGCGCGGCTAGCAAACTTCCCCCGCGGAAACGCGGGAGGCCAATTCCAGTCAAGATGTTCAGTTGGTTTGGAGTAGACAAGGGGAGACATCGATCCGCTATGAAAGTCATCAAACGACGAAGCAAATATCACTGCATGAGAAAGATTTTTTTAGCGAAACTACTATGACACAGAATGTAGTGCATGGACAAACTTTGCTGCTCATCTTGAGACATGCTGTCAGCGTCACGATATAGATGGTCAAGAATGTTTTCAGGCTCTTCGTTTTCTTCATGGGTTCCTCGCACATTCGAGACTTGGTAATCATCCACATGACTACGACTGGAGCGCACCTCGGCAGGAGAGGATGGAGGGGGGCTCGAATCAGGCAGCGCATCGTCGGTCACGTCCACATTGACTACAGCAGGTCCTGTATTGGACACACGAGAAGGAGACTCGCCATCCTGCACCATGTCAGGAAAAAGTGTATCAACGTGTGCGTCATGCGCGGGAGTAAGACTAGATGGGGAGATGTCGTTGAGCTGATCTTGCGCACTAAAATCGCCGCCAGCGTAGAAGTCTTCTGCATATGTTCGTGGACCCTGCCATGGATCAGGAAGTTCCAGAGGCAGGGACGGCTGACGTTGCGTGGTAGATAGAGGGAAATCTTGATTAACAGGCAAATTAGCGCATAGTAGATGTTTTTTTTGTCAGAGCATCACTACCTTTGACTTCTGCATCAAGTGGGCCTTTCTCTTCATCCAAGACGGCACCAATGAGACCTAGCTCGCCTTCTTCCTGGTCAGGAGGCAATTGTGGAGACCGGGCACACTGCCCGCCACTGTATCCCGCTTCGTGTACAGAAGCTTGAGTATCTTCTTCCTCGTCCGAGCCAATCTCAATGATGACCGGACTATCTTCCCTAGAAGATATTTCCTCTACCTCATCTTTCTCGACTTGGGGGTCTACAAGGCAGTGGCGGTCGTTTGCGGTCCAATGCCCGGCTTGGTTCTGACCGTCATAAATCTCGCGTTCTTCATCCGCACCAAAGCCCTCTGCTTCCCTATCAGAATATTCATCGTATTCTTCCTCACTTTCAGAACCGGACTCTGAGTCGGAAAGCAATTCGATCGGATTTTGCTGAGCACCAAGGCCAGGGCCCTCTCGGGGGTCTTTGGCCTTTCCTTTGGCGCGTCTGCTCTGTATATCAGCAAACGAATCTTCGAACGACTGGTCTTGGAATGATTCCTCGTCAGCTGCATCAATATCTTGTGACTGGTGTTCGTGAAGGGCAGCATCCTCTTGAGTCTCCTCGCCGAGTGCTCTTCGGAGAGCACCCGTAATCCCACTAATCCATTCGTCAAACTCTGGTTTCGTGAATTTATCGTACGGGTTGTGAATAGGCCGTCTCAGTGACTTGGGATTGGCTGAGACGGGCGTAGTATGTGGTGCAGGTAAGATAGGAAATGGCGAGCGCCAGCTAGTCGACATTCTTGTTGGCCACTGTAGCAGCGGCAGACTCGCGAGACCGAAGTCGACTACTTCAATATCTTAGTGAAATGAAAAGATGGAGAGGAACGCGTCTAGTCACTAGTAGGATGAAACAACACGAGACAACATGGAGCGTGGCATTTTGAACTCAGCGACAACTCTTTGAACTGGGCCTTTGAATTGCTCAATGACATTGATAGCCACTGCCACTTGTGTAACTTGAACGAGTAGACTCTTGAAGTCTCTGTCTCTCAGGCTGGAGAGGCAGAATGGCTTGCAGATCCCTCATCCATAATTCATATATTCCGTCTTTCAATCGATTCGCTGACGATGAACAGACTGTACTAATGCATTGAGCAGTGCAGAGGGTTGTACGAGAAATGGTGAGCATGATAATATGAATGATTTGTTAAAACTTTTTGATTGTCTTTACTAGCATAACTATCTCAGTAATTTTATTCACGGGCCCCGCGCAATCAAAGCCTTGGGTCAGTCCGTTGTTCCATTGCACATTGAATAGAACAACGTTCGCTCGTAATATTCCGAGTCAAACATGCGTACTGGCATCAACAAAAGAGCTCAAAGCACAGAAGGCCTTGTGAAGCTTACACACGAACATTTTCCAGCTTGTAAGAGCGCACAAGGCCTTCCATTTTGACATACATTTTATGAGCAGCATACATACTAATATAATGACACACGTTTCAGGCTCTTTTGTTGATGTGGCACGGCTCAACCATGACGGTTTCTGTGCGATTTCTCATGCATTATTCTCGCACATGTCATGAAAAGAGATGACTGGCTGCTCAGAGTCCGAGGATTTGGATGGCATCAGCTCCGCGGGAGAATGGAGGCCGATGATGGTTTACAATGGTGGCTCAGCGGCGGCCCCAGCCACCGTTTCAAGCTACTGTAACTGAGGAAGAGTCCCGCATGGGAACTTAACCAATCGAGGATCGGGTGCATATAGCAGTACGTACCATGCCACAGGAGAAACACAGCAACTAGCCAAGGGACCATCAGGCCATAGTGGTTGGTCGTTATCAACAAAGAAAACCCTCAAGAGTCCACGTGCTTGACGCAGCGCGAGAAAAAACTGAGAATTCAGATTAGATTGGTGATCTCCCGGGACTCGATCTCGAATCGAAGCCTCTCGCTGATCGACGATCGTCCGACGAGGATGGATTTCTCGCAATCACATGAGCCTGCGGCACCAGTGCTTAGTATAGAAGACTTTTAAGTTGTGAGTGTGTTAACTCAGTGATCAGACACCTCTAGCGTCCTCAACAGGCAAGCTGAGCCTAACAACTCGCGCGCGCCGTGCATGCACAAATACCTATCCCCCCTCAATGCCTACACCGAAACTGAGGGCAAGGATGGGGTACACGATTGTGGAACCCGGAAACGGAAAAGGAGGTTATGGTTGAGCGAGAGCGATGTGTAAATATACCAAGGTTGATAAAAAAGAGTACAACTTGGTGCCTGGACGTGCTCCCAGTGGAACAACTACAAACATAGCCCCGTGGGCTTGGTATCGCATGCCTCCAGGAAGAGAACCGAAACGTTGGGTTCAGATAGTGGTTGAGTTGACATTGCAAGATATAATAACGAACGAGACATCATAGCGACTTGGCATTCCTGTGATCACGAGCACATATGTAGCTTTTGACCCAATTCCACAGTGACGCAGACAAGGGCCGGAGGGCATGTATTCGCAATCTCACTCCGGTTTCGACGACTATATCCCGAAATCCTAGGGGCTCGGATGTAATCAAAGTTTCCTGTGTTATAGACAGCAAGTACCCATCTCAAAATATCAATCGAAGTGCCATGACTATGTGAAACACGTATCTGTGTGTAGAGTGTACAGCTGATTGATGGACACGGTTCTAACCAGAGGGTACATATTGAATCAACAATTTGCGGCAGCCAGGACCGAGCATCATTAATAAAGTAACTGTAGATGTAATTTTGGTCTTCAGCGTATCATGAACCAGGAGCGCCTTGATCAGGAAGCCGTTCGATGGCATAGCGTCTGCTGACAATATACATTAGCGGCACACCAGGAATCTGTCGTATACGCCTCCGGAGTTCTCGATCGCAAGTAGCGACGATATAGCACTTGTGAGCAGTGACACGCTGCACCAAGCAGTCATCTGCGTATGTTCCGGTGTGGCTGCAGTTCAATCGCTCGAATCGTGGATCTCGAGCAACACTAATGAAAAAGTAAATGAATGCGCTGACAGCATAAGAAAAAATATCTTACCGAAGTGCTACACGATATCTGTGACCAAGCTTCTCTAATTCAGCCATAACACAGTCCGTAATACAGGGTATGCCTGTCGATGTTTCTGTCATTATGTACCCGACAATTGCAACAGGACCACTGACATTTTGCATATAAACAGTCCATCATGGCACTGACTAGTTCAAGTTTATTCTGTAGGCTGAAATTTATGAAGTTTGTATCGATCAACACTCTGTAGGGTGGCACAAGTTCGGTATTGTGCGCAAGGAACATGGACGATGCGACCTGTGGTCTGAAATGCATGGGTCACTAACAGTTGCACGTCCAATGGATTACTGAAGTGACTCACACTCGACGGACCGCCTTGGCTTTCTCCTCCTCTTCTTTCTTTTTCTGCTTTAATTGGTTCTCTTTTCTGCATTGAAGGATTCAGCAATAAAGCGGAGCGGTCGGTCAAGCAACGCACAATCTAGCATCATTGGGATTCAAGAGGCGTTTAACGGCGGCAAACTTTCTGGTCTTCTTTGCCTTTCCCTAGTAATGACAGTCATTAAAGGAGATCTCAAATTGTAAAGTGCACTTGCCATGCTCTGAATGCACTAAGATCGAGTTTTCAAAGGTGGTAAATTGTACTTGTTGAGTCAGCAACAACCCTAACAGCCTGTTCTCACGGCCCTCCAACTCTACCAGTTTCCTGGATTCCGGAACATTACTGCCTTCTGTCTCTGAGGGACAGAGATGCTCTTTAGCAGCTCATGCAACACCAATTAACGTACTCAGGGCCTACCCGACATTCACACGAATGACCGCGGATGTACAGTTGTTCGCTCAGTGGTTACCGTCCTGCAACTTCCCTCACAAGGCGGTTCCATGGTCGAGGATACGACTGCCTGTCATTGGGTGGCATGTTTGAGCTCGTTATAAAGTGCGATCGCTGTCAACTCTATATTTAAGACCTGCATACGGGTTTATTTCATTCACTGACGTAGACATCGCCTTGGGCCAGCATTGGCAATCCCACTCAATCATTCTGTCTGGGGAAGTTCCTACGGGTTAACGGCAGTCCTCAATGAGGACGCATGATCACCCTCGTGGTGACGATGAACAGATTGGCGTTTTTTTAAAACCCCAATCTGCGTGCGACTGCGATCGATAGCGCCCTTGTCAAATTCCCAGTGGCGAAGGTACTGGGGTCATGGACTTCCATCCGCGGCTTGACTGCCTAAACGCCTAAAATACCGCCTCCAGGTACACGAATGACTTCGTCGGTGCCTATTCACATCAGATAAGATAGTTACGATTTCGCAGAACTCAATCTGTGAGTATGTGAACACCCAAAAACCCTATGTCATACTTGGTACATGCGGTGCGAACATAGATATCGGATGGAACTTAGAAAATTTCTCAATCATCCCTGCTGTCTAATGTTAAATACACAGAAATTTCAACTTTCTTTCCCCCACCAGAGTGGAGACCGCTAGAACTTCAACAGTTCGTTCAAAACCCCTTCTTCGTGTACAGTCGACCATGTTGGCCAATGATTCATACAGCAATGCATCCACCAATGTCGAGGTGTGTTTGATCTGGGTTTCTATTAGGCTATCACAAACTGACAACATAAAAGCTGTCATGTGTTCCAGATGATACTACTGGCTTGGAGCGCATAATGCTTGCGGCGCAGGGCGATTTGCAGAGACTGCTGAGGTAATGATCCATCCCCTTCCCACCGCTCTAAGTTAGTTATTAATATTTCTCCTCTCCAGCTCATATTTTGCTCGTCCTATCTTTATCGAACTTATCTATGCGCACTGCTCTTCCCGTCTTGCGCCAGCAAGTCCAGAAAACCCTATCACGCAATCACGACAGGTGCATCTCGTGTGTGCGTCATGCACCGTCTGCGTTGCGACATCTACTGTCACCATCACGGCTCCCGAATGCGAACGCCTATTTCTTGATGAAAAATTCCCAATCGGGCAGACCTTCCGACGACTTAACCGTACTCCGAAGTTCAGTCTCCTCAACGTAGAGACACAAGCAATCGATGGAAAGCGTGAACTTCGGAGAACTTATAAGCTGGAAACGGAGGGCTTCGTTGCAGAAATCTTGGAAGTATTCCCGGACAGAGATATGTTCGTCCGTGGCGAGGCATGGTTGATGGAGCGGGGGACTGACTTGCACACCACTTGCACCACTTCGACAGACACAAAGCCTGAGTGGCTGTCCGTACGCAAGGGAAATGTTGTTCATTAGGGCTCGAGCAACCTCCGCAGTCATGATGTAATATCTCGCCTTCATACTGTACGTGTATAATATTATTCACTTCAATTGAACTACAAAAAGAATTTGATTCACGAGACCTTCGCGTATCTTTGTCTTTCTAACGAAGAGTGTTTGGGACTCGGACTCTTCAGATAAATTTGGCGGCTCGCTTCTGTAAAATCATAGATAGAATCGATTGTCTTTCACCGCCAGCGTACCCATGTTAAATATCGATGTAGAGACACAGGCTGCCTTGCTCTTGTTCAGTTGGCCAGTCAGGTGTAAGATTCGAGTGTTCCCAGACCCGTTGGCTATTTATATGACAATTTACCCGTGTATTTGATGTATCATTATGTCATTGCAGACTGAATTGACTGATGGTCTTACTATGATTTTGGCCAGAGTTGCAAAACATCTCATAGCACACACCACAACACATTTTAAACCTCCTACTCTTAGTTATAGGACCTTGTATCATTGACATATTGCAATGTATTTTTTTCAACTGCATGAAAACGTGATGAACACCCTCGGCATCAGATATATTACCTGATTCCTGAAGTCGCCAGTTTTCATGTAGAAAATCAGGGAAAGGTGTAGATCCCAGAGAAAAATGTTGGATTTTTTCAGAGGTCCTCCATACCAATACTCCTCCTGCACATTTTTATCGCGAGAGTAGAGCAGAGTTGCTGATGTTATCGACAATGCAATCACGCAAGTCATAGCATCCTCAAGCGTGACAATTGTGAGCGGATTACCATTGGTTACGAGATTTAAAATTGTCAGTTCTCGAACGTGCCGCAGCAAGCGGCTCAGCCCTGTGACTGTGACGCATCTTGAGTCGGCATCCTTCTGGCAGCGTCATTTGAACTCGTTTTATTCTTCTATTGACTAGAGCTTCCTTATGGCACGCATGGCTACAGTTCGATATAATTTTCTTATCTTAATGTGTAGTGAACAGTGAGATATGAAAATGAGGTTCTCAGATTTTGCCACTCTGGCCCCACGATGGTACTTACGCTTCTCGGTTTCTCAAGAATTTAGCGGCTCGAATATTCTAAATCCCCTATCAACGGAAGGCACACGAAGAAAGTTACGTCGTGGAACAGGAGGAGTCCGATGATGATGATGTCCTCGCTTACTTTTCACCCCTGTGCCCCCCGAACGCGTCGGTAAGTTAAGACATAATATAGAACGCGAACAATGGGAGACCAAGATGATTAATGACATCCAGAAGTGCAGAATGACGTGGTCGCGTTCAAAAAGAGACCCGTCTAGTGACTCGAGCATATCGCTTGCTCCCGAAGTTCCTATCAACAATACTGAGCAAGATGTCCGAAATAACTGAGGAAACGATCTAGAATACGCCATGATCGTAACAATGGTATGTATTACTTTGGGCTGACAGGATCGGTGATTTCGCGATAGGGCGGCATATCCGGCGAGGTGGGGCATGGTGCCGATGCGGCATAAGATAAACAAAGAGGAGTTGGATAGACTTGATTGTTCGAACGTTCAGGGCCCTACGGATCAATCGAGATTTGGGGTGGTATGCGGCCTTACCACACCAGGTGCCTAGCCTAGTTGTTATAGCTTCATTTACAAACGATGGGCCACATACTTTGTTTGATGGCTAGTATCCGCGCAACGGATTTCCGTCGATATTGAACACTGGCAATCTATCGAATTCAAGTGTGAATGGGATGAGATCTAAGAGTCCAAGATCCAAAACTTAAAATGAAGTATAAGATAAGAGTCCATCGTACCGAAAAAGGATCCGAAGAGAAACACCGAGGGGGCGATGAAGCATTCAGATCTGATAAAAGATGAATTTCTTGAGAAATGATGCGAGAGGCTGTGGAGGAAACTGCTGAACTTCAAAAGCAGCGCGCGCGACAGTCGTGCGTGCAGCAAGAAGCCCAATTGCGGCTGCGCACGTGACAGTCTCCATAAGGTTGGGCACGGGTGTTACTCTCCAAGGCCAAGCTACTCACAAACACGTTGAATCATTGCTGTGGGCCGCCATCGGGTGTAGGAGCATCAAAGTTGAGTACCAGTCTCAATATTGTCTCCTGCTTATCACAGAATGCCAATAATTGCGGTGGACGGTCCTCGAGGCGTCCTGGCTGCCAGGATCTGTGATGTGGAAGTTCAGTGGAACCGAAATCGCCTCCGACTTCGTGCAATGCATCTTTCAACTTCCACTGGTTGGTCGCGATCTGCCTTTGCATTTCTGAGAGTATTTGTTATAGATAGTCAAGGAGGGGAGGCTGATGCGTCTTACCAGCAATAGCGCGCGTCCTATGTTTCTGGCGACCGTAACTGGGACCCATCGGACCTGCCGCAGTCACTTTGCAATGGCTGACCTAATGCAATCACTATCAGGCTATCAGATTCGTTGTCGGGAATATGGCGTCAGTGAGGGTGCGCCCATGTCAAGCACGTAAATGATTCTCATGTTCTCACGTACAAATTATAAAGCTATGTATGTTGAGTTGATAACGCAAATCGCGACCGAGCTATCTCTGGATACTTATGTCAAGACAGGGATGCTGACTCAAATACCAAGGTCCCTCGCTTCACTTATCACACTGCCTGATTGGCTCCGTCCGACCCGAACGACATAAATTCAGGTCATAACGCGGAAGAAGAGAGAAGAAGGTTCATTTTAAATTCATCGCCCTCCGTGTCGTACTGTGGGAGTCCGAGAGCCTTATAAGCATAGGGCCCTTGGATCGAATTGCTCACTCCTCTTTTCATCCACTCTTTTGTACAGCACGCGCCATAATGATCAGCAAGGACTCATTTAACAGCGCCTCCACCCACGTAGAGGTAACGATGGTATCGTCATGCTTTTGGATTATTTTAACCGTCACCTTTATAGTTGTCATGCATCCCCGATGATGCTACTGGCATTGAGCGCATCATGCTTGCAGCTCAAGGTGACCTGCAGCGACTGATGAGGCATGTCCAATGTTCTTGGACGCAATCTCCTGTGTGCTAAACGACTTCCTTCTCACAGCTCATTTTTTGCTCGGCCCATATTTATTGAGCGCGTCTATGCCAATGGCTCGCCAAGACTGAAACCAGCCTCGCCCGAACATCCCATAACGCAATCGCGGCAGGTGCATCTCGTGTGTGCTTCGAAAATTGTATGCACTGCTACATCGAATGTCACCATCACACATCCCGACTTCGAACGTCTATTTCTAGACGAGAAATACCCCATTGGCCAAACATTCCGCAAAAAGCTTCGTAACCCACAATTTACACTCCTTGATGTCCAGACGTCGGTCATTGGTGGCAAGCGAGAACTCCGCAGAACGTATACGCTTGAGACGGAAGGTTTTCTCTGTGAGATCCTGGAAGTGTTCCCTGACAGGGACATGTTCGCTCGCGGAGAGGCATGGCTCACTGAGAGCAAGCTCGAACTAGAAAACAGCCGCACTGTAGCTGTAGAGAGTCAGGATACAGAGCCCCGGTGGCTTCCTGTCGGCAAGGGGGCCAACATTTTCCACTGGGGGTTCGCTGGTACATATGGCCTAGAGCCTTCACCGTTGGTATATTATCACGATATTTGGTTTGTTTCGTTGTACTTGCTCCTTCTGTACCTCATATAGATACCTAGTGCCTGCTCTACGCATTTCATAACATAACATAACATAACATATTTATTTACAAGACTAGGTTTGATGCATGATGTACTAGTAGAACTTAGACACACAGAAGGCATTCGAATCGGCAGCGATGAATTGCTTCGCGAAGAGATTAACTGCGTCATATCGCTGCCATTATATCTGACCAATGGGCTAACCAAAGAATTGATAGCCTAGGCCTGTAGGTCGGAGTCTATAGCACCTCTCGGTTCACAAAACCACAAAGATAAAAAGTCAGAAAGGTCCAAACATGTGTCGACACGCTCCGTGCGGCGTTCACCGAATTCAAGACCCCAGATCAGTTGACGGCGGTCAAGTAAAGTAACGAAAATTTCTTGGATTTTATGCTATGATAATCAACGGCAGAACATTGATGGCTGTGGTTGTCAAACAAATTCGCCAGTCCACACCGCATGCTTATCATATTCAAAAACATGATCTATCCTTTTGATATGCAATAGAGTAGGATGAAGAATTTTAAGGGTGTACTGGTAGATTATATGAAAGTGCAAACGAGGCAGAAGCAGGGTGCTGGCCATGGAATGTGCCAGAGTAACGAGAAATTGCCAGCGGTCGTGGAGAGATCCTCAGGCGGCGAAATGGATCAGGCGGCCGCGCGGGAGTGACAGAAAGGCGCAGGAGATCGAAGTGAGCAACGAGAGACTGCGTGTAGATCGTGGTGGTAGCGTCAGCTTAGCGGGAGCAAGAGGAAGGTCCTGGTTGGGTGTGGTGTGGGTAGTGAGAGGTCGCAAGAAGCTGCCACTGTCGAAGGTGCAGAAGGGTGTCAAGGTCGGGGCAGGAAAGGTCACCGGGTGTCATCACAGTCGACAATGAGGGGAAAAGAAAAGATTGGCAAGGGGAGAATATAATATTCAACTTACGTTAACGTTGCCGCCAACGTCCCAAGTTGGGTTTTTTTCCAGGGCTAAAGAGACCGACTGCTCGGACTTTTTTCATCGGCAATGAAGGGAACCGAGCTACTAGTAGCTCGGAGTCATAAGTTGGTAACAGGGTGTTCAACGCTCTGAGTCTCTGAATTGTGCTACTAGATCTGAACCAACGTGTGCGAATGTGTATGTGCATGTAATTCGATACTGAGGAAATCAGATTACGGTACTCGCTTAGATTGGTACCTTGGATGTTATCATCATCACAAAACGAGAATATAAGCGAATAGGACGACCTTGCTGGGAAATGTCATAGCTAGGCAGGTGCGGCACTGCCCGTCTTGGCAGGCGCGATTGATGGCTGTTATTTGGAGTCTGGGGCCCTACGTGTGAAATGAGATAAAGACGAGGGAGAGCAGGTAGGAGTTGTGGTGATGAACGCACATCTTTGTACCAGGAGCCGAGGCACTGATCATCTGACTGCCAGGTCATATGACTTATCAACGTACTTGCGAGAATACTAACTCCACTGCTCGGTTGAATACTTCAAAATCCAGACACGTGCGGTGACCGAGTGAAAAGAAATCATCCGATGGATATTTGAAAAGGGGGTCGTTGACAGAAATGAGATTGCCGCTCATAAACGAGCACACACACGCCGCCTATTGGTCACAGCACACAACAATTTTGGAGGGGGCGATGTACACGGCCAGGAACGCAAGCGCGGAACGAGGTGGCGATGTCGACGGAACGGCGTACGTACGGAGTTTGAATGATCATCCGTATATAGGCTAAACGCCCAACAAAGAGAATAGGTGGTCTAATCGCAATGCAGAGATACGTACCTGTAGGAAGGAAGGAGGTAACTTGTCCTACGATAGAAAGCTCGTGTGGTAGGACAAGCCTCCCCTCTCTATGACAGACACAGAAAGTTTTACTAAAATAGAGATATAAGGCAGTGGCAGGCAGAGCCATCACCTTTGATCTCGGATATTGAAGTTTCGATTTCACGCGGAGTTCCTTCTAGCCTGAAAACGTGTTCTGAAATGAAAAAAGACGCGACCGTAGGTTCGGAAATCTTGGTGATGATGATTTAACAGGCTGCTAACTGACTGGTGCGGTGTTCAAGGCGCCGGTGTTCAAATGCACTGGTTTCGGTCTACAAATTTCAAAGTTGCAGGACCACTGGAATACCATCGACAAGAGTGCTTCGGGTATCCAAGCAACTGGACCAAAGTTCTCCCAAACGCGGCGACAATGAAGAAAAGCTGAAGGCCGACTAGTCCGATATCATCACGGTCAACGAACACTGTGGGGTTGCTGCGGTTGTCGTGGTACAGCTAGATATTGATATCTACGTTCTTCGTCACGTTCCTGTGGCTGATGGAACTGGCACATTGTTCGCGGCGGACAAGAATCGTACCACCGAGTCGATATTCAGGCTGCCCCCAAGTTCAATAGCACTGGATGATGCGTTTTGGCATCCAGGCGATGCCAATGTTTCTCCGAAATGAGAAGATGATCCCTGCCACGTTGGGCGAATGCCTTGGATATTACTGTTGTATTGTGATTGTGGCTGTCGTCATGGTCATGTTCATGCTGAATCCACATTTTCGTCGCGTCCGTGTGTAGCTAACAGCAACTCATCGCGATAGACCAGGTGGTAAAAAAGAGGTGATGTGATACTGAGACCGAGGTTTGCAACAGGGATCGGCGGCGATATCGAGCACGTGTATGAAACTAGCGATTTCGATGAGGTGATAGTTCGCGAACGAAACTGCCGTCATGTACTGGTGGAATATGACGGTGACGTCGAGGGTCCAAGCCACTGGGGTAGTTCTCAATGACAGAACCGGGTGGGCGCGCCTCCACCTGGGTACTACCGTACGGGCCTGTCAAACCGTGTTGATATTAAGTATTCGAGTCACGTAACACTGCGGCTGGACGTTCCTGTATCCATTAATGCAATCGATTAGGGGTGCTACGCAGACCAAGTAACGGTGCTGACCTACTCTAATCGCGAGAGGTTACGAACCTTGATTAGATTACGTATTGAACAGTCAGTCCTAGGCTACGGCATGCCACTGCCAGTCTAAATTAGTCTAACCCGCCGCAATAAGTACAACAGCGGCCGTTGACCAACCTACTAACCTAACCTAACCTACTATTTGGAGGTTTCCTGTGTACCATCCCATCTGTGGCAGTGACGACTAGGTAACGTTTGGGTGTCCTTATAATCTGGCTGTCCTGAAACGTTTGACCGTTAAGCTTTGATCACGACCTCGAACACGAGGCTCGCACTAGAACTATATGCTGGCCAGATCGTGACGTGATAAACTTTGCTCTTGATCGGCAAAACCAGTATCGTCATAGCCTAATATTAGGCAGGGTCTTGCAAGACTGCTTCACACGCACCGGGCCCAGCCAGTTCCCACGACAGGAATGCCGCCGCATCTGACCTACATGATAAGTACAATCGCAGTCGGTGAGTGGTGTAGCCGGGCGGGCGCAAGAAGTCCAGGGTAATGGACCCTGGATCATGTCGTAAGCATGTCAAAAACATTGGCAATATTAATATTGATCGAAAGTGAACCAAGAACGAGGGATTTTGCTTGACGATAAACAGGCCTACCTGCGCCGCACCCAGTCCGCGGCAAATACCGATAAGTCACCGAAGGCAGGGGAATGACCGCTATTCACCACCAATGAACATAAAAATACGGGTTTTGGGGTCAATGACAAATTACCATTTGTGCCAATGATGAGCCGACACGGTCAAATGTTATGAAGGGCATCGTAGGGGGGCAGTACGTAGCACCAATAGATTGGCACTTAGCGCAAGAAGCTGAATCCATGAGGGACTTATCATCATCGGTCTCTGCCGCCCCGAGCAAGCATGTTCGGGACGCAGCTCGGGCCTCAGGAGGCGAATTGAAGTTGTCCAAGCAATATGGAATTTGAAACCGGCTGGGGTGTTCTGAGAATTCCTCAGAAGACTATATGTGTCTGCGCCAGCCGAGACTCGAAACAACTTTTTAGATGAAGTAATATGTAGTGCCGGCATGCAGAATTGGTAACCGAAACGTAGTACCTTGTAGTGCGCGACGTGTAAATACTACGGCTTGAATGGGAGCAATTTCCTGAAACCTAACATAATTAGCACATGCATTAGACCAACATTTGGGAGGACAATGGACTGCCAACCAGTAGATCATGAGCCGGGGGGGAAACGAAGGATGGCGTCTCGGTTGGCGATAGGGTGAATGACATTAGGAACCTAGATACCTGGGCGTTGGAACCCTCAAGTTAGTATATACTATCCATAGGTGAGATTCATAAATTTGCTCACGAGTAACCAACTGCATTGGGAGATCAAATGATGCGAGAAAATGCAAGAGATAAGATAGGATATAAGGGTCATATGCACATGCTGCGCCGCTCAGCGTGGTCGGGACTCGGGAAAAAATGGATAATAAAAATGACCCTGGCATCCTTAAGATAGGTGGAGATATTTTTTTAATTATACATACTTGCTCAAAAATACACAGGACAGGGATGATGTCCCAGGAGGTAACCAAGCATATTCTCATTGAGTGAATTGAAAGCCGGCTGATGAAGGTGCGGCTTGGAAGAATTCCGTTTGTTTCAGCGTCGTCAAAATCATCTGGAGGATCCGCACAGCCTGGAAATGAAGAAGGGAAACGCGAATGACAAGGAGTACGTACATATAGGCTATCTGTCACGGTATTCTGGAATCAGAGGATGGCTTGAGAAGTAGAACGGGCGTCCAACGGATACTATGTACTTCCGATACATAGCTTCCATGAGTCACGGTTTCGATTAAACTGGGGCGACACAGACAGAGCATTACTGGTTGGAATGAGGGGATGCTACCATTCAAATGAACATTTCAAGATGAGCTGTATGGAGAGATGGTCGCGGATACTGTTAGTACATGAGCTCTCCCGCGAGAGTACGGGTGATACGTAGGTGTCACACGGTTTCAATTGAACTATAAGCTGGGGTCACGGTGACAGTAAGTACGTTGCTGGCACGGATCATAAATTGAGTTAACCCCCCCGAAGATTGGGGGTCAATCTGGAGGGGTCGCGTAGAGAACGGTACTATGGATCTCGATTTGAGCGTCTACATTAGTGCTGTGTCACATACTGTGTCATGTTGAACAAACCTGTTCACAAAAGAAAGAAAACGCAACGGCTTCAGCGCCAGCTTCTTTCGGGCGGATCACACCGTCTGAAGAGAAATATAAAACCTAGTAAGTATCCGTGCATTTAAATTCGGACCGACACAGTATATAAACTGCTTAATACATCGCACTTACACAACTCACCTCCTCCTTCAACTTAGATATTCATCATGTCTACTCATGCTCTCGTCTCCCAATACGTCCAGGACGTCAAGGAGCTCGACTCTTACCTGTATGTCAACCCGTCCACTTAAGTAGTGCTAGTACTCATTCTTCTTGCAGTACCGGATCTCCAATCACAATCACAGGATCTGCCTTATCCATTTCTCAAATTGCTGCTATCGCACTCTACCCACCTTCATCATCCCCCGGCAGCAATCCAGTTAAAATTCATCTTACTGATGACCAACATGTCAAAGCAAATGTAGCTGCCTCCCGTGCTGTCATTGAGAGCAAGGTCGCAGCGGGCATTAGTGTCTATGGTGTCAGCACTGGATTTGGTGGCAGCGCAGACACAAGGACAGATGATCCTATTGCGCTCGGTGCTGCTCTCCTCCAGCACCAGCATGCCGGCGTCATTCTCCCTACTTACGCGCCGAGTCCCTCCACTGCTATCCCCACCCTCTCGTCTTTCAATAACAACCCTTTACCTTCCCCCGCCCCGCTCTCTGACCCATTCACCAGCACTACTATGCCACCACCTTGGACACGTGCCGCTCTCCTTGTCCGCGCTAACAGTCTCATGCGCGGACACAGCGGTGTCCGCTGGGAACTTGTCGAGAAAATGGCAGAACTCCTTAATAAGGGCGTTACCCCTGTCGTTCCCATGAGGGGCAGCGTCAGTGCCAGTGGCGGTCAGTAATCTGTATCTATCTCTTTACTTTGTTTAGGTACTAATCAACTCCCTTTCCACAGACCTGTCCTCCCTTTCCTACATTGCCGCAACACTAATTGGAAATCCCGCTATCAGGGCTTGGGTTCCCATGCCTCATCCGTCTTCAGCCATATCTAGCACTTTCTCAACCCCCTTGTCAACTGGAACATCTTCGCCACACTCCTCGCCCGAATTGTCACCCTTCGCCACGTCCACCCCCCTGCCGCCCTCAGCCGATACCCTTACCCTACCCACAGATACTCCAAAAACAGACAGTCACGGATCATACGCCCTCCTTCCTGCCTCGCAGGCCTTGCAGGTTGCCGGCATCACCCCCCTCCCGCTCTCGAGCAAGGAGCACTTGGGGATCCTGAATGGCACGGCGTTTAGTGCAGCTGTGAGTGCATTGGTTGTGAGAGGCGCACGGGGAGTGGGCGTGTTGGGTGCCGTGAGTGTTTTAACATTTGACCGCCGTCTCTTGCATCAGACTGACTCGTCTGTGCTTATAGGTCCTAACAGCCATGTCCGTTGAAGCGATGCTCGGCGCGAGGGGCAGCTTTGATCCCTTTGTCAGCGAGGCAAGGCCACACATTGGACAGGTGCGTTTTTTCGTATTTTTCAAGCGGTCAAGAGAACTGATTTTCTTTTCTTTTCGTTCTTCTTGTGGTGGCTCTAACTTCCGAAACATAATGCATTTTTCCCACTGCAATCACTCGTAATCCCTTGGTGACTCAATCCAGATCCACTCTGCACGTCTCATGCACACTCTGCTCGCTGGGTCTTCCTTTGCAAGCGAACATGAGATAGAAGTCAAGATTGAGGATGATGCCGGCGTGTTGAGGCAGGACCGGCAAGTTCCGCTTTGGTCACACTAAAACTCAAACGCTAACCCTTTGCAGTTACTCTCTCCGGACAGCCCCCCAATGGCTCGGCCCCCAGTTCGAGGACCTCGCAAATGCAGCGCAGGTAATCACGACCGAGGTTAACTCCAGTAAGTTGTCCCAGCCCTGTAGTCACATAACGACTAATCCCTTACCCTAACAGCCACCGACAACCCCCTTATTGAGCCCCCTTCTGCGTCAAATAACCAGACTGGACAGGTCCACCATGCAGGCAATTTCCAAGCGCTTGCCCTGACGAACGCGATGGACCATGTCCGTCTCAGCCTCGCGCACATCGGGAAACTGATGTTCGTTCAGCTTACGGAGATTCTGAACCCAGCCATGAACCGGGGCTTGTTCCCGAATTTGGCGGGTGGAGAGGTCGGATTGGATTTCGCGTTCAAGGTGCGCGATTTTAGTCTGATTCTGTGCCGATGGGATGGCTAATCGTAATTACGTGGACAGGGAGTGGATATCGCTGCTGCGTCGTATGCGGGCGAGTTAAATGCACTTGGTGGAATGAACGTAGGCGTGGGCAATGTGAGCGCTGAGATGCACAATCAGAGCGTCAAGTACGTTCTTTCTTTTCTCTCCTTTCTGAACTAACATTTTCAACCCTATAGTTCACTCGCGCTCATCTCAGCACGGTACACCCTCACTGCACTTGAAGTGTCCACTCTTCTCGCCGCCTCACATCTCATCGTGATATGCCAGGCGCTCGATCTTCGCGCACTCGGCGAGGAGCTGCGTATAGTGCTCCCAGGACTCATCCGCTCATCCCTCCTCGATGCCTTCCCTTCGCTTACTGAAAACTCCACGACTACCTCGCTTGTGGCCGCTATCATTCCGGCACTAACAGAGGCGCTCGACCGCACAACAACGCTAGAGACAAACGCACGGATGCACAAGGTTGCAGGCGCGTGCGTGGTACCGCTCATCACGGCACTCTCAACCTCTCCAGTGCAAGGTGCAGAGCTTGGGGCCCTCCCGGTGTTCATTGCATCCCTTGCCGCGGGGCTAGCGAAGAAGCTGACAGAGCTGCGATGCGCTTATCTGGGCGCACAGCCGAACGCAGTGCGTGGTGCAAGCCCGAGTACTGAGGAGACAAAGGTGGCATGGCGCGGGCCCACCCCAGCAAGCAAGTACCTCGCACCGCGGACGCGTGCACTGTACGAGTTTGTAAGGGTGACACTAGGCGTGCGAATGCACGGGGCTGCGAATCTCAGGGGAGATGTGTTTGGGATGCAGGATGGCCTAGAGGGTGAGGATGGGACCATTGGGAACGGGGTCTCTGTTATTTGTGAGGCGATTAGGGATGGAAGGGTTGGGCGGGTTGTGGTGGGGATGCTTGAGGGCATCGAGGGGTTGTGAGGAGCCTTCGCAGTCCTTCCACGGAGGCTGACTCCCAGGCGTCCGTGTGCTTACAGCTTGAGCAGATTTGGAGAGGCGGCCACTTCCTACAGCGCCGTCATCCTCTTACTTTTATTTGTTTGATATTCACGAAAATTTCTTTGATAATCGACATCCTTTCATGCATCACTACGTTACCATATACTAGCCTCCACGCATTTATTTCCTACACTGTTCAACAATTCCCCGTCTATATCATGCATAACAGGCCTCTTAGATAGATTTATCGTGTCTAATAGAATTCCTTGACGCGTATTACATAAAGTCTCTTGATTTTTGGTGTTGAGCAGGCGCAGGAGTAAATGCTACTAACGTGCATGGCATTAACCGAAACCGTGTCTTCGACATTTTGTCAAATACCATGACGGCACAGCCGAATGTTCAGCAAGACTTGCACCACCACCACGGGCCTCCATCATATACACAAGGAACTATATTCCTTCTGGTATATGGTCCGACTACGGGGAGACTACCTCCATCGCATCGTGAGTAAATCATCTGAGTAAATAATTTCGATTGAGCTGCTTTGACAAGGCTTCCTCATTTTCTGAAGGAAAATGAAATGTCTGGCAGTGCTGAGACCCGGAGTCGAGAGGTTGCTCTCGGTCCTCCTAACAGTACTTCAAAACCATCCTGGACAATGGGTGACGCTGCTCGAGTGTCCCAGGCTTCCAGGATGGGTACAATGCGTGCCTCTCCAGAGCCCAGTGCCTATACTCCATGTGGCGGTCAGAATCTTTGTTTCTCGGATCCATGGGTGAGTCTCCGCGGTGGGTGGCCGATTTACAATAGGTGCCAGAGTCTGAATTACATTCCTCACGCCTCCAGCCAAGCCATGTGTTTAACAACTGCAAGCGCAGCAGGACGGCACTGATAATGAACTTTTCCCACAGCAAAAACTCTAGGGTGAACCTTCTGAGATCATGTTCTCGTCCGCAGCAGTCTCATGAGACGTGGTTACAGTCGAAACAACCGTCCTTATGCGTCTGGGCTGGGGTAGGTCTATTTAATAGTCGTTGACGACATGTTCCGCTGATGTATTTCTGGCTGGTATCGCTCTGGAATCTGCATTCTCGGGCAACCAGCTGTTTTCGTGCAGCTCGCCACGAAATATCAATATCATGTAAAAACCACTCCTACTCCACGGGGACTTGTACATGCTTTCTAAGTCTTCCTCTAACCATAAACGAACAATATCAATCTTCGATATAGGATCAGTTAAACGATCGGTTCTTTCTGTGATGCTGAGCTAGCGGAGCAATGGGATCTCACAACTAATGCTAACCTTTCCTCATGCAGCACAAGGTTCGCCACATCCTACAACAATAACTACGTGCATTGTTGACTTATGTGTGGTCACGGTGCACATGCGCCGGTTGGTTAGTCCACCGGACGGATCTCCGAGCTGCTGTTTGGTATCTCTTGGTTTCAAAACCTGCACCTTTGTTTGATAGGAGTGGGAGGATATAGGCGTAATGTTCTCTTGTCGAGGTCTTGAATAAATCAAATGTTCTCAAAAGGAAAGGGCGCCTGTGTCACTGTCATGCTGATCCTACTCACACTCGATATCCTCTAGACTATTCATGTCGAAAGTTATTCCCTCGCCGCATCGGTGAGACGTCATGGTATCATGCAGACCATAGTGTATACAATCATGCTGGACGGATCTCACCCGTCTCCTATCTCCTGGAAGATTCGCTTGAAATCCGTTCAAACCTTGGTGATATTTGACGTGATTTGGGTCTTTTCGAGCTCTGACTCTCTGCCTCTACTCCGCCTCCCATTTCAGTCGCTCTCGATGCGGTTGAGTTGGATCAAGCGGCATCACCGATCCTCCAGATCAGATCTCGGAGTACATGCTCTGCGGGACCCCCCTGTCATTATCTCGTTTATGTTGTTGCTCCATATACATGCCCGTGAGCCTGAGTGCATTCTGCATGCTGTTCTGATTCCTGCGGTCTGTGTCATCGCGTGTCACATCAACCGTTTCATCCTTACATATAGTAAGATGTCGTTACTCCATATATATGTGGAGTGCATTCTGCATTTTGTCCTCGTTCCTGCCGTCTGTGTCATCGCGTGTCATCGACCGTTTCGTCCTTACATATGGTAGATATTGCTGCTCCATATATGTGATGCATTCTGTTCTGATTCCTGCGGTCTGTGACATCGCGTGTCATCCTCATATCAGACCACCACAGTGGCGTGACTTTCAACCTGACATCGACGTGTTTGATCCATCAAGGTTCCGTTACCGCTCTTCATTCTCGTGATCGATTCGCAGACCTATCCCCGGTGGACGAAGAGGCCGCCATAGGAGGTACTTCAGACGATTAGATTCCAAAGTGCTCCTTGGCCTTCTTTTCTTTTCCAGAACAAGTTGGACGACTTCTGCGGGGTCAATCTTAGGCAACGCTTGGCCATGGAATAAAATTTATTTTCTCCATTTCCGGGCGGAACTGGGTAGCCTGATCGAGCTCACTGTCACTGACGTTGGTTGTGGTCATGCGTTGACATTTTGCGTCACAATATTAGGCACGTTCGTGATTGGATCGACAGCATTCCACGGACCACAGTGTGTCTCGTGTCGACTCTATTCGCCCAGCGCCGCTGTGTCGGTCTTCCTTGAGAACGAACGTCGCCAAAATCCATGGAGATCCGGATATCAGTGTGCGTGAGGAACCGGGGTTAGGAACAAAGAACTTGGTCTGTGTTAATGCGACACAGGCCCACTGTCACGTTAATACTAAGTACCCCCGGCACAATATATGCAATCATGTAACAGAAATGAAGAAGTTGGCTGATTGGATGCGGCTGTTTGTGGCCTCAGGCTCAATCTGACTCCGTGCGGTCGTACGGTCTCTTGATGTTGACGAGAGGCATTAATGCCATATTGTGCAACCGGGGAGTCACATGAAATGAATGTTCTTCGTAAGTATCTATCTGATAACTTGTGCCCCAAGACGTGTGCCAGTTGTCTTGGTGTCCATCAAGTTGGGCCGTTCGATGCTATTCGAGACTCATCTCGTTCAACGTTGGCGGCATGAACATGATGCCAAAGATGTTTTCCCTTCGATTGAACTAGAGCGCAGTCGCAGGCCCACTGGAAGATTGGCTGGTCCGTGTCAACTGAGATATGGATTTGAAGTACTGGCCCATACCACTGCAAGTCACCAGTAAGCTAGCGATAGCGTGAGTTTGGAATCGATATCCAGAGAGTCGAATGTAGTAGAACACAGTCGTTCTTTTTCATTATGCACTGACATTGAGTGAGAACCCCACAATGGCCGCGGAGGCTATCAACGTTTCAACCACCTGCAGCCACAACGGTTACGGTGATGTCAAGCTCAATTTCCTCTCCAAAGCCTGTAGTGGTTATCATTGGCGCGGGTGCTTTTGGTCTGTCTACTGCTTACCACCTACTCGAACGTGGCTACACCGGTGTAACAGTACTCGATCGTGCTGAACATCTGCCTGCGGTCGATGCCGCGAGCACTGACATGAATAAAGGTATTTTGTCATTTCCAGTGTCTCTCTGCGGCATCGAATATCTCACCTTCAGCAAGTGGTCCGTTCTTGTTACGGTGATCCGGAATACACGCGGCTTGCGCGCCAGGCGATCGAAGAATGGCGCAAGGATATGTGGCAAAACTGTTACCATGAGTCTGTGTCACATTTTGCACTGAATGGACAATGACCATAGTATCAAATACAGGTGCGGTGTCCTCAACTTGGGCGATGCATACACTGAGCAGTCGTTTAACAATGATCTCAATGACGGCGCCAAGGTCGAGCGCTTAGATAGTCCTGCATCCATCAGAGCCCAGTTTCCTTCAGACCTTCACAATTCTGGTAGGCTGGGGACCTTCACGTCGTTGGATATCTCTTCTACAAGTTATATCAACCATGATGGTGGTTGGGCAGAGGCTGAACGTGCAGTTGGCCTCCTCATGGAGCATGTGAAGAAACGTGGTGTCAAAGTCCTACCTAACAAGACAGTTCAAGATTTGGTTAAAGACGAATACGGACAAACAAAAGGCGTGCGCTGTGCCGACGGCTCTGAATACGATGCCAATGTAGTGGTCCTCGCTCTCGGTTCGTGGACTGCGGGTGCTTTCCCCTCGTTAAAGCTGACGGGAAAGTGCCTTGCTACGGGGTAAGCAGGCAAGGTTGTCCGGTGCTTGGCTCAATCTGATGTGATGCCTTGTTTATGATGAACACTGATATTATTGCCTGGCATGTTTTTCGGATGTCAAAAGACAAAGCATAGCGATGATTCAACTGACACCGGAGGAGGCAGAGGAATATTGCAAGACACCTGTCGTACTCGATTTCAGGACCGGTTTCTATGTTTTCCCAGTGAGTTATCATTCTTCCAAGTTGTTGTTTTCCAGCCCCCTAAGGGGTCAAACCTCATTATATCTGTTTACGGGTTTTACTCAGGTATTTGACACGTTACCTCTGTTTCCTTGAACGTTTGGGAACCCATGAGGATCTATTCTGTCGTGTTCTGCACATTAATGGGTCTCAATTAGGCCCATTGATCATCCATTTGAATAACGCTCTCTGACACTCTTTGACATAGACCTATATTTATATTGCGTACCCGTTTTCTAATCCATTCACTCCCATGTGGTGCTTTCTCATTTGTTTATCAGGCTATTCTTCCTAGTTCTTCCTTCAATTCGTCAATTGTATTCATTGTAACTGACTTTGACTGAACATTTTTTCCAGCCGACACATCGCAATGTTGTCAAATTCGCAATCCATGCTGGTGGATACACCTACACAGCTCCTGGGTCTACTCTATCAACCCCGCGCACAATCGTTTCCGACCCAGAAAGCGGCATGTGGATACCGCGGTCGATTTTGAAGGAGCTGAGGGTCCAGCTGCGAAGTGTATACCCTGCACTTGCCGAGAAGCCCTTCAGTGGGACCAGGATGTGTTGGTGAGTTTACTTCGCCGTGTCTTCGGATATAGGATTGTCGGGAATTTCACCGTATTCCTGATATGGAGGAAACGCTGGATTGGAGTCGGTCTTGACTCTTCTTGTGTGATTGGGTTCAAGGGTGTTGGGGCGAATGATTGTGTTCGAGGGTACGAAGGCTTGCGAACATTGATCACATCATGAGAGTCGGAAGACAGACGATGGCTTAACTACTCGCCAAGCTGAGGGTATAGACATCTGCTTCGCGATTCCGTCGCCATGCCTCAACTATCCATTCTTTGTCCAAACTCATGTAATGCTTTTGGCGTAAGTGCTGATCATCTGAATAGGTACACTGATTCGCCAGATGGTGATTGGGTCATTGGGCGCTATCCCGGCGATTCGGGACTGGTCCTGGCAACGAGCGGAAGTGGACATGCGTTCAAGGTGTTTTTCTCTCTCTCCTTGCCTCTTGTGCTACGTGGTGATGACTGGATGCGTCAGCACATTTCTCTTTGTGGAACAGTCCCCGAAATACATCCAAGAACGAGAACTGACCTCTTCCTCAACAGTTCCTCCCTATCTTAGGGAAGCTTGTGGCCGACGTTATAGAAGATAAGTTAGACCCCAAACTTGCAGCACGGTTCGCTGTCGATCGAGAGATGAAACCTCCCAACGGGGAGCGAACGTCGGTTGTTTCTCAGGAGCTTAACATCAACGAATTATGTGGACCGGAAGATCTGATACCCACGTTCTGATTCAGTATTCCGCTATTCAGAAGCTCGTATGTTTAGAAAATTTGTATGAGAGCAAAAAAACTCGGATAACACGGTCCATATACTTACAATTCTTTACATGTGGCTATCAAGTTGCTATATTACAAAAGATTCATCATGTGTTTATGCTCGCCAGCCAACGAACTCTCGCCAAGATCGCACCTCTGGGGGCACCTTACCCTCTGTGTACTTCGCCAGTCCACCCTGGGCTACCTTTTTCGCAAGCGCTTCCACCCACAGCTGCGCACAACGGGCGTTGTTAAGCAACGGCAGTCCAAAGTCCACGGCGTTCCTCCGTGCAACATAGTCCTCGTCTGTGAAGCCGGTGCCGCGTGCCTTTGCGAGATTTATAACACACTGGATCTCATACTCGTCGAACACTTCACGAAGCTTGCGCTTGTCAGTCTTGGGGAAGAAGATGCGCTTTGCGGTGACATAAGGGAGGTTGTTGAGGAACGCTTCGACCTCGGGCGAGGAGCAGTAAAGCTTGAAACCGAGATGAAGGAGCTCTTTGGCAACGGTGGCCATCTCAGGCTTGGTGATGTCTCCGCCAATAAGGACGCCAGAATTGAGGCGGGGGACTTTGAAGCCTGTCGTACTGAGCAACGACGCCCAATATGCCTCGTGGATGTCTCGGCCGAAACTGGCAACTTCACCAGTACTAGCCATTTCTAAAGCGACAGTCAACAACGTGAACCTCGAAAACCGACCGCGTACAAGGAATACTCACCCACACCAAGGAAGGGGTCTGCGCCTCCCAACCGAGTCCAGGAGAACTGAGCAACCTTGATCGAAGTATAATCACGTTTCTGCTTCATGAGATCAATAGGCTCCGGAACGTTGTGGTCCATGATGGCTGCTGCAGCGGTCTCAATGAAATTATGGCCAAGGACCTTCGACACGAAGGGGAACGACCGCGATGCCCGCAAGTTGCACTCTATAACTTTGAGCTGAGGCTCGTCGTTCGGTCCGTCGGCAGGCTTCTTGATGATCTGCATGTTGTAAGGACCAGAAATCTCGAATGCAGCAGCAACCTTCTCTGCGATGGTCTTCAAGCGCGCCATGTCCGTCTCTGTGAGTGAGAAGGGCGGGAGAACAAGGGTGGCATCGCCCGAGTGTACACCGGCGTTTTCGACGTGCTCAGAGACAGCATGAACAAGGAGCTTGCCCTTGTGAGCAACGGCATCGACATCGATCTCTTGCGCATTATCGATGAACTTCGTGATGACGACAGGGTGCAGGGGAGAAACGGAAGCGGCGGCAGAGAGGTTATACTCCAGGGAAGACTCTTCAAAGACAACGTTCATGGCAGCACCAGACAAGACGTACGACGGGCGGATGAGGACCGGATAGCTAAACAGAGGGATCAGACAAGCGGTTTTAGCTCAAGTTTAAGCGATGCATACCCAACTTTCTCAGCAAAGGCTTTTGCGGCTTTCAGGCTTGTGACTTCACACCACTCAGGTTGATCAACACCAATGCTGTCCAATACCGAGGAGAACTTGTGGCGGTCCTCGGCGGTGTCAATCATTTGTGGGTCAGTACCAAGGACCTTGACACCATCCTGTTTGAGACGAAGTGCGATGTTCTGGGGAAGTTGACCTGGCTCACAACATTAGTCTCCTCCGAAAGCTTGTTAATAATGCTAAACTCACCACCGACACTAACGATGACACCCTGAGCCTGTTCAAGCTCGTAGATGTCCATGACACGCTCGTAGCCAAGTTCTTCGAAATAAAGCCTGTCGGCCTCATCGAAGTCTGTCGATACCGTTTCGGGGTTGTAGTTTATCATGATCGTGCGCTTGCCCATATCCCTCAGTTTCCGTGCGCACGTAACTGCACACCAGTCGAATTCAACTGAGCTGCCAATGCGATATACACCGCTTCCGAGAACCATGGTACCGTGCTCATCGAATTCAACGTCGTGCTCAGAGGCATTGTACGTCGTGTAGAGGTAGTTCGTGTGCGCAGGGTATTCAGCAGCCAGAGTGTCGATACGTTTGACGAAAGGGGTGATGCCAAGAGACTTGCGGTGGGCGCGGACGGTGTCTTCAGTGGAGCCAACGAGGTCAGAAATCTGACCGTCGGAGAAGCCCATGCGTTTGGCTTGCTTCATGAGTTCGTGGTCTATTTCCTCAATGGAACCAACTGTCTTAATAGCCCTGCTCGTTTGAACGATATTGTCTATTTTGTAGAGGTACCACTAGGAATGGATGTGAATACCGTGACGCACTCGGTTGTGAGCGAGCTCCTCACCTTGTCAATCTTGGTTAGGTCGTGCAGCTGGTCAACACTGTAGTTCTTGTTGTACATCGCATAAGCAATAGCAAAGAGTCGCATATCTGTGGGTTTCGACAAAGCATGGTCAAGATCCTCAGGCTGGACATACGCCTCGAAGCCTTTCCACCGCGGGTCGACCTGGCGAATAGCCTTTTGGAGACTCTCTTCGAATGTGCGACCAATGGCCATGACTTCCCCAACACTCTTCATTGAGGACCCAACTTCGCGATTGACCTGTGATGAAAACTTGGCGAGGTCCCACTTGGGTATCTTGGTGACGATGTAATCCAGAGAAGGCTCGAAGCAAGCTGTAGTTGTCTTAGTCACCGCATTGGGTAGTTCCGGGAGGGTATGTCCGAGGGCGATCTTAGCAGCAGTGTAGGCAAGCGGATAACCAGTAGCTTTCGACGCCAGGGCACTTGAACGACTCAGGCTGAGAGAATTCGGGTTAGGGATAGAAAAAATAAGAAAAGAACCAATGAAACGTACCGGGCATTAACTTCGATGACACAGTATTCCTTGGAATTGGGGTTAAGTGCATACTGAATGTTACACTCGCCGACAACACCGAGATGCCTAATGACCTTGATAGCAGCGCTTCGAAGCATGTGGTACTCGTCGTCCGGGAGAGTCTGAGATGGTGCAACAACAATCGAATCACCAGTATGTGTACCGAGAGGATCAAAGTTCTCCATGTTGCAGCAGATGATCGTGTTCTGACAAGAGAATGCGCGTTCAACTTCAACACATACAGCCAAGCGGAAATTGACTTACATCAGCGCCATCACGAACAACTTCGTATTCGAGTTCCTTCCAGCCTTTCATGCTCCGCTCAATCAAAACCTGGGGGGACAGACTCAGACTCTTTGCGGAGAGATCACGAAGCTCATCGGGGTTGTTGGCAAACCCGGAACCGAGACCACCAAGGGTGAATGCAGACCGAAGGATGACAGGATAACCGATTTGCTCTGCTGCATCCAAAGCAGCATTGACAGTAGATACAGCTGTGGACTGTGCGACCGGAATGTCAATTTCTGAAGAGAAAAGAAGTTGCGTCAAATGATGAACCAAAAATATATAGGAAAGAACGGGTACCTTTGAGAGCTTGCACGAAAAGTTCACGGTCCTCAGAGACTTCAAGAGTGCGGATCGGAGTTCCGAGGACCTTGATGTCCAGACGCTCGAGGAGGCCCATCTTGTCGAGCTCAATACCAACGTTTAGCGCACTTTGACCTCCAAAGGTCAGAAGGATGCCATCTGGACGCTCCTTCTCCAATACATATGCAACGTAGTCAGCTGTGATGGGAAGGAAATAGACCTCGGATGCCAATTCATGAGACGTCTGCCAGGTTGCAATGTTAGGGTTGATGAGAACAGCATCGACACCTTCTTCGCGCAAAGCCTTCAATGCCTGGGAGCCTGAGTAGTCAAACTCGCCGGCTTGACCGATGCTGAGGCCACCGCTGCCGACGATGACGACCTTTTTGACGTCTGGACGAGGAAGTTTGGGAAGAACCTTTGCAGAAATTCTGCGAGCAAGCTCTGATGGAGAGTTGAGTACGTGTTCACCATCCTTGGGTGCATATGAGCCGACTGCTGGAGCTGCTACCGCTCGTAAGGCCTTTGTGGGAAAGATAAGCGCGCGCTGAGGGGTGGAATGAAAAGCGCGAGCTCCAATGTTTTTACATCGAGAAAATTGACGGAGAACAGATGGCCTGATTGGAAGGGCCATCCTTTCTATGCTAGGAAGGTCTTCAAGGTTTCAAGCTTCGAGGAGGGAAAAAACGAGGTCACTGAGATAGCTAATGAACGAATTTCAATAGACTGCCGCTAATCAGGATAAAAGACGCACTCGTCGCGTGTGTTCTGGGTGAAAATCATACACGCTCTCGCGGCTCAACAGGGAATTCGAATCCACACTTGGCGGCGATGACAGCTAGACAACAGACAAACTCCCCCGTTTCTTTTTTTTTATCATGCCGCATAACATGACTCAGCTTCAGCTTCCCAATCGGGAAAAGTTCATCGACTACCTAGCCTACCTCAACGAACTTCGAGGACCATGAGACTACTAGTGTATAATGATAGAATTCAACTTAATCTGCATTACGACGTGGCAGGTCGCAGCTCACTGTCACCGAGTCCCGGAAGAACACCAACAGAATGGAATTTTGAAAAGAGTACACAAATCAGTGTCGTGGCATATATGTGGCAGCGTACACAACAGCGCGTAGTGTCCAGGTTTGACAAAATAGCAACTGAGAGCTTCCGAGAGCATGCCAAAAGTAAGCATGTCCAAGAGGGAAAGGAAGGAGCAGAGAAAAATGATGCCTGGGCAGGAAATTACGAAGCGCTTGGGTCATAGACTCTTTGAATTCAATAGCGCTTCAGTCAAGAATGAGTATCCTGAATGATCAACATGTTGCCAGGTCAGCAAGGTTAGAGCATTTGAAAAACAAAAGAAACCCGCTTGATGTCCCCGTGGAGCCGTGCTACCGGACGTGCAATATTATCGTCCGCTCAATGAGAAGTTAAGTTTCTCCACTGATTAGGGTTGTCGGAGTACAGAGCATGGAAAATTGGTAGATGCATCTGCGCTGGGACGGATCATATTCTCCTTCTGTTCAGTCATGAGGCTATTCCAATACGTAGCGAATTATCGGCAAGTTCGTTCAAGGAGATTGGTGAAAAACCTCGGGCACTCCCTGAGCTCGTCCACAAAAGTGCAGGGACTTCTGATTCAATGGACTCGGAGGACTAATCGAGGCAAATAAGTTGTGAGTCATCGTGACCTCACCTCGAAGCATCGACATCGAGGGCTTGAAATCTGGCAAAACACAAATCGAGTGGCCGGCCACTTCAAGTTTGTCAGCTTCTGGAGCATCATGCTAAAGCGACGACTCCACCTTTTACCAACGAGACATCAATTTCGGCGTTCGACGCTGGGAGAGACACAACCGACACGATCCTCGCCATCCTCTCCATTTCCATGAGTGACAGCGGCAATTGATTACAGGCGGCTTCCTCCCGCAATAATTCTAGAGCAGCCTCCTCGGCGTTCACAGAAGGACCCAGATTCGTAGATTGATGGGGAAAACCCACACACCACAGTTGGATCGCAGGCTGTCACACGTTGGTGGGCAAAACTCTGCGCCCTGTGCCACTCATGACTTCGATGAAGCAACAGGTTCGCCGAAATCGAAGTTTCCCTTGAATTTGTATTGTGCCCCTCTTTCCTGAATCTCGCACGACGGTCTGAAATTTGAACGCGTCGAGGCCCAAGTCAGCTGATCTGTTGCTTAGGCACTCGTTGTCGTTGATTTTAAGTACTATCCGAATGATTTAGCAGATTATACTAGGGTAGTGAGATAAGTGATGTTATGTGATGCAATGTAAGGCATAAAAACTTCGGGTTAGGTTGCAGCTTTCTTCGCTCTTTTCCTCCTCTCCGGCTCTTCGTCTCGCGATCTCTTGCGACTTGAGGACGTGACACTTTCATCTGTGGACCATAATGTCCCCTCAGAATCAGATTTAGTTCTACGAAGCGGTCAGCACGCAGGAGGAAGAGCCTCGGCAAACAACACTTACGAATAATTCTCGTAGTCCGAGTCCGAGAGATCGCGCTCTCTATTGGATCTATTCGCCTCCTCCCACTTCGCCACGCGCGCTTTCTTCCTCTCAACTTTCAGCCATCTGATCCTAAACCTGCGCGGGTCCCTGTCCAGCCGCGCCGTTCCGTCATACAGTTCCTTCTTGACCTTCATTTTCTCGAAATAAGACAGCACGAGTTTCTCGCGCATCATGCACATTCCGCGTAGTTCGGGTATCACCTCTGCCATAATGGTACCAGCGCGGTCAAGGAGTCGATGTGCTTCTAGAACCCGAGCATCAAGGAGTGGCATGCTGTCGACAAGGTTGGTGAATGTGCGCAAGGAATCGCGGTTTTCCCATTGGCTGATTTGGGAATGGGAGTTGTTGTTTGAGGTGCAGGGATTTTGTGCATTTCTTGCCATGTTAGATTATGGGTGTTCGATGGAGGTATGAGATGTTTACTTTTACAAGTTCTTGAGTCTTGATTGTTTAAGAAGCCACAATCAGACGACACAGGACACAGATGATCCCGAGTGTTCGGCGCCTTCACCTATTGTTTTCCCGAGTTGGCATGCTTTGACCTTCAGGGAGTGGCTCGGGCCAGAGACAGTATAACGTTCAAGACGAACGTGGCAACGCTGATTGCTGTGCTTGATACATGCGCGTCTGGAGTCCCTCGAAACCGTAAGGGATAAGGGTGTCCTATCATATTGGCGGGAGCGAATCAGCTTAACTATCGGAATCTCATATCCTGAACCGAATGTTTTGCCACGCCTGCAGTGTCCGCTGGACTTATGGACCATACTTCCAACCAAAGACATGGCAAGATGGCCGAGCGGTCTATGGCGTGTGACTCAAGCGAAAGCTTGCCTGTAAAGCAGGTTTCTCATCCTCGTAAGAGGGCGTGGGTTCAAATCCCACTCTTGTCATAATTTTGCACCTAAGTCTGCAATGCAAAAATTTTCCTCTCAAAACATTGGATCTAACTTTTTTTCTGAAACATATTCAGATCAGCGAAAGGAGTCGATTCCGCATTTTTTCGGATTTTTAGCGATTTGTTTGTGGTACCGCCAATTTTTCGGGCATGGCTCGGGTCAAATTGACAGTTGTACAAATTCCGCTCGTACAAATCTATACTAGCATGTGTTGTGAACATATTGTAACAATGTTTAAAATGTATTAGATCAGATGTTAAAGTCAGGAAAATTGGTGACTTTGCTTGTCCGCAACTGTACTTAACTTGGTGAATTCGACAAGTCAGTACTCTCAGGTCTGGTTAGTACTCGAATATTTGTTTCGCTGGAAACGAGATCTGAGTCCACTGCGACAGGTTACTAGGTGTCCGAACGTCGGTGGTTTGACCATTCAGTACAACGACAATAATACGAATTGCTTCCGGCAAGTTCCTGCTTTGACCGCGGAGTTGTGTGGCTGAGTTGATCTAATCTATTGTTCTCGATACAAGCATAAATCGTGTATTTAAGTTGTGGACGCATCCACAGAAACCACATCACGCGAGCAAAAGTGCCACAGCTCCTCGTTATTTATTTCCGACCTCCTAAAGCAGATCCCCAACTTGATCCACTACCACACTCTTCATCAGACTATCTGTGCATTAAAGACTACACCGTACAAAATGAATGAAGCACCTCACCCTCACCCTTCCCATTCATCCAACCACCCAATCCCGGCTCCACTGGCAGGTCCAGGGAAACGCGGCATGGATGAAGCCACACTCCGCAAGCTCTCCCGTGCAGAGCTGCAAAAGCTAGCCAAGGTGTGTTTCACATTTCTTTCCTGAATGCCAGTTACTCACCTGAAAATAGGAACATAAAGTGAAAGCGAACATGAAGAGTGCGGCGATCATTAGAGAGTTAGGAAAGCTCTGTAATGTTGCTCCACTACTGTATGTCCACTGCTTCTTGCTCGATGCTATAGATGATTCTGACGATCGTTCAGGCAAGACGAAGAGAGCGAAGAGCCTCCGAAAAAGAAGTCAAGAACAACAGAGGAGAATCCTCCGGCCGCTGGTCCTTCGACACGAATAATAGACTTACCGATGGCCACCAGTCGTAAGTATCATGCCTCGTATCATGCCTCACGTCGCAGTGCAATAAACCTGACACTTTGGTCAGCCGATCATCCCATCATAGAGGAAGATGCTCCCACATCCGTCATGCTTCTGACAGCAGAAAAAATCACTCCGATAATCGCAGCTGGAGATGCTGCTGACAGCCCTCCTGAAAATCTGGCGGGAAAGTCGCCAAGACTGTCACCGGTACTGGAAAGTCATACTGGACACGCAGCTGCGGAGGATGTCCCCAGTGATTCGGATTCCAACTTGTCCCACCGAAGTATGAATCAGGAGGAATACTATAAATCCCCCGTTAGCTCGCGTGCAGGAACGCCTCCACCCGAGGAACCACAAATGCTCGACCGGGCTGTCAACATTATGAAGCAGATCACAGCCGACGACCAACGCATTCTCGTCCAGATCGCTGCTCTCCGCCAGAGAGCGGCGGCACTAAAAGAACAGGCGAAGAACGTGAGGGACGTCGTACGCGCCGAGAAGGGGCGACGTGTGAGATTGGAAGCATATTTTGCGCACTGGAGGGAGATCGCGCCCAAGTGGCCAAAAGATTGGATATACGAAGAAGGCGAGGAGGATGAACTCCGGACCGCGCGAGTGCTAAAGAATATGACACCACCGTATGTGCTCCGCCGTCCTTGACTTACTCGTGTTTCTAACCACTTCGTTGATAGGCTACCGTCAATTGCAACAGGCCCACGCACATTGTCTTTCGACGGAAGAGACGCACCGTAAGTTTTCGTTCGCAGCTCATTTGTCCAACTCAACTGACAACGACTATCAGGGACTCGCATAGGGAGCTGAGACGCCGTCAGCTGCTGCCACGACAGAAAGCTCGTGGGCAGGGGAATGGGGCAGCTGCTCGTCCTACAGAAGTCGAGCAGCCACTGACCGGTGAACGTGCCAATCGCCTGCCTTCGCCGCAGTTGACCAATAACGGAAGAGGGACCAAACGCAAACATTCTGCTTAAAACGTTCACGATTAATGCTTCGAGCTTGGTCTACAGATATTCCTTCACCCTCGATAATGACTCATGATAGTGTGTATCACTCACGTATTTCTAATACCCCACCAACCGTAATTGATAATGACGCCTTCCCATCATTTGTCTTTGGACTCAGGACTGACTTGCGTTCGTCAGTCCGATTCATGCTAGTATAGTATGTCACATGTTCAGCCAGCGATTAGAAAGAAGAGGAATATCGCACCAATTGAAGCCCCAAGATCACCGGTCAGAGATGATGCTCATACGTCATACTTCGTCGTGGCTGCCGCAATGAGTCCGGTGGTGAACATGTAGCGCTAGCGTCAAAGCGTTAGGAAGACAAGCGAGTTGTGGACGACTGGCACAACGAGACAGTGACACTGAGCTGTTTGAAGCTGTTTCTCATTCGGTTTATACTGGCGTTTATACATTGGAGAAACAAAGGGAGGATCTGGGAAACAAAGCTAAAATTAACAAAGACCTTTATCCAACCTTTATCGTCTAACTTGTCACGGCATCCTCTGACTCCTACGGAACACTCGACCAATCCTCCGGATGAGAGCGAACTAAGGGTGTATCTTTAATGGATGTGCAGGAGCGCGCGCACCGGCTTTCTTTATGAAAGCTACGGTCATAAGTAACGCCGTTTTTCTAGGCTTTTTATTGTTCGATGGCTCTGCGACTATTTGAGCATGGTGGGAGGCAACAAGTGATTGGAGACTATGCAAGCGACTGTGGATGAGAGGGAGCTAGTTTGAGGCAGAAAAGTGTCGGGTCAAATTTGACTCATTTCTTACTATTACAATGTTTAAATGTCGATATGCTAGAATGCTCACTTCGACATGTCATGATCACAGGACAACTGTTGGGACGATGCCTCGCTTGCACCTTCAAGCTTCAGCATCAAAAACTGAGCTCGTAGCAAAGTATCGTATTGAGGACCGAGAGCGTCGCCCACTCAGAGCGATGTGAGCACCTGCAAGAGCCGCAGTGTGTCCAGGCGCAGCCTCACTCTAGCCCTGTATTTCCTTGCTTCGCGACCAACACCAAAGCAGCGACATTTCAATTTGGCTTGCGCTGCGGATAAAGCTTTCTTGCGGGTTCGCCTTGCACTCGATGAAGTCTCGACCATATCCAACAATTGCAACACTTGGAATTTGCTTGGAATGACAGCAGGATCACCAGCCCTTTGCTGAATCACAATATCAGCTGTTCCATCGATGCGAGATTCGCCGCCATCAAATTGTAGGTTCAGCATTTCTGGCCCAGAGGTGTCACGCACTGCCCTGTGAGCAACTTGTCTGTCATCTGATTATGTGGTCATCGTCGCTGAATTACACGCAGGCCTAGGTGCACATGAAGTGACATTTATTTGATGGCGCACAATGACCGCATCCTGGCCCACGGCGTGTCTTGTGGATCACGTTCAGATCCGTGTCCAGGCACTGCGGAGACTCCTCTTTTTATATCCAAATGTGTTGAGGAGGACAGAGAGCGGCATAGGCACCTTCGAGAACGACAGTGGGTCTGGACGCAGTCTCAGCCTGGCTCCTTACTTCGCGACAGACAACGAAGCAGCGTATACAGTGCGCAATAGCAAACGGGATGTACGCGTCGGACCTTCATGACGTAGCTCTCACCCCCACCTAACAGTTGTTGACGATGTGGAATAACTGCAGAATCGGCCTTAGTTTGCTGAATTGACAACAATCGCTTTGCCATTAAGGCGAAATTCGCTGTCATTGGATGTTCAGCACTTCTGGTCCAGAGGTGTCACGCGCTGCCCTGTGAGCCAAGCAACAGACGATCATCTGACTATGTAGTGATGGTCGTCAGAATACACGCAGGCCTGGGTACGCATATTTACTTCTGGGGACGCACGACGATCAGATCCCCGTGCCCAGACACCACGGTGACTTCCTCCTATTTCATATTATTTTGAGCAAGGAGCCATCCATATCCGCGCTATTCTCCAGACAGGGGTTTCCTGGAGGTTTAAAAGCAAGACTTATTCCCTGCTTAACATTCATCGTATCAACGACCTTCTACAAAAGTGAGTTACAGTCAGCATCATATCCATGGTCGATTGTATTCATTTTCATGGGCAGTAGCAACCATGTCCGAATCAGCAGCCGTCTCACAATCCGCGAACATGTCCGACCTTCTGCCCACCAACTTTGTCGGGACCACTATGTGCGCTGCACAGAACGATGACGGAAAATTCCGCGTCTACTTCCAAAACAAAGATTACCAGATCTACGAAATGTCGTTGAACGACCCAAAGAGCACGACCTATACCCTGCTCAAACTCACCAATGACCGCATGCCTGTTGCCCGTATCAACACGCCCATCGCAGCTGTGGCGTGTAACGACTTGCAAGAGGTACGAGTTTTCAGGCCAGCCGTTCTGTGCATCATAATCTCATTCTCATTTCACCATTACAGATCCGCGTTTTTTACATCACTGCGAACAGTCGTGTGCAGGAGCTTTGTCACTCCCAGCGCCATGGTTGGCAGAAAGGCTCGACCATTGGCACCGCTGTTGAGAACAGCACCTGCTTGTATGCGCAAGGCCGGTTCGCCCACAATGAGGCCATGCTCAGGGTCGGGTTTCAGTCTGCGACTGCTCCCCAGACTATCACAGAAGCTTTCACTGTGAAAGACGAGTGGAAGACTCGTGTCCTCTGAATTGGATAGCGTACTTCGCCTCGCATGCAAGAAAAAGTGATCAGGTTACGGAATTTATCAGTGCCAAAGATGTATGTACTACAAGACAATATGACGTGTTACGCAAATCGACAGTGCCGCTAAGTCACTGCAGCCAGTATCGCTTGCTCGAAGTCTGCAGCCAGCCATGCCCACCTTGCAACCAGTTAACTAATCTAACCCGAATGCTGAATTTAGATGCACACGATGATAGAAAGAGAAGTCAACCCACGGGCCCCAAGCCCGCACCAAAGCCTATCATATTCCTCTGCCCAATCGGCCATGCAAGACCTAGTATGTAACTAGCAATGGGGATGAAAGGGAGAGCAGCAGACACACAAATATAAAAAACAGCGCAAATACTACATGAGTGGCACGATACAATAATAAAAGCAGTCGCAGGTTGTGTCCGAGTTTGAGATTTAATGAAGAGCAGGAAAAGAGCATCTGCGGGAGAACGTTTCGTTCACCGCCCCTCTCTAAATAAAGGACAGTCGGACCAAATCTCCATGGTCATACGGCGATGGGGACTGCCTTCGTCTCTTCCTTCTTCCCTCCTGCAGCCTTGGCCTCGTCAATCGCCTTCTTTGCAGCCTCCTTCTGCTTCTCAATGTCCTTTAATTTCTCCTTCACATCCTGGGGCTTGTTAAATGTGACACTCCTGTGATGGCTTTGACCGCCCATGCTGCCCGTCTCTGGCGCGTGCACGTTGACAAGAGGTGCCGTCGTCGACAGGCCACGGTGAAACGTAGACGGGAGAACCCGCCCTTCTGGGTGATGGAAAGGGCAAGAGGCGCGCGTGCAACCCGAACCGAAGCGGCATTGTTGCGCGAAGTGATTTGTCTTGGGGGGATGCTGGTACGGGCAACTTGGGCGTGTGCAAGCACCACCGAAACGACATGTGACGGTGTGCTGAGGAGGACCAGTAGCGGTGGTGGGTGCTGCTGGGGTGTGGGTTGAGCCTGCACCTGTTGTCAGGTAAGCTCGTGCTACTTTAATAGAAAGACAACATACCAGGATGTTTGACAGCGGGGCTGACATGCGACTTGATGCAGTCCTTGTCTTTGCAATCCTTGCCTTTCTCGCATGCTTCGGTACTAAGCACAACGCCGCTCTCAGCAGTAGCAACAGGAGACGGGTGGGAATACCGGCACTGCGAGTTAGTGCACTTGATTCCGAATTTACACAGCGTAGGTGACTGCGGGCGTTCGGGGAACGTGTATGCTAGTTTTGATGGTGCATTGAATGACGTGGCGCTTGCAGGAAGCGGAATGGGCGCTGCTATTGGTGTGGGCTGCGCAGGTTCAGCGACTACCGAAGTGGGAACCGACACAGCTGTGGGTACTTCCTCGATGGATGCTGGGGCAGGTGATGAGCCCATGTGACCACCCCGTGGACCTCCTCGCCCCCGACCTCCCCTTGCTCCACCCCGACCTCTACCATTCACCCCATTCTGCTGGAAACCATGTCCATTCACACCTGGGCCACCATTGAACATCGTTGCATCTCCACCTTGCTGCATTGGGTTGAACCCGGGCACACCCATACCAGGGTTGAGCATACCCATCGAGTTCGCCATCTGCGCCATGAGAGCCATTTGACTGTACATCATTTCTTGTAGAATTATCGGATTTGCCTGCATCCCCATGCCCACACCCATTTCGGGCATCCCCATACCATTCGGAAAGCCCATCATTACGCTTGGGTCGGGCGAGGTATTTGTGATGTTGTCAATACGTGCTTGAACTTCATCTCTCCCACCTTGGAAGCGCGGACCCGGTCCTGGACCGCCGACGCGGTCCAGAAGACTACGTTGTGCGGGTACTGGGTTCTGCATAGCTCGTGGACCGGTGGGTGGTAGGTCCGTGCGTCGAGCCTTTGCTGGATGAGCAGACGGTGAGGGCGAGCGGAGACGCTTTTGAGATGTGGAAGCAAGAGTGGAAGAGATGGCTTGTTGATACAGTGGGGCACCTGCTCGAGGGCCATTAGGTAGGCGGCGCGCAGGCTCGCTGGAGGGTGGAATGATGGGTTTCGATTCATTGGGTGGTTCTACAGGTGTTGAAGATGCAGCAGACGGTGCTTCAGATTCTGGTGCGCCTTTGGCAGCTTCGGCGAAGAGCCAGTCTGTAAAGCTGGGATCTGGCGGTGTTGTGAGTAAGCCACAATGCGCATAGCATCGAAGAACATACCAAATTCTGGACCAATTACTGGATGCATAGTCAGCAACGATATTTCGAATGTAAAACGCCACTCACAATCCAAGAGTTCCGAGGTTATTTGTGCTGTGCAAGGCGATAAGCCAGTGTCAGCAAAGAAGCTCTTGATACCACATACCTGCAGTTTTGTTGTTTATAATCATGATAGTGATATATTCAGCCATGACAGGATCTGTTCTAGCAGTGAGCGTCGAAGACCTAGCAGCGAACGAGACTGAGCGCTCACCAGCATCGGCACTGAAACTACGAGCTGTGAGTTCATCCTGAACGGATTTCTACGCGAAAAAATTTGAGTTGGGCAAAGAAGAAGAGCAGCAAATGACAAAGACATACTTGTAGAGCAGATGCACGGTCAGTTCCGATAATTAGACCGAAAGGCATGATGGAATGAGTGTGACAACGACGAAGACGGCGACTCCAAACAAACTCCCGCTACTGTCTCAAACATGACTAAGCACATGTCTGAATTGGGACAACTGCCGGTGCCGATCTCAAAATATGAACAAACTTTGAATCATGAAGAATTAATTACTCCGAACTCCGAGTGTAATCATTCGTGAAACCTCGTGCAACTCGTAGGTAAAATTCTACGTGGCTAACCCTGCTTAAGCAGATACGGTGTTCATAGTACTTCCAGGCGCACTTCGACCCGATCTGTTCCGGGCGTACGGGTATCTATAACGTGTCGCTCAGATCATAATCTCCACCCACCCCTGAGACTTAAGGATTATGGTGACCACTAAGACGTCGTCCATTCGGATCAATAGTTAGACCTGTGTTGGAATATTCATCTTCATTTATTCTGCTACTGCGACGACACAAATCTCAAAGCAAATCCTCACGAAGATCTACTTCGTCCATTAGATAGAAGGTGTCTGTGCTAGAACCTCAGCGAGATCTAGGGACACCGATTGTTGATAGCTTTGAGCATATTGCAAGCAAGAATCCTGGCATTATGAAAGTGCGCACGCATGAACTTCTGATCAAAGTTCGAGGTGACAACAGCCCATTAAGTCATACCCGGCAAGATTCTGCACAAGTTTGACGTCGATTTACGCGAGTTTGAGTGAAAGGCTCGGCCGTTTAGTTTGTGTATTTGCATTACATCAAGATACTGCTGCCTACCTGAAGATGAACATTCGGTGTTGTACCTGATTCACCTCCTTCGTTGCTGACTTTGCGAGGGAATTCTCGAGCGGCGTCTGGATCGTAGGATTTGCCTTGCAAGATAATTGTTGTTGTTGTTTCAACATGATCCTGGAAGGAAAATCCTATGTCACGTAGCAGCACTCATGGAAAAGAGGATATCTGCAGTCCGACGTTCCTGTATACCGATGGTGTTTCGGGGTAACATGGACGAGATTCCAAAAACAAGGACCAGACAGTGGAGCCAGATGATAGAGCCCTCGAGCGCTGGGGAAAGCGTTACTCTCTCGACTTAAAGAAACCCATCACGCGTGAACGCCAAGAAGCTCGCGGAAGGCGTTCCCTTTGTTGAAATGGCGTTCAGCGCTGATCACAGTTTGACCACGCGGCTGAGGGCCCGCTGGATTCATGTGGTCCAGTTCGCGTAGCACTGTTTAGACAGCTGTCAATATGATGCCCGTCCACATCGGGTCGGGTCTAGCAATAAGCATGTCATTCAGGGCAACTTGAAGTAAGACAAACGGAAGGAGCTCACCACCGGAGTACCGGCACCGTTACTGCCGGTCGTACCATGCAAGGAAAACAGCAAACCGATCGCATACTCCTTCAGCATCAACAAGGAACGTTTTCGTTAGCGCGCAAGGTACGTGAACCAACTCGGTCCAGTTCATCTAGAAATGAGCCCGATCGTACCGCTCTGTCTCGTTCTGCGGCCATTTTCCAAAAGAAGAAATAAGCATCCACCAACAAATTCAGCCAGCCTCCTCCACTGTCATCATCTCACACTGTTTGTGTTCCGCTCCCCATGGCTTCGTAGGGAGACAACATGACACCAACAGGTAAGGCCCCATTGATTCATGGCAGGTGTGGTGCTGACTTGTGCGCACCGTGTTGGCAATTCATCCATAAAGTATCGGCACGAGTGCGACTCGTAGGAGCTGTCCTCATTAACCTTGATGGCCGCAGATCGTAGGTAGAATAGAATTCATGGGTGGTGTGGAAGGTCTGAATATGAAAATGACGACCGAGACAGTCGCAATGCCTGTCCTTGATGTGAACGGCGGTCGGAGACTAACGATGTGCATTTGGGAAGCTGGAGCATCCTTCCCGCTGCCGACGTAGTTAGAGTACTCAACAACGCGGGTGACACAACAAGCGAGGGTTCACACCTAAGCACAGCAAAGCAGCAGTTCATCCCTTTTCTATAAAATAACATAATAACATGCGTCCCCCACGTATATTCAACGCCGTGCTTTCGGAGACGTTCGCCGTGCAGGGTCCCCTGGTAAAATGTGTGTAATCAATGATGCATATCCTAAACATGAAGAGGCAGTGTAGGAAATACCTTCACGGAGATACTGTCTTTGGATCACCCCCAGAGTCCGTGAACCCTTATTAAACTCCTACATAAACCATGGCTTTTCCGAGGCGCAGGCCAACAAAATTAAGGCCCGGTGGGCGCATCAGAGAAGACTAAGTTTGCCATAGATATTAACGCATAGCATTGAATTCCGTCCTCGCTACCATGATACATTAAGGCTAATATGAGAAGCATCAGCAAAGCTGTACCCGCAGCACGTTCATGAGGGTGCACTTACTTCTGTACCAAGGTGGAAAATGAAACAATCATCTGTTTGACCGTCGATGATGTCGGGCATCCACCCAGCCCTTTACGTTGCCTTCAGATCAGGGTTCGTCACCGCCATCGATATCAATTGGGGTGTGCATGGTGTCCGCTTGCCTCGTGCTCGCGTCTTCACTAAAAACTGCAACAAGCTCCACATAAGTGGAGATTCCAAAGAGACATGAACAGACCACGATACAGAATGGCAGTACTCACTTGAAAAATTTGATTCGAACCGGCATGCCAAATCACGAAGAGGCTGTGGGGGTGTACGATAGACCTGAATGAAGGGCACCTGGCATATCTATCATCCGCAGTCCGATATCAGTACTGTATGAAAGTGCGGCATTGCGCTGTCACACATGTCTGTAACGACTCCGAACCATTATTCCCGAACCATATTCCCGAAATGTCGCCGCAATTCTTTACATATGTAGAAGGGAACCAATTGCAAACGACAATTCTTGTTCTATAGGAGCAGAATCTTCCACCGAGATATTTGAATTCGGTCCGCAGTGACTTCGCGCCGTAGATGGAAGGCTCTGCAAAACCATTAGACGGAAAACACTTGGTCCATGCTACGCCGAGAATGGAGAACATATGATATGCTATGACACTGCCTCTTGCGCCTCTACCCGAAGCCCTTTTAGGAAGACGATGCGGCGTTGCGGAAGGGAAGGATCGTCATCGGTTCATCATCTGTGGTGCTCGTGGAATACCCAACCTCACAAGGCTCGGGGAGGCTCGGAAGACGTTTCCAGACTTGTTGTGTGATTCTGTGTTGAACATTCTAAGCGTATACGTGAATCAGCAACATAAAACCGGCTTGCTTCCCGACGTTCCGAAGTTCTGTACGAGATGGATCTGAAGGCTCCTGCATTATGCTGGAGAAGGTATGCTGGGACGCGGGAGGAAACGGCTAGTAATTGAATAAGCGCGAATGAAGCTTGTGTTGAAGCTTAGCTTTGTGACAGTGAGCAACACGGCTAACGTTTGGCGACCGACGTAGTATTACTTCGCGTAATTACGCCCCACGCCCATGCGCATACGGTCTCCAGCCTCAAACCGAGAATTGATTTCGCCAAAGTACGATCAGATACGATCAGTCTACCTTAGCTATCCCGCAAAGAAATTTCTGACCATTCTACTAATCTGATCAAGGTTCATGCCTCCTTCGTGGTGCAGTGCTCCCCGGCTTGCCATTGGATCATGTCGATGATCAGTCGATCCGCGGATATCGTGCAGGGCAGCCAGACTCCGATAAGTACTCGAGTGTAAGATCGACAACCACTTTGTTCAATCTTATGCAGGTTGTGCTAATTCGGCGGCCTGGAACCTGGCACGAACGGGGTCACAAAGGCGTTATCGCGAAAACGCTCCTCGGCTCGAAGCCTTGCGATCAACCGAAAGTCGAGGTACGTAGCAAATCTGGTTCTTCAAGGGTAAATTACATTGTCAACCATCCCTCTTTCGGCTAGCCAGACTCAGAGCATGACGGATCAGACGCTGGTTTTTCATTCGGCCGATCAAAAGAAGGTCTGAAGTTTGTGGCATCACGGGTTCTTCGGAGCCGCCGACTTGTGCCCTCGTACCCTAGAACGTGGTCAACGTCAGTCAATGTCTCGTTTTTGCGACAGTCCTCGTGACTCCCAGCTGTTTGGTAATGCGGAAAGGTAATTCAGTGTTGCAGGATACTACTGATTCTGGCGTAGTTCAAATGTTCATCAAACCTTCAGGCCTTGCAGCAGGGATCACAGGGATGATATCGAGTCGTGTTCATGCTAGCAGGCAAGCCATATCGAACGCTATCCTAGACGCGATAATAAGAATCTTCGCATGGTGATGTGGAGAATATGTGCTTGCTGGTTTTGATGCATCCTATAGATAACCGTGGGCCTGGCGTTACGTTTGGGAGGAATGTATTTCCCTGCAGCCTCTGCCACCCTGAAAACTTTGTAGAATGGGAGGCAATTAAGCTGAGTTAACCAACGAATTTAGAACAGCCGAGCCAGCTCATTTAAGGTCGTGGAGAATCACCTGCAGCTAACTCGCTGATCTTCGGACAGGGTGAGATGTTTCGACGCTGATAGAGATCAGGGATGAATACATTATTTTGCCTCCGCGGAACGCCCGTATGCATTCGACGCTCCTAACGGATTACAACCCTTGCGAAATGAAGCGGAGGTGGCTCGTCAGGAAGACGAAATAAACATTTTGGTTCACACTCATTCACAAGACGCAGAAATTGACGGCATTGCTTGTGAATCGTACCTCAGCGCCGACCTCTGAGAAAAAAAAGCACAAATAAACCTTTGACAAATACTCATGAGAGACTTTTACAAGCATCAATGGCGTGCTTTCCACCAGCGGATAGTTGAGGTACTAGTCGGTCAACATTAGAGGCTTGCACTCTATTTACCGACCTTGCTTTTCGATCAGAAAAGCTGATTTTTATACAACGACATTCCGTGCTGTGGACCAGACTTAGCTCGATCTATATTCCATCATGATGTAGAATGATAAGGGTATGTTGTGAGTGCTGCTGACGGTTAGTAGCTACGTTCCCGAGAGAATCGCAAGCTAGTTTTGGATGCACAGTAAGGCTTCTCTGTACTTGTGTGGCACAGCCCGGCGTGACAGCAAGTTGGGCGGTATTACGAATCCGAAATAATAGCGGTTCGGAACTTGGAAGCATGAATGGTTTGAAACTTGCGGGTATCACGGCGTACAAGGTACGTTTAAGGCTAGCTAAACGTTGGGTTCGGGCGCTGAGCGCGAATGCGGCAGCTGTGCCAACTACTGTGGCGGATGAAACGACTTGATAAACAAGACCTTCTGCAGCATCATTTCCCGAATCGTTACACAAGACTTGAACATAGTACATTGTTCCTTGGTTTGCAAATTCTGTACTCGCAGACCAATTGCTGAAGAAGCGTCAAAGCCGCCAACAACGGAAATGATTTAACGACGTTGATACTCATTGCCGTGTCGTTGATGGGCCTAGTAGTCTCGGCCATCGAAATAGCGTTGGCTCTGTGCTTCACTTCGTCGCATGTGACCTAATGATCATGAGATGAAGTGACTCGGAAGCACGGTAATGCAAAATTGCAAATAGAGTATGGTCTAGTAACGTTGTCCTTTTTTTATTCTCGTTGGACTTTGTACTTGTGTAGCGTTCATTCTTCATATTCACGCCGCATCGTGTTCGCCAATCTAACGTTCAAGTCAGCGCTGCAGCTCGATCTTTCCCATTACCTCGCTATCAGACGCTGATTGACTCGTGCAGCATCTCGCCCGCTAAGTCCTTCAAAACATAGACCCTCCCGGGTTAACAATAAAGGCAGCGCCACTAACGCTGAGACAATGGACAGACAGGAACGGCGAAACTTTATCATCAGCGCTGTTTTAGAAAAGATACTGGCGCACGCGAACAGCACGTGAACGAGCCAAGGAAGGCGGGCGCATCAGTTGGCAAGTGCTCGGGGTAATTGAGATAAACAAGGATCTGTCACCTGAAGATCAAGAACGCCCACCAACTCGACGAAAACGGTGCCAATTATGAATTTAGAGCGCCACAATTAATCAGGGGCGCTAGGGACGATAATATGATTGTAGTAGATGCTGATCCTCGAAAACGCTTACTTGGAAATAAAAGGCAATAATCCTGTGTTCGTTGGCACGTTCTATTACCTGAAATCAGATCTATCATGTTGAAACTGGCACAGGTAGCTGGGAGACGATGCACACACCCACGTTGAGTCAGAGGATATATTGTGGTTGGGCGCCCATCGCTCAGGACGAGTATTGTTTGACTTGACACGGAAGAGGTTCAGTTTTGAGCGCTACCGAATCAGTTCGGTGGTTCGCCACTCTTCGCGAGCGGCATTTTGATGGTATCTTTCAGGGCGGGGTCGGTTCGTAATCCTATATTAGTAGGACATCACAACGTGTAGGATTTATTATAAACTTACATACAGCGGACCTCGCAACATATGATCCAGGACTGTTGAGCCCACAAAACGTATTCCAGCGTTGGTTAGCTTGTGTCACATACGATCAATACTTGGGCGAGTGGCTCAGGCGCAACACTGTAGATTTGTTACAGGGTCGAGTAGGGGTCGAGTCAGATGATAACGCACTTGAAGCCCTACTGATGGGCTTCCAGAACGATGCATCATCGTGGGTGTTTTGAATATCTATAATCCTATAATCGAGGCACAGACGGCCAATCTTGAGCGTGCCCGACCTGAAAATACCGCGGCGCCGATAACTATATCTTACGTCAAAAGATTTGAGTCGAGAACGAAGAAAATAACGAGTCAAAGCGGCCTACTTTACGTTTTGTGAGAGCACTGGCACAGCAGAACGGAGATACGAAGATTATCTACCATCAGACGTGAGTGCCCATCAACTTAGACTATACTGGTACTGGAAGCCAAATGCATACCAATCTCGGGGTCGGAAATATCAGAGGAGTCAAAGCTAGTTGCGGGGCGACTGGGGAAAATACAGATAATGAAATACACGTAAGTTAAAAATGTCGATGGTGGTGGTCTCGTCGAAACAATACAAAGTGTAGGCGGTTGTTTGGCAACACCCTCTGACCACTACCCGAAATGCTAAGGCCTGAACCACACAACTGCGCGCTCTGGCCGATCACACAATGGTCTGCTCCAATTTAAATTCCTTACATACCACTAACCAACCCGCATATAGGCAGTACAAGGTATAACAGCGACGACGAGCACAAACATCACAGGTGCTACTCACGCTTCTACACCCAGCATTATGCCGCCAGAGCTCGAGCAGACGCTCGCTCTACTATCATCACATCGTTCTGTCCTCGGATACCTCCTTTTATCACGTGGGGACCATGTCAGTATCATACGCCATTCAGGCGTCATCTTTGAAGGAGAACAAGGCAAGAAGTACGCGAGCGTTATAGGCAAGATGGTTGAGAGCGTGCAGGCAGGCTTGGAGGAAGTAAGCGGGTCAGAAAACGACGGGGTGCGTAGCGCCGATGCCTCATGTCTCACTTTTCTTCATGTCGTTCCAGGACCAGATTCGCTTCATGAGAATACGGACCAAACGCCATGAAATCATGATTTCACCAGGTCAGTGGGGATCTGCATTTGCTGATGTCAATACTAACTACGCATTGGCAGATGAAAGATATCTTCTCGCGGTGTTGCATGACCCCGCTTCATGAATTTTCCTTCTTCTATTACATCTTGTTATATCTTTGGTTTATCTTATAACTGTATCGGTAGTGCCCAGGTCCGAAGCTGTCCGAAGTTTCCGCGTCAAAAGGCAGCCGCGAGAATCTCCACTCGAATGTCTGAATCGCAAACATCTGTTGTCAAAGAGGAGCAAGGGTAAAACAACAACAGCAGCTGCGGGATAAGAAAATACTCCACCTCGATTAAACACGCACCATCCTGCTCGATGCTCGCCTTGGGGTTAAACGGCCTCCTATACTCCCAGTTATAACTTATCACAGATCGAAATAGACAGCAAGGTCCCATCAAGCACAGCGGAGATATGGAAGCCTATCCAGGTCGATTCGGTGGATCACCGCGCTCGTGCATACAGGAGGAGACAGCCAAGGGACCCCTTATAAGAACACGCTGAGAATGGTATTTCCGGATTACATTTCTCAGCGGTTTGCCAATTTTTGACTCGATAAGCAATTCGCGTGCGCCATGGCCAGATTGAATGATAGGCCTGCTTTAGCAGAAATCGAACGGGGGCCCGAGACGCCATCGATTCGTTCAATTCCCAAATGCGATGCAGTTCTTTGATCTTATCCCGGACCGTCTATCATATGACTCTCGTGGGTGTGGTGGATAGTAGCCTATTAGGCTACGTCATGATCAGTATATGATCATCCGTTTATGCTCAGCCAGGCTGAATTCCCATGTGCGCAGAGTCACATTGTTTTCCATTCGTGATTCATACGCGCCACATCACTCAAGGCCAGTGGTCTGCTGTGGCACAGATGGAGCTCAACTAAGGCAACAGAGAACCGTGGCACGTATCATTTAATTGGAATGGCAGACACTGCATAACCAGTTCCAGGATGGTCGCTCCGTGATATCGGGACTTAACGTGTGTCTCTGGTGATGAGCCCAAACTTACATGATGGCGCATCACATGACGCCGACGGCTGGAGGTAGAGTTATGCAACCCGCGAGTTGCACTGCAGTGGAGCTTTTTATCGCCGCAAGGACCGAAGGGGGATGAGAGCATAGACCTTGATGGGCTCGCACGGAGAGTAGCCTATGTATATCGCCATGGGGTTTAGGCAGAGTGTAACGATGAAGGTTATAAGTGCCGTCACCGACGTGTTTTAAATGTCCACACCCGTGGGGGTGCGTGTTTCGAAGATGACTAAAAAACTTCGTTGACGTGAAATCTGTGGTAGCTATTGAGTCGTATGCCATGTGAGTTGCAAGGCTATCGATTGAATTACGTGCTCACACATGTATGTATGGGGGTTCGGAAGGGAGGTATCGGAAAGGCTGCTGCGAATCGAGGATGTCACTAGAGACACGGAGAACACTGCCTGCCGCGGATCAAATGCGTTAGGGGGCAAAGCCGTCGCCTCTCGACAAAGGAACGGTATGGTACGGATGTGACTGCTTCTTTCAACCGGATCATGTACATGAGAAAGCCTGCCGCATACTGATAAGCATGTCGGGACGAGGACGAGAGTTAACCGGAAAGAATCGTAATTGAGGCTGATCGGATAATCCTAATGCTGTCCGGTATAGTATGGTACCTAATGTCCTGACAGTGAGCGTCGAGCCGTGTATGTCGCAGAGGAGAGGTCTAGAGGAAACTGGAACTTTGTATACAGTGCTTTGATGTCGGAACAAGCAGTGCCACAATGGCCTAGAATGGGATGACAAACCAGTTCGGAAGGCGCAGGGCGAACCAGTCCAGGACGTTACTCCGGAAGGCTGTTGTCCACCTGAAGCGGATGTAGCTGTCATCAGATCAATTCGTTTACAAAAGCGCCTACACAATGACACTGTTTGCATATATAAACGAGTCTGGGAGTGTTTTAGCTGTCCGTTGAAAAATCCTCCACCCTTCGCCTTCTAGTACTCTCTCTACTTACGCCCGAGCCTTCCCGCAGTTTCATAAAGCGGCAACGAGGTTGTGCTCTGATCGCAAATTGAAGCTTCTTTGACCCTCGAGGCGATTTAGCGAGACATAAAGATTGGGCCCTTGAGCACGCCGCCAACCCGCTGAAGAGAGGTTGAAATTATTAGATTGTGACACACGTTGTTTGTAAGTAATTTATTTTCCATGCTCTGCTCCATTTTTCCATTGTTCCTGTTCAATTTCGCGGAGGTCTTGTGTGACAATGCGGATACAATATTAGGTAATTATTTTTTTAGATAACATTAAATTTTTTTGCCTCGCGGCAACGGAGTCTATGGAAGGGGAAGGGTGCAGTGACCTTGCCGTTGCTAAACCTACCTTCGTATCCCAGGCTCATGGTTTTGGTTCCATTCATTTTCCTTCTTTGCTTCACACTGCCCTAATTCTTATATACCCCGTCATTCTTCCACTCCCGTTCTAACTAAACTCCCAACGTTGACTTTGACTTTTCAGATCACTTTTCCCTTCGCGACACCACACCGCCCGTTCCACTCATCACCCCATCATGGCTGCTGTGCATGGTCCACTAGTACCTACCCACCCATCCCCCTTTCGGAATGCCCAGAGCGTTCCTCATTCACGTATGGGTTATCATCCCGCACCGTCGGTGAGTTCTTAATAGCCGCTCGTCTTTCCACATGTTCAACTTCGGGAAACATAGGCGCCACCCAAACCCCAATCCACTCAACCTTCGACAAGACACTCTGACCCATTCTATGGTCACGAGCAGCCTTCGCGGTTGTGCGCCAGGTTTATCACCCATCTGTTTGCCTGTCCCGAATACCCCCCATCGTCTTCTAACTCTCAAGTCAAGCTCCCCCATTTCATCGCATATGCCCTCCACCGCACGAAGCTGCATTCATCTGTCACCTTCGCTGCTCTCGTCCTCCTCCAGCGATTGAAGGCACGCTTCCCCACCGCTCGGGGATCTTCGGGACACCGCCTGTTCGTATCCGCATTCATGCTCGCGTCCAAGGTCATCTGCGACGATACTTACTCAAACAAATCCTGGAGCATCGTGGCCCAGGGTATGTTCCAGCTCAGGGAGATTAACCAGATGGAACGCGAGATGTGCCAGTACTTGGAGTGGGAGCTTAATGTGGACCCAGTAACGCTGAGGGAGTTTGAGGAAATGGTGAAGAAAGATTTCGTAGGTCAAGGTCCCTACCCTACTTACATACTACCCTCCTCATCCAAGACCACGCCTCCTCCTACCACGAATCCATTCCCGCCTCCCCCAACCGCTTTGGCGCCTACTCCATCGTATGGTCATCGTTACCCTTCTCCGCCAAAGCCCGCATACCCTCCACCCAGCACGTATATTACCCCACCGACAACGCCAGACACGCCGTCGCCGAGTTATTCTACATCGACGTCCCCAGCTTCAACCGCATCGCCACCAACACCACCAGGTATGGAGGATTGTACCGCCCGTATAGTATCGGCGTCATCGTCGCCCGGTATTCCAAAACACGAGCCCGTTCCAGTACCACCGCCATCAAAACACAAGATGTTCGCGTTCGCGTCGCCTGCTGTTTGGTGATGGCGACTGATTGGGCGCATCGTGGTCATTGTTGCGTTTTTCTTATCGCCACTTATACACTCATTTTCGCCCGTCTCGATGACGCCGCTAACATATCCACTTTCATCGCTGTCTGGTAGCGGTGGGTCTATTTACCAGGACTATCTATACCCTGCAGCATCATTACTTGGCCCAAGGTCGTTCTGGGACCGTGCTTCATTTACTGCATTACCATCCATATGTTGTGTCAATAGCGCATTAAAGTATTTCATAGGCATATGTACAACTATATTGAAGAGAACAAAAAATGCCACAATCACTGCAATCTATGGGAATGAAAGTGAGACTTTGATTATATTGATGAGAAGGGATCAAATGATCCCTGCCTTGAGGTACGACAAGCGACAGATCGCTTCCAGTTTCCTTCACACACCCAGAGTCGTACGACAGCGCCAGCTAGCTAAGATGATCGATTATGATCACTTTCGTTATGTGGTGCCAACGTTTACCAAAACTCCGCCGGAGCCGATATCTAACTGGTTCTGGACTGTACAGGCAGACAAGCAGAGTGATCTACATGCATGCTTCTGCATGCCGTTCCTTGTCCAACTTTAAGCATGGACACAAAGAGCCCTTTGAAGTTTGAAAGCGCCACATTTCTCATATGCATAAGGACCATGTATCCGCGTTTAGTCCGACTGTTCTTATCCGAGCGCTAGAAATGCAAAGTTCTATCAGACCTTTCCGATGGAAAACTTCATATGCCCAAGGCTGTCCCGCACCTCGCCTTTTATGGTAACCAACTCGCTCGCGATCATTGCACCTTGGTCCTATCTCCGGCCTTTGGTCTTTCAAAATTTTAGCTGCTGCGGTCTGGAATCTGGATCTTGGATGGTCAGTGATCTTCCGTTCCATTACGCCCGTCGTATCCTAAGTTACAGCAAGTACTTACTTATATACAGCGACTCTTGGCCACTAGGAACCAATCACACTGCTTATCTCACAATTGTCAATAGGGTATAGCGCATGTGCCATCAAAATTGACCACGTGAGATGGACGCTGAGAGTGGCATGCAGTTCTTGTTATCAGCCCATAAGAAGTTCATTCTTACCCATTAATGCTTCTTGTCTAACCGAGATAGCTGGAGTAGGTCGTGACGGCCTCTGAGGCTCTGAAATCTCAGTCTTGGTACAGTATACAATGGTACTTCCATGGCAGGCGGTCTACCGTGACCGTCCATTTGATGCGGCCACGCTTTGACCTGGCTGGATCTTGCAGATCACCAGGCTAATCTTGACACAAAGAACAATCGAATCCATTGTAATCTCGGTCCTTAAAGACCAGGGGCCAACATGCTGTAGCCTCATGTTTTTCTGATTTAGTAACCCTTAGTGCGGCCTTCTCCACAAGGTGGCGTACATGCCGACAATGTGAGTTCATATTTACCTCAGTCACTCCTTCAGATGGTAAAGTTAGGTTCGAACTTATAGATCATATGCTGTCGAAGGGGCACAGTCCACGAGTATTCGTACTATGCGATCTTCTGTTTCATGCCTAACAGACATGAGGTCGCGGTGCACAGAGTACGACACGGCGTTCATTGGTTTACCTCCAATGTCGCATACACTCTCACTCTTTAGTTCCCAAACTGCACCTTAAGATACTTGATGTATTAGGAGAGTTCAACTGCGGTTTCTGGAATGGTGAGCATCTCACCATTTCTCCGCGGTCTTCCCTTTTGTCCTTTGCTTATTTTCACATCTTCAGCCGATTAAGTCATGGCGCCGGATCGAATTATCACCTATTTCAAGTCCTCATCGTGCCCTGGCTTGCATGCCAATCAGCATTCTGTGTGCACCGGACTTCTATGCGCACCGGAGCGCAACGCACTGGTCAAGATCTAGCTGCGGATGGTGTAATAGTCATCTGCCAGAAAACCGATGATACAGTGACTGCTGTGTGTTGGCAAAATGTATGTACCGGCCAAAGACATTATAATCTCGCTGCGGAGGGTATACTTGCCATCTGCCAGGGAACGGATTATTCTGCACTGCCCGTAAGTCGGCCTCCGTCATGGCTGTAAACTGGGGAGATATGTATGGCCAACACATTAGCTTTCACAGAATCTTGATTTGAACACGCCGGCGGTCACTATTTTCGACTTTCAACTTTCGTTTTTCTGGCATTTGATAAGATGCTGCATTGCTGGAGTGTGTGGAACTTCGCCGTGACGTTCTGTGAACGAGTATAGGTATGTACAGGTTTCGGCCCATGTAGATGGTCCGGGTGTGTGTGTTTTTTTCCACTTGCAGGGTCCGTTATGTGTTCTTTGATGTTACTCCTCTTCACTTTCATACACGGGTCACTGCTTGTGAGAACAGAGGCCATTTGGCTGAGTTCTGAGCTGCATCTTGTCGTTCCAGTACATGCAGGTTCCAGTATGCCACTGGATGGCGCATATGTCTCCTATCTCGCGAATACGGAAGTGTTTCGAGTCAGAGATAAGTACAGGTATTGGTCCTCTAGCACTGGATAACCCTAGACTCCAAGTCCCTCTATTTAGAATTATCCGATCTGCTTGCGCCCTTCTACCCCTCTAATCCTGCACCCGCTATTATCACACGTTTGCATCGCGTTGGGGAACGCCCACTCAAATAACCAGCCCATCGTGAAATATCTCCATAATGATTGGTAGGGGCGCATCCGCGTCAAAGAGGCTCGGCGGCCCCTCAATTCTATGTCATCTTTGACACACTGATTCACCAGCTGACACCCTTGATGTCATCTCACTGGAGATAGCCTTCCCCACAATCCGTCACAAGCTGTCAGAAACCGATCCAGCTGGGTCTCTTATCAAGGATCGATAATCACTGACATCTGTCTAGTCAGTGCCACGTTCTGCAAAGAAGCTTCAGATGATGATAGGCGCCCAGGGCCACTGTCCTTGGAGACTTGGAGACCGCAACGGTACTCCAGAGGATGTAGGTCATATGCTTGTCATATGCCGTGTTTGATCATCTTGAACATTTCCTGAAATACTTCGATCGGCTAGAACTAGGGACTTTGTTGTAGCGGTGCCTCATGATTATCGTTTCAGGTATCTCCAAGCGTTGGAGCTTCTTTGCATTAATCTGTCGGCGTCCTGTAAGTGTCATTTAGACTTTGTTTCATGACTCAGGCTACATATTTGTCGTAGGACTGTTATCTGATCACTGATCATCTGCGTCCGGTCCTATGTTTCTTCGAAGCTCTTATAGAAGACGATCGCATCAACATATTCCTCGCCCTCTCCGTCCTTCCGTCTCAGACGACCAGCCTTGGGTATAAGTCCAGCCTTCGTAAAGTTCAGTGCCTCCCACAACCTGCAATCGAAGCGATCAGTGAAGCACGGACACGACAACCGATCGTCAAAAGGCTCACTTCACACTGGCGGCGTTATTATTATACACTAGGTTAAACACACTGGCCTTGTACCCCAACGCTGGTCCATAATGCAGATATGATTTAGCGAGAATATGCCCATAACCACTGCCACGTTGAGAAGGGGGGACCATAAATCCTGCATTGCAGATCTACGGTGGAAATTACATGTCAGCGGGTCGGTCGAGCCTGGTTCGTCTCAAATTACACTGGCATGAAAAAAGCCGCAGCCTCAGGCTCGCCCGGGAGCCGGTGAATCCCTTGCCCAACTGAAGCACACACTCACATGGGAAGATCGCCCAGGGTAGTTGGGTTTTACCTGCGTCATCATCAATTTCCACGGAGAAAGACCAGCCATATGTCAGATTGGGGGAACGAAAACATTTAATGTTATATTTTGCCAATAGGATCGGCGACTGACGTAGTAAAACCCTGCGACGCACTCCTCCCATGTCCGCCCGTTTCTCGCAGCATCCAGACTTTTGTCGATTTCCCGCACCGAGCGCTCCTCGCTCTCAATCGCCGGCGGATCTCCTTTGCCAGCGATTGCGACGAGCACGTCTCCGCCGAAGAAGTATGCTCCGAAGGCTGCGGGATCGGCCATGTCTTCTTGTGGATACGTCAAGCCTTTATCGACTTCATCTGCAAAGATGGTGTGGAGGTAGTTGAATAGACCTGTTTGGATGCGCTCCACTGCGGCCCGATCGATGTGGTGGATGGTTACGAATGATGATGGGGCCCCGAGATCTGGTTTTACCCCGGGACTATCCCATAATGTAGTAGGCAAATAAGATGTCCTTTGCGCTCTAATGATGGCCCCGTAAGCAGACATGGTACAGGTATACGAGTGTGCGCGGGATACAGATGTGCCAGCGAGCAACCAGGAACTGGACTTGCCTTCATTTGTTTGGACAATTGACTTAGACTAGCGATTGGCTTCGAGAAGAGGTGTCACACCTTCTGATCCTTACGGACCGGAGAAATACTCCCAAACCAAGAGTCTCACATACATTACTATGCTCGAAGGAGAAACACTAAGCGCTCAGCCTTGCGCGCGAGATAAAGTCAACGCGCAGTCCATGCGCAGTCCTCTGTCAAGTTAATGCGTTCTAGCCTAACCTTCTAAAAATTACTAACGTGCAGGAGCTCTCTATCATCACCAATCGTCACTGATAGCCCCTTCCCTATCCACGACGGTAGTCGCTCTGTTTCCGCTCCTTCACTGCCCGATAATCCTATCGTCACTCCGTCACCAAAAAAGACGTATCCGGGAATATAGCGGTCTACGAAGCTGCTCATAATGTTATCAATAGTACATGAAGAGGGAAAAGAAGCACCCACATCTTGACCTGATCATCCGTCATGCCTTTTCCGCCATTCTTGGCCTTCATATGGTGTTCCTGTTGTAATCTCCACTTATATATGATAGACAGCTGTGCAGATGAAGGCCCCTTTATCTTCAAAGAGTGAGTCGCATGCCAAGCGTGCGTCGAGAGCGAGGTATCTACCTGAATGAAAGCATCCAGTGCATCCCACCATTCGACGTATCGCTTTAATCGCTCGTTGACGGCCAGTACGTGATCCACGGACACAAAGGTTTTCATGTCAAAGATATCAGGCTCGAGAGTCGGGACAGGCTGTTTCCACCTTTCTTCGACGAGCTCTTTACTCGTAGGGAAAAATCCCACACACCATCCCTCCAGCACTACTACGTCCACGGGCCCTTTCACTGTCTCACCATGAGATACACGATCCCCCTTTCCATTAAATAGACTCTTATCGAAGAAAGGGATGTCGACAGCCCCTGCATCAACGTCATTGATCTTTTTGAGGTTCTTCAGGACCGAAGTACCGAGAGGTACATCGTGCGTTCCTGGCTGTCCCCTTCCCTGAAAGAGGATATTGTTGGGATGGCTTTCTGCAAGGCTTTGGAGCCCAGAGTGCGGAAGATAGAGATCGTCAATAGAAAGCACGGTGACGGAGAGGGCGTGTGGTGGACTGGAAAGGTGGGTACGGAGGCGGGAAGTCAGGAAAGTCTTTCCGCTACCCTGTGGACCTTGGACGCCGACAAATAAGGGGGTCGGTCGTAAACTCGGCGGATATCGTGATCGATGTTCTTGTAATTGGTTGAGAACGTGTTGGGCCATGTGCTGCACGGCAGGCGGATGGGTTTCTCCGTTCATGATGTGCAAAGCTCGTGGGGTGATGGCACGAGAAAACGTAGCGGTTGCAAGCTTGCAGGACGCGGTGGACCGCCAGAGCGTTCAGGTCATGAGACCGGTCACATGGACACGCTAAAAATTCTGTAGTTTTGTTTGAATTAGTATCTCGCCATCTATTCTGAAAGACCATACCTCTGGTGCAGATCTAGAGACGTTCGCACAACGTTCGCAACCAGTACTAGGCCAAGGCTTGTGGCACAATCGTGGGAATCAGCTCTTCGGTGGGTGTTGCTCGCACTCTACATTGTACAAAGGAATCATGTCAGTCATAGGTCATCAACTAGATGGCTCACCAACTGTATTTCAATGTCGAGCAACGATACACAACAGTGATATCAAGTAGTGAGATTATCAGCGCTGTAAATCCGTACCGTAATATTGTAGTGACGCGACGGGGAACTTTGCGGACATGGATAGTCACGGAAATGGTACAGCAATAAACATAGTCCTGCATTACTATCCAAAATCTATAGGCAAAGAGAATGTTCCGCATCACAAAAAGCAGTAAATAATTTCTACTTGCTCCCGCCGTAACGTGCCTTGCGCCCTATGTCAAATGGAATGTACTTGTATTTGATCATGTGCCTAACAAAAACGTTTCAATTACGACCACAAGTCAGGGAGGGATGAACGAACTGAATTTGCCGACGCATTGTCAATGCGAAGAGAACACAAAAGTAGACCACAAGGATCGGCCAGTAGACTGGCACATCGAAGACCTCAGACACGGTGCAGAAGAGTGATATGACAGTGGCCCTTGTTGAACTCAGCCTATGGAAACCGTAAATGGTTAGTGACACGACATGGAAACAATAGGATCAATGGTCGCACCAAAATTGCCATTCAGGGAGCCGCCTCACAAAAGGCCTAAACTCATCATCCCGCTGGGAGGGAAGCACAGGCACGCTTTGGTCGCCACCTTCTTCAATCTCATCGGCAAGGAGATCATCTTCAAGTGAAGGGTCGAACTTGGGTTGCAGAAATGCAAGAAGCAAGTTCAGGAGGTAAATGGCCAAGCCGTCTGTTACGCACAAAAGCCACGTCAGGCACGTTCCAAGCAATCAAGCACAAGTAGACGCACAGCAGACTACACATGCATCCAAGTACCGCAGACATAACTGGTGAGCCAGAGATCACATTCGTAGATGTAAATACACAGACCGATATACCACTGTTGACACGTCGCTAGTCAGTTTCATCATCAGAGCATAAAATAAGTTCGGATTTACCCCCTGGGACAGCACAATTCTAAGCATGAAGAGCGCCAGCAGAAAGAAAGTCGCCAGCCATCGCTGAAAGACGTGAGGAGTCCATCGGTCGAGTGTTTGTTGGTACTGGCGCTGAAACTTCGACAACGATGCTTGTGCAGAGTGAAAGGGGGTTGAAGCAGGTTCATCCGAAGACATCATCTTGAGTCTTGACAGGAATCGTAACGAAGATAAAAACCGTAAAACCGGGGACCTAGAAGAATGAGTATGTATGTTTTTTGGTTTTTTTGGTACAAGCAAGTGAACGTGTCGAACTGCCGCAAAAGGCATTTTCAAGCGGCGACCCAAAACATTAGCATTCGCTCGATAAGTTATTATTTTTCGAGGATAATCATGGTAGATCGTACTTTCTTAACATCATCGAAGTTGGAAATGGAACAAGCTGATCGTGATATAGAAATCGTAAACATTAGCTGTCCTTGAAGTATAGATATCAGAGCCCCTGTGTCACACCCGGCAGCCTAATAGATAAATGGCACGACAGCTTTCCTCTCCGTGGGGTACTCGGGAAAATTCTTGTGGTACCATTGATGGCCCTTGTACGCCCGAGGGATCATCATGAAAACTTCGGCCCAGAAGAACAACCAAGGGGGTTGGATGGTTTTCATTGTCTCTGTGAGCGGCATAAGAGCAGGCAATGGTGCAGCGGCTAATGCATAGCCAAACCATTCTGACCATTCGCAGAAGTAATTTGGGTAGGAGATATATCGGTAGAGGTAGCCATGGGGGATGGCATAGTGCTCCTTTCCGACTTTGTTCTCGTTGCGTTTGCCTTTCGCTTTAGAATTACGGCGGATATTGAGAAGCACTTCATCGTGCAAAATGTTTCCCGCGAAGCCACACGCCCAGAGTGTTATTCCAGCCCAGAAATATGGACGAGAGAAGGCCCCCTCCAGAAATGCAGATGCAGTAGGAGATGAGATGTAGGTACCCATCAAAGCACCATTTGCAAGGTTGAATATGATACCGGAGAGGGAGACACTGATGTGCGCCTTCGAGCGAGATGGTGTTCGTAGAGGGGAAATTATTGCACGGTTAAGATAATGGATAATGAATAGGCCAGCGAGGATGACCTGCGGGCCGGACATCGCAGACGTTGATGTTGCCCAGGGCCCGCGGAATAGTACAGCAATGAAGGTCATGGGAGAGACTAGTTCCATAACAATCCACGACTTGATTCCATCTACAACGAAGATGCTGTCATTGGATGGAGCAAATCTTCCGAACGGGGCATCGATGAGAAACTGAAGCGGACACATTATGGGTGGTATGAGGAAGAACCATTTTCTTGCCGCTGAATTCAAGTTAGCATGCTCAATGGTTAGGTACTCGTTGAGACTGCTTACCATCATATAAGGACTCGGACTGCATGTCGTCGTGATGAAAGGTCTAGTCACGGACAAGTCACGGAACCAAAACGTTTCATCATGCTGCTGACTAAGCACCCGCACTGCCTTCCGAGTCAGACCAACTTCAGACACCCTCCTAAAACGCCCATAGGTTCAGCGATTATTGTCTCGCAAAGGCAATGTCAACTAATGGGTAAGCTGAATCTTAAACGCACTCCCGCTGAGGAGGCCGAGCGGGCTCTCTGCAAAGCTCGAAAAGCCGCAAAGAAGGCGACGAAGCGGTCACATCTGTCTGAGGAATCGAGCGAGCATAGAGAGTCTGGTTCTAAACGGAGACGCCGAGGAGAGGTAATTGATTCTGATCTTGACGAAGATTTCTATGGCCCTCCGCCTCCCCCATCGCTGTCGTCCGCGCACAAACCTGATTATGACACTATTCTTTCCGAGTTGGAAGACACTCGCTTCAGGGAGAAAATGTGGGACGCTCTACGGGATGATGAACGGTTGGATGGTATAGACGCTAGATTTAACGATTACGCCCATGTCCCCGATAGATGGCGAGCAAACGGAGCCAGCGGTGGAAGCCCTGCGGACCAAATGGATATGGATCCGCGGTTCATGGATGATGACGCGTACGCTGAGTGGATTCGAGATGGGATGTGGAGGTTTGTCTCTCAGCTGCGAGTAGTTCCTTGCAGTTGCATTGAGTGTCCCCATCATAGGCGAAAGCACGCGCGACAATACGAAGAGGAAGCACACAAGAAGGCGGAAAAGGCAGCTCGTAGCGCTAGGAAGAAGGAAATGAAAGCAGAAACGGCCAAACTCGAAAAGGCTGCGGAAGAGCGAAGAAAAGAAAAGAAAAGAGAAAGGGAAAGCCGACGAGAGGAGAATGCTCGAGCAGAGTATGACAGAAAGTGGAAGGATCTCTTGGATCCCAATGCTCGGCATGGCTCTCCGCTTTCCTTCGGAGACATTCCGTGGCCACTATTTGTGCCCATGGTACACTCAGATACCGCTCATTCAGACCCATTCTCGATCACATTGGAACACTTCACAACGACAGCAATATCTGCATTCCTGATACCACTTTCTACAATTTCTGCGCTCGCTCAGGACGTTGGTATTTCTCTCCCCACTCAACATCATGACAAGAAGGAAAAGAAAGAGAAACTACGGGAGACAATGCTACGGTTTCATCCGGACAAGTTTGAAGGACGGGTCATGCGGAGGGTCATCGAGACGGACAAAGATAGAGTAAAGGAGGCTGTGGGTCAGGTGGCTCGAGTTCTCAATACTCTCATGGAGGAATAGATCGAAGGTCTGAGATGTAGGAATGGATTGATGGTATAGTTGTTCGGTTGGTATCACAGGCATTTGTGGCGTAGGCAACTCATGATCATCAATCTTTTATACAGAGACCTGAAGTTTGAACTGAGAAATCGCAACTTCTCACACGAGGCAAGCTATGTTACTTCAAGAAGTTCGCATGTCGAGTAGGTCCCCGTTGTACTGTCAGATTTGTAAGAGTGAATATCGGCAAGTCTGCCGGTTAACATCCGACTTCACTTGCTGGCTCTCGCGGTTTTTTTTTCAGAAGAGAGGAGCAAGTGCACATGTTGTGTCGCATTTATTTCGCACACGGGCGCCTTGGATTTCTCTCAAATACCCCCTTACTCGTGTGTGTTGGAATCGATCCTACTGACCCAAGTACGTTTTTACACTGCATTCGTGGAGATTTACTGACAAGAAGTAGTACTCGTATTTGGCAAGTCACCTCCGACATAAAGCGTGGGCCCGGTGAAAAGTATCTTGCCCATTTGTTTGCCAGAGGCTGATCCCGACTCACCTAGAGTTGCTGGCATGCATGTATGAGCTATATCCACCGCGTTATCAGAAGATCATGATACGCATCGAGTCGTCGCCTTTGGGGATGGTGTATTGATGGTGATTGATCAAACGCAAACTTGACCCAGTCTCCTTCCCATTGTCTTAGTTATTCTCTCGGACCCGCGTGGCTGTCTGACGCACTACTCTCTTCATTATCCTGCGTTGGTGGGATCGTCCTATATTTGCCCCTCAAAACGATGTTGTGAGTATTAATAGCAACCCTGATGACCGTACTTATATAAGGCCATCATTGCCAAGCGCTCGTTTAGGATTCGGTCCCCCACCTGAGGACATCCTTCTGAAGATGATATTAGACGACGACCAAGGGTAAGTTTCATGATGAACTTTCAGGTTTTGATATACTTTGACCCGCGTAGAACTTTTGACACCTTAGAGTAAGCGTCACAATTGGCTTCTGCTAAATGTTAATTCACCAACCACCTGGAGTGACAGCGAGGGCCCATTCGTGAGGGATGCTCTTGGCTATCATGATTCAAGTACTGAACTATATTACCAGGTCATTGGGTACACCTGTTGCTTTGTGCTCATGGGTATCCTCTTGGTGCAATGTTGTACGTCGCCCTGATCAAGTACCTCTGCGTTCCTGTTTGAACCTAGAAAAAAGTCATCTACTTCAACCGGTTCCCAAACGACCGAATGTGGACGAAAGCGCTGGGTAATGTACCTGTATTGTTGTGCAATGAAGTATTGCTGACCCGTAGAAGTGTCCGTGACCTTGCTGCTAGAGACCCTCATTACAGTCTTCGTGTTCCACGGTTTTTGGATTGGTGCTACTCAGCGCGGATCTAATCTATCTATGGTCGTCGCCACTGGCGTTGGTGGGCAACGGTTAGACCCTGACCCTCTGTGGTCATATGTAGCCCTGGCGCCACTTACGGGACTTGGTGAGTGACACAAAATATGAGCAGGGTCGGATCATTGATTATGGCAGTCTCTTCCCTAACCCATGGTTTCTTCTGCTGGAGAATTTGGGCTGTGAGGAATTCCATGATTGTCCCTGTATTGGTTATGATGGTGAGCGCACTGAATGATGGCCATTATTTGGTGCTCACACAAGGTTCACTCCCAGGTTTCGTTGGTGCAATTTGCGATGGTGACTTACGGGGGCGTAGTGGTAAAGATCCATTTGTCCCATGTGTTCCGTCCTCCTGAAATGACTCCAGTATGGCTTAGTTCCTGACCTAACCGACGACCGCCCCATGCCATTTTACGTCCCGGTGAGTTATGTACCTTGTAATCGGCGTGGACATATTCCTTAAACGCAGAATCCGCTAGGTTTGGCTAGTCGGCAGCCTTGTATGCGACTCAGTCATCACCGTGTACATGACGCTCAGTGTAAGATACAGCTTTTCCCATCTGACCATGCTCACTCCCATCACAGCTCATACACTGCAATGAGAAATCGGGTTTCAAACACACAAAGTCACTGTTCAAGAAGCTTATCAAATTGACCATCGAAACCGGGCTGATAACTACGACCGCTGCGCTCATAGAACTTGTGCTTTCCATTGCATTTCGAGTAACGTTGTACCACATTGCATTGTAAGTGGCAACCCCCCTTCGATTGAACTCTGTCTTATCAATAGCTCAGATTTTACATCATCTCAAAGTTGTAAGTAATTTGGTCTCATCTTCAGTCCGCCGCTGAATTCAGTATCGACACGATTAATCTATATAGGTATGCCAATTGTATGCTGGCAACCCTGAATTCGCGGACATCGCTAAACAAGTCGGTCGATCGGTTCAAGACTGCTGCCATCTACGACGATTGGCACTCGAGTTCTCATTCAGGAGGAACGCCCGCGAGAAATTCTGCCAATGTGATACAAATCCATACCAAGGTTGAAACCACCATAGAGATGGATCCATATCCGGTGAGTTATTTTCTTCACCATGGAATGACTGACTCAATATCTTGGTGTACTCCTTTCGTCTGGATAAAGAATCAAAAGAATTCCATGGAGGTATGAGCTACCTGTACATGTACAAATATATTCCTACAAACATAGAATACTAGCCAGAAAGTTATACTTTAAAGAGCGTAAAGAATAACTATACAAATCAGCCTTCCCATGGCGTCGTAACTCCTGGTCGGCTTTACCCGCGCGGGACAGCTTTGCTGTTTCGGTCAAGGCAATGCATGCCGCGGCATTACCTGCGGGAATTCAGCTGAAAGCAAATGTCCTGAAAGGGTCACCATGAACAGAGAAAACAACGGAAAAAGGCAGTACTGCTGAGGGAAAGGGACTCGGAGGCACACTGATGACACTAGGAACCTGTCGTGTCGGGAATAGAGCGGAAAAGTGCTGGCAGAAATGTTTGCTTCCCTTGAAGTGTCGCAAAGGCAGCCCTAGCAGAATTTACAGTCTGCGAAACTTGACATCAACCGAGGGCAAGGTCGTGCGACTCAAATTGGTACCGTTTATCAATTCGAGTCGCGCGACCTGGGCTTGCTGTGATGACAATGCTGCTCCTTGTTGTTCATTGAAAAACGGAAAATCGCGCCACGATAGGACTGTTACATCGATCTGCCAAATTAGTATCATATTTGTCCACGACGATGCTTTCATGAGGATTAAAACTGAAAATAATCAAAAAGAGGGGAATGTTTGCCGACTCGTTTGAAGGCCGCCTCGGCGAATCGCAAGTACATAGCATTGTGTATTGGTACTCCTGGAATCGACCCCGACAAAATCATGTCGCTCACCGATGTCCGGATGTTCTGCTTAGTTTGAACCCCAAACCAGACGTAACCAGGGAGACATGATCATGTGTGTTGTCGATTTTTGTCCGAATTGCACAACGCAGACTGGGTCTGGGCCATAGAGATTTACCCTGGTCATCGAGCGCTGTGCGCCCGGTAGATCGTCACACTTGACTCGGACGTGTCAGCTTACACCAGTAGGAGTCGTGGAGATGACCTTACAAAGAGTAATCATTAATACAGGGATACTAATACAAAAATGGGCCAGGGCTCATACCTGATATCGATATCATCGAGGCTGATCAAACGTCTATAACCAGACCCTCAGGCCTCATGCCGCATCGATTCCTCGGGAATTTCAGTACTTCAGATAACGAATGTTTGGTCTGAAAATTGCACATGCATCCACTTGCAGTCAGGTGCTATTTTTTGTGCCAACCATGTTGAGTCCTAAAAGGGGAATGTGGGTGTTGTAGTGCCGTTTGACCGGGCGGTTGCAGGGTCCCGCCAGTGGAGGTACAAGGAACATTTTTTGCATTCAGGCCATCTGCTTCGTTACACGATACCACCACGAGCTTGCAGGCCCTCGCCGTAGTAGAAACAAAGAGTGGAGCAACTAAACCTTTTTGTCTCAAAAAAGGTTCATCCGGAACAATAGCATCCACACCGGCATCAATCTCCCGCACAACAACGTTACTACCTTCTCCACTCTTGGACGGTCCGACCCTTGACATTCTTTCTCAATAGCAGCGCTGAGTCGCTAGACTCTTTTCATTCTCTCTACCATGGCCGACATTGGCGAAATTATCAACCAAAATGCCTCCAGGACGATCACGCCAGCTGCAGTAGGCTCCCAGGTGGCTCTGATGTCAATTATTTCCGTAAGTTGTCTAGGTCTTCTTTCAGATTCCTACTTCACTTCTTCCAGCTCGTTACGATTGTGGTATTCAACGTTTTGCGACCTAAGAACAAGGTGTGTCTCTTCATACACACATAGTTATATCCTACATGCATGTTTGTGCAGGTCATCTACGAACCCAAAGTCAAGTATCACGTCGGTGACAAGCAGCCGCCGCGGATATCTGACTCCCTTCTGGGATGGCTGCCACCTCTCATACGCACAAAGGAGCCCGAGCTTGTAGACAAGCTTGGATTGGATGCCGTCACCTTTCTCAGATTCACTCGCATGACCCGATCACTTTACTCCGCCATCGCTTTTACGTGCTGCGCCATTCTGATCCCTATCAACGTGGCCTACAACCTGAAGAACATCCCTTCGGCGGATCGGGATGTCCTCTCCATGCTGACTATCCGGGATGTGAAGGGTTCTTTCCTCTTTGCACACGTCACGGTCTCGTACGCGATATCAGCCCTCGTCATGCTCTTCGTATGGCGGCACTGGAAGGAGATGCTTCGTCTCCGGCAACAATGGTTTCGCTCTCCCGAATATATGCAATCCTTTTATGCACGGACACTGGCGGTCATGCATGTACCCAAGAAATACCAGTCTGACGAGGGCATCCGTGCCATCTTCGAAAGCGTTCAAGTCCCATACCCCACTACCTCAGTACACGTTGGTCGTAAAGTCGGACGGCTACCTGAGCTTATTGAATACCATAACACTGCCGTTCGCGAACTCGAGCAGGTTCTCGTGACATACCTTAAGGGTGGAAAAATAGCCAAAGAGCGGCCCACGATTCGGATGGGTGGATTCATGGGCATGGGTAGTGTCAAAAGGGATGCCATAGACTTTTATACGTATGTACGCGTGCTCTATTTTGTTGCGATATCGCTAAACAGTGACTAGCGCAAAGCTGAGACGCACGGAACAAGCAATCGAGGATTATCGTCAGCAGATTGATACCCGCAAAGCAGAGAACTACGGTTTTGCATCTATGGCGGCGGTTCCGTACGCTCACATTGTCGCCAACTTGCTTCGAAAGAAGCACCCCAAAGGTACTGATATCGCTCTTGCGCCGAACCCTAAGGACATTGTACGGTATTTTAACACTGGCCTTTGAATATTTATTGAATGTTCCACAGATATGGGTAAATTTCAACAAGACAACTTCCGAGCTCATTCGCAACAAACTCATCGGGGCTTTGTTCTTGGTGCTCGTTTGTTTCTTCAACACTATCCCCCTGTTCATCATCTCCATCTTGGCGAACTTGAGCTCGGTACGATTCTTTGCGCTTTGTTAAGTATTCGGTCAATTGAAAGATTGCTCTATAGATATCTGCCTACGTGGGTTTTCTCTCGAAGTGGGCGACTGCATCTCCAGCATCATTTGCTTTTGTTTCTGGTGTTTCGCCTCCTGCTATCTCGGCGCTTTTCAATTTCTTCCTCCCCATCATCATGCGTTGGTTAAGCAAATTTCAAGGTGCCCTTACTCACAGCCGGTGAGCTCATTTTATGACTGTTATTTACCTGGTTCTGATGGATTTATGGCAGACTTGACCGTGCTGTCGTTGCACGCTACTTCGCTTTCCTTGTTATCTCCCAGCTGATTGTCTTTACTCTCATTGGCGTTGGATTCAGTCAGAAATCATTTTTATTATCAATTATTCTAAAATACTAATACCCACATTATAGTTGCGGCCGAACAGATTGTGACGGAGATCGGCTCCCATACCAGTTTCCAGGGTATCATCGACAATCTACATAGTGGGTCACCCCCAGTTATACATCACGGGTTCTGTTCAAATTTTATATATAGCCTTGCCGAGCACGATCAACCAAACGTATATCAATCAGTCATCGTATTGGTTGACATACTTCCCGTAAGCCTGTGCATATGTGCTTCGCATTCAAATATGCTTACGCATGTCAACTTGATTCCAGACTTCGTGGCTTCTTGGTTATTTTTGATCTAGCCCAGATCCTGAATCTCCTTTGGACGTCGTTTAAGACCCAGTTCGTTTATCATTATTATTATTATCCGTGTGTCGCACGCGCTGATACAAGATCCCAGTGTCTTTGGTCGCACACCCCGTGATATCAGAGAGTGGACACAGCCGCCAGAGTTCGAGTATGCTATTTACTAGTACGTGCCTTACTTCTCCATCTCTCTGATGCTGATGCCTTCATCAATAGCGCGAACATCGTGAGTTAAGTTCGGTGATCTGATCTGACTCCCATTGACATTTCGCAGCTCTTCATGGCCACCGTTGCCCTGGTCTTCGCTCCTCTAGCGCCCTTGGTCGTCCTTGCTGGTGCTATTGTGTTCTGGATAGGCTCATGGGTATACAAGTATCAGCTTATGTTCGTCTTCATCACGAAGGTTGAGTCGGGAGGAGTGCGTTATTTGCCTTCAATATGTGATTCGAGTTGCTAACGTTGGTGCAGCGGCTCTGGAACATGATGGTTAACCGGTTACTCGCCTCTGTAATTCTCATGCAACTGCTGATGGCCCTGAGTAAGTCGTTTTAACCGTGGCTGCGGCTGCCAACTCACACTATCACAGCCATAGGCCTCCAATACGGCTTCAAGTCCTTCATGTGGCTCACCACCGTCCCTCCAATCTTGTTCATCATCATGTTCAAGTTTCAGCTTGACCGAACTTTCTACCAGAACTTCCTGTACTACAAGCCTACGGAGACCGAGCTTCGCGAAGCCAAATTGCACTCCTCGAGATCAGATGTTTCTGGCAGAGGGTTGGAGAAGCGCTTCGGTCATCCTGCGCTTCATGCAGAGTTGTTTACTCCTATGCTTCATGCAAGGATGATGCCACTTCTTGGGGACGTCTACAAGGGAAAGATTGGCAGTGACAAGGCTAAGCTTGAAGAATACGGTGGTCAGAAATTGGACGCTCAAATTATCGAGGGTGGCCTGAGGATTGCCGCTGTTGAACAGGTGATTCTTCTGTGTCTGTCTCAAAACGAGATATTGAATGTGTCAATTTAGCGCGATTTGGAGTATGATCCTGCCCTTTACCGGCGCGACCGAGGTGAACTGGACTGGGATCAACGGTCCATTGCATCGACTGCGATCTTCGGCAATGCTGGAAGCGGCGACAACTCTTCACTTTACCACCAGAAGGCCCATCAGTATGCGGGTTCAATGAGTGGAGGTCGTGCATCACCCGCGCCTTCCGCTTTCGACCGTTACCTCGTCAAAGGTCCATCGCAATCTCCAAGTGATATAGAGCTAGCGCGCATGAATCAGAGCGTGGATCAGTTGCCTCTTCTGACAGATAATCAATCATACGGATACTTCGATCCCCGGCAGCAACCGCCGCCGTCTCCAATCCACGGGTACAATTCTCCTGATCGGATGGCCCCACCATCCAGATATGGATCGCCTGCACCAATGGCAACGCCGCCCCAAATGCAATATCCTCCTCATCCTGGGATGCAACGGGGTCCCACGGAAGGCTACAGGGAAGCACCTCTACATCGCCCGCATCCTCTACATCGCCCAACCTCAAGCTACTCCAGCGAACCCCCACCGCAAAATATGTCTGGACGAGGAGCCTACCGAGAGTAATCACCAAATCTTATATGAATTATCTCACTCCAGTTCACCATTCATTCAATATAATGTGCGCTACGACTGGGCCTACTCTGCCTTTTTTCAATCTTTTATGTCGTCGTTATCTGTCACCTCACTTTCTTTGATTACGCACATAGCACTCGGACTCGGACTAGGATAAAGCAAGTGCAATGGTTGCTTGGGCAGACTGGCTTGCTGCATATATACATGAGGGCGGGAGGAGCCCGCCGAATAGTGACTAGCATTTTCTTTGCTGTACTTGTTACATCTATCTTACCTACAGCTTGTGTATGCGAACTTTTATTAAACTGGTACTAGTACCAATAATCAAGCAAACCTGCTCGCTTGTTCATTTGACGTCACTGTCATCTTGAACTTGCTGCATGTCTAACCTGTATTCATACGTGAAGGTCGACCGGCCTGCTCCCAAATGTCTGGTTACCTCACAGGAGATTCGTGACCGTGGGTCTGCGTTCGTGGGCAGCGTGTATCGCGCTAGCACATCTGAAGAAGCTAAAGCTGCCATCTCCCATCACCGAAACGTCGTTCATGCTGGGAAGAAAGCCTACGAGATATCTGCCTGGAGATGCATGATGCTGAAACATGGCAAGACAGGGCTCGGGGGTCCTGACGACTTCGAGGTAATCACGGGATATAACGACGATGGGGAACAATGGGCTGGGAGCAAAGTGTTGAGGGTCGTACAGAACGAGGGTGTACTTGACGCTGTTGTCATCGTTAGTCGATGGTAAGTTTCAGTCGTGTTCGTTCCACGGAGGAGACTTAGGGGGATTCATCTATTTACTGATTATTCACTCGCAGGTTCGGCGGAACCCTTCTGGGGCCAGCTCGATTTGCTCATATCGAGACCTGCGCTAGAGAAGTATGTCGTACATTCAAACGAATCGAAGAAATGGAGGAATGCATCTCAACGCTTATAAGGCTCGACAACATGTTGGCAAACCTACGGCAAGAATTAAACGACCTCACTCAGAATGCTGAACTGGTGACGGGCGGAAGCACCTCGACTCCAATTGCCTCGGACGAGATCGACAATGCACAAGGGGGGAGAAGCAGACAGCCTGATTACACGGTTGTGCAGGGGGATCTCGACATTGCAAAAGCGAAAAGACTTATTGGTGCAAGAGAAAGTGCCGTCAAAAGTGTGAAGTCTCTATTATTGAAGAAAAGAACAATATTAGCGAGTACTAAAGCAGAAGGGTAGCACTATTCGCAAAAGTTTCGAGCCCTCGAGAAGAATGCTCTCATCATATTTACGAGTAGCGATGATCTGCATGCAGAAAAAATTAGAACTAAAAAAGGTGTCTCTGTCCCAGAAAATGCATATGGAAAATCGCAGAGGCCGTACTAGCTGAGGGGGAGCACTCAGCAAACCCTGGTGTTTGCGAAACCTGAATTCATAGCGCTCGCAAGAGATTATTGCAACCCGCGATAAAATCCTGCTAAGAGCTTTTGGAGAAGCTGGGACAGCAATGAGCACGAGCTTCCGGACCGAGGTCGTCAGGCGTGCGTCGAGTCCCTGACATGAATAATGCCAAGTGGATGTTGCCCGTGAACGTATAACATCTTTTGACGTTGCCTATGAAATGTGGAGTGTGAGGCCAGCTAACGAAGTGTCGTTTTGGGCTGGAGTGGGTTACGGGGGAGTCTGACATAGTCCTAGAATCAGAGTTGACTGGTTTTCAAAGTCAAGCTGTTCAAATCAGGGAAGTCTGTCAACATGTTTTGGCTATACAGGTCACCCTTAGTACGAAGGAACGACTGATTTGATCTGCCAATAGGGGAGACTGAGAAGTCACCAGTTTTGTGCAATTCTTTGCAGAATGGCTTGTGTTCCTGGCAGCCAAGATGTGCGGTGAAGAAATCTTTTGGTTGACATGTAGACGGATATAGAAGCTTCAACAACTCTGAATCATAGAACAAAGTTCGCCGCAGTGACAAATTGTGTCCGAGGTATTAGGATAAACAGAGACGCCCTCAACGCTGAGAGTCGAACATTCTTGAAACGAAATCACGCTAAATGAACATGAGAAAAGACAGCGTGAACGAAGTCTAGAAAGTATATGTACCTTTAAATGAACATGAGAAAAGACAGCGTGAACGAAGTCTAGAAAGTATATACCTTTGTATTGAGATCAGTAGACAGCAGAGGCACAGGAAACGCTTAATCGATTTTCTCATATTCCTATCCTCGCTATTGCAGCCTGTGGCTCCGGATCCGCGGGCGGGATGGGTCCACATGTTACGATGGTAAATTTAACTCCGCGAGATAAGCCGTAAGCGTCGAATCGATGTAAAGAAAGTGGCAACGATAGAATCAGTGGTACAAGGTTTGGCTATATGCTCTGCCGTTCGTCAAATTGGTGTAAAGGAAATGGCGACATAGAATCAGTGGCACAAGGTTGGCTATATGCTCTGCCGTTTGTCAACGCTCGTAGCTACGACTGGGGCGAGCAGCGAAATAATCACGAAACAGTTTTGGTGTGCTACGCACCTGTACAACGACATTCGTTAGTTCTACAATTGTCCGACAAAACTTCAAAGAAAGATGTACCGAAAGTTCAATGCAGCACCTAAATTAGACTAAATAAAGATTATTCGGCGTCCCACCTTGACAAAAAGTTGAATTACCTTGACTGCACCACAAGCGATTTGTGGCATCTCCTGGGACCTGCCCGCTAAAAAAAATTTGCCTCATCTGTGGCGTTACATCCCACTGCTCGTCATCATCGACCCAAGACAACCTCAGCCCAACTGTAGAGTTGGGATTCAACCCTAACTAGACGTAGAGCCGTCTTGCAATGCCGTTTATGCACAACGCGTTCGCCAGCACCTACCTAGGACTGCATGCGTGTAAAAGATATTCAAAATCGGAACAATCGCGGGTTGCTCGTGCGCGTGAAGGATGGGGCGAAGGAGAGTATCGGAGATGATAACATTCATTAATGGTCTTCCCGTTCGAGCTTCTCGATGAGAGCCAAGGAGGATATCGTGCAAAAAATGATAGCCTTAGATAATCTTCTTTATTTATTTAAAAATACTTGTTGCGGCGAGTGGCTGTGCAATCCAACTTAGAATTTCTTGGATGTTTGCTCTGAGAGCTGGGCGACAGACTGGCCATCATGCACCACAGCGGAGAGCGTATGCGGCCGTTGATACTGTCAGGGAGGGCAAGCACATAGCTTCAACAACGACTCCTCCATGGTCAAGGCGATTCGACCTGCAAGACGTGGATGAGGAAGACGTTGTTGGCCCCGCCCGGCGTACGGTTTGCATCCGCATGTCCAAAACGCTTGCAGGCGGGATGGTTGACGCGTTCGCCGTTGTTCGTGGGGTAGAGCGCAAATTTGGACGGATACGTGAATACCGGTTCATACGGGTATGTGCGGTGGAGAGCTATCAAAACTCGGTTTGCTTATGCATCATTAGGATGGAGAAGTGGACTCTGAGTACCAGATGTTGTGCTGGGCTGCATTCCAGTCGGAGGACTCAATGAACCTCATCCCAGAGAAGGGTATCGATATGAGTGTCCCAGCTGCAACGCAAGATCCTACCATCCCTGAAGGGGGCCCCGGACTTCAACACCTTCGAGGTCTACTTGACCCGAAGGATGTAAATTCTTCCGGTCCCTCAACATACTCTGCTGAAGGTCCTTCAACACAGCCGAGATTGATTGAACTCAATGTTCAGCGAGCTGGTGTGTATCCTCGTACTCTCTCATCTTGCAACATCGCTGGATGCTCACAATGTGGACAGCAAGTGACTTGCGTTTCAAAGGAGACAATACTCCATTGAACATCACTAAGGGTAAAAAGATTGCAATTGGACACAGCTTCTATGAGTGGGGAGGCTTCTATCCTCTGAAGCCTCTCTATACATCATCCCCCTTTGCTTCTCCATCCGAAGAACTGCTGCCGACTCCAGACCACGAGCAAATGCGCATTGCGTTGAACAAGTGGAGTCAAATACTCGAGCGACCCGACCCTTCATTTGCACAGATGGAGGCCTCAGCAAACGTGGAAACACGAGCAGATACTCAGGAAGACATGGCAGCGGATTCGGACTCGTCTAGTGATCCATCAATCATGTTGTCTCAGAAGAGTCGAAGGAGAACTAGACACGAGGTGGATTCCTGGGTACCGCTATCGACGCTACAGCCAACAAAATTGGCCCCACCCTCTCCTAATATCATCCCACCCAAGAAGCACGCGATGTCCAAGCCTTCGACGCCTAAGGTTTCGCGTAAAGAACGTTTACTCGAACAGGCTCGTAACCAAGCTCGCGAACAAGTTCTGCAGCAGGTTGCTCTGCGTGCCAGGGAGGCTGAATCCGCTGACCTTGAGAATCTACCTTCAGAGACACTGAGGGAGAGTGTTGAGGCCCTTTTGAAGGATTCTAAAGTCGGTGCCGAGTCACAAGGCAATGCGCCGGATGGTTCTGAGTCTGAAGTCAAACTAAAGGCAGGAGACGAGTCAGTGGGCAAGGACCAACCCTCCTCCGCGAAGGAAAAGGTATGGAACTTGGTGGGGAGGTGGTTCTGAGAAATACTGGCAATATAGAGCTTTTCTGTACATATACGCCATTCTTACCATATTGATATTCTTGCAAACTTAGTTGTGTCAGCCGGCAGTTCGGCTATAAGTCGTAGCTCCGTTCCGGTTTGACATTTCACCCCACAACTCATCCCGCCCGCACTTTCTGATCAAGCTCCAAACTTTGGTCATCTTCTGCAGCTCTGCCATCGAACAGGATTATAGAAAGGATACCAAGAATGGCTATCTTATTCTCTGCGTGTACTAGTTCCGTTCGTCGACTGGGATATCTTTCTTATACTAAGACACCGTTTGCACTCAACGGGAGTCGCGCAGGTTAGTGCAACAATATTCTTGGGCTATGGTTGGGAACTCATCGGCCCGATAGCGTCAGGCTATGGGAAATATAACCATGAAGTAAGCCCAATTCGCGTTCAATAATGACTGGGCCAAGACCACTGCTTGTCAGGATCCATTGAACTTGGAATCTCTACTAACGGAAGAGGAAATTGCCATACGGTACGTCTTAAGCTAGTGCGTTTTCAGCGGACGGCAAGCTTATATATTGATACAGTGATACTGCTCGCGAGTACTGCCAGGCAAGTCCGCCTTGTCTACATTCAGAACACCGTGTGATGATCCGTTTAGTAGGAAAATCTCGCTCCCCGTGTACTGGAGGGCTGGCGGACGGAAAGTAAGGCATATTATTCGTCCTTAAATATTTACTTCATTATGGCACGCAGGATTCAATCATGATATTCTTCCTGAAATGGGTAAACTGGGGCTGCTTGGACCGACAATTCAAGGCTACGGTTGCGCTGGGGTGAACAATGTGGCTTATGGCCTCATTGCTAGAGAAATTGAGCGGTTTGTGGCGTGGATTTGGTCGCTATCGTTGTCTTATTCTTGCACACATTAGCGTCGACTCTGGCTACCGGTCGACAGCATCCGTCCAATCGTCGCTTGTTATGCACCCCATCAATGAGTTTGGGACTGAAGCACAGAAGGAGAGGTATCTTCCTCGGTTAGGTAGGGTCTCTGACTGTGATGGTGAAGTGGCGCTTATACTATACAGCCAAGGGAGAAATCGTTGGCTGTTTTGTATGAAATCGCAGCGCATAAAATTTTGAGTTCACGGTAACAATTTTAATAGGGACTGACTGAAGCAAATCATGGGTCCGACCCAGCTGGCATGGAGACAACTGCTGAAGAAACTGATGGTGGCTTTGTTCTCAATGGAAGCAAGACTTGGATATCAAATGCGCCTGTTGCGTAGGTTCCGTTGTTCAAGTTCCATGATTTCCGCTGATCTGCTGGCGAAATAGTGACATTTTTGTCATCTGGGCTCGCTGCAAATGGGATGGTAAGGTCCGAGGTTTCGTTCTTGAGAAGGCAAGCTCCACGTTTCTCGTTCTACCCATCTGTTTCACTCCCACACAACTGGTAGGGTATGAAAGGCTTGGAAGCGCCAGCCATTAAGAACAAGGTGGCACTCCGGGCGTCATTGACCGGCTCCATTTTCATGGACTCTGTTAGAGTGGGGCATGACTCATTACTCCCGCGTGGACAAGGCCTTAGTGCTCCTTTCTCCTGTCTGAATAGTGCCCGGTATGGCATTTCATGGGGTGTAATGGGGGCTCTCGAGGATTGTATCCAAAAAACCCTCGCATATGCACTTGAGCGCAAGCAGTTCAAGCGACCGCTGGCATCTTTCCAGCTTATCCAGAAGAAGCTTGTAGACGCGCAAACTGAAGCAGCTCTTGGCTTGCAGGCCAGCCTTCAGGTTGGTAGACTGAAGGACACAAACAAGCTGGCCCCCGAAATGGTCAGTATGGTAAAGCGTAATAACTGTGGAAAGGCCCTCCAGCACTCGCGAATCATTTTGGACATTCTCGGAGGAAATGCATCATCGGATGAGTATGTCTATGGTATCATGTGAATGTCATGCACAAGCTGAGTTGCATGTTTAAAGGTACCATGTCGGTAGACACGTTGCAAATTTACAGGTTGTGAATACTTACGAAGGTACGCGCCTTGCTCGCCGCCACTTGGAGAAATCACTGACGTGTTCGCCTTCCAGGGACATATGTTAGTTTCCTTCTTTTTAACACCATATCTTCACGATCTCCTGAGCTGACAACCTAATCCCTCTTTTAATACAGGATATACACGGTCTCATCCTTGGAAAGGCAATGACTGGCATTCAAGCATTTGCTAATTAGTCCCATCGGTGCATGCCTTGTAACATATGCACGTTACCATTCTCTTATCCGTCGGAAGATCGTCACTTAGTTAATTTCTACAGGCTTTAAATTCTAACGGATGACTTTGCATCATATCTACCTGCTAAGCATTGTCAAATGCGCACGTGGGCCTATTATTAACAAAGTATCAATCATAGTACGCAAGCCAAAGTTTGGCCTTGTGTTACAACGTGTCCTGTGTTGGATTCAATACATTGCTAGCCTTTGAGCAGTTCGACCTTTCTAACTTTTTTCGATATTTGGAGCCGTTGGTGCGCTTAATTGCACCTGTCGTCTTCCGCAGGATCAATATAACACCAGGCGGGAAGTCATTTATCTCACGCAGGTCGGTCCCGTTCTTCCGCACGGTACAGGGTCCCACATTCCGGCGGGAATTGTAGAACGACGATCATCCTGCGCTCGGCCATGCCTTCCAAACGAACGAGCGACGACGGTCCCGACTTGGTGGGACGATAGCTGACGACAGACCAGTAATACGGTCATTGGCACCACACTGGTCCCACCTGTTCTCACTTGTAAACGATTCGGGTACGACAAGGGGCGACATCGTCCTGGCGTTTAGATTCGTGCCCACTCATGGTCGCATTATTTTCCTCCGCCGCATCCGCAACAACAATAATGCTTAACTGCATTTTAAATTTTTTTTCTTGCAGCGCGCACAAAGTTATGTGATTGCAGTTTAATTTTGTCATGGAGACAACGTTGAAAAGGCAACTGTAGTCCAAGCGGTGGGGAAGGATGGGAAAGGATGATCTACATAGGCGGTGGTGGGAAATCAGTTTGCCCGCATAATTATCAGGGTCTATCAGGGAGCGTATACCGGATATATACCGAAGACTCTGAAAGAATGAAAGAGTCTAAATCATTCGGGGACAAATCAGGGCCGTGGAGTTGGTGGAGCTCGTGGGAGCTGTTACCTTGGGCCTGCTTACCGGCAAGCCTTTCTGGTTCGAGTTCGAGCTCCGTTGGATCGCGTGCTATTAAGTTTAACAGCTGTGCACAATTGTGTGCCTTTTAGCGCCAACCTCACGTGGTTGACTTTCTCCACGACCCCCCTCGTTCAGGTCCGGAGCCGCGGTCCGAACCGTGAATCCATGTTGAAGCATTGGCCGATTTTCTACACAGGTTCGCCACGTTCACGACATGGCCAAGGCATCGATGCTTTAGGATTTCAATTGATGAAATTTGCAAAACTGTGGAGGACTGGACGTGATACTGGCGCCCAATTCCGATACAACAACGGTCATCTTTACGCAAGGGTGCTGCAAACGTGATTGTGGGTGCGAATGCGTATAGGGCAGTTGTGCCCTCCTCAGGAAGATGAAACACATTTTAGATAGGACTACGGTCTTGACTCTTGGTAAAGTAAGTATTTGCTTTTATGTGACGCGGATCAGCGCTTATAGCATCGCCTATTCAAGTTATGTACGAGCCCTTCGACGACTGGGTGCACGAATGAGGACCTGCCCAACGAACGCATCAATCGCACTCAACGACATTCAAACATTGTCAGTATCACCTCCCTTACTGTGGCCTAGCCCCTCACATGACGTCCCAATACAGTCCTATGAGGAAAGTCCCACTTTTTTCTTCGTTCTGGACCGTGACCATCTCACCTGTTGTTATTATGTATGAAAGCCGACTTCAGCGCAACCAGATCCAGCAATGACGCGCTCTCTACATACGGGTAGGAGGCATACAGCCGTTAGCTTGAAGGCTTGCGCACTGCGAACAGCGGCTTTGACAAGCAGCGGCCTCCTACAACCGCTTGCAGAGAGTCTATTTGTTTCTCGATTGCTTTTCACGCCAGTTTCCACACATTTCTTAATTGAATGGTTTCTGAATTCTCTGAGTCAGGTGGTGCAATCACTTCTAGCAGTTCCACGCAAAAAAAGGCAGCGCAGTGCCCATAACGAAACTGCTTTTCCCACCGGTGACCAGATTCTGGACGCATTCTATGTCACTCGCACAACATGTACCCTCGGTCAAGAAGTTGGTTAAAGTGCATGTTGGTCGTGATTCGAGACTGATTAGCTTAACGTCATTTTCGCTGGTCCGATTCGTGTCTGAATAATGAGACTCGAGAGAACCGCATACGACCATACGGAGCATTCAATTAGTAGGTCCGGTTGCACGTTCGAGATCCCTGGACTGGACCCTGGTTTGGTTGTCAAATCCACCCCACGCCAGCCCACACCCCAGCGAACCTGACCGAACCGAACCGCGGCAGCACTCTCAGAACCTCAGCCTCAGACTATGATCATCCGCCAGTGGCTTCTTTTCCTCCGTAATGTAATCGCTGTTGCTGGGGAACATGTCGTTAACGAATCAGAAAATCGAAGGTCACCGACTGTACTCCTCTACTTCATGCGAGTGAAATCTTCAAGCCGTTGACTCGCAAGCGAAACAATTCTCGCTCCTCCGCTCTGGAACGACCGACGGTTCACTGAAAAGGCAGTAACAGTACAGTAACTTTACTCCGACAAGGTTTTTTGATCAACTGATACGGTTGGACAGGGTTGGACAGCATCGGGTATTGGCACCCGGATCCGCTTTTGGCGTTGCATTGCAACCACCACATCGCGAGAAGGAAAGAGGAGCCAGGCTGCTGTGTTCTGTAACGTTTGAGTTTGTTAGGGAGTGAGCAAAGTTCGGAAAGATTTCTGCTACCTACTCTGGATCTTTCGCCACAAGAACTTAGTGAACACAATAAAACTTTGAGATCCTAGCAAGAATGTTATCGTCTAGAAAGTCGCCATTTCCACGAACCTTTCGAGGCTGAAGATGTTGATCACTCCCGCGGAGAGTCCCACATGCCCAAATGGAGGAATCCTTTCCTTTTTTAGCAGAGCCGGACAACTCAAATCTATGATTAGAGATCACAAGCCGGTAGGACGCAGGAAAACTTCTTGCAAGCGCCTGGCCCTCTTCGTATTCGCACAGATTTGCTCGAACTGTAACATTAACTATATCCGTTGCATCTCTGCGGCCGGATGAATTCTTGCACATGCCTTTCAAGCGACCACTGAGCTCGCATACTAGTGATGATGAATCTATATCTTCTCACGACGGACCTTCTTCCAAACGACACATTTTGCCATGCAATATCAAGGAGGAGAAACTCCTTCTGGTGTACATCTTACAGGCCAAAATCCATCCGGAAACAATGTCTGAGCTCGCTGCGCTAGTCGAGAACTATAAATCTGAGCGTGTTAACAAGAGTCACCAAGAGCCAAGCGTTGTCAGTAAACTCAACATTGAACTCACTAGCCATGCTGAAAAGGCGGATGTCATTGTCACGGGAACCAACATGAGGCGACGCCTGGAAAGGCACATTGATTGGAGCATTGCGGTATGCGGCCACACTGTTTATCAATTGGACAGAGTACTATCTACAATATCATTCACAGAAAACGAAGGCCATTGTAACACCGTTATGGCTTCGCGATTCCGTGACGTCCGATCGGCCCCTTCCGTGTGGTAGTTACGTTGCGATCCATGACATAGAGGACGAAACCTCGCGAAATTATGACATAGTCCAAGACACCTCATCCAGCAGTCCGTTTCGCTTTTCCTCTGGGCCAGAGAAAGAAACCTCGTGGCAGACAGAACCAGATGAACCCATAGATGCTACCGAAGTGAAGTCATTGTCGCACAATGCGAAATACAGTTGCCTGCGATCATCGCCACTTGTCTGCCCCAATCAAACTCTGGTAAACGAAATTGATATCATTCGACGTGGTAGGAACGTTGAAGGAGAGGAAAGAAGTATGCTTAGCTACTCGAGGGCTATTTCTGTCAGCTCAATTTATTTTTATTGCATGGCTAATACCATATTTCTGATCCATCGTGCCCAGGTTATCAAAGGTTCGTAATTGTTCCCCGTTCAATGTATAACGAGCTAGATATAACACGCAGCTTACCCGCATGTCATAACGGAACGCAATTTCCAAGATCTTCGTGAGCTACCGTTTTTGGGAGAGAAGCTCCTCTCAATGGTGCTGTCGCTATCCTCCTCAATGTTCACTTCTCATCATCACACATATATCAGATCGAGGAGTTTCTAAAGACGGACCGAATAACCGATGCGCGTTCGCGTCTTCCTCTCGCTCCATTACTTGGCGCTGATGCAGATGCAGAGAAAATATTGGCCGATCCGCGGTTTCAATCACTCTCTGCTTTCATCACGATACACGGCATCGGACCCCACAGTGCTCGGCGTCTTTACGACCTTGGTCTTCGCACGCTCGAGGAGCTTGAACGATATTATGAAGTTAGACCAGGCGTGTCTGACGAGGAGACTATGTCACTACTTGATACCGAAGTAAGCGCAAACACAGAGGATGCAGTGGAAAAGTCGATTAAGATCGGGCTGGCTCTGCGACATGACTTGAGCCAGACGTGAGCATTTTTTTTGATTTAAGTATGCGCCCTACGGACGGAAGTTTATTGATATATGTGCCTTTATAGCATTCCACGCGATGAAGTGGAAGAAATAAATCGGACCATCATGCGAGAACTCGGCCATGTCCAGAAAGGATGCAAAAGTGTGATTGCTGGAGGGTGTGTTTATCATATTATCTTGAGCCAGAAGCTGCCATTAATATTGTTGCTCTCATGTCATTTTAGTTACCGCCGAGGAAAGCCGCAAAGCAATGATGTTGACATAGTCATTACCCATGCAGACTGGCACATAGGGTCACAGAAAGTAAAGGGTCTATGTAGAAAACTTGTGCAACGACTGTATGAACAAGGTCAGATATATAAAATGTAGATATTAGTACGTCGTACTGATCAATTACAGGCTTCGTCACACATGTCATGCGTATGTCTCAAGCATGATTGGAATGGGGTTGCTGATGTAACAATTGTGTAGATCTTTCAGGATTCCATAAACACAAAGCGCTCCGCACTCATCACTGGGACTCATTGGAGAAGGCCCTAACTGTGTTTGTATGGCCCCACAATTTATCGCGGCGGAGAGTTTATCGACGTGTCGATCTGATTTTTGCTGCACCGGAAGTATTTTGGACTGCTGTTGTAGGGTGGTATGCTATCTACTTCGCAACTTGGCAAGTGATAATAGCGTCAATCTAGGACTGGGTCGACAATGTTCCAGAGAGACCTACGGTTATGGGCGAAGCAGAAAAAGCAAGTATTCGTACCTCTATGTGTCACATGTAGGTCCTAGTTAACACATCTCATCAGGGGAATGAAATTCGACAGCTCTGGAATGTGAGCTTAGTGGCCCAAAACAATGGACTTTGCGTCTGGACTGATTTTCATTGCTTTATAGATCACGACGCCACGATTCAAAATTGTACCATCCCAGCACGGAACGTGATGTATTCAAAGCGCTTGGATTGGTTTATGTTCACCCAACATTGAGGAATGCTGACGCATAAACTGACTAGCCGCGTCTTCAAATTTCCCTATTTTATATTCTACAATGCTTCGTGCGTTGGGGTTATGTTCCGACGCCGTTCTCTGCATGCTTTGTGGTTGCTTCCGCAGTCATACAATATACGCAAATTCCGCGTGAATGATATTCCCAATAACAGTCTCCGATTTTGAGCTTGGCATGATCAACGCGCTAAATTTCTAGTACCGGTGTCATATCATATACTATCTTGTAACACCTAACCAATCGTCCTACAGGTCTATGATAGGCGCTTGTACGCATTCACCAGTTTGATGCATTCTTCAAGTCGTCACCCCAGATTCGCTACACAGGAGTCGGGGAGGCCCGTAGGTTCTCCCAGTTCTCTCATCCTTTCAATATCATAAGGTCTCCGGATCGGTGAGTTGCATCTTCTTTGACAAGCTTCTATGTCTTTGCTTCACGACCGGCGTATTTCGCTTAGCGCTTCTCATGCTATCTGTGCAGTTACTGCCATGCTTCATACCACAGATTCGTAGATCTGAGTCAACTCGATATTCTAGCCGGACGAAATGGAAGACCTTGAATCCCTTACAGGATCAGCTCTCGTCATCATGCTATGGGGTGTCGTGGGCGCCGATCTGGGGTCGTCAGACTTGGTTGCTCTGGACTCTTCTCACTTGGCTGATATCGGGCCAAGATATCGATACCATGTTTTGGCCGCTCACATCAACTCGATCTGCGAGACGTGCAAGCGAGCACTTTTATTGGTCTGTGATTATCCCAAATGGGTGCGCTCAAAATGGGTTACCAGAAGGTTACAGAAGGTTACCAGCTACTGTGGGTAATGCGCTAATTGTTGAATTGTTTGATGGGGGTTCAGATGGAAGTTTTCAGTTGTTTTCACGTCTGTTCTCACAAAAGTTGTCAGTTTTTTTTCCGGTGTCATTTGTGAAAACGAGGTGTTGGCTGAGTTTGGAATACATCCTCCTTAAGGCCTCAAGGCCTTAAGTCGCGTGGGGAGTGTCTATGTTTGTTAGCCTGGCGACATCTTGTATTACACCGAAGGAATCATCTCCGGTGGCGGAAGCTGTTCTTCGAGCCAAGCTGGCTGCTCACAGTACCCTCAAAGGCTGAAAACCGAACCGAAAATTGCCGACCGCTACAAAGCCCGATGCGTCAAGTGCCGAAAAACCTCTTTTTTTTTTTGTCCTTGAAAACTTGTTGAAAACAGCTGAAAACTTCCATCGAACTGGTTGAGTTTGAGTGTTTGAAGCGAATTTGATCATATGTCCTTGCAACCGATCGCTACCTGTAACCTGGACTCGTGAAGTTGTTCTAATATATTCGACGTCGATATTCGGCGGTCACAACCATATATATATAATGTAGAATGGGTCATTTCCAGAGGCTTGGGCAGCTCCACCAATCGCAATGCACCCGCAAGTCGCAAGGTTTAAATGCGAGTTGAATTCGCCAAAAGGTTTTTGCAGTTTTTGACCTGGTGACTTGTACGTATATATGGTGTTGGTCTCGAGACCAGAGGTTCGTATCCATTATTATAATGTCACCGACGGAAAGTTGTATACTCTGTAGGATTTCTGGAGTGAAGGAACACCAGGTGGTCGCTAGTGCGAACTCATATCTAAACCAGTAGTTATGGATAGCTCCTTTGCGCCAAAGAATGATCGACGTGATTATGACCAAATCTGGGAGATTGGAGCTCTTTGGTCCCAAGAACGTACTTGGTCTGTGTCCAAGGACTGCGAGGAACTCTATTGTGTTCTTGAAAAGTCTCATTGGTTATTGAAAACTAATCTCTCCGCATCCATATCGCCCTTTCAGAACACGAGGTTCCGGTTTTCATGCGAAGACGTACTGTTTTAGAAATTTGTGGGGGATCGGTCACGACAGGCTTGGGGAGGGGGGAATGAAGACATGTGCTGTTGTCAAAACCAATGATAGGATGGGGGTATGTCAGGATGTAGCTTAACCTTATTTTTTGAACAGGCGGATCGATAAGGCGACGAGGCGGGTTTTACTTCCAAAAGCAGTGATCGAGGCGCATCGATAAGAGTTCTGCCAGTACTTCCTGTGTAACAGCCTGAGCGGCTGCAGTCTTGAAGATATCAAATAAGGTACGCGCTTCCATGGAAGACTCGGGTGCGACGTATTCCTGCAGGGACCTGTAAGTGGAGTTCCGAGGGGGGTTAGAGAAGATTCCCGTCCTTTTGGGATCTCACAGGGATAAGTCTACTGCGCAGAGAAGAAGAGAGACAGGCTAGACGCCTTTGACCCTCGGAGCCGCCCTGATCTCGGTAACTATCCGGTTACCCCTGTTTGTCTCTGTTTACATAATACACAAAATTACAAAATTTTGTTTGAGTAGGTAGTGACTCTACCATGCTCATGGCACGTGGGATCCCCCTTGACCATGAAAACGGTTCTCGTAATTTAATAAAAAGGATACTTCCCAAGCCTTTGATCGGGAGCGTCGTGGAGGAAACGAGCCTTCTCTCAACTTTCGTTTCTCTCGAAAGACCTTTTTAGACCCGACAGTCGGACGGAGGCAATGTCAGTAGTTGACCCCCCCCGTCTTCATCCGCGAACCGAGACTTACCGGCCTCAGGATTGTCCTGTCCTGGGTCAAAGAACGGCGGCGATAATCGCGTGTGCAGAAACGGACTTAGCTACTAGATCTATGTCCAGAATTGAACATCAACGCAAGTACATGTGAGAGCCGAACATTTTCAAATCAGATGAGTACTTGATTGGAGTTGATTGGTCGGGTAATTGAAATGTCCTACGGTCGTACTTGCCTATGGGCGCGATATAAATCCGGGTGATACAAAAAGTTGGCCCAGTTTCCGTTGCACTGTCGCCTCCATAACACCACATTATTTCGTTCACCAGCCCCCGTCTCATGCCCCGCCATTCAAATTCTTCGCACATGTCTCAAATAACTGATAGCGACGTATCTTTGATCACCCCCATCTCCCCTTCAAATTCACCTTGGGACCAGTGTCCCCCATCATACCCTGGAAATGCAATGAACACCATTGGTTGGAGTTACTACCCTTTGCCACCCTCCCCGCCCATCTCTGTCGGCTCAAACGCCACTGACTCTCCTGGACCTGCGTCCAAGATGCTTAGTACCCTTACAACTCCTGACTCTGCCCGAGAGAAGGAGCAACAATTGTGTTTGCCGACACATCAAGTATTTGACTTCCCTGAGATGCCGATTGTATCGTCACCTTCACCATCCGTTTCTCCACCGCCCTCAAAGTCCTCTCAACCGTCCATTTCGATTGACACTCACATGCACACCGAAGGGCTATCTTCCCTCCCTATCGCAGGCCCTTCGAAGAGACCACGAACCGGCGGAGAGCGTATCACTACCAAAGACTTTGTGCCACCTGATGTATCGGGCCTGAGCAAACGCGAAGCACGTCTGGTTAAGAACCGCGCCGCTGCTTTTCTCAGTCGCCAGCGGAAGCGGGAAGAATTCGAGGCTATGGAGATGTAAGTTCCCAATCAATTCTTAGGTGCGTGACAGGACACTAAATAATACCCGCTTCGCCGATATAGTCGCGTCAAGGATTTGGAAGAAGATAATGCCCGCCTTCAAACTGCTGCCAAAAGAGGACACGCCTATGATGAGTTGCTCTCGGAAATAGAACAATTGCGCACTCGCCTTTCTGCATCCGAAAAAAGGGGGCGCGAGCTCAAGGCCGAACTTTCAAGAAGGTCGATGAGTGACATCCATGTGAAGACAGAGAGTTACGAACATTCTTTGACTCCGGTCTCACCGTCTGCCTCGCTTCCGACACACTCCCACCCGAGGTCTGGAGCAAGTCTCGGCCTGATGGTAGGCAAGCTAGTTTTTGAAAATCAGAATTTTTAAACCAATGACCCAATAGCAGGTCCTCCTGTGCACGCTACCGTCGCTTCTTTCCATGTCTCCTAGATCGCTTCCCACCACATACTTCATTCCCTTGTCGGATCCCTCGGTTCTACACCCCTCTTGCAACTTCGACTACAGCTCCATCATGCCAAGCGATTTTGAGTGGGCACCACATCCTGAGGGGGGAGCAGTGATGAACCTTGGTTTTGGCGATCTCGGAAAGCTTTCTTCGAGCGCTGGTTCTTCGTCCCCTCGCAAAGTCGAGATCCATTCCGAGGCCATTAGGGCTCTTGGGGGATTCGAAATTTCCTTTGATGCCAGTCCAGTCAACGACGGAAAAATCCAGGTTCGGATCCACCCTTCCCAATCACATCACGTCAACCGGGATCCCCAACGTGCGCCCCCATCTTCAGTCCCCATGTGGTTCGAATCAGCACCGAATAACTACGGCCCTGCCTTCTCAGCTGCTCTGACATTTGCCGCCTCGTCGGCACCGGGATCCTCTTTCGTGCCGTTGACCAGCGATTTTGACTTGGATCCCTTTCTGAGCGGAGTCCATGACTCAGGAATGCCGTATGGCAGTGGTGGACCGGCGTTCGGCCATCATCCGTCGGACGCCACATTTGAGCACATGCCAGGGTTTATGAATGGCCCTCGCAGCGACTTCTCCAAACACCGTGGGCGAGTTGCCATGAGGCACCTACCATCTGTCGGGATGGAAGGAGAGTGGGAGGTCCCAGCCTGCTAAACCCTACTACAGTTCGTCGACCGCGTTACGCGATGACCCTTTCTTAGGTACTTTCATTTACTTGCATTCACCGGCAGCATGCTTTGATTGAAGTTACATGGATAAACCGCATTGGAATTTATATCACTAGTATCTCTACTTTACTCGCTTGGGCTGGCCTTGAAGCAATTGCTCACATTATTCGTTTAAAAACATGTTGAATGTATAGTTTTGCCTAGGCTTAGCAAGTATGGAATTAAGTCACACTCGGGGGCGTGCTAAGGTTACCTCGCCTCAGCTTCCTTCCTTTTGCAGACATTTCGCAAATCATTCATCCCCACCACCAAAATAAAATGCATACACGCGTGAAGATCGTCCCGACTCCACTGCCACCACGTCACAGTGAGGGTGGTATATTTCTCGGGAGTTTGGCGTCCACTGGCAAGCAGTATGAACACTAACAGCATTTTTCTCATTGTCCATAACCCCTTCCCGGCAACCGCACCGATTCTCTCATCATCCAACTCAAGACTAACTCTGACAACTGTTGGGGTATCGGTGAATTCGAGTATTTTCATTACCGACCTGCCCGCCACGGCCCATAAAGTTACTAACATGGATTTGGCTTCAAGGAGAGTGTCGACTAGCTAGTTGTCGACTCATTGACAGCAGGGTGAGTTTATTTTAGTAATTTTACTCACGTTTAAGGTTTTACGTAACAGTATGATAACCTTCTCCTTTCCCAATGGCTATGACTGGGTAGCGCGCACATTGCTGCTTTCTGAACTTGGAGTATCAGCTTCTCCGCTCTTCCTATTCTTTCCTTTATCTTTCTCCGTACACGACCCGTCGTCTGGGTATAGATTGTTCTGCTCTATATAATCGATAACAGTCGCTGGCAGGAGATACTGTACTGAAAGACCCCGACGAAAGAACAGCCGGACTTTCGTGGAGGAAACATCGTTCTGGACCAGCTGAGCGATAGGGTAGATGTTGTTCCGCCATCGCGCCAGGCTGTCGATTGCTTGATCCATGGAGGACCCTGTGCGCTCAATGACAAACGCGCCATGATGTCCAAGTATATCATCGAGCTAGGAATCAGTGCATTAGCCTGCAAATGCGGTTTTTGAGACCCAAGTAGATGCATACATCTTCATGAGACCAAACGCCCGGCTCAGACATGGTGCTAAGCAAGTCTGAGCCAGCAAGGAGCATGATTCGAACATCACGATGTTCACCATCTCGAGTGAACACCCCACCAAGAACCGTGTTGATCTCGTAATTTATGTGGTCGAGCACAACCGCTGTGCGTTGATAATTCAGCAATGCCTCCCAGGGATCGACCATGAGCCATGATGACTCCTGCTCTGCAGCGAGCGTGCACATTTTCACACTGTTTTACGAAGAATAAATCAGTATCGCATTAGAATATGGATGTGCAATCCAAGGCTTCAAGTTTCAAGTTGGGGGATAAGACTTTAGCCTTTCTTCCCGAGATCTTGGAATGCCGGAAACACATGTCATATGTATCAGTGCTTCTTCGTAGAAGCGTGCCTTCTTTAGGGACGCTGTGAGACCTCGTGAGACCTCGTGAGACTCAGTTGTGGTCCACAAAAATAAAGCACGACAACCTGGCGCGGACCGACGACTTGAACTAGAAAGTCACTCCTGAAAAAAAACACAGTCCTTCAAAGTAGGATAGACCACAACTACGGCGATGCGACCATTAGGGAAGAAACAATGGAGCCGCGCTTACCGATGATGTGCGCTAACTAGACCCGGTTTCTTGTACTCGTCGCTAACTGGGCTGAAATATCCACCGACAATCTCAAAATCGGTATTCTGCCGGATGAAGTCATTCGCAATCTCAAACATTCGAAGGTGGTGGTATGTAATAGGATTAAAAGAGCCGCATGCTACCAAGACGATCGGTTGCTTGGTGGAGGCATGTAGAGTGCGATGGAGGCGATGAGAGGTAAAATTATAATTTGTAGGATTCGTAAAGGCGGTTGTTGTCTTGTGCGCAAATGTTTGGGCGGCCATAGTGGTGGAGGGAGCAATTAAAAATGATTTGCTTTTGCTCCGGCTGGCTTACATGTACCGTTCCCCCCTTTCTGGAATTACCCCTCTTGCAATCCCAGTGGAAAAAAAATCTCTAGATTAATAGTGAACACATGGAACTTCTTATATCCCATTCCCTGAGTCATTTATGTTATAGGACATGGCATATGCTCACAGAGATTCAGAAGACCAGCAGGCAGGGGACGGGTACCTTGTAAGTCTCGACATTTGATCACGTGATCGGTGACGCGTGTGAAAAAATATTGGTTCACCCCGCAAACTCGGTCTTACATCACCTCAAGTGCACCCAGAGTGCAAACTGCACCCCGACCGCCCGCGGACCTAACGTTTACCTTCTAACGCATGCAGTACGCATGCAGTCAGGATCAACTTCCAAGTTGACTCATGCCGCGACAGGTCGCGGCCCTGGACGATAACCGTGACAACAGTGCAGTATTACCGGTCGTTGTTCTGCCTCTTGCACTCTACCGCAGGCCACCCTGAGCTGTCAAGCTTTCTTACATATGCTTCAAGCCTGCGGCTCTGTCTCACACCCCTTTCCTTAACTTGCCAAGTTACAGTGGTTGTCCTCCGAGCATAGGACCCTGCGCTCCGGAGAAACCAAGTCATTACCGTGACTAGCATAGGTTGATTGTTTTGTATTCTGTAGAACTTCAAGCTAGGGTCCGGGAAATAAAAATTCCACCGAGTACGCTGTTAAGTCGGCACCGCCGAACCCTAGTACATCTTCAACTGCTCGACGCAACTTGTCGTGTGACTGTCAGTCTTTCAGTTTATGAACGCTAACAATGCGATTTCCGTGGGGAGTGGTGGCCATGGATCGCGGTGGCTTTTAGCTACAGGCTAGGTAATTGTAACATCCCAACCTCCCTTCGTAATTAATTCTACGAGCTCGACCTTCCGAGGTTCTTTTTGTACTGGTTTGGTATCCTAGACACTCATTGATCCGGACCGTAGCTCAGTCCCAAGCCTAACTGGCAAAAATTACAGCATAATCATAACATTGCTCAATGGCACCATCAATATCCGGAGTTTGTCTAGGGTAACTCGAGTGTGCCTCAAGCCTAGGGTGAAACGTCGACGAGAACTATGGCAGAATCTCAGACTGCCATCGGAAATATGATGCGACTACTTCCTCGTCCACACCATCTTGCCCTTCACCCACGTGCTTAGTATATTACCCTGGTGATCAAGTACCACCAGGTCCGCATCTGCACCCGCACGCAAAGTACCCTTCTTGTTTTCAATGTTCAGGCACCTAGAAAAATGTATCGAGGCAAGGCCCGCAGCATCAATTTTCATGCGTACCTTGCAGGGTTGTAGGTTGCACATCTGATAGCTTGACCAATGGAACAGCCCGTATAGCACACGAAGTTCCGTACACATTTGTCGAGAGTAACCACGCTGACGTTCGGCCATTAGTGTAAAAAACTGGCAAGTAGTGTAAACAAACCTTCCGGCAAGGGTGGTGGTGCCTTCTACGTAAAGTGCATCACCCTCCTTGTAAAATCGGCGACCATCGCGCCAATCGTGAACGCCATCCTTGAGGTGTGGGTCGAGAATCTTCATGGCTGTGGGAACGTCAGTAAAGCAACACCGTAAAAAAAAAGGACGCATACCATCGGTAATCAAGATGCACCCGTCTGGATGAGCACTGTACGCCAGCTGCCAAATATATCAAATACAATCCAGATGCACAACAACAATCAAAACGTACTCTCACGGAGTTGGGATGAGAATGAATCCCATCCACGATAATCTCATAGAATGGTCGATCGAATGGTATAGTCGTCACATCTTGCTTTGGCTCACTTTCACTTGATTGCCTACTCTCCAGGGGAATGGCGGCGATAGCGGCAGACCCGGAGCTCGCAATGAACTTGCCTGTGGGAAGCCGAGACTTCTTGTGAGCTTGTTCCGCAAGGAGCATGGGTGTCTGAGGGGGTGTCTTAATCTCATCAAATGCTTCTGATATGTGATCAATTGGAGGCTCCTTAGCGATTGGAAGCGACGGCATCGAGGCATTGAGGGCATTGATAATAGCGGAAGGGAATGGCAAAAAAGTTGAAGAAGACGAAGGAGATAGATAAGGAGAAGCACCGAGCAAACCAATGATAGATGGATCGCGATGGTGAAGTTGCGGCATTGCGTTGAAGAGATGTGTGATGCATCTCGCACCATTCCGCACTGCTGCAGTTGCAATATCCGTCGTAGCCATGCTATTCTCGTTAGGAGTAGCTTAGCACCATCATTTTCAACGAGAGCATACCTGTGTCCGATATTGAAACAGATTCCACGCTTACTGGCTTCGTTAATAGCCTCCATAACGCCCTCGACCTCGGGTGCAGCTGTTATCATGCGCACACCCACAGTGTTGTGGTCGTCGCCTGACATGAGCCAGTCCTCCGCTTCGACCAGGTTCTCTGGACTATAAATAGACTCAAAGGTTTTGAAGCCTTCTGAGGCAGGGATGATTAACGCGGGCGGATGGGCACCTCGCTTGGACATCTGAAGGAACGGCCCCTCGGCATGCCACCCGAGGAGGTGCGCTGCGTGTGGAGGTGACCACGGACGAAGCAGGTTAAGAAGCTTGGGGTAAAACGACTTTTCTTGAGTCTGTTATAGTGCGCATATGTTATGCGAATGAGAAACGCAAGGACCGGAAGCTTACGATAATCGTGGGGACCAAGCTGAGAATCGACAAAGAAATAAGGTGCTACGAAAGAGTGGGTGGTAGATGTATTGACAACGCACGCAGTCACACCCGTCTCAACAATTCTCTCTGCGACCAACTTCAAGCCATCTCGATAAGTTTGGTCGTCGCCTTCGTAAACAGAGAAGTCGAAACCAAAGCCTCCATTGATCTGAATGTCAATGAAGCCTGGACTGTTCAAAATAATTTAGTTGTTACTTAGCAGGAGAAAATACGTAACAAGAGCCGTCGGTTAAACAAGTTCCAAGGCCACTGTGGCTTTCGAGTCCAGAACACCCACCTCAAGATATTTCCTTTAAGATCAATGATCGTATTTGGACGCTCCTTGCGTAGGAAAAAGGTTCGCTGGATAGTACAACATATCATTGAAGCTGATCCAGACAAACTTTAGACTATAGCCTGACCCACCTGCGCATCCAGTATAACACCGCGCCGCTCGTCAATCCACAAGTCCTTTTCAATTAAACCACCGTCTTCCTGTGGTAGGAAGCAATTTGTGAAGCAGATAAGGTCATTCGATGTTGTCGCTGCCATATCAGATGGTTGTAGTTGTGCAAGAGGCTGGGACAGAAGTACAGACAACTGGTACTGCCAGAAGTACTAGTACTAGTACTGACAACTACATTACTGGACGGGCCAGATCGCCGATGACGGTCCATAACATGTGGACTGCTCTCTCTAGCGCCCATGTAAGAGCACGTTTCAACTCGTAAGTTCCACTTTAGTTTCTGAGCGTGGCAACCTCAACCTCGAGAGATTATTCTGATAGGTCACTATCTTTACAATCAATGGAAACTCGGAATCACTGGCAGCGCCCAGGCCTAGTTAATGTCACGTTCGATGACCTCTTGCTTAGCCGGCACAAGACCGTCGTTGAATCTATGCCCCGCAGAGATACCGGCGTACCGACGAATATGTTCAAGTCCTCTACATGATATCCTTTTGCGACTTGACACTGCGCGACTCAAGGTATCGTTGAAGTCCCAGTTCCCTCGGAAATCGCTCTCGTGGGACATCGATCACCGGATTGATAACGGTCCGGCAGGATGGTTCCTTGTTCCAAATTCTACCTGATACCACCGTGTAAGTTTGGGTGCTACTTATGACTTTGCATGTTCCTGATGGTGGCGGCCTGCGCCACCCGAGAATGGAGGCCCCGGACGACGTCACAGCGCTGGGTCTGCCAGTGGAACTCGTCGCATTCGTCGTGAAGCTGTGCGTTCCAATGAACGCCACTGACGAGCATCCGAGTCGGCTCCGAATCTGGATATGGGCTGTGATTCTGCAGTGCTGTACTGCAAATGGCCGAATGGAACACTGATCATTATCTTCTGAGCGCATTCTTACTTGTATTGAATAGGTGACTCGATCAATTTCTCCTCTTTCCTTGCTTACCAGCTGCCTTGATGACCAGGAAACTGTGACTTCCTAAGTCCTGCCCAACTATAGAGACGCGACACCTGATCCATTTTTATCAAGAGGTTCCACGATAAACTTACCAGTATGATGACACCGTTTGGCAACACAAAATTTTCTTCAGCGACGGCTATGGAAACCCTCCCAAACGAACTACTCTTGAAGATCATCTCCGAAGTCGTTCTCTCCTCCACAAGGTCTGGCCGTAAACTAGAGCAATCTCCGCATATTGCTGGCACCACCAAATCAGGTTGGAAGGGACTTGGAAGAGCAGAAGAAATATCAAGCGGCATCCACGCTGTGGCTCTGACCTCCCGTCACCTCCATGACCTTGCGAACACTGTGCTGTATCGCACTGTAGTTCTCAATAGAGAGAAGGATGTCTTGTTGTTTCGAAGAACTGTCAATGGCGCTCAAGAAGCGAGTAGGTCTGGAAGAACGGGAGAGGTGGCCATCACTTCGGCCTTCCTGCAAAATGCTGTGAAGCGCCTTGCGATCACGCATGCACCCTTGAACACTGATTTCGCAGTGTTCACGCTGCGAAAGCTAGGCACGAAAGTGTCCAGCAGTGACATTGCCACCATCATTGCTGCATGCTCTGGAGCACACATGATAGCCATACCTTCTCGGTTGGCACCCGCTCTGCGCGACATTAGGAAAACTGCAGAGGGTTCAGAAGGAGGGGAGGCGCTTGAAATCCCCAACTTGACTGAGCTCTTCCTCGGTTCTTATGTCGACCTCGTCAAAACATGCTGCACAATCCCTCCAATTGCTCAATGGCGGCCCTCGGCACCTTCCACACCCATTCACTCCCTCCCGACGACCCCGAGCACCACACGTCCTTCGACCCCAGATCCCATTATGCGACACGACTCCACTAGTGCTTTGAATGATCCATCACCGGCTACAAACTTCCACCACGTTACCCACCTTTGCATCGCGGAACCAGCTTCTGCATGGTATTCGCCGCTCGCACTTCTAGAAGTTTTCCCCTCATTAACACACATCGCACTCCCCCGTCGCGCACACGCAAACACAGAGAACGACACACACTTCATTGAGGACGTAATTGCGATTTTGGAGGAACCAAGGATGCGGGTGGTCGTCGTGACCATTTTCCCGCAGATCCAAGACGGACCAGATAAGGAACAAGCTGTCAACAGTGATGTAGGCGGACCGTTAGACATCAAGGACAGTACCATCTGGCTTGCTGCAGAAGAGCTTAGAAAGGGGGACGCGCGTCTGTTTGTCATAAATGGACATTCGGGTAGTTGGACAAAAGACTGGCAGGGTCCGACGGTGGTGGCCAACCCTGAAGGCCCTGGAAATTGGTGGAGAAAAGTTACGAGCGCATAGATGCGGTCAGTGCCAGTTTGCGAGATTTGGTATAGAATTTGCACCCGGCGCAGACATAGAGTAAAGCATGTAATGCATATATAGACAGGTCCAGGAACTTCGACGATTCCACGCTACTTACTAGAGAGAACCTAGTAGCATGCCACAAGATCCCTGGGCTCGGCACTCGCGGGACCAATACGTAGCGCGTGCGTCTGGGTTAAAATGTGATGTCGTGACTTGCCAAGCCAGACACAAGGAATCCGCCCATGATGCATGTGCATGAGGTGATGAGGAGCAGAACCACCGGCTAAGCCATCCCGGGTAGCAGATAACTTTTGAACTCACCTTGGACTCATGGACTGTCATCAACATTGCATTGTGAGCGTCGGCAGGAGATGAGGGTGTCGAAAGAGAGAAAACTAAAGTTAGCACGGCGTCGGCGCGTATGTCCACCTGAACACGTGACAACTTGTCAAAAGCTGCCAGTGGTACGTGACCAGTGTGAGAAAATCCCTTCAAGTTGTCACTGCCAGTGTCAGTGTCCTCCTTACACCTGTGCCCTTTCAATCTTCTCAGAGTGTACTGCCAGTGGCAGCCGGGTGCACCGGAAGGCGGACTCCATAAGCGGTGCTGGACTGTTGGTGAGCACTGCTTGTCAGTATGATCTGAATCAGCATATTTATGATATAGACACCATACAATGCATGCATCGTGGGGTATAGCATCGTCTGCGGTCACATACTTTTATAGTTGCAGCTTGGTTTCTAAGAAATCGATGCCATCGCGGCATCGGGGGTCATTTTTATAGATGTGGTTCCACCATATCCAAGAACCACGGCCTGGGCATCAGCGGCATGTAAAAATATGCCCACATTGCGGCATTCAATATTGCCTGCCAAGAGCAAAACGTTAAGATCAATGGCATGCTGGCCACAAACGTCAGTTCCAGACCTTTCAGAATACGTATTGAGGGTGTTTCCCTCCCCCTCTGGCTGCGCAAATGACAAACAATCAGTGTTAGCGAACGCCGGTAAATAACAAGACGCCTAACATTCTGAGAAGACAGCTTATTTATTCTCGATTACATGCAAGAATAGCGGAACCGCCCATAAATGAATACCGCTGTGAGCGGGAACGATGGCGACTCATTCACTGGCGCCTCGGAGTCGGATCAAATGCGACCATACATGGGATAGCTGACTCCAAGGTCGCCCTTGGCATTTTGACGTTTTTAACAGCATGTTGGATGCCATTCCTGCGGCTGTCCTCGACCCCACATAATTTGAGTCCTCACGACTGCACTGAGTGCTATTATGTCCTCACAACGAACACGTACGACTGAAGGTAAGTTTCTCATCAGCTTCAACCGAATTGAGGTATTCAACACGTTTCTGTGGACGAACAGAAGCAGTGCGAGCGAGCAGCATTCGTCCCCTCGTAGAAACATCCGGTGTACTCAAGCGACTGGGGCTTAGCGGACGCTCAGAGGAAGACGAGCGCGAGATTGATGTCCCTCCTCCCAGAAAACGTATGTCACAATGCCTCGAATAGAAGTGTTCTGCTAACTTTCCGTGCAGGCACGCAGAGGGAGCAAGATAAGGAAGACGAGAAGGCTCGCAAGCGTGCAATGAATAACCTCGTGAACTCGTGGCAGGAGCGACTGCAGCTCATCAGTGTAATTGTGAGGTCGTGGCTAACTTTGTGAATGTCATTCATCTGATAAACAAACTTCGTTGGCATTGCAGACGACATTCTTTGCATCCATAGAAGCAGGGATGTTGGTGCCGGTGAATACTGATCCGAACGCAGCGTATGCCTCGCCAGGTCTCCTTAAAACTGCGAATGCAGGATTTTTGGGTGCATTGATCATGCACGTTTACGCGGGTAAGTCGGATGGGTGTTATCGCCTGGGCACGGTCAATGACTCATTCGTGTACAACACGTGTATTGCGCAGCTGTCCTATCATTCCTGGCAGCCTTCCTTTTGATCCGATATAAACTGAAAGAAGCCTCAAACGAAGAACTATTCGCAGAAGGCAGAGCTAAGGGATTTAACATTGTGGCGTCTCCGGTGAATGGTTCATTCCAAGTCAAAGACATCGAGAAAGATGCGCAAGACAACGACTCCCAGATACCTGACTTGGAGAACAACAAAGACACCAAATACGACCCCCCAGCACTGCAGCGGGTGGGATCAACACCTGCAGAGCCTCCTATATTTGCCAGGGATCCACATCTGGAGCAGGTCGGCTTTTGGAGTCCTACAATTTCATCGCATCTACTGAGTCGCGTGCACACATTGTGCATTCTCCTCGCTGTGGTTGGGTTTATGCTTGCGATCATGGGTGTCATGACATACGCGTGGGCGCTGCAATCAAAGGAGGTCAGCATTTTTGTGACTGTGTGTTTCGGGGCCGCTGTCTTTGGGATGGGGTTGCTTTTCCTCCCTGATCCCTAGGAGTTGAGGACAACTCACCACTACCCATTTCATTCTTGAATTCTGCTTCCCTCATAAGCTTACTATACCTCTCCGTACGTGTCATATCCATAATCCTCGTACATAATGATTCTTCTTACATACATGCTATCAAGTTATCTCGCAATAATTAGGTTTTTCTCAGAAACATTGTCTGCAACTGATATCATTTACGAATCGTTCATAACTTCACCTTGAACGCTATTTATGTATGGATTCGGCACTTGCATGATTCCGCATGCGCAGCTCGGCCGACAACACACCCGCAACGGATCATGAGCCCGATCTAGTAAGGGCACTTTTTGTCTCAAAGATATTTCTGTCTCAACCCCGAAAGATTTTTATGTACTACCATACTGACGAGTCGTCAAAGTGTTCAAGTCCGAGTCTGGATCCGTACTGGTAGACGCTCAACGAGTCACGATATACGGCCAGACACTGTTCTGCCGTCCAAATCTTATATCACGTTTGTTTTCGCTCCAAGGTTCTTGCAGATCACTGATTGCGTTTTGCCTCGTGCATCCCCATTAGCTCACCTTTGTAAATACCGTCCCAGGAGGCCCATCAGGAAGTGCGGCACTTAGCCAACTGATAAAATGGTTCAGAATCGCACCCAGCACGAGAAGAACACTCTCTGCATCAGGTTAACTGAGTCCGTCGTCTTCCTTCGCACCTCCGATCCGACTGGCCGAGACCACGTCCAAAACAATGCAGCGCCTGCGATGGTTCGCGGATTGCTCACTCTGAACATTGTGAAGCCCACTCGCATCTCAAGCATTGAGATTGAACTGCAGGGGAAAGCTACTACTTCGTCGTATGAAGGTACGTGTACTTCGATTTCATAGAATCATAAAACGGATCATTGATGTGTGCACATAGGGGTTGGTGCGCGTCGCATAGAGGTGACAGAACAGCACAAGGTGTTTTCTGCATCTACTGTCTTCTTTCAAGCAGCCTCGTCGCCGCCCGCCCGACGTACTGCCTCGGTTGGCCCTGGTCTTCCAGGCCGTGACCACGACCATGCTGAAGTCCGGCCCACCGGAGAGTACAGTTCTGTTCCAGCTCCACAACACGTGCCTCATTCCAATAGCCTTCCAAGTCCAGCATTCCATACCAGGAGCGCTAGCCTGGATCCGCGTCAAATTTCTTCTTCAATAAGTGGGCATTGTTTTAGTGATAACACTGTCCTGCAACGCGACAGCCATGGACCTCACCCCCAAGAAACTGTCCACCTTCCTCCTACTCCCCCTTATAGCCCACCCCTGAACTCCTCCTCGTCTATTGTAGACCATCGTCCCTCGCCCACAGACTCGCACTCGGACTTGATTTCTCAATATTCTGGTCACCCCAGACCAGAAGATAGCCCAGCCCAGACGCTCGAAGAGCTTCGACAAGCGCTCAGGAATAACTTGGAGGCAGGCCAACCGAGTATGTCATTTTCTGGCTGCTTTTTATTTCTCACGATCTATACACCTAACTGGTCTAGGCCATCATGGATCATTTCATACGCCCACTGGTGGCTCTTCTGCGTCCAGCATACACTCGTACCGCGATATTTCCCTCTCCCGTCGACCAAGTATTGAAGACATCTCTGAAAACGATGAGTTGTCTGGACAGACATCCCGGTTTATTTCCCACACACATACATCTCCTGTAGAGTTGCAGAGCCCGAGCAATGTTGCAGCACCGCACGACGATATCCATCGTGGGCGAAAGCATGCCCGGTTTTCGCTTTCTGCTGTTGCCAACGTGTTCGACACGATGGTGGAGCGTGTGAGGTCGCGTTCCCCACGTGCTGAGTCCCAGATGAGAAGCAAGAGTGGAAATCGTGATGACGAACGAGGGAGGACGCTGGACAGGGGAAAGGGGAAGTTGCTGGAACTGCCGTCACATGAAAATGAGAAACACAAGCATCATTTCGCTTTGGGAAAAGTGGGAGAACTCTTAGGGTTGGAGGAAGAACATAAAGAAGTGGGGGAGGGTTGGAAAGAATTTAAGAAAGGTGGGTTTTGATATGTCGCCTCGTACGGCTGTGCGCTTATTCTCGCTCCTCAGGAACATATACCTATCCCATCTCACTTACCATACCTAATAACTCACCTCCCACCATCGAATGCGATCACGGATCCATGATTTGGAGGTTGAAGGCTGAAGTTCACCGACCCGGGGCGTTTACACCAAAGCTGACTGCACAACGCGAGGTCCTTGTGGTTGCAGCACCTTGTGAAGAGGATACCGAGGACTCGGAAAACATCATCATAGAACGTCAGTGGGAGTCGCAGCTGCAGTATCTGATAGCAATATCGGGACGCAGATTTCCCACTGGCGGCACCATACCTATTGATCTCACGATCATGCCTTTCACGAAAGCCAAGGTGCATCGAATATCTGTCCACATCGATGGTGAGTAACTGTACTTGCGCTTTATTTTGTGGAACCTAAAGTATAAATGTGCAGAGCGAATTGATTACCACACAGAAACGAAGCGGACCGCGCGCTCGCAGCCTCCACACCGAATACCTTTGCTTTCACTCGGACAAGAGGTTGACGGCGAGAGCCAGCCGTTACTCCCTCTCATCTCCGACGACCCGGAGGCATTCCGAAAGTCACCCCTGCACCAACTCCTGAACGCTAATGACAACGAGAACGAGATGGCCATGGCTATCATGGGTCCAGGGCCATGGACATTCCACCACGAACTGCAGCTTCCCGCACACTGCTCTCTCATTCATTTCTCCAACCGGAACAAAAAGAGTAACATTACCATCAATCACATGCTCAAGATTGTCCTTCGCGTCGAGCGTGGCGACGAGGTGACCGACCCGAAGACAAATAAGCCGAAGCTATTTGACATCCTCATACAAACGCCTGTGCGCATCTTATCCGTAAGTTCTTTGCATATATTCCATTCCAACGCACCTTTTTGAACAAATCGTGTTTCCAGTGCCACTGTACACCAGCGTGGACATCTCTACCCAGGTACTATGAGGTGCTAGAACGTGACTTTGACAGCAGACGCGTATCCTGTCCATGCGGCCCCGAATCTGCCCACAGCGCGCACAGCGGTCCGAACAACAGCGAAATGCACACGCCTATCTCGTTAAATCGCGTAGTCTCGATCGACTCCGCCGTGTCGTCTGCAGAGAACCACTCGCCGGCGGGGCACAGCGGGACGCTCGTTCAAACGCTTGTGGGGCGGAGCACCCAGTATGAACGGCTGATGTCGGGAATGGAGAGCGAGGCGGGGGAGGCTCCGCCGGCGTATGAGAACATTGGTGGTACGTTTCGGTCTCAGAGGGGGCATTTTTATCATGCTTGAGCTCAAAGGGTCCAAAGGATTGTTAATGCAGCGTCATTATTAATATTTATGAAAGGTTATGATATCGACTTCTTGGGTGTCGGTAGTCGTTTTAATCAGCAGTTGGCAGTTGCGGCTTTTGCTGGAGATATTACTTGAAAAAGTGCTGAAGCGCTGAAGTTGTGTGTTCAAACTCCATGGCTAACAACTCCAAATTGACAACGGCATCCACCATATGTCCTTCCGTAATCATTGTACCAAAAATATAATCTTCTCGTCTCAACTGCTAGTATGATAGTCACCGTACTGCGCACTGGCAATATTAATGGGGTTACGACACCTCAGCACACCTCCCAAGTGAAAGCCTCCACCCAACCTCACCACAGTTACGCAGGGGATTAGACGCTGGTGGTTCTCGCTCCAAGTCGTTGTGTTGGCTAAGCCTGGAGCAAACGAGACTGGTCACTGGATTGCCACGATGGCAGGCCATAGACTGCAATCGCCGTGTCGTGTAGACTGCAATCGCTGTGTCGTGAGTTCAGGAACCGGCAATCGTGCAGCACTTTTGCTCATCTAGTTGGTTCACGATAAAGAGGGAAACAATATTTGACTGAGTCATCCTCATCATTCATGTGAGCTTGAGGTCTTGGTTCGCTTACCGTTTAGCTCTGATCATATGACGTTCTCGCTCGCACTCGTCCTGCAGACTCATGGTGCGACAATCCAGCATCATTATTATTGCCATGGCCTTGGGCATGCATGGTCACAGGATCACCTGTTCGTTCAACATGCTCGCATATCTGATGCGACAGCGACCGCGGAATATTCTGGACTAGCTTTTGGCAATGGTAAACCTGCTTAAGTCCATAAGGCGGCCGCGGGCCCGCATCGGGTACATTCGAACACATGATGGCGAGCGGCATGACGTTCAGAATAGGAAGCATAACGCTCCACCCCTTGTTCCTCTTCATCATGTGAAGGTGTGATTGATTCCGCCGACCTTACTTTCACAGACAAGCTTGAAAAATGATCCACTTGGAGCTGAGCAGGTCGTTGGGGGTATCGTGATCAATCAACGCATCTGTGAGAATGCGGCTGATGGATATTCTTAGGCATTATGGTACATATGGATCCCTCATCGAGTAGCGAATGCACGCATGGTTGTCTTGTTATCTCTATCTGGCATTCTGTGGGTTTCAAGCGCATGTTTTACCCGATTAATGCTATAAATCCCTGACAGACTTTCTCGGTGGATGCGCTCGAGATCATCAGTATGCGCCTACTCTCATCCTTTGTGGTCCTTGCCCTTGGACTGTTGGCTTCTGCCGACTCGCTCCTGTCGCCTTACCGCGTTCACGAGAGACGTGCGCACATTCCTGCTGGATGGTCATACAGCCGAAAACGCGACAATGCAGCTGTCATTCCTCTGCGGTTTGCTCTGAAGCAGAGTGACATCGACGCAATTGGTGACTACTTAATGGAAGTCTCTGATCCGGAGTCTGTGGGATATGGCAAACATTGGACCGCCGGAGAAGTATTCAGAAAGTTTTCGCCTAGCGTTGAAAGCATTGGAGCCGTCCGTGCCTGGCTTGAAGAGAATGGTTTTGATTCCTCCCGTGCCAAGCTCACTCGCAACAGAGGCTGGATCGAAGTCCAAGCCACTGTAGAAGAAGCTGAGCGTCTCTTGCAGACTGAGTACCATGTGTACAGTCACGAAACCGGCCAAGAGCATGTTGGTGAGCAGTATCTTTGATCTTATAATGTCGTGAACCTTACCAGCTATGTAGCGTGTGATTCATACCACTTGCCTGAGCATGTCCAGCCTCATGTCGACTTCGTGACCCCTACCGTACATTTTGACGCCAAGATCTCGAAGCGCTCCGGCTCCACCTCCCCCGATGGGACCGGGCGCACTATTGGACAGCCAGGACATGGCGTTTACCCGAAAACCACCGGAGAGATCCAGAGTCTCTTGAATCAACTGGAGGCTTGCGATCAACAAATCACCCCAATTTGCTTGAGGGCTCTGTATGGATTGGTTTACGAGCCTCTGGCAGCCGACAAGAACAGCTATGGTATCGGTAAGTTATACAACATGGCATTAGGTGCACGAAGTTGACTCAGCAGACAGTGGAGTACACCCCCCAGGCCTACCTGCAAAGCGACTTGGATATGTTTCATAGCAATTTCTCCGACGGCCTTGTTGGTGTTGCGCCTAACATGGTGTCAATAGATGGAGGTTCGTAAGAATCACGGCTATTTGAATTCTGACAGTTAACCCCTCACCAGGCTATGCACAAACCGAATACACCGGCTTCGAGTACAACGGTGAATCTGATCTCGACCTTGAGTACGGAATGAACCTCGTCACCGCTAAGCAGCCAGTCACCTTATATCAAGCTGGAGACATGGTAGAGGGTGGGTGCTTTCATATATCATATGGGATATTGCTGAAAATGCGTGAAGGTGCTTCTTTTAACAACTTCCTCGACGCAATCGATGGCACGTACTGCACCTATGATGGTGGAGACGATCCAACTCAAGACGCCGTTTATCCTGACCCATACGGCGGAGGCTACATGGGCCCTGAAGATTGCGGCACTGCAAAACCTACTAATGTTATCTCGACCTCTTATGCGTACAACGAAGCTGATCTGACGCCTTTCTATACTGCCCGCCAATGCGCAGAGTATGCTAAACTTGGCTTGATGGGTGTTACTGTCCTTTACAGCTCTGGTGACTATGGAGTTGCTGGAAACGGTGGCTACTGTCTGACGCCTAACGGTAAATTCTTCCGGCATCCATGTGGCAAGATGTTAATATTATCCGTAGGAACTTATTCCCTGGATGGCATGATCTTTAACCCCAGTTTCCCGGGAACTTGTCCCTATATCACTTCTGTTGGTGCTACTCAGGTCAACCCCAATTCGACGGTCTACGAGCCAGAAGGGGCATGTGAACAAGTCATCTACTCTGGAGGTGGTTTCAGCAACTACTTCGCGATGCCTGATTACCAGAAGTCAGCGGTCGAGTACTATCTGACAAACTACTACCCTCAGTATCCTCCTAATATCTGGAACGCCTCAGGAACAGTATGTGCTGCTCAAGAAATAGTTAATAACATCTAATCTCCTATCGTAGTCCCGTGCCTTCCCCGACATTGCTGCCAACGGAGCTGTAAGTTTTCGTCGTTGAGATCCCGCCAGCCGATGCTAACAGTAGACAGAACTACGTTGTTGCTATTGATGGTGCATTTTATTTGGTTTATGGAACGTCCTGCTCTTCCCCAGTCAGTGGAGCCATCTTGACAATGGTCAATGATGCTCGCCTAGCAGTTGGAAAGAGCCCGATTGGATTCATCAACCCAACTGTGAGTACCTGCCTCAGATCACGGTTTCCTTTTCTCACTAGCTGTTGTAATGAAGATTTACTCGGCTGACTTTGCTGGTGCTTTCAACGATATCACCATGGGCGGAAACCAAGGATGTGGCACTGCTGGATACACTGCCGTTCCTGGCTGGGACCCAGTCACTGGATTGGGGACTCCCAATTTCCCGAAGCTTCTTGCGAGGTGGTTACTCCTTCCGTAGAATTTGAAGAGGTGACTAGACATGTAGATCTCCCTTCATGAACATATTTCAGACATGGAAGCCGACAACCACAGCCCTGCTATGCTTTACTGTAACTTGTCATAAACGCGCAACCAGGTAGTACTCTTCATACCCAATTACAGAGCCCCCGGTCGTTGGGTGTCGCAAGTAAAAAAATAATCGGACATGAGTACAGGAGCAGTTGGTGGCACCAGACCATGCACTTCACAATTGAGTTCCCAGGGCTGTAGGTACCCTCATGGTTTCGGATCCGGACTGATGATACAGTGGGGAAGGGTTCATGTCTTCACAACTTGCATGCTCAACACCGCAGGATAGACTTCTTGAGAAGGAACATCATAGGCCTATAGGATGGCACTTCTCAAAATGCAAATCAGGGGCAAAGTACTAGTAGGGCGCAAGATACTCAAGTGGCTACTTAAGCCGATCATATGTAGACTCCTATGTGTACAACAGATAGTAGAGTAATATTGTGCGCAAATCGCAGTCTGTGGACTATGTTGGATTGGACTATCATACATTTGAATCATACGAATTACTTCTACACAGTAGTTACCGGAGAGATCTGGCTTGTTCCATCCCTTTCCTGATTGAATCAAAGATTTCGAAATTTGTCTTTCGCTGCTCATCTATCGGCCCATCCAGCGCATCCTCCCACCATCTCTCACCTTCAGGTACATCGCGCCAGCCTCCTTTGAGGAATCTAGCAAACACAGGCGCACTGCCTGATAGACCGACGCGCAGTGCTTGTACCTTCTTCCAGTGAGCGGGCGGATTCATTGGCGAGAACGGCGCGGCAGAAGCGGTATTGGGGGGTTTCGAGAAACCTTCGCATGAGAGAACGATGCCAGGAGGCACTGTGATACGACCATGCTTGAAGCAAACGTATGTGGTGGCCACACAGTGAAGTATGGCACCGTCGGGCTCATTCGTGTTTGACTGTACAGCAGCAAGGCCTTTCGTTACCTGTGCTGTCTTTTCTGCCTGAATATTGGGGTCCCCCCCACTCGCATCGCCGAGGGTCGGAAAAGTGGCCAAATTCTCTGCATGAGTGCGCAAAATTCGAGGAAAATAAAGTGATGTCATTGGAGCCCCCAGTTGCTGACCTAAAGTAGACTTAGTATGATGGTCCATACGTCCATCACCACGTCTCTTCTTTGGGAAAGAGACGTAGCGAGCAATAATGAACATCTTTTCAAGCGTCGTTAGATATTTTCATTTGAAAATGCCTAAAGCTCACCCATTTGTTGTCCCATGCCCCGATGGAGAGTCTCATCTCGTATCTCGCAAGGACCGGTATTTCTCGAATGAAATTAAAGTGGCTGGCTAGATGTGGAAAATTAATGACTGTTTATCAAGAATGTCGTGGGATGAAGCTCACGCACAGCCCAGAGCAACCGATCCACCACTCCTTGTGAATGCAGGGAAGCCTTCCCGAATCATTTTCATGGCGGCTACATCATGGGCCTGAAAAGAAAGTTAAAGGAGGTTTTCATTGCTGCATCGCTTGGACGGCCGGGCGCACCGAGTCCCTACCTTCGCGTAACTGGAGTTACTGAGGTGTCCATTGTAATCGGTCTCGTCCACAGCTAAAGCCAAGTGAATATAAACTTCATGGGAGAATTAGAATAAAACGTACTCGCCCAGCCGTGCTGAACGGTCACTAACTCGAAGGGGTTTGTGCCAATTGGACATAAAGCCTCACTCCAATCGTCAAGGATCTTCGCCCTAACCTTTTTGGGCTTGAACATGTTGCGAAGCCCTAGGAGGTAGTACTGAAGATGAAGTCGCAAGAATGGTAGGAAGATACGAACTGAATATCACAGGCCCGTCTTTGTGTACATTCACAGCTAAGAAAAACAACATGTACTCACTGTGCCAGGCAAACGGTAGTGACCGACAATTGACCATTAACAAAATCAAGAAGATCTTTTTAGTGGCTGACAGTATGGATTGTCTCCACAATAAGTTCTGCGGAACAACTGGCATTGGCAGGGGCAAACTGTACTGGCCAGGTGTGAATATCAGAAAGGTAATAAACCGGGAATGTGTTGAAGTGGAGATTGGATTGGGATTGTGTGGCAGTTAGGAAGACACTGGAAGGAAATGGCGGGCTTGAGTCTCGTTTATGTGGCCTTTGAGAGTCTCATAGGCAGATAGAAGGACGTTTGTCGTAGAATTCCATTGTACATGCTTCATTGATAAGTAGCTTCATTACCAGTCCGACGCATTCAAATTGTCGGGACGCCACAGGAAGACTCGGAGCTCCAGGTCACATGGATGATCTACGTTGGCACGCAGGGTGTGTAATGTCACCGGCCAGCACAACTCTTCCTTTCATATCTTCTGCATGACACGACGACTTGCTGGCCATAGCCACTCTATCGTCTATCATTTCACCATGGGCTGTTCAAGCACTGATTGAAGAACAAAGACTTGCTTGCAAGGTACACCTTGGTCCCTAAATGCAGCGGGTTTAACCTCAGGTACTACTTAGCAGATAACATTCCTTCACAATCAGAACATATGACACTAACCCAATACAATTGGCTCCCCTGCTGTCTTGTCGACCCAACGGGCCGACTTGGCCGACTCCTGAGGTCCATGCTCCTACCCAGCGATCGTTCGAGGGTGCCGGTGGGGATGGTATGACAATAACACAATAGCATGTACCATGTTATTGTAGAGTTTGACGGTGGGAGGATAGAAGTGTGGAGTTTAAATGTGCCATGGCCGATCCTGTTTTTCTATGTTGCCCCCGCATATACCAAGTGCAAAAACATATTGAGTGGGCACTCAATTGGGGTGGCCAGGGATTGAAAGTGCTGGGTTGGCAATATATTGTTGGCCACTGTTTCGTCTCCGAGGCACTACCCGACAAGCAAAGGTGAGCGCATATCCCAACCCGGGCCATCTATGCAACTTGAATTGAGTAAACTTGGACTGGTAATAAATTGGGGCTCATGTGCCCGGCGGCAACTTGTTCAATACCATCCACATAATGTGCAGACCTGATCCGCGTGTAAGTTAGGTCGCCTTCACTAAAAAAGCAAGTCTTGGGATGGTATTATAGCCCCGCCTAATATCAGGGTTGAGGCAAGGCATGAGATACATGGCTGTAGGAATGTTGAGCTAGCTTCCAATGATATAAATAGTTTTTCTAAGTAACTACCCCATGGATCTCGCTCCTTCCATCCCTGTCCTGAGAGAATCAAGGACTTCGAGATTTGCCTTTCGTTGCGCTTCTATCGGCCCATCTAGCACATCCTCCCACCACCTCTCGCCTTCAGGCACATCGCGCCAGCCTCCTTTGAGGAATTTAGCAAACGCAGGCATACTGCCTGATGGACCGACGCGCAGTGCTTGTACCTTCTTCCAGTGAGCGGGGGGATTCGTCGGCGAGAACGGCGCGGCGGAAGCGGTACTGGGGGGTTTCGAGAAACCTTCACATGGAAGAACAACGCCAGGAGGCACTGTAATGCGACCATGCTTGAAGCAAATGCATGAAATCGCCACACAGTGGAGTACGGCACCGTCGGGCTCAGGCATGTTTGACTGGGCGGCAGCCAGGGCTTTCATTGCCTTTGCCGTCTTTCCTGCTTGAAGGTTGGAGTCCTCATCGGTCGCATCACCGGGGGTCCCAGGGGTGGTTAAGCCTTCCGCAGGTGTGCTCAGCAAAATCCGAGGAAAGTCATTTGATGTTATCGGTGTCCTTGATGATCTGGCCCCATTGCCATTGTTCCCATCCGAGTCTCTGTTATAGGTGACATCACTACGCCTATTCTTTGGGAAAGAGACGTAGCGAGCAACAATGAACATCTTGCCGATGTTAGACAGTTTTCTGTGTATAGGCGCTAAGTGCTCACCCATTTGTGGTCCCATGCCCCGATGCTTTGTCTTATTTCGTAGCTCCGAAGGAACGGTATTTCTCGAATGAAATGAAAGTGTGTAGCTACATGTGGAATTAATATTCATCGAGAACTATGCAGAGTGAAATTGACGCACAGCCCAGAGCCATCCACCCACCACTCCTGGCAAATGCAGGGAAGGCTTTGAGAGCCAATTTCAGGCGGGCTGCATCGAGGGCCTAAACAAAGTGGGTCTTCCATTAATGCGTTATTTGGATGGCTGAGCCCTTACCTTCGCGTAACTGGAATTGCTGAGGTGTCCATTATAATCGGCATCGTCCACACCTAAAGTCAAGTGAGCTTGCATTTCAGGAGAGATTTGGACTAAGTCGTACTCGTCCAGCCATGTTGAACGCTCACGAGCTTGAAGGGGTCTGCGCCAATTGGACATAAACCCTCGCCCCAATCCGTGAGTAGCTTTGCGCCGACTTGTTTGGGCTTGAACAGGATGCGAAGTCGTAGGATGTAATACTGAAGACGGAGTCGTAGGACCGGCAGGAATACGCGAACTCAAAGCAGTCAGTGCGTTTGGTGGACATCACGGGTAAAAACGAATTCGTACTCACTGTGCCAGGCAAACGGTAAAGATCGAAAATTGACCAATAGCAAGACCAGGAAGATATATTTGATGGCCTCCAGGCTGCGTGATAACTTCTGCAAGTTAAGAACTGGCATTGGTGGCATCCTGGCCAGAAGGCGCGAACTTTCGCGAGAGTACATCATGATTGTGTCCCGAGTTAAAAGCAGATGAATCGCGACCGAGTTAAAGTAACGGTAGGCGCTTGCGGCGTGACACTGGTTGTTGGATGATAACCAACTCCGGGCTTGTATCTTGCATATGATACTTTTTAGTGCGAAGGACACTGGTTACCGTTTAACAATGTTGAAGAAACCCGTGCACGTGCAAGTATTATCATAACACCAATTTTCGGAATCGGCACACATGCAACCGTTGGAACAAAAATGTACACACTTCTTGGCTTTCTCTCAGCAGTTCTCACTTCGTCATGATTTAGCTTCCGGCCCGACCACAGCGCTGCGCAATTGAGTGAGAAGGTTTTTCCGCGCAAGCACATGAACCGGCGCGCGATACCAACGAGCTCAACATGCAGGGTCTGCGGGTTAGAAATTTCTTCACAAGCCTTCCTGACAACTACTAGGTCGTCAGGAAACCTGTAATTGACAACTTTCAGCTCTAGAATCACGCAAAATCGGCTGACTGGCAGTCAGCATCATGCTCTAGGTGCACATAAAACCTCCATAATCATGTCAAAGAAATACTGGGGAATTGATAAGTACAATAGAAAATATTTCAAGACTGAAGGTCAAAAAGCTTCTGTGCGTCTTGTGCAGCCTGATTCGAAGGAAATACGGGGTATTGCAATCCCGTTATTCTCCCCTTGTCAAAAAGAAGAGTGATACGCTTCAGCAACGTCTGCCCTTCCACTTCGAAAGTAGGTAAATGCAAGGCGCGAGTCAACTCGAGCCTCTCATCACTCAATATCGGGTATGGAAGACTCAAACGGGTTGCCACCTCTAGCTGGTATGCAGTACCCTGAGTGCTCAGAGCAAAAATTGCAGGGCGAGGCGTTAGCTGCAGGAAAGATTCGACTGAATCCTTGATACCGCACAATTCCTACGGGTGTCAAAGAATATGAGATCTCGCGCTTGAAACACATGGTGACTTGGCTCCTTACTGGCGTGCATCCCCTAGCACCGGGAATATCATCCCATCCATTCGGATTGGGCACACCCGGCTGCCCTGTGCGAGGGTATATGAATAAAAGAACCGGTCTTTCGAAAGATTCCGCGTAGATATTGACAAAGGGACCGGAGGTAGCTGGGAGAATTATATGATCAATCTCTGCGAGCTCGTGCTGTGCTTTGAGATGATCTGCAGCACCATCATCTACGGGAACCGGTAAATTGTCTGGAAGAGTGTTCCAGTCCATTGTGATCATGCCAATTTAATATTGTTTGATGATGAATAGATGAATGCCTTGGACAAACTCAAGAGTGTTTGTGTGGCGGTGCACCGTTTTCCACAACCAGATGCGGCGGCACAACTTTGCTTCTACTTATGTCCAGGTCTACTTCTGGGAACCTTTCCTTGTGCTATATGTGCAAGCTACCTTATGCGTCTTTCCCAGGCAACTTATAGGTGATGTTCATTGAAAGGTGCTCGCTGAACAGCTGGTAGTTGCAAGCATTCATAACAGTTCGTCCAAGTTGTCCAAGAAAGAGGTTGATCTATGATATTCATTCAACTAACCAGTCTGCAGAGACCTGTTTGGTGTCTCTCCTCGGACTGTGGGCGGCATTATCTAAGAGCCTTTCATCCATGCGTTGCTCGGGGAAACAGCTCCCAGTGTGGGAGTACTTGGGAGGGTGTCTCATCGAGGAGGCTCTGTTTCGCGTGCTTACGGTCTAATCCTGGCACACATCCATGCTGCTTCCCGTTCTCGAGAATGTTATAAAAGAAATGGCCGACGATTGATTTTACTTGTCAGCTTCTGATCGTCTCTATCGTCATGCGCTGCTCATTGGCCGCATTTGTCACCCTCAGCCTCGCAGTAGCCTCCTTGGCGGAGCCCACTCTCAGCTCACATATTGTGCATGAGAAACGCAGCGCCATTCCTGTCGGATGGTCCCACACTCGAAGACACGAGAGTGCGGCAACCGTTCCTCTGCGCATTGCTTTGAAGCAGAGTAACATCGAGTCCATCGATGAATATCTTTACGACGTCTCTCACCCGGAGTCGGCCAACTATGGAAAGCACTGGACTGCAGGGGAGATTTCCCGAAAATTTTCACCCTCAGAGGAAACCGTTTCCACCGTCAGAGACTGGCTTATTGAGAATGGGCTAGCAAGCGAGCGCATCCGCGTGAGTTCCACCAAGGGCTGGATCAAAGTCGATGTCACGGTCGAGGAAGCGGAACGGCTTATGAACACTGAGTATCATGTTTACACCCATGTTTCCGGACAGGAGCACGTCGGTCAGTATCTTTGTAGAGGAAATTATTATGGTACTCACGTGCCACTTTTTAGCTTGCGAAGCCTATAATCTCCCCGAGCACATTAGTACTCATGTCGACTTTGTCATACCTACCGTTCACTTCGATGCGAAACTTAAGGGTAGATCTGGTGTTGAGCCGGAACCTGCACGTGCGATTGGCCAACCCGGTGTAGGAATCACCCCGAAGACTGCTGGCTCTATCTCACAGTTGGTGACTGAGCTTGAGCAGTGTGACGAGTACATCACTCCTATCTGCTTGAGGGCTCTGTATGGTCTCGTATACGAGCCTGTCGCTACTGAGAAGAACAGCTACGGCATCGGTATGGTTTCTTTTCCGTGGGCCGCCTTGTGAGCTAATTCATTACCCAGTGGAATACACTCCTCAGGCGTACTTGCAATCCGACCTACAAATGTTCGCCATGAACTACTCTACTGATCTCCTCGGAAAGGAGCCATACATGGTATCCATTGACGGGAGGTGATTACCTTAAGCATTCTTCTTTAATCAAAACCAAAAAGACATGTTGCAGGGTATGCACAGACCGAGTACCAAGGTTTCGGATACAACGGCGAGTCGGACCTCGACCTCCAATATGGAATGTCTTTGGTCACTGGCAAGCAGAACGTTACTCTTTACCAGACTGGTGACATGGTCGAAGGTAGGATGAGAACAGGAGAAAATTATGCAAACATATCGCTAACCTCATCAATGACAGGGGCTTCTTTCAACAACTTTCTCGACGCCATCGATGGTTCATACTGTACATTCGAGGGCGGTGACGATTACACTCAAGATGCCCAATATCCTGACCCGTACGGAGGAGGTTACGAGGGTAAGTGCTCGTCTTTGTTGGATCATCAATACAATAAACTTAATGGTGTGACAGGTCCTGAGGACTGTGGCACTGTTACACCCGCCTACGTCATCTCAACATCGTACGGGTACAACGAGGCTGATCTCACTCCGTTCTATACTGCGCGCCAGTGTTCAGAATATGCGAAGCTTGGCTTGATGGGCGTCACTGTCCTGTACAGCTCTGGAGATTATGGTGTTGCTGGTAACGGCGGGTATTGCTTGAACCCCAATGGTATGCCCCGAGTTGAATTTCTACTTCCATCCCTCACACGACAACAGGCACTCAGTCTCCAACCGGTATGATCTTCAACCCCAGTTTCCCTGGTAGCTGCCCCTACGTCACGTCTGTTGGTGCTACCATGGTCAAGCCGAACACAAGTGTCGCGGCTATTGAACCTGAAATGGCTTGCATGGAAGTTATCTACTCTGGAGGAGGTTTCAGTAACTACTTCGCGATGCCCTCATATCAGAAGACCGCGGTCGATTACTATCTGGAGAATTATCCCCCCAACTACCCCCCAACTATCTGGAACTCGACTGGCATGGTGAGTGTCCGAGTAAATGTGATGTGTTCAGTCGAATAAAGCCAACTATCAGTCTCGTGCTTTCCCTGACATTTCCGCCAACGGAGCTGTAAGTGTCTGTTCAAAATGCAGTAGTCTATCAGGGTTTAAAATTATCTCTTATCAGAATTACGTTGTCGCTGTCGACGGTCAATTCGAGCTTGTGTACGGAACTTCCTGTTCTTCACCAGTCAGTGGCGCCATCTTCACGATGATCAACGATGCCCGTCTCGCTGTAGGGAAGGGCCCGATTGGTTTCATCAACCCTACGGTATGTTCCCGCCCCTTTTATCCCTGTCTCACTTAATGATTTATGATGTTAGATCTACTCTGCTGATTTCGCCGGTGCTTTCAATGATATTACCACAGGGTCAAACCCGGGCTGTGGTACTGAAGGTTACAACGCTACGGCTGGGTGGGACCCAGTTACTGGTCTTGGTACTCCCAACTTCCCAATGTTGCTTGAGAGGTGGCTGGCTCTTCCATAGATATGAGCTACGCGATAGAACACTCGTGGTTGTAAATGAATCTGGGCTAAAGCAATTTTCTGTAATATGCATAGGGCGGGTAATATACCGAAACATGGACAATACTATGTACACTGTCTTGCTTCTATAGGTCTGACTACGGCCTGTATCTCGAGAATTCAGAAATGAATCTTCATGATGATCAAGCCATGATCGATTGATCGATGATCGCCATTTGGTAACGCTTGGTATTTCTTTGGCATGTACATTCTCCATTCACTTATGAACAAACACTACCTGCTTTAATTTCAGCGCTCACAATCACAATAGAAGCGCCGAATCGCGCGCGCATTGGGGCGGCTTCGTGAGACGCGCTCGTACTAAACTGCAAGATGGCACTATTTTGTGGCTACGCACGAACACATCTCCCATCTTTGTCCTGAGTCCTCCCAGCTCAAAGTGGCAATGAGCTACACTGCAAGTAGCTTGATCTAGCATATGCGGTTCAGCGCTGTTCAGCGTGTATTTTCCTCGTGATTTGTGCGGGGCTTTCCAGTCACTTTGGGAATTGACCGGCAAATTATTGCTAGCCGCTGAACAGATAATTTCAGTGTGACTGATCTTGGAGCTTGGAGCTAAGGCGTGGGCGACTGTATTATGTAGTGGGCGTTGTTGAGCTGCCCCACCAGTCTAGCCGCACTGGGTGAGGCTATTTAACTACACCGTCGCGAGTTCTCGCTGGAGTGCTGTGACCAATTTGTGGGTAAGCGCCGGGTTACGGCCCCTGAATGAAGCTTAAGCTTAACTTGAGAATGGCAAGGGGCGACGAGAGAATCTGGTGTACGTGTCCTTCGGTGAAAGTGTGACAGGCTGTATGCCGAAGGTCTGTGGGAGTCTGTGGGCGCTGTCAAACAGGATTTAAATGATTGTCGCCATCACGCCGATGATCAAGGAAGTTTCAACCAAAAGTACAAGCCACATCCCCTTGCTGGTTGGCTATCAGGAAGCTTCAGTAAAGTCAGCTTCAAATGGAGGTCTAGAAGACCGCTACGTACTGCTAATGCTTCCCGATCCCCGGGGAGTCTCAGGAGTACTAGTTTCGTGACAAGCGTGACGTTCTTTGTGTACTACGCCTATCAGTTCGCACGAGGACAAATAAGGGTACACAAAGTAAATTGGGAGAACGCAGAAAGGGTTCTTGCCACTGGTTAAGAGTTCCGACTGAGCCCTTTCTTTCTTGCGGCGCGTTCCCCTAAATCTGAACTTAACGCGCGTTCACGGCTTTTCACGATGTCAACTTGGACGCCGCAGCCTGCAGGTCTACAGGAGATCCTGCAGACTATACGCGACTCAACTGATACACAAGGCAATGTACAGCGAGCAATCACTCATGTATGAATTTTCCTTTCAATGATCTGCGGCGCGTTAACATCCGCTTAAATAGAAATTGAACACCTTTACACGTGTACCAGATTATATTGCATATCTGGCATACATCTTAACCGCTCTCCCCCAAGAGGAAGACCAAATCCGCACGATAGCTGGGTATCTATTGAAGAACAACGCGCGTCTGCTCCTTGGCGTATCTCCGGAGGTGGCCGAATATGCAAAGTCGGCTGTTCTCCAAGCCTTCATCAGCTCTCCTCCTTTGATAAGGAATGCTGCTGGTCATGATATTGTTGCATTCCTCGGTGCTCTTGAGCCTAGAAATTGGCCAGATTGCTTGCAGCAGTTGGTGAATATGCTAGATTCGCCTGATCCAGCTCTCCAGGAGGTGAGTGTCCGTGTGATGATATTCCGGGGCTGGAACATGGGATCGCGTCGAAGCAAGTGCTTCGTTATGGGTTTCAAACCGCCTTTAATAGGGCAAAGCCCATGCGAAGTGCAGCTCTAGCTCTTCAGAAGCTCTCCTCCTTCGAATGTCGCATTTAATTGAACGTGACTTTATGCTGAGCTCGAACATTTCCCAAGCACGCGATGTTTTATATTCCATGATTATCTGTATCAATATTCAAGTGCAAATGCTGAAAATTACCATGCAGGCTGCTTTCAGCGTTTTCGAGAAAGCTTGCGAAGATTTCCCTCGCAAAATGGACGTTGAGATTAACGGAACACGTCCTCTGGATTACATGATCCCCAAGTTCCTCGTGCTATCAGAGCATCCGATGCCGAAAATGCGGTCACATGCCGTTGCCTGTCTTTCATATTTCGTACCGATCAATTCTCAGTCCCTCTTTGCCCACATCGATGCTTTTATCGCCTGCCTGTTCAAGCGCGCATCTGACGAAGATCCATCTGTCCGAAGGCACGTCTGCCAGGCTCTTGTTTTGCTTCTTGCAGCCCGCCCCGAGAAGTTGATGCCGGAAATGTCGAATGTCGCCGAGTACATGTTATACTCAACCAAAGATAAGAATGAAAGTGTGGCCCTCGAAGCTTGCGAGTTCTGGCTCACTTTCGCGGAGGATCCTGACCTTGCAGCTTTCCTCCATCCTCTCCTAGGTCGAGTTGCTCCAGTATTGCTCGATTGCATGATTTACGGAGAGGATGATCTTCTATGGCTTGATGGCGACACAGAAGATACCAGCGTCCCTGACAAGGAATCCGACATCAAGCCACGACATTACGGGGGTAAAACACACGGTCTGGACCGGGATCAAGGAGAAGCTAACGGCCAGGAGCGGAAACGGGGGGCGTACGGAGAGGAGACATTGGATGATGAGGATGAGGACGACTACGATCTCGATGACGATGATTTCGCTGATGAGATGTCTACGGAGTGGAACTTGAGGAAATGCGCTGCTGCTGCGCTGGATGTGCTGGCTGTGAGGTTTGGGTCCGAGTTACTGAACGTGCTTCTTGGTCCGTTGAAGAATAAGCTCTGGAGTGCTGAGTGGTTAGAGAGGGAAAGTGGCATATTGGCACTAGGTGCAATGGCAGAAGGTGCTGGTAATTCTTGCTTATCTGATGGCCGCCTATTGACTTTGTTCCACAAGGCTGCATCGATGCAATCGAGCCTCATTTGACAACCCTCGTTCCATATCTAATCAACACACTTAACGACCCCAAGGTATGCTGTTGCTACGTTACTTTGTAGGGCGATTGACGAAATAATTGTTTAGCCCCTTGTTCGATCAATCGCCTGCTGGACGTTGGGCCGGTATGCAAGTTGGTGTACGCAGCCTATATCGGAGCAGCATAAGAATTCATATTTTGTCCCCACAATGGAAGGCGTGCGTATTTTATATTTCGCATGTGATTATGTCGACTTAGAAGACTCTAGCTCCTGCGAATGGTCCTGGACGACAACAAACGTGTACAAGAAGCAGGATGTAGCGCGTTCGCAACGTTAGAGGAAGATGCCGGGCCCGAGCTTGTACCCTATTTGGAACCCGTCCTCCGGAATCTGGTGTTTGCGTTTGAAAAATATCAGCACAAGAACACGCTCATACTGTATGATGCTGTTGGTACATTGGCGGATGCTGTCGGCAGGGCATTGCAGAATCCCGCCTATGTGGAAATATTGATGCCCCCTCTGACATCTCGATGGGCCAAATTGTCGGACGATGACGATGATTTGATTCCGCTTCTCGAGGTATGTCGCTGATCGAGCTGTTGGTACTTGGATACTCATACTTTGGTGTCCCAGTGCATTGCGTCCGTCACCATTGCCATGGGACCGGCGTTTTCCCCTTACGCACTACCCGTATTCCAGCGCTGCGTGAACATTATCCACCAGTCTCTACTCCAGTACCAAGCATACCAGCAGAACCCCGAACTCGATGAGCCTGACAAATCCTTCCTTGTGGTCTCACTGGACCTCCTATCGGGCCTTGCACAGGGCATGGGCATGCATCTAGAGTCTCTCATTGGGCAGACAAATCCGAACCTTCTTCAGCTACTGACGGTGTGCCTCAAGCACCCCCAGGCACCTGTACGTCAGAGCGCGTATGCTCTCGTTGGAGACCTTGCGATGGGCTGCTTCCAGCTCCTGCGCCCTCATCTGCCTTCCATTATGGCGGAGCTTATCGAACAGCTTGACCCTGAGCCTAAGGTCGAGTTCATCAGTGCATGCAATAACGCAGCTTGGTCTGTCGGGGAAGTCGCGTTGCGCTATGGGCGTGGTGAGTAGACTTACCCGTGCTCAATATGGGGTCATTAAACACGTTATGTAGACGACCCGGAGTTCCAGCAATGGGTAAACCCTCTCATCGCACGTCTCATCCCTATCTTGTTGCACCCGAAGGCCCCACGCAGCCTTCACGAGAACGCCGCCGTGTCCATTGGAAGGATCGGGTTAATGCACCCCGGTGTTGTCGCTCCCCATTTGCCCGAGTTTGCACAAGCATGGTGCTTGGCCTTGTATGAGATTCGTGATAATGAAGAGAAAGACTCTGCGTTCCGCGGTCTATGCACCCTTGTGCAGACCAACCCAGCGGGCATTGCTAAGGTCTGTCGAAGTGACTACTCCTGAGTGTGCGATAATACTGACTTTTTGTTCTTTTAATGCAGAGCCTTCTCTGGTTTTGCAATGCCATCATTAGGTGGCATCAACCCTCTGCGGAGCTGAATTCGATGTTCCAACAACTTTTGTCTGGTTTCAAGCACCACGATGAGGCAGGTTGGGCTGCACAGGTTTCAACATTCCCTCCTGTAATCCAGGAGCGCCTCGCTGCACGATATGGTGTATAGACTGTTGTACTGTGTCTTGTGACGTATGTATCACCAAAATGACCCAACATCTCATTGTATTTCGGCATCCTTTTGTTCATTGTGTCTTATCTCTGTTGTTTCTGGGATCTTCTAGTAGCAGTAGTATTTTCTTTCATCACCAATTTGTGTTTGCGTCTCTGTGGTTACATACCTACGTCCTCTCGCTCATGGTCTGCCTCTTGTATATCTTTTACGTAGCATTAGTCGTAGTAGTACTTAGCTCTTCTTTTCTGTCATCGGCATTACACTTTAGTAGATAGTATGTAGTAGATACATATCCCGTACAACACTGAGCTCAACTGACATCAATACGATACAATTCTGATTGGATCGAAATTCGGTCCCTAAGACCTGCAAACCCCATTTCGTCATGTTTCGGACTGCATTGAATGAAGTCAAGATGTACATGAGCTCGACATAAACTGTCAGAACCGCCTCCGGCTCTCGTAACCCAAGCCCCCAAATGCCGAGCCACCATAACCCCTCCTCTGATTAAGCGCGTAAGTCTTATACCCATACGTAGCACCCACACAGACGCCCACAAAGAGCAGCAGTTTGAAGATGAAGCTGAACCAGGAGCCGCCTTGTGACTCGGCCCCAGATCTACGCGAGAACGCACCCTTCCCGCTACCGCTGCCAAACTTGTTGCGCTGCGCATCAGAGGCCGATAGAATGGCAGACCACGTCGTCACGGAGATAACACTAAGGAGGGGGTGTTAGCGGGAGACATTTGTTAGCGAATCCAATACGCACTCATGGGAATCGAATACTTCGCCTGTCATTGCGGAGATGCCGATGTATGGAGCGGAGGGAAGACTGATGCCTGTGAGGCGGAAGCAGTCAGACCAGTCATCCCCTGCATGTTTGTCAGTTTAAATTCTCCATTCACAAGGAGATATGCGCACAGGCTCGGTAGTGGACCTTGACCTATCTTACAACTGCATGAGAAAGAGAGTTATGACAGCGCAAGTATCCAGACGCACATCAAGATAGGTATCCTTCAAGTAAGTGATCTTGAGCTTCGTGATCACGTTCGTACGGCGGAAATTGGCTGCACAGGAGCCTAGGCTGTTGGCCTCACCATCATGTGCTTGGTCATAGGGCGTCTGGCCATCACCCAACATCGCAACAATGCGGGGAAAGCCATAAGGATGCCGGGCATTTGCATAACTGCATCACAGGTAAGAAGAACAACATGAAAGATGCTCGTTAGGTGACTCACGTATCCAAGAAGATACCGAGCCCTTCGAAGTTGTCTGCGAGGGGAACAATGTCAGATCAAGGTGACCAAGGAAAGACTAGAACTAACCTTTGCTGCCGAATACAGGGCCTGGTTCAGCTCGGTCCTTTGTGAGCCAAATAGCCATTCCATCTCCGTACAGGTGCGATGATTCACCGGTGACCTAACATCCCGTTTGGACATGCTGCAAATCAGGATATTGGCACTTACTTTGAATTCTACCTCGATGATGAAATTAGAAGCAGTCAGTGGCATGCGTGACCAGAGCCATCCCTAATTCAAACTATGAATTAAAGATAGGTTTGGGTGATATGTCTAGCGCACCATTTGAGATGCGCGGGCGCTCGAGAGACGAATATGTTTGTTGGTGTTCTAAATGAAATTAGAATACGAGTAGTCGCTGAAAACTGACTGGGCTCACAATATATGCATCCGCGCCGAAATCCCACCAACTGAAGGTTACGTAGGTGTAAGACTCTATTTTTTGGGTATGACATCCTTGTCTCACCGATTTTGCAGGTCTTGATCAATGTATGGAGGAAATATTGAATGCGTGCGAAGCTGTATGGTCTTGGTTGGATGAATATAATGAGATTCTGGCTTTCCTACTGACGGTGAAGCGAAGCAAGCCCAAAAACAAGGGTGTTCCTGCTCACACGTCACAAATGTTACGACTCACTCGGTCAATGGTTTTGTTGTTCACCGTCGTGTCCGCTTTACCGAGAACACATGGGAGGCTTGCAAAGAGTGCATATGCAAGATAGCACACGGAAAAGTACCGTGTCATTGGGGACCGTGAGGTGGAGAAAAGGTCTCGGAGTCGCGCGTTGTGTGTGCAGGACGCTTGCCGCAACGGTTCCGTATGTACTGGTTGTACAATGTATACTCGTGCCGGTATGCTTTAAAGTCCGCCGAAAATGAAAACATGCGCAAGCAAAACATCAATGTGAGGTTGACTAAAGGGAACTATATCAGACACATTGACGGTCATGGGATGGGCACAGAAGGAGTCTAGCTGTCCTCTTGCACAAGTTTATCCGCATTCCGTATGATTGCCTGGGCCTGATTGCATACTCTAGTCGACATTCTTACTACGCAGTCATGGTAAGAGCGTAACACGTGGAGGTAACTCAAGTCTTCGATTACAAATATTATTATTACATAAACGTACCATCTAGATCTCTGGCCCGGTGACACTTCGAATTCGAGTCCATTTTTCGTGGAATAAAAAATACAACACTGTGAGCTATATGTATCATCCCTAAAAATTATTGTGCGAAGGAAACGAGAGAAGGATGAGCGTGCTACATCATGATTTGTAACACTGGGCCAGAGATAGTAGCTTACGTAGGTGGAGGAAGTATAAGAAAAGTAATAAAATTGAAAGGGCAAGTAGCAACAGATCTTGGAACAAAGTATCAGGCAAGTGGAAAATGCGATAGCTAGCTACTTGAAGATGCGGTCAACACACAGAAGGTTCAAAAGTACCGTAAGAAGGGGTATCCATCACGAAGACAACCTCTCTGACATGATCTCCTCCAGCTTATACCTTTTTAAGGTAGCATGGAATTTGACATATCCATCGAAAAAACTGACGTAGGCATCATAGGCCTCGGCACATGGTCTCAATAACTCGAGGACATTGTGATACGCTTGCACAGTTTTCTCGACGAGTTCGCGCAGAGCATCCTCTTTAGTGAGAGCACGAGAGGCTGCCATAAGTGACAGATAGTTTGCGGTGTCGCCTTCGATCACCTCCTTGTAGTATGACAATATATCACTGAATAAAGCCATGTCAGAGACGCCAACGGGAAATTAATGCGCTTACTTTGTGTGGTTTATGACTATGGTTAGATCCGGCATACATTGAACGTATTCCCGAAGCGGGAGTGTGGAAGGGAAAATGCAGAGTCCGTATGTATCAGACAAGCCTGATAACAGTCTAGAATACCAGGGGTACGAGGGAGCCTGCGGCGAGATCTATCAACACGAAGGGTTAAAATTTAAGCTGCCTTTATTGCCAGTGGAGAAATACCATACCGGCATATCTTTAGTTTCATTATCAAGCAAAATGGAAGACATGAAGTTGAGTGCGGATGCAACGATCAAATTTGACACCGGTGAGGAATAATAGCAAGCAACCTCCCGTAAGAGCCCATCGAGTGCATTCAGGACTGGATGCCCTTGTGGCTGGCAATTCACGAACCGCTCGTTGAAACGGTACACGTCTCCTAGATCGTCAGCCCTGTCTATCACGTCGTCGATGTAGGTGCAGACAGAGGTGAAGAGGCAGATCCATATCTTGGTTGCACGGTCAGGGAGGTGGTTGTAAGCGTTGGACATTATAGCCACGCCAACGGCCATGTACGGGAGTATGAGGTCCATCGGATAGCCGCGGTTGATGGCCTCCTGGCAACATTCTGAGTACCACGCTTCGTCAATTGAGACGTTCTTATATTGCAAGCCGCAACGCTGAAGAAATTCGGCGATGGACTGGCGGATGCTTGCTAGAACCTATATTTGATATGAAAATCAGGACATGGAAGGGTGGTAGAATGAAGGCACGTACGTTGGCATCGACGGTGGATGTGGACAGGTCGTTGGTTGACATTGTGTATGTTAAGTAACTCGCAGAGAGGAGATTAGCGATAGAATGGTTGCAATGGGTTTCATGTACACTCTACTTATACTCTAGGATGTGCAACGAGTTGATGGCGGATCGGAATTCTTGCACGGAGTTTTCGCATTTCATGCATAACATGACCGCGGAGCAACCTTCAACCATAGGACCGGCAATGCGCCCGATTGCCGATAATCCCCTCGGAGCCAATGCATCGGGGAGGTTCAACGAGTTGTAGTAACTTCAGGGGTTACGAGATCATGCGTGCTCCAAGTCCGTAAACCGAGTAAAATGGAATTGCTGGAATAGTGCTGACGAAATCCTTGGCTCTTTGTCAGGGTGTTATCTGACGCCCATCGTTGTTGATCTATTCGTGGTCCCGGGTTCGGTCTACGTGATGCGTGAGCTAAACTCCGCAGTCGTACGACTCGTGCCGGTCAGGTTCAGTAGATCAAGGGGACAAGATAATCAATTCAACGTGACTGAAAGATGTGTCCCAAACTTCCCCAACGCTGGGGAAATTGCTGATCCCTGAACAGCTCTCTCAAGAGCGGCTGGGTGTGAATCGTATGATAGCTTCGGGGAGCCCCAGAAATGGTACAAACCATGATCTTTTTGAGAACCTACAAACATACATTCAGCGGTACTAACGGTTCTCTGGTGGCACTGACACAGCCTTCCGTAATAGAACTGCCTTAATAAATGCAGACTCACCTGATACCCACAGTACCTACCCTTGAAGAAGAAGAAACAACCGTCTTCTTTCGTTTAAGGTCTGACTAGCGTCCACACAGCCTCGTAACGTGACAACAGTTTCATCATATCTGGCACATAGACATAGTCAAGCAAGGCCAGCACACGTGTCAAACGTTGCAATCTCGTGATCGAGAGTATCCGAACGCAAGACGTTTGTAAGATATGTATACACATTCATTAAAGAAAAGCCGAGCGGGCCGTGTAGCCCAACTTTCGTGAATGAAGTTCGCTTTCAGGATTGCGAGTATGACGGAACCCACACTACACGGCACGCAAGGTTATCTGATCACTTATCAGTGCCGCTTGAGTGAGAAGGATGGTCCACTTACTATGTCGCAATATCCGAGTCCGCTTAGCAATCGACAAGGGTAGAGAATACCCGGGTATCTGCCTTGGTGAAACCGGTACGGGTTGGCTGCTAGCACCTGTGCGGGTACGGATTATCGGATACCCTTTCATTTCAGTGCTCAGCGCTCAGCAGTCATCGGTCATTCGTGAGGTGGATTGTCTCCGTAGCAACTAAACAACAGCAGCGCCTGCTGGACCATAGTATGTGACTCCATACGAACGTCGCGAGAGAAGTTCGTGGTCTTGTCGGAGGTACCGTATCCTGTTGCGCCATTCAACCACGGCGAATGAGGAGTAAAAAAATGTAGGCTCTGGAGGTAACTGTTTGTCGGGCTGGTCCCATCATAAACTATGTCTCCAGTCATCGGGGACGACTCGACTCGAGTCACTCGACAAAGTTTCTGGTTTATGACTATCAGCCATAACCGGAAATGAGACACCTGACATGCTTATATAAGCCACTTTAATGAATGTCACATCCGGCTCGGTTTCAACATTTTGCTTCTTGCAAGATTTCTATCAAAAGCAGATCTAGACCTCACTAGAGCATTCGAAACCTAGACCAGAGCGTTCCAGGGCGCTCTAGATCATCTTTCGAATGTAATCCCGCTGGCCATGGCGTCAAAGGGTTGTAAAATGTCAGTTTTCCCGCTCTGTGAACTACAAAGGCAGCGAGCGCTGAGCATGCCCAATATCTCGTTTGCTATGTACTGCAAAATTCTATGGGTCTCCGAAGCATACATGAATGTCCAAGAGCGGTTCGTAATGGGCAAAGCTCTGATTAATGACATGGCGGGCTCCGACAGACCAAGGTACGCAAACTCATGCTGGAAGCTCGAACTTCTGGCCGTGGAGGACTCTGTAATCGACATCACTGGTAAGCATACCTTCGGTACAGGAATCATGCAAAAGGCCCACTTTGTGAAGTAGACGTAGAAGAAATCGAGGTAAAGCCCGGTTTGCACCAGTCCAGCTGTGACAGCTATGGGGTCCACCACATCCTCCGTGAAGTATCTGTAGGACAAAACTGTTCGGCCATGAACAGAATTCATTGCACGCACACGGACCTATATATCCAGTTGGGAAGGTACAGAGCACGATAAAGACCCAGAGCGGCCAGATAGTGCGTTGTAATTGTCTCAGCTTCGCCGGTACGCTGCAACATGAACAACTGGGGGAAAATGGCGACAGATTCGAGATATATGGAGAACGTCCAGAGAATTTCGGTGACCTCGAACTTGTAGTTGAATATCAGTGACAAAAAGAAGCATGGTCCAAGGAGGTATTCAATCTTGAATGTGTCAATGGAGGGGTCGTGCGTTGGTCTGTCAAAACTAATGTCAATATTCATGCAAAGGGCTACACCAGTGCGTACGCACCGGAAACGGTACTTCATGAGGTAGAGGGTGTAACAGCTACTGCTTATGAAGAATAACTTCATCACGAAGTTGTACACAGATATCCAGCGGAATAACAGGTCGATGTAACGTGTCACGAATACGAGAGCGTATAGAGCCTGCGTCTTGAAGGAAATGCCTAGTGAACACAAGTGACACGTCTGAGCAGGGACGAATTGGTGGATCTAAAGCAAAGAACCCACCCCTGCATGACCTGGTCTTCTGAATCTTCTGGATAAGGATGAATATGGAGGCCAAGTGGGCCAAATCCCCTGCAACCACAACCTGTTAGCTTCCCATATAACTTTACAGTAACGCAAATGCAAACCAAGCAACCGAAAAATATTCATATCTTAACGTGACTGCTTCTCCTATATCCTCCAACAGCGTGCTGCAGTTCTCCAATTGATGGTCCTAAAATTTGAGCGTCGTGGAGAAAGTGGAGGATATTGACCGTACGTGCCGACGTGTTCAAATGTTGCTGGCATGAGGCAAAATATTCGCACGCCTTCTCTCCTTCAGTACTTCAGTCCCACCAGGGACGCCCCCGCAAAGTACCTTTATTTCATGCTGGACAACAGCTTCCAGGTTTATAACCTTATACTGTTGACGTGACAAGAGATCCTCTGGCGTCTAGCAAGAATTTTTGTCACACATAGATAGGCAAGTGACCATATTCTTCTCTTGTTTGCGACGATGTCCTAGTAAAAGGGTCGACCTTGACCGTCATGTGCCCTGTCCCTGGCTCTTGAGCCCCAAAAGTGTCTGTTTCCCATTGCATTGCTCCAGCTTACCGCCTTGCATTGTAAGGCCAGACCGACATTGTGTGGCTCTCATTGGCTGGCGAGGCTGAAAGTTCCACAGCCCGCTAGCAAAGGCAGAGCCGTCACTTCGCAGTCATTTGCAGTCTTTGTCGTCTTAGATGATCGCAAAGTTGCAGACGACTTGTGGCGTTTTAGCCGAGCCCTGGCAGCAGAGAATTTGTCTGTCACGGGTGGTCTCTAGATGTGGATTTCTCTTAAACGCGATATCTGCCCGTCCTTGTACGGGTACGCACATTATAAAGTACCCAGACTCAAGATATACGTTTGGGTGTGTGGTTATGTGCGAACAAACTGCAGGCACGAGTTCCGGCGGACATGTGGCGCTGGAGTATAGTCAAGGGCATGAGATCATACTTGGCTGCTTACAGCCCTGAGCTTCCTTGTTTTTCTTGATGTCCATCCTTACAGTTTGACTGATGCGATTGCAGTATTTCTAGATTACCAATTCATGTCAACAACGCTCTTCCGTATAGCCGGCTGGACGTACCTCCCAGATTTTGCAACAAGACAAGCTCTTCGTGTAATTCACCAGACGTCTTCTAATATCTTTCACCGGCATCCACCTGACCCACGAACGCCAGCTTATGCATTACATTACCGACTTACTTTCGCAGCAGTTGTCCTCTGCTATCTCATCTACAACTTCTTGGACGCTTCGGGAAGTATCACAAACAATTTTTACGAGCTTCTCGGCGTATATCCGAACTCTAGTGATGCCACTCTAAAGACGGCGTTTCGCGGATTTGCAAGGAAATATCATCCAGATCGAGTAGGTCCATCAGGGGAAGCCTTGTTCATCGAGGTTAGGGATGCTTTCGAAGCCTTGAAGGACCCCGTCGTCAGGTTTGCATACGACAGGTGCGTGGTCTTGCGAGCAGTACGGCTCGATCACCTTAAGCCTACATTTCAGATTCGGACCTGATGTTCTGAAGTGGAAAGAATGTACGACCATGCGCGAGTATCTCCGGCGCGGACTACTGAGCTCGTCATTGTACCACATCATGACCGGTGCTGGTCTCATTCTTTTCTCAGCTATCGGAAAGCCCAGTCCAATAGCAGCAGTGAGTGCTAAGCATATTTGCGACGCTTCCCCTTTTGATCAGCTTCCTTGTGCCTGTTTCAAGTGGCGTTATCTGCTTTTTCTTTGCCTTTTTGCATCAGAACTTTATCTCCTCCTTGCCCCCTCGCCTTCCGCATTATCACCGGGTCCTTTCATTGATGCTGCAGCCTCGCATGCCACGATCCTTGATGTTGCATTTCCAAAACGTATAGTATACCAGCATGTTCTCCTCCTCCATCAAGTCTTCTTTTTCCTTTCCGTTGCATTGTCCCGTGTGGCTCCTGTCCTTTTTCCCTCGCTGATGCGGGGAGATCCCATCGTAGATCAGCAGATTGTACGCGCTATGGCCGAGAGGCTTGGTGCCCTGGCAAAGACAACAGAACGGGAGTGTGAGTGAACCATTACCTTTATTGGCACATCAAGTTCTGATATGCACCAATTTTTTTTTTATCTGACTCTAGTATCAATTATGCTGGATACGGAACTGCTTGCAATCCATGAGACACCTATGGTCACTTCTGAAATGAGCACGCTATCACGGCCACAGGAGATGCTCAAGAGTGATATCATGCGTGTTTTAACCATGGAAATGGAGGATGTGGTTGTGGAGAATAAGCTGAAGACGGAAGTCGGACCTGTGAAGACTGCATGGGACTCTGTTGTGGACAAAGAGATGAGGAACAAAGATCAAGGTTGGCGATTGCAAAAAATACCAGACAAAGTGCCGTCGCCTCCAGAAACGCGTCAAGTGAAGCTACACAATCGCCCTCGATCTTTATCGTTGTAATGCTTTAAGTATTTTGAAACTTTGCAAAAAGATTATGAGGTTGCCCTGTCCACTCATCTGTCAAACTGACAGAATAAGGTTTTGTTTGGGAGCCATCTTATGAAGCTCATGGTACCAGAGATCCAATGTAGATCCGCAGGTGGCTGAATGCAGCTATCAGGGTAACTTGGAAGATGATGATGAGCCCCCGTGAGGCCAGCACATGACTCACCTGCAAGCAAAAACATGCGCAGGCCTCATGGCTCGCTTGCATGTAAAAGCGTGTAGTGTGACGTCCAAGAGATTCCTCTGAGATCAGCTGACTGCGTCGGTCGAAATCGGTTATCAGGACTCAGAGTGACCCTCCCTCAAAATGATCAATCATAGGCATCAAAGAAGATGGGGTCGGATCTGCCATGTCCGACGTCACCGATGTCACGGCATTGTTGTCCTTGAGGTGAAAATAAGGGTTGAATTTTTAGTGCTACATACGGACCCTATTGGACTGATTTACATAAGGATCTACAACTTGGGTGGCTTACATTGCTACTTATACAAAGGGTCGCCGCGCTCCATTCAAATTACATGAAATCTCTTTTGTCTCCTCCCCCTTCCACTCCAATAACATGGAGGTAGATTCTCAACATGCTGAGACATCAGCAGCAGGTGCTAAACGCCAGAGGTTGAGCCCAGAGGCCAGAAAGCTCTTGAAGGGTTAGTCTTCCTCCATCTATTTACACAAAGTGGAACCGCACAGCTGTGCCCGATGAGACACAGTGGCATATCAAGGTCAATGCTAGAGGTATGCTAACCCTTTCCGTTCAGATTTTGCCGACCATGTTTCGATGAATCCGGATTCATTTCAAAGACAACTCTTGCTCGACCAGGTGCGACGCTTGTCGGGGTGTGGACATGTCGATTCCAAACACATAACCACATGGTTTCCGCGCTATCGTGCCACTGTAAAGAAGAACTCGATGAAAAACGATGACAATATCCGTACGTGTTCTTGCTTTCGAACATGCGCATATATGCACCTTTGATATACGCCATCTTGTTGAACAGTGTTCCCGAATTTCACGTCAGAGCAACTCGAAGTCTTAAGGCCATTGCTGCGTAACAACCCGCTTCCGAGGAAGGAAATGATTGACATCTGGGCCGCATGTATCAAGGCAGTGCCCGAGCAAGTGAGCCAGTGGGTCTTATACCATCAAGCAAAGGCCGCGCCACTGCGCGAGACCTCGGAACAGTCCATGAGTGTATCGCCCACCGCACCACTTCCTCATCTTCCCACACCTGCAAGGTCGCTATCACCTGTTCGTGCGCGTGGCATGTCATTGCCATTGATTGCAACAAAGGAGGAGCGTTCTCCGAGCTCTCCTTTATTGGACACATGGCCAACATCACCTGTTTCCCATGCAAGCTTGGCACAGGAGGAGAGTGCAGACGTGCTTGATGAATTGAATCCGCCGTTTACGCGAAAGCCTTCTTCTGAAGGATCGAGATCTGTGAGTATAATTTACAGCGGCCATGGCACATCTGGCAACTGAATGTGTTCCAGCTGCGTGATAATCCTGCAACGGTACCATCTTCGGCAATGCCAGTGCAATTGGCAAAAGATATAAATCATGTTATGACATCACATGATCCAGCACGCAAGCGACCCTCTACACACGCAGAGTTCGATGCCATGTTCAAGCCATACGAAGAGATGATGACGCAGTTTTTTCACAATGTTGAGAGCGGAAAGTTGCAACATTTGGGTTGGGAGCCTAGTGAGTTTGCAATTACTTGGCTTGTCCAAATCATTGAAACAGCATACAATCAGATATATGCAAAGCAACATGAGTGTATCACAGTTTATTGAATGCCTTGGAAACCCTTCCCTTGTATCGTTATTTCTGCAGTCATCGCGTTCCTTGTGTAGCCGTTTCGCTGCCTTATCATTATGTCAACATGACATACGTAGTAGCATATGAAGTCTGTTCAGCGTATATGGCTTCGGCAAACCAGTATTCGTAGTGATTATACAATAATGAAGCAGAGTACTGCTGAATATGAAGGGCTGGCTGAACACGACGTTTTGACAGAAAGCAAGAGGTCCTGAGATTCCGGGGCATAACTACAAGCGTCAGCGTCTGAGAAGAAGAAAAGGTGATGAATACCTGGACACAGGTAGGACTAGTCCTCAATTTCGGATAGATCACTCTATACTATGATGTACCTAGACACAAGTAGGATTACTACTCTATGGTAAGTCAGTATGAGTGGGAGGATAAGAAAATGACAATAAGCCGTCGGGAGTATCCAGAATACTATATATACGGTAGGCGAAGAAAGAACGGCGTCATGAGTAACAACTACAATGAGGCAGGAACGGCACGAATGAGCGTGCTTTGTAACAAATCGCAGCGGACGCGACGACAATGTCGGGGCCCAATACGTACCACTGGGATGTGAGCCCTTGGCCCCGAAACCGACTCGTGCCAGACCCATTGATAACGCTTGCCACCGTGCATTCATGTTCGACTCCCCAACAAAACTCTATAATCAGTTGTATATAATCTAATCCTCGCCTTTCTCCTTGGTCGCGACAGCCCAAACCTCCTGTACCGAAGACCAATACCTCTCTGGCTCGGCCCGGACGTGCGCTACATGTGCGCTCTCTTCAAACAGCTCGCAACGTACATCCATTCCGCGCTCCTTCGCAGTCTCGGCATGTCGCGTGACCTCTTGCCACGAAACCAGTGTATCCTTGCGCGAGAAAAGGTAGAGGCGGGGTGTATGGTGGCCCATCCATGACAGGATGCGAGGATTCCACATTTCGATCTGGAGGTTTTCCAGCATGATCATTCGTTTACCGAACAGCAGAGAGAGGCCGAAGCGGATGGCGTATGTCGTATGTGCGATTGCAAGTACGATGCGTCTGGCAATTGGTTTCCGGATGACAGTGCTGACAGCGAGTTTGATTGATTTTAAGTCGCCCGCTGCTGGGCACGAGTCAAGGATCAATGCGCTCGTAGATGACCCTGGAATTGATGCGGAACCGTATTTCCGCTGTAGCATGTGTCCAAGAAGTGTCATTTGCAGGCAACCTCCTGGTGTACAGGGTTTAGCTTTTTCCGAGTTCAACCTGGGCTAACCCACCATTGGAGAACACATGAGTGAGTATTCGTGGGGGCCGTTGGGTAGAAGAGGAAGATGGCAAGCAATGCAGTGCTTCTAAGGCATCAATGGCAGGCTTGAGCCTCCGTGACTTTCGATTGTGAGGCGACAAGACAACACTGAGCAATTACTGTGAGGTGCTCACCCTAGCACCCCTTGTAGTCCAGAGCAAGTCGTAATTACACTGGATAACCATCTGAGACGCGTTTGGGTATAATTTGGCGTATTCACGGGTATAATTCCGTAATTGCCTGGGTTGTGCTCCCACTGGAGGTGACTCATTAGACATGGGCTACAAGAATACAAAGGTAAGGGCTTACTCCACCCAAATATCAAAATGACGCTACAGAATGGCCGTCAGTTATCTTGCGAAAATATGGACACTGACTCACTTTGGTGATTGATTATCCTGGGATTGTCCGCGGATATGCCGGAGATATATCCCAGTGCCAATCGTACTGAACCCTTCCAGCGAGCGAACTGTTGGCGACATGCTCGTAGACAAACTTCGTACTGGTGGAACAACACCAGTGAAAAGAAGAAGACCCAAGTATTTATGTTAGCCTGTCACACACCGGCGACTGACAGGATGATTTACCAATTGCGAACCGAGGAGCGACCATCCTGGGACCGAGAGACGGTGTTCGAAACCCAACAGAACTCAACTTCGCAAGAAAATGTCCCTGCGCACAGCAAATTCGAAACATGTAAAGTGTCTCGGGATTGAGCTGTGAATTAGAACGACTTCAGTACTGATAGAAAAAACGATTGAGTGAGTACGGATAGAACCGACACGGATATGGGACACACCACGGGTATGCCAGTAGGGGGTCACGGGTATGCGGCGGGTACTGTACACTAGCAGAAGCTCAGTAAGGTTGCAAGAACAATACTGAGGTGATTGCCAAGGCACGATACATATATTAACGAGAGCGATTAGGTAATGAGTCAAGAGGATTAACATACGGTAAGAACCATTTGATTGATAAAACGAGAAGGGGGCTAAGCATATGGCGCGAAGGTGTACGGGATAGCGATAAGTAAGAGACTCAACATATCGATGCAGGTATGGGTACGGTATGGAGCAAGCGCAGAGACAATCATAACTTACTTGATCATGTGATCAGCGTAGCCTCATCTCGACCTTAAGTAGTACCAAGTAAAACGTCCGACAAAAGTACATATGTTAGGCCTCAGAGGATCTAACAGTTTCAATTGAGAGTAGAGTTAGCTTTCTCATACTAACATCCTGGATCCCATCTCACACGCATCATGCTGCACGGAGCTGCTATTGAGGATGGTGTATACTTGCAATAACCAGATCAGCGATTATTCGCGCCCAGGTACATGTTTCATCTGTCTGGATCTCTTCGAAACAATCAAAAACTCGTTTAGCGAACCAGCCAGTGTCACTTGATTTTGGAGCTGTCCCCATCAGCTTTCCGAGGGGTTCCAGTTATGTTCGCGCCAAGGGAGAGAGAAAATCCCCAGTCGACTGTCGGCTTTTACACGCATGAGAGAGATAGGAATGCAGACTGCTTGACCCAAGGGAGCTTGTCGTTACCCTTGGTTTTCTAAGGAGAACTGACGAGCTTCCCTAGTTCACTGTTGTTGACGATATTGTTTGCAGGTTTTTGAAATGGCAGTACTTGTAATACCAAGCCTACCAAGGCGCTTTTAATTGTGTCAACTTTGGTTTCATGAGGTTGAAAATCCTACAGTTAGTTAGTACTAGTAAATGATAGCTTTGGCATATGTGGGCCGAGAATCAGCTCGGTCGGTTCCCTAACCTGATCATCGGACGCAATGCAGCCAGTGTCGCAAGTTGCTGGTCAATTAGATTAAGGTGAACATTTGACAGAGCGTGTGCATGTTGGTGGTCGTTCAGGAGATTGTTAAACAAAAGAGTTGTTGTATTATGGCTTTTGTTTGCAGGTTGTTTGGTAAGAACAATGCAATCTGGTCTCGAGAACGCTGACATGTCAAGTTCGTAAGACTGGGATTGGCCACGAATTCTTCTCGTCTTTTTTTCTTCCAGTCCTCTGTGCCATAGTCTGTTCTCGGTCTCCTCTTTCTAAATTTCATTTCTCTGCCGCATGATCAAGCGAATGGCTGATAAGATTGGGCACTTCAGCCAGCCTCAGAAGCAGTCTAGCCTCACAGGACTTGCGAGCTTGCCTTACACTCCAATGTCTCATTCAATATCAGTTGCTGCAGACTACCATCGCGGCTCGATATCGACACAGCGAACGTCGTCCAGCGAATGGACCCAGCAAGAGAACAATCTCGAAGCCGAGACGCTTACACTCTCATTCCCGCGTGTGCCTTCGAGGCCAAAAGCATCCTACCGGCTCTCCGACTTCATAATACAACGAACCCTTGGGACAGGTTCCTTTGGCAGAGTACATTTAGGTACGTCCTTTGAAGGTACTCGTTATACCATCATCTCATTTAGCTTCTCAGTCAGGAGCAAGCACAATCTCCGCTTCTACGCCATCAAAGTCTTGAACAAAGAAAAGATTGTTCGGACGAAACAGGTCGAACATACCAACAACGAGAAGATGATGCTTGAAGCCGTTCAACACCCCTTCATCATTAATCTTTGGGGTGCGTTTCAGGACGCTTCCAACTTATTCATGGTCATGGACTTCGTACCTGGTGGTGAACTTTTCACCCTGCTACGACGCTCGAATGTGAGTCTTTTCCAATAACTCTTTCAAAAAATGTTCCGACGTCTTTCTGGAAGCGCTTCCCGGATCCCGTGGCCAAGTTTTACGCCGCAGAGGTCGCCCTTGCTTTAAACCACCTACATTCCTCCGAAATTATATATCGTGACCTTAAACCAGAGAATATCCTTCTCAACCATGATGGCCACATCAAAATAGCAGACTTTGGATTCTCAAAGCACTGCTCATCAGTGACGTGGACATTATGCGGCACGCCTGATTATCTTGCACCTGAAGTAAGCGCCTGTGGCCACCCAAGTTTCAAGTCTGACTCGCGCATTGCCTCAACAGATCATAGGGCAGCAACGGTACAATAAAAGTGTTGACTGGTACGCCCTAGGCGTACTAATCTTTGAAATGCTTTCTGGACTTCCCCCTTATCACCAACCCGACCATAACCCTGTTTTACTTTACGAAAAGATCACTCGTGGTCCAGCCTTCATTCGCTGGCCACCATTTCACGACAATGCTAGAGACATTATTCAAAAACTGATGGAGGGCGAGCCCTCCAAACGATACGGAAACTTGCGGCATGGCGCAGGTGATGTCTTCGCACATCCATGGTTCAGCGAGGTCGACTGGGACAAATTGCGGAACAGAGAGATCACCGCTCCTTACCTTCCTAAAATTTCAGGAGACGGCGATGCGAGCGCGTAAGTTTCGTTCATTCTCTGATCCTAGGCTTCGATGCTCAATTTGGCGTAGCTTTGAACAATACCCGGAGGATAACGTTGCCTCACTGTACGGACTTCCAGCCCAAGACACATGGGGACAGGATTTCCCCAATTTCGAGTATACCAGCCATTGAATGGGACTTTGTTTTTTCAGTTATCGCTACATTATTCTTTTTGGAACGATGACACCATCCATCACCTGCATTTGTTGTTGTAATACCCTTACATGCCGACACCCCCTGCGCACTGTACATTGTATACCAGTCATGGCGGTTGTTCTCAGTAGTAACCCTCTTGCTCGTTCCTCCATTCAATCCGAGTATTGACAACCATCATCCCCGGGTGTGATTTCTGGTTTTGCAAACGTGCCTGAGTAGTAAGCGTCTCATCATGCTCGCACTCCTATTTGTTCGGAACAAACATCAACATCATGTCGAAAAATGGGCTGCCGTTTCCCCGAAACCTCGAACGACCAGCTAGTTCAGAATCTAGTCTCATAATTTTTCACCAGTGGGGCCCCATTCTCTACCACTGGCCCTGTGGTCCAAGAAGCTCGCCAAACCGTTAGGAATTTGCAGAGATCGACAGGCGCGGGCGCTCAAGCTAGGTGCTAGCGGCGTATATTCGTTTATGGCTGCAAAACATGCCAACAAAACACCCAAAATGGTCAGCGTCAACGAAGAAGAGCGAGAAAGGTCGTAGGGGTGGCATGGGGCATGGGAAAAGGGAGAGTCGTGGCAGGCGGAATGGGGCTCTTATGGGTGCGCAGGCGGTGACGCAGGAGGATGTTGCTGTTGAAAGGACAACAATGTTGCTGGAAAGACAGGCTGAGTTGGATCAAATTATGGACACGCATGATACGATGGTGAGTCTGTCCGTGTCACCGGGGGAGTTCATTGTTTGATATTCGGATTAGGTGCGAGAGGTCTTTCACTTGGAGAAGTTCGTGACCCTCATCGAATATGACCCAACTGTACGTTCTTCGTATTGCGCAGTTTATTCGCACTTATTGGTTGTCAGGTTGCCAAGCTGGACAATTCGATCGTGTTTCAGGAGGTGCGTGGGGAGGGACAACGCTAGGATTATGACACTTACGGAACGACCTATCTTGTCTTCACAGTATAAGTCGGACTATGACCTGCTTGAAAAAGCCTCTACATCCGCAGGTCCATCGCGTGCTACAAGGAGGGCTCATATCGCGCGTGTTCAAAACCTCACTACACCCCTTTTACCTTCCGCGACTACTCGAGTGCACACTGAACCCGAATTGCCCCTCTCCGCTAAATCAAAAGGGAAACAGAAAGCGGTCGAGCCCGTCAATGATACTGTGCCTATTGAATCAGTTACGCCGAATAAGCATGGGAAAACGAAATCTATATCTCAGCCTCCGAAACTCAGACCTTTGCCCTTGATTTTGCCTGTGGATGGCGAGCTTTCTATCTCCGTGGGGCCTGTACGTGGCAAGAAGAGGAATATTGCTGTTGCTTCCCCCACGGGTTCACCCGCTGCTCCCCCTTCTGCAAAAAAGAAGCGGAAATTCCAGGAGGGACTAGCACCGGAAGTAGTAGAGACTCCTGATGTCTTGGGGCACAAGTCAACTTTGCCAAATGATATATTGTCGGAACCCTCCCAGATCTCTGCTCGCCGTAAGTCTTTGGTGAGTGTTCATTACTGCTTGTGGTTTTCTCGCTTACACCTCTTTCAGCGACATCCTCCAGCTGTGACACGAAAACTAACAGCGTTCCAACTTCCAATCGAAGATGAACCACCACGTCCACAACTTAATATCAGACGCGTCAAGCTAATAGTGCGACCTCCACCCCCATTGTACTCCAATCCCCGCCAACAAGCTCCCCGTCCTCATTTCCGTTCATCACTTTCCAAATTTCTGGATTCGTATATCTCCATTAACGACTCAGATCTACGCGAGGACGATCTAAATCTCATGGCTCAGAAGAAGGCTACGCTACTGGACAAAATGGAGAGCTTCAGGCAACAGGGTCGCCTCATTGTTGACAACGCGACCTTCAATGAGATGTCTAAAACAAGGGGTGGCGCGAGTTTTCAGGAACCAAAGCAAGACCGTGATGCTTGGGATGCAGTCTTAGAAGTAATCACTCAACGCTCGCGACGGGAGCAAGTGAAAGGTCGAGCCATCACTGCGCAGATATCGAGTCGCATTAAGGCATATTGGGATCAACGCGCACAGCGGGAGGATAAGGCAAAAATACACGAAGAAAGACGACTTCGTGCTTTGGCGAAGGCGACTATCAAGATGGTCACTAGTGAATGGAAAAAGGCTGTCTTTGTACGCATCATACGTCTTATTTTGGAATATCACTTTAATTTTCATACACATAGCACATTCGGGAACAACATCGACTGCAAGCGGAGGCTGAAGAAAGGCGCCGTGGTCATGAGCATTTGGATGCTATCCTCAACCGGTCTGGGCATATATTGGAAACTCAGCAGGCAGAACTTGCCAGAGGTGATACGTCTCGCAGCAGATCGAGTAGTGTTTCTGGTCACTTTCTGGATCCGGGATTCGACTCTGAAGGCTCGGAAAGTTCGGAGTCTGAAGTGGATGAAGGAGATGCTGATGGTATGGATCAGCTATTTTCGTCACAGGCGAGCGACCGAGATACAGAGAACGCTGAGGAAGAAGAAAGTACTAAGGAGGAGGATGAGGAGGAGGAGGATGAAGACGGAACTAGCGCGTCGGCATTACTGGGGCCATCACTCATTCAGCTTGGAGGTGAGGATGCTTCGAGCGCCACCTCCCAAGCAGGTGTCAATTTATTGGATGCAGAGATGAATGATGGAGAAGAGTCAGAAGCTGTCTTGTCTGTTGTGGCCGTGGAGCCTCCTTTGCTTCTTCCTTTCAGTCTACCGATGTCCCAGGAGACTCCTACCGACACCGATTCCGTCTTGCACGAGCAGACGACCGAAGACTACAGGTCTCCCCATTTCGAGAGTTTCAACGACGCGCCTTCACCAGCCAGCACTGTCGCTGGTCTTGAAGAAGAATCCGAATCGAATTTTGATGGTGATAAGGGGATAAAGATGACTGTCGCCAAATCTGCTCCGGACACTTTGGCTTCTGGTGCTGCCGACGTTGATATGGGTCAAGTCACTGAAGTCGAGACCGAAGATGATTATGCGGGCTTTCCAGTGGTCGAAACTCCATCCTCTCGCCCCCCATCCCCTTCCTCTGGTATGATAGTCGACGAGTCTGAGTTACTTGACGAAACAGAGGACATTCACCAAGAAGAGGACAACATACCAGACTACCTGAAACCGTACGCTGTCGCGCCGGTTCATTGGAACACTGAAGACAAGGTGAAAGTTCCCGTGTTGATTCGGGGTATTCTCCGTCCATATCAACAATCCGGTTTGGAGTGGCTTGCGAGCCTTCATGTTAACAACCTAAACGGCATACTTGCCGACGAAATGGGATTAGGGTATGTTTTTCTGCATTCTTGTTTAAGCGTTGGCTCACTCTATTCAATAGGAAAACCATACAGACAATATCGCTTCTTGCTCATCTGGCCTGTGACCGTGGAATATGGGGCCCGCATCTTATTGTACGCGATTCATGCCTTGCTCTTTGCGTTTACTAACCAGCCATATAGATTGTCCCGACAAGTGTCCTCCTGAACTGGGAAATGGAGTTCAAGAAGTTTCTGCCTGGGTTCAAAACTCTGAGTTACCACGGATCGACGAAACGTCGCAAGGAGCTCCGCCAAGGGTGGTACAACAAGCACCACTTCAATGTCTGCATCACCTCATACACGCTCGCCAGTCGCGATGCTCACATATTCAAGCGCAAAGCTTGGTATTACATGATATTGGATGAAGCGCACATGATCAAAAATTTCAAGTCCCAACGATGGAACATTCTCTTAATGTTCCGCTCCTTTCGGCGTCTTCTCCTGACTGGCACCCCCCTACAAAATAATCTGACTGAGTTGTGGGCGCTTTTGCAATTCCTGATGTCTGGTACCAACTTCGCCAACCTCAAAGAATTTGGCGAATGGTTTTCAAGTGCGCATGCTCGCGTTTTTGGGTGTAATGTATCATCGCTTACTTCTGATACGTAGATCCTTTGGAGAAAGCGATTGAAATGGGCACCTTGTTGGATGACGAAAATATGCAACGCGTGACCAAACTCCACACAGTTCTCCGTCCCTATCTGCTCCGCCGTCTCAAACGTGACGTGGAGAAAGAGCTTCCGAGCAAGTACGAGCACCTTGTTCTGTGTCCCTTATCCAAACGGCAGCGGTTTCTCTACGACGAGTTCATGGACCGTGCACATACCAGAGACGCATTACAATCTGGTGTGTACCAGAAGATCGCAAATATTCTCATGCAGCTTCGCAAAGTCTGTAATCATCCGGATCTCTTTGAAGTCCGTCCGATTGTGACATCTTTCGCTATGACGCGTTCCGTTGTCGCAGACTTCGAAATCAAGGAACTACTAGTTCGGCGGGAGCTTCTCCGCGCCAGTGACGAAGACGAGCTTAATCTTGATCTTCTTGGCCTGCGGTTTATAAATCAGCAAAACGTACCTCTACTTTCCGCTTTGGAAACGCGGCGCCTTGATGCAACGCATCGACTCCCACTCGTCTCGGAAATGCCTGAGGAGCCGCCACCAATGGACACTCGCACTATTCAAGGATACCGTGCTTACCATGCATATCAACAGCGGGTTGCACAGGCCGCTCGCTGGACACAAATTGGTTATCTCAATAGCCTGCGCTGTACACAGTTGCCGGTCTACAGCCAAGAGCTGTTGACTATCGCAAAAAAGTGTCATCAACCAATCCTCCCCCTTTCCGCATTGGATACAAGGCATCGCTTCATGGACATGGCTCTGCCTCTTCATTCGGCGGTCAAAACTTACGCAGACCGAGCTAAAGAGCTACACCCTGTAGTCGAAAGGTTCGCTTTCGTCACTCCAGCCGCAGTTGCTTTGGACCTACCTCGTTTCGCCCTGGCAGGATGCGAGCACGCTATATCCCGTCAGCCATTCGACTTCGATAGCGTCCTGCATCTTGCGAGCGTCAAGCTGCAGATAGCGTTCCCAGATCCATCGCTTCTCCAATATGATTGTGGTAAACTACAGGAACTTAGCCGCCTGCTCCGACAGAGGAAATTGGAGGGACATCGTGTTCTCATCTTCACACAGATGACAAGGATTTTGGATATCCTGGAAATTTTCCTCAACTTCCATGGCTATCTCTATCTTCGCCTCGATGGAGCCACCAAAATCGAAGACAGGCAATACATCACTGAGCGGTTCAATGCAGATTCCAGAGTTTTTTGCTTCATTTCTTCCTCTCGGTCGGGTGGAGTAGGTATCAAGTAAGTGCTTGTAGATTTCCTTGTCTATTGATTGCTAACCACTTCGATAGTCTTACCGGAGCAGACACAGTCATCTTCTATGACAGCGACTTCAACCCCCAAATGGATAAACAATGCGAGGATCGGTAAGATGCTCGTTTAATTACTAACTTGTTCAATAAGTGATTAAATTTACTCTCAGTGCCCACCGCATCGGTCAGATAAGAGACGTCCACATCTACCGATTTATCTCTGCGCATACTGTTGAAGAAGCCATGTTGTTGAAAGCTAACCAGAAACGTTCTTTGGACGATCTCGTCATTCAAAAGGGCGAATTTGACTGGCGATCCCTGTTCGATGACCAAGGTGCCCTATCGAAAGCGCTAGTCGAGTTCGAGGACAAGGAAGATGTCCATGCTGCCGCTGTAGCAGCAAGAGAAGAAGACGTCATGGAAGGCGCTGATCAAGCTGATTTCGGTGCTGAGGGAGAAATTGATGCTCCCCTATTACAAAGTAGTGCGGAGGAAGGTCAGCCTACTGGCAAGGAAATGTTGGATGTTTCCGAGATGGACCAAGTTGCAGAGGAAGAAGACGAGGGTGGGGCAGTGTCGGACTACATGATTAGCTTTGTTCGGATGGATTACGATTTCTTCAAAGATTGGCGGCTATGATGGCAACTTCGTGTTTTCTAGATGTACGCTGTTGGCTAGTGTCTTCTCCCCAGTGCTATTTATCAATTTATATATGTCGGTTTCGAAAAGAACTGATGATGAAATTGAGCGCCTGGTAAGTAAGTCTGAGGTCGGAACTCGATCGGGAGTGTGTATTTACATAACACTCATCAAAACAAACAGTACTGGCATTTTCGCTTCCACGCTCTCGAACTTTATCGTTGCAGTCCACAGGATGGGCAAGATGATGATAACAGATGTCCTGCACCGCACTTTCGTCAGTGGACTGGCTGCACTAAGCGTGTATGGGTTATTCATGGGCTATGCTGTGCACCGCGAAACACTAGCCAAAGGGAGAGGTGAGATGATGTATACCACCAATTTCGCCCAAAGTTTCTGACGCAATTTGTGCAGAGGTGAGAACACTTCAGTACTGGCTGATGAGCATAAGGCAACTGACATTGACTATCGTAGTTTATGGCATTGAAAGAAGCTGAAGCAAAGCAGCGCGAGCAAACCAATGCAAGCTTCCACATTTTACAAATGATCTTGTCCTTTTTCTGACGCTTCTCACAGGCTGAGGAGGAAGCGAAGGAACTTGCGCTGGCAGAGGCTGCCCAGGCTGTTTTCCGCAAAGGGTCGTGACACGGCTGCTGCCCTTCTGCTACATCTTTTTGGGCCATTCGAGGGTCATCATCGTGGCAGTTTCCTGCATCTGCACGGCATAGATGCGGTGTAATTCACCTCGGGCTCGCCTCGCGTAACGTTCTTATATTACGATTAACAAGCTATTCATGCCCATCGCTTCATTGCCTCGTGGATTGACTCACAAGGTCATGTTCCTTCAGCTTTAATTGCCCAAGGAGAGACTGTGACTGAGCCCGACTTGTATAGCAGCTCAGCCGAGGATGTGCCGGATGAATAAGCGCGGATGTTTTGTTTCGACGTTTCCTGCAGACATGCGCTTCATCGACGCTCCATACGAATTATTGTTGGCATCTAACGATAGCTCCAGGGCGCTTTCAAAGCATGATCAATCAGCCCTTTTGACACAATTTCTTAACCTACAACTGCAAGAATGCAACCAAGGTGATGTACAAGAGCAACCCGTCAAAACTCGATGCTACCAGCACGCTGAGACTGTTTTGATCACATAAACGGGCGCGTAGTACCATGTTTGGACTTCCATAAACGTTTTCTGACGCGGCGCAAGACGGATTTCCTGGATCAAACCGTCAAACACACAACACCCTTTCTGTCAGTCACATCGTCAGGATGCGCTGGAGAGTCGCAGCAACACATAGCAGACGCCTACATCACGGTCCATGTCGCTTGACTGTCAGAGACTATTACTGGCATCAGGTGGACGGTACGCTTTCCCAAAAACATTGCGCAAAAGTAGCAGGGATGTTTGTAAGCGATTCAGTGAGCTCAACTGAGTTGGTCCTGAGTCAATATATATTTATCTGACTCCAGTACATTGTCCCTCCATATATGATACGAGAAAGACACCTCACGAACGGTGCGGCGCCAGATTCATGCTCAATGCGGGTTTACATTCCTACTACTCTCTGATCGTGTGTCAATCGTTGGTATATAATGCTGCTCCTCTTCCTTGATGGCCGGGCAGCATGCTACTTGCCCTCGCAATGTCTACAGCTTCTTACGAGCTGCGAGGTCGTCGGCGTCGGCGTCTATGGTACATCAGAAGATCAGCAACAGATGACTCTTGATGCTCCACTACAACTGTGCCACTCGAAGATGGGTCGGGAACGTGTAGAGACTGCATGCAGTGTCATAGGCGGCGAGTCGATCGTCGATCGTGTTGATATGACTGTATTGTATGTGTCTTTCGGTCGCGCAGCAAATTGCAATGCTACTGATGCACGATACTTCCCTTGCGCTTGTCATGCTGCAAACACCAGGAAAGCTTGCTGTCAGGGCCTCATTGATGCCCGCCAGCAGGTTAAATACCCATAGTGAGCAGGACATACAAACCGCAATATCTCCACCCCAAAGTGACATCCAATAATGCGCTTACTTCTATGCATGATCCTCTACCTCGTTGGAGTGGTCCAAGCCGCACCTACTACCAATGCAACTACTACCAGCGAGTATTTTGAAACACCATCATTCACGAATAGAACCCTGTGGAACATCATTTCGAGCTCCGTTCTCACTCTTTTCGCATGTATATATAGCGCTATCCATCCAAATATCCCGAGTCCTAAGGACAGCCCATTTCGTATCCTACGGAGGCGACTTGGCACCATGATAGTGGCACTAATTGCTCCTGAACTGGTCGTAGTGTGGGCTATGCGCCAGTGGATCAGCGCTCGTAATGTTACGAAACAGTTCAAGGAATCAGGGTGTTTCAATGTTCCTCGGCCGCAGAATCAATCTGAAAGTAAGTCGTGCTTTCTGAGACTGGACATGTTCTTCGGACAACTCACCATGCACGTCCTTAGATCATGAGTTGGCTGAAGTGCCTGCGGAGCAAGTTGCTGCTTCTGAAGATCATGATAGAGCCCGGCTTCTCGATGCGCCTTCTGAAGGAACCGTCTGTACTGGTGTTTCTTCGGCAGTTCATATTACTCCAGTGTCCGCTTCAAGATATGGGGGAACTCGTCTTCTTGCGAAGCCAGTCAAAAAGTTATTTCAAGCTTACTTTTCAGTTCAATCCGAAGGTAAGCTGCGTTCGCGCTCTTCCAAACGTTTTGACTGATGTGGATCCTTAGATTACGCGTGGACTCAGACCCACAGCTTCTTTGTGCTGATGGGCGGCTTTATGCTTTATGTAGATGGGGAACCCTACAGTACACTACTGCCTGACGAGGTTCTCAACATGATACGTAAAGGGTTTATTGATGCCCCTACCCTAACGGCAAAGCAGATCTGCGACAAGAGCAAAGGCAATGTGATATCGAAAGGATTGATCATCCTTCAGGTAGCCTGGTTCATCCTGCAGCTCATCACCCGCGCGATTTATCACCTCGAAACCACCCAGCTGGAAACAGGGACGCTCGCCTTTGCGGTTCTCAATTTCCTGACCTATGCTCTGTGGTGGAATAAGCCTCTCGATGTGCAGTGTCCATATCCGGTGTTTTGGAAGTCGACCGAGTCAAAACCAAAGAGGGACACTAGTGTGTATGTCTGCGTCTAGATCGATTATGCCGTTATTTATTGTCTACCTCAGTGACTACTATGATGATAATGGAGAGGATGTGATTACCACGATCATCACCTTCAGACCATTTATGGAACTGACGAGCCTCGTCGTTTTCAGGCATAGGCTCCGAGTTCCTACATTTGATGGCAGCCTTGAAGTACGTGGATGGGACAAGTGGATACTTATATTTGCCGGGATTCTGATGGTCCAACTTCGACTGTTGGATTAACGAAGGCGATCTAACGCGAAGGCTCAGTAGGTTGGGCTGAGTCCGAGCTTTTAGCTCGGGCTGGACGCTGAAGGATTGATCCGCTTACCCTAATGCTGGTGAGCTCCGACCGCGGCTGACTTCAGCGGCCAAACCCAACCGAGCGAGCTAGCTCATGCGTGGGATGTGTGATTGCTTGCTAGGCCGCCCAGGTGCTGCGCTCTGGAGTTCGAACCACACTTTTTACAATCTGCCGCAAAACTGCTCAATACTAATGTTATGATTCGGAGTGTGTTGTCCGACGGTCCGAGGCCGATACAGACAGATTGGCCTGACATGCAAATTTAAGTGAAAAAAACAAACATACTTTTTGTTCAACTCACTCCGAGGCCACCTAAGGTGACACCTTCGGGACCTGAACTTGTACCAGCTGACGTCTCCGCATTCGAAATGCTACATCACGCATCTCCTCGACTTACCGAAGCAGCAAAACTTTTCCGCAAGCGAGTAGTAAATCAGACGGTCTTGCAAGGGGATCATGATGAGGGGGAGGAGGAATACTAGTATTTCCGTGTTTCCCTAGCTGCGCTACATGATCCTAGCTACTCCAACACGCAAAAAACGCGTTTTTGAAAAATTTTATAACCTGGGTTGGAATCCGGACAAATTTTGCGCTCATGGGTAACCTAGGACGGGATCTGGACAAAATTGGACAAAATCCATCCGGACAAGTTGGGGCCTCCGCCAACCCGGGTTCCAAAGGCATTATCAGGGGTCCTCCCGAGACTCACCTACTCTGTATAGGGAAAAGACTTGGCAAGAATGTCGCCAACGAAACAGATGCTGCGATTCAGAGGTGGGGGTACACCGTGGGTTGGATTTCCAAGTGAGTGGAACATAAAAGGGACTCGAGTGGAGCGCGCACATGGAGTCGACGCGAATTGGTTCCGCGGGATCAAGCGCTTCGTCGTCCTTACATGTGGTAGATGTAAAGACATTCTATCACCTATGTTGGACTTAGTGCCGTACGCGGAGTCCTGCCCCTGATAAGAATGTTGTTGCAGCTCTCCCGTCGATTGGATTTTATCTGGGCGGTGTCTTTGGTAGTACTTGCCAGCCTGCTGCTGCCAGACACTTTATGCTAGAAAGTAAGTAGTTGCCCAGTAGCGAATTGGCTTGACATTGACAAGGCTTTTATTTCAAGCAAGGCGTTTAGCTGTTTACGGTCATGGGCGCCTATGAAGGCATGCACCTGCCTGCCTTTTCATGTGCTTTTGTTCTTCGGCGAGGCGAATGCACATGGAAGCTCCCATGAAATTCGGAGGTCGAGTCGTGCGCGTGAACTACAGTTTTCGAAATGAATTTACCAGCAACTCGGAGGAAACCCGACTCCCACGGAGTGTGGAGGAGGGTTTTTGCGAGTAGCAAACACGTACATTCCCCTTCCTATCAGATAACAGAAATTATGCAAGTACTGCGAGGATAAGCATCTTCGTCGTCGCGGGGCTCCCTGTCAACTCCAATACATTATTTTCGGAGTCATTCTATATCAGACAAGAACGTGAAGTGCGTTCTGAGGTGACTGCGGTTGTCGTTAGGGTGGTGGTAGTGATAAGCAATTGCCTATAGAGTACTTACATAACAACCAAGGCTTCTTCAAATTCTATTTTAAGTGCACAAACCCTGATTTCGGGCACCGGATCAGTGAGCAGCGGCAACTGGCCTGGAACTTCGGTAGGTACGACTGCAACAGTCTTTTTCTTCGTTCCATCGTTTTCGTCTTCGTCTTACTAGAAAAGCGCCTCAAGACGCTGATCTCCACTCTTTTGTGATCGTCGCTCCTTTAAATTTTCTTGGCCTGCCTTCTAGCTCAGGCCTCTCCATTAAGACATTTGTCTTGAATTATAATTAGTCTTTCTTTAAACTGTCACTGTTGGCCTAAGCAGGAGACCCATGGTGGTTTCAACGCGCTGCAAATGTCGCCAACTACTCGTATCATTCCTAGCCTTCGCCGTTCTCGCAAGCAGCTTGCTACAGGGAGCTATGGCACAAACCACGTATTCTACGGCTACTCAGCAACTTCAACGTCTCCAAGATCCCAATGTCATTATCACCGACACCAACGGGACAGTTGTGGTTTACAGCCCACTCACTGGGAATGAAATTCCTCAAGGACTCGCAACCGATGGCAGCGGTAGTGGATTCTCATTGCCTGCTGTCTTGTGGATTGCATTCTCGTTCACGGTTGGCGTTCCGTTCATGCTGGCCGGCTTTCGGGGCTGGCGCCTCACCACCGCTACAGCCATAGGCCTATCTGTTGTTGTTACATGTAAGTAGCGACCACCAATTCATGCATAAATTTACTAACTCGTCTACAGCGTGGTCTGTTTTTGTTAATACGTTAGACAATGTTGGTATTTCGGACATCACCTTGACAGTTCTAGTTCTGGTACTTTTTTGTTTGGGCTTTCTCTTCGGGCTTTTGGAAGTGGGTCGCATGGCAGGGGTCCTGCAGTTAGGCATACAGGGTGGCCTCGCCATCGGGATACGGATAGTTTTACTACGCAAGCTTCTGTTGATACCCGACCCTGCTGCCTTCTTCGTCAATTGGCTACTCATTGCATTCTGCGCTCTTGCGAGTGCAATTCTTGTCATTTGGAAACAGCGAGCTGGACTGGTGAGAGTTAATTTTATCCCTGATGGTTTTCCTGCATCCTGACTAAATAAAAATAGCTTTTGGGATCGGCATCCGTCGGGACTTTCTTTTGCGCCCTGGGAACTGACTTGGCTGTTAATCAGCAATCTGGCATGAGTCGGGGCCTCAGATATTTGATTGACAGAAATAGGTATCACATCGTGGTGTGTACTCACCTTGGATTCATTCGAAAAGGACCACGATTTAACCAGATTGCAGGACACTACGAATAATGGGTACTTTCCGCCCACGAGCACATTGGTTATGATCGCCCTCTCCATTGCATTGACGTATGTCATCAGTTTCCTATGTCTTTCACTGTAAGTCTGACATATTGGCACGGGACATGAACAGACCTGCATTCGCATACGCCCAGCACAAGCTGTTTAAAGGCCCTTTCTGCATAGTTCACGATGATGACCTCGAGTCCCTTCACGCACCAAACGAGTTTCCAGCTGACGAAGAACCTAAAATATCAGGCGAGGAAACACCACGGACTAGTCCGCCAAATACGCCACTGCCTACGACCCCTGTGTTGGCTTTGTCACATTTGACGCCTTTGCTAAAAGATGACGGCCGCCCGGCGCCTATTGCCACAGAGAAAGTGCGACCGAACGAAGGCAATACACTCGCGGACGACAGTTAACGCGGATAATAGAGCACGCGGCATTTGGCCTCGGGTCTTATACCCCAGCAATTACCTAAATACCTTAGTAGTCGCATTTCTTTTCATCGCATCTCGCCTTCTTGTGGTTCTCCATCGGAAACCTTGGCATCCATTATGCATCTGCTTCACATTCGGATCCACAATAGACTCTCGTTTGTTTTCAAGGAACTGCCATATCATTCATCTGATTCTGCAACCCGTTGGGTGCCTGTGTGTCGGGTTGGACTCCGATTCAGTTATGTGCCGGTGGTGCCGCCCAGGATTGTAACTACGTGTGCGCATACCGTTGTCCGGTTCAACGCGTTGAGCGGATAAAGAGCGGGGCAGGCATAGAGTGAATGCACCTTGTGACTCTCGTGGGCTCATCGATGATTCAAGGACAGCATGAGCTTCGAAGTGCTAGGGTCGGTGCTAACGCGGGAAGGTCCGGAAATGGTAAGCCAAAAATCAAATATTCACATGTTAAATCCGCCCAAGTCATACATTTCATCGGCTGTATGTGAGGGGGGCCCTCATTCTACTTTGCCCAGCTTTTCATCCGTTGGTATCTAATACCCCAACCAACCCTTCAGACGCCCGGACGCACTAGAATCATGTCAAGGAATGGAGACAAGAAGCCGGTAGGCTTCGCTACGCATATTACGGCTGGAGGCATCGCGGGCGCGATGGAGGCGGTAAGTACACATGTTCGATGTCGTGCACTCCATGTATCAACCAAGGCCCACAGCTCTGTTGCCAACCGCTCGACACCATAAAGGTGCGGATGCAACTCTCCAAATCCGGGATGGCCCCTGGGGTATGTCACGAACAATGTCGTGCGGCGGTCGTCAACTAACCCCCGCCAGACCAAACCACGAGGGTTTGTGGCGACAGGTCTAATGATCGTCAGACGCGAGACGCCATTGGCATTATACAAGGGCCTCGGCGCTGTCCTATCTGGAATAGTCCCAAAGATGGCCATTCGATTTGCTAGCTTTGAAACTTACAAGGAATGGTTAGCGGATAAATCGACAGGAAATACCAGGGTGGGGAATATCTTCATCGGTATATCATTCAATGTTATTGCGGAGTGGAAATTGACTTCTCGGCTTAGCTGGGCTCGCCGCTGGGACGACCGAGGCGGTCGCAGTCGTCTGTCCGATGGAAGTGGTGAAGATCCGTCTGCAGGCGCAACAACACTCGCTTGCTGATCCACTGGAAGCTCCGAGATATCGTAATGCAGGTCATGCGGTCTACACGATTATACGCGAAGAAGGTTTCTCGGCCCTCTATAGAGGAGTATCGCTCACTGCTTTGCGACAAGCTACTAATCAAGGCCAGTTTTCCGAGATCTTCCATTGATACAAGACTTATGGACAAGGTGGATATAGGCGCGAATTTCACTGCGTATCAGGAACTTAAGAAATTGGCGCACACATACCAGCCGGATTTGAAGGACTTACCTTCATACCAACACATGATCATTGGACTTATATCAGGTGCCATGGGACCCTTTTCGAACGCCCCGATAGACACGATCAAAACTCGTAAGTGCATCTCACAGGGATTGCCTGCAACCAAGTAATCCATGACATCGATAGGATTGCAAAAGGCCACGTATGAACCAGGAACCTCGGCGTTCCAGCGAATTGCTGCGATCGCAAAGGAAATGTGGAAGCAGGAAGGCGTCCGGTCGTTCTACAAGGGGATTACGCCTCGGGTTTTGCGAGTGGCTCCTGGACAGGCGATTGTGTTCGCCGTGTATGAGAAAGTGAGAGGGATCATTGAGACGATGAAAGTTTCACCGTCGCAAGATCGGTATTCGGAGTGATTTAAGAAGAGCCAGTATATCCGGGGGGGAATTTATTGTAGATACAGAGGGTTTCAAGGGCGTACATCGGTGTTCTGGCAAATGAAGGGTGTGTGAGTTATGACTTGGTTTGGTTTATGGTTAGCAGACGGAAACGACCCTGAACGGCCCGACCCATATTCGGGTCACCGTCAAGACAGTGTGAAGTCCAGGTTTGAAATCAAAATCTGTCTTAGTGCTTAGAGAAAATGGGCGACAACCTGTTCTGCTCAGTATTACGGTGCATTCTGTTGGCCTGTTCTGCCCACGAGCCTTGCACACTGTGGACGACGAACCGTGATGTCACTGGCAGCACGGCCCGAAAAATTTGTGTCACGTGAGCCAATCGTGGTAAGCACACTGGCAGTAGTACTTACTAATTAGTACACACACCTGAGCCCGAACGTTCGAGTTACAGGTAAGCCTGTATATAACGTAGAAGGGACGACTGTCATCATACAGGTCTGATTAGGGGAGACTAGAGGCGAGCAGAGACCGTGATGGCTGCTCCAAAGAAGGTGCTGATGCTGCATGGGCAAGTACCAGTTTATTCAAATAATTCACGAATCACCAGCAGCATGCATGGGTGACTGATCCACTTCCTCAGACACTCGCAGAATGCTAGTATATTCAGTAAACGCGTAAGTTCCGTTTGGGCACCCTATATTCTTTTACAGGCTGATTCCTCGCAGCTTGGGGCCTTGAGGAAATCGATGGGAAAAGGAATTGAAATGGGTACGCTTGGAATCCATGCAACTATTCCGCTGTACAGCTTATCAGACGTATATAGTATTCGTGGACGGACCAATCGTCCTACTTCCTGTTGATCTCGACGGCACCTCGTCTACAGCTTCATTGGCAGCTCTCGGAGCTTCAGAGGCGGACGTGAAATCCTCTGATCCTTTGACCGCACCTCGAGCGTGGTGGAAATCCAACCCAGAGAAAACTGTTGCCCACGGGTTAGAAGAGTCTTTACTCATTCTCAGAGATATTCTTCAGCGTGACCGGTATGATGTGAGCATGTCCGGCGCACATCATCACATTGAGCTGAGGTAAACTGGTCGTAGGGTGTGTTTGGTTTCAGGTAATCCTTTACTGGCCTTCTTGAACGTCGTTTGGCTTATCGGAAAATCAAAGTCAAGGAGCAGCTATGGCTGCTCTGCTTGCCGCCCTCGTACGCACATCCGCAATTTATTTGGGCCAGTATGACTCATGATGAGGCATTTTACTTCTTTAGCTAGAGCGGCCTCATCTATATCCTCCTTTTCTCATCGACGGAGAGGCTCCTCACCCACCTTTGTGCGCAATTTCCTACCAAAGAGATACAAGTACTGACCCTTGACATAGCAAATTCTGTGTAGCCGTCTCAGGCTTCAAGGCACCCGGGTCTCTCAGTGCAGACATTTTTGGGACATCGTATTCCACACCCACCCTGCACATTCTCGGTCGAAACGATGTCATCGTTATTGAGGAGCGGTCAAAGGCTCTGCTTGATCTGTCACAGGACAAGAGATTGAAGGAGCATGATGGCGGTCAGCTGATTACGCCATGCTCTGTGACTCGTTTTCTGACACCCTAGATAGGCCATTTCGTGCCCTCGAAGGCGAACTGGAGAGAGTTCTTCCGCAATTACTTGGCTGATCCTCTTAACGCCGCTCCTTCCCCGGAACCGAGAACTACTTCTCAGCCTTCCTCCGAAGATTGATACGCCAGCGTCTCAAACAATACCTCAAACTGTAATAGAGCTATGTGATAGAAATTTTATACCTCATCAGGCGCAAATAACAGGCTTTCGAGAGTAGGTGAGGTCATCGCAAACCCAATAAGGTGAACGAGCTTTGTCAGTGAATCATCTAACCAGACTCAGCTCTTTCAAAGTTTCAATTCTGGTTTGCCTAGGTATATTAATACAGATTCCAGGCAGAGAGTCAGTCATTCCTTCGATGACCTGGCAATATCCGAGCTTTCTGATTGCCGTTGTCCGGCTTGTCAAACGCGTTGATTGACGTGTTACGTGTCTTAGACGCGTGTACTTCAAGTTCTACTACCCTGTAGCCAGTCATCCGTGTGGCGCCTACCTCTCACAAGTCATAAGGCCGAATTTACACGTGTTGCCTTTAATTTATACGCACGCATCGTGCGCAATTCATATCCCTTACAAGCCACATCGGCAATACCAAACTGTCATACCCGAGTCGTGTCCCCAGATCGCTCTCAGCGAATTCTACGCGAGCAGGCAAACACATCCCAAACGCGCTCTCTAAAACCGTTCCTATTACCTGATGCGCAGGCATTAATCGCACCGGATAATATTGTTGTTGGTTTGATTCCTGCTTTCGTGACTGAGGTCCCTTGTGATTCAGAGGACGTTGCATTGCAATTTGTAGACCGGTCACCGAGGTCCATCTATCCTACGCCAGCCTGCTTCCCACCTGCGAGTGACACGGTACACCACCATCGCCTCATGTGTCTACAGCCTCGCACAAGATGTCTCAAAAGGAGATTATGCTGATCAGGACTACGCAGTTGGTTTGTTAGCATAATGCGAGGCGCGTCATGGTGTGTTGGGGTCAAACACTGTGATGCTAAGGGAGTGGGGGGTGGGGAAAAGAAAGAGCTCGAATAGAATTGTCTACGAGCGTAGTGGGGGAGCAGAAACAAGAGACGCTGTCAGCGTCTTCCGCTCGCCTAAAGACAATACTCTAATCCTGCGCTCGTGCCTCGCTACGTAATAGAGAACACGAAGCTATGGTACCCTGAAATCAGAAAGGAAAGATTGGCGAATGGAAGCGCGATTCTAAGAAGTATAGCTAAAATTGTCCACGAAAGGAAAGTATTCGCTACTAGGATGTATGTGATTGGAGATGAGTGTTTCGTGTCGATTGGCGCGAGAAGGACGCGCCGCACTGGCCGCACCGGTGTTTTACCCGCAAGTGGACCTCCTTGACATGTCGAATTATGCTCTCCTTTTTCATGGGGTCTCTGCCGCAATCATCCCATGCGCAAGACACGACGGATTTTGCCGGCCCCTTTACTCCGTGCGTCCGCAGGTGTATCCGAAGGTCAGATAGATTAATATTTGCGCCGCAATGGTTTCCGGAGCCGTCGTCCCACAAGCAGACGGTGTTCCCAACATTAGCGGGTGTGAATGCAGGTGTGGGCGCAGGCGCGGGTGCGGGTGTGGTAGGAGTGCTGTAAGTGGCCTATGGAATGCGGTACTATCATTAGTGACAGACAGATGACCAGCATGATAGTCAGCTCACACTGACAGGGAGGACAGACATGTTCTCGCGCTCGTGGTAGCAGAGAGAATCGATTATGCTGATGAGAGGACTTTGGCAACCAGAGCTTGTGACTACATACTTGATACGCCAAGAGTCTGAGCTTTATATGCAGCAAGACCTTCCAACAAGGCCATGCACAAGCTAGTGTACCCACCAATGTGGAGCCGGTTGCTTGTGTCCTCGAGTAGCTCGAATCAAGGTGATTTTGATGTGATTGAGGGAGGGGTAGCCCAATGAGCGTACAAAAGATCATGCGTGGCTCTGGCACGCCTTGAGGTATCGGGACAGGGACATGAGAATTCATTTCGCTACGCCATTTGGTGAACGTAAGATGTTTGAAAGGTACCGATATAAACCTGCGCCTTGTGTCTCGAACGAGTGTTGAGTCTCGTTCTGCTATAAGTTGGTTAAGGTTCAGTTATCATCGAACATGGCGGGCGGCAGTAGATAGAAGCACAATAACCTGCAGGTATAATTCCGCACAGCATATGCCTGGGCCCGGGGAAACAGTTTTCATTTGGGTTTCGCGCTCGCGATACTCATGAACCTTTTCCTGCACTGAATATGACAATGTTACGTGTGGAACATGTTGGACTTACTACGTGTCTGGGACCTGCGGAACTTCTAGAAATACGCACTTACTGATCTGGGTGTGACCCTGTCGATTGTTCTGACCCTGTGGATAGAACAATCGATAGGGTCACACCCGGATCAGTAAGTGCGTATTTCTACAGTACAGTGACATTCCCATCCATCGGCTCCGAGGAGTGAGAAATGCGGGTCCCCGAACGACTCGGAAGAAGAAGAGGAAGAAGTTTGAATCCAGGATTTGGCAGAGGGAAGCAGTACTGGTGAAAATGAATGCCGAACGCCTGCGAAAGTGCCAGGTAGTGATCAATGGTGGGCAGGGAAAAAGAGGAATGATGGGGTGGGAGAGATATCGACTGCGAGGATTCTGGCGCTAGATTTTGTCGTGGACGCGCCCGACAATCCGCGGGTATTAGTATAATAGTACTTACGTTCACGACGGCGATGTCATGATACAGTTGTCGTTTCGCTAGCAGTAAAGATTTCTAGGATCAGCGCTTTCCCTGAATATTGAGTGGGGCCCTGTGGGGGACACTCTTTTTCCTGCAGGTAATCTTGCCATCACATTGTTATCTCGTGCATCGTTCAAAACAACACTGTCACCTGCCGGTGCTGCCGCAGCGGAGATTTTAAATTAAACTCAGACACCGCTTGTGGTACTTAATACGTCGCATGGGCACCCTGGATGTTCCTATGACGCGCATTTTTTTATGTGCAAACTCTATTTGCCCCCACAGACTGGCTCTCGGCGACCACATTAATGCTTCTGCATTATTTTATTTAATACTATCGGTTCAATGGTTCGGACAGTCACACAATGTAACACAATAGTAACACAATACCAGCATCCGCCGAACACAAGCTCCGCTCGGCATCCAGTACATAGCCTGAGTATTATAGCTGACGAGTGTTTAAAACACCGCTACGGCAGACTCGGCTTGGTGACAAGCAGACTTTGTCACACCTGAACAAGGATCTGGTTGAACAGAATATGATTTGAAGCAGAGTTGAGTGAGATATTGCAAAGAGTAACATACTCGTCATGTGTAGAAGCATTAATCACCTGAGTCCCCCGAACACTGATGATCTGAGTCGATTGCAAGGAGAATGTCGGAAATCTCCAGGGGTGCCTTGCAAGTGATCCATATTGGGACATTATTTAGGTGCCTGACAACTATATTGCATCCGTATTCCCAGGGGGTGTGACTTATTTTAAGGTCCTTGCAAGTAATCACCTCGTCAGTGTCGTCACTTACAAGGACTATAGTATATTTTTGGCACTTCCAAGTTGCTTCCAAGCGGGCACACATCAATGATTCAAACTGAGTTCGGAAGTTGCCGGTAGGGATTTGGATCTGAATATGATAACATTTGATGATTCAAATCTGACTTGTTATCGTCGCCTCTCTACTCAGTATTGCCTCCTCCCACGTCTTCGGGCCTTTCTGTCTCATATTCTCCCTGTAATATTCCTGTATGGCGCCGAACAGAAGCGCAAATGGGGGACGCAAGTATGTATTACCCTCAACGTCTGAATCCAACAACCAGATTCACTGTCAATACTGCAACAAGCCGTACTCGTCCCGTGGCATACGGTCTCACGAACAAAGCTGTTTGAGGAAACGAGAGAAGAAGAAGGATGACGATGACTTTGCAGCGCTCGCAGCGCAGGCGGTGGAGGAGCAAATCAGAAAGAAAGGTATGTTGTGAATTATCCTCATATTGACGAGCAGACTAATATCACACAATCATCAGAGGCACGTCGAAAGAGAAAGCGCCTTCTCAAGGGACAAACTAATACTAGTTCACATGTCGTGTCAGACCCACTCCAGGATCACACAGAGAATGTGCCCGATGACTTTATCGCAGGCCCGTCGTTTGAAACGGGATCAGATATGGTTGATGCAATGAGTGTTGGTGGAGACTCACGACAGCGTATGTATTTTGACTATTCATGATGCGTTTATACTCATTCAATGTTTTCGCAATTCAGGTGCAGATTCAGATTCCAGCATGGCATCTCACGGTCCCACACCACCTACTCTGTCCTCGCTTGCAGCGGTACCTTCAGTTCACTCTGATCTTGATACATTCAAGACGGAGTATCATCCACATTCTGGCCGCGCAACCTCTATAGAGACTTTCTCTGCATTTGGACGCAAGCAAGACCAACAACCGCCCATGGTCGACGAAGAACCCTGGCAGCCATTCAGCTGTCGTGCAGACTTCGAGTTTGCAGAACTTGCACACAATGCCGCCCTGAACACGGACCACATGGATGAGCTGTTGCGGCTCATCTGGAGAATCGCTGACGGTCAAGCAAAACTCACGTTCAAGTCCCACCGTGATGTTTCTTCTGCCTGGGACAGGGCGGCTGGTCAGATGACACCTGTAAGAGGAGAACATCACGTTTCCCTTTTGTAGCTACCAATATTTTTACAGTTCAAAAAACATACTATCACTGTCCGGCATAAACGGGAGGACCTCCCATTTGATGTATATACACGCCCATTGTGGGACTGGGCCTTGGACTTATTACAGGACCCATTACTGGCGCCGCACTTCGTTTGGGATGCACAGCGGTTATATAAACACGACGGGACACATTTCGAGCGTTTCTTTCATGAACCTTGGACTGCGGATCGTTGGTGGAACGTCCAAGTATGACTTATTTTTTTGTACTGTCGTTCAAAACCCTTACTTTCATTTTGTATTATAGTCGTCTTTACCTGAAAATGGAGTCCCATTTGCATTCATATTGTACGCAGATAAGACACACCTTTCCTCCGCGGGCACGGTCAAAGCTTACCCGGTCTTCGCTCGATGTGGGAACTTACCCATTCACATCCGAAATACTGACGGGCTTGGTGGTGGGCGGATGGTTGGTTGGCTGCCGATAGTACGTATTTATTAAATCTAACTGAAAGTCTCATTGCTTCTGTGACTCTTTTGCATAGGTTCCCGAAGATTCTGAAGAAGACGGCAAACTGACGTACGTGAACCTCAAACGAATTGTATGGCACGAGGGGTTTCTCAAGCTACTCGAGACCATAATACTCTACGCCCAGACAGGGTATGCATATCTCTGTTATGATGGTATCGTTAGGTGGTTGTATGCCTTCATTTTGCTCTTATCTGCTGACTATGAAGAACAGTACGTTGTCTACTAATTCTCTCGACAATTTTCTGATCGGTCAATACTAGATGTGTCATGGCGCTGATACGGGGGACGAATTGTCACTGCCCCTGTCCTATATGCCTTGTCCCATCGGATAAGCTCTATGACAATGCCTCTACTTACCCAATCCGATCGCCCGAAGATGCACAGGCTTGCGTAGAACTGTGGAATAGGGACAAAAAGGCTGGAGAAGAGGCATTAAAAAACGGGGCCTGCGGCCAGTTATGGTTAGTGCCCATTATATCCTATAAGTGTTGATTGAATCTGACTTTTTTCCTTATAGAATGTCTTCTGGCGGATCCCAAATTCCAACCCTCACGAAACGATTTCGCAGGACCACCTCCACGTGTATCATATAGGGGAATGGGGGAAACATCTATTTGGCGAGCTCAAACGACATGCAGCAGCTCTGGGACGCAACGCGGAGAAGAAGATTGACGACCAGTGAGTTGATTTATCTAATACGCTCGCTATCTGAATCAGACTAATTATGAATAAACGCTCTTTAATTGCCCACAGGTTTGCTGCCTTCACACGCTGGCGCAATTTGAATCATTTTGATCGAGTTACTAACATTACCTACAGTGACGGTAACAAACTTCGGGACATTTCCAAGGTATGTCAATGGCACATTGATCGAACAGTTCAAACTACTCACATTTAATTCGAATAGCAAATCTTATATACTGCCCAGAATGTACTGACGCGCACAGATGACGAAGCTGGCTATGCGCTTCTACGGTGCATAGCCAGCTACCTCCATATCGACATGTACGTGTCACTCGACGTGCACACAACAAGCACAATCGAAGCAGGAAAAGCTGAGGTTCTGAAGTTTCAGACGCATTTAGAGGTATGCTATGTTGATTCTGCTTCACGTCAATGTAGTATACTGACAATAGTATTTATTCAAACATGATATAGGAGTACATGGCAATTATCGATGAGACCGATCCAGATGTGACGAAGAATTGGAACTTTCCGAAGATGCACGCCTCAAAGCACATCTTCGATGACATCGTCGCGAAAGGTGCCGCCCGCAACTTCAGTACTCGACCGAACAAGAAGCAGCACGGACTGATCAAGCGTTGGTATCTACGGCAGACCAATCGTAAGGATATTGCTAGTCAGGTATGTCATCGCCAACTCTGGAAGAAGTTTGCTTCCTGTCAATAACTTCAACTTTGCATATATATAGATACTTGAACTCGATCATAAGAGCTTCGTTGCGGAATTCATTCGCAGCCGTATTGTGTTTCTTGATGAGGAACGACATAAACTCACACTCTCACGGGAAGAACTCGAAGCAGAGGACGACGACGACGAGCCATTTGAAGCTCACCTGCATATTGGTTCACCCCTTAGGAATCTTACCAGCCTAGCGCAAGTGGAGGAGGACAACAGGTCAAATCGCGCCTTTGACCAGTTCAGGAAGAAGCTTGCGACATTTCTGAATCACTTCCTGCCCTCCCACCACATACCATTACCGGACGGAATAAGGTGGTTGAAACTTTCACCGCAAGACCAGGTGAGTTTCCTTCACTCTGAAGTGTTTATTGAATCTCTGACACTTTTCAAAAAAAAGGTTCATGAACATCGCTACCTCAAAGTCCAATATGAATCTACTACTACCTGGAAGTTGGCCACTGACTATCTGCGATGCAGTCCAAGTTTTCATGGCCACGAGCGTCGCGACTGTGCTCTCATCCGCACCCAGGACAAGGACGGCAACGATAGAAATATCTTTGTAAAGTTATTGTTCGTGTTCAAGCATACTGTCGGCGAGCGCACCTTAGATCTCGCTTTGGTTCTTCCCATGGATGCTTCACCACGTCGGCGCCTCCTAGATCGAGACCTGCGACTAACTCGTCTACGTGCACGGCCCGCAGCTTCGTCTGAATTTATCACTCTTCACTCAATTATTCGCGGGGCTTTACTTGTCCCAGATTTCGACAACCATGGGGATTATTTTCTTGTCGACTACGTGGATACTGACATGTTTCTTCGTGTCCAAAGGAACCTTATTTAGCTAATCATTCCCTCCTCCAGCACGGGATGAAGACATTCTCATGTGCAGGTATTTTACCACCCTTGTCCTCCTCCACTTCCTGCAATTCACAGCCCAATCATACCAGCTTGACCTTCTTCCTTTCGGAATGCCCTGAGAGTTCCTCATACTCGTCTGTCACTTTCGTTGCAGCTCAAGTCCTTCTCCAGCAATCGAACGCGCATTTTCTCACCACCCGGGGATCTTCAGGTTACCATCTCTGCCGTCTGCTTCGTGCTTGCATCGAAGGTCATCTGCGACGACACTTACTCAAACAAATCCTGGAGGATTGGATACAGGCTACTTGCTTGTCCAGACCCCATACTCAAGTAAGCACCCTTGTTTCATTGCATATGCCCTGGTTGTGCGCCTGGCTCATAACACACCTATTTGCTTGTCCAGGGCACCCTCCATCCTCATACGACTCCCAAGTGAAGCTCCCGCATTTCATCGCATATGGTACCCCTTCTCCGCACTTTCGCTGCTCCCACCACTCCCAAGTCAAGCTCCCACATTTCATCGCATATGACACCCTGGACCCTTCTCACTTTCGCTGCTCCCACCACTCTCAAGTCAAGCTCCCGCATTTCATCGCATATGACACCCCCCCAGACTTCTCTGCACTTTCGCTGCTCCCACCACTCCCAAGTCAAGCTCCCGCATTTCATCGCATATGATACCCCTTCTCCGCACTTTCGCTACTCCCACCACTCCCAAGTCAAGCTCCCGCATTTCATCGCATATGACACCCTGGACCCTTCTCACTTTCGCTGCTCCCACCACTCTCAAGTCAAGCTCCCGCATTTCATCGCATATGACACCCCCCCAGACTTCTCTGCACTTTCGCTGCTCCCACCACTCCCAAGTCAAGCTCCCGCATTTCATCGCATATGATACCCCTTCTCCGCACTTTCGCTACTCCCACCACTCCCAAGTCAAGCTCCCGCATTTCATCGCATATGACACCCTGGACCCTTCTCACTTTCGCTGCTCCCACCACTCCCAAGTCAAGCTCCTGCATTTCATTGCATATGACACCCCTTCCCTGCACTCCGCACTTTCACTGCTCCCACCACTCTCAAGTCAAGCTCCCGCATTTCATCGCATATGACACCCCCCTAGACTTCTCCGCACTTTCGCTGCTCCCACCACTCCCAAGTCAAGCTCCCGCATTTCATCGCATATGATACCCCTTCTCCGCACTTTCGCTACTCCCACCACTCCCAAGTCAAGCTCCCGCATTTCATCGCATATGACACCCCTTATACTTCTCTGCACTTTCGCTGCTCCCACCACTCCCAAGTCAAGCTCCCGCATTTCATCGCATACCCCTTCCCCCCATTGAACGCACCCTTTCTCACCACTCGGGGATCTTTGGGTCACTATTTCTTCGCATCCGCTGTCATGCTCGCGTCCAAGGTTATTTACATCAAAGGTACGTACTCTACACATCTCCCATTTTCATTATTCTCTTCTACTGCTCAGGGATCTTGGAAGCACGAGGTCGGCTGTTCATTAATTTCACTTCCAAGTGGATACACGATGGTTATATTATGTTTCTGATAAGGGTACGTGTTATCCTTCCACCTTATTACATCCACAGGGTCTGACGCTACCCGAACAGCGCCGATTTAAAGCGTGCGCAACTGATCACGATGTCTCCAGCTTGCTCTTTGCTACATTCTCTGAGTCCAAACACCATGCCTCAGCAAGCCCAAGGCGAAGACTTCACTCAAGATATTGAGAACGTAGATAGCAGCCCTAGCGCTGACTCGGGAGATTCTGACAGTGACCAGTCCAATGACGATTCAGATTTACTGCGTGTTCGTGCTGCAATTGCAGCACCTCCTGTCAATGCGTCAGCTGAAGATCTTCGTAAGGCAAGTCTTTATTTTGTGAACGAATTGAACGACAGTAGCTGATCAATCATCTCTAATACTAGGCACTCGAAATTGCGCAAAGGCTACTTCTAGACATGCGAGGAAAGTACCGGGAGAGTCTGAAGAAGAACTCTCTCCTCGAGGCCACTCTTTCAAAAGGTCGGAAGACAAAACTTACCAACAAGGACCTTGCACTCGCCGCCAAGGAAGATACCATCAAGAACTATGGACGCAAGTTTTCTGTAACGCACTGCCTCTGGGTCGAGACCACCATTTTCCCCTTGCGTGCGCCACCCCCCAACATAGACCTCACAAGCAAAGAGCGGTGGCTCTCTCCAATATCAGTACAGGACGGTGTCAAAGCCGAACTCTTTCTTTTCGTTCTGCCAGCGGACCACAGCATGATGGCACATAGAAACTTCGGTTCCCATGTAAGTACATCAGTGTACGAATCGACCTTGCTCCTGCTGATTGTCTTTCCAGTTTGTCAAAGGGATCAATAGTGTTCGTGCTGAGATGGTCTCAGACGTTAAGTCGTGCGCAGCCGCGATTTTTGGTCTCGACGCAAAGTTCTTCATACGAGGGTATGCACGGGATTCAGAGCCTGCATGTCGCGCCTTGCTCCTTAACCCTCAAGGTGCATACACGAAGTTTGCGCCGGTGCTATTTCCTCGTCCAGACCATATGTCCCGAGACGACTTTCTGAAAACGTCAAAGCTCGTTTATGTAGGCTCCTATCCCTTCTAACTCGCACATTCTCAATTTTCTCAATAGATCCTCAAAGTATCACTTTTCGGCCGATCCTCACTGGCTGCCAATGCGCCTCCAACACCCAAAACGAAAGCGAAGATATGGGAACTACGTACCATCACTCCAGGTCTCATCGCGGCAGCGGCGATTGTTGTAAGTTTGTCAAATTTACACCGCAGAGCACTTACTAAACTAAGTTACAGGCTATATTTATTCTTTCCGGCGACAAAGAGCTAGTCGAGATAGGCGAAAAATCCCGAATCGCATACAAGGAGTACCACAACTACTATCGTCAATCCTTGATGACCGGCGGTGCCTGGGCAGCTAGCATCTACTCGTTCTTCAACAATTCCCTTTTCACTACTTCTCCCTCTGCAGCTACTCTCCTCAGCTCAGACTTAGGGGACGAGAGAGGTCCGCACGATACATGGGAACAGGATTTTGAGCGCGCGATGGAAATGGGGGGTGATCTCACTGCCCCACCTTCAACTGTCAGTATATCTGCGGCTATGCAAGGTCTTGATGTGTCAGAGGACCGCGAGCTACCACCTACAGATGCACTCCATGAAGGCTCACAGCCACCTGTGGGAATGCATATTGACGAGCCTAATATTAGTGCTCTCGTTCAAAAGCCCAAACCCAAACCCAAGCCAAGGCGCAAAACTAAGGCTGGTGCTGGTGCTGAGGATTTGTCGGGTGCTGCTGACGAGGATCTGACAGTACGAAGGTCTGGCCGATCGAAGAGATAGCTGATTTCTGTTTCGTTTACCCGTCGATCACGCATACTATGATTACAGTTTCGATGTACCCTAGTAGTATATTCACGATTCACTCTATTTTACATCATTTGACCGGACATTTGTCCAACAAATCATCGCATTGTCAATGCTCTCTGAATCATTTAAATTATTAATAGTACAACAACAACAGCAACAAACATATTATATAATTGATTATTAATACTAGTACATTGACTTGGAATGTTTTTGAACCACTCTCATTCACTTATAATACATTCCGACTACCATGTTCCAATGAATTCCCGTCGCCGCTATCACTCTGCAATCTTCTCAACAGAATGGTGCATTGCCCCCAATGCCCTCGACATCACAACCTTAGACTATTCCACCTGCGCAGCCGACGAATTTCCCTGAAGCAACATGTATCGGTGGAAGCGCTGGCAGCCGCGAGCTGTGGTATGTCTGCCCCATTTCCCTCCGTCTGACCCATCTGAATCCAACCCCCCTGCAGGAATTCGGTATCAACATTATCGGTGAAGACAACAAGACCATCATCCACCACAAAGTCGCTGCCCGCGTCATGTGTGTATTCACAGATGAAGACGCACATCTTGCTGCCCACGTAGAGGCCATCCCAACATCCGCCTCTCTTCCTCCCAACATCCGCCTCTCTTCCTCCCAACATCCGCCTCTCTTCCTCCCAACATCCGCCTCTATTCCTCCCAGCATCCGCCTCTCTTCCTCCCAACATCTAGGCGAACTCCAGAAGAGCCGTGACACTGGCGCAGAACTGCACTCCCTGAGTTCTTCAATGAATGACATTCACAACACGCTCGGTGCCAGTGGTCTGTCCCCGCCACTCTCTTTATTCCTACATACTGACTATCCCCCTTCCCCATAGCCCCAAAACCTACCACACTTCCCCCAATTGCTCCCTCCCATGCATTCACAACAAGCCTCGACCACCTCTGCACCCACACCCGCATCTGCCGCGCCCGCAAACCCAGAACCCCTGCACCTCCCCCAGAGCACCCTGGCCTTTCTCCTTCGAGCTCGAGCCATGCTGACTCAAGTCGTTGCCCACTCTTCGCAGTATGTGAGTGTCTTGATCCTCCTTTGAGCTCGAGCTATGCTGATCCATGTCGTTGCCCACTCTTCGCAGGATGTGAATGTCTTGATCCTCCTTCGAGCTGCGCTCAGAGCTACATGAGACCCAAACCAGCCTCGCAAGCCACATCGACAAGGTCCGCGCCCAGCTCCGTTTCGTTCGGGTATCGAGTCTATAACATTGCATGGTGTTTGTTTTCCTCTCGGCACTCGTTTTGTTGCTTTTCGGGGTCGTTTAGCTCTCGCGGGATGTTTTTACTACTTCGGTCTAATGTAGCTATTGTCGCGCAATCGCAGCTAGGCTCCTTGATTGCGTCAAGGAGCCGTTTTTCGCTATACTACCCTCTGTGCACGCTCAGTGATCCAACGAAGTTTGATTAGAGTAGCGATTATATTATGTATTTGGATAGTATTGCAATTAAAAAAATTTGATTTCAAGCACACGCAATGATTTTAAGGCCTTGGAAGGACATGTGACTGATATGTGACTTGCAATGACATTCCAAGGGTAATATCTTTAAAATTCTGCTCGTAAATTGGAATGGTCTTGGGACCGCCTTGGAAGTCCCCTGGTGATGCTTTCAAGCGGCTTCCAAAATTTTCGGGTTGCCTTCCAAGCGAGTTGTAATGCCGCCGGCAAATTGAGGGCTTCCAATTCATTTTAAGGGCCGCCAACCAAAAATAGAAATTTCCGACAAACTTCGAAGAAATTCAGGATATGGGAGTGGAAAGCAGTACTAGCTAGTGAAAATGAATGCCGAACGCCTGCGAAAGCGCCAGATAGTGATCAAGGGTGGGCAGGGAAAAAAGGAATGATGGGGAGATCTAGATGTCGACTGCGAGCGCGATTATGGTGCTGGATCTTGTCGCGGAGCCCGCACGACGGCAATATGCACTTGTCATATTTCGTTTCGCTACATAAGAGGACAAAATATGAGAGTAGGATCTGCGCTTTCCCAAATCTAGAATGATATACCCTCTCTGAATCACCCGGGGGACACGGACACGAGCTCGATCCAGGACTCAGTACTCATCAGTGGACAATTGATAAGTCCGGCGGCTACTTCCAGGAAAGCATCGCCTCCTCCCGGCACCACAACTTGAATATTGATTACAGTGTGTTGCATATGAGATTGCAGTGCGTGTTTTTCAAAAACTCGGCCTCGCCACCTTTACCGGCACTTGTATTCCTAACTAAGTCAAGGGATGTGACATGTCACTCTAGCCACGGTGAAACTTAAAGTAGCAAGGCTGAGTTTTTGAAAAACACGCACTGCAATCTCATATGCAACACACTGTAATCATGCTAACCAACAGCCTTGGGTGCTTCGACTGCCAATCGAAGCTAGCGGGCTTTAAAGAAGCTGACCTGGGAGGACTCGAGGGCCAATCCGAGCTAGAGCCTCATAATAATACGTAGTTACGGATTTATTGGTCATCCGAAGACTTCGTGCTTCCAAACGGCTACGTAATACGTATACTTCATCGAGTCCACCACATGGGTGGCATGATGGTACACGAGGACGGCGTATCGCTAGCCTTCAGCGAATTGCGAAAGGAATCAAAAGATATTCACAACCGGATCCACTCCGTAGCAGAGGACGCCGCTTTCGTCGACCAAGTCCATCGATCTTACCCAAGAATCCCCCTTATCCGTGAGTAACACCGCCAATCACTCGTCACCGTCATCACCTCGTGCGTCCACCAGCCAACATGCGATGCGGAGCATGGTACACAGACCCCGGGACCGTAAGCCCACTCTCAATCCATGCTGAATCTCAAGCTCACCCTACCCAGGCGTCAAACGAACGCGCCTATTTCAAGTCCACCGATGGACACACTGGAAATTGGAGCTTCAACCTTCGAAGACCAAATCTCCACATACTGCCTCTGATTTGCGCGCACGCAGGGTTCGTGCATCTCCCACATCCCAATACCAAGCTGTCATAACGTATCTCCAGATTGCTCTTGGTAGATTCCACGAGAGCAGGCAAACGCGTGCCAGACGCGCTATCCAAAACCGTTCCTATCTGGTGTGCAGTCATAAACCGAGCCGTCCTTAAAACCACGCCCGACATGAATACGGATGCCTGGAATACGAAGCTGTATACCCCACCTGGTGTCGTCAGCGCACAAGAGCATGATCAGATCGAGCAGAAGTTGGATGGATGGGCGGATGATCTTGCTGTTAGGCCTATCTTCCTCCTCTCATGCCATCCATCCTGAAATCGCGAATGTAGGCTTCGTTCTACGTACTCCCAAAAATTCAATACCCCCTCCGCCCGATCTGGATATCGCCCAGCACCACCGTGTTCCCTAAATTCCCTGATACCGATGCTGAGCGGCGGTTCTACCCTGTCATCTGCATATCAGCTTCGAAGCAGGTTTTGGATGGCATGGAGAGACGCGTCACGGGCTTTGCGTATATCCAGGGATCGGGGGACGATCATGAGTTGTGGAGTATGGTGCGTGTCTGCGCCCGTCGATCTCGTCTTGTCGTTCATATGGACGCGGGTGCCTTTATAGGGACTCACGCCCGCCCAATTCTGGAAACACAAGGCAACTCTCCTCCACGCAAACCGAAACGAACTACCAACCCTTGTTCAAACTCTCACATCATCCACAAACACACTCGACGCACGCACTAACTCGAACGCGTCCTTCCATCCCACACCCATCCACCACGTCCACGGCCGACTCTCGATATGCACCACTCACGACATCCGCTCCTCTATTGATGCCGAGCTTGCGGTGGTCTATCTATCCAGCACCGATCAGGCACCCCCCGCTTTCAAAGACCGCCCATGCGTCCTATGCATTCAAATACCCCAAGGCAAAAAAGGCCAGCATCACTTCCTACACTCCGTCCTCCCCCAAGCCATCCCCTTCATCCTGCTCCACCTCCAAAACGCACGCCGCATATGCATAGCATGCGAAACAGGCACTGACACAAGCATCGGCGTCGCCCTAGCAGCTCTCACAAAGTTCTTTGACGAATCAGGAGAATTCTGCGGTGAGTATAAAGGTGAAAATGTTCTCAGTACGTCGTGCCAACTATACCAGAAAAAAAAAATTGTTCCCTGACGTGCATTTAAATAAAGCCAAAGACGATATCAAAACACGCCTGCACTGGATAATAACGAGTTGTCCGGAAGCCAACCCCTCGCGTACCACTCTCAAACGCGTCAATGAATTCCTGCTCTCACCTCCCGAATTCTTGCTCTCACCGCTAAAATTTCTTCCCCCGCCCGACGCGCCAAACCCGGGGCGTCATGAAGAACGCACAACGACCTCGATACCTGAAACGGTGCTATAAAGTATAAGCCGGAACTGAGCATGCACGCCAGCGTGGTACGTCGAAGGCACGAGATAATACTTCCCAGGCCCTATACTCCGCTTGGGAATATCAACGCCCGAAAGCGCGTCGGAGTAAGGCCCCGAGGAAGCGATGCATCGTTGGAGATTTGAGCATGAAGAGGGGAAGAGAGAGAGGTTTGTGGATACGCCTGGGGCGCGGGCGAGGAGTTGTAGACGGGCGCTTTGGGGTGGGTGGTTCAGAGTCGTCAGTGTTTCGGTTTGAGGAGGGGGACGTACCCGAATTCAGAAGCGCATGGGATGGTTACTTCGAAGACTGGATTGCTGTGGTACCGATTTTGACTAGGTCCGCCTGCGGCCGTCGTCGAATCCCTAGCAAACACAAGAGTTATTCCAGGGAGAAATTAATTGGTGAAGGTTGGACGTACCATTCCCCACGGACGGTCTTGACATACATCCCCGCACCCTCCTGCGGTATCGCCTTGATCTCGAACCGAGAGGGACTCTCCACCTTGAGCGTAAATTTCCCTGTCTGGTCTAGCTCGAAAGCTGATAATACGACTGTATAATCGCCAGCTTCTCGAGATGAAGAAAATAATAATAAACATGAGCCTCGTTTCCCCTCGAGGTAAAAAAGGTCGTACCAGCAAGATGAGCAGCGACGCGCGCATGCCCATACGTATAAGGCCCAGAATGAGCCACCACCTCTTTCTGAGTCAATTCTGATATACGCTCGCCCTGCGACCACACAGCTGTGATGTTCAGCGATATATCCCTAGCGCTCTGCGCGGTGAGTATGACTTGTGTCTTGTTGTTCTGGCTCGGCCGAATGTGTGTGCTTGTGCTTGTGCTGGTATTATGCACTTTGAGGTGATACTGCGGATTTACCATATACGTCGGATGCGTGCAATTCCCTCCAGCTGTTTTATTAGTCAATGCGCCGTCGATCTGTTCGTCCAATCCGTCAGCGTTGAATAATGCATACCGAAAGAAAGAACACACGTACCTTATGTGTATACCTCGGCGGAGGAACCTTCGTATCCCAAGACAACACCACATCCGACGAACAAGAAAAAGCCGTAACAGTAAACCCAACCTCGTCGAATTGACCATCATAGCACGCCAACAACGAGAGCGATCCCGAGGGTTGGGTGGGGTCGATTTTGATGCGCGAGAGGACGTGTGTGCTGTTTGTGTAGTTGCTCTGTTTGTGTTTGTCAGTCAGTATTGTGAAATAGGGAAAGAGATGAGGAGGAGGAGGGTGATGCACTACGGAACCGCACCTTGAGAGCAACGTGGTCCGGATCCCCAATGACCATATCATCCTCTTGTACGTTAATCGCGATGTATTCGCTCGTTCGACGCGTGTCGCGGAGGTGTCTCGTTAGGAGGACCCAGATTTCGTTTGTGTCTGATGGGGCTTGGGCATTGGGGTCTGTGGATGTTTGGTAGTTGAGTCGGAGGTGGTGAGTGGAAGCTGTGTGTAATGGACGTGAGTATTAACGCTGGTGGAAAGTGGCGGGACGTACCCCGTGGTAGGTCCTCAGAGTTTTCGAGCTGCCACGATCTATAGATCCATTAGTTGTGGTGCAGTCTTATAACGCACGTGGACGCACCCATGAAAAGTAATATAATTCTTAAACAGACATGGTTTCCAACTTATATACAACCCCTCGAAAGTCGCGCATATATCGTCCCAACGCATCTCAAGCACCCCTGTACCATTCATTCGTATAGACGAGGCTACGAAAGGAGGGGAAACTCACTGGGACAACTACCAGACTCATTACACTCGCATGCCTGACTGCATATACGAGAATCGAGAAGAGTGACCCAGCGCTCGTCGTTTGTTTCTTTGATATCTAGCACGAGTCAGTATGGAGCTTATGGGCGAGGAGTTGGGGTACCTGTGACTGCGTAGTCGTGTGAGGGGAGGAGCTTGGCGGTGTTGTTGAGTGCGGTTTTGTCGTTGGTGCCGACGGTCATCATGCAATCCCCTAGAATAGTGTGACTATGTGAAAAGGGTAAAAGGGGTGACGGGTACCTCTTGGGAAAGCGGTCATAATGCGGGACCAGGTTCGTTCGCGCTCAAAGGATGCGCTGGGGGTGGTCAGGATAGGGTGTGGGAGGTGTGTATGGCGAGTACGTACCTTCGTAGATCTATGTGTTCTGGGATCCAGCCGATAAGGACGCTGGTGGGAGGTGTGAGGAGGTGGAGGTGGTAGGTTGGAAGACTTACTGGAGGTCTATGGCAGAGTTTCTTTGGGGTGTGAGTAGGGAGGGTGTATGAAGGAAGGGACTTACGAGCCGAGGAAATCGTATCCGCCCATGAGTTTCATGTACTGGATGGGTGTGAGCGGGTGATGAGAAAGACGAAAAAGAAAAAGTACGGACTGCTTTTTCTACGAATGAGGGCCATAGTTGGTTCTTGTGCCCTGTTGATATGCCGAGGAGATTGTTGCTGGCGTCGAAAGGGAGTCGGTCGTCGATGACTGCTTAATGTGAGATGGGTGCTCTGACGTCGGTGTTAGTACGAACCTATCTATGATAGACTTTAGAAGGGTGTATAGCTGGAGTGGGTGACTTACGCGGCGGTAATCACCGTTGATGAGGACTTTAAGCTCGTATCTGCCGTCGTTGGAAGTGTGCAAGGAGGAGAGGAGCAACTGTAGTGATGTTAGCGAGTGGGAGGGGTGGTGGTGAGACGTACGTTTGATTTGAAGCGGAGGTTGTGTTGTATGCATACGGCTATTGAAGCGCAGACTGAGCAATCGTTGACTATGTTCTGTATGATATCGCTTGGGAGGAGGGCGAGGGATGAAGGGGGGATGACGTCGATTGGTCGCTTCCATGTTGATGAAGGAAAGACGGAGCCGAGGGGAGGTTGACCATCAGGGTCGGTAAATGGGCTGCTGTATGAGTCAAGAGTGGTGGTCGCCAAAGGGATATGATTCCCATTGATGAGAGATGACTTTTTGAGAATTGAGTGTTCTGATAAAAGATTAGATTAGCTTCGGGTAAGGAAGATCGGTGACTTGCGTTGTGAAAAGTGATCTGTTGATAACGGAGCCAAGACCTTGTACTGTTTTATCTTTTCAGCTCGTTCTAGTGCCTTGGTAGCGTTGTTCCTGTATTTTGCATCGGAACTGCGGCTGATGTGAAGAAACGCTTCTGCTGCTTCCAAGTAAAGCTTGAAAGCGTTGTTCCAGTCGTTTTCTAGCTCGAACTTTGCTGCTCTAGCGTAAATGTTCTATGAAAGGGGTTGTTTGGTGAGATCAAGCGAGTTTATTAGATACCTTACCTCTGCGTCCGCGATGGTCTTGGACATGTCGATGCCAAGATACAGTTGATCATCCCAATTTAGTAACTCATAATTGAGTGTACAAATAATCATAAACAATGTATATGGGCGTTATTGTTCTGTCCATTCCATTGACAGCAGTCACATATGTAGTCCACTGTGAATTCAGTCCTTTACCACCACATCCACCATGTCTTCAAAGTTTCGTGAACACTTGTCTATACACCCTGACTTTGACGTCGAGAGATCAAAGTTCTCTCCTGCTTCAACCCCAAAGTCGCCCAGCATTCGAGATCGATTCACCAAACTGCTATTCGACTTTCGTATGCCAGAACCAGATCATGAGCTTGCCCAATGGCCTCCTCTTCACGTTCAGAAGCGTAAATGCCACTGTAAAACGAAGCGCAACCGCGGTCTTCTCATTCTTCTCATCATCATACTCTTCTTCTTGATCGGGAACGTCATCTTCCTCAACGTTCGCGTCCTCTCCATGAACACGTCCACCCCTTCCAACACCAACCCTACTCTCTCTGCAAATGCCCAACAGTGCTTGTCCCAATACACGCTGAACGCACCTTCCAGCCCTTCCTCCTACCCGTGCTCCACTTGCTTGCCAACCCTGCAGACAGTCACATCCACCTATCTATCTTCAAATCCACAGAACGCACAGCAGATCCTCAACGCTATCCAGTTCTGTGGTCTCCGCGGCATATTCGACACCGCCAACTCACAAGGTCAGGCATCCCTCCTCGGCTGGGTCACAGACGTCAAATTCTGTGCTTGGAATGGTGTCACCTGTGATGGCTCCGGTAGAGTTGCAAATCTGTGAGTCCGCTCCACACGTTACGCGCACCAGTACTCACCCACATATAGTCAATTGACCTTTCCTGGAGTACCAGCAACATTACCCAACGAGCTTGGAGCACTCACTGGCCTCGAGTCTTTGCAAGTCATTGGTGGTAACAGTATACCAGGTATGTCGCCACGTTTTGAGATTGACATGATCTGACGTATTGTAGCTGGAGCGCTGCCTTCGTCGTTTATAAACCTCACTTCTCTCTCCAACCTCCATATCGAAGCAACGGCCATTACGCCGCTCCCAGATAGCCTCTTCTCATACCTCACAGCGATGACTACGCTCACCCTCGTTCGCAACCCCATGATGGGCGCCTCTCTTCCTTCCACCCTGACCCAAGTCCCGCTCAAGAACCTGTAAGTCTGCTCCCTTCATTTTTAATCACAGCTAACCATCCTCCAGCGTCGTCAACTCCCAACAACTCAACAACCCCCTCCCATCTCTGTCATCCAGCTCCACCCTCCAAGCATCGCTCAAACTTCTCGATCTCTCATCCACCTCCCTCACTGGCCCGATCCCAAATACCATCTCCTCCTTCTCGTCGCTCACGCAACTCTTGCTCTCCAACAACAACCTCCAAGCACCCCTTCCAACCACCTTCCCACCTTCGTTACAGATCATCTCCCTGCAGAACAACACAGCGCTCACCGGGACTGTCCCTAGTTCTCTTTGCAATAGTACGCAGCTCATGAGCTGTTCGCTGCAGAGTACGGGACTGAGCGCGAGTGGGGGGTGTGGATCTTGTCAATTCTCGTGATCTTGTTATGAACCGTGCTCTGTTGATGAATTTACGTGCTTTTTTGCTTTTACGCCCCCTATCACTTCATGGACATATCCACTACTCGCTGTTGCTTTCGATGGATCTACGAACATTTCACTCGCATACGTACATTTGTGAATCGTGTTAATCTTGTAATTTCATGGCATATCATAGATCTACTTCGTGATTCATATTTGTAATAAATATCGTCGCGAAGTCTTCACGCATGGACTCCTCATTCGGGACGGGAACTAACTCTGTCAGGCACACTGGATCGAGTTTGTGTCTATATATAGCAATTATCTCGATCGTGTAGTTTAACACGATTGGAAATATATGAAGACACTATTACGTCACAATATATTCGCGGAGTTTTCCAGCGAATGGCGCGGCTGTGTCACTGTCGACATCGTTTCCCCTGCGTGTTCGCATTGCTTTTTTCATTCTCTTCCCCTCAAGTGAAGCTTTCTCCGTATCACCAATTCCATCAATTTCCCCAACGATCCTATCAGACTATAAAGTTTCCTAAACACGCGATCGAAGACAGATTTCAAATTTCGATTCTCAATTCACCTCGAGCGCACGTTGGACGATCCGCACAACCGGTGCCTGAACATGAAACGTGGATGGATGCCCGTGCGGCTGCTACTCCTGCGCATACCTGCACTCATACTTACGCGTGTGCACGTCATATATGCTCTTACCTCCTCACTAGACAATCTGCTAAACTGTCGAGGGCTCGTTCCGAGGCAGTCCCGTCACATTGATGCCCATTTTGGTGAAGGTGAGTTATTAGTATCGCTTTCCGTTCCCTCCCCAGTTCAGAACCCGCACAAGGAGTCTTGATTAATTCTTTCCTCTGTGGCGGCTGCCTCATGTTCAATGCCTTCCCCCATCATCACGTGACAGAACTGGCGGGCGATCTCGATTTTGCGACGCAGCGACTTTTTTCCTTATCGCGTCTACATCCTGAGGGGCAGAAAGATGCTACCGCTCAGCCTCCGCTTATCAACCGCCGATACCTCGGCTCGGCGTTTTCCCCAGAAATTGGCTGAAAACCCAGATACGCCGGGAAGAAAGATTTTTCCTCAGACCCCAGCTTTTCAAGGCAGCCACGGTAAAACTGCTTGCCGATCTCCTGGATACTGGCGATGAATGTTTACCCATATGAACCTTGCTGGGCAGTTGGCTAGGCATTTGACTAGGCAGCTGACTAGACAGTTGACTGGGCTGTTACAATGGCTACCTGTAGGACCGGATGCACCTCTCGCTGGGGTATTATCACTTGTAGGTAGGCTCAAGTATTTTTGACGTTCTCAGTATGTTTCCCCCTGATACAATGGTTCTTCCGCCGAGTGATATACATACTACCCAATGTCATCGTGCCGGGTTCCGCCCGGAGGCGTAAGGCCATCGTGTCCTAACAATGTCGGCTGATTCCGCATACCACCCACATCGTTATCCATCGCACTAGATGATAAACCTTGCATCAAATTTCTCGGGCCTGATAAAGTCCCAGTCAATATTTAATAGGTGACCTGGTCAGACAATCCACATCAGCTCCCCGCTGCGGTGGATCTTCGTACCATTGTCGATCTTTGTTCTCACCCGCGCGTCACAAGGAAGAGGATTATCGCCCCTTCTCGCTGTGATCTCGAACGATGTCTGCTCTCAGCCACGAGAAAGCGGAAACTGCTGATGCCTCCTCTAGTGCATCCAGCCATGCCCATGATCATCTCGAGAGGAGATTGCTGAGAAAGCTCGATCTGCGTATGTCCGCAGTCGTGCTTTTATATGCCCTGAACTACGTAAGTCTGAGCCATTTGACGAACTCTGTTGCTTGGTACTTACCACCGGTTAGATCGACAGATCGAATGCTGCGTATGTTGCGTGTCGTCGCACTCGCTTTATGTATTATCTCATGTTGTTTACAGTAGTGCACGGTTGGGAGGTTTCGAGAAAGACCTGCACCTGCAGGGAAATCAATATGCGACGGTGTTGTCTATCATGTATGTGGGATTCATCGTCATGCAGGTGCCAGCGTGAGTTGCGTCCTTCGTTGAAGGACAGGTCAACGTGACGTTCTGTCTTCCAGGAATATGTTTCTGCACTGGCTGGAGAGGCCTTCTATCCTGATTCCTTGCAGTATGGTGATATGGGGCGTATTATCAGCATTAACAGGTTTGTCGACACCGGCCATTAATATTCATGAGTATCTAACAGCGCCCAGGGATCACAAAGAAGTACGCGATGACGTTTTGCATCATTGTAACGTCTGATAGTTCGACCCAAGTTATACGGGGGTCCTCCTCGCCCGTTTCTTTCTTGGGTTTGCCGAAGGACCCTTTTTTCCTGGCACCATGTATCTTATATCAGGATGGTACAAACGAGACGAGCTCGCTGTGCGCACGACTCTCGTTTCATGTGGAAGCGTGCTGAGTGCTGGGTTCGGAGCCGCGTTTGCATCCGGTATACTTTCAGGCATGCAGGGAAAACTTGGTCAAGCTGCGTGGAGGCGAGAAACTGTCGTGTTTGTTTTTGTTGTTCGCTGAAACTGAGATATCGATATCTACAGGTGGTTATTCTACATCGAGGGCGGCGCCACCGTTCTAGTCGCGCTTTGTGCATTTTTTATTCTTCCTGATTTCCCACACAATACCGGATGGCTCACTCCGGAGGAACGAGCGCTTGCTATCTCTCGCCTTGCAGAAGATGGGCAGGGGGAAGCCGACGAGCGAACGACGATGCAAGGACTGTGGGATGCGTTGGCTGACTGGAAAGTATGGTGGTTTTCCATTGCGCTCATAGTCCAGTTCGTGTCGATGTCATTCGTCAGTTACTTCCCGACGATCGTCGCGACTCTGGGATATGATGAGACGACGACTTTGTTGCTCGCCGCTCCTCCGTGGGTACTTGCCATGATAACTGCTTTTGCATTTTCAAGGTCCGTGAATAAGTTTTTATGGCGAATCGCTGTCTTATAGACAAAAGGTACTCTGACAAGAAACGAAAACGGTTTGTGTACGTTTTTGCATCGAATGCGATCGCTGCTGTTGGATTCATCGTGTCCATCTGTACGATGAACACGGCTGTGCGCTATGTTTCCTTGTAAGCAGTCATCATAGTTCTTAAAAGTCGTCGCTCATAGACTCGCAGGTTCCTAATGACCCAAATCGCCGGTGGACAAATGGTGCTCATGGGATGGATCACCAACACATTTGCTAGAGAACCTGCGAAGCGAGCTGTTGCCATCGCGTTGATACTTGCGCTGTCGCAAATAGGGGGTATCATTGGGGCGTTAGTGCATTCAATCAATCTCCCTTGCCTTTTTTTTAATGATTTGTCGCACTAGGTACGTCTGGCCGCCTAATTGGGGACCGACATATAGGTATTCGTATGCTGTTTGTTTTGTGGCTTTTGGGGTGTCGATGGCCATGTTTGGCGTGATGCATTTGCATTTGAAGCGTTTGAATGAGCGGTTTGAGAGGGATGAGCGGGTGAGGGATGTGGATGGTATTCGGGATGTTGGTTTTAGATATATGATTTAGTGTATGATTATGGTGTAGAACATGAATTGATTAGGTGGGATGTTGACCCAGGAAGGGTTCTCCAATAAACTGAGTGTTCTCGCGTGTTCCACATTTCGCAGTTATCACTCGGGCCATCCTCAGAATCACTCCGAACACGAACATCGGCGAGGATGCCTGTAATACCGTTACAAAGTTGTGCATCCCACCTGGTGTGGTCAGCGCACAAGAGCATGGTTATTTGGATTCTAAGATGGATAGTTGGGCAGCAAATGATCTTGCTGTCAGTCTTATTCCCCTCCTCTTCCAAGTTTTATAGATACTATCATCATATCAGATTCGAAGCAGGTTCTTAGATGACAAGGCGAGACGCGCCGTTGTATTGTATTCTATCTTCACCAAAGCACTACCTAAACTGTTGAGGTATACGAGCCGTCTTTGTATTGGCATCCTGAGGACACGTCAGCCAAAACTAGCGGAGAGGAAAGAAGTCGTAGCCTAAGTAATGTGGCGGATCCGAGATAGTTCAAAGTACATAGAGTATACCTAAAGAGTGAATGCAAGACGCGCCGAGAAGAACGGCGCGTATGACGCGCATATATTGATATCACGCGTTTTGATCACATGTTCTCAAAATTACACGAGTATACCCCCGGGTACCTAACCGCCAGTGTCCCGAAAATATAACGACCGCTATGACATCGGATCATTTGGGATTCATACACCCTATCTGTGAAACGCTCGTAATCTTGCGTTGCGAACATTCGCGCACAGAGTCTAGGTGTCCTTCAAACCTTCTCGATGTTTGTTTTGATGCATTTCGCGGGGCCCATCAGATGGCATCCTGGATTTTCTGCATCACGATTCACGGTAGATCTGAGCTCTGACTGTGTAGGGGATACTACTGGTTTTCATACTCACCGCTTTGGAATCTCTAACCGTACCGATATCTCTTTATGCCTTTGCTCCGTTCTCAGAGGACACGTCACCTGTCACTGTCAAAATACTTTCTTCTCCGAGTCGTCAGATGGGTGGTCTCGGAGTTTCTGGATCACGGACCCGGCAGATCTGCGCCCAAGTCATACCCAGCATCAAGACAAACACATTCTAGAAACTCAAACGTTGTGATAATGCTCCGTAACATCCTTTCGAGGCAATCACCTGCTGCAAAACATATAAAGGTTGCATCGTCTGAGGGTAACCTTCATCAACCCAACTGTCAATCACAGTTACTCCGAGTCACAAACTCTTCATCTTACCATGTCTATCCCACTTGCCGGCACTTACAAGATCGTCAACGCCAGTTTCCAGACCAATCAGTTGTTTGACTTGCAAGGTGGAGGTGTCAAACCAGGAACCCCTATCGTTGCCCGCAGCAACGCCAAGTTCAAGAACGGCGATAACGAAATACTCGTTAGTATTGATTATTTGATTCGAAAGGCTCAGGCTCACAATAAACACAGTGGACGTTGCAAGTGTTGCGCAACGCGAACCCAGGCATGATCGTCAGATTGATCAACGTCGCAGCCGGCACATTCGCTCAACCCACGGCTGGAGTTCCGAGCAACGTAAGTCATGCATGTCCGTCACGAAGTACTGTTTTGACTCGGCGCATCTTCGAGTATGCTAGGGTAGCGCTGTCGTCGGTGATGGTACTGTCGCGGAGTGGCTCCTCGCTCCGACTGCCACCCTCGGACAGTACTCGTGAGTAATTGGCCTGAAAGCTGCATCGCAATGTTTGTTCAAGTGACTCGTGCACGCGCAGGATCCAGACCGTTGATGGGATGTTCGCCTGTTCCCTTTCCGCTGGCGTTGATTTCACTGAGGTACGCGCTCATCATGCATCACAGGACTACGACTCACGTTTGGCATTCACAGGTGAGGCTACAGGCCACTAATTTATCGGACGCCCAGCAGGCCTGGGTGTTTGCCCCCGCCTAAGTGTAGCTGTGAGACAATAGCTCAGGTTATCGATTGAATGGCGGATTCAGTGAAGCTTGTTGTTGAGGTCGTGTATCAGTTAACAAGGTTCTGCGTCGAGTTTTGATCATATACGAATTTGATTTTTTTTTTCCGTATCTGTGTGAGGCTCTGTGAGCAGACATCGAAAATTAGGAGCTGAAATCCATCGAATCGTGTAAACCCAGCTGCGCACGTCAATGAATCCTGTTCGTGGTTCTCTATGGACCACGTTGGATGCGGCGCTGTCAGGCCACAGGGGTTGTACCCTTGACTCACAACGCCCGTTTTTATGTAAATTTAGGAACTGTGGTAAAAATCATGTAAAAATAACTCACGAGGCTGCCCATGTTTTGTCTCGACTCTCTACAAGTAGAACAACATCAGCGCTCAGCATGGATGAACGGTGGTGGCATGGTTAACAAATATTGACCCACCATATATTCAAGAATGTACAACTGTCACGATATTGATTCAACAGGCTAGCCTAGGGTTTTGAGATTCAATGGTGGTCTCTAGAGGCTGACCTACTACTGCGTACATCCAGGGATCGGGGGACGATTATGGGTTGTGGAAGTATGGTGCGTGCCACTGCGTTGTCTACGCCTAGCTCGAGCTTATGTTGTCGTTTATTTGGATACGGCCGCGGGTGCCCACAGGACTCACGCCTGGAAATTTGAAATACAAACCAATAATTCTCCTCCTCCGTCCTTCCACAAGCCATGCCCCTACTTTCATAACGCGCACTCTATGCGTAGCATGCGAAACAGGCACTGACACGAGTATTGGTGTCACCCTGGTAGCTCTCATTGACCAATCGGGGGGATTTTGCGGTGAGTACGAAGGTGAAGGTGTCCTTTGTAAGTACCGAGTCACTATACCCAGAAATCTCGTTCGTTGATGTATATTTCAATAAAGCTAATGGCGACATCAAAAGCCGCCTGCACTACATAATAACTAGCTGCCCACAAGCCAACCTCCCGCGTACCACTCAAACATGTCAACGAGTTCTTCCCCACCCCTAAAATTCCTTAAATTACACCTCCTCCCTCTCCCTGCGCGCCAAGTGTCTTAAAAAACCACCTTCCTGCCACGTCAATGAAGCAAACCGAGGTTGACATCTGAAATGATGCCATAAACCGAAACGGAAACGAGCATTCACGCCAGCAAGGTACGTCGAAGGCATGAGATAATACTTTCCAGACCTATACTCCGCTTGGGGATATCCATACCTGAAAGCGCGTTGGAGTAAGGCCTTGAGGATGCCAGGCATGAATTACTGATGTTCAGGGAGAATGTACTGACATCATCTTGGGGCATATTCCAGTGTGTGGGTTACCAGCCGCGCTTTCCGCTCCTTCTTCTCCTGCCGGCAGCTTTGGGAAAACGGGCCTTCCAACCTCCTCGACTGTTTGGGCACTGTAGTAATGAATGTTTAGCCATGTGAATCTTGCTGAGCGGTTGATATTTCTCGACTGGGGTATCACTACTAGCGGATAATCGGCATGTTCGGCGTTCTTAGTATGTTTCTATTTCTATTTGATTTGGATGGTTCTTGTTGCTTGAAAAATACCACCCAATACCGTTCTGCCAGGTTCTGCCAGCACTTTCATCCACCTTGATTCAAGACTATCCTGTCATAACACTGTCAGCTGACTGCGCCTACTGCATGCCACGTACCTTGATCACTGCTCGCACCAGATGCGACTAGACTCGATTTGTTCGTGGTTCTCAATTGGGTGCCAGCCAATACTTAATCGATGACCCGCGAAGAAGAGAGTTGTCAGCCCTTCCCACTGTTCTTTTTTTTGAACGATGTTTCCTCTCAGCGATGCAAAATTGGAAACAGCTGATGCCTCCTCTAGCACACCCAGCCATGCCCGTGATCTCGAGAGGAGATTGCTAAGGAAGCTTGATTTGCGCATGTCTATAACCGTGCTTTTATATGCCCTGAACTACGTAAGTCTCAGCCATTTGACGAACTCTATTACTTGGTACTTACCACGGGTTAGATCGACAGATCGAATGTTGGGTATGTTTTGTGTCGTCATATTCGCTGTATATAACATCTCATTGTCCACAGTAGTGCACGGTTGGGAGGTTTCGAGAAAGACCTGCACCTGCAGGGGACTCAATTTGCGACGGTCTTGTCCATCATGTATGTGGGATTCATTATCATGCAGGTGCCATCGTGAGTTGCGTCCTTCATTGAGGGACAGGTCAACGTGACGTTCTGACTTTCAGGAATATGATTCTGCACTGGTTGGAGAGACCTTCTATTCTGATTCCTTGTAGTATGGCGTTATGGGGCGTAGTATCAGCATTAACAGGTTTGTTCACGACGGTTATTCATGAATATGGATGCTAACAGTGCCCAGGGATCACAAAGAAGTGCGCGTTCTTGTTTTTCATCATTGTAACGTCTGATAGTTCAACCCGAGTTATACGGGGGTTCTTCTCGTACGTTCATTGCTTGGTTTTGCCGAAGGACCCTTCTTCCCCGGCATCATATTTCATATATCTGGATGGTACAAGCGAGACGAGCTCGCCGTGCGAACGACTCTCGTTACTTGTGGAGGTGTGCTCAGCGCTGGATTCGGAGCCTTGATTGCATCCGGTATACTTTCAGGCATGCAGGGAAAACTTGGTCAAGCTGCGTGGAGGTGAGAAAAGACCGTCTCCGTTATTAATTGAAGCTGAAACATCTGTAGATGGTTGTTTTACATCGAGGGCGGCGCCACCATTCTAGTCGCGATTTGTGCAATGTTCATTCTTCCTGATTTCCCGCACAACACCAGATGGCTCACTCCGGAGGAAAGAGCACTTGCTATTTCTCGCCTTGCAGAAGATGGCCAGGGAAGAGCTGACGAGCTTGGGAAACAGACGACCGTGCAAGGACTGCGGGATGCTGTGTCCGACTGGAAGGTGTGGTGGTTTTCAGTCGCGCTCACTGTCAGTTATGTGGCGCTGTCATTCAGCGTTTACTTCCCAACGATCGTCGCGACTCTGGGATACGATACGACGATAACTTTGCTGCTCGCCGCTCCTCCATGGGTATTGTCCACGATAGTTGCATTTGTTATGTCAAGGTCAGTGAAATCTCCATCTCAAATCCCATCTCATGGACGATCAGGTACTCTGACAAGAAGAGAAAGCGTTTTATATTCATTTGTTTATCAAATGCACTCACTGCCCTTGGATTCATCATATCCATCTGTACGATGAACACGGTTGCGCGCTACGTTTCGGTGTAAGCAGTATCATCGCTCATAGTGTTATCTTTTTGTACTCAAGAGACGTATAGGTTCCTGATGGCTCAAATCGCCGGAGGACAAATAATACTCTGGGGGTGGGTCAACAACACTTTTACCAGAGAACCTGCCAAGCGGGCTGTTGCCATCGCTATAATTAGTGGATTTTCTGCGATAGGGAACATCATTGGATCGTTAGTGACATCGATCTCTTGCTCTCGCTGATTATCTACAAATTAACTTGTCTCATAGGTACGTCTGGCCGCTTCAATGGGGCCCGACATATCGTTATTCCTCTGCGATCTGCTTGGGAGCACTCGGGGTGTCGACGACCATGTTTGGTATGATGTATTTGCATTTGAAGCGTTTGAATGAGCGGATTGAGAGGAACGAGCGGGATGGGAAGGATATTGATATCAGTCACATTGGTTTTAGATATCTGCTTTAGTCTGTGATTATTGCGGCCTTCACTCATGTAGCTAGGGAATGGAGAATACTTAGAACAGCTTCTTAGTATAAGTATCCTGATTTCGGCGGCTGGCAATGTGCCTGCTTCTGGCAGACAGAAGCTTCGAATCTGATGTGGCCTCTTGAACTGGCCGAAGGCTCTACCCTACTTGCTACCAAGCCATGCAAATGGTGGAAAACACTGTTTGAAACACCTGCCTGCACCACCCCGTTGGTACCCCACTTGCTGTAATACTGTAGGTAGCGCTTTGCAATGCAGTAACTTATATTTACACGCGACTTTCCTGTAAGCGAGTCTTTCTTTGGGTTTCGATCGTACATTGTAGTATATGTATTCGACTGTTGATGATGTAGCTCTACTGCATAGGACTTGCTAGTAGGCGCAGGCATTACCGCTGAATGCTACACAACATGCTCGAGGCAACAGCCTACCAAATAAAATCATCCTTCTTCACCAGCCGCACATTCAATGGCACCTGCGGCGTTACGCCATCCCCTGCGGGTGGCTTCACAACAGGGATATGAAATGCCTGGAGCTTCCATTGTATCTCTTTCACGTGCCCTTGTGCATTCCGCTCTGTCGGGAGCGAGAAGTGCAGACGCAGCACAAGCGTTGCGAGAACTTGTTCTGATGAAGAGCGTTAGTTGGAGTACCCGCAAACGAGGGTACAGACGTACTTAATTCCATTTCGGCGAATTTAAACCCGCTGTAGATCGGAACGGGATTGGTGGTGGTTAGTTGGGGGATGTCATGCGAGGGATGAAAGAACTAACATGCAGGAGCGGCTACCACCGAGAAACGTCATCCTATGTGCATTTTAGCATGCATACATGAACTCCGAGGAAAGCGCTGCAAGTACTCACATGTTGGAATATACACCAGGAAACCGCACATTATCATTATCTTTGACAGGCGCACCCAACGGGACATCCACTTCTTGTGCTTGCGAGGGAGCGGCCAGAGGGGATGAAAGCCATCGCTCCGGCCTCCACTCATTCGCGTCGGCACCCCACACCCCTCTGTGGCGATTCGCAGCGAGGATGGAGATGATTGTAAAGGTGCCCTTTGGGATCGCAACGGCGGACGTGTATCCACCAGACCGGGAGCGTGTGGGGAAGTGTAAAGGGAGGGTGGTTGCTTTGGACGTTCTGTGGGAGATCTCTTTATGGGAAGGGAGAAACATGAGAAAGGGGGACGTACACTCGGCCCATGACTGGGAGGGAGGGGTAGAGGCGGAGGGTCTCTTTGACGACACCGTCGAGGAACGGTAGGCTCATGAGGATGTCGTAGGGCAATTCAGCAGATGACGTGTCGTCGTCTTCTTCGAGTGTCTTCATGGCATCGTGAATTTCGCTCCTGAGTCTTGCTTGAGCACCGGAGTGTTGGGCAAGCAAGTAGATGCAGCGGGCGAGTGCGGAGGTGGTCGTGTCAAGGCCAGCAAATACCATAACGCTGTCATCAGATCGGTTAGTGTGATTGACGTGCGGATTATTGATACCTACTTCATTTGTCCCAACAACTCAGCATCCGTGAGGCGTTCCGCGTTGGACGACATGGCATTGGCCTTTACTGCGCACACTTGAGCGAGGATGTTCTCGAAATACCCGTAGAACTTACGCATGATATCCATCATTGACGTCATCGAATCACTGTCTCTGCAGGTAGCGTCAACAGGGTGCAGCGTTTCTTCAGCCTCCATGGCAGCTTTTTTCTCCGAAAACGCCTTTCGACTGGCACTATCCATCGTTTCCACTATACGTCGCATCTCCCGCACGTCCGCCATATACTGCGTCGGAAGCCACGGTACCGTGACCAAATCAAGGACTTTCCTTGCCCAGTACGGGGAGCAGTAGTGCATGATGATCGCTACGATCGGTCGTACCTTCATGAGTTTTCCAATCAAGGGGCTGCAGTACATCATTGTACATATGGGTTCAGACACCGAAATGACCGGACATACCCGATCTTCCGCAGCGCTTCCGGGTACGGGTCACTTTCTGCTGCTGAAAGGGTGTTGCTGGGGTACCCGAGGACGCCTTGGCAGACACCGTCGAGAGCACAGCGGGATAGCCATGGGAGGATGTCGATCTCTTTGTGAGCTGTACCAAAAGTGTCAATGGAGGGAGGTTATGTGTGAGTGCGAGAATGTGACACGTACAGCTGTCAGCGGGAAGTTTGGCCGCAAGAGTGGATGTGAGTCTGTCGGAAATGGGGTGTAGTGTGGAGAGTAGTCGTCGCATGTTTGATGTCGAGAAGACGGGGTTGAGAAGTTTGCGTTGCCGGCGATGTTGCTCTCCTGGTAAGACTCAGTGTTAAAAGAAGACTCGGATTTTGAAGAGATGTACCCCACCGACGGTGGATATCAGACCTTCACCGAACACGAGTTTGTTTGACCTTGATAGTACCGAGTCAATTCAGTATGAGAAAGTAAGAGAATACTGACATAATGAAGGGGTTGGGCTCTTCGAAGATGTGCTGCTCTTTGACGACCATGTGATACAACGCGCGTGGGTCGGACACGTATACAGTTTCCTAAGTGTCGCAAGTGCGTTCAAGGTGATGTGCAGTAGTTAATGTGAATGGACTCACGTCTGGCGGTCCATGGAGCCTCACCGCGCCGCCATATTTCTCTGCAATATGCACGCAGTAGTCAACACCGCCCTCAAAGAGGGACGCGATATTTCCTACGTGTATGCTATTAGACGAGGTAGTCGAATGACAATGAGGACTAATTCAAGAACGTACCAAATAGCCAACTGCCCCTGTTTGGTCCATCGAGGTCGATGCCGTGCGGTCGTCGTAACAAGAACACGAGGGCCTTGCAGAGAGCGAAAGAGAAAGTTCCGAGTACGCAGACTTGGATCAGAGACATGGTCAGGTAAGACGACTGGAGCGCTGACGCCTATCTGTATCTGGTCAATTATGGCCTAGCCCTTGTAAGTAAGCAAGTACGACTGAGCTTGCGTGTCTGCCAGTGCGCAGGCCGCAGGCCGCAGTTTACCTAGTAAGTAGTAGTACTGGTTTGTTGTGCATGTGCATTGCAACTGGCTGTACATTGTATTCCTGGAATAAATATTAAGAGCCTTTAAGCTCGGTCTCGGAGGCAGAATCGTGACCCGAAGACAGGTTTTCAAAGTCCGTCACGACCGCCGCGGCACCTACCGCCTGCAGTTGGCCTCAGCAGGATGGCTCCTACCAAGATACTGGTGAGGACACTCAAATTCTCACCATCAATGAATGCCACGCACCGTGTTTGATGCGCCAGGAGCTTGCAAAATGTACGTCCACGCACAAGCAATTCGGCAGCATCTGCTCTCATTAAGAGAAACGCCTTAGTGAAATGCACCTTTGTTTATATCACTAGTAGCACATGCCACGTATCGGCTCAGACACCGTTCAGGCAACTGACCTACCGTACCAGCTCCAATTGCCAGTGGTCTCTGACAGTTCACAGCGGGCTTTGACGTGACATTCCAGGCTCACGGTGCCGAATGGAAGACGACCAACAAACCTGCAAATTTCTCGCCGTACGAATTTCCACCTCAAAACCAACATGACAGACAATTTGACGCACACGGAATAAGGTCGGACACACTGGCCCATCGACATAAGGCTAGGTGGAACTCGCTTCCTTGTTAGAGAAGCTATTTCTGGGTCATGCGAGCTGCGGCCCATCAACTTAACCAATGATACAGGAGACTTAGTCACTAGGGTTGACATCGTTCCTTCATCTTATGGAACACATCAGAACATCTAATTCCCTGGTTGATGTCACTGCAGAGGTACACAATTTCATCATGCAGAAAAGGTCTTATTTATCCGCCAATGGGGTTCTGCCAGGTTCTGCGAACAATTCCGTCGCGAGGTCCGGCTCCAATGAGCTCCACTGCCACGCATTGGTAGGTAAAGGAGAGGTGAAACAACATCAATTTGTCCAAGGTGCCCTGTCAATATTTAATCGACCTTGTCAGATGATTCGTGGCTCCCTACTGCAGTGAAGTTCGCACCATTCTTCTTGCCCAGTGTCGCCAAGAAGAGAATCATCAACTCTTCGCGTTGTGTTTTTGTTTTTCGATGTCTAGTCTCAGCGATGCGAAAACGGCCGACTATATGAATGCCGACTTGTTCTCTGCCTCACCCAAGCGTGCCGCCCCGAGCCATGACGACCTCGAGAAGAGATTACTGAGGAAGCTCGATTTACGTATGTCTATCATCATTGTTTTGTATGCCCTGAACTTTGTGAGTTTGAGCTATTTGGCGAGCTCATTGCTTGGTACTTACCACACTGGTTAGGTCGACAGAGCGAATGCTGCGTATGCTACGTGTCGTCGTACTCACTGTATATATCATCTCATGTTGTCCACAGTAGTGCGCGGTTGGCAGGCTTTGAGGAAGACCTGCACCTGCAGGGGAATCAATACGCGACAGTCTTGTCCATCGTATACGTGGGGTACATTCTCATGCAAGTGCCAGCGTGAGTTACGTCCGTCGTTGAGGGGACAATGTCAATGTGACTTCTCTTTCTTTCAGGAATATGGTTCTGCACTGGCTGGAGAGACCTTCTATCCTGATTCCTTGTGGTATGGTGGTATGGGGCTTAGTATCAACATTAACAGGTTTGTTGACACCAGCCATTCGTGAATATGAATGCTAACCGTGCCCAGGAATCACAAAAAAGTGCGCATTCTCATTTTGCATCATTGTAGCATCTGATAGTTCGACTCAAGTTACACGGGGGTTCTTCTTGCCCGTTTTTTTCTTGGCTTTGTTGAAGCCCCCTTTTACCCTGGTGTTTTGTATCTTATATCTGGATGGTACAAACGAGATGAGCTCGCCGTGAGGACGACTCTCGTTACTTGTGGATCTGTGCTCGCCTCTGGGTTTGGAGCCGTTTTTGCATCCGGTATACTTTCAGGCATGCAGGGAAAACTTGGTCAAGCTGCGTGGAGGCGAGAAATGACCGTCTCCGTGATGAATTGAAGCTGAAAGCATATATAGATGGTTATTTTACATCGAGGGCGGCGCCACCATTCTAGTCGCGATTTGTGCATTTTTCATTCTTCCTGATTTCCCGCACAACACCAGCTGGCTCACACCGGAGGAACGAGCACTCGCTATCTCTCGCCTTGCAGACGATGGTTCCCTGGCCGACGAGCTTGGGAAACGAACAACCATGCAAGGACTGCGGGATGCTGTGTCCGACTGGAAGGTGTGGTGGTTTTCAGTCGCCCTCGTATTCCAGTTCGTGGCGCTGTCATTCGTCATCTACTTCCCAACGATAGTCGGGACTCTGGGATATGATACGACGTCAACTTTGCTGCTCTCAGCTCCTCCATGGGTATTCTCCACAATCGTTGCATTTGTTCTTTCAAGGTCAGCGAACGGTCTCTATCACAAGTCGCGTCTCATGAACGACAAGGTACTCTGACAAGACGCAAAAGCGTTACGTATTCCTCTTTGCCTCGAGTGCACTCGCTGGTCTTGGATTCATCATATCCATCTGTACGATGAACACCGCTGCGCGCTATACTTCGATGTAAGTCGAATCATCGCGCTGTTTCTTTTACTCACAGACGTACAGTTTCCTGATGGCTCAAATATCTGCTGCATATATGGTGATCTGGGGATGGATCAACAATATCTTCGCTAGAGAACCTGCGAAACGAGCTGTTGCTATCGCTTTGATTAACGGACTGTCACAGACAGGAAACATCATTGGAGCGTTAGTGTCATCGGTCTCTCACTCTCGCTGAATCATTATTCTCACTTTGACGTGTCTCATAGGTACGTCTGGCCGCCCAACTGGGGACCGACATATCGTTATTCCTACGCTGTCTGTCTATCAGCACTTGGGGTATCGACGTCCATGTTTGGTGTGATGTATTGGTATTTGAGGCGGGTGAATGAGCAGATTGAGAGGAAGGAGCGGAATGCGCAGGATATAAGTGATCTTCGGGGCCCCGTTGGTTTTAGATATCTGGTGTAGTCAACGACTCTTGCGCGCGCGGTTCGGATGGCGAATGCTTTCATCGGCCGGTGTATGTGCGCTACTAATACTCTTAAGACATGTATTCAATAGCGTGTTCGAAATTCTGATCATCGACACAATTGCAATAACTGGTCCACCACACATGAGATAAAAACAAGTGGTTCCTTGAATGCCCAAAAAGTTATATAAATGCTGCCATCCCGGCCAGTTGCAATTGCGTGCACGAGACATCCAAGATACGTAGGTATAAGTACGAGTCCCTCAGTCTCGGATAGAAGATTATGCTTAGGTATGATTAGTCCTACGGAAAGGCAGTACGAGTGGTATAACTATAATGAATGGACGTATCCTCGGTCTCTGATAGAAGACCGAGGGAAGGCGATAATGAGTGTCTGCGTATTAAGTGAGCTATATATGGTGAATAAAAAAAACGACGATAAGATAAATTGAGGCTATGTTCAAGACGGTACGCACAACAGGCCATTATAGCCTACCAAATAAAATCCTCCTCCCTCACCTGCCGCACATTCAGTGGCACCTGCGGCGTCACGCCATCCCCAGCAGGGGACTTCACAACAGGGATATGAAATCCCTTGAGCTTCCATTGTATCTCCTTCACGTGCCCTTGTGCATTTCGCTCTGTCGGGAGCGAGAAGTGTAAACGCAGCACAAGCGTCGCGAGGACTTGTTCTGGTGAGAGTGTTAATTGTGATCGCTATTGTTACACACACGACGGTGTGGACGTACTGATTTCCATTTCGGCGAATTTGAACCCGCTAGGAAATGGGGATTGTGGTGGTTAGTCAGGAGGACGTCATGGGAGGGAAGGGACTGACATGCAGGAGCGGCTGCCACCGAGGAACGTCATCCTGTGTATGATTTAGTACGCATACCATATAATTAATGAACGGAAAGCGCTATCAGTACTCACATGTTGGAATACACACCAGGAAACCTCACACCATCCTGGACGCCTAGAATAGGCGCAGTCCGTCTCGACACGGACACGGCGTCTTCTCCACCAACCGGAGTATCTATGCCATGTGTCTCTGAAGGAGCAGCCAGAGGCGATGACAACCACCGCTCGGGCCGCCAGTCATTAGCATCGGCACCCCATATCTCTTGATGGCGGTTTGCAGCAAGGATGGAGATGATTATATGGGTCCCCTGCGGGATCGTGACCACGGACGTGTCCGCACCGGAGCGTGAGCGCGCGGGGAAGTGTAAAGGGAGGGTGGTTGCTTTGGTCGCTCTGTGTGTGGTCCCGTGTGCGAAGTGAGATCTCTATATGAGGACTATTAGGAGAAGGATGGACGTACGTTCGGATCATGAGTGGGAGTGAGGGGTAGAGACGGAGGGTCTCCTTGACGACGCCGTCGAGGAAGGGGAGATTCATGAGGACGTCAAAGGGCAGTTCGGCGGATGGGATGCCGTCTTCCTCCAGATGTCTCGAGGACTTCATGGCATCAGCAACTTCGCTCCTAAGTCTCGCTTGAGCACGAGGGTGCTGGGCGAGCAAGTAGACGGAGCGGGCGAGTGCGGAGGTTGTTGTGTCGAGGCCAGCAAATGCCATGACACTGTAACGATATCAGACAATATCTGTGATGGGCGCAATATGAGAAACCTACTTCATTTGTCCCAACAACTCAGCATCCGTGAGTTTTGTTGCATTGGATAACACAGAATTGGCCTTTACTGTGCGTGCTTGAGCGATGATGCTCTCGATTGTAGTCGATGGGACTCACACATGATATCCATCATCGACAGTATCGAATCACCGTCTCCGCTTATCATATCATCGGCCTCCATTGCCGCTTTTTTCTCTGCAATTTTTTTGCGACTGACGCTATCCATCGTCTCTGCGATGCGACGCATCTCCCGCACGTCTCTCATAAATTGCGTTGGGAGCCAGGGCACCGTGATCAAATCAAGGATTTTTCTTGCCCAGTACGGCGAGCAGCAACGTACGACGATCAGCACGAACGGCCGTAGCAAGCAGAGCTTTCCTATCAAAGGCCTACAGTGTGTCCTGATATGTTTCAAAAGAAAGAGATCCAAAATGAGCGGACGCACCCGACCCTCTGCAGCGCTTCGGTGTATGCGCCGTCTTCTGCTGTTGAGAGGGTGTTTGACGGGTACCCAAGGATGCATTGGGAAATGCCGTCGAGCGCGCAGCGGGAGAGCCATGGGAGGATATCGATCTCGTTGTGTGCTAAGCCACGGGTATCAGCTTAAGTTACATTAAGAAACAATGTGGTACGTACAGCCGTCAGCAGGGAGTTTAGCTGCGAGGGTGGATGCTAGTCTGTCAGCGATGTGGTGTACTGTGGAGAGGAGTCGTCGCATGTTTGAAGTTGAGAAGACGGGGCTAATGAGCTTGCGTTGCCGGCGATGCTGTTCTCCTGGGGTAATGTCAGAAGAAGAGTCATCAATTGTTGACGAGATGTGCCGCACCGACAGTGGATATTAGGCCTTCGCCAAATACCAGTTGGTTTGACCTTGATGGCACCGAGTTAATTTGGTATGCGAAAAATAGGATGATACTGACATGATGAAGTCATCAGGCTCTTCAAAGATGTGCTGGTCTTTGACTACAATGTGATGTAGTGCACGTGGGTCGGATACATAGATAGTTTCCTAAAAAATGAGCGTTCGTAAGGGCAACTTGGAATACGCTGATGTGTATCGTGAACAGACTTACGCCGTACGGCCCATGGAGCCTCACCGCGCCACCATATTTTTCTGCAATGTTCACACAATAGTCGATGCCGCCTTCAAAGAGACTGATGACGTTGCCTGTGTGGAAGTCAGACACGGGGGCGGAATGACGACGAGTAGATGATTCAAGAACCTAAGAGCCAATTCCCCCTGTCGGGACCATCGAGATCGATGCCATGGGGTCGTCGTAGTAGCAAATTGAGGACTTTGTAGAGAGTGAAAGAGAAGGTTCCGAGAACACATAGTTGGATGAGTGACAGCGACATGGTAACTTGACCAGGAGGTAAGACGACTGTGCTGGCTCCGTTGATATATTTCTGGGGAGATTCGGACTAGTCACTATTGGGATGTTATAATTATTAGTGAAGGAGCGCCGTGGATATTGTCCCAAGTTATAGCGGTGTTAACTTGTTGTTAATATTATGATTAATCCGAGTCTCGGTTTGGGTCAAGGCCATGTCGAATAGGCTAATGATGGACCGTTACTCAACCTAGCTCAACCTTTGCTGTAGGCAAAAGTGAATACCATGAGTCCCACACACACGCCAGCACGATGTTTGAGCACGGTCTGAAAAATATTTAAGAGGTTGAATTATTCGAGTCCGTCATGCTCACGCTGTGACGTTATACTAATAAGTAAACCCCGAAAAGTCGCATGCAGAGATGTCATGATGTCTAGTTTGGGACCAACCGTGACATACCTAGTGCGATAGGGAGTCGGTAACATCCCTTCACCGTGCAATACCACAAGATATCATAAATTGGCTCTCTCTCTGATGTTGATCTTTGGTCCGAAGATGCCGCACGAAGACATGCCTGGTGACCCCCGGGTAAACTATCGTACCGCTGCTATGGTCTGCTTCTCACTCGTCAAATATAGGTAGAAGCACGATGCGATGAATTCGACTGGAGTACTCGGCTGCCCAACTGTTCGGGCGCTCGGATGGTGGGGATGCATTGTCCGATGCCAAGCATCCGAACTCTTTTAGTAAAATATCAATGTCACGTGCGCGCGTGCACGCGTGCTATCACAGCGTAAAGTATTGAACAGTACCAGTGTACAGTACATCGATGCAAACTAGTCACTAAGCTCATAAACATGCTTTCCGACTCCGATACCGAGGATATTCAAACCCTCACCATCAACGAGCACTACGCAAAATAGTTCGAATTCAAGAAAGAGCGCGAGCAGCTCGCAAAATGTGCGTCTAGTGACTGTATTCGTGACAGAATTCAACTAACTAACACATGACTACCAGTAAAAGAAAAATACGGGTCTGACTTTGAGGACGAGGAGACAGACTCTTAGGACGCAGCTGAAGATGAGGACCGGGAGGAGCTCACGCCTGCAGTGGACGCTGTGATATTGAGGATGCTAGCAAGGATCAAGAAGAAGAATCCCGCCATCTACAACACCGAGAATATTATCTTTGAAGGTTAATAAATTGCGTCTGTCTTAAACCCCGCCAGTTCTGATACTTATTAGAGGAGCAGGAGCGCACCGCCGTTCATGCCCCCCAGGTGCAAACGCGAAAAAAAGCAAGGATAAAGTGAGTGTTCGTATCACGAGTACAATCCTACACTTAATACCTCTCATTTATAGACGAAACCTCTTACTTTCTGCCAAGCAACTCTCGCATCCGCTCTCGAAGCCAACATATCCCGTTCGCCCACTCCAGAACCACACATACCCACACACACTGAGGAACAGCGTTGGCTGCGTGATGAAACCCGTGCCGCATTCCACACTGCCGTCGATGAGAGTGATGATGACAGATTGCTTGTCCCACGAGAGAAAACCAAGGGTGAACTTGAGCATGAAGAAGAGGAATACAGAGAATACCTAAAGCATGCTTGGCGGGGATCTTGAAGGTCTCATAGAGGTCGAAAACTCGGGTATAGGTGCAGGGACTGAGAACAGCGAAGAGGGCAGCGGTGAAAGAAAGAAGAGCAAGACGAAGATAAAAGGTAACGGGGACGTCCGAGCAAGAGGCCGACCAGGAGTTCCTCATAACGAGGATATCTGAATCCTCACCATCAACGAGCACTACGCGAAAGTGTTCGAATTCAAGAAGGCTGCACACACTGCAAGTATTTTCTTCGGTCGTTGGTACCTTGACTTTACAGTGAGCTTTTAATCGGAATCTTGTGGGCCTCTCACCGTCTCGTAACACAGCGTATACGTAGTAAAAGCCTGAGGAGGAGTGTCGTGGAAGTGAGGTTATTTTCAAAACACTTTGCGGTGCAATTGAGTGATTCAGGTCAATTTGAGGGTGAAAACATGTGTTAGGAAGATCTATTAACGGTCCGATATGAATCATTATATGGCCGTACCACATATGAATGTTTTACAACTACAGGGCGGGACGGAGTGCACCGGTGAGGTTGTAATAGAGACACACGCAGGTGGCAGGCACATCATCAAGTTTGGGTCACTCTGTCAGAGGATCGCACACACGACATGTATCTTAAATATCAGATTCACATTAAGAGTTTGAGAATTGTCACTACTAAAATTCAAAGGCACCTCCATTAATATTGCCCATGCAACATTGAGATATGTTCAGACTCCACTGTGACGAGCAACCACATTGACAAGTCAGCAACGAACTATATGTCGTGCCATCAACCACGGCACCAGTGCGAAAGCAAAGACAGGACTCACTGTCCAGATGCGCTGCTCATTGACAGGCTGCCAGCCTAAGTATTACAGTATTTTTGACCTGTAGGCTGTTGGCATTGAAAGGCGCAAGTGGTGAGTAATGGGGTTGAATTCTGAATGCAAAGCAAACTACTCATACTCACGGACACCAAATCACAACGAAGGCCACTGCAGCAATGACTGTCCGTCTTGCAAGGCATGCCTATTGAGCTGCATGCACTGACAGACATAGATGCTGCCAAAGCAGCAATGACGACGAGGAAGGAGAATTGCATGAATTGTGCGAAGTGATACGATCTTTGCAAAGGGAATCTTGACTGAGGTGGGGGGGCACATTCAACATGGCTTGCTTTTATATCTTGAAAATAATGTTGTAAGCAGAACTTGGAGGTTCTATTGGTTTGGCAGATTGGTTGCGCCTGGTGGATGACAAAACTCAACGCTGATGATCCTAGTAGAGTCCCATAATCAGCGGATAAACAATCCAGAACTCAAACATATAAATGGGCTGTGACGCAATGCCACAGATCTCAGAACAGACTTCATGGTGATCTAACGATTGGTTCGCTTTATGCCGCTGCCCATTGCCACGGGCCACCGCGGCCATGGGTAGGGAGGGAGCCTGAGTAAATGTTGAATATGAAGCTCTTTTGTGAGACGAAGGAGCAATTATATTCTCAGCCACGTACATTGTGGAAAATGTAGTCGGATCATTATCCGTCTTGTCCTAGATCCGCATATGTAAGACAGAGGAAAAATTGGAGCCGGTAGATGTTCGATCTTGTTCACAAGAGGGTGAACGTGAACTCGATGCGGATGCGAGGATGCATTTAGTACCTGCAAGGTATGCGGCTTTCCTGCTGCTGCTGGGGATGCAAAGTTCGGGCGCTAGCGCTCGCTGGGCGGAGGTGTTAGGCATCGTCACAGGTGGTTTTAATTGGTTCAATGAGGCGTGGAAACCGCAACCACATTGGAAGTTGGAACCTACTGAAACAAGCCAACGCGATGGGCGTATCATTAATTTCATTCATAATTAAGAAGTGACAAGCAGTTGCCACTTCGCGAGGTCAAAAATCCTGCAGTTGAGGACGAGTCCAAAATGGCCGGTCTTGGTGTAGGTCTGGGACTGCGACGAAATCTTGGTGTACACTCTGGCACGGTTTGCACAATGCAGAGTTTGAAGTCGGGTCAATATTTGCAGCCGTGCAGTGGCAGAACAGCTCGCTGCTATGCCCTTTCTCAACTTCAACCTCCTGTGCGAACCAGCTTAAGCCTCAGACTCACACCATATCGCCCAGTTAGGACGGAGACCAAAATCAGCATTTCTTTCGATATCCTGGGCAGCGGGCAGGCGGGCAACAGCGAGGTGGTGGGGGAGTGAGGATGATCGCATGGGAGCTTCATTATCACTCCGCTTCATTTTGCCGAGGGCACCAAGACTTTGTCACAGTCGCAGACCTAGATTCTGCGACACCCAGACAGACCTGCAGTTGGACGAAAAGTAACACGAAAAGATGAGCTGCTGAGCCAGTTTCAGTCTGTCACTGCTAGTTGTACTTAGACTTACTTTCGGAGACCGCGGAGGAATCGGAGGAATTACTCACTGAGTGTTTCACAAGTCCGCTAGGATCCACATCTTGAAAGTGCTGCCAAGGGTGATTTGTAGTTTGCTGATGGGTGCAGGTCCTCCGCGTGAGTGCCGGGGGTCCTGGCTCAGTGGCTGGAGTCCTGGCTTGTAGGTAGTCGCTTACTCCATGTTGTAGTCGGTCCTCGATAGATAAAGCCGTTGCCTCCTGCTATAGAGGTTTGGCCTTGGGTTCCCTTGCAGTCCGTGTCGGTCCAACGGGCAAACCGCATTTCAGTTGCATACTATCACGTTTTGCAACTTCTAATTAACCGCATAATATCGCTTTATTCATGGACATTCCTGATCCCCAGGTTACAGGTCCGGTGAAAATGAAAAAACTGGCTATTGAAATTGGTGGTGACCAGTGCCGAAGTGCTCTGGATGAAACAGTGAGTCACACTCAAGCCTCAGGCCTCAGGATCAGTGTGAATATAACGATTATTACTCAGGCCGTGAGGCGAGAACTCGCGCAGTGGCGCAAAGTTAGCCATTGCAATGTTGTCTCAGTCTTCGGTGTCTTTTATCGCGATTTGACACCATTCCTGGTCACCTCGTGGATTGTAGGCAAAAATCTGAATGTCTTCTTCAGGGAGAATGACCATCTCTCACCGCTCCACCGCATGCGTATGGTAAGTCGGCTGTACAAGAAGCGATTTCAACAGCATGCCCACACATCTGCAGATCCTAAATGTGGCGTCAGGTCTAGAATACTGTGCGTACCGTTCTGACTGGCTCGTCATTACCTTACATGTTTTCATATGCAGTACATGAATCCTCCATTGTCCACGGACATCTAACTGGGGTACGTTCAAAGTTTGATTATCTCCGACATGGCGTTTCCTACATAAAACACTTACAGGCCAATGTCATCATAAATGAAGAAATGTTGCCAGTTTTAACAGACTTCGGACTCACGTCAGTACGCGGACCCATGCAGGGTAGCGCCTTCCTTCGAACATCCAGCGATGCCCCGGGTGCAATCAGATGGGCAGCGACAGAACTTATTACAAAAGAGGTCGAAAGCCCCACAATCCACAGCGATATCTATTCTTTCGGCAGCATCGCGTTGCAGGTCGGTCGTCTAAGTGTCGCCTCTACTTGATTCTCTTTTGTTAAATCATCAGTCCAGGTAGCCACTGGAAAAGTTCCGTGGAGCGAACTGGATGACGATTTTAATGTCGTTGTGCAACTAAGTCAGGGTCTTGTGCCTCCTCGACCGAAGGACTCCTGGATCAACGATGCTCTTTGGGCATTTATCGAAAGCTGTTGGGAATTTGTTCCAGAGGATCGGCCAAATTCCGCGAATGCGCACATCGTTATGCAGCGCGAATCTCTCGCGCTGCTTCGTACGCACAACGAGTGTCCGACTGACAAAGCCAATCCAGCCGTTACAGATCGTAGATATTCCCTCCAAAAAAGGGGGAGCATCAGGGACCTGCCGAGTGACAGGAGTGTCCCTCTCCCTGACGCTGCAATCCAGCCTGAGAGCACGCGCCACGTTAGTGTACCCGGCGCCAAACAGGCTCGCAGAAAAGCTGCTATCGACCGCCTCCCGCAACCAATAGTCTCGGACAGGTCCTTCACCTCGGTAAATAATTCACCTCCCACACCGAGATCTTCCACAAAACTCTCCCGCGACCTGGACATACATTTAGATTCAGACTGGATGGAGAGCGAGGAGGAGACGCACGCATCTAGTAGCTTGGGTGTTGCTAGCAAAGGGGATGAGAAGGTTGGAGATGCTAATAGGGCATGGCAGTCCTCGTCAAGTAACTGGGTCGGTACGAGCCTCAGAGCACGACGCGCGTTGCAAGCCCAACTTGACTCATCCGAGATGGTTGAGCAGAAGATTATGGTGCTACTCGACAAGTTAACTGATGAGAGCTTTGATTCGATCTCAGATCAGATCATCGACTTGATGAACAAGAACGTGAATGAGAAGGGCGGGTGGACACTTATCCAAGTCAGCCGGCTGGTGTACGAGAAGGCTATGGGTGATGCTCGTAGTGCGATGTACGCGCGTTTGTGCCGAAAGATGATGGAGCAGACCAGCCAGGGTGCACAAGTCGATGGGATAAAGACCATGGAGGGCAAGACTATCATAGGCGGCCAACTCTTTCTGAAATATCTCCTCGACTGGTGTCAAGATGATTTCGAGCATGGATTGCTCGCGAAGGAGTCAAATGAATATTACGCTCTGCCAACGGCGAAGCACCAGGTCCTGATCAATTTCATCTGCGAGCTTTTCAAGCTACATATGCTCACAGCGCATATCATGCACGAGTGCGTGGAGAAGTTGTTGGGCAACGCCGAAAAAACTCGAGGCAGAGGAAATTGAGAAGTCGGCTGTTGAAGACGGCGGGTCAGCTGCTGGATCCGCCGAAAGGGCGTACGCACATGGAGGAGTGTTTCTTTCGCATGAACAATATCAAAAGACCGGATATCACCCCCCGTGAGCAATCGATGCTTATGGTGCGTGGCTAACCCTGGCGTTTTTGTCGTTGTACTCACTGCTATGGTGCAGGGCGTCATCGAGTTGCGTGATAGCAGATGGGGCAGCGCTGCTGTTGCGACTCGCAGTGCTGTGTTCTATGCCTGTCAGGAAGCAGTACATCATCAAGTTTGGTCACTCCAACAGGTTGTAATCAGTGAACCAAATTTCAACGACCGCGACCTCTCGCGTCTGACCGCGCACGATTCGCGGTTCTTTCTTTTACCATGGAAGCTCTCATATGCTAATCACTGTGCCTGAGGCCTGAAGCTTGAAGCTTGAAGGGCCGAGGATCGCACATACGTCATGTATCTTAAATATCAGATTCACATTGAGAGTTCGAGAATTGTCACTACTAAAATTCAAAGGCGCCTCCATTGATATTGCCCATGCAATATTGAGATTTGTTCGGACTCCATGAGCAACCACATTGACAAGTCAGCAACGAACTATGTGTCGTGCCATCAGCCACGGCACCAGTGCGAAAGTAGAGACGGGACTCACTGTCCAGTTGCGCTGCTCATTGACAGGCTGCCAGCCTACAGCTAGGCAGTCTAGGTGTTACAGTATTTTTTGCCTGAAGGCTGTTGGCATTGCAAGGCGCAAGGGGTGAGTAATGAGGTTGAATTCTGAATGCAAAGCAAACTACTCATACTCACAGTCACCAAATCACAACGAAGGCCTTTGCAGCAATCACTGTCCGTCTTGCAAGACTTGGCTATTGAGCTGCATGCACTGACAGACATAGATGCTGCCAAAGCAACAATGACAACGAGGAAGGAGAATTGCATGATTTGTGTGAAGTGATACGATCTTTGCAAAGGGGAATCTTTACTGAGGTGGGGGGTACATTCAACATGGCTTGCTTTTATATCTTGAAAATAATGTTATAAACAGAACTTGGAGGTTCTATTGGTTTGGCAGATTGGTTGCGCCTGGTGGATGGCAGAACTCAACGCTGATGATCCTAGTGGAGTCCCATAATCAGCGGATAAACAATCCAGAACTCAAACATCCGAATGGGTTGTGACGAAATGCCGCAGGTCCCAGAACATACTCGACGGTGATCTGACGATTAGTTCGCCGCTGCCCCACGGGCCACCGCGGCCATGTCCAGGGAGGGAGCCTGAGTAAATGTTGGATGCGAAGCTCTTTTGTGAGATGAAGGGGCAATTCTATTCTCAGCAACATACATTGTGGAAAATGTAGTCGAATCATTATCCGTCTTGTCCTAGATCCGCATATGTAAGACGGAGGATAAATTGGAGCTGGTAGATGTTCGATCTTGTTCACAAGAGGGTGAACGTGAACTCGATGCGGATGCGAGGCCGGGCAGGATGCGTTTAGTACCCACAAGGTGTGCGGCTTCGCTGCTGCTGCTGAGGATGCAAAGTTCGAGCGCTAGCGCTCGCTGGGCGGGGGTGTTAGGCGTTGTCACATGTGGTTTTAATTAGTTCAATGAGGCGTGGAAACCGCAACCACATTGGAAGTTCAAACCTACTGAAACAAGCCAACGCGATGGGCGTATTATTGATTTCCTTCATAATTGAGAAGTGACAAGTAGTTTCCACTTCGCAAGGTCAAAAAACCTGCAGTTGAGGACGAGTCCAAAATGGCCAGTCTTGGTGTAGGTCTGGGACTGCGACAAAATCTTGGTGTACACTCTGGCACGGTTTGCAAGAGTTTGAAGTCACCAGCGGCTGAATACCGCTGGCATATCACTGCCACAACCGTCTGCTGCCCGGCGCTTCCCACCCCTGCCCACACGCTGAACACGGACCATGGATGTCGGGTCCATATCCGTGCAGTGGCAGAACAGCTCGCTGCTATGCCCTTTCTCAACTTCAACCTCCTCCTCCACTGTGCGAACCAGCTTAAGCCTCAGCCTCACACCATATTTTTTGCCCAGGGCACCAAGACTTTGTCACAGTCGCAGACCTAGATTCTGTGACACCCAGACAAACCTGCAGTTTGAAGAAAAGTAATTTGAAAAAGATGAGCTGCCACGAGCCAGTTTCAGTCTGCTAGTTGTAGACTTCAATACTTTCGGAGACCGCAGAGGAATCGGAGGAATTACTCAGTGTTTCATAGTCTCCCCTAGCCAGACCATATAGAAGGAAGACAGTCGTTCCAGTGTTTCACAAGTCCGCTAGGATCACACCCATCACGTGGTAAGGTTGTACATAACATGATATTCACCCGTGCACGATATCTTCAACCTGGTCATCGGCGAATCCTTACGCTGCAAAGTCTATCTTCAATCATGGTGGACCTTGCATCCCTCTCGCTCTTCCCCGCGACGCGTGTGCAGGTTGAGGAGTCATGGCGCCGAACTTGGCCACAAGATATCATAAATTGGCTCTCTGATATTGGTCTTTGGTCCGAAGATGGGCCGCACGAAGACACGCCCGGTGACCCTCGGGCAAACTATGATCGTGCCCGCTGCTACGGTCTGCTTCTAACTCGTCAAATATAGGTAGAAGCACGATGCGACTTTAAAATCGACTTCCAGGAGTACTCGGCTGCCCAACTTGTTCGGGCGCTCGGATATGGGAATTGTGGGGATGCATCGTCCGATGGGCCTGCAAGCATCCGAACTCTTTGAGTAAAATATACAAGACGTCTTCCGGAGGGGCAAAGATGTCCCGAGGAATGATTGGGTCCAGGTATAGGATTATAATGGTTTCGAGCGTAAGGGAGACGGTGTTGGGAGGAGTTGAATGTGGAAGTTAGATCATGTCAGTTCCTCAATTCTAAAGCTTTCACTTACGCCTCGAGCTCGTTGCTCCCCAAGAATTGGTTTTAGCAAAACTGCGTGTATGTCAAACACGCACAAATAAAGGCGGCCAAGCGCTCGCTGGACCAACGCCAATCATCATTCAATGTGCTATTTGACTATAGCCTGAGTCGGTCTGTAGTGGTGAATGGACTCAAGTTGTCCTTCCGATATACTGTGCACACTCGCAATGATCATTGCTTGCAGGTACCAGTCCTCGCAAAGTACAGTGCTCAGGTTTCAAGCTGATGTGGCCTTTTGTCAAACTAACTCATTCAAGTTGCCAAACAGGCGTTCGACCGATGTGAACTTCTGGTATTAATAGACCAATGGCCGCCGATCAATGACGGGCGCTAACAAACATGTGTTTGGTAGTTACATCTTCATCATCTTCCTCGTTCCTTCGCCTTTTGACACTCATACTCAGTCCTTCCAACACTCGATGAATAAAGACAATCCTGGGAAGAAGCGCTTCAAAGGGTGGCCGAAGCCAAGTCGTTCAACCCCTCATTTGCCAGAGGAGAGGCCGACTGGTGATTTATGGACGCTCGCCTTTACAACTACGCAATGTTTCTAATGTTTACAGACCTCATCTCTCCCGCCTTTGAGCAATGGATCTCGCAGACGATCCCCAGGGTTAGCTCGTGAACTATTTGCCAAGGTGACCAAGTGTTTCGCTCGAAGCGCTCGACAGTCTCCCAACCCTGAACGCACGGGCACACGTTCCAGAGCACAGGATATCGAACCTGTACAGTCAACCGAGGTATGTGAAACCTCAACTCTGAGTATGCCCATGCGTCAGGATTGCTACTAATCACCCTTGTAGGATCCTTCACTCATCGCTTCCACTCCCGAACTGAATACTGAGCAATCTTCCAATCCAGGCGTTGCAAAGGTATGTTCGAGTGACGTTGTCTCCCTCTTTCGATCTAGTACTAACGTCTCTAATTAGGCCGAACAACCCGACCAGAAGTTTGTGAACGAAAGAATCACCGATGCCACGAACATTTTTGCAGGCGTCGGGAATGTCTCAGCAATCGCCCAAAATACCTCTTCAGCGGCCAACAACTTACAGTCTGTTTCCGATACGGTCGACACATTCTCCGTGTTGCTTGGACCCTTGAAGGTGTTCAACTCCTTTGCCAATGGCATTGTCGATGTATGGGCATTTATCTCTGGTTTGCATGCGACTAATACTCATATTTAGGTCCATCCCTACGCGAAGGTGTCGTTGAGCATTTTCACTTGCGCATCGAAGGTTCATTTCTTTCAATCATATTACCTTCATAAGTTAACGGAATCATTCATCGCAGATGATTCTCGATCAGGCGGACCGCGATGACGCTGTCTCCCGTCTGCTCTCAAAGATCTCTGAAGTCTACACCTTCATCACGGAAGAGGAGGAATTGAGCCAAACACAGATACACCCATGCGAAGCTGTAGCACTCGAATGCAAACAGGACTTGACATTGGTATTGGGCTGGATTGTTTTGTTGAATTGTCGCTGATGTCCGAATCCGCATTTTTTTCTGGATGGAGAATTATCCCCTGAGGAGTGCACGCGCGCTATGTGTAGTGTGCACAGCGTAAACTTTGGTGCTGTGCAGTGACTTCCGATACCGAGGATATCCAAACCCTCACCATCAACGGGCACTACGCAAAAGCGTTCGAATTCAAGAAGGCTGCACACACTGTAAGTATTTTTTTCGGTCGTTGGTACCTTGACTTACAAGGAGCTCTTAATCGGAATCTTGTGGGCCTCACCGTCTCGTAACACAGCGTAGTAAAAGCCTGAGGAGGAGTGTCGTGGAAGTGAGGCTATTTTCAAAACACTTTGCGGTGCAGTTCAGATCAATTTGAGGGTGAAAACATCTGTTAGGAAGATCTATTGACGGTCCGATATGAATCATAAGATGGCTGCACCACATGAATGTTTTACAACTACTCAGGGCGGGACAGGGTGCACCGGTGAGGTTGTAATAGAGACACACGCAGGTGGCAGGCACCAACATGAGGTTGTAATCAGGGAACCAACTTTCAACGACCGCGACCTCTCGCGCCTGACCGCGCACGATTCGCGGTTCTTTCTTTTGCCATTGAAGTTCTCATATGCTAATCACTGTTGAAGGGCTGAGGATCGCACATACGTCATGTATCTTCAACATCAGATTCACATTGAGAGTTCGAGAATTGTCACTACTAAAATTCAAAGGCGCCTCCATTGATATTGCCCATGCAACATTGAGATTTGTTTGGACTCCATGAGCAACCACATTGACAAGTCAGCAATGAACTATGTGTCGTGCCATTAACCACGGCACCAGTGCGAAAGCAGAGACAGTACTCACTGTCCAGATGCGCTACTCATTGGCAGCCTGCCAGCCCACAACTAGGCAGTCTAGGTGTTACAGTATTTCTTGCCTGTAGGCTGTTGGCATTGCAAGGCGCAAGGGGTGAGTAATGGGGTTGAATTCTGAATGCAAAGCGAACTACTCATACTCACAGTCACCAAATCACAGCGAAGGCCTTTGCAGCAATCACTGTCCCTCTTGCAAGGCTTGGCCCTTGAGCTGCATGCACTGACAGACATAGATGCTGCCAAAGCAACAATGACGACGAGGAAGGAGAATTGCATGATTTGTGTGAAGTGATACGATCTTTGCAAAGGGAATCTTTACTGAGGTGGGGGGGTACATTCAACATGGCTTGCTTTTATATCTTGAAAATAATGTTATAAACAGAACTTGGAGGTTCTATTGGTTTGGCAGATTGGTTGCGCCTGGTGGATGGCAGAACTCAACGCTGATGATCCTAGTGGAGTCCCATAATCAGCGGATAAACAATCCAGAACTCAAACATCCGAATGGGTTGTGACGAAATGCCGCAGGTCCCAGAACATACTCGATGGTGATCTGACGATTGGTTCGCCGCTGCCCCACGGGCCACCGCGGCCATGTCCAGGGGGGGAGCCTGTGTAAATGTTGGATGCGAAGCTCTTTTGTGAGATGAAGGGGCAATTCTATTCTCAGCAACATACATTGTGGAAAATGTAGTGAAATCATTATCCGTCTTGTCCTAGATCCGCATATGTAAGACGGAGGATAAATTGGAGCCGGTAGATGTTCGATCTTGTTCACAAGAGGGTGAACGTGAGCTCGATGCGGATGCGAGGCCGGGTAGGATGCGCTTAGTACCCACAAGGTGTGCGGCTGCGCTGCTGCTGCTGAAAATGCAAAGGTCGAGCGCTAGCGCTCGCTGGGCGGAGGTGTTAGGCGTCGTCACAGGTGGCTTTAATTAATTCAATGAGGCGTGGAAACCGCAACCACATTGGAAGTTCGAACCTACTGAAGCAAGCCAACACGATGGGCGTATCATTAATTTTCTTCACAATTGAGAGGCGACAATCAGTTGCCACTTCGCGAGATCAAAAACCCTGCAGTTGAGGACGAGTCTAAAATGACCGGCCTTGGTGTAGGTCTGGGATTGCGACAAAATCTTGGTGAAAACTCTGGCACGGTTTGCAAAATTTGAAGTCACCAGCGGCTGAATACCGCTGGCATATTACTGCCGCAACCACCTGCTGCCCGGCGCTTCCCACCCCTGCCCACACGCTGAGCACGGACCATGGACGTTGAGTCCATTTTTGCAGCCATGCAGCGGCGCAGAACAGCTCGCTGCTATGCCCTTTCTCAACTTCAACCTCCTCCTCCGCTGTGCGAACCAGCTTAAGCCTCAGCCTCACACCATATTTTTGCCGAGGGCACCAAGACTTTGTCACAGTCGCGGACCTAGATTTTGTGACACCCAGACAGACCTGCAATCGGAAGAAAAGTAATTTGAAAAAGATGAGCTGCCGCGAGCCAGTTTTAGTCTGCTAGTTGTAAACTTACTTTCGGAGACCGCGGAGGAATCGCTCAGTGTTTCATAAGTCCGCTAGGATCACCATACCCATCACGTGGCAAGGTTGTACATAACATTATATTCACCCGTGCACGATATCTTCAACCTAGTCATCGGCGAATCCTTACGCTGCAAAGTCTATCTTCAATCATGGTGGACCTTGCATCCCTTTCGCTCTTCCCCGCGACGCGTGCGCAGGTTGAGGAGTCATGGCGCCGAACTTGGCCACAATGGGGTGGTGCTCTGTGTCTCACAGAGTACCTTGCGCGAGAGACTGAGATGGAATGTATGGATCACGCAAAGGATGGAAAGATGATCACCTGGTGAGCGCCCCATTGTGCTGACAGGAAGAAGTTAATGGGAGAAGAAGGGTGTTGGCCCCACGGGACGACCCCACCACTCTTGATTTCATGTGTTCCTGTGAGGCGTAAGCGACTCGAGTACTTCGATGAACGAGTATTTCTCTGACGCGCGTCTACGGGATAGATTCAAGCGCGCAGGTCTCGTCGCTTACCCTCCCTCCTCGGCCTCTAAGCCCAACTCAGTGCACAAAGTAACCTGCTACGCCGTTGCTAGTGTTTTTACACCACCCTCAAAGCGCGGGCGCGGCTACGCAGGCCATATGATGCGCCTCTTACATTGGGTCATCGCCTCTCGTGTCAATCTCCCCAAGTTCCCAGAAGCATGGGGTGCACCACCGGAACGGGTAGCGGAAGCTAGTGAGGGACTGTTCTCGGGCCTGTACAGTGATGTCGGGGAAGACTTTTACCACTCGGCAGGCCCTGGGGGTAAAGAGGGCGGATGGGAGACGCGGGGGGCCGTTTCCACTATTTGGGACGTGGGCATGGAGGAGGAGGAGGATAACGATGAATGGACATGGCTGACACAGGAGCAGCTGATCGGGCTTTGGGATCGTGATGCTAGGCGGATTAAAAAAGAGCTGGCGAACATGCCGACAAGAGACGCTTCATATGCAGTAGAGTGCCCGGCAGCATTCGTGACGTACCTGCCAACAAACGGTGTCTGCGGGTTCCACATCCCAAGGTCGACATACGCCTCGGATGTTTCCACCGCAGGCAGATTCTGGGGTGTACAATCCTCGAGTGATCCAGAGACATACGCAAGCTGGAGCGTCGACTTGAGACCTCCCCCGCCAACACTGATCATTACCCGGCTCTGTGCCAGTGAAGAGACATTTCCTGGGCTAATCGCGAAGATCAAACAGGCGGCTAGACAAGCCGGAATTGGGAAAGTGGAGGTATGGAAATTGAGAGACGGCTTAAAGGACATTGCACAGAGGACGGGTGGGCGGACGGTCATACGAAGCGAACATCTACCGCAGATAGTATGGTATGGACCTGGAGCGACGGGGAATATAGAGTGGGCGTATAACGAGAAGTAGGTCCCCCTCTATCCAAAAAATTGCGCGCATTTGTGTTGACAAGTTTGCCGACAGATTCGGCTGGTGCTGATGCAAGATTAAGCTGCAGTTGCAGAACAATCGGAGGTGTCACGCTGGCATAGCTAGAGAAAACGAGCTGCGTCTGGGAATAATCCTACAAGCGCGTCTACTACCACGTCAACAAGAATTGGCGAAAATTTCTTCACCTTCCGCGATCTTGAAGAAGCGGACGTGTAGTCCACCACTCTTTCGAACGACTACTGCTCCAGCTTGCTGAGAAGCTAGTTGGGTGTGTTTTCGAGACAACGCGGCGGATGCAGGCTGGTGAGTGATTTTATGGTTGGGCAGTGAACAATGGGAGGTTATATACCAGTGGGGAATTCAACTATATGATTTAAAACCTCCCTTCTTTTAGTGAGATGTGAACTCCGTCGCGTTCGTTCCTGATTGTTTTCCGAGTTCAGCGTCAACGGCCACTTGTATGCTTTTTATCCATTTGTTTCATCCGGGCGCGGGTAACAACATAGAACAAGCTTTAAATTGATTGTGTATAGTGTGTGCACCGATTTTTCCCTAGCAATATTTCAACATTCTCGAAGCAATTGAAGTCTCCTGAGCCGTATAAACTAACTTGTAACTTATTGTAGCACCTACGCCTCGGGATCTCAATTAATGACAGCTGCATGACTACATTAAAACATGTGGTCAGTTCGTCATCAGTTTCGGAGGATTCCACGTCCACTCTCGATCACCTTCCATTTCCAATAGCTTCTCGATCTCTCCGTCGTCCATCCTGTAACCTTCCTTCTCGTGATGAGGGAAGCTGCCGTCTCTAACAGCACTAGCGTATGCCTTTACGCCGCGTTCGACCTCGCTCTTGACATCCCCGAACCGTCTCACGAATTTTGCCTTGTGCCCCGCCCATGTCCCCATCACGTCGTCCCACACGAGCACCTGCCCACTGCAACCCGGGCCTGCACCGATGCCAATAGTGGGCACCTTCAACCGCGATGTAATGTACGCAGCAAGAGACGAAGGAATGGCTTCGAGAACAATGGAGAACGCTCCTGCCTCTTGAAGGGCGAGGGCTGAGTGCAGAATAGATCTCCCGGACTCAGCGGTGCGTCCCTGGACCCGGTACCCGGAGAGCGCGGTGTGACGCTGTGGTAGCAACCCCACATGCGCCATAACGGGGATTCCGATACTCGTGAGCGCTTGTACACGTCCAGCGATCTCCCTCCCTCCCTCTAGCTTCACGGCTTCCACGTTTCCCTCCTGGAGCATGCGAACGGCTGCTCGAACCGTGTCTTCTTTCCCGGCATAATAGCTCCCGAACGGCATGTCTGCGACAAGAAGCGGTGCGGATGATCCCCGTGCGACGGCGCGGCAATGGTGAAGCATTTCATCGAGAGTAAGTGAAGTGGTGCTAGAATAGCCTAGGCAGACCTGAGCTAGGCTGTCGCCGACAAGGGTGATATCAATGCCGTGCGTTGATGCAGCGCGCGCAGTGGGATGATCATATGCTGTGAGTACAGTGATCGGGGTACGTTCTTGACGGAGGGCGTGCAGAGAGGCGATTGTCACCTTTTTGCGGGCTGTTGTGCATGATGAGGGATCGGGTTGGAGGTGAGACGTAAAATAACACTCACGAGGCGGTAGAACTGGCTTCTGTGCGGAAGATTCACCAGGTGCGTTTGCGAGTTGCTCATATTTTAATGGGCGGACGCTCATACACCGTTGGCCGAGGTTTTGAAAGCGGGCGATCGAGGTAACTGCGCGAGTACGAGAGGTAGTGAATAATATCTGTGCATGCATGATGAATTTCTGAGATGGTGGAATGAGGGGATCGGTTATTGCAGCGTGTGCACTTGATTGATTATACTCGCACCTATATCGATGAACGGAACCCAATAATTGCTGGAATCTGCTATTTCGGTGAAGAAAATATATAGGAGATCAGGCCATAGTTTTGATTGATAATCCGTGTGCACACGAGCGTGAATTCCTAACGGATCTGCCCTTGTGCATGTCAAGGTTTTTAAAGACTGACTTCCGGATCACTCGACCAGACCGGCTAAAGCCTCTGACTAACGTGAACGTGAATACTCGTGGATATTTAACAAAGGAAACTCAATGCACGTGATGCCATCGGTGCCTGGCTACGCGCATTTGGCCTCGCTTCCCCATTGTCCTCATGTTCCCACGCCCCTTGCACCCCAACGTCGACAATGCCACCAAGAACGCGCAGACAGCGAGCTCAAGCCGCACATGAAAGCGAGGAGATAGCACAGATTCAAGTTGAGAAAGAGTTGCTCAACCCTGATGATGTAGAGACCGAACAAGAGAATGACGAGAATATATTCGTCTCTGGTGATAGGGACAATGAGGATGAGGAGGCCGACGAAAACTCGTTCAGCTTTCCTATGCTACCACCACCCCGCTCGCTGGCAAATCCACTTCGCACCCCTTCTCATGAAGACGCGCTTCGCGACATCACTGATGAGTTCTTTCATCCACCTTCACCGTCTCCGATCAAAGCAGTTCCCGCGTTTGCAAGGCTCAAACCACCTCGACGACCAAAGAAACCAAAAAGCCTTGCATTCCCGCACGACCCGCCTAATTGGCAGCCAACTTCTCCACTTCCTCCCAGCTCGCCGCTCGCCTCGACTTCCACATATGGACCACAGAACTACGCGTCAACATCGCACGCGAATGCCTACGAGTACAATATGACCGCGTTTTATCGTCATGCGCAAGAGATAGAACCTAGAACTAGTGATTCCGACCCATTCGGTTTTTTCGCGGCTGAGAAGGTGCTGAAAGAACGACGCGCTGCACGTCTACCAAGCGAGAAGCGCAAACACGTCCAATCTCCTGTTTCACAAGTCACACCATATTCCACGCGCACCAGAGCACAGCTAAATCGCACCACGCCTACTCCAACGCGCCCAGCTTCCTCGGTCCCCATCCCGACAAACGATGAAGATATCGATGATCTCTATCTCGACGAACCAATCACTACATCTATGCCAGTCCCTGCACTCATTCTACGTCATTCGTATATCCCAACGCCATCGTCCTCCCCTGCTTCCCTTCGCTCGGAGATAGTAGTCCCAGTCCTACTTAAACCTCGCTTGGACATTTTGCGAGACCAACCGACGCGCAGCCGTGATCCCCTCCGTACGCCGCGAAAACGTAAACGTGATTTTGACGCTACCACTCCCGCCTCCAGTGATATAGTATCCAGTCCATCACCTGTGAAGATTAGTGTAGCGATTAGACGACCCCAAACACCCTCAGATCGCCAGGAGACAGCAGAAGAGTACACTCCTATTCCGAAACGTACTACACGTGCACAGGCGAAAGGGAAGGGCAAAGCCCATGATGACGCGCTCAAGCCTCGCAGACGTGTCCGCGCTGCCAAAGAAGATGCTTCCCTGAGCCCGAGACAGGCGTGTAAGGACTTGGAGAAGCTCTTGCCGCGCAGAGCAACCACGCGGAGGGCAGCTGCCGTCGCGAAAGCTGGCGGTAAAGGAAGGGTTAGGATGGCTGTCGATCCTGTGGTGAGTGACAGCGACAGTGATGATGAGCAGCCGAAACGGAGGAAGCCTGCATCGAGGGCAAAGCCCGCATCAAGTCCAAAGCCTGCCTCAAGAAGTGCCAAAGCCGTATTAAAGGGTGCCAAAAAGTCGCCCTTGAAAAGCGGGAAGCCTCGGAGTAAGGGCAAGGAAAAAGCAAAACCTCTTGATGACTTGATGGAAATGTCAGATGATACCCGCAAGGTTCGCTAGCCATATTGGTGATGATTGCTTCTCACTGATTGTTTTCTCTGACCTCTAGCGATACGAAGAGGAACGCCTAGCGCGTCTTGAGTACTTCCGCAAGTTGGATGATTATCAGATGAAGAAGGAAAATGTGTATGTAGTGTGAAGTTCCTGCACAGGGAGTGCAATTTCGGATTTTGGTCTTGACTAGCAACCTTATTTTATGCTTATCTGTCGCAGCTGTCTCGATGCGTCTGCATCATGTGTATAATGTTTCGTTGCTACCAGACGTTCCAGCATGTAGCCCCAATGAATACAAATACTTGAGAACCTTGGCTTGAACATTGGATCTCCCCACGACTAACGGTTCTCATCACCTTGTTCACTCACCAGTGTCATTTGCCAAATCAGGCGGGATGCATGTTACAAGATACCGTCTATGATTATTTGACCTCAATAAATTTTCTTTGCGATCCGATTCCAGTTCTCCTGATTAACAGCAAAGGTGCCTGCATAAATCGCCTCTAATTCATGCAACTTCTTGCCAGCGATGATGAGGCTGTGAAGGGGTTTTCCAAACACAGACTCCGGTTGGGCTTGCAAATCCGAGAGACTCCCTGCAACGATGCGTTGAGTACCGTCGTCATCATCCGCCAATTCCTCGCCGGAGGGTATGCTGCCCACACGTGACAGTGCAATAGCGAGTGTCGAATCGCCATCAAGGATGCCTTCTTTTCTAATGCTTTCGATCTCGAGAAGCTGGTTCACGGCAGTAGGAATGGACATGTATCGTGGCGGCTCGTAGATTTTTCTTCCTCTGAGTTTCAGACAAATTAGAAACTGAAGGTCCCAAAGAAGGCGAAGGAAATTAGTACCTTGCTAGATTTTCTTCGCTTTGTTCCTTGACCTTTATGTCAAGAAGTACGAGCGTATGCAGCCCGAACTTGGCGTTCTCTGCGATGCGGTCGTAGAATGAGTCTGGTTTCCATGCGTCTGTAAAGAAGACGAGGGATACTGTCTGCCCGAAATTGTAGAGCTGGAGCCCCGAGCATCCCGCTGCGTTGATGATAGATGCATTGTGGATGATTTGAGTAGGAATCTGCAGATCGCGAGCTCGGAGTAGCAGATCCGTATGAGTCGTTGCGCTGTACAAGTCTAATGAAAAAAAATGCAGACAATAAATGGGAAAAGACTTACCCAAACGGATCGCCGACGACAAGAAATGCAACGTTTTCCGTTGTTGCGTCGCGCAGGATCTCATCGCTCTCGAGCTCTACCATGTCGCGATCTGCAAGGATGAGCGACTTGCCGTAGAAGGCTTCCTTGCGCGCATGTGAGCAGTGAGAGAAGAATGGTGTGAGGGTAGACTGACGAGGCGGTCCTTGTTCACCATCAGGATGGACGTGTAGGCCTCTAGGTAGACCCGAGAACAGGATTTGACTGCTTCTAATCCACGAACTGTGATATCCTTCTCGTCGCAGAGACCAAGACCAATCACGTAGAACATTTTAGAACGCTCTACTAACTAGTAGTAGCTTAAAAGTAAAGGATTAGAGTGCATTGATGATCGTCGTCGAAGTGATATCTTTATGTCGGGAATTTCCACTTGCCTTTTTCAGACAGACCCTCGACAACTGCTTTACTCGGTTCCGTGTCCAAGTTTCATTCATTGTATACGCTTCATGATTTCCCGCTTCGCAAAATCTTTTCTTGCGGTTGTCCTTGGCCTTGTACGTGTTTTAACACTATCCTAGAGTTTCTTTAAAGTGACTGTCGCAGTTTCTACTGGCTGCGGTGGCATTGCTCCACCCGCCTTCCCGCGCGTACATCGACCCATGGACCGGCGACTTCTTCGGTGAAGGTGGCGTTGAACAGGATCTACGACCTCCTCTTTATAATGGCGCAAGGCCTTTGTCGGTTCAGGGAGGTGTCATCATGTCGAAGCTAGAGAATGAGACTGCCAAGTAGGTGATGCGAGATGATGTTCTTTGCGTCTCACACACCTACTACAGGGCGGAACTCGGTCGTGCGACGTGGAAATTGCTGTTTGTATTTGTGTTGCATACAGGACGTCCGCTGAACTTTGTTGCTTTGTTGTGTAAGATAGACATACTATGACTCTGCGGTATCCTGAGGTAGGGTTGATTCGATGTTTGAGTCTGTCAACTGCTCACGAGATCACATGTAGCGCCCGACACAAGACGAAAGAGATGCTTTGAATTCATACTTGCATCTTACGTCGCGCCTATACCCCTGTGGCGAATGCGCGGCCGAATTTCAAGAATTGCTGAAGAAGTTTCCACCACAGGTAAATTCTCTTCAACTTGAGCTTCATCAGTTAAGAAGTGTTCAACAGACAGGATCAAGATTGGCAGCAAGTCTATGGTGAAATATTCTTTATAATCCGACTCTCGCATGCTTACACGTGGTCAGGCTGTGCTCAGTGCACAACGAAGTCAACGAGCGGTTAGGAAAGCCATCATTTGATTGTGCCCACCTTGATGAAACATATGACTGTGGGTGTGGGGATGACAAATCAACATCCTCAGCGCGACAACCAGCGCCATCTGACAACGCTGACGACCCAATGGATCTGGAATGGGACATTGCACGGGACGATGTGACTGGTGTAGGAATGATCAAAGGTGGGAAGCGGTAGCCACCACGCTGCCAAATGTGTTTGCGTCGGGCTGTCTGGCGTCATTTTACACAACGGTTTGATCGGCTTTTGTGCGTTTCCTGGGGGTTTTTGGTGTATCTTCTATGGTTGTATATATACCCCCCTTCTCTCTTTACTTGGATATACTGATACATTGATGTACCATGGGTTACCGGTTAATAGTTCAACAAGGTTGGGCATGGGCATTCACATTAATATTAAGTTGATCTTGGTCCACTTTCGCTGCAGTGATGTATTATATCCTTCTCTTATGACATCTGGTCTAACGATTTCAAGCTGCCAAATTGTTTTTAGAGATTTACTACAGCTGAAACGTGTGTTTCGAACCCTAGGCCATGACGCCAACCATGCTTTACTTATTTCCAGCAATTGGTTACTGCCTGTGGCCTAGCGTTTATCCGAGTGAGATCTTATCAGAGGGCAGTTTGACAATGAATGATAGATAAACCAGATTAGGACCGATAATCTATATGAGTCACTAACTTTCAAACGAGTACCGATTCCTGCACAAAGTCCTTGACTCATACTTGCTCGTACCACCATCCAGTTCCTCAGGGCTTCCAAAGATACCCTCAATGTCGACAATATACATAGATCAAACATCGGGCGTCGACGCCCCCGGAAACGGATCCATTGATCAGCCTTATCAGTCCCTTGCCTATGCCCTCTTCTCGACGCCTTCCGCTGCAGTTGAAACGACACAACACCAGATCCGCAAGGACTCAGATGCAGTATATGATGCACCAACTCAGTCTGCGATGAAAAAGGCCAAAAAGGACGCCCAGGGACTTGAGAAGAAACGACTAAAAGCACAAACGGAAGAGCGAGAAGCAAAAGAGAAGGCAGAGAAACGCGAACGAAGGCTCCAGGACAGCAAAAAAATCGTGCTTACTGAAGACCCATCCCTCCCTCAATCTATCAAGGTAATCCTGTTGTTAAATTATGAATATCCTGCTTATTTCTAAATCATACAGTCCAAGATCGTAAAACTGGAGTCCCTTCGCGGGCAGCGCGTCCGGGTATCTGGCTGGGTTCACAGGCGGCGTGATCAGCAAGAAATCATGTTTATCGTCCTGCGGGACGGGACAGGATATCTACAGGCTGTTCTTACTGGAAATACGGTAAATCTTGCAGCTCACAGTTTTGGTCTTTAGATCTGATTCGTGCTTCAGACTAAAACATTCGATGCTGTAACATTACAGCTAGAGGCATCAGTTGAGCTGACTGGCACACTGAAGGCGGTTCCTGAAGGCCAGCGCGCCCCCGGAGGACACGAACTAGTCGTTGACTATTGGCGCGTTCTTGGTGCTGCTCCTGGTGCCGAGGAAGCATTTACTAACAGACTCAACGAGGTTCGAGTCGTTTAACTAATTCGCTGGGCATGTGTTAACCGTATCTTCAGCAATCTGACCCATCGATTCTGGCTGATCTCCGGCATCTCGTTCTCCGTGGCGAGATCGCCTCTTCTGTGCTGCGCCTTCGTGCAGCCCTTCTCTCCGCTTTCCGTCAATCGTATGCAGACAACGACCTTCTGGAGGTGACCCCTCCCTGTTTGGTACAAACCCAAGTGGAGGGTGGCGCAACGCTCTTCAAGTTCGATTACTACGGTCAACCAGCTTTCCTTACGCAGAGCTCCCAGTTGTATCTTGAAACATGTCTTCCTTCCCTTGGTGACGTGTTCTGCGTCCAGGAGAGTTTCCGTGCCGAAAACAGGTTTGTACCACCTTCCCTCCCATTTACTCGACTTTTTTTTCTAATGATCGTTCTCGTTCCCCACCAGTCACACTCGCAGACATCTGAGCGAGTACACACACCTTGAAGCCGAACTTGCATTCATTACATTTGATGACCTCATGACACACATAGAATCCATTGTGCGTCGTATTATGGTATCTTCACGCGCCGTTTGCTGATTACTGGTACAGATTTGTGAAACGGTCGACAAGCTCCTCGCCAATCCTTCCACTGCAGCTCTCATTAAAACTCTGAACCCCAACTTTACACCTCCTTCTCGGCCATTCATGCGTATGTCCTACGCGTCCGCCATCGCATGGCTCAACGAACACAAGATCCAACGCCCGGCGGAGGACGCTGACGGCAACGTGATCACCAAGAAAGACGAGGGGACGGGTAAAGACGAGCCCGTCATGGTCGACCATGAAATTGGTGATGACATTGCGGAAGCCGCGGAGAGGCAGATGACGGATATCATCGCGGCTCCGATCTTTTTGTATGGCTTCCCTGCGGAGCTGAAGGCATTCTACATGCAGAAGATGCCCAGGAAAGAAGGAGAGCAGGGCCCTGTGTACACAGAGAGCTGTGACCTTTTGATGCCTGGTGTCGGAGAAATTGTTGGTATGTGAAGTGATGGACTGTGCGCGATTACCTGTGACTGAGAACACGATAGGCGGGTCGATGAGGATAGCTGGTATGGAAGAGCTACTGGCGGCATACAAGCGCGAGGGCATTGACCCCGCTCCTTATTACTGGTTCACGGACCAGCGCAAATATGGTACTTGCCAGCATGGAGGGTACGGACTCGGCGTCGAGGTCAGCCCTTCTTTATATATTTTTGTGAAAAACGTGGTGGCTGACATGTCTGGCGTAGCGTTTCCTTGCATGGCTAGCTAACAGATTTACAGTGAGGTATGTATCAAACAGGACTGATAAAGAAAATCGTATTGACAAAGACGCCTTCCAGGGAATGCTCGCTGTATCCACGGTGGCCCGGTCGTGCAACACCTTAGATTCGATTTGGGTCTCGATGTTCAGCGGTATTGTGAATAGAATGTATGGGTTGTACATAATAGATAATTGCGTCTTACATCGTTTGGATCCTCTTAGCGAAACACACGGTACTATCAATAATCACAACGTAGCCCGGATCTGCGACGAAGTTTCCGGAACGCCTTGTCTTACGGGGATCACACGATTAGTTCAGGGGCGGAATGATTGACTCAGAGCACGACTTCAACTAGGATAATATAACAATTCAACTGAACGCGCACGTTACATGCAACACGGTGCTGATCCCAAAATCAAAAATCGCTCATACGTATGCAAATATCTTGGTCAAAATCAGATTCGACTCCAGAAGCAACTACATCACATCTACCAAGTCAGCAACTTGCGAACTACGTGTTGTGCCATCAACCACAGCACCAATGCGAAAGCATAAACACTACTCACTGTCCAGATGTGCTACTCATTCACAGACTACTAGCCCGGCGGTAGGCAGAATCTCCTACGGCTAGCCTATTGGAATTACAAGATGGGGTGAGCAATGGGGTCGAATCCTGAATGCGAAGCAAACTACTCATACTCACAGCCACGAAATTACAATGAAGGCCACTGCAGCAATCGTTGTCCTTAATGCAACCGACGCCTCGTGATTTGCATGCACTAACAGACATACATGCTGCCAAAGCAGTAACGACGACGAGGAAGGAGAAACGCATGATTTGTGCGAAGTGATAGGAGCTTGGCATAGGAGAATACAATTTCTCTGAGGGGCACATTATGTAAACAGGGCTACAATGTAAGGTGTACAGACATGCTTCAATTGACAAATCCTCAAGTAAATTTTCAGCTGTCAAAGAGATCTTTTCGAGTATTAAATGTGAAGTTTCGTTTTGAAAGTTTAGGCCAGCATCACTTTAAATACATATGGAGTATACCACCCCAGCCTGGTGACCTGACCTCGCTGAAATACACAGCACTATCAACAACTACAAACGCAGCCCTGGCAGATCTGCGAGGAAAGTTTCTGCCTTGTCTTGTGGCTTCACACGATCTGGTCAAGGGGCGGAAGATTCTACAGCGTGAGTCAGAGCACGACTTCAACAGGGATAACATAACGGTTCAACTGAACGCGCACGTTCCATGCAACAACGGTGCTGATCCCAAAATCAAAAATCGCTCATACTATGCATGTATCTTGGCACGGCTTGAATATTGTTGTGCGTACCGGTGTATCGATGCCATCGGTCGAAAGGTCGAAGATGCAACCGAGAGCGTTATTTGATCTTGAGAGTCGAAACCCGACCTCAGGTCTTGGACGCAACTTGGAAGCTGGCTGGCTGGTCCCTATGTCAAAAGTACCATTGATACAAACTTTGTGTGCTGCTTGTGACACTGCCCGAGTATCATGTCCAGTGCAATCGGCACAGTCACACGTAAACTTCGCAGGGCAGACAGTGACTATTGACGCGAAATCTCGCCAAAATGTGTGTGACCTCCGATTTCTGGGGGTGCCAGCTTGCTGCTGCACGGAGTAGGGCGGGGGATCACAGCTATGTGCGGTTAATCCTACAAGACCTGAGAAGATTACGGTTTGTTTTGATGAGTCCTGCACGCTCTATCACGTAGTTAATTGTCGAATGCCAGTGATTATCATATTGCAATGGTGGCGAAATCGATTGCTTGGGAGTCTTAGCCAAGTCTTATCTCAAGGCTTGTTGGTTCAAAACGCCACTGGATAGTGCTGCGCTACGGTTACGCATCAAAACAAGCAACGCACTCAGCAATGTCAACACTTACATTAGCTTATGGGACACGAGTGGTCAGTGTCTAGACGTGCGTGTTCAATTGAACGCTGAATTGCTGAAATTACGATTGAACGACTCGGCCTCCTGCTCTGAGACCTAACTCTCGACAAAAGTAGTCCCCAACGCCGTACTCACAAGATCAACTTGGCAGGTGATAGCTTCGTCGATACTTGAATACACCCAGTTCCGTCTCCACTATGTTCAACCCCAACTCAGCGAACAGAACCTTGAATGTGTCCCCTGCTGCGAGATGTAGTGATGTGACGTTGACGCCCTTCGCCTGCAGGTCCTTGACTTTATGCTGCTCAAGCGAAAGGCCCGACATTTGAGGATTCTACAGAAAAAGAGCCCTCGAATGCGTTGTGCAGGTGTACAGTCGCAGGAGCATCCATGGTTCTTGCCTTACTGTTAAGTCGAGAATAAACTGGCGAATCGACATAAGTGAGGGTAAGTGGAGCATTCGCGGTCTATGCATCGACTTTGAATTCTCCCGCATATCCCGAGGCAGTAGTCAAAGATACACGTGCATCAAGGGGGCTAGATATGACAATGAAGCGTTTAATACATCGAGGGATGAAAAGGAGCATTAATACACACGCATTTGCGGTTGTCGTGACCAACTCCAATGGTTTTGCAACTTCGTCATGGAACAGGTTGACATCTGCGTCAATGGCCATGTTAGTTGTGACGAGTTTAAGAGACGACGTTGAATGGAAGTGTCCTTCGATGTGCCCGTTAGCGGTTGTAAAAATCTCTGTCTCCGCTGCTACAGACTGTACAGACTTCAGCTCTAAATGTTCAAAGCTCTAAACAACGCAGCACGAACCTGGACATTGATGGGCAAATGCAAAGTGTTCAACGAAATACTAATAAAGAACACAGTGTCTGACAACGCTGCAACCTCGTGGCGGAAGAGCGGTGCGGAGGTCGCTAAACTCTTAATGTCGAGGACATCCTCGCCCGCGCTTGCGGGTAGAGTCAATGTGACATCAAGCATGAGCTGATCTTTGTTATCTTGTCTAGGAAGACGGCTCTTTGGGGTCTGTATCATTACCGATGGAATTTGAGTATGGCACAGCATGGTACCCAAGAATAAAACTTACATAGATGGCGATTCCAGTCTCATTTGCCTGGCGCTTGAGGTGACAAACATATGCACGTTCAAAGGCCTCTTCCATATGATATGCAGCGCGGACGCGTACGATGACAGAATCTGAGGCCTCTATGGACTGCTCCACAGTAACAGTGCCGTACTGGAAGGCACCCCGAGAGATGAGATACAGGACGTCAGAGTCGACAGGAAGGGTGAAAAGTGACTCGCTGCCAAAAGGTAACTCATGCGCCCATGATGGTAAGTCCTAGTATCTATCCCACTCCGCGCTGCCGATGCACCTGAGGACTGCCCCGTCGCTGGGACCAGAATAACCAGGCTCGTTGAAGTCTGTCCAAAACTGTAGTGCTCGTAAGTTGGTGTCTAGTGCTGAGGGCCATAGAAAAATCCAACCTCGTAGTAGGCGGGAACTTCGCGCGCGATATTGAATCCAGGGTGGGTAAACACACCAAAGAGTAGCCAGGCCACAAGGCCGATACCACAGACCTTCAAAAGCCTAGCTGCGATAGACTGTCCCAGCCGCTCCATAAATTGCAAATCGCAAGCCTGGCTATTGATGGTGGCAGCATTCACTAACGCTAAGGCACCCTCTTCAAGTTTCAAAACCTCTTTCAAGCCTCCGTTCATCCTCGTCAGGCCGCGAGAGCAATACATAGCATGATGCGCATGTCTGCAGATACATAGTAGTAGACCTGCGCGCCAATGTCGAAGGATCCATGTTGGAACACGCGTCCGACGCGCTTGGTGTCAGCACTAACCTAGTACTAATCCAGGCTAGTGGGCATGAGAGCTCAGATTCAAGTTGACGCCGATTATTCAATTTTGTTTTGGTCGCGTCTGAATCATGTATTATGATATACCCGCTGGTATTATCATCAAGCTACCTTCGTCAAGATTCATGGATGATGGTTTGTTAGTGTCATGGGTCGGAGCTGTGCAACCATCAACCGTCGGTCCCGAGTTTCAGCGCTTCAGCACGGCGTGGGATTAGTCTTGTAAGCCTGGATGTCAGCAGTTTGACCGCGGTTATCAGAATATTGACACTGACAAATCCGGGGCCCCGTTATCATACTTGCAACTTGCTCTAAACTCCATCATGCAGCACCAGGGGCTGTCTAACTTTGACGGTCACCGTTTTATTCGAATTTCCGCCAAACTTGTGCAAGTGCGCTTCGCCCTCTCTCACGCAGACAAAAACCCATAGAGGGAAAAAATACACGCCGTTCGTGTTATCGCCCTCCCACCTGTCGCTCAAATTTGTTCAGTGTATTCGGACGTTTCAAATCTGCTTCTCTGAAAACGCACTGCATGTTATGTCTTATAAAAGTGTGTATGTTCCTCGAAACATTCCATGTGACGAAAATGCAAACGGCAGCTCCCGAGTTTCAAGTTGCCACCATATCATCAACATGACACTGACAGGTAGATAACATTCAGTCTCTCGAGCGCCTAAAGGCCCAAAACGACCCAGTGCTCCATTGGTCATACCTACCCCATTCCTGTTGGTTCTTGGTCCCTACAAACATCTCAGGCACGACGGAACTATTGCAACTTTCAATTGACTGCCTGTCTCATATTTGCCGAGCCCTCGGACAACGTGCATTTCAATAGGTTCCAATATGGCCCAACAACGGGGAACCACATTCGGGTTCCTGGGTGTGCAAATAGGTACCTGGTCCCTTATTTACTGCCCTCGGGGCAGGTCACGAGCACGAACAACAGGAGGGCCATCATGTCGCTTGGTATCAGGGGTGTAACGTTTCGAGCAGTGATGAAAGCTGGTCAAGACATGCCTCCTCCTGTTACGCAAACAGGCCGTTAGATCTGTATCCGAGGAGTGAAATCTCGAATGTCGCGCGCACAATCTCCTTGACCGTGGCGGTACCCAGGAGGTGGATAAGTACCATATCTCCGTCGTAGTGGGTTAGGTCACGGCGGCTTAAATTAACCATCGTGATGCCGTACCGACACAACTACTTACGGGTGTGTGCGTGCCATCGCTCCCTTCCCCTTCTGGTCACGCAGCACTGTGTCCGCAAAGGAATCGATTCCTTCGAGTTCCTTTCGTGCTTCACGGAGAGACTATCTTTGGGGCCTTGCTCTGACTCACACGATACATATTTTGGGATTCTCCCGGTCCCTTGGCCCATTCGCCTCGGGAAACGCTCGCGGGAGGACATATTTGGAAATTGTGACTCTACGATAAGGGAAATACGGTGGAAAATACCAGTGAGCGTCTTAACATCGCGGCCAGAAGAGCCGGAAGTCTTTCAAGTGCTTGCTAAGGCATAGCGTTGTGTTCCTCTTTTAGCGTTGAAGGCTACTTCTCAATGAAGCTGTGGGCTTGCGTTCATTTACGTCTTCGGTGAGCAGTTGTTTGGCTTCCCGACATGTGGTTTAGAAGCCTCGTGACTTGATCGTGACTATATCATAGTATATGTATGTTTCGCGCACGCTTCGCGTTCTCATAATATGTAATTAAGTCTCGGTCATATTGCGAAACATATGCGAACGACGGCAGATCACTCTGGCCATCCTCGCTCCTTGACTCCCTCATGAAATGATAATTTACGCCAAAGAATGGAGCGAGAACCACAAAGCGCCTATTTCTACGCATCTCCCGTAAATCAAGCGTAACCCACTAAAACAGGAAAAAGTGGTGTCAGTAAACTATATCGCTCGCGCGTGTACGGACTGGTTTTAGCTTGGCTAGTCTATCAAGAGTGACGGAATTATTTTCTGTGGCGGAAGTCTTTTACGGCGGTGTCTGCCAGGCTGGGGTCATCTCCGGGACCAGTTGTGTAATAAATGACCCCATCGTTTATAGCTGCGGTAGGGCAAAGCAAGCACACTTTATATTAGGTGGCTCCTGGTGGCTCCAACGTAGTTAGGAGTCCAGGACGCCTATCATGAGCTTGGAACGCAATTGGAACGGGATGTAGATACGCAGCCGCCGGTAGGATCATGCTGTACTACTAGTGACGTGCATTGAAACGAGTCTGCACGAGTTCTCCTATTAGGGCGGAAGCGAGGTGCGCTATGCCTTTCACAGATAAAGTAGTGATAGTGGCAACGGAACCAGGACCTGGAGCATTATGCAAGGACTGGGCAGTAACAAAGTGAAGGTCCTACCTTCAGAGATAAGTAACCCAAATTCATCTATGTGCAGTGATCGGTAACTTGGACTCGTAGTACTGCTAGGCGATTAATCGGCGAACAAGTGACAAGCGCCAGCGCACACGGGTTGCAGACCTTTCAGGACATGTAAGTGGTTACAGCGCCTTTAAAGTGTAAAAGCATGACTGGTAGCGGCGACTACATCTAGCAGTATGCGTGGTGTTGGGGAGTTGTGAAGGTATAACGCCATGGAGGGTGCCAGGCACACGAGCACTGTCAAAATGAAACGTTGCTGAAAATGACAGTGGGTGCAGCGTGTGGGTGCCCTGGTGTGCCTCAGGGCTAGCGGCAAGATTGAAATGAGGGGACTTGATCGAAAGGCTGGGTTGTGAGGAAGAGACTGGAGATATGAGTCTATATACTAATAAATATTCAAAGATAAATACCTAGAACTACAAAGTACATTTGCATGACATGGTAGAGCACATCTTCAAGGTTTCGTAGATTGGGCGGCCGGATATGTCGGGCTTGATAACCAAATTTGGTGTAAGAGTACTATAAAAGGAAATTGGTTGGGCTGAAAATAAAATTAAAAATGTGAAAAACATACAAAAATATTAATCAGGAACATGGGAAGGTTGATGTGCCTGAGAAATGTGATTGGTTTAGTGGTGATCCTCTAGTAGCGGTCCACTTTCAGTCCTCCCACAAGTCCTTTCCCTCCAAGTCCCTTCCCTTGTCATATACCCTCATATCCCCCACCCGTCGTCTTGTTCACCGTCCTCAACGACGCCGAGCAACTTATCGACGACGTCCCAAAGATACCTCCTTGGCGTTCAAAGGTCATATTTCCCGGAACTCTTCTGAGTAATGTCCGGCAGGCCAACCTCTTCAGCTGGGGGCTCTCGCCCCTTCACAGCTTCGGCTTTCCGTTCATCCTCAGCTCGTCCTCCAACTTCCGCAGGTGCATTTGACCGTGACCATCAGTATACCTATGACAATGCATATATCGAGGAGGAAGAGGAAGAAGAAAGCGACACAGAGGACCTCTTTGCGTTTCTCCCTCCTTCAACTGCAGACCAACAGCGGGACGTAGAGAAGCAGCGTGCCCTTGATTTATCAAGAATATCACCAGATTACGCAAATGTCTTCGCGAACGCGGTGCCATCAGACCAACCCCCGCTTGTTTATCCGTCGCCGACCTTTGACCCCTACGCTCGTTTTTCCTCTGAAGCTGCGGGCCCCTCCCGTCTTTTCCCTGTACCCATATCCCAGGTTCCGGTAGAAAGCCCACCTTCTACCGCGTCAAACCAAGGCGCGAGCGACCCGTATCGCATGCGTCGGCTAAGCACCGCCCTTTCCAGTACGACAAATACCCACCCTTCGAGACCCAGTGTCTCGACTTCTCGGGAAATACGCGTCAGCCTGCCTTCCGAGCCCCCCGAGAAGCACGTCGAGGAGGACCTTCGGAACAGTTCACAGAGGACACGACATCCTTCATCAACACTGGGGGACTCAACAACTCTGAGTATTACACCCAGTATGCTGGAACAAGACAGTCGCGACGGTTCAATCAAGTGAGTATTTCGTTTTTCTACAGCAAAATATCTCAACATTCTGTATTGCGTGATACAGAATGGAGTTCGACTTTGACGCCGTGAATGAAGAAGACAGTCCATTCCCCGAAGTTCGTGCATCTGTGTCGAACATCGACGACCCAGAAATGCCCTCTATGACGTTGCGGATGTGGGTAATCGGTTTGGTTCTTTGTATGACCGCTAGGTGAGTTTTTAAGAGCATCGTTCTCGCTTGTAGTCTCATGGTTCCCAGCGCTATGAACCTTTTCTTTAACTTCCGGCAACCCGCCCCGAGTGTCTCTCCCCTTGCCCTTTTGCTCGTATGCTATCCGATCGGAAAATTCTTCGCTTTTGTCCTCCCTATCACTACTTATCGTCTCCCACGGTATCTTGGCAGCTATGAGTTTTCGCTAAATCCTGGACCATGGAACATCAAGGAGCATGTTTTGGTCTACATCATGGCAAACGTTGCTATCAGCGCACCTTACGCTATCAACGCCATTGTGGTCACTCAACTCAACTACGGTGTTGAAGTGGATTACTGGTTCAGTGTACTCCTTGTTGTTGCCACGCAACTCACAGGATTCGGTCTTGCGGGCATGTGCAGACGCTTTTTGGTTTGGCCTGCGAGCATGGTTTGGCCGCAGAATTTGGTGACGTGTACTTTATTGAACACGCTTCACGCGGAGGACGATGAAGAACCAGGGTCGATTACACGATACAGATACTTCCTTATTGTGCTTGGTGGCGCGTTCTTCTTCTACTTCATTCCTGGTAAGAGTCGTTTCAAGCTCAATTTGGGTTGGGTTTGATGATTTTTTAGGCTACCTTTTTAGTGCTCTCTCGGTGTTTTCTTGGATGTGTTGGATAATGCCGGATAACATTCCAGTCAATCAACTATTTGGCGTTGACTCGGGCTTGGGTATGACCATAGTGACGTTCGACTGGTCACAAATCTCGTGGATTGGCAGTCCATTGATGTATCCGTGGTGGGCCGAAGTACACATCTTCTTTGGCTTCGTGCTTTTCTTTTGGATCGTCACACCGATCTTATATTATACCAACGTAAGTCCCTCCAGCCCTCAGCCCCCTACCTTCTGTCCTTCGTTTCTGACTTCGTCACAGACGTGGGATCTGGCCTACTTCCCTTTGAATGACAGTAACCCATATGATCGATACGGTGACGTCTACAATGTGTCGGCTGTGTTGGATGCCTCCAACCGCTTCAATCTCACTGCCTACGAGAACTACTCTCCACTGTATCTTCCCGCGACTTATGCGATGACGTACATGCTTGCATTCGCCCTATCGACATGCGTACTCGTGCACACAATCCTTTATCATGGCCGAAGTTTGCTGAACGGGATGAAGAAGATTCGTGTTGAGCAGGATGATATTCACGCGAAGCTTATGCGCAACTACCCCGAGGTGCCAGACTGGTGGTATCTTGTGTGCTTCTTCAGCTTCTTCCTCCTCATGGTAGTGGTCGTTGAGGTAAGCGCACCCCTCTTTTACATGCTGAATTTTGTTCATCGGCTGTTTGCAGGTGTGGCATACGTCAGTGCCTGTATGGGCCCTGCTGCTGTCCGTGGCATTGCCAATTCTATATGTCTTGCCGTCTGGGTTCATTTACGCAATGACTGGGCAAGGGGTATGCATGTTTCCGCGCTGCATCCCGGAATGGGAACGCTGACATCCGATCTGTACAGATCACGCTGAATCTGCTTGCGCAGATCATCCCAGGGACTTTGATGGCGGGTGACCCTGTTGCGAACATGGTATGCTGTCAAACTGCAGTACTTTGCGAGGGATTTGACGTAGTAATCCAAATTTGTCACAGATCTTCAAGGCATACTCCGTTCAAACATTGACGGAGGCTACTTCATTTGTACAGGATCTCAAGCTTGGTCATTACATAAAGGTTCCTCCACGAGCCACGTTCCTCGGTAAGCGATGCTCTTTTGATTATCACTTGATCGTTTGACCAAGGGCGTTCCCTGCAGTGCAATTCGTGGGCACCCTGTTGGCATCATTCATACAGATCGGTGTCAAACAGTGGATGTTCAACAACATTCCGGACATCTGCACCCCAAATCAACCCAGTTTTTTGACGTGTCCACACAACCAAGTGTACTACACTGCATCAGCCGTCTGGTACGTCTGTCTTTCATTTCAATTGCTGTGTATTTTCTCAACGGTGCATGTCTGTAGGGGAATTATCGGACCCACCCGGCAGTTCGGAAAAGGCGCGCTCTACTATCCGGAGTTATACGCCATCATCGTCGGCGCTCTCCTACCCCTCCCTTTCTGGCTGTGGCAACGGCGTTACCCGAACTCATGGGTCAAGTTTGTGAGCACGCCTGTCGTGCTGAACGGCGTCTCGTATATACCGCCTGCGGCTGGCATCAACTATTCTGCCTGGTTCGCAGTCGGGTTTGTATTCCAATATCTAATACGAAAACGGAACTTTGCATGGTGGAGCAAATTTAACTATGTGACTAGCGCAGCTTTGGACAGCGGTATGTGGCTGCCTTGCCTCCCTTCATTTTTTCCTTGCTGACAGCACGGTATAGGCACAGTTTTGTCATTTTTTGTAATATTTTTCACGTTAGACGTACGTTTCCATTCTGCTCTTCGTGGCTGGCATTCATTAAACATCGCCTGCAGTTCCCAAAAGGTGGCCTCTTTATCAACTGGTGGGGAAACACCGTCTACACGAAGAGTGCGTTTTTGTGATGGTCTGATCGATCGGTCTGTTCTAACATGCAATTTTTTTTCTCCCTTCAGCCGCGGATTGGAACCGTCTGCCACTGAAGGCCATCCCACCAAATGGCATCCTTTAGATTAATGTATTTAGCAATCTGAAACAATATGACTTTCATCTAGGACACAGTGCAGCAGCGGATGTGATTGGTGCTCTACGTCGATCTCAGTCCTAATGAAACAGGCGGTGTAACAGGTGTTATCGAAGCCAATGACAGGTCTTCGATATATTGGTCCATGAAAACAGGCACTGAATTGGATCTAGACTCACGACATCCTGATGGAAGAGAAGCGCATTTCGTGCTAGTGATAAACGCTCAGGGATTCGTTGCACGCGTCGAGAAGCATATTTCTAACGAAAACCTTTTTTTGGTGCGATGGACAGCCAAGTAACACCCAAAATGTGAGCTGTGCAAGGATGCGGGGCCGAAGAAAGATGCGCTGCCATACACGCTCTTAGCAAAAAATGGTTAGGAGACAACACACTGTAATCATTCCGGCACTAAATAACGATACGTGTGGCAGTGGGGACGCATGGAACGCATGACACACCCTGAAAAGTAGATTCCATAGAATGATGATCGCGGCGGGAATCTACCCTCCCCGTCCACGCCCTCGTCCACGTTGTCCACTACCTCTTGGACCTCCACGGCCTGAGCACAATGAATTAATACTGATATGGCATGGTGGGAACGAAATGGACAAACCTCCTCTTGGTGGGGCACCTCGGCCTGTGTGGAAATTACAAGCAGCATAACGATATCCCGTGAAAACGGCGTGCGGGTGCGAGGATAATAAACACAAAGCGAACGAATGATCAGTGTGCCGAACCCGAAATTGCAGGGAGATTAGGTCAGACGCACCTCCTCTCATACCTGGGCCTCCTCCTCCCCGCGCGCTTCGGCCAGCTTCTCGTGCTCGAGTCTGCTCCTCTTTTACAGTATCCAACAACGTGTCCGGCACTCGTAGGTATTTTATCTGAGAATTGTTCAGCTGCACTGAGGTTGTCAAAGGGATGATTGGGACGCACTGTGCTACCGCGAATATAACACTCCTTCAACTTCCAGAATCTATCACCGTCTGCGCTCGTCTGATATACCTCCCGTAGTGTGATGTTCATGAAATTATCGCAGTTGACCAGGTGGCCATTGAATGTTTCACCATTTTTCAACTCTACAAGCTACGATTGTTGAATCAGATAGAAAACGGAACGGATAGTGAGCCTTTGGTTAGATGGATGCACGAAACCAAGTCATACCATGGGTTTGTTTTGGGCTGCAGTCAGCAGTGATAAAGGCAACTACAAATCGAGAAAAGCCGCATCAGCAGTTGTATACAGATTGGAAAGGCATATACCATCTTGTTGTATAGCAAGACTCGGACTTTTCTCACTTCTTGGGTCGTGCTCGATAGTCGCGTCTAAAGACGTTGCCGTATACGCTAAATACCATCTGTGGCTGTGCTACGCACTCCATCCAGACTTCGACAATATATTCGGACACAATATCACAATGGAACGCAAAAACACTAATACAAGTACATAAACAAGCTGATATACTCCAAGCTCAGATCACCAATTCTACACGACCATTCGACGTTTTAATAGTAGCGTGCCCTTCGATCTCTTTGCTCTCGCCCCAATAGGCAGACCCTCGGAGGCGATATCTCTCTCGTCTCTGAGTCACCTTCCTGCGACGTCCCTGTCCTGAAGGATCTTCAACAGGTAGCTCCTTGAGCATGGCTGCCGCATTAGAAGTATCTACGTCGAACGAGCCCTGGAAAGTGCTGTGCAACTTGACGCTCATTGCTGCGTTTGAAGAGCGCGTTTCCGACCTGAGGATTGAGTCGACGGGCACATCGGTATATTCAAGGGTGACGGGCCCATTTGAAGTACGCGTTTCGACGTCGAAAATACCGCCATGGCCAGAATGTGTGATAAGATCCACGCTGGCATCAATTTTACTGATACAGGTGGTTAGATGGCGGAACAGCATGATAGAACATTAGTCACATACCCGTTGCTTGTTGTCATCTTGAGCTCGCTGACAATTCCATTCTCTCGGTTGAGGAGCGAAACAGACGTTTGAATGGGGCCATTTGAAGTTGTGAGCTTGAGAGAAGAGGAACTATTGAAATGCCCTCTGATGGCGCCATTGCTAGAGCGGATCAAACCATGCTCGACTGTGACAGACTGATCGGCAATTGGATGAGCTACTCCAATACACCAAGAAATCAAAACAGCCAACCTTTGCACTTATGTGGCCATTCGATGTTTTGAGTGATAGCCTATCGAAGGAGATGGTGTTCCAGACATCTGCGATATCTTGATTGTAATTAGATGTATCCGTCTCGAATGCTTTGATGTGTAGAGCATCTCCATTTTTCCCGGCGGGTAGCGTGATCTTCACTTCAAATCGTAGCTGTCCATTGCCAGGGAAGGACGAGGCGGGCGTCTAAAAGTTTATTGAGATGAAGGTTGATGGGATGAGAATTGAAGTATTTACAAGGATACCAATACCATGCTCATTTGTCTTTCGTTCGATATGACAAACATTGGCGTGGTCCAGCATTTCACGAGCGTGATAGCCGACCCGCACATGCACACCAACTTTATCTGTCGGTTCGGTGGACTGCACGATATCAATACGACCGGATTGCTGAGAGCCCCTCGTGAACAGGTAGATTGCATCAGAATCAACGGGGAACTCTAGGAATGATTCGGCACAATTGGGAAAGTGGCTCAAGCCTTGGTTGGACAATGTCCAGTCAGGGCCACTGATGCAGTGATGGACGGTGCCATCTTGTGGCGCAGGATGAGGTGGCTCACCAGTCCGGAACTGATCGAATACGTGAGCCAAAGGCGGACCACTGGGCGAGAGAACAACAATGACATACGTGTCGAGATGCATGATTGAAAGCCATGTCAACGGCAGAGTTGGTGAACGCAGCGACGAGGAACCAGATAAGTACAGCAACACCGAAAGCTTTCCAGAAACGCTGTGCTGGTGACGGGCGATATGCGACTAGAATAACGCCCGTTGTGGGTTGATAAGATGTTTGGGAAGTATACGGTGGAGGGGGCGATGGTCTTGTAGTACTTGAGCTTGAACCCTCTTCACGGTGTCCTGCGGCCCTCTGACTGTTGCCTTTATCGTCTGTGCGCATCGAGTTCGTTTCAACGATTATCATGTCGGCGTTTGTTCCACACACCAGTTACTAGTACTTAGTGCGTCGACGTGCTGTTGAAGCTGATAGTCTTAAGTGTTCCGCAACTGCTGCCAAACTGCTGCGTCATGCTGCGCAGTCCAACCAGTGCAGCGCCACTCGTGAGTCCAGTGACCGATACCGGTAACCTGTTAGGTTATCACAACAATGATTGACAGTGTGACACCAATTTTCGCAGCTTGTACAAGGCTATGCATGTTCAAGGACATCATCATCGACGTCAAGGCCATGGTCCTATATAATTTCGTCAGGATAATAAATTCCCACCATAACCCAATCCTCGTCTACAATGAATCTTCGGGAACCGGCTCGTTGACTCTGGTCACATTCGGGCACTTAGCTTCTCTTAACTTCAAGCTCGTTTCTCTTATTCTGGACTGATGGATGACCACCAAGCCTGTAATTTCTCAGCTTACTGTGCTTGTCTGTAGTCTTCCCTCACCAGGCCTCAGTCACAGAAGAAGCAAGCCAGTTGTTCCTTCTACACAATGAATAGAGCCGTCTGCTTGAAGTTCCTTTCTCGTAGGCGCCCCAGATAATCCCAGGTACGACTCTTCAATAACTTCTTCAGTCTTGGGGTTGACTCGTGCTGCGCAGTCTAACTCATGGCTGAGATACCCTCTTTCGCACTCATGACTCGTGATTGACAAATTTGACAAAGTTGGATATCTCCATCCTCACGTCTGGTCGGACTTGAAATATAGACAGTTCTTCCGTGTCGGGCTGCTCGGGCTGGCATAGCATACGCATAGCATTCTCATGCTCTTGCAGACAGAATACCATCAGTCTACATGTGAGATTCTTCCGAGTCCCATTTGGCAAAGGAACATCCTCTTTCGTGTCCCACATTCTTGGATTTGCCCCCACACCAACAGATGGTCTTACTTTACAAGTTGCTTATCTGCTTTTCATAATATCCGATCTCGCGTTACAGATGGGCCTTTAATTCCTTCCTTACTACTACTAGTAGGATCCTAGGTAAGTACGTTTTCTTCAAGTTGGATCCCAGGATTTACATAACATATATGACAGCATCGCCTTTCGCCACGTTTGATCTAAACATGCTGCGGGTGCTACGAAATACATTAGACAAGGACTGCGCAGGCCTATTGCGGGACGCAGTCCATCAAATCAAAAGATTGCACGCTCACCAAGTGAGCGCCAGGGAATTGCGTGAGATCGTTAGTTTTTGACATCTCTCAGGATCAACAAAAAAATGCCAAGTAAGCATCCCGTGTCCGTGTCATTTGTGCATCAACTGACTCCTGGCATCACCCCTAGCTGCGTATCAACGGATCTTACAGTAAGGCGCTAGTACTCAATCCGTTTGGCAAGCATATAGGATCTCTCATGTGTATTCCATTGGTGCCACGTCTCGTAGCGCTGGATAGAAGCGATCGGTCTCTGTTGCTGATTTGGGCCTATAAGGGCCATTCACCCTGTCCCCCCTGTCCCCCTTCCTCATCACTCCAATCGACTGATTCATTTTCAAGGTTCGCTTCTTTCCTTTCCCACACCTATAGCCGTCGCATCTTTTTCAACTTGTTGCGGATCAGTAGTGCCGAACTATATTGGAACGAAGTCACATTATTCGCCACAAGTACTGGGGTACATACATGAATTTCATATTCTCCCCAAGTCTCGTGTTTCGTGGCTAAATACGCCCATCGCGATCGATGACGCGCTGCACACAAAATACTGCCAGAAGACCATCGACCATGGTTTTCCGATGTCAGATGATAATCTGTTGCTTACAGTCACCTCACTAATCCAGGATGTGCCTCTTCGCTCGGTATCTGCGTGGACGCACTCTAAAAAGTGACAAGGCGTGGCGCTTCTAACCCTTATCTGAAACATTGAAGCACGCATTTCCGGCAGCTTGGCGGCAATTGCGTCCATCCCACCATGCTGTGCAGCGCATTCGCAGCGTGCTCCACCACTCTCACTTCAGTCGTGCACCACTGCATGGTTCCTCCTTCGTTTTCGCTTCGATGTTATACGGAGATCGAGCTCGGCACCCCACCCCAATAGTCCAGGGTTGTCCTCGGCAAGAAAACGTGATATTTATTGTACACTCGAGATCCACTTTTTCGCATCTGGAAGATCGAACCTAGCGTCTCGATAATTCACGCTACGAATGACACTCAAACGCGGAGCATATTGTGTGTAATTATCGATGCTTCTAATTTCTACTCTGTGACGCTCATCTTCTCACTAATCGGTTTAAATAACAGAGTTGCTTGTTGTGCTAGACATGGTGATTCCGCCAATAATACATATTGAAAATCATTGACTTTTGATCAGTTAGTTCACACCATTTATCTCAATCGCTGTCTACATGGTGATCATTCGAACCGCAAGATGCGAAAAAGTGGATCTCGAGTGTACAGCAAATAATGGGTAGAAACATTTACATTTCAGCATTTCAAGTTGGCTCTCCGTGGAGGGATGATTGGTAGGATGGCCCAGGAAAACTCGCGACACGCAAGGAGACTGAAAGAGGCATCTTGCGACGTGTAATGAACGCATATTTTCACGGCAAGTGTGTGTTTTTCGATAGTAAGTAAACAACAAGCAATAGAATTCAAATTTCGGTCGGGGGAGCGTGTTAGCCGTCTCAGATGACTCGTAACTGAGAATAACTCGTATACTGTAGTACTGGCACTGGCAGGTGGGAACCGCGTAAGATGAAGGAGGGTGGATGACAGCGTCAAGCTCAAGACATGTTTATGTTTTGTAGGGAATTGCTTTTCCGTTTCGTAGGTGGAATATTTGACAGAGGTTTGGTTTAGGACCGGCGACTGGACACTGTCAGCTCACATCGAGTTTGCGTTGCATTCCAAACTGCTATCGCTTCAAACTGCTTCTTGCGTTCATCCACTCCAGCGACTATGCCTCCAGCGAAGATGAAGACGATGAAATGGAGAAAGACGTCGTCAAACGGCCTTCTTCGTCCAGCCTGCTCATCAAAGTCCAAATCCCAATCGACCGCTAGGCTCAAACTTTGGGAAGCTACAACAAGTCAGAACATCCCTGTCAACAGCGACCCCTCTATAGTCATATCCAAGCCAACTATCAAATCCGAGTCCCAGGAAGTCGAGATCCCGACTCAGAAAGCCCCCATCGGGATCCCAAACCTAACGCCATCCAACCTCGAAGAGCTTTGGGAAATCTGGATATCTGACCCCCGTATTCCAACACGTGCATCGCGACATGCATGGGCCGCCTCGCGGAACATAAGTCCAGTACGCGTCGACGGCTGGTTCCGGGCTCGCAAAGCAAGGGCGAAGAAAGTGGGACAGCCAATATCGAACGAGACGTACCAGCTTTTGTTCGTGCCGCCAGCTGCTTCAGTGACCCTGGAAGTGAAGAGAGAGTTCACAGCTCCAGTTCTATCGCGTGCTTTCGACTCGCCATCTGGCAACACTCCCATTCTGATGGACGTTAACTTTTCTCCGGGTAACCACACGACCTACATGCCTCCAAAGTCTTCCATTACGCCTACTCCGTCTATTACCCCTGAACCCACGGAAGGAGGCCCATATTACGCTCGCAATTCTTCATCAGTGACACGCACTCTTACCCCCGTGACAAATTACGGACAGATGGCAAATCACAGCAGCGATTTACACAGGCGACGCATATACCCGCATTGCAACAGCCCAGTACCAAGCTCAAGCATTTACGACAATCAAGCCGCCGATAGCATCTTCAACAACCAAGTTTCGGTCAATCAGTCGAGCCTGCCTTTTGAAGCTTCGCGCGCTGCGTCCCCCGCCGATGCCTTGGAGGACCCCTGCCTCTACCTGTTCTGCACACCTTATACGGTCGCCGCACCCGCAACCTTCCGTTTCTCGGCTGACTGGATGGAGAGCAAACTGATAAATGTAGACAATCGCTTTGAGGGTTCTGGTGTCAACACTTCCAACCATCATTGATGGGCCCAGAGCTGTTGGTTGCCGAATTGGATACTCGCTCCCCCTTGTACTGGATCGTTCCTAGTAAACAAGTACTTTGTTTGTGATTTTTGGAAAACCATACCTAATGTCTTGGATACTGCATGTTTCCCCCTCAATACCTATAGGTTTTCCGTGACGTTCTCAGGGCTCTGGATACCACAAATACACGAGGCCCCATGTGATGATGATACGTGTGGACACTGAGTACAGGTCAGTGGTATGACCCGGAAGAATTGTACTATCAGGAATTCCGCTGAGTTCGACATTTGGTTCCTGTTCATTTTGCATCCTCGTAATCTTGCCGCTCGTATTCACTCTAGAGAGATAGGTGTCAAAATTGTGCATTACCCATGACAGTAAATGCGCACTGTATAGGTCTTATTTCCTTCGTTCCAGAAGTGATATGATTTGAAGCTTTCTTCACTGCACTCAGCTCACCAACGTTTAGTAAGGAAATATTCTTGTGGAACGCTTGAATTCACGGACAGCGACAACATCACGAGGTTCTATAGAACCCGGAATAGTCCAGACTCTGTGATAGGCTATGGAAGTGATCTGAGTTCAGTGCGACAGGTGACGAGGGAACTAGACGAATGGATCTAAAGATGTTACATCCCCAACGACCTCGAACACGACATTTTCTTCTTGCCCAACATCCCGTGTGACCTCGGCAGAACATCCCCGACGAACCCACTGACCCTAAAGAAGACAGGTGAGAATGTCAACTACTTTCAACAACCAAGACAAAGCCAAAATACCAAAGGTGCGTAATAAGAACAGAATATACTCACTATATAGGACTGATCTCCTATGCTAATGCTACGAAGGCGCGTCTGGAGCATTAAGGCGCTGGCGTGCTCCTCGGTAAAGCGAATCGTCTTCCCCTCCCTGGCAAGATGGGAAACATCTGCATACATGGCTTGGGGTCCTGAGAAGTACTTGTCGAACTGTGAAGGCAAATCAACGCTGCCATCAGGGATCCAAGAGACATGAAGCTTGAGTGTCCGAAGGTTGTGCCCCGCCTCGATTGCTTTTGCGATCGAGTCCTAGATACATCAGCAATTAACCAGAGATTTATCTTCCGCATATCTGACCAGAATCACGTACTACGTCTGGACTCGCCACGGAGCATTCAAGTGACGCAAGTTGGGGGCATGTTGAGCACATGTGAGATACGACCTCCAACGTCAACTGCGCAATGCCTACTGCAAACTCTTGAAGGGATTTCCCGTGTCTACCAGTAAGATTCACGATGAATGGGCGCGGAATAGTCATTTGGCCATGCACTGCAAATGCATTCAGCGTGAATGACTTTAAGGTTTGTTGGTGCGGAAGCAATATCCTCATCCATGTCCACAGTTTCTGCGGTCCAAGGATATCCACTGATCCTGTTCGCACTGTTAAGCGTTGCAAAGGGGGTAACGGTGTAAGTGGCGTGCGGTAATTTCCAGAACCCAGATATTCCGTGTCAAGGGCTATCAGATTGGGCAGACAAGCCATAATAGCCGGGATGGCGTCGCTTGGGGCACCCTTGAGACAGAGCTCTTGTAAAAGAGGAAGCTTCATGAAGACAGAGATAAGGATAGTTGCTGGAACACCTGCACAACGCTGCGGAATGGATAAGGAACAGAGAGAGGAAAATCAAAAGCTCCCTTACGCAGAGTTCAAGGTGCGTTAGAGAGGAGCTCAGCAAATCAGCCCATCCTTGGAGTACCCGCGGGGGCCCCCACTCCAAAGACCACACTGATAAGCGACGAATTCCTTGAATAGTATTGAGCCGGGCCCAAACTCGTTCTCCTGGATCATACTGGGTCCGTATGGTGAGCTCCTGCAGGGGCAACGTCATCAAGACATCCAGGATGGGTAGGAAATTCGCCTCTGGAGTCAACGTGTCATCTACCCAAGTTGCAGATGTGAGATTTGTACAAAGTCTAAGCGCTGCAACAATATCCTCAGTTATTTGAGGAATAACTTGTCGTAAGTTCTGCACTGCGCCTGCATAGTGGGAGGATCAATCAAATTATAAATCTGAAGCCAATGTCACTCACCTGTCTCCGTCACATGCCAGACATACTTTGCCAATTCTGGTCGTTTGAGAATGGTTGCCGAGGGATGGTGAAGGGTCTATTTGTAGTCAATACAGTCTTGATAGTAGACGCTCTGAGCGAGATGAATATTAATCGCACATTACGCTTCACTTGCGAATAGAGCCTCCTGTACAAAAGTGGTGTCGCTGCGCGATTGAATGCCTGGCTCACTAGTGCAGCTGCACTTAGATGCCTTCGGTCAAGTAGATGGATGAGAATGGGCTGCAGAAGATCGAAAGGCACATTCTCCAAGATAGACATGATGGACCAATGCTGTCAAGAGGTTTCTGGGGGATAGCAAGTCCCCAGTCAGGCATGTCGGGCGCCCAAGTACCGCCAAGTTGAATTTGAATTTTATAGCCCGCCATTACCAACCAGTTACGCGGCTGACTTGAACTTGCGTGAGTACTCATTGTAGTACATAAATACGGCCATCGACAACCCTTGATCATCGCTGCTGTCGACTGCAAGAATAGTTTTGCATGTGTCATAGTGAGCGCTTGCGACGCACAATGCTCATCAGCCAATCTTTTTCAGCCAGTTGTGAGTCCTTGTGTATCGTGGCAAAGAGCAGTGATGCAACTCGACTGCCTTCTTGCTCCTTTCAGGCTATTTGAGGAGGCTAACACCATCAGGTTAGCATTCTGGAACATGACGGCCTCGCAGGGCCTCGCTCCAAACGATTTCGATGTGCTCAAGTTACAAGTATGGAAAAGTAAAGGATGAATCTTGGCGGGTAAGTCCTGGTTTAAATGGCATATCGATGATCAGACACATGGACCTTGAGCTACGGCAAATTTTCCCAAGAAAACCATTTGCACAGGAACCAACGAGTTTTAAGGAGTCGGCAACCTGTTCCGCCCTTCGCTTCTCGCCCCACAGGCTCCCACACTCTCCCACATGGCCGTATGGATGTACTTGGTCGGTATTCTCGAGCATGAACCCAGCCCTATAGAATTCAAGTCGTCATGGCGTTTTAATGTCCCTTATGCCTGCCTCCCTCACAACGGCTCACAAGGTTTGTCCCCATCATGATGTTTATCCAGACTTTCTGTTGGACGTCAACTAAATCTCATTCTCTCCGAGCATATTAAACTTTACTCTCTACGCCCCTGTTCCCGAGGGCTTTCTCGATGCTTCTCGTAGCCAGTCGTTACTTCGAATGACACATTCATGTCCTCGAATGTCATGTCTACATTGTCCGAATGACGCCATTACTCATGTCCTTCGACTTCGACTCTCATAGGTCGTTACCTCGCAGAGTAACATCAACCGTCGACTAGGTCACCATCATTTACTGAGCGGAATAGGCATCGTTTTACACCCTCCCAAAGACAATTAAGTTTTGACCCGTGTAAAACCGACGCTAACTTAAAGTCCCTTTGTCCAGTTCATTTGAAAGTCGGATAAAGGATCCAACTTCCACCATAACACCGGATGGCCGACCAAACGACCAATCATGAGGTAAGACTTGGGTAAGAATAACTTCGAGAATCGCGCCCATGCGTCAAATGCGTTCCAAGTGAGTTCATAATTTCATTCAAGGCGTTATCGATGCTGAGCGGTACGTCACTGATCATGATATCTACGGACCAAGACTAAGTAGAAAATACTGGCGACTGTGGGGAGATTTTGAACAGCCGGTTGTCATGAGATGCAGGGAAAGTTAGAATACAATCCTAAAGAACAAAAAGCGGGTATGAATCAAAAGTTAGAATAACGTCAGGGTATAAGGTCGCAAAATAGAGTTTCTGCTGCATGCGAGTAAGATAGAGTAAAACAATCAGGGAATGGAGGTGGTACGGCATGCCGGTTTTGTTGAGTGATCAAAAAAGCTGAAACGATGGCTTTACAATCAATGACGTTGGCGGGGGTTTTAAGCAGTTGGCCTTCGAGAACGGCCAGTCAGCGCATCAGAAATGCGTCTGAATCTGCCATTCGACCCCGTAGGTGTGACAGAGGGAGCTTCGAGAGAGGATTTTCGCGATTCCCCGCTGCAACGTTGCGTAGAAACTGGGAAGAAGTGAACAGATTCGTTGGGATTGTGATAAAGGATATGTGACTCCAGAAGAGCTAGCATTGAGTCCTGGTGACTCGTTCTGGGAAGCGACGTTTCTGGCAGTTCTGGGAGTGGGGGTGGGGGTAACTGCACGAACATGTCAGTAACAGTTACACAACAATCGCGAAAGACTTACTGCTTTCTTGCGAGCCTTTTTGAACTTGACGGAGTAGTTCTCATCCCAATCGTGGAAAGGATCCTCATCAGTGGCAGCTGTACGGTCATACAACCTCGTGCTTTTACGTATACGGGGCTGAATGGGCTGGAGCATAGGAACAGAAATTTTCTCGTCGTGGACAGCTTCAGAGTAGCATACGTCTACGAATGACTCAGTTGGAGAAAGGAGGAGCTGTTCATCGAGGCGGTCAAGGCAAGTTGGATCAAAATCAAGGTGATGTAGCGACCGGTGTAGGACTTTGAAAGAGTTCGAGTGCGACTCAGAAATATCATCCGCAGTGAGTGGTGGTGACGCATAGTCACGCGGGCGGAAGGTTGGTCGGATGGGGGTTGGCAGATGCTTCCAGCCTTGGGTATCTGCGGAAGACTGTGAGCGTTGTCGTGAGTTATACGCGCGGACCCAAGGTGGGCTGGGCTGTAAGATCTAATCAGTACAGTGAGACTGGAGAATTATGATGAGACCCACGGTCTTTACACCCAAATCATCAGAGCTCGAGAGGAATGAACTCTTTAGATGTACGTGCGTCCGGGCGTACTTGTCCCGTGGGGTGCATTTGTCCACAACACGTCTGGGGGCAGATAGATGCATAGCCGACGAACTTCCTGTATGGACTCCGCTCATTTGGTACTCTTCCCAGAATTAGTTGGAGAGTGATTGAGAGTAAAGACTCGCTGGCGCCTATCATGTCGGTTTGCTTTTATGAGGGCACATAATTGTTTCCGCACTGCTACTGCCACCCCGGAGATGCATTCTTCGATCTGATTATAAATTCAGAATTGGAAGATAATCGATCTCGAAGCACGTAAATCACGGCACTGAACTCACGAGGAGAGCCAATTTAATTTTCGGCGGAGGAAAAGCGACTGAACAACGATTGGCTTATTCTGTTCATGAGTCATGAGTCATATCATGCCATCGATAATGCGGATGTACATGAAAGAAAATCTGATGCAAATCTGCTGGATGAGCGCTTCAAGGTTATCAACGCCCTCGATGAAGCCTAGCAACTGCTCGGAACATCAATACAGGTCCATTTCATTCCAGAGTCTCCTTGGCAGCTCAAACGCTAGGCGCATAACACCCGCTTCGTCTCACCCAGAAACGGGCTTTCTCTTACGCCCGAATTTCCGAGCGAACGATTTCGCCCGGTCGACTAGTCCGTTTGTCGGTGGCTTGGCGCTCAGTGCACTAATAGTCCGGGACGTACTAGGGCGTAGCTCTGCTCCTTTGGTCGCGTGAATGGTGGTGGTGTGATTGTCCTCAGAGTGCGCATGCGCAGCATCTACCGTTGCCTTTTCGACAGAGACGTCTACGACCAAGCGTGTGTTCGTCGAGAGTACGTTTTGTGAGTGCGACCGAGACATGCGTCGGGGTAGTATAGCTCCAACCGCCTTCTGAAAAGGCTGACGGCCATGTATTCGTTGGACTTGTGTCACCTGCTGGTCGTCCTCTAAATGGTGAGATTCGTTTTCTGAGCCTTCGGAAATGAATGAGTCCATGCTTCTGGGCTGAAAATTCCGATCAGGGTATGAGCAGGCACAACAAAAAGCTACTTACGTTTACTAATGAATGATAGAATGTTGACTTGTGGGCAACAGCAGCAAGTAGTGAAGGTGTGGGTGAAGTAGAACTACTTGAGCCATTGACATATGAAGGCTGTTCGTGTTTAAGGGTGAGTTATGCATGGACTACATACTAGGTGAATGACCCGCACCTGGCCGAATCGAGAAACTGACACAGAACTCTTCTTCCGCCGATGTCGCCGCCTAGCTTGATCGGGGTCGACTAGCTCATTCGCCGACTGCTCTTGCTCTTGCATGGCCCTCCGCTCACTCTCTTCTTCTACCTGTCTGAATCTCTGCACGAATTGAGCTTCACCCTGTGTGGTGTAGTACAGCACAAATGCGCTCACCTCCTCCAGGGGTTCAAGGGATGACAGCATCTTGCGATTTTGACTTGTGCGTGGTGAAAGAGGTGAGATGTCCTTGTAGCGGGCCGTTAGTACGCTTGGAAGCAGAAACGTGAGAGCGATGGGTGGTGCCAAATTTACGACGGCGTTTATGGGACTCAAGTATGTATATGCATATAGACAGCTCTATACCGCTCGTGTGAAAGTCGAGATCACCGTTAGGCGCTGAATCCCCTCGGCGCGAGTCGGGCCTAGAATCTGAAACGAAAAGTCTTCTTCAAATGTCGTGGGGCGAACCGTCGTCGTTGTTGAAAGTTGACGTTGACCGGCCGCCCCCGAAAATGGGACGTTCAGTGGAAAAAACTTTTGAATAGGAGCCGAGTTCACAATTGAAGTCAAAGACTCAGAGCGTTCGGACCGTGTCACTCATCGATAATGACAAAGGTTTGTGGAAAAGGAGCGATCACAGATAGACGCTCATCGACATCCACCTTGTCACAACTGCGATGAGCGTTCAGACAAAGCTTGCATTTCAAAAAACCGGTATTCGAGGCCCGAGCTCACACTCCCGGACCAGTGGTAGGCGTAGTCAACTTCAAGAAATCGCGCAGAGCACGTTGGACGCGATTGAGAATGGCACGGTCACCATCACTGACATTTCTCATGATCTCGCTGCCAAAGTCAACTTCTCAAATCATAACACTCGTTATTATGCTCCAGATTCTTTGCTATCCACCTGGTCCACCAGTGCTCCACCACGTAATCTCGCAGCTACAAAATCTGAGGTGTCCATCCTAGAGGTTTCGACCCTTGACGGTGCCAGATTGTTATTCAATACTCTTTCATCTCGCTCCACTAGCTTCGGCAGGATAGCAATATTGAACTTTGCGTCTGCTACACGTCCTGGAGGCGGTTTTCTGAATGGGGCACAAGCTCAAGAGGAGTCTATAGCCCGGTCATCCACACTCTATCCCTCTCTAATGACGGACACCGCGCAACGCTTCTACCGACTACATGTCCGTGATAGAAACGGAGGGTATTATCATCACGCAATGGTCTACACACCTTCTGTCGTGATCTTGAAGGATGACACAGGGGATTGGGCGTCGCCTTTCGAAGTCGATGTTCTAACAAGCGCAGCTGTAAATGCTGGCGATGTGAGAAAGAAAGCTGGGGATGAGCCACAGCCTGCGGGGATTGAGATGCCCATCGAGTCTGCTATGAAAGAGAGAATGGGGCGCATCTTGTTCTTGTTTGAACAGCAGGGTGCTAAGAACATCGTCTTGGGCAGTTTTGGAACGGGGGTATTTCAAAATGATGTCGAAGTTGTTGCGAGGATCTGGGCAGAGTTATTGGCTGTGAAAGGTGCGCGATACCGGCATTCGTTTCATCGCGTAGTATTCGCCATCCTTGGGAAGGATACCTTTACCACTTTCGAGCAATCATTCGAGAAGCAGACTAGTACTGATACCATAGTCTTCCATAACTGAGTATTGGAAAATTCAGAATCATTGGATCGTGAGTCTTTGGATCATCAGTCCTCTGTGGCCTGTTCCTCAGGTCAGCCTCCATAGTGCTCGTCTGGTCCTTCTCGTATGACCCAACTTGAACAAGTACGGCAGTTGACGATCCGCAACTCCCACTCTAATTTTCGGCCCGTTGCGTCCATACAGATACGCCGCGTATTTGAAATCAATGGCGGCCTAGAATCAGTGACGCAACGTAGTCTGCTGCTTGATGACTCACGACGAGAACAAGCGAGCTGCTGCGGCCGCCCAAAACGCAATGAATGCGTAGGCAATCAATCCTGCGGAGCCATGGAGCGCAGGATCCACGATGGATGATCCTTGACGTACGCCTTATCTATCGTCCATTGACCTCGTGTTGCCTGTAGGTGGGTCGCATGAATTGCGTACGCCTACATTTCACGTACGCAAGAGCCCGGGAATGTGATTCCTGTGTCACTTGCGGTGTATCCGAGTCACATCACAGCTTGCCTTGAGGCAAGTTTGTCTGTCTAGCTGGCAGGAACCCCGAAACTGAGCGCTCAGCACTGATCCGCAAGTTGCGTGTATCACGAATCCTGTGTTGATTTGATATAAAAATTGATGGCTTCCCGCGGAGCACACTCTTTTGAAAATTTCAGTCTCCCTGGGATGTCATCCAACTCACCTGCAGCGCGCTGCTTCCCGACATCGCACGTAACTCAGCGGTGTTTGTTCGACAACATCGTGGTACTATAGTGCAAGCGGACTCCAAAGTTTGGACAACACTGGACAATAGGCAACGATGATTTACGCAATCGATCTTCAGGCTAAGGAATTTGTTAGGAATAAAAGGACGACGGAACAATGGACGACACGCGCAGAACACGTGTAGCTGCTTTTGATCGTTAACACTGGAACCGGATTCAAGAAACGTATATCTTGACTTCCTTCGAAAATTTCCTCTAGAACCCAAGCCCTTTCACCTCCCTCCTCCCTCCCTCAGCTCTCAGGTAGAGTCCATCATGGTTAACTCATCAGAACACGGATTAGCTCGCGTCATCCATCATAAGGATTACTATTTGCGTGGCGGTGATATGACCGTATTGGTGAGTGTCGAACAGACGTTGTGTTCACCAGGGCCTCAGATTGATGGTTGCAACTTCGAATTTCGCAGGTCGAGAATCATCTTTACCGGATACACAGTCATTTTTTCGAGCGTGAATCGCTGTTCTTCCGGCAGAAGTTCCAGTCATCCGAAGGCGAGGAACGCGGCTCATCGGACAACAATGCTTTTACCTTGGACGTCAAGAGCGAAGACTTTGCACGTTTTCTCTGGGTCTTTTACAACCCGTATGCTCGTTCAATTAAATTTTATTGTGCCAAGCATCCTGACAGTTGTGAACAGGAAATATTCGCTCTATGAGGCGCCTCTCGAGACGTGGCTGAGCATCTTACAGCTTGCCAATCGGTGGAGTTTCGGCAACGTCAAGGAGCTCACCGTGCGCGAACTCGAGAAGATTCAGATAGAACCCGTCGACAAGATCGCAATCTATCACGAGTACACTATCAACAAGCTCTTCCTCGTCCCAGCGTACATCGCTGTCTGCAAGAGGGATAAGCCTTTGACCTTTGCTGAGGGTATGCAGCTTGGGATGGAGACCGTTCTCCGTGTCGCAGATGCTCGTGAGCGGGCTCGCCAGCGTGCTGCTGAGAGTGGAATCCGCTCGCCTACATTCGATGACTTTGACGACAGTGAGATGGAAACTATGATCAGGGAGGTTTTCGGAATAGCATCGCGACCAACGTCGCCGATTCCGCAGACCAGTACTTCACCTAGCTACACCAACGGCTCGAACTACTCTGGTAGCACGAAGGTTAATGGGTCGACGGCACCCAAAGCCAATGGCAGCTCCTCAATTCGTACCAACGGTTCATCCAACTCTGACCCAGCTGCCCGTTCCTCCATCGACACCACACGGACGGACACTACACGGACGTCGTTCGTCTCTGCCGTGGACACTTTTTTGTCTTCGCCAAGTGCTCCCGCTTCCTCGTCGCCAGCTGCTGATCAGAAGCAAGCTGCCCCATTGCCTGAGAATAAGCCCACGCCGCCGGCCAAAGCGACACCCGAGCAGACGAGCTCTCCCTCCGCTGCAACCGCTGCAACCCCCACGGCCGATGCATCCAAGGGCTTGTGGAGCAAACCGAACGGATCGGGTAAGCCTTCATCGCTGGCGAGTCCCATACTTATCCTTTTCTGACTTCGACTCATTCTTGGTATCACAGGAGGGAACAGAGGATCAAAAAACTGGTTCTCAGGCTCTTGATAGTTCCATCACTGTTGTCACCCCTACTCCTGACCTTGTTGTACCACCACCCGTTGATGTTAAGAGTAACGATGAGAATGAGACGATCGAAAATGATGCTGAGAAGGATGAAACTCAAACCAAGGACTTTGACCTGTCTAGTGTGCTGTCTGATAGCGAAGGTGGACGCGGCGGGCGTCAAGGTGAGCATTGCGGTAATATCAATTCGATGTACAATCTCATGAATCAATTTTATCTAAGGCAATGCGAGTCGCGGGGGGAAGAATAACAATCGTGGGGGACGCGGAGGAGGAGGCGGAGGCGGGGGCAAGGGCAAGAAGGCTCAGAATTAAGTTCGCCCAAGTTGGAGAGTAGAATTTTGGCGCTTGGCAATTTCCTTCGTTTCCGTTTCAAAAAGTGACTCTCGAGTTCTGTCGTTTCGATTGTCTGCCATTCCTTGAGTCATGATCAATCTATTTTGTGTTTGCATCAGAAAACTTCTCGCTCAGCGAATGATCCGCGAACACGCGGGAGACAATTGTATGTACCCGTTCACCTCGGTGGCGGACCAGAACATTCCGTAAGTACACGGTCCTCAACGTGTTGCCTCGAGGAGCCTCGTGGGCGCGGCTCGCCCTCATTACGAAACTTCTGGTGATCGTCGGCGAAGATCCGAGCGAGCATCCCTTGTACTCTTGTTATTGTACATACCTACTTTGTCATTCCTGTGGGCGAGGTCACGCAATAATGAGGGATTATCATTACGTCGACAGTCGCTAGGACTGCGGGACGGGACTATATTGAGCAATCTGAAGTCTGATGGCGTCCTGGCCTGGCTGATATTCGAAGCATCACCAGCGCTTGAAAAGTAGATAAGTATAAACGACAATTGAATCAAGGAGGCATACGAACATTATTCACCCCACGATCATCGATATCCACCATGCCACCCAAACCCACCTCCGACAACGGATTTTCGCAAATCAAAAGCCATCCTCAGTATTTCATTCCCACTGGGGACACTCAATTTTTAGTGAGCTCCCTGGGGTATGAAGCGCTGATGAAGGATTAAATTTTCTCTTCATCCAGGCTCAAAGCGTCCTGTTCAAAGTACATCGGCATTTCTTCGAGCGGGAATCAATTTCCTTCAGAGAAATATTTTCTGGCGGCGATGGTAACACCAAGCCTTACACGTTGGATGTTCAACCCGAGGAATTTGCCCACTTCCTGTGGGTGTTCTATGACGAGTGAGTTATAGCGCACTCACCCAATGCTCACCGATGTCGTTACTAAAACTTGTGGCCTTTCTAGGGATTTCGAATACGAAAACCAACCGCTCGAGAAGTGGTTGGTGATCTTAAGGCTAGCAACGCGGTGGGGCTTCCACAAGATGCGAAAGCTGGTTGTCCGCCAGCTTGAGAAGCTTGACCTAAAACCCATCGACAAAATTAAGATCTATTCCGACTTCAACATCGATGCGCAACTTCTGTTACCATCATATTCGACCTTGGCTATGAGCCCTACACTCCCTCCTCTTTCAGAGGCTTCAAAGCTCGACATCGAAACGATTCTCAAGCTCACAATGGTGCGGGAAAGAGCGGTGCAGAGGTCGGCAGAGAAAGGATGCCGTTCTCCAACGAGTGCGAGCGCTGGGGATGAAGAAGTCAGGAGGATCATCTGCGACATATTCCAGCTCGCCCGTGTGAATAACGCTTCTGTGACTGAGCCACCAAAGACTGGTGACGGAGACGGCGTAAATGGTACCGCGGGGGACTCGGTTCCAACAATTAAGGATCCAGTTAAGAAGAGGAACAAAGACAAAGGCAACGCAAATGGCACCCCCAACGCGGTGAGTGGCTGTCATATGTTTAAACTCTGCATTTGCTTAGTCTGCCCAGAATGGCGCAAATGCAAATACACCAGCCTGAGGTCCCTAGGGTACCCTGCGAGACTTTCTGACACCGGGCTTGTCGCATTGACTTGCAAGATCACCATCCATTCAGAATATGCGCTCGCAGTATAAAACATTCGCGTCTTGGATAATGGGTATACTAATTTTTTTTGTAAGCGCATATACACTCTGTAGATGTATTGGTCCGATGTATATTGTGTACAGGTAGAAGACGCTTGGATGACGCTCACCAAGCAATATTTGTTAGAAGAATGTATCAATGCTCTGCCTCAATTTCTTTGCGTACTGGGCGGACCAGTCAGTTGGATGATGCGTGTGACAGCAGGAACGACTCACTTTGTTCCAAATCCTTTCGTTCCCATTCATCACTGACACCAAGGTCTGCAGTCGTTTTCCGGCCCCATACCACATCCATCCATCCAATGTTAGTTCCTTCCTTGTCGGGTGACTGTTTGCCCTCCCCATGTATACGTGCAAGGTTACGCGACTTCGTTATTTCTTCGTCGGAGATGGACTTGCCCGAACGAAGTTGCTCAATGAGGTCTTGCAGGATGGATGCCTGAGCCTTGAATCTCGCTCGGTCCTCGTCAGCTGTTTTTCGCTGCCACAGCAAATGCATAGAAATTGAGGTCAAAGCGGTTGAGTATAGTATGTGAGGGATATACTGAGTACCGGACATGATGGCAGAGGAACAAGTGCATCACGGCAGATGCCGCAGTGCGGCGCCCTCACTGTCGCCGGCATGCATGACGTGCAAAGACCAACATGTCGTATCGGAAGGAATTCAAGCAGCTATTGTTGATGGTCTAGGCATGCGCAGAAAGGTCAGTTTATAGTATGGCAGGCGGATTTCGATGCGAGTTTGGAAATGTAAGTATTTTCGCGAAGCTAACAAGTGGTTTTGCGACTTTCACTTGGAATGATCCTAGGCTATCGATCTCAGCTAACACCATTGTTAATCGGGCACAATGGGTTGATCGCTCTCCCCAAGATCACGGTAGGCCAGAGTGATAACTTGTTAGGAAAATTCTTTTGGGTTCCATCCCGAGACCAGACCGACCGATAAATCATACTAACACGAGAAAGAATTCCGCCTCCACCGTCATCGCGATCGGCTGAGTGGTCAAAGCATTGTCTCCACCCACCAACAGTACAAGCAAACATGGCAGCCTGAACAGATCAAGCGGGGAAGCAGGAAAACTATCACTTCATTTCAAAATGTCTAACCACGCCCTTCTATAATGCCAAGAGTTTTGTCTTGCTGGCAACGCCATTAATGAGGAGGCCGCGGCGGACATAGAATTCGGAAGAATGGATAGTGTCTGCGTCAGACCGCCGGTTGTATCGCGCGGTCAGGAGTGCGATGTATGAGTTCATTGCCACGGATCGGCAAATTCCTCGGATAACACGTTATTCATGCGTTTAGCCAATGCAACCAGGCCAAGGTGGCCTCTTGCCGTGAACGTGGTGGACCTTAAGCTTAACCAGTATACGGCAGTATGACATTCGTCAGTGTCTTGCTTATTTGCGTTACACACCTCTTGGCGGACAAATAATATTGAGCCTATAAGGATATGCACAAATGGACGTAAGTAAGTGTACCATCGCATGGCAGGCACTCGGTCTGGTCGTAGGAATGTGCGTTGCAAGCTGGTAGCTGCGATCGGCAAGCTCGCAAGACTCCATCGCGTACGCGTTTGATTATGATTTCTGATGGAAAAGAAAATGAGATGAGAATGAGATTGTCAGTTGACAGGATAGGCGTACCTGTGCACCTAGAATGGGTCCACTTCTCCAGGTTGCGGGGTCAGAATCAGATTTATGTCCAAAGACTTGCAAGAGCGAGGTGTGAACTTCATCGCGTGAAACAGGCCTCCCGGCGATATAAACGCCTTTCGTCGCGATCGAAAGCCGTTGTTCTCTATTTCCCGGTGTGGCGACAATTAACGACAGGTCGTCTGCGGGTTTTGTAGTGGATAAGCGGCAATGTTTGACGTTTAGTACATCGCCCCGTAGACCAAAACCGCCGAAACTTTCGAAAGTCGCGACCTTTGGGCGCACAATTGCTTTCCGCGCCGTCGTGGTCAGATCCTCTCGTGGACGTGGAGTCAGCCAGATCCTCTTGACATTCATCCCACTCTTCATGCCAATCATAAATGCCACCCAACCTCCAAACGCGAGATGCATAAAGACCAGACCAGCACGCTGGTATGTTGGGCGGAGTACATATTGTGGCGTATTGCCAATAGTATTGGGGTCATCGGATATTGCAGACTCGGTTGGTTCCACAGGACGCGTAAAATAGTTCCAGGAAAATTCACACATTGCTAGCCTGGATCATCTGTGCCATTAGAGTCAAACCAGCACGTACCAGAGCAGAAAACCTTACGTGCAGACTGCATCAGCTATGAGGAGTGTCCAGGTGAACTTGACCAAGATACTGGGCTTCTTAACTTCATAAAACGGTTGGTCTTTTGGTATGTGGGTACGGCCAGGGAACAGGGAAAACCGCCTTGAACGATGTGCAGTGAAGGTGGAGCGGTTGCAGTGGAACAAAGCATTCATGTATTTCATTCTGGAGAAGAGAGACATGGTGCAAAGCTGCCAGTCGGATCCAGGGCGGCGCTGGCGATCCTGGCAGACTTGAATAGAGAAATAGAGAAGTTATGTAAACAAAGTTATGTGCGACTCGGAGCAGGTTCAAAAAAGTTAGGCCTGCAAGGACTGTGCTACCAGTCCCCTAGGCAGACTTTTATGACTTAACGAAGATAGAGATAGTCGTTCCTTCTAATAATGTGCTACTACGAGCTCGTTACACCACAGCCTTCACTGCACCATCACATATGTGTTCAGTTACATTTAAGTAGTTGCACAGTCACCAAACAGGTGAGCATCGCTTCCGGTGATATTCACGTTCTGGCAAGAGTAGGTCGCACTGCCATATGTTGAAGGTGGTCTTTGCAGATTGATTAGTTTTTGAACCGAAGAATCAAACAAATAAAACGTACTCAAGGTATACATCGTTCACGCTGATATTGCTGCAGCGGCTATCCGGCGAGCATGCCAGCGAAGCAACTACGGATTTTGTTTTTCCAGATGAACTACCATTGAAACTTGGGACACATTCTTGTAAGTTCCAACCAAAGGACAGAAACAACTTCGCGCACTTGGTAAACGTAACATCCTGAATATATACGTTGGAAGGGTATGCAGTACACTCTGTTGCATTGGTCATGTAACACTACAAAGCAATTTAGTCTGACACTGATCGTACGAAGATGAGTGCGAACCTGATTGACGATCAAGGGGTTGTCGACGTTGCCCTCGGTGAAGAAGCTGAAGGTGACGTTCTTCACAATGCCACTGCCGACCCCTGGACCAGCAAAGGCTTTAATGCGCGCACCATTCTGGGCATTATACATTTGAATATTGCTAGGAGCTCTTAATGAGTACTCCTGGCTATCATTGGAGCCAGTCTTCAAACGCACGTCGAGGTGAAGTTTTCTACAATATCATATACCCCGGCATACTGCCCGAGGGAGCCAACGGAAATACCACTGTCAACAGAAAGTAAGTAGGTGCTTTTCCAAAGAAAGCTTCTACAGACTGTGAACCATTGCAGTATAAGTCTGATACAATAATGTTTGTTGAATCTAAGACACAATCTGCATGAGCGAAACATGGAACACCCGAGCGAGAACAGATGGTACTTGGTTTTAATGAAACACAATCATCGCCGTTATTGATGTTCGAATTAGTGATGACAACGTTGTCACTGCGATATATATCCCAGCCATCGGTATTCTTCGCAAGATTGCTTGATGTCGAGACGGCACTAATGTTGATGCCATCGTAGACAATATTTTTCCCTTCATTGACCTAATGTGAGGCGTAAGCTCGTTAAGTCTAAGATTGATCGAATTTCGAAATGCCCACAAAGTTAAACCACTCAGGGCCGTTGATCATCGTAATGTTTTTAATGGCAACATTAGTGGCTTGATAAACCGTGAGCAGGATCGGGCGCAAGAGAGTACTGTTGGTGGCGCTGGGTGCAGAGTCAGTTCTAATGTTACATCCAGGCTGCTGTAAGTCCTGCTCACAATGCGTCATACCAGACCTGTAGGGTGTGATATTTAGCAACACGTAGACCCTGTTATGCGTTAATTAACATACTTGACCTGAACCATCTATTGTTCCACCACCGTTAATATCGATGTTCTTCCCACCTACGATCCAAAAGGCGATTTGGTCCTGAAACTCAAAGTAAAACCCGTTCTAAAGCGAGGAATTAGCGATTGAAGCATTGCTATTTGCGACACATACGTTGATCCAATATGACATATCGTTTGTGAATTTCACGGTTCCCGACAGTTCCTGCAACCCACTATATGAGATTGTCAGTAGATCATGATAGGATCCAGTCACATACAATTTTCTTGTCCTTCAATCCGGTCATATTCATCCTGGTTGCTATCGAAAGAGTAGTTTCACGAGGGATTGTCACTGAGCTACAACGTTGAACAGCATTTACGAATGCCGGTCCATCGTCTCCGCCACTCGCTAGGACGGTACATGACACGCCGTCTGTTTTTGGAGCAGCTCCTCGTGCTGAGAAGAGCCCGCCCACCAATGTTGTCAAGAACGAGATACGCATTGTGTTGAAGGCAACTTGAAAGGACGTGGCTTTCATATTATTCGCGTAGCGACAAACAGGTGTCCCTGCGGCCCGGCCGGCGCAAGGAAGCATATGTTCGATGTTCTCTTCGTTTGACGCGTGACAGTTTCAACATTGCGGTTGCATGGACTCCAAGTGGTATCCTGTGGTGTCATGATCGGGAACATTACATATACGCTATTCTGCACTGGTCTTTGAGCGTGTAATTCAGCCGGGATACGTTCAGCGTTCGACGTAATTTCGTCCGCCTCGTCGCTGACGGACTCAGGCAGAGCCTGAAAATATTTGTGCCGTGAAATATTCAATTCTTTGGTAGCCGAGTCGGGGCAGGTCAGGGCCGACAAGTCAGAACAGACACGATCCACGGCGATGGGAACTCTGATGAACCTGTGATCTGTAGCAACATCAAGTTGAAAATGCAATCAGTGTTATGTAGTATGGGACTCACTAGAATGGTGCTTATTATCGTAGAACTTTCCGCAATTTCTCCGTCGTCCAGCTGGAACATTTCAAGGCCCATGCTGGAAATATATCCTGTGAGAATAAGTGTGTCATGTGAGCGCAGTGTGAGTATAGAGGAGTATAGGCGAGTATTGGGCCCAGGGTATCATGTTCCAGTTCAATTTCAACGGGCAAACATGTCCCTTCCACTGTCCGATGATAATCGAGTTATGGCAAAACAAATACCAGTCGTTGAGATGAAGATACTGACTGCATCACCGGTGTTAAATCTGGCACTCGGCTGCACCCGAACGACCGTTGTCAAGTGACGCTCTCGGAAGAGGGCCTAAGAGGGCGCACACGGTTTTGCGAGGCGTTGCGCAAGGCTAATATATGTTTCGCACAGCGGCAATTTGAAATATCAAGATTTAATTTTGTTGTCAGAGTCTATAACACATGTCACTCACGTGATGAGCCTTTGACGTTGAAATGTAGACTTAGAGTCAGACTACATAGTCCAGTAGCTGACCCAATGGATGTCAAAGCAAATGAAGCGGTGGCAGACGGTGGTCGCTCTAATCGGTAGCGGTAAGTCTCGAGCAGAAGTAGGTAGAATATTTCTCCCGTTCCTAGTTTAATTGTTCCTAGATGTGTGACAAGAAAACATAATGCGGACTCAGGAGGTTTCTGGGGCATACGTGCATATTCAAAATGAAGCAGTTTTCACTTAGTTCTACCCAAGGAAGACTTACATTGCGCATGCAACAAAATAACGTCACAGGGCAAATTAATCTTGGTAGTCCTGAGGTCATTGACTTTGTCAATGGTAACCTGATGCATGTCCGAGTCGGGCGACTTTGACTCTGTTGAACACGGCACTTATTTCAATACAACGGTAATAGTAAAACGGTCGAGGCTCATAGGTTGTTTATATACACGCCAAGCCAAAATCAACATGATCATGCCTGCGCTTGCGCGTGATCTTTAATTCTTGCAGGTGCAGCTACCGGCCTGGCAGTTGCAGCTTTTGACAGATATTCAGAAACCAGTCACTGAAATGTAGTGCAAGAAAAGACTCACTCAGAGGTGCAGTTGCATTGCTCAGAGTTGTTGGAAAGCATGGTAATGATTTGTGCGATTGTGCTGCAAGGTTGTGTTAGTCGTAGGATGGGTTCGCGGATGCTTCAAACAACCCACCAGGTATGTGAGGCAGTTGTGAATAGCGCGGATTGCTACAGGAAATGCCTGGAAGATGTGCCATTTTATGTTGCTCACCGTGATCGGAGCCACGACCAGAATGGACAATAGCTGCGGCGTATGAATGTCACCTTGGAGCATCAATCACAGGGGTATCAACGCCACATAGAGGTGACGCAAGAAGAAGACAAGCTTCTGCTTGGACTGCTCCAGCGTGATGTGGACCGGCTGGAGACAGCCGTATCAGAAGGTTCAAAACTGACAGTACGATGTCGAGTGTCAATCAACTTCTGCTTAGGCTACTTGGCCAGGGTGCTGGTATCGGAATCGTCACACGCACGCAGCACACGTTTGTGGGGATGATGAACGCACGAGATACTGGAAGCCCGTACAAACCGGAAGTCAGCGGTGATCCTAATAAAAGTGGAAATCAATGCTGATATCTGTCAGAGGACCACTCGGTGAGATCTGAACATTGAGGCGACAGACACACCAAGGTCATCGACATGATCTCAAATCATGTCAAATGCAAGGATCAACAAACAAATAACCGTATACCGTCTATTCATCATCACTATTGGATCAACATTTATATACCACACTTGCCACTGATCGTCAGAAATAAAAACCTTGCTGCCGAAAAAGACCTAGCTAACTCAGCAAGGTCTTGCCGTCCTGACATGTCAAGGGCTTAGCATGTCATCTAGATGACAGAACTCGTAACCGCCATTAATGCGATCAAGGCATGCCTCAGGGTGAACTGATCACCAGTTAGACCATCCCTGTGTTGCCCGCGCAAACCGTGTTCGGCTACTTTTTGTGCGCGCCTATGTTGAGACCTACATGTAAGGGTTAGCCTAAAATGTTTGGATGGCTAACGAGAATCACGTACACGCGACCTGTCGTTGTAGATAACACGAGCGTAGGGCGCAAATTCACAGCACCCCATACGCTCCAAGTCCCTTGCCAAGGCTTGTTCCTGTTAGAAACGAAGGCCCCCAGCCGATCGGACAGCCCCGAACCAGTCTCTACTGAGTCCTGACACCCTAAAATTATCATATGGTTTGTAGGAGGGCGTTTGTCGTTTGACCTCGTGTCCGTTGCGGAAGGGGTACGGTTGCAGTGTCACCGAGCGGAGGGTGTGGTTGAATGCGGCTGAATGGGCTGGCAAGTCGGCAAAGGGGCGCGTCAACGAGGCGGAGGTCAGCAGACTCCAACTTTCGTCCATTATCTGAATGCAAGTGAAGGACAGTATTTGCTTGCAAGTCATGACAGAACATACATGGTCGAATCGGAATTTAAGGAGTTGATAGACACGGCGAAGAATATTACATAATGCTGTGCCTATAATTAAGGGTTCCCAATTTGGCATGTCTTATAATTAACTTGCATTGTCAAAGTTGAGTGGCATCATTCTTCTTGCAGATCCATATGATGACGACTTTCTCGGAGTCCTGGCTAGTTGGCCCACAGCGCACGCAATTCTACACTCGCACGTATCGCCCAGCTTCCACAACAAAAGCTGTCGTAGTTTTCGTGCACGGGTTCATAGAGCACATTGCTCGCTACGAACACGTGTTTCCTGCTTGGTCCGCACGCGACATAGCTGTCTTTGCGTATGACCAGCGCGGCTTCGGGAGGACGGCCTTGGATACGGAGAAGAAGAGCAAGGATAGCTCGTATGCGAAGACGAGCTGGAAGGAACAATTTCAAGACATTGAGTGGGCTATAAACCACGCGAAAAGCGAGTTTGATTCCATTCCTGTGTTTCTTTATGGGCATTCAATGGTATGGATCAAATATCTTTAACGTCGAGCGCTTAAGGTGCCATTTATATCCTAGGGCGGAGCATTGGCACTTGCGTTTCCTACTAGGGCAAGTGCTCCTCCTGCAAAGGAGACAGTAACAGGCCTGGCGGGTGTAATTTCCACTAGCCCCCTCATCCTCCAAGCGAAGCCAGCCGCTAAAGCAGCAAGATGGATAGGTGGCAAGGCTAGTCTGCTAGCGCCATCACTCACTATTCCATCCGACGTCAAGGGTCAGGTACTCACACCTTTGTCTCCTTGCTGATATGTACGGCTAACCACATCGTTGTAGGATTTGTCGCATGACAAGACTGTCGGTGAGGCATATGCGAAAGATCCGATGGTTAAGCAAATTGGGTCGCTTCGCGGAGTAAGCGACATGTTAGACGGGGTAATTAACCAATCTGCTCTTCTGGTTGACGTTTCACCTCAAGTTCTTAGGGCGAACACCTCTTACACACTGATTATGCACGTTGGCCCGCTGACCTTCCTGTAAGTTGTTTCAGCTGAGTCCCCATTCTGTACCATTCACGAATGCCGTCAGGTCCTCTTTATACATGGTTCGGATGACAAGGTTCGCGTCCTTTAAAACACCTCGTCCGAGGCAGCTCTGACGTCTTGCAGGTTACTTCTGTCAAAGCTTCTGAGCTATTTCATCAACGGGTACCAGCGAAGGATAAGAAAATATCCATTTACCAAGTAAGCAATTGCGATGCCACTGCCCCGAGCTCAGTCTCATCTCTCAACAGGGCGGCTATCATGAACTTCACAATGAACCAGACGGCGTGAAGGAGAAACTCATCGAGGAGTGTATTACATGGGTGGAGGCACACCTGTGTCCTAACATTTCACCCAAGCTCTGAGGATACTGACTTGAATGGATTACCATTTTGCCTACGTTCATGTGCTTTCAGTCGTTCACGAGAAAAGAAAAGTCCAGAAAATTAAAACAAAAGGTATATGCATGTAAAACATGTAGTGACTAATAACCAGCTGCACCGGGAGCTGCAGTTCCCTCGCGCTTCAAGCGCAACAGCACTTCTTTGAACCGTGAAAGGTCAGTGGTACCAGGACCAGCCCTGGCGATTGTTTTGCTCTGGGAATTTTGCAGCTCCATGGTGTCGCAAATACGCTCCCAAGTTGTCCCTTTGGTAAGAGATGAAGATAGTGACTCCAGGAAATCTCCTTCTTCGTCCCTTTAAGAGATTCATCAGTGTGATCTGTCTAGCTGTCCAAGGCTTAACTAACTTGTTTTCGCGAATAGTTCGCTCTTTCTTTGCTGCGTATTCCTCGTAGAATTGGTCAATAGCATGTTCGGCCCTCGAAATAGTTTGTTGGCGTTTAGCCTTGCTGGCCTCATCACGAGCTTGGATCTCCTCTACCTGGCTCTCGCGCCATTTCCTGTAGACAACTGTCAGAGGTGAACTTCGCATATAATGATTTGGCAATGTACCTGATAACTTCGGGCTCATCCTCGTCGAGTTGCTGGTTGAGGATGGGCGTAGACGAAAATGCTGATGGCTGAGGGCGAGGAGCGAACGGAGGGGGAGCACCAAAAGTTGGTAGGGCAGGTGCAGAAGAAGATACAGGCTACGCAGCAAGCAGGCACCTCAATACAGTGCAGTTACCCATGAACACTACTTACCTGTCCAATATTCAGCTCTGGAAATTGATCCTCAAACTTCTCAATCTCATCATCGCCTGTGACCTTCACTTCGGTCGCTCCCAGTGGAGTGCCGAAGTCATCAAATGAGAAGCCACTGCTGGGCTGGGGGGCCGATGGCAAGGATACGTCACCCTGCCCATCCAAGTCGATGTCAGGAAAGGCAGAGGCCGCGCGGTCAAAATCAAAGTCGTCCATGTTTCTTAGTACGTTGCTGGAGTTGATATAGGCAGATCTTAATGCTGCTAGAGATGGACTTGTTGGTCGAAATTGCAAGGTCAGTCCACGGCGTTTGCCGGGGTGTCGCCGTGTCAGGAAATGTTGCATAGCTTTTAATTGGTCTAAATATACTTGAAGCGAGAGCGCCTTTTCACCGTTTCTATCGATGCCCTTGAACATACCAGGAATTCTTGCTCCATTTCAACTGCTTAGGAATCCCCGACTTGTGATTCCACATCTAACAGTAAAAGGTCGCCCCAGTTTTCCGCCTTTGTGACCATAACTAACGTTAAACCACAGACAGATATTCGCCAAATTGATTTTTTGGCGCTTCGGAATGCTGGCTATAGAGGAGCGGTCTTTGATAAAGACAATTGCTTGGTTAGTCTCAAAATTTACGACCGTCTCTAATTTCCTAAACAAGTAGCAGACAATTCCGTATAAAGACCCCCTTGTGCCAGAGCTCGAGGTGAGTTTAAAGGGTCATAAATGAAAGCCGGGTGACAAGTGCCCACTTTCCAGGATGCCTGGAGAGAATGTCGTGAGGCATTCGGGGAAGGAAACATACTCATCGTCAGCAATTCCGCTGGTACCAAGTTCGACGCAGGAGGAATACAGGTATGACCAGCATGCGTCAAACATAGTCAGAAGTTGAACATACACAGGCAGAATCGGTGTCATATCACCTGTCTGTCCCGGTTCTCCGACACGACACCCTTAAACCTGGTTACTCCTGCATTGCTTCGATACGCGCCTACTTTTCATCTCTCCGTGTTCCGATCTCCGATGGTGAACTGGTTGTAGTCGGAGACCGTATATTTACGGATGTGATCATGGCAAACAGAATGCATGCTCCCTCCGCATCATCGTCAAGTGACATGTCTGCTCGTGTGAGGATTGGCGGCCCCCTCGCTATCTTGACGGATGGTGTTTGGCAAAAGGAAAGCATGGTAATGCGATGGGTCGAAAAGAGCTTGGTGGACGCGGTTCGAAAGTGGGCGAGAAATGGGGAAATATCTTCCGTAGATACTAACGTGTTCGTGAGGGAGCTCCCTTGCCCGGAACCTCACAAGACTGGAAGCGCACTCACAAAATTGATGGACCTGATGAAACGGAGATAGCATGGTCGGTGACTTCTTTGTGTATTATCCTAATGATAACTAGAATTTCTTTCCACGGCAGGCTCATGTTTGTGAGGATGTGTCGACTGTCGGTGACCGCAGTAGTTGCTGTACTTATTCTTGTTGGAACCTATTCACGAGCCATGCCTAGGTGACATTTTGTTGCTCCTTACATAGTAATTTTATATTTTTCGTCGAAACGCCCAGTGGATTTGAAACGAATGAGATGAAGTTGTTTTTGGACATACAGAGGTGCTCAAGCAATGTGGAAGATGGTGCTCAGTGCAAATACCGTTGAGCCTCGCTTGCAATGCTTGAATAGGCTTAAAGGATGACAATCCCGGGCGTTTTCATTCAGCATGAGCAGAAGGAAAAATACTATTAGCACGGATTGTCAACACATTTACTGCGAAGGATAATCTACAATATGTACGAAAGACACGACAAATATGTGAATGTGCGGTATACGTAGTTCATTTTAGTAGTGACCGGAAGAGTGCAAAAGGATGGTATTAGCGGCGACATATTTAAAGCCCCGAACCTTTTTTGATGGAGTCAAGGAGCATATCGTTGTAATCACCAGCAGCTTCCCACATTGTGAAACCGCGTAGCCCAGTCTCCTTAATAAACTTGCCCTTGGCAGCGAGCGACTTGGGATTGTCGAAGGAGATCATAACTTGCGAGGTCTCATTGTATACATATGGCTGTAAAGCAGTGAAATAAGCACTCCTACAATATACAATCAGGATGGAAATCTCTCTTACAGTCTGACTGCATTCGTCATATCTGTAGTGGATGCCATGAGCAGGCTTGCCTTCTTCGGTAAGGAAGCCATTGTCAATGAGACCCCAAAATCTAAAAGTGCCACCTGGACCCTGTTTCACCCCACAAACATCGACACTACTGGTGTCATCCCAAACGTCACCCAAGGGCTGCTTAGAGGCCTCGAAAGCGGGGTATGCAGCCAGCTTCTTTGTGCCAGACTTGAAGGCGGCAGAGGGAGTGACGCTGAATGAATGGCCGTAGGAAGCAACTCCGAGCACAATCTGGTTGACCGGCATGCCCGCGGCAGTCCAAGCCTTGATTGCAGAAACGGCCGAGCCTTGTTGGTTCGCGGGCGAGGCGCAGGTGTCGTTCAACGGTGCGTTTGGCCCCACATCCGAAGACCAAGAACCCCAAACGTCGTAGTTCATCAAGGTGATGTAATCGAAGACCTTCGCAAAACCGGAAACGTCGGCAGAGGGATTTCCGCTAGCATCTGTGAAGGGTGCGAGAGATACGGCAGCCGAAAGGGTCAGATTTGCCCCCACTGGGTTTTGGCGAAACTCCTGGAGGAATTTTAGGAAATTGGCCGTGTCATTGACGCTAATGGTGTTGCAACCAGCACCCTGCCTGCCGGGGTACTCCCAGCTGCCAGAAATCAAGGACAGCTGAAGTTAGCGCATGAGTTTACAGCCACAAGGATCGACTGACTCGAACTGAATGCCATCAACGTTGTACTCATAAGCAAAATTTGCCACAGTCTTCACAAACGCCGTCCGGTTTTCAGATGTGGCAATGCTAGAAGAGAACCAAACACTCCCAAGCCAGCCTCCGACAGCAATATGGGCTGCAACACCCTGCACGTGCCCTAAACATCAACTTGGAGAAGCGGTAGATTCTCCTTTGCTTACATTTGCATGGGCGTCGGAAACGAACTGAGGAAGCAGATCGCCATTAGAGCCGTCCAGGCTCAAACTGTCCACGTTTGAAGTGGGGATTCTGGGAGACATTATGTCGTTAATAATCCAACCAAAGCGATCTGCGTGTAAGGCAACACAGGCAACTTACGCAAATGAGTAGTACACTGTATTGTACTTTCCCCAGCTGACTGAAGATAGGGGGAACCCTTCAGTAGCGTGCCAGCCGGCATACCAAGTTCCCACGACGGGTGAGGTGGAGCGGGCGATGGGTGTGCTCGCGCTTACAACGGACAAAGCAAGAAAAGGTACAGCGAAGATGGACAGCATGGCTGTAGAACTGGAGAAACCGATGGATGTTGGGATGGTAGAAACAACTTCTTATACTTCCTCCGGCGTTGTCCTGGGTGAAATCAAAATGGATTTTCCTGCCGCGTACGGGGTAAAATCCTTTGCAGTACGGAGTTTAAGACTGGCACCAACTGACCTTCCATATTATGGCAAATAAACCGGTCATCGCAGTTTAGTCTCCCTGTGGTTGCTCGAGAGTATGCGATGAGAAGATAGCAATTTGGGTGATCTATCACGCGCGGAAATTACAGCAAGAAAGTGCCAGCCAGCTTTTGAGTGGCATCATTGCACCATCCGCATTCAACCTCAGTGGAAACCTACAGGGCAGATGGTGGTCAGAAATTAGGATTATACACGCGCATGAAACCCTGCCAACTGACGTGATTTCGAAAGCAAATCGCTCAGAAAGGAGATACTCCGTTCAGCGGTTGGAGAATCGAAATGCTCATCACCTTGGAAGTGAGTCGCTGGTCAAGGCTCGGCCTATAGAGAGTCATAAAATTTTGTAAGCTGAAGCCCCATCATATAAACACAAAGCCAGTTGGACCTGATTCACGAGGTCAGCGAGGGAGACTAGGACTGGCGCTTGCGAATCATTTTCACCTTGTGATATCATATTATCATATACACAGTAAGTACTTCTCGCGTCACTGATGTCGACCACGCGATGAATGTTGACGTCAATGTCACGAAAAGTACTAGCATTATGTGGTCGAAAGTATAAATCATTGCTAGTGTTCGGAATCCGTAGCCTCGGGCTTGGAAGTATCCGCCAGGGTGCTACATAGCACACAGGCCCGCATGCTACCTGCAGGTTCTCTGAAAATTAGAGCCCGACATGTGTGAAGGTTACCCAGGTGCCCACCAATGCAAGCTCGATCGCTGACTATGCCACAGCGGATATAGGTCCCCGAGCTCCTGAGCGAGATGTCGTGCGCATGATGCTTACGTGACATAGCGACTGTCTGACGGGACGGTAAGCGGCTCGAGTCACCAAACGCCGCCGCAAGTAGTAGCAATCCGATTGTCGCGTTTGAGGACCTGACCGACGGTTGGAAGACGGGGCTACAGGAGGATGGATGACTAATACAAAGTATCACGGAGCAAAACGTAACACATAATGACCAGCTGAGGATGGTTGGTAGGAAATTTGCCAGGTACCGGAATGTGGGTCCGTTTTTCTCTGTCGGGTGAACTCAAAGGAGCCGTCATGAAGTCAATAGACTCATCTGAATCATGATTCATGCCAGCCGCATCCAGGGAGGCAGGGACGAAAAATTGTAAATTGGCGGTCAGCCGCCGGTCTGTCGCATAGTCAACCGGATGGAATCGTTACCAGTTACTGTTAAGTAGATGGCGAGGTAGACTCGGAGCTGAAACGAATTTATATCAGCGGAAAAAATCACGATGGATCACAAATGATTCACTGTCTTCTTTTACCCTCGGGCTGCTTCCACATAGTGACATGTCGCCATTTGACACCTTATCATTCTGAATTATTCCAGAGCAGCCCACTGCAGCCATATCAGATTGCTCGTCTCAAAGGAAAGCTACAACTGAGCAGAGGGATCTAGAATGATACTCAAACGGATCTATATTATATTTAGGAACTCACTTGAATCTCGCATGTTTATCCATGCCACAATCTTCACATCCACTCGATTATTTCCGTCGATGACCACACTTCCTCAATCGACAGAGACAGAGGGTAAATTCGCGTTCAACAAATATTGAGGACGCGTTTGCAGTTTCAAGCCGGAGTTGCCGGCGTCGAACCAAACAAGGGACAAATATGGCATAAGTCAGCTTGCCGAGATTTGGATTTCAGTCATATTCAAGAAACGGTGTAGCGTTGGGACACGCGACCTTGATGCTTAACTTGTGATAGAATATGCTGCTGGGCATCTACGTGTCCAATTGCCGAGTTCGAGTCCCGAGTATCACTGGCAGGGTGCTGGCGTCTTGCCATAATAATGTCCGACCACTAGCGCTTTCGTCACAGACTCGAGACATACTCTCCAGGAGACGAATACATCCCTTGTCTATTCAGACCTCGCGTTTCTATGCAACTGAGACACCTTCCAAGAAGACCTCTGGGCTTACGAGGTTCCTGCCATCCGCCCTGCAGCCTGCACCGGGAAGTAGCTCCTCATTCCGGAAGATCGTTGCACTGGCTGCACAGGAGAAAAAGCCTCTGCTGCTTGCGGTGGGCCTGCTGCTGGTGTCCTCTTCAGTAGCGATGAGCGTTCCGTTTACAATCGGAAAATTGATAGATTTTTTCTCTTCCTCAAACCCGGTGAGTGAATTCATAGTGAGGGTGCGAGCGTGGTTGACTCATTACGTGCATAGGAAATACCGTTCGGTTTGTCAGTTGGGCAAGCCTCGGCGGCCCTTCTGATATTGTTCACGACGGGAGCAACGTGCAATGCAGCAAGGTCGTTCCTCATGCGAATGTCGGGCCAACGAATTGTTGCGCGGTTGAGGGAGCGGTCGTATGCTGCAGCACTGAGACAAGAAGTCGAATTTGTGGAGAGGGGTGAGGGTGATGTTTTGAGCAGACTGACCGCGGATTCGAGTATTGTCGGAGAGAGGTAAGGTCTCGCAGTGCCGCATCCAAGAAAGTTCCATTGAAATGTTGACATACGCAGTGTCACACAGAATCTCTCAGATGGACTGCGAGCCATCGTAATGTCATCTGTTGGCCGTAAGTGCCATAAACACAGACGTGCTCTCGTTACTCATGAATGGGCATATGCTCTTCAGTTGGTGCCATGTTCTACTTGTCCCCTACGTTAACTGTGATGATGTTGGGAATTGTTCCCCCAGTCTCTCTCGGTGCTGTGAGTAGAACTTCACTTTATTGCAACAAAATCTCAGCGCTTGCAGGTATTTTACGGCCGCTACCTGAAAAGGCTGTCGAACCAGACGCAAGAAGCGATGGGTGAATTGACCAAGGTCAGCTTTAGCTCCTCTTTCCCTTGTTTCGCACACGCCTTTTATCATGCGCCAGGTTGCACAAGAGTCGCTCTCGGCTCTACGGACAGTTCAAGCATTCAATGCACGCGATCAAGAGGAAGCGAAGTTCCACGACCGGGTGACACACGTCCTTGGGCTAGCTCGGAAGGAGGCGGTCGCATCAGGAATCTTCTTCGGAAGCACTGGTTGGAGCGGAAATGTGACTATGCTTGGTCTTCTTGGATATGGCATGTGTCTCGTTCATGGCTTCCTTCTATCTCGCTGACAATTCCCAATTTTTGTGCAGGGGGAACACTGGTTTCACAGGGTGCGATCACTGTCGGAGACCTGACAAGTCTCCTACTATATACCGTATATGTTGGCTCGGGTCTGCAAATGCTGACGTGAGTGCTCGTCCACATATTATATGCTCACTACAACACAGCCTTTGCGCAGCTCATTTTTCGTAGGTCTTCGATGCTCTAACGCTCTCCGTTAAACTGAGCGATATTAGTCGTCCATTATGCGTGGGATTGGTGCGGGCTCGCGCATATTCGAGCTACTCGACCGCACGCCAGCGATTCCGCCGCGAGGGGGCATTGAGGTCGACGCTTCACGCTATGGGACAGTGAGATTCGAGAACATCGGATTTGAGTATCCCAGTCGGAAGGGCGTGCAAATCCTCGATGATTTCAATCTCGAGGTCGGCGTCGGAGAGAGCGTGGCAATTGTGTAAGTCGTGCGGACTGGTAGTTGTTGGTGCTGCTGACCTGGAGTATGTAGGGGGAAGAGCGGTGGTGGCAAGTCGTCCATACAATCGTTGCTTCTGCGGTACTACGATCCTGTTCGTGGGAAAGTGACCTTTGATGGCCAGGGTGGGTAGTACCTATCTCACTTCTTATGATGCATTAACGTGACCGGATAGATATCCGTGAATTCAACCCTTCATCATGGCGCAGCATAATCGGTATCGTTCCCCAGGCAAGTGCTCACCTCTGCGTCTATATCTGCTCTCGTGACAACAGCCGCCCAGGATCCGGTCCTCTTCACAGGAACCATCGCGTCGAACATTGCCTTCGGATGCAAGGACGCTACGCGGGAAGATATCGAAGCTGCTGCACGCGAGGCAAACTGTGAGTTCATCTTGGGGATGCCGAAGGGGCTCGACACCGAAAGTTTGTGCCGCTTTCTTCCTGCTTGGTGTGAATTTTTTGACGATTTTTTTGTACAGTTGGCCGTCTGAGCTTGAGCGGTGGACAAAGGCAGCGCCTGGCGATTGCCCGTGCGCTGCTGAAAAAGCCCAAGATTTTGGCGCTCGATGAAGCGACCAGCTCGCTCGATGCTGCGTCGGAACATAGGGTAAAATACTATACATCCTGCTTCAGCAATCTCCTTGTTCTAATAGGGCTTCTTCAGGTCAACGACGCCATTGACAAGATCCTGCGAGCACGACATACAACGTGTCTGATCGTTGCACATCGTTTATCCACCATTGCCCGCGCGGAGCGCATCGTCGTGCTCGAAGGTGATGTGTTCTGCCTCTTGTTTATCAAAGATTAAACTTACGGGGTGACTGTTTTCAGATGGCCGGATAACAGAGTCGGGGACATATAGACAGCTTGTGAATACGAGTGACTCGAGGTTCCGGGCGCTTATGGCTGCACAACTGAATACGGCTGCTGGGGATGCACCACTACCAATCGCGCCATCCACGAATCTGGATTCTGTGTCATCTGCATCGTTGGGATCTGCATTACCCCCTCCTTAGACCAAAATTTTATATGTAAACAGATATCTATTAGATCTTGCATCAATCACAACCAGTTCACTTCAAAAATGATGCAAGCGCTGCTTGGATGTCAGTCTTATCGTCGCCAAGTATATTTCTGATGTAGATTTTTCAGCGCTTCAATGACAAGTCTGAACAAACGTTCGATGTCTTACAGGTTCCCCTGCGCGCTAATCTGAGATCGTCCCGCTTTTTAAAAGGGTTATTTATGTCTCACAACTGAACATGCGTATGGCTCGTTTCTAAGGAAAACATTAGAGGTGGGATACCCAATGTCCAACATACGAGTCTCTGTTTTCGACAAGAAGCCTTGTCAAGCCAGCGCTTTTCGAATGGTTTCGGAGTCCAGTCTGTTCGGTATAAGGGCTCGGGTAGAAGGTGTATGTTCATTCCGCACCGTCCGCAAGCAAAGTGCGATTAGGATTGAGACGGAGGATCAGAGCTTTTCTATCGAAGATCTGTGGGTAGGATGATTTAAATCCACGGGTATGATGGGATCGGAAATTGTACGTAGTAAAGGACAACCACCTTACGCATGTGCCCCCCAGGCGATGTTATGTCTCTTGCTAGTCCCTCCCTTCAGGTAAGATTTCTCCTGTCATACGTCAAGAAGGGACTAACCGCTGTCTTCTCAGTCAACGAATTCAATACGTGGAGATATGAGAAATGTCGGTGCTTACCCATAGATGTACAATGATTGAAACAAATATTGACGGAAGACTAAATCTGGATTTTGGATGATCAAGGGTATCACTTGGGGCTATAGCGTTACGCCTTGAACATGAAGTCACATGGGAAGGTGCTGTTTAACCTTCAGTCACTGCTGGCGGAGGAAACATGCTTGTCACGACTCAATTGCTCACCGGTAAGCCCCGACCAGAAAGACCCTCGGAAAAACATATTAGCTGTCTTCTTGGCCCCAATTAATGGACCCCGTAACTCCACATAAGTAAGGTATGTTGCGCCGAGCTTGAAACTTTCGGGACTAATAGAACCTCGGCTATGGCGGTCAACCTTGAAACTAGAGTCCTGGACAGGTCGTCATCGACGAGGGAACGTTTTCTGTGGCGTGAGTATCGGTCTAACTCATCAGCCCCGGGTCAGCGAACTGAAGTGGTTTGCACGAGGAAGATTCTGATCTAGACTCCACTGCCAAGGCGTTTCAAGCTTGCGCTGCCTGCGAAATTGGACTCACTGTGATCGCATTCTCCGATAAACGGCGGCCAAGCAACATATTGCCACCTGCCCAGAGGCCGAGCGCTCCGATTCCAGGATCTTATCGTTGTTCACACGAAAGCCCAGTGGGTGGAAGCCAAGTAGAGCCAAGCAAGCCAAGGATGTGACATGCGTGACAGTGGGTCACATTGTCTCCTTGGAACAGTTCATGATGCCGCCTTCACGGCAAGAATGTCTTGCCGTTTTCTTCACTGTTATCTTTCAGCTCAGCTTAGCCATGGCTCAGAACGACAACGACAGTTTTGATCATGACCCTATTCTGGAGTTTAGACCCGCCTTCGTCCAGTCGTTACCAGTTCAGATCCTCTTGACAGGCGTGGTCCTCACGCTTGTCGTCGTTTTGCTTCTTCACCTGCTCTTCACCGCTCAGTATCACTGGCCCTTAGCTCGTGTCAACTATATGCTGCAGCTCACGGGGGTGGTGACTTTGCTTGCTTCCGTCACCGCTACTATCTATGTTGTGTTCTCCTCCAATGTAGAGGAGAGCCAGCACTGGCCATACATGCTGAGCTATCTGGCTGTGGACATGCCAAAGTTTGGCACCAATGTGTCGGTGAATACCACTGATCCTACTGTGGTATATGCGCACCGATGGTCACTTGCCGAAGGCGCCACGTGGACCGTAATGAATGCGACTACATCTATGGTCATACAGGTTAGTGCAAGTGAACGTAGCCCACTCTGATTGTACCAATGCTGTTTTCTAGATTACCCATATTCATTTTTTGACCTTGCTATTTCCCTCAAACCTGGAAGCAAGACTCATTTTTGGCCTACTTGGTGAGTGCGAGCGCAAAGCCCTTGCGATACTAATCTCAATATTGTGTTTGCTTTCGGCTTGTGATCAAGGTCCACTGGCAATCATCTCCGCTGTAATGCAACTGCTCCCGATCATCTATGGGACGAACTCGGTACCACTCGCGGAGGACACCCGGAACGTGTGCAATGCAGCCTTGTCATTGTTGTTCACTTCTGCGCTAATAATTTGGGGCTTTTTTGTTAATCGGGAGGCGGCATGGCGCACCGATGGCGGGACAGCAGCCTTCGGTGCTGGCGCAATCGTTCTCGCTCTCATGTCGACCACGCTCAATTTCATCTACATACCGAGTCAAGATCAGTATGGATGGATGCCAAAACTGATGTGGAGCGTGGTCATGTGGCAAAGTTTCCTTGGATGGTGGTGGTGGGTTGGTTCTGGGATGGGCGTCGGAGAGGTAGAAGAGATGCTAATGAAGGAGGAGAAACGAGAAAGAAAGAGGAAACTGAAAGCACAGAAGAGGAAGGAGCAACGGGAGAAGGCCAGGTCCATGTGGAAGGGTGTCACCGGTGCTTTCACAACGAAACGCAACCACCTTGATAGCCGAGATTCCAGTGAGGGGCACGAAGGACCCGACAACTCTGAATCGCTGAATGTTCTCGCTTCTGGCAATGCTCTGTCGACTGCAGGTTCGATGACAAATGGGTCGTCAGCGGGCATGCTCCCGCTACAAATCGTAAACAGATGGTATGCACGCTTGCGCCATGCACATCTTACCGCTGCAAGATTACAAGCTGTTGAGCGCGTGGAGCGCATACATCAAGTATTTGGCCGTGAAGATGCCCGAAATTCGATGCGGGAACCTGGTGCCCAGGTCGTCGGATGGGGACTGGGGAGTTATGGAATACGGGGCGTAGAGCGGGATCGGAGGGAAGGACAAGGGCTGCAGATAAGGATGGAAGTGGACGACGATATAATTAATCCAGGCGAAACCGAACAACCAGAATTACTGCAGCACGACCAGTCCTTTCGGCGGCGTGGCTACCAACCTGAACCTCAGCCGCCGCAACAGGCTCCACCGGCGCCAGAGGCAGACCTTGGATTTGGATGGACATCATTCTGGTGGTGGGGTCCTCTTCGGCGGTGGCGTTTACGGGACACGACGGCTTACAGGTGAGGAGAGCAGTTTGGTACGAGAGGACGTTAGAGATGCTGTATGATCTGATGCAACGTGTATCTCGTTCGATGTTTGCTGTCGGTATTAATATTTCTTGGACCCACAGCTACACCGTTACACCAGGCACTTGATGTTGAATGTGGACATCCGTAAAAATCTACCCTCAGCACAAACTCCATTCGTGCCGTCAGGGCTATACCATCGCACCTTATTATTGTTCTAACATGCTTCATCGATACCTCGTGTACAATATCGACTTTTTGTAGAATATTTCGGTCCATATCATTCGGTTTGGACTCACATCTTTTTGTATCGATGACTGATCGAAGCTGTCCAGATTATTATAATATCTTTGGTGAAATTCAGGGTGAGCGGTACTTACTGACACTGACCTTCCGAGAAGCAACAAATGACTCGTTTGCACTTCGAGTTCGACACCATGGTTGAACACGCTCCTGCCACGTTTTCCCCGGAGAAAGAGACAAAACCTGTGGTACGCCATTCTCTTGTTGAAGACACTCACATTTAATAAAAGACATGCCTTCCTGCGAGAACACGGTGTGTGCACAACCCTTCGGAAGTCATACATCGAGACGCTGTTCCTCACTTGAAGCAGAACTCACGACTTAAAACGACATATTCGAGATGACGTCCGGAGATCGATGTCTAAGGTGTGTTTTTCATGGCAAGCCAGAAGTAAAAACGCGTCGTACGGTTCTGGACACGCGTTTGAATCGCTGTACATCATATCAGCCACGAGCCTTGGCAATGTGTCTGATAATCAGCTGACGAGTACGACTACGACGACTCCTCGAGGAGAAAAACGTACTATTGGTTTATTTGGGCCTCCCCGCATGATAAATTCCACGACTGATGAACGCAGATAAGGAGGATGCGCATGCCTATAAATTGCTGGACTCATAGCACCTCAGTACTGCAGACCGGCCCACTACCTAAAACTGTACCATGGTTCATCACACCACTCGCGACTCTAGAGAGAGTGAGTTCTATCTACTGCCACTTCCCGTACTACATTTAATCGTATTTTTGTTTCTCCCAACTTCAAGGATCCGGATTCATGAGGCGGCCTTCGCAGGCCGCCATAGACAACCTCTGCAACCATCGGCTCCCCGCACGCTATCTTCATGCAGGGTTGAAAATGAACAACTTAATATGCTGTCGGTCACAGGTGAGCGTCCGTCAAATCCTGAAACTATGTATTGCAGACTGATCGGCCCTCAAAGCGAAGAGTTAGAGACCTAGCTCTTCGTCATATTGATTTTTCGATACCGTATCGGAGGCAGACTGAATCACGAATAGAGTTCTTTAAGCGAGAGGTAATAGTTGTTGTCGTTGTGTTGATTTTTTGCACAGAATTTCTTAGTATGTCTGAGGCTGAAACACAGTTGTAGGTCCTACTCGATGTTGAACTGTCGCACCTGGTGTGTTATGAAGATGGTTGGGTAGTTGAAGTATTCCTTCGGATTTTGTACCACCGGCCGAGAGTGATGAGGAGTCTTCAGGTGATTCAAAACTACATGATTGCTACCAGATTATGCTGATTTACGACCAGCAACTAGACTTTGAGCTTCGGGTTGCAAAGGTTCTCCCCTATTTCTCTGGCAATCACAATCTGAGTCGATCTAACACATATCTTTTAGGATGTCCGTCCATCGACTGTTTACTCTGAAAGCGAAGATACTCAGTCTGAGGATGCAAAGGTTTATACCATTTCACTAAGAATTATGCGAGTCTGACTCACATACAGCCTGACTGTCAGCGTCACATGCCTTCCACTGTTTGCACTGACAGCGCTACTCAGCCTGAGGATGTACAGGTTTCTCTCCTTCCAATCAGAATTCTGCTCCGAGTCAATCTAATACATATATTTTAGGATGTCCGTCCATGCCAAAGGTCACTGTCTGTCCGCTCTGACGATCAGGCCACTCAGGCTGAGGATCCTCAGTTGAACGCAGTTCAAAATGGTGATGCCCGAAACGCCTCGTCACGACCAGAGTTTTTGTCAACCCTCTTAGCTTCAATGCCATCATGGAGATTCTGGAACAGTTAAGAAATAGCACTCTAGTTGATACTCATACAACACCATAGTGATGATTACGAACATGTATCCGACAATTGACTATCATCAGCTCACGCGACGAACCAAATGGTTTAATTTCGAGATTCGGAGGTTCTGCGCCTTGACTGACATTCGAGCATGCCATGTTCAGCTACGTGAATTTCCACCCACGGACGTTCTTCGTTGGCTTGAGATCGCTGGCGGTGCTAATGTTAAATGCAACTGAGATGTCTTCTCGGTTGCTACTACCAGTCTTAGACTAGAATTCGTCGCGCAAGTCTGTAAGGGCCGAAGTGATTAGCTTTCCAGATGTGAAGCGGAGACGGCATTCTTGATGACGAAGGAGTCTTGTACAGAAGTCGAACACAGACGGCCTAGAAATCGAGATAAAACAGTGCGAAACGTGCTGCGCGCTGCGACAGATTTGCTCACATCGCCATCTCCCCCAATTTTGCCTGCGGTCAAAATCGAGGAACGAGTCAAATGAAGCCGTAGTACAACAAATTAGCACGTTGAAGGCCTGTGCGAAACTTCTTCAATGCAGCCACACCATCTTCGATCTCTTGCCTCACTGTGTCGAACCAGTCGTTTTCCCGAATTTCCGTGACGTCAATATGAGCCCTCTCAGCCCGCCGAAAATTCTTCCTCAAGTCTTTCACCATCGATGCGTCTCTTTTCTGAAGTCTCGCTTGTCAAACCCATGACAATGCTCGGGGTCAATGACATCTTCATTGATACAGCTGACTGTCGACCAGCCCATGCTAGAGAGGATCTCCTCGAGTTTGTCGTCAACACAGCAGTATACGCATCTCATCCCTTTGTTCTCTGCAAAGCTAACAAAAGCTTGTGTAGTGGGCTCGAGAGCCTTCAGAGCCTTCGGGTCAGATACCATAGGGTACCCCAGGCGAATACCCAGGAGTTCGAGTGGAGATGACCTTGGACAGCCTGCGTGATTTATGGGTGGTTTCAAGTTGAAAGCGTGAATGCTGTCCATGATTGATATAAGAGTTCTCGGAGCCTTGACAGGAAAGGGTCTCGTGACGACGACGCATTTGCGACCAGTACACCAGCCACATAATATGGTAAACGCCCGATTGGAGTCCTGTCGATTCCCTAGGCAGACAAAAACAGAAGCTTAGAACGTTTGAACATGTCGTTCTTCAACGTGAATCATGATCCCAAAATGGAAAACTGTGTGTGAGCGCCTCGCCGGGTGTGAACTCGAGTTGCAGTTGTGGCGCTCACACGTATGTGCGAATTGACCGGTCACCACCTAGTAGTACTAGTACTGGATGTTGCTGGGTTCAGCCCAGCAACTTCACTGCTGCTACATCTCAGAAACTCTCAGCAACTCACTTCTCCAGGTGTAATGTTCTGATCGCCACTGATAATGTTTGTTCTTTATTCTGGTGCTGGGGTGAACTCCTGGGCTAATTTGGACCACTCACGGACTCTCCTGAAGCACGCGAGACCTTGCGAGTATGATGTAGCACGGCAGCTATATATATGTCTTTCTCGCCTGCGGCTCCCAAGCTGGCACGCGAGGCAATATATAGCGTTCTGAGGCTTTCATCCATCCTTCCCAACCCAGTCGTTGGTCACACCGAGCATGGAGGACGTCCTACAGTGGTTGCGTGGCCATCTAGTCAAGTCACCAAAACTTCCCCGGCTACTGCAAGGGTACACTATCGTCCGTCTGACCTCCTTCACATTGTTTCTCACTGCATTCCTCCTCTTTCTCTTGGTCGGTCTCTCTTTGCCAATTATCAAGTCAATTATAATCATCAAAGTATCAGCAATAAATTCTGTTGACCCCGTCTTGAATGCAATCACAGAACTGCAATTTGGAGTGTGGGGTGTCTGTGCATCAAGGTAGAGCGTCTGCTTTGACCAAATTTCACCGCTTTCCTCATCCGTCACCTTTCAGTATACTTGACGGTATCGGAGCACAAGAAGCATGTTATGGTCCGCAGCTGGGATATACTATCCCTACAAGCCTTTTGTCTCTCGTTGGGCTCTCCTCCGAGTTCGCAAATATTGCAGAGACGACCCTCCTGACTATGCTTGTGCTGCATCTTGTCACTGCAGCACTCTCGACCGTCTCTTTTGTGTTGTCTTTCTTTCTTCCCTCCCGCTTAATCACAATAATCGCACTCGTTATCGCCATCATCACATCAGTTATTTCGACGGTTGTCTTTGCTGCGGATGTCGCCCTCGTTGTCGGTGTCAAAGACAACATCGACTCCCTTTTCCCTGGAGCCGACTTCGCTGTAAGCTTTGGCAATGGCGTGTGGATGACATTAGCTGCGATGGTTTTGACTTGGATAGCGGTTATCATGCTTTCAGCACAGCTATATCACTGCTGTGGAGCGATACGGTAGGTTTGCAAGAACTTCTATGCGACGCCATGAATCTGATTTGCCGATTAGCCCCAAACCCAAGGCGTCCAGATCAGGCGTATCTGAAAAAGATAGTATGGAGAAGGTCTTGGTCTAAAATGGACAACCCTGCCCCGTGTCTTTATGTTCGACCAGTTATGAATATAATGTTTGACGACCGCAATGATGGGTTCAGGGATCGTGCCGCAGCAGCATCTTAATACAGCATTGGTCTAAACTTTTCCCCTATCAAGAACTCACGGCGCCGGTGAAAGTTGGGCTATTTATTACTTCTCAACTTGGTCTCAGAACGGAGCGCAAGCCGGGTGTAATGTAAAGCGGGATTTTCAATGAAAGCATATTATACAAGCAAAAACCTCGAGAGCGAAAGAGTATGACTTTGGGACGGCTGTCAATGGGAACTAATTCATTTCGCCTAGCTTGAAATTTAGCGCTTGGATTTCGAGAGCGCTCATCCTCCCCATCAATTCTCTCTCGAAAAATTCTTTCCTCAGCGCAGGAGGCCATGACTTCACAACAACGAGATCCGCCTCATTGCTGATTCCTAGTCCTTCGAACGCGGGGACAAGGTGAGTTAAGTCGGGGTTGACCGCCTTTAAAAAAGATGCAATATCGGAATCCTCAGTTGTACCGGGGTGTGCGAAGTCGTGCTCTTCGTAGGGTGGTGGTGGACCTACGGGAGCGGGTGGCATGCTCATTTCACGCTAACGCACAAAAGAGTGAGCGGGGATATTCGTCGGTAGCATACGCGCAGAAAATTTACCTCTGAGGCAGCACTCTTAACGCGAACGGTTTTGGGGGCGGGTCTCCTCGACATCTGGCTTCTGAATGCGTGGCGCTTGGCATACGTTTTTTTCGATAAGTAATGCTCTATGTAGAGCTCGACAGGCCATGCATCAGCATACCCGGAAAGAAAGGGTGCCAATTCCTTGCGAGCCTGAGGAGATATTAGATGATAGTACATATGACTCGTTGTTCAAGCAAATCACGACTTACCCAGTCCAAATAGATTGCCCAGATATCCGGGATCTGCTCGTGTAAGTACCTCTCGCAATCTAGAATCATGACGGCCTGATCGCGAAGGACCTTCTGTTATCGCAAATCAGTGGGGTAAGATAGATGAGTTATTAGATTTTACCTTAAAGTCCTCGAAGGCCGGTTGGGTTGTTTCCATTGCGCGGATGATGTTTTCTTGGGGTCCGGACACCAGCTTTCGAAATTCCGCCGGCGTCGGTCGTGGTACGAGCTGGCCATCATCGTGACATTGCGTCCTGGACGCACTGCCAGTGGGAGCCGGTTTCATTCCCGTCGAGACCACTTGCGAAGATCGTATTAGCAGAGGAGGGGAAGTAAAAAAGAGTGTCACTCACTGACTTTCGATGATGAGTTGAAAGGAGGGCAGAGATAGTAGTTATGATGGAAAGATGCTCGTGGACAATCCCACTGGATCATTCCAGCAACCTCGCCTTTTTCCGAGCGAGATATACCGAGAGAACGGGGTGATACACATGCAGGCAGTCACAGATTGTGACTTGGGCGCTGTGCCTTCGTCCCGATCGTGTGAGCCTGCAGTGCTCATCGCGTTCATTTAAAGGTCAGTCAGTTTAATCGAAAAGAAACTGTCGTTCTTCGACAGTATCTGCTAGGCACGGAGTGAGTCTTGACCAAAAGCCATAGCGCTGGATTTAATTTCAAGCTCACGTTCAATCGCGGTCGAGCAACACCGAGATCGACGACAGATATTAAGAGCAACTGCCAACGACGATGCACCGAGGGTACAGCTCCAGTATTAGCGACTTGCAGGGCGACTTGCACGGTGAGTTCGATTCTTGGATTTTGGGAGGCTATCTCTTCACCATTTTTACTCCGGCTTGGTCTCAAGTTTGCTCCAGACTACAGAACTGGGCCGCCGCATCTCGGTTCTAGAGGGTCCCTGGCAGTGGCGTAGTCAAACTCCCGATATTCAATGGTGAACATCAATGCACCGCATTGGCAACGCCTGCTCGGGAAGTACTAGCATCTTGATACCGGGAGTAGGAGCATGAATCTAGGACAACGTTAGATCGACGAACCCTGTGCGCGCCTCAAAACGCAAATCGCGGTGATTGATAGCGGCGGTGAAAGGGTTGGCGGCTTCTTCGCGATATGCGCCGCCCAAGGCTTTGATTCCAAGTTGAACGTGTGAGAAGACGGGAAATAGCAGGATCATGATCTGCTTGTGCAAGTATCATCTGTCACACAGATGCTCGTAAGTATTAACCTACGAAATAGCATATATGCAGGGAAGGGTACCTTGGACGCGCAAGTGAAGACGCTCACTGACACTTTCACGTAGGGATGAACCTGCGCACGAATACGGATCATCGATCAGTCAATCTAGCTGTGCGAATTGACGCCGTGCCGATAATGGCTCAACTGCATGCCAGTGATGGAAGTAAATGTTTCGCATAGGTTTCGCATCAGAGTTGCACGTCTGCTTTGCAAGGTGGGCTCGTAATCTGACATGGTTAACTTCTTTCGCTAGAGCTCCGTACGTGGTAGCTTTGCTGCTGTTCTTACTTCGATACCGCTTTTTGTCTCCACAGTTCTTGGCGGTACGCCCATGTATCACTAACATCTGCATGAACTAATCACAAAAATTTGCATGACCGATAGAATTTGACGAATACCATCATAAATCTAAGTTCCCATAGCAAGCGCCGAGTCCTATAGAAGTGCTGGGACCACGCCTCATCCTTAGCGTTCGACGAAATCACGCCAAGCTCGTAGAAAACTTCGATGCAGGAGCAGATATGATTTTAATGGCTTTCCAGGAGCGTCCACATTTGCCAACTGAATGTGGTGTGTGGTAGTTGCAATAGAAATTCTCCCAGGGTCAGCACTAGATGGAGCACAAGCGTCCCGCGAGTGCGTACTTCAAATATTTACATAAAAAGTCGGTTTCTAATTTACACTTCAATTCTTCGAATTCGTCCCTCGCAATTAAATTCCTTCAGTCCTTCAATTGAAAACTGATGCTGAACACTGATACTCGCTAGTTTATCATGCAGTTCCTTTCACTTATATATGTCGTAGAGTCAGTCGTTCAATCGAAGACTGAAATTGATTTTGTTGATAATTTCGCCAGTGTGTCGTTTTTGATGAGAAAACAAATATTTCGCACATGGGTTCTTGTGCCAATGATACATCAGTAGAGCCCTATCAATGTCTCTTGTCCGTGTCATTACATGCTAGTATGAGAAACAGCACTGACGTATCAACTGTACTCAGTATAATATATCACATCCATAAGGTCCGACCTGGAAGTTGCTTCGTAACGATATACCCTCATGATACTACCAGAACGCCTCCAGCTAGCAATATAGCTCCGAGCACAAATGAATTTGGGCTCGATGCAGACGTCATAGCAAAATTCGTATTCTGTCAGGTACACAGATCAGAAGACGCATGCAGCATGTTCAAGAGTAAAGATTACCAGTTGTTGCGAGCTGTTAGCAGCCTGGCAGCCGTGAACGCAATTTAAGTTCAGATTGCTTGTGATGAGCGATGCAAGGTCAGGATCTATTGGTGATGCTGCGGCTGTTGGGAAAGTCAAGCGCTGCAAGACACGGGGCTGGAGAGAATATGCTCACCCAGTGCAGAGATAGCAAAGAGGACGACCCAGAAGGACGTAATGCGGAGGGTCACTGAGGACATATTGGTTGGGTATAAGATGGATTGAGGTATATGGGATGAGGTATCAAGTTGAAGAGGGAATGACGCTTAATGAATGGACGAGATGGAGGCCTAGTCAATAAGCCGGGAGGTGCGAGGGGAGAGGGAATGGCCAAACCATGAATCGGCCAGGCGCTTCTTATGCAAAAGCGCTAACCAAGAGAGGCTGTTACCTTCATCCGAAAATAGCAGGTTCGCGATCGATGTGAACGCGTAAGGGTCACGTGCATTGAGGTTTCTTGTATTTCTTTATATTAAAGGAGACAATGTCGCGATGAGGCAGTCCCAAAAATCAAAAGGAAATGGTTTGGTAGTTATACAACATTATGCGGCACTGGTACATTGTTGGTCGTCGCATAATAAAAGGGGCTGAATGCTTGACGACATCTTCTGAAGAGTCTATCATCATGTAGATCCTCAAGACGACTACTTCGTTGCGCAGCCGCATGATTGATTGGTACAGTTGCAGTTGTCACCTGTACCTTTGCACTCGCACTGATGTGATGAGGGCCGTGGAAACCAGAAGCGCGATTAACTACGTACCTGCGAAGCGTGTTGCTTATTGGGACAGTTATCGCAGTCGCAACTGTTCTTGGGGCAAGGACAGCCGGTGCCCGAGGGGCCACATGCGCTGTGGACGTGTTTGAGCCCATAGAGCTTGAAGGTTGAACGAGTAAGCACTCACCCGCAGTTACCGATGCAAGTGCAGTCTTTCGCCATCTTAGTGGATTAGAGCGCGTTGGACAAAGTTTAGGTTTTATTGGTGGTTGGAATGAAGTTCAGTGAAAGATAAAAGATAGACCAAGCACTCTTCTTATACGTAGCATCTCATATGACGTCGAGCCTGACGCTGACTGACGTCGCTGGTGGTGCGGTGCCTTGACTCTGGACTTTTGAGCCCCATCTCACATCAAGGGTCTACCCAGTGACAGAGTTGTGCGTAGTCCAGCTGATCAAATGGCGCACCGACATTTTAAAATTTTCAGCATGAAGAAGTAAAAAGTCTGTAGGTGAAGTCAAAGGGAAGTCTGCGTTGTTAATTCGATAGTTCCCACGACTACTATAGCATCTTCATTTGTGGACGTTGGTATATATAAGTAAGTCTTCCAGCACTTTGCGCGCGGTGAGCAAGTTTGATAACCTTTGATTTCTTGCCTTGGAAACTGCCAAGGTACTATCTCAGTATCGGCCTGGTGAAGTTCATCATCAAGAATTGCGAGGATGAATTCCTACCCGGCTGAGCTCTTGGTCCAGCTCGCCCCAGTAATGTTCGTTGCAGGTCTTGACCTACCACCTGCACCGTCAGCATCCACTCCAAGTACTCCACAATCGCCAGGTCAGGCCCAATCTCCCCCGCCCACACCTACAAAGACTCAGGATCCTTTCGGGAGCCTCGTTGCACGCCTCCGAGACGCCCTCCAGTCGCAGCGCAAAGTCGCGATATGGGCACCAGAGCGCACAAGGGCGTTTCACATGATCCTCGTGGGGAAAGACGTCCGATTCCCTCCTCGCAAGCTCGTTCCGCCAGAGGACCCTGCATATACGTCCGTTCATTCACCACTTTCGCCCATGACGCCTTCGTCACCCTTGTATCCCGACGGCCTGATTGCGCCTATATGGATACGAAAACACACTGCGCTAGTGCCGAGCGTCTTTGTTCAATTCCTAAGATTGTTTGAGTCACCCGTGGTCCATGCCCGATCTCCGTTGGACCCGCCAGACCCAGAACATGAACGCGATAAAGCAGAAGAGGAACGAAGAAGAGATATTGAACTCAGTGCTGAGGTTGCAGCCCGAAAGAAGACGACCAATGAACGCGGTATCAAATTGACTGTCGTGCTGCTTGCAACCAGGAGGATGCTCGGTACATTGTCCATTTGTTACATTTAAAACGAGTCTCTAACTGTGTATTAGACGACCCGTCACTGGATAGCCGTCTCACCTTCATCAGAAGACAGAGCGGGCTTGACTCCCGTGCAGCCTTGTTTGTCCTCAGTCCAGTTAGCACATCTGAATTGAACGATTTTGCGCGCAGGTAAGGGCACCCTGATTTTTTTCTACGGTTGCGCCACATGATGTCGTAGTTTACAAGACGCCCTGTACGAACCTGCGCTCGAATACTACACCTCACACTCCAAGCGTGTCAGGCGGAAGCGCAATCGGCACTCTCAATCTGTTTCATCCTACAACCCCCCTCCTCTTGCTTCCATGGGTGCCGCGAGCACCCGCCCACTGCGCCCAGAAGGGTGGACCGTGCGGTATGAATACAAGATGGCATGTTTTGCAGAGTTCAGGGGTGAAGACGAGGTTGCGCTCAAGTCCGTCACGTTCATCGTTTTCAAAGAGATCGTAATACTAAGTTTCTCAGACACTATCAAGATGCGTACGCGACACTCATGATTATGTTCGGATCGACTGCTATCCTGCCCCCTCGAACCAAGCGCTGGGCAGAGGCCAAGGTCCTCGCAGACGCCATAAACGTGAAGGTACGATTGCATGCGCCTTGTAGGATTACTCCTACAGCTAAACCAACAGATAACCAAACTTTACCTGTACAATCACGAACACTCGCTTGCACTTTCGCATCACAACTCCCACATGCGCCGGTTCGCAGATTTTTCACGGGGATGGGGTATAGGCGAGGAGACATTTGAGTATTGGAGTTGGATGGCGAGACAGTACGGCCCTTATATCCAAATACGTCCAACGAATTTCTTATTGTGTCTTCCAGACACCGTGTCCTCGCAGAGCTTCTAGAACAAGGATCAAACTCTTCGCTGACGTTCCCCACAAATTCACCTCATTCGCTCACGGCTGGTATGTCATCGACAAGCACGCCCGTGGAGCTAGACACTGTTCGAGCCCTCGGGTTGAATCCTAGCCACGCCTTGCAGCATCCAGGCCATTACTACTTCATGGCCGCCCGATGCACGGAAGCACGCAGGGATAGGTTCTTGGCCAACGAGGTATATTTGGTGCTTTGGTCCATCAATTATATCTCATCTTTGGAAGGGTATCTCACAAGGGACAAGTGGGGCCCCAGGGTACGCAAACGAGAAGAAAGTTGACCATCTGACGTTGATTCTCGAGGTTTGTGCTTTGTTTCTGTGAGACAACTTAATGGTGCTGATGTTTTCTTTTGTCTCAGCTGTACACTAAATCCTACGAGATGTTCAAGAAGTATAGCTCCACCACGAGTCAAGGACGCTTGACGCTCTGGATCGCTTACCGCATCGCGCATACGTACTACGAGTCTGAAAAATTCGATGTCGCAATACGGTATGCGTTTTCATATTTATCGTGCGAGAAACAAACTAGATGGTGGCGTGTAGATTCTTCGAGCGGATAGCAAAGACGTACCGAAGGGAAAAGTGGAAAAATATGCTCAGACCGCTTTTGTCGACGTGGTATGCCTGCGCGCAGAAGCTCAGCGACGTGGAACTTATGGTGACACTCCTCGTGGAGATGATTGGGTATGGTAAGTAACATATACTGTTTTGAAGGCGCTCGTACGGTATGATGATGTTTTTCAGCGCAAGATGTTGATGAGTCGAGAACTCTACAGGAGGACCTATTGGCGGTACTTGAGGTGAGGCACCCTGCCTTGTCTTTGAGCCGATTAAAATTGAGCCGCTTCATGTAGAGTTCAGTTCCTGTATCAACGGGGAACTCACTCGTTGTTGACCTCAAAGAGTCTGATCCGTTATGTGAGCTCGTGGAAGCTTGTTCTCCCTGTAATTTTTACTGAATTGGCATGAAGTGGACACTATGCTGGTGTTTTGGACGCCCGAAGTGCGCGTTGGCGAAGAGGCCGGATTCCAACTGTCACTTGCTACGCCAACGAACATAGATCTCTCCGCTCTTCCGATAGACTCCGTGATCATTACATTCTCCAATGGTTATTATCCTGTGATACTCCGACATTCGCCCCCCACGGATGGCCAAGTGGCAGATACGGTTGTCCGACTGGTGAAAATCGGAAAGGTAGTGCCAGAAGACGAAGACGAAGAACCAGAGGAAATTTGCGCTGACCTTCGGTGGAAGCCAGGTGAAAGACTCGTGGTCTCCGGGAGTATATCTTCTGAAGCTCCTGGACCGCTTACCGTGGGTGCTATCTTGGCAAAGTGTGACAGACTGTTGACTCGTCTATAGGTCGTGAGCATCACTGTGGTACTTGCACAAAACGGCTGGAACATCGAAATACCACATGAGCCATGCATCTCTCATGAGATATCTACACTCGTGCCGCGCTGGTTGACTTCACTTCAACCCATCCAGTTCCTTCAACTTGGGAGAAGCGATTGCTCTAGTGTTATGTAAGTTGTTCCTGATAACCACAATAGATGTCGTGAACAAACTTGTTTATTTAGTGTTCGACATCGCCCTCATGAGCTCGCTGTCTCGTTATCTCATCAGGCACCGGCACTAGTCGATGAAGAATATCCCATCGTCATCGATATCACAAATGTTGATGAAAGGCATCTAGATGTTGTTGTTGACGTCTTGTTGCAGCCGACGGAAGTGGATCAAGGAGGTTTGATATTTCAACTTCTTACTGGTGTGCAATTCTTATATCCCATTTTGAACAGCTCAATACATCATATTCGACGACCAGCGTTCATCCGGATTGATCAAAGGCATCCGACTCGGCACCATCGCCCCGGGCGTGTCAGCTACCAAGACTCTTTACCTCGTGGGCAGCGGTGCTCCCGGCGATCGCATGTTAGACATCTCTATTCAATCCACTTCAATACAGCCCGTGTCCATGAGTAAAGGCGATGACGATGCAGAACCCCGCAACTCGAGCTCCTTGGGTGCACACGCGACGGTCGATTCCTGCGAGAAGTTGCAAACCATCGTTATTCCGACGTCGGGAGCCCTGGCGGTCACGTATGACGTGGCGTACAGCAGAAGCAAAAACGCTATTCCTGCTTTGGCGGATCTGTCCACTGTTGAAGACGACTTTTGGGATGACTCATATGGCGGGGGTGGTTGTGGTGACGACGAGAATAGAGTGTTCGGCTCCTTGTGGCTTGGTGATTGAGAGCTTGAAGTTGCATCGCCAGGTGAGTTGGAATGAACTTTGGCAGCACTACTTTAGCAATTAATACCCTAAACAAGGACAATCCGCTTGCAAAGGTGCTCGACTGCTCGTCGGATGAAAGTAGCGATGACATGTTTCCAGGTGGTGAGTTTCTCTTCTTACTACATGATTTGGCTAGATGAATGTGCCAGAATACCTGCCTGGCGACGAGCTCTATAACGTAAGCAGAGTATCACTCAACCCACGGGAGGAGCAGGTTTTGGGCGAAGAGAAAATCACTGGTCCTGGCGAATATGAAGTTGTCTGGCGAAGGTGATTTTGTATAATTGCGAAGTATCGACGACAACGCTTAAATATACACGACAGGATGCTTCCTGAAGGTGGTTGCGGAAGACAGTCGATCACGCGGTTTGCACTTCCGACGCTCATGATTTCGCAGGAAGGGTTAATCGCCCTTCTTGACATCCCTAGCTTTGCAAAGCTCCATGTGTCAACGCCCATACACTTAACAGTCCGCAATCGGCACTCCTCCCGCTCCGCCAATGTCACGGTCAGTCTTGATCTCGATCCATCTGATGCGTTCATCGTGGCTGGCTTGCGGAACGGCCGTCTTCCGATCCTTTTACCGGGTTCTGAGGAGAAGCTCTCGTGGAATTTGATTCCGATCGAATGCGGTCATGTCAAAGTTCCACGTATCAAGGTTATGGACGTGCGGGGCGTTGCTCTGCCTTCGCAAGGTGTTGGCGTGCCAAGTACGGAAATTGAAGTGGAAGGAGAGGCGGTCAAGGTTGTTGATGTGCGTGCCAACTGGAACACTGCAAGCGCACAGGGCGCAGGCGATAGTGCGGTTGCAATTCCTCAGCAAGATGGTGCGAGTACAATACTGGTACTACCATAATCATGATCATGATGGCGATCCACCCAAACCACCTTTCGCGTCGGAATATAAAAGGCAAAGGTGGCTGTGCCGTCGTGAGAGGCGTCACGTCATGTGACGCCAAAAACGCGCAAAGTCAGACTTAAGCTTCATCAGCTGACATCATAGCTTACAGAGTACTTATACCCCCTGAGACGATTATTATGGAGTCGAGGCTAATATTAATCTTGACCTTCGATACGCAGCTCCCCTCATCCAACGACACTTACAATGGGTATACCAGACGAAAACATCCATCCCAACGCAACCGGAAACGCTGCTAAAGTAGTCGCAGAACACCAAGCGAAGCAGGATTTGGTGTTCTACTCGGGATGGGTGAGCTGCTCCACTCTGTCATTCACGTCAAGCGCTCACACGCGGATGTGCATTTCATCCAGTTCTGTCCTTTCAATCAGCGTGTCTGGATTTCCCTCGAGGAAAAGGGCATACCATACCAATACAAGGAGGTCAACCCATACAGAAAAGAGAAGCATTTCCTTGGTACGTTATCAATATCCATCTGACGTCACGTGCTCATCGAGTGCAGATATTAACCCCAAGGGCCTCGTCCCCGCAATCGAGTACCAGGGAAAGGCCCTATACGAGTCGCTCGTTTTATGCGAGTTCCTTGAGGAGGCTTACCCTGACCATAAGCCTCACCTGCTACCTGCCGATCCATTCGAGCGCGCCAACGCGCGCCTGTGGATCGACCACACATCGAAAACGATAATCCCAGCCTGGCACCGTCTTCTCCAGGCACAGAGCAAGGAACAGCAAGACGCCGCACGCCAGGAACTCTACGACGCGCAGAGAAAGCTCGCGCAGCAGGTCAAGGGGCCGTACTTTTCTGGAGAAGAGTTTGGTTTGGTCGATGTCGCTAATGCGCCATGGGTAGCTCGGGAATATATTCTTGCTGAACACAGGGGGTATGACAGAGCGCAAGTCGGCGGCAGTTGGAGCGAGTATGCAGAGCGCTTGGCTACGCGCGAGAGCGTCAGCAAAACCACGAGCGTAAGTGTTTTGAGCTCGAAGTTGTTGGTTTTGCTCACGCCTTGGTGTTTTGGTGTAGGATGAAGACAAGCTTCAGGTTATCTATGATCGGTATCTTCGCGACGAAGCTCAAAGCGAGGTTGCGAAGGCTCTCAGAGCTGGTAGACCTTTACCTTAGTCAGAAACAAGTAGCATTTCCAATGATAAGAGACTGCAGAAAGTGTTATGTATGACAGTTTCGAACTATGAAGGCTGCGAGGCTTACGTCGTTATAGATCAATGGCTGAGAGGTCTACCAATGACTACCATAAGATAGCGTGCGTTTGTGACACACGATGCACATATGGGCCCTGATGTTGATACGATAAGACTATCGTCAAGGTACAAACGAAAACTACTCAGGTATCCCTGGTACATACAACATTTCAAGGATCCTGATGTCTATTACGTTGCCGACCGTGAACCTCAAAAGTTTGCTATGAACTCAACTCCAATGAGTTGAATGGTATCCTCCTGTTTGGATTCTATATTTGGGTATTTTTAGTTGTTGCGATGGTAAGATGTTCGACAGACAGCGAACTCAGTAGTCTAGGCTGCACGACGATCAATTGTGCTTCCTTGCAGCTTCCATGTTTCTGTGTTCTACAGTGTCGTCTTATTGACATGTGAACCAGTAGTAACTGGATGCATGATGGGTGTATGATTGCTGCGAATCCCGTGCATCGTTCGTTTTTACACTGATTCACAGCGATAACTTGCTTCGTGTCTCATTAGACGCCAATGACACGAGACTGTAAGGCGACAGTCAGGCCCAGTGTGCTCCCTTTCGCATACTTGTCAATCATCATGATTGACATGGCTTGCTTGAGCTTATTTCTGGTCGAGATTTTTGCAGCCGCAGACGGTGTCATGGAGGAGCGTCTCAAATACGCCTGCCATATTGCCAAGTTGACAGCACTTCATATTGCTACCTAAATAGTAAGTATACCGATCTTCCTTTTTTTTTTAGTTGGAAATGAAAATGACAACCGTTTAAGTCTAGTTGGTTGTCATTCACGAGGGCGTATATCCAACGTCCACCCAAGCCCTCATGCGATCTCCATAACGAATCGTGAGAGCGATTAGCCTATACACCAGCATAAGGTGCGATACTGCAAGGGTTCTATTGCAGCAGCACTCACCCATATCCAAAAAGTGCAATCACCGTAGCTATGCCATTTGTTCCTGCCACTCCCAGTATTTCAATTGATGGAAGTACGGCTGCAGTCACTGGTGCAAGAATGATCGCGCGGAAAGCTCTGCGGTATTGGTTAGGATGAAAACCACTGCTGGCTTTGAGTACGACTCACGTAACTGCGGCGATTACCTCTGCGCTGCGTGACTGTAGCACGTCGACGTTGTACGAGCCGATCGGAGTGAGAACAAAGTCTACCTGTGTAAAACATGAGGCTGGCAATTGACAAAAACATATGCCACTTTATGACTCACCCCAATGCCATTCATAAATAAACAAAGCAAATTCAATATCAAGCCCAACGGTCCAGCGATGTACGCGGTAACCAGTCCCGAAAGACCAACAGATAAAGGGACGAAGAGTCCGCCTACCAATGCTGGACGTAGCCGATCTTCAGGGACCCATACGCCTTTGCGCTTCGCCTTCCACCTTGCAACCATACTGTCTGACAGCCGCCCAGCAATCGGTGAGGCAACTTAGGCACGAATTACATTGAATGTTAAAACACTCAAACAGCATAATGTGTACATACTGAAGTTTCCAAGCCCACTGGGGAGGAAGCATGCACCAATCAGCGCCTCGTTAGAGATGTGGTACCGAGCACCCTAGAATCAGATGTCAATTGACCACATGATTGGATAGTGTAACAGACTGACGATCGTGTAGGCGATTGGGACCAATAAAACTAATGCGTAGCTTAATAGGTCAGAGAGATGACATCAACATTCTCAACACACCATAGTCCGTGACCATCGCTGATGCGTTTGCTAGTGTCTGACAACAAGACTTCAGGCAGTGTGCAATCAGAAGAAAAACAAAAACGAACGACGGCCATGATATTTGGACTACGGAGCAGCCAGAGACTGTTGAAAGGATTAATCCATACAAATTTGAACGGTGCCTTCCGTTCAAGATTTTCTCCCGGCTGCGGATGACTTGTCTCCGGAAAGGACAGATAGATCAGAGCCATCTCAATAATGCCCCATACTGCAAGCGAGAAGTGCAGGCTGCGCCAGGACCAGTAGTGAGCTGCAGTACCTCCTAAAATAGGTGACAGCGCGACACCGAGAAGAGAAGCCTTCACAAGAAATGATAAGTCGCCGAAATGATCATTCAAGTATCATATGAACGCATATACGTACCCCAAAAAAGATACCCAAGGCTGTACCTCGCTGTTCTGTCCTGTAGATATCGCCAATAACGGCTGCACCTACGGACACTCCACCAGCGCATCCAAATGCCTGAACGAACCGCCATAACAGTAGGCTTCTGAAAGACGTTGACGCTGCAACACCGAAGCTTCCTATGCACAGAATAGGCATACCCCACAAGTACATCGGACGGCGACCATCTTCGGGCGAAAATGAGGTTTCTGATTCGATTAACCAACAGCCATGAAAAACCTACAAAATGAGGAGTATGCTGCCCATACTAAACCTCCGATCGCATTCGCAAAGACTGACAAACTTACAGCTAAGCTGTAGACAAACCGATTCAGGGTCAACACCTAGTTGATGCTGCAGGTATTTAGAAAACATACCTCACAACAGCACCCGTTGAATCAAGGTCATGAGCAATCTGAGGAATGGAGGGGACAAATGTCCCAGTCACGAGCGCTAAAGAGAAAAAATCAACTGGGTCGAATATTTTATCTTCGTCTTATACGCACTGGGAAGCAACCCTGCAAAGGACACCACGAAGACAATGTAATTTTTCTGAGCTTTGCTGAACCGGTCGTACGCATCCAAGTCATCAGGGACCTTAGACTGCAGTGGATGATCGAACAGAGGGCTCTCCTCCGAGAAGGACATGGTTGCAGACACGACAGAAGACCTTGCCCTGCGTTAGCATAGTCTGGGATCTGGGAGTTTATATGTAACAGGTTATGGTTTTCGTCAAGCGGTTCTAAGAATAGAGCACGAGTCCCAAGTATTTTAAAAGTTATGTAAGTGAATTTTCGAAGTGGTCTTGACCACCAACTGTGATTTTTGTGGAATGAGGCTCCCCGTCGGACAGCCATATCCGAAGGTTAGACAACTCGTACCGTCATCCTGCACTGCAGTGCGGGCATCCATGATGATCGGATGAGACGGGGAACTAGCCATTGCTAATTCTACATACTTTTACTGGCTGACTGGCCCCACAACGACATTTGACTTGATATATTCCACACGATCAATTGTTAATGAGTATAGCCGCAGGTCAGATCCTGTAATGACCGAGAGGTCAAATTTTCTCGACATGAAGCAGTTGATCATCGGTCGAACAGCTTTCAGTACTTGTTCACTGTCAAGAATCAATACAATATTCAATAATCAGTCATAACATACATGTACAATAGCACCGCTGAACCGTTTACAATAATCGAATAATATCATACTGTCGCATAATTAGCATAAAATCTAAGGTTGAGGGTCTTAATGTTGCCCAATGAATCAGCTCGCTGTTGGCAGCGTGCGACTGCCAGGGATATTAAATTCCACCCTTGCCGGAGCAATAGGCGAGTCCATGGAGTCTGGGCAACGGCAGCAACGACTCGATTTCGTTGAAGCTCTGCTTGCGCGATCTAACAGATCCCTAAGCGCAGATGAACAGGAGCGCTCATTAGATGATGACGCCATCGAGGCGCTTGATGAAAGATTTCGTTGACTCTGTCGTACAATTGAGCGAGTAGACCCAAGCGAAGGATAGTAAGACTCACTAATTGGTTTGCGATCCATTCCAGGTAAGCTTTGAGCTGTCGTAAGTTGACAATGACAGCCTCCAAGCCCGCAACAAAGGCTTCTAGGCTTTCTTCTTCAACAGCTCTGGGATCTAGTCTTTGACTCGCAAAGATGCCCCATATCGAGCGCCTTGAAGCAGCTGCTTGGCGACTTTGCATGCTCACCAAAACTTCTGGGAGATTGCGTGATAGCTGGTGGTGAAGTGCTTCCACGTCGGGTATGATGCTCTCCGTTTTTGATAGGATGGACGAGTATTCGAGAAGCAGATTAGAAGACGCTAGTAGGTATACGCTATCTAGACGTGATTCTCGGACGGCACTCCTTCTTATAAGAAAGGCCGTTTGACTGCGCTTGGAATGATATGTCACCTCGTCTAGGGCATGAGAGATCTGATACCAATGAGCACCATAATAGGAATAAAAGAAATGTGGCTTACCGTTCTCCCAATGAAACCGTGCGGGGACAGGGTCTGAATGAATGTGGAGGCAAGACCTCTGAAATCGACAGTCAAATCGACTTCTGTTTTGCTGCCTCCAGGTGGAGGGTCACCCCTCGACCTGCTCAGAAAACGTTGCACACTGGCCCCGGTTCAGCTTCAATATTCTCAAGGTGGTATGATGCTACGTACTTGGTATGATGATGCGCAAAAAATGCCTCATCACCTAGTCCCTCGACCAATGTCAATAAATTATGTGCCTGATCGATTTGCTCAGATAGGAAGTTCAGAGCCACTGCTTCGCTAGCGCCGGAACGTGATGCAGGAGAAGTCTCCACGTGACTAGTCGCAGTTACTGTTGATGTGAGCTGCTCGACTATCGGGCCTATGAAGCCACCTCCATGATCACCCCGCACGGACTAACGGATATCGTTAAAAATAGCCAACCGAAATATGAAAGAAGACTCACGGGAGAACTCATGGTCATCATCATCACCTCAATCACAAAAGCAACGACAGCAAACCATTGAACGGTGGCCATCGTTGCATGAAAGACCGATGTTGCAACCACCGACATCACCTGGTACACATGCATTATACACCGGAAGACTCGCTTCAGGAAGCGCACAATCTCGTCGATGTCGTCCTGTTCAGCACTCTGGCATTGTCTTAGTCGTTTAAGCGGGAGTGCGCGGTGGTGTGTGAGGGGTGTGCGGTACATGAGTGCAGGGACGCCGTGCCGAGAACGGCTGTCCAGAGGTGAGTCGGGACTGAGGGAACATTCGACGACTGAGTTTATTGGTACTTCTGTCGGAGAGTGGTGATACTTGATGAATGGGGCTTGTGGTTTCAGTGTTAAAGGGTCCAATGGTGCAAGGGGTGGGCGGTGGGTCCGGGTACGGGTGCTTGTCATATCGTCTTGATGAGTCGTGAACGTGAAAATATTAAGTAGCAGCTGCTCCAGTCAGCTGCAAAGTCGTAAAGCAAGACAGTGATCAGATTACCCCTCCGCCTCATATTTATTCAGAGCAGTTGGTGCTGGGAACAGAACGAGGCAGACAAAAGGCTCAGTCACCGTGACATCGTTCGAGAACGGCATGCTTCCTGCACTGGACTCCGGTGACCAAATGCAGTTGACCGAAGTAAATCCCGAGCTGCAGCTATTGTGACGGTCTTTGCTATGGTGATAGACGCGATGCAATGAGCAAGTTCCCCACTCGCCACTGGCCTGGATCAACCGTGACAATAAGATGGCAGTCTAAATATGGCAGGCGGAAGCAAATCGTTGGCTACACTTTAGCTTCCGGTGGCCTTAATAACCCCGCAACGTTCGACTTTGTTGCTACAATGTCCCAAAGACAATTATCAACTTCGGCATGCTTGAAACCAAATTTTGCATCACCTCATTACACAGCTACTGTACCAGGCAGCGAAGGCTATCTTCTGGAGCAGCCAGAGTTTCAATGAAGCACACGAAAATTCATGACGCGTTTGCAAGACAATCTCATTAGCGCAATTGAAATAATTGCGATGCAGTGCGAAAATCCCTAATGCAAATACATACAGACTGAGCGGGGAGGGCGTTGTCAGATAATAAAAAGTAGATATGCCCCAACCACCGCAGACTGTGCAGCGGCCGAGTGCAAATCAGAATCATGTAAGTACTAAAGTATATTCTGAGCGGTACTTTTTCTCATAATCTAAAACAAAAATGCGTGCGGGCGTGAGTGCAGAGTGGATGAATGTGGTGTGACGAAACAGCAATGCGATAGGCGAAACCAAGATGAGGCAAAGATGACGGTAGTGGCAGGAGGAAAGAGCTCAGGTGGAAAAACGAACGAAGGCGCTTAATCCTTCTTCTCCTCCTTGGTCTCCGAGCTGCTTTCGGAGGAAGCGTTCTCAGCATTGCGCTTCTCATATACCTTCTGGAAAAGGCCGAGCGAGGCTTGTTGAGTCTCGTTGATCTTCTCCCGTATTTGCTCAGCGGTGATATCATCACTACCAGCCTGACCCTTGGCAGCAAGCTCGCGAAGCTCACCAACGAGCTTGGTCACCTTCTCCTTCTCAGCGGCGTCGAGCTGGTCCTTGAACTCATTCATGGCTGTTGAGATGCATGTTAGCGCGACACAGGGATAAAGAAACCAATCGTACCTTTCTCGGTGTCAGAGCAGACGGACTCGCCCTTGTTGCTTTCCTCGATGAGATCACGACGAGCCTTGTCGGATTCGGCGAACTGCTCGGCATCCGAAACCATGCGCTCAATATCCTTGTCACTGAGACCTGACGAGGAGGCGATGGTCATAGACTGGTCCTTGTTGGTGGCCTTGTCCTTGGCAGATACGTTGACGATACCGTCAGCATCGATGTCGAAGGTGATCTCGATCTGAGGAACACCCTTGGGAGCAGGGGGAATGCCGACGAGGTTGAAGTTGCCAAGAAGCTTGTTGTCCCGAACGAGCTCACGCTCGCCCTGGTAGATCTTGACCTCAATGGCTGTCTGGCCATCAGCGGCGGTGGAGAACACCTGCGACTTCTTTGTCGGGATGGTCGTGTTACGGCTGATGAGCTTGGTCATAATACCTCCGAGGGTCTCAATACCGAGCGACAGGGGCGTAACATCAAGGAGCAGGATATCCGTGACGTTGCCAGCGAGCACACCACCTTGGATGGAGGCACCAATGGCGACAGCCTCATCAGGGTTGACACCCTTGCTGGGCTCGCGACCGAAGATGCTCTTGACTGTGTCGGAGACCTTGGGCATGCGAGTCATGCCACCAACCAGGATGACCTCGTCAATCTCACTGGCCTTGACACCGGCATCAGAAAGCGCCTTCTTGCACGGGTCAATGGTACGCTTGATAAGATTCTCCACGAGATTCTCCAACTGCACACGTCCAAGCCTCATGTTGATGTGCTTAGGGCCAGATGCATCAGCGGTGATATAGGGGAGATTGATCTCCGTCTGTGTTGTCGATGAAAGCTCGATCTTGGCCTTCTCGGCAGTTTCACGGATACGCTGAATGGCGATGCGGTCCTTGCTGAGGTCAATGCCAGACTCCTTCTTGAACTCTGCCAAGATGTGGTTGAGAAGGATGATGTCGAAGTCCTCACCACCAAGGTGAGTGTCGCCGTTGGTTGACTTGACTTCAAAGACACCTTTCTGCATCTCCAATATTGAGATATCAAAGGTACCGCCTCCAAGGTCATAGACGGCAATGACTGAAGAATCCGAACGATCCAGACCATATGCAAGAGCAGCAGCAGTAGGTTCATTGATCACCCGCAGAACCTCAAGACCGGCGATTTGACCAGCATCCTTCGTTGCTTGTCGTTGCGCGTCGTTGAAGTAAGCGGGTACAGTAATGACGGCGTGGCTAAAGAAGATGAGCTGAGATTCGTACTGGATGGACGAACGTCTTACTTGACTTTCTTGTTGAAAAATTGCTCGCAAGTTTCACGCATCTTTACAAGAACCATGGATGACAGTTCCTCGGGAGACTAGGGGAGATAAAATGAGCACACAGGAATGGATCCAGGGGAGTTTACACGTACGTATTGCTGCTTCTTCGAGCCGAGATCCACCTCTACGGCTGGCCGACCGTCAGGTTTTGCCACAACATGGAAAGGCCTGCCAATCATGAGCGACCTTACAGATCAAGTGGAACATTAAACTCACCAATGCTTTATGTCTTCCTGCACCTCCTTGTCACTGTATCGCCGACCAATCAACCGCTTGAATGCAAAGACAGTGTTGGCAGGGTTGACGACGGCCTGGCGCTTTGCGGGCAAGCCGACCAGACGTTCGCCGTGTTTCGTGAACGCAACAACAGAGGGCGTTGTCCGGGCACCCTCGGAGTTTTCAATCACACGCGCCGTCTTCCCCTCCATGACCGAAACACAAGAATTCGTTGTGCCCAAGTCAATGCCCACAACAGGACCTGTACGATGCACATGAGCAACTTGAGCTTGGCTGTAGGGATATGAAGCTCACCGGAAACTTTGGAGTTCATGTTCCTCGCGATCGAAGACCGCGGAATGGCCTGTTAAAAGCAGGTTATCAATGCAGCGGACAGTAAGATAATTCAACTACGCACGGCATAGTTGCCGGTGCGGGCAACGGCGCTGCGGAGGGAACGAGCTGCAGTGAACATGGAGGAAAAAGTGGAAGAGATGACTAGCGAATTGGACACGGTGATTCAAAATTTTAGGGAGTCCGCGTAACGCTTACATCAGCCCCAAAAGAGTCCGAAAAAACGTGGAACGTTCGGGAGTCTTTTGATTTTGGCAAGCAAGCAAGCACTTGCTACTAGCTTCCAATGTACAGTACTTTCTTCAACGACTCATCATTGTAATTTTGTATGGGTTTTTGGTGAGTTGAGAGTTAAAAATTGACTGGGACACACGGTTCTTGGTCTCTTAGTGTAAAAGTTCCAACTTTCCGGCACATGATTCCGGCCTTCCACAGTGCCACGCATTCAGTCACGGTGGAACGTGGACCGGCAGCGCAACGCCGCACCCCTTGAGTTCAACCTTCACGCTGTTCATATTATGTCTGGTGGTGCGCCGAAAAGTATTGGAGGCGAGTATGGCGCCATTCGCGCCAATGTTGACATCCAGGAGCTCAATACGTACCTGAAATCACATGTGCCAAGTGTCGCTGCTCCCGTACAGGTGCAGCAGTTCAAGGTGCGGTCGAGACCTCTGTTGCGGAAATTGCACATTGACTGGCAGGATAGTTTGGACAGGTACGATAATGATTCAATGTGCATAAGCGCTTGCATGACATTGGACTATTCAGTCCAATCCCACGTACTTCCTGACCGATTCAAGGTATAAACTAGTTCTTCCTCAGCTAGTCCCATTTGAATCAAACTTCTCCAGCGCGAAGCGATTTGTGTTGCGCAAAAAGCCGGCAGGCCAGCTGTTGTCCTCAACTGCTCACCAAATTGAGCGCGAATACCGCATACTGAGTGCATTACATCGATACAACACCAGCCCTACCACAAAGCCAGAGCAGATAGTCCATGTTCCCCAACCCTTCGTCCTGTGCGAGGACAAAAGCGTTATTGGCACTCCTTTCTACATCATGGAGTACCTTGAAGGTCGAATATTCACGGACACCAGGATGCTGGAACTGCCACCCCATGATCGAAGAGAATGGTAGAGTTTTTGTAATCTATTTGTTCTATTATGACACTAAGTCTGATTATTCAAAGCTGGATCTCTGCTATCCGATCGCTGGCGGCATTGGCTGCTCTCGACCCATTCCAAATAGGTCTCGACAACTTTGGTCCCACGACTGATTACTTTCCCCGTCAAATCAAATCCCTGACACGTATATCGGTTGCTCAATCCCAGGCTATAGATGTCGAGACTGGAAAAGCGACAGGAAATGTGCCGTACTTCGAAGAAATGGTCGACTGGTACCAGAACAACCTCCCGGACGAGAGGAAGACTGGACTACGGATTGTCCATGGGGACTACAAGCTTGACAATATCATATTTCACCCAACAGACAACCGGGTAATCGGTATACTGGACTGGGAGTTATGTACTCTAGGTAGTCCAGTACGTGCCCCAATCGCCGCTTTCTGCATCTTGATCTGAGTTTGCTACATAGCTTGCCGACCTCGCGAACCTTACCCAACCATGGGCAATTGACGCTCGTCATATACCTAAAGATTCCCTAATCACTGAATTTACGGTCATTAAGCCGTTCAAGAATGCGACGAAAGATGTCCCTATACCCTTGGAGGACCTTGAGCGCGAGTACTGCCGGCTGACCAACCAGCCATACCCCATTAAAGAGATGGTATTTGCCCGTAGTTGGATGCTCTTCCGGGTACGTACTTTACCCTGGTGCGGGATAGTATATATTTACCTGGTTGTTTTCAGCTTGCCATAATCTCGCAAGGTATCGCTGCCAGATATGCGCGGCGGCAGGCGAGCTCGGAAAAAGCTTATATTCACCCACACTTTTTCCCTGTGGTTGGTCGGTTGGCGAAGTCGATCTTAGAAGACGACGGAGTCACCATTGGCGCGAAGCCGAAACTGTAGTATTATTCGACAAGTCCATATTATAACCTGTGTACATAGGGAAGGGTATTATGTATCTACATATATGTAGAAGACGACGGAGTCACTACTGGCACAAAGCCGAAACTGTGGTATTGTTTGTCAAGTCCATGTTATAACTTGTTGTAGGGAAGGACAGTGCTTTATCTGCATGTGACAGATTCAGAGTGGCTCACTGCAAGCCTGGATAGTGGTGATCCAAGTGCTGTACAAATTGGGATGCAGCCGGCCGCATCCCCGCGTCTTGCCAGCAAGCACCCAGCATTGTCCATTGCGCAGGTGATACTCGAGGGTAAAAAGCCTTGTTGGGTCTTCCCCATCTTTGACAAATGTAATAGATTAGCTCGCTATCCCCCTGCTTGTCGGCATAGGGCACGACGCCAGATAAAATCTAGTAACGCAGTCAGTGTCTGCAGTTTTCGTGACAGTGATTGGCTAACACACCTCTAGGCCCGTCATGCCTGCCGACCAGATGTCTGATTGCATGGTGGGTAGTGGTGCTTTTGTCGAATGTGATGGGGGATTCATCAACTCGCGCGCCATGTAACGAAACGTGCCAGGCGCTTGTGTGCTCGTCGTTGTGAAACCAGCAGCTTCGAGGACGCGGGAAAGGCCAAAGTCCGTCAGAACTGCATTAAAATTGTCGTCGAGGAGAATGTTTGTCTGCAAAGAGTTATAAGCTTTTATTCCCGCAGACAGAAAACGTGTGCTGACAGGTTTGATGTCTCCATGGATGACATTCTTGTGGTGCAAATATGCTAATCCAGACAAGAATTGGTGAAGCTGTCCAGACAACTATTAAGTATGCGTGATTTCGAATGAAATAGATACATACAAGTTTCAATCTCTGGTGGTCGCTCTGAATAATTCCCAGATTGTCTTTCAGGGTTCTTCTCTCATAAAACACTGATATTATGCGGGGGGTACAATACCCTCCCGGTTCTTGATAATACCACACACCGATGAATCGAGCAACGTTGGGATGATTTAGCGTACTCCAAAGTTTTGCCTCTCGCGCAATTTTCTGGAAAGCCAGGCTGAGTAACAAGGATAACCTACTAGTAAACGATCCACATACCCGTCTAGTTTTCGCAGCAAGACGCTGGCCTGACAAAAACGCTGACCTCAAGATCTTCACCGCCACCTACATCAAAATGTGAATGTGAGTGTGTTACATGTCACCAGTGACCGAGCAGCACATACGATATATTGTTTATGACCCTGGAAGTAGGTTCCCTTCCACACGTCTGCAAAGTTTCCCCTTCCGAATTCGCGATCGCCGACGATCGCGACCATTCCCGTCAGATCAGGTACATGGATATGTGCGAGATCAAAAGTCATTGGAGAATAGTGTTGGGAATTGACAAGATGAACACAGTGGATGAATAGCGGACAGGAAGTAGATGATGATTGTCATGTAGCCTGGATCAGTCCAGCTTAAGTATGTTTCCCGTACAATGTGAGGGTCATCGTAACGCTGATCGTCGAGTGGGGATAATGACCCCTGGTGACGAAGTGTGGCATGCAAGTCATTGTGCATGCCAGACAACGAGTCAAGAACAAATGTACGTCAAAGCTCGCTTCAAGGCTCGCCATAAAACTGTGGGCGTATGTGATCCGGTTGATGACTTTTGTCGAAGGAGACATTGTATTGTGTCAATACAATGTCGTATGATAGCAACTGCTGAAGCTGAAGCGCTAGACCGAATTACTTCAATTATTAGGTCAGCTGCTGCAAGGACAAGGACACCATTGGTTCCGATGCATTTTGAAACGCGCCGAACAGATTCCGCTCAACTTTGCACGTTTCTGATTCCATTTATTTCTGATTAGAAGACCAACTGTGGGCTCTCAGTCGCACGCGGCACGTAACCACGTTACTTTGGCAAGGGCCGGCGGAGGCACCGACGCACCATTTCACCTCGGTGAACGTTTGAGAAGATGTCAAACTCTCTGGCGCGCAATGCAGGACTGCGACTAGGACCACTGGTACTGGAAACGTTGGTCAAACATTACTTCGACCGTATCAAGAAGGAGAATGCACAACGGTCCAACTTTGCAACACAGTTGCACGAAGACGAACTTCTCTACCATGAAGCGTTCAATATTGTGAAGGTATATTTCGTAGTGAATCATCTGGGTACCCCCGAGCTTAAGGCGCACTGTAGAGTTTCCTCGAGGCTGCGTCATAGTGCGTGTATAAACCCGACCTCGAATACTCGTGTCTGACAGTGTGACCCAGTCACACCGTGGAGGAAGTCCAAGCATTTTCAAATAACCGAACGCCGTCTCTTCCCTCGACCCATGTTGTGCGTTTATTAGTTCCATTATCCTGCTGCGACGAGGCTGCCGGCTACCTTATCCAAGCCCTCGGTGGAGAAGAATTTGCCAAGCGCTTAGTGGGTGGCACAAAGTGGTGGCAAGTGCGTGGAGTCAAAGGGTGATGATATCTACGCCTGTTATTAGGCGTTGTTTACTCAATTCCACTTATACAGCATCGATGCAGAGTGGATCACGGCTCGCAAGGATTACCAAGAAGCGAAGAAGCGGAGCAAAGCGAAACATAAAGAGGGTTCAAATACCGAAATACCCCCCAGTGAAAGCGATACCCCGACCTCAGGTGGACTGCCAGCCTCCAGCTCAAATGAGAGTAATACTTACAAGGAAGAAATGGACGAAATGCGCTGCATACTATACGCTCATGGAGGTCTGTTGTATTTTGATTAAATCAAAAGCATACAATAACTGTTCTCAGGGGGTTACTATTTCGGGAGCGTTGATCAAGAAAGGTTCTTCTGTTTTTCCTCATAAGCAACATTGGTAAACTCACAATATTATTCAGATATAGTCTCCAGCGGCATGCAAGGAAGATCAACGGTCGTGTTTTTGGTCAGTCATCTTACTCATTAGGAGTTTCAAATTGTCTCTGAACAGAAAACAGCTATCAACTACCGCCTAGCTCCGCAGTATCCTTTTCCCTGCGCCCTGCAAGATCTTCTTGCTGCATGTGAGTACTTTTGTTTCGGAAGTTCCGAGCACAACGTTTTAAAGTACCCTCACTCGCAGACCTTTACTTGATCAGACCTCCTTCTGATGCGTCCCACCAGCCAGTACAACCAGCACGTATTGTTGTTGCAGGAGATTCCGCAGGAGGCGGTCTAACCCTCGCATTGTTACAAATCTTGCGCGATACTGGACTCCCATTACCTGCAGGAGGAATCTTGATTTCTCCTTGGTGCGATTTAACACACTCTTTCCCAAGTATTCACACCAACACCCCAACGGTAGGCTATCAGTGGTACTGTACAACAATATGCTAATCCGTAATATGCAGGATGTCATTCCTGTATATGGACTTTCATTCCAAAAACCTAGTCCCTTATGGCCTCCACCATCAGATGAAATGACGAACACCGTTCATTCTGGGCTGCGCAAGCGGATTCGTCAGATAGTCCGGCTTGAATCGAAACAAGATAAGCATGATGCCGAAGCTTCCTCAAATGTCAGCATACATCCGGATTCAAGGGGTACATCATTGTTTAACATCACTGGGGAGGATGAAAAATCGGCCACCAGCGAAATGCCTGTAAATGTTGGTGCCACTGCTCCACTGCCGTCAGTCGACAAGAAAGAAGATCAGGCCATACACCTCCTAGCTAATTCAGGTGAAGTATTGGTAATAGAGGAGCAAGTGCACATGTATGCCCAGAATAGCTTGCTCGGACACCCACTCGTTAGCCCAGCCCTCTCGTACCTGGGCGGCTTGCCGCCTTTGCTCTTCATTGCGAGTGATAAGGAAGTTTTGAGAGACGAAGCTATATATTCGTGAGTTGTTAGCAGTTTAGCCCGTTCATCATCTAAAATGCACATGAAGGGCTCACAAAGCCGCGGATCCTTCCCGTCATCCTCTCAAGGAGGAAATACGTTCTCTATACCCACCACTCAAAGGAATTGAAAACCGATTTAGTCCAACTGCAGTTCATCTACAGGTCTATGATGGTGAGCAATATCATTTACATTGCGACCTAAAATAAATCTTTCTCCCTAGATACTGCTCATATTTTGCCGGTCCTGTTTTCTTTTACCACACCTGGAAAATTTTGCTACCGCGCAATTGCGTCGTTCACAAAGCACGTAACAGGCATGAACGCACTGTCCAGATCTTCGTCCAGTCCAACTGTCTCTCCTAGCGCCTCATCCTCTCGCACCGCCGTCAGGAGGTTTTCTCTGCTCTCCCGCGCGTTGTCTACACCTGAATTTTTAAATCGCATCCAGGGAAAACCAGATAGCCCGTTGTCGTCGAATGGTCCTGATTCCGCTGGTCCTTCCCCGCGCTCATCTAAATCCTTTCTCCCTCCATTTTCTCGACCTGGCTTACCAGCGCGTGCGACCACCCTCAGCGTGCCAAAGTCTGCATCTGACAACGCTCTTTTCCAATCCACGTTGCGGGCTCGATCTTCCGACAATGTAAACGTGGGAGGCACGGATATCAGGGGTGCGTCTGACTCCGCTGATTCAGTACAGCGATTTGCAGGAGAGTGTAGCGTATATTGCGATGACCAAGTATGTTTTGCATTGTGTATTATTGAAAACCCAGCTGACGTCCCTGATTCTTCCGCAGGGTGTTCCCTCCTGGAAGGAAGGCATAATTCGCGAAAGGGTGTCCACTTCCGGTGTCATTCGACCACTGGAACCAGAGTCAGAATTGGACGCATTTCATATTCCTCTGGAAATCATGGGAGTCCTTTCAGAGCTCGCTGTGCGACGCTATATGGAGGGAAAGGGAAAATTTGACAAAAAGTTCGCGAAAGAGCGACACGCCATCCAGAAGCAACGAAACCGCAACCTCGAGCTCTCGAAAAAAGACGTTCTAAAGAATATAGCACAGCTTCAGGATTGGCATGGTTCGCAGAGCAACAATAGCAAGGGGAAGGCGCGCGATACTGCGAAAGGCATCAAAGAAGGACTAGAAGCTGCCTCTGCCAGCTGGAGTTGGGCTTGGGCTTTGGACGTGGACGAGCGTCCGCCACCGAGTAGTATTGTATCGCGGCGAGATACAGATGAAGCTCGACGGCTCGCGCGAATTGCTGATCAAGCTGTCTTACAAGAGCGCAGTCAGATGAGCGCCAACAGCTTGTGGGCTGTCATCGTTAATTTCTTAAACGTGGCCCCCGAACGCGATCACAAACATGCCGACTCCGATGTCAGCGATGGCGGCAACCAGCCAGCATCCCCATTACGGAAACGCAAGTCGTTGTTTGCCTCACTACGACCCCGAGCATGAGAGGTGAACCTGTCTGAGTAAATGATGTACATATAGTGAGTATCCACTGTCTAGATCCATCTAAGTACTTATAATGACCATGTATCAGGAGCTTTGTGGTATAATGACACTATCACCCGCGCGATAATAGATGGTTGTTCACAACCAGGAATTTATTTTTTGTAAGCCTGCGATTACGAAATGGCGTATTTACCCCATTGAACCTGCCTGCTGGGTCGAGTCGAATAAAAATGTAGGGCCTGCATGAAAGGTGGACTTCTCCCTAAGATCCCATGTAACAGGGAGTAGTACTAAAATATCTGGCCCATAAATGCCGATAATATAAGAACGACTCGCCCCGCGGGGAGGACCTCATGTAAACTCCTGTGACATGAGTACTGATAAATCTCGTGGTGCGACAGTCATCACCATGGGGACCTGCTCCCGAGCAATGAATAAATGGAGCTGCATTTTTGGCCGTCAAAGTCGGACGAGGATTAGATGAAAGCCGGAAAGCTTGGTCTGATGGAATCCCCTGTCTGCTGTGGGTCAAGATCTTATGTCCGTTAGAAAATGAATACGTACTTGATTGAGTCAAGTTGAAATAGTCAACCCTGACTCGGAGCTTGCGCGAACGCCACTGGCAAAGCCAAGAGATTGAAAATAATCGGACGCATGGTAGCACGGACCTAAGGAAGACGAACTTCAGAACCTGCGTGTATTTGAGTCGGATGACAGCCGAAATCGGGATCAACATGAGGCCTGTCGCGATACCTGAGCCTAACTTACTAACTTTGGTACACACGGAAGTGATTTCAACCGGCGAGAGAAGGTAAGAAGGAATTAGAGCCTGACCCAGAGGCAGTGCCGGCAAAGTCATGGGAGAGAAGGAAACGAACAAGTGGCTGAGGTATCCATGTTATTGTATATTCTGCCTAGAGGTGACGTACGATAAGTATGATGATCTGATAGTACAAGTGATGACAAGTGGGCAAAGGTTAGGCGCCCAATCATCGGTCTAAAGGCTGGAAACGACTGTAGTACTGTTTTGTCTGGGATTCGACCATCTCTTGTGTCGACTCTGGTAGATCTTCGACAAATCGGCCTGTGACAATGCGGTCGGGATCATTATCACAAAACACAAGTCAGCATTTAAATCACTAGCCTGGTGAGCCAGCAAATAGCGCCAGCGCTGGAATAACAGTGTTGGGAGGGATAACGGTGTTGTCTGCGACTTGAGCACAATCTTTGATGATTGTAAACTTGCCCTGCGCGACATGCAGTGAAGACACCAAATTGACGGTTAGGGAGGCTTACAATAACACAATTCTTCCCAATGACAACATGGTTCCCAATCGTCGCGGCTTCCACGACGGTGTTGGCACCAATGTGAACATAGTCCCCGATCTTCATTGGATAGTAATTGAAATTTCCGCGATACGTTTTGTATGGTGGCCTGGAGTATCGTTGAACAATTTAAATGTCTCAGCTACCTCCAAGTAAGACGTACCTCATCACGCAACCCTCGCCAACAAGGCAGTACCTTCCAAGAGAGATGACGACGGCATGACCAGGACCTGTTCTGCGAAGATCTCCCCGGATGATTGCGCCGCTGGAAATAATAGTCTTTCCTCCGAGAATGATGTTCTGAGGTCCAGCTATGGTGGCTCTTCGAGAGACTTTGTTTCCTGTGTCCTAGTTCAGTGTCAACAATTGTTTGATTCTACGGTGTTCATTGCTTACAGTTTCGATGAATTCAGCCTTAGAATAATATACTGGCGCATCCATTGAGGTTAACGCAAACGCTGACCCTGACGGCAGTGACGGCGGTCACTCACAAACACAAATACTGTATGTAACATGACAGCTGAGCGCTGAGCGCTTGAACCTCCAAATACCTTACCCTGTGTCATGTTCCAGCTCACAACCCTCAGGTTAGCTAGCCATCGGGTTCATCGACTTGCTTCAGTCAATAGTTCCGTGGCATATTGCAGACCGGCTTTGAGGTCTTGGTGCACATCCTGTCGTCCGCAGAAGCAGCGGCTACAACTCACAACTGTTCGATATCTTTCAACCTCCCCTCTAACAGCAGAGGACGCTGCGTTGTCGACAAAAGCACCTTCCTCCGGAGGCAGCCAAACTGAGCCTGTTCCTTACCATGGTCCACTTACACAGACATTCCGTCGTCTCAAAATTTTCTCCCTGTCATCCTTGGGTCTGTCATGTATCATGACCCCATTCATTTTCATCGTCGAGTCATCACTCCCTCTATCGGCTCGAATCGTTCTGGCATTAACCGCACTTTCCACAAGTTCTATCTCGACTGCCCTTGTCGGGTGGTCCGGCGCATCCTATGTCGTCGACCTGCAAAGACTTCCGCCAGCCGACAATGGCGGCATCGAAGGCATTGAGATGACCACGCTTACAATCACGCTCAACAAGCTCGTCACGCGTGTGTACGATGCTGACTTCCTATTAGAGACGAAGCGACCATTTGCGAAGTGGGAGCTCGCGCAAAGTTTCCTCCTGCCACCGTCAAATGAAGACGCACTCATGGCAGCGAAAGGTGGCGCACCGGGCGAGGAAGAAACAATAGCAGAAACCTTCAATGCTAAGGGCGAGATCGTAGGACGGTGGATTGTTAAATGGGAGAATGATAGTGCAGGAACATGTCACGGAACGGGAAAAGTCGTGCGGTACGCAATATCTATCAATTACGTTTGCAGAGAGTTAACATTGCATATCTAGATACTTCAATGTGCATGAGGAGCTGCTGTGACACTTGTGCATCTAGGTCGTTGCTTTGAATTTGCACTTTCTCCTCGTTATTACCGTCATTTTTACGGAGTCGCGACAACAATTTTGCTCATGCTCAGATCTGGCTTGGACTGTGCTCAGGCAACACGCCTGTTGTATGAACTGCGCATCATACGACATTTTCAACCACTCGTGTAGTAGCTTGCGGCTCTATGATTGTTTCGAATATCATCGGTGCAGTACTGATTCATATCTTATGTTCAAACCGAGCTTAGTGACGTTGACGATGCTTGGTGCCAGCATTCGTCCATGATATGCCACGTTGTCCACATCACGGAGAGGTAGTCGTACGCATCAACGAAATGGGCGACATGACTGCCTGAACAGCAGATCACGTAGAGATCGCCTGAAGTGGTCTGCGACTTATGCACCCGCCACGCCGACTCTCTGGTTTCTTGCACACGACATTGACACGACATGTGGCTTCTCTACGTGTACCAATTGTGTCGCGCTGTTGCTTTACAACCCGCTTTTTCTTCTCCTGGTCACAGTGAGCCTCTATCTTGGATTGTGGACCAAAGACTTGGATGGATTAAGATTGCCGTCGTTCGTGTTGCTATTGCATATATTGTATATCCATCAATGCTCCTTATTCCGGTCCGCGATCCATAATTCGAAGGCTTGAAGGTGCAATCGTATATTTTGTGAGGCACAAAATCATAAAAAATCATTCCGCGGCTCCAAATCAACAAGACACGATACCTCCAGTCCGCCTCCGGCTTTAATAAAGTTGTGCTAAATAAAACAGCTCCCTGTTCTAGGTTCTCATCGAGCGGGCGATCTCGCCGCTTAACGAATGGCAAGGTCGTTCTCTGTCATCCTACGGTCGCATCAATCGTAAGTATACAATAGCCGCTCGCTCTCGCTCATCAAATGGACGATCTTACTGCCTAACAAATGACACGGTCGTTCTACGATCATATTGGTCGTGAACATATAATCACCGCCCGGTCTCCCCGCCCAACCGCAGAATTCATTTGACATGTGAGCCCAACATTATGGTGAGCTCAGGACAACTTGAATAATGGGTCGTGGAATCATTTGTAAATAAAGAAAGTGACATTGTGATTTACCGGAACCCCACAGGCTCAAATACAGGATACAGTGATATTCTTCCGCGATGCTGGTTGACATCTTCCAGAAGTTCCAAACCGTCCTGAGTTTAATCTCTACTCAACACGTGGTTCGGGCGCTAAAGGAAGCTGACATAAGCTTCGGTGTCCTACAGTACTTTTGAAAATCGGTTTTGATGCAGTAACACCGTCGTGGCATTACTGTTGCACGATTCAATTGGAGGAACACGCTTCTACCTACACAATCATTTCTCTACATCATTTGTAGAACAACCGACAGTTATGCACGGCCCGAGGCGATTGTCCTGGCTCACGAGCCCTTATCATGTGAGCTCTATTCCAGTAATGACCAAACTTCATCCTCGTCAATGCCATCATATCAAGAATGTATGAGTATGTCCTGCAGTGTAAGATCCGCGGTGGTTCCGAAGCGACCATCTGCATGTAACTGGGACCAGGATGTCTGTCCCCCCGATCTCCCCAACCCCCGATCTCTTTTTTTTCCAAATCGTGCTTATGTCCATCGGGACTATTGTTTAGGAAGGGCTATTCATTTATGTGTCACTGGCAAGCCAGCACATATCATGATGGTACTAAACAGGTTGAAGTAGCACCCCCGAACTTCACTGCCTCGAATTGCCTTCAATGACAAAAATCCAGATTGTATGGGATATAGAAATACATCTTATGGTGAAAACATCACATCTGTATCATGCTATATAACTGAGTAGTGCAACCAAACAGGAATCAAGAGTACAGATAAACGCTATGCGCAAAAACTCATATGCGGGACCTCAATGCCGTGACTCGTGAGTCTCACAACTTGGTCTTGAACTGGGCAAGGGCCAGGGGTTGATCTTCGAGAGCACGTGATCAGACGGAATATTAGGAGATCAAACGGCATGAACTCACATGTAGAGTTAAACAGGTTATCTGGTGGAGTAAGGCCAACGTGCGAGTGGAGAGCGCTTGCGTCGACCATATCGGGCGTTAGCTCATCTATAGAACGAGCGCCAAGTAGGCGCATGTTCATTTCCAGTTCCTCCTATATTTGGGAGACCTTATCGGATTTGTACACTGTCGATGGTTCGATCAACTTACCCGGAAGATTTGGAAGGCCTTCTCAACGCCGTCCTGTCCATAGGCACAGAATGAGTACATAAATGCGCGACCGACGCCGACGCCAGATGCCCCGAGGGCGATGGCCTTGAGGACGTCGGAAGCTCTCCGGACACCACCGTCGACGAAGACCTCGAATTTAGGGTTGGGCCAAGGACCGCGGGTCTTGAGAGCGGCAACAACCTCAATCAGGTTCTCGACACCGGATCTAGCCGTGTCGAGTTGACGACCACCGTGATTTGATAGGACAATTCCAGCAAGACCATAGTCGTAGGCCATGAGCGCGTCTTCGGGCGTAGCAACACCCTTGAGGACAATGGGCACTGAGATGAAAGTGTGAGATACAATTTACCCTAAGTCAGCAAAGCACTGACTATTCGTGATGCTCTTGAACCAGGGAATGTCCTTCCACGACAAGGAAGGATCGATGAAGGACTGGCCGATGCACAATTTTTAATATCGATCGCGTAAGATTGGCCTCGACCTACAGAAATGGCTCGGGCAACACCTTCGTCCTTCTTGACACCGGCCTCATTTTCTTGGACTTTCGCGACCCCAGACTCGTCAACGAATTTCATGCGCATATCCTTCTCACGGCGACCAAGCTGAGGGGCGTCGACGGTTATAAAGAGGCCCTTCACCCCACGCTTCTCAGCATGTTGGACATATTTTCTTGTGATCTCCCGGTCACGGTTGACATAGAGCTGCAAGAACTGGACCTGCCCGGGGACCGCGGCATCAACGATCTCGTCAAATGCGCAAGACGCAAGCGTGGGGATCTTTGCATCACTGGTCAACGATAGTCCGTGTTCAATTTGATTAAATTTTCTCCGTTACCATTTGAATAACACCATGCTTTCCGGCTGCTCTGGTCAAGTTGAGTTCTCCATCTGGATGGCCAAGCTTGCCAAGTGCTGTGGCGGACTAACAGATCGGTGAGGCCAAATCGATCTATTTTTAAGTGATAACAATGCCAAGCTCTTACAATGTATACCGGAAGCGAGGATCTCCGACCGAGGATGGTCGTCGACCAATCGACAACGGAGACGTCACGAAGAACACGAGGACGGAACCATATCCTGGAAAGTCGTTAGAAATCACCTAAATTGACAGCGGGGATATCGCTTACCTTTGGTATGCGGCGCGATTCTCTCGGATGGTGATCTCATCATCAGACGCTGAAGAGTAGTAGGCCCATGCTTTGGGGGGTAGGATAGCTTTTGCGACAGCCTTTGCAACATGTGGTCAATTCAAACGCCCGGAGTCTTCTTGACGCCAATTACTAACCTCGAAATCATGGAGATTAACTATTTCATCCAAAGGGGGGCGAGCCAACATTAACTCTTGGCGAATCTTATCCTCCGCAGTAACTTCTTTAACAACCTTGATCACGGTGTTCGGGTCGACGGCGCCAAGGCTGCATCACACGCATGGGTATCAATATGTTCCGGAAAGTCCTAGTGGGACTCACTGCTTTTCCTTGGGCAGGTGAGTCGTAATGGCGTCTGGCGGGTGGATAGGGTCGTATGCTTCACTGATGAGCCGTCAATGACCGGTAAGTCCCTCAATAGGCTAGGCCATATGGAAATGCAATGATCCTTACGTTGCGTCGACACCAGCATACTTCAGGATAATCTTGCTGCCACCAGGATGTTCTGGAAATCAGCGGTGAGAACTCATCATTCGCTTTATGCGGTATCAGTGCCGTACCAGGCAAAAACTCCGTAACATCATACACTTTGCCTTGTATGATATGTTGGTAAGCACCTGATGTCAAATGCACAGACGTTGCGAGAAGCACATACCGTGGACGATGATCCAGCAACTTGAAGGAGTTGCGTGCTCGGCGACGGTGTGAGCAGAAATTAGAGACATCTCGGGGACGCTAGATTTTAATGGGGGTAATTTGAAGTTTCGCTAGACTACATCTTATCCACTTTTTGAGCGCTGCTAAGCGGAGTGTGCGGAGACCGCATGGATGATTTACGTCGTAGAGGATACCATTAGGGGCAGAGTGGCTTCCGCTATGTATGGGGATCATGGGCATACGAGTGGATCGAACACTGAGTATTCCGGTCGGGGATAGACCGGAGAGTGGAAGGAGGATAGGGCACGAATACGGACTTTGGGCGAAAGTACGACAGCACATCGTGAATACACACGCTGAGCATCACTAGGCACACGACTGCGGTTGTTCTTTGTATTTCGCAAATAGGACCTATCGGACATGGGCTAACGCTGGACCACTACATGTGAGTCGATTGACAATGTCAGGATTAATTAAAAATTGGTATAATCAAGATTGTCGTGAGTGAATGGATGACCCTAAACGCCTAACCCCCCCTAACGCCGACCTTGGATCTCAGGAGGGGTTTGTTAAGCGCTGAGGGAGAACGTGCCTGCCAACGCATGGAGCTGTAAAAAGATAATATAATAAATTATAATATAGTGATTATGATAATTTGGTTCTAAAAGTAAATAGTTGTACATAAACGTATGTCTCGTCGATCAGACAGAGCTTACGGTTATTCGGGTCGCAGTTGACACCAATTACTCAAGAATGCGTCTTCAAGGAAGCATTTTGACTTTGAATCTTGACCAAATTCGGTATTCTTTTTATATAATTGTCTTGGCTTCCGTCACTCGGTTTTTGTTCTTCGGGACACTAAACAGATCAGCAGCGACGATCGGATAAGTCCGCTCAAATCCCGACATTTCCAGTATGTTGCTCTAGTCGCTTCCAACCTTTTGTTCCGCATGCTCCTTGTAGCCGTTGCACTGGTTTAGAGCTCTCAGCATTTCCCCGTGGCCTCGGGCAAACTTGAATTCAACTGAGTTAGCGTCGACCACGGGAATTTCGCCTCGAGCTTCTATTGGTTGCCGGCAGCGTCGTGTCTCGGAGTACTATCATTGCCAAGAGCTCCGTTTTCTCCTGCAAAGCTCCCATCTATCACTCGTGTCCTGTAGTTACCCCTTTCATACACTTCTCTCGCCACTTGTCTCCGCAGCATTTTTCATTTTTCCATGTCCAAATCGAATCTTGCTCACTGAACGAACGAAATGTGGCCGCAGCAGCATGTGTGAGCTGTTTCTTCTTGACGCTGTACGTCACTTTTACTTTGCCGGTTTATGGTTTTTTTTTGCTCCCGCGGAACACAGAATATTCGATTTATAACTTCCCGAACGTTTATAAGGCCGTTCAATTACTTACGATCTACATCATCCTCCCCATCCCTTCTTTGCTAAGCTGTCTCGACTACAACCTTGAAGTTCATCTTTCCCTCTAACGCTTTTCAAACTGTTGCTCACTCGCAATCTCCGTACCTATTTATCTAAGTTCTTCTTCTCAATGGCACCTGGACTTGATTTCTTCAAGAGCTCCGAGTCTAGTGACGCACCAGTCACTCAGATATGCGCCGATGAAGAATCTGAAGTTCACGGTTCCTTCGAGTCGGACGCCCCCCCTAGACCTGATGTTTACTACAACCCTCGCTTCGACCCGAAGAATTTCCTAGAGGGAGAACTCTCTGTTGACGCTGCTACCCGTCTTCGTCAACTGCTGGCCAGGCCAGGTATCGTTGTAAGCCAAATCATTCCTTTGTGCAATACGTGTTCTCAGTTCCTTTAGATTGCCCCCGGTATCTGTGACGGTATTAGTGCCCGCTGCGCACTAGAAGCTGGTTTTGATTGCATGTACCAAAGTGGTGCTGCAACCACCGCTTCTCGCCTTGGCATGCCCGACCTTGCCATTGCTACATTAAATGACTTCGTTCAAAGTGCGCAGATGGTCTGCAGCTTGAGCCCAAGCACTCCTGTTATTGCCGATGCCGATACTGGGTAAGCAAAGTTCATTTTTGTGCAGACATCTCAGCTAACACTCGAAATAATTCAGCTTCGGTGGGACTGCTATGGTTGCTCGCACAGTCTATCAATACATACGTGCTGGTGTTGCAGGCATGCACATCGAGGACCAAGTACAAACCAAACGTTGCGGTCACTTGATGGGCAAGCAAGTTGTCTCTCGAGAGGAATTTGTTACGCGCATCCGAGCAGCTGTCATTGCTCGCGACTCTTTCCCTGGTGGTTCAAATTTCGTAAGTAGCGCTTCGACATTATCAATTTCTCATTTAATCTATTTTAATAGGTTGTCATTGGGCGGACCGATTCCGCTCAAGTTCTCGGCATGGAAGAAGCTGTCTTCCGTTTGAAGTTGGCGGCTGATGCCGGTGCCGATGTCTGTTTCATTGAGGGCGTCAAGACTGCGGAGCTTCTGAAATCAACAGTCAAAGCCCTGGAACCTAAACCCGTCCTCGTTAATGTCATTTCCGGTGGCCTAACGCCCTCTTTTACTACCAAGGAGGCTGAGGCTCTCGGCGCCAAGATCATCAGTAAGTTGAACATATTTTTAGATCCGGGAAGAGTTTTTAAACCTGCTTTCAGTTTTCTCACTCGTGTCCTGCGTCGCTGCTGTCCATGGCATTCGTGCTGCTATGCAATCCCTGAAGAAGACGGGCACTGATTTCTCATCGGCCAAGGGCATGGATCCCAAGGCCTTCTTCGAAGTCATGGGTCTCCAAGAGGTTGTCAGCTTGGACGCAAAGGCAGGAGGTAGCTCATTTGATGTCGTATAGAGCCAAATTGGCTTTGACTTCACTCTCGTTATTGTTCTACACTTAATTCACTTTCAAACTGTTTCAATTGTATACGGGACGACGGGGACGCCATCAGCATTGGTATCATTACGATTACGCTGTTATCATTAGATTTTCTTTTCATCTCTCTACAAGCATTACATACATGCAATACAACCTGGATTTCTTGACTTATTTTGGAAACTCAGCGAATATGCTTACGACGATCACAGGTTCCCGGAATGGGTCGCCGACTTCCAGAAATACTTCATCCGGCATCTAATCGCTTACGGCGCTCCGTCGGCTTTTCGTGACCTTGAGAATACCAGCTATGGTATACTTATAGGCGCCTTGCTCCAAGACCGTCATTTTCAGGTTCTCTCAAAACACGACAACCACCATGACAAGCTCAGGCAGGATGTACTCTGGCAATGAAGTCGCTCTGCACAACAGTCGCGAGAGCTGTTGGATCATTGTTCACGGTAGGTAACATGGTTCTTAGATGCATTCCAACCTTCTACTTCTACCCCATCAACAAAAGCGAATGACTAACTTGGACCTTTGTTGTAGGTAAGGTTTACGATGTTACGGACTTCCTAGACGGTGAGTACATGACCATGTGATTAACTTGGTATGCAGCTGGACTGACTAGACCGGTACAGACCACCCTGGTACATACAAGACACCCTTTTGAAGTAATGTGTATGGACTGATGAGTAACTTCAGGCGGAAGTAGGATAATCTTGAAGTATGCTGGAAAGGACGCAACGTACGTCATTCTCCATACCCCGTTTGATTTCTCCTTATGCTCATTTCTGGCACAGTGCAGCGTATGATCCAATTCATCCGCCAGATGCCATTACGACCAACCTCAAACCTGAGAAACAGTCGGTATCTTCCATTGATATGACTATGCCCATCGTAACTCACTCACGTCAGCTTGGGGAGTGTCGATCTCACGACTGTGGAGAAGGTTGAGGTAAAGATTACTGATGAAGAACGCGCACGTCAAGAACGTATCGCTGCCCGCCCACCCCTTTCGGAAATCCTGAACCTTCATGACTTTGAGGTTTGCCTTCTTATGCCATGTGAAACAAAGCATGTGATCAAGTATTTTCTAGGCTATCGCGAAATACACTATGCCAGAGAAAGCATGGGCATATTACTCCTCAGCGGCCGATGACGAAATTACGAACAGGGAGAATCATGCGGCATTTCATAGGTATATTTTATCACAAAACAACGTACAAGATTCTGATCGAACTTCCGTGCTCCAGGATATGGTTCCGTCCGCGAATTCTTAGAGATGTAACTAAAGTTAATTGGTCTACAAGAATTCTGGGGCAGAAGTCAAGCATGCCGTTATTCATCGTATATTCTTTCTTTCCGATTTGAAGTGTTTAATATTCTAAACGTTCTATTCTGCAGACTGCCACAGCTTTGGGCAAGCTCGGTCACCCTGACGGCGAGCTGAATTTGACACGGGCAGCCGCGAAGCATGGCATTATCCAGATGGTCTGCATTTCAGATACATTCGTGTTGTCGAACTGCCGTTCCCATACTCGTTACAGATCCCAACGCTTGCGTCGTGTTCCTTCGATGAAATCATGAACGCTGCAGCGCCTGGCCAAGTCCAGTTCTTCCAGCTTTATGTCAACAAGGATCGCGAAATCACGAAACGCATAGTGCAACATGCCGAGCAACGTGGTATCAAGGGTTTATTTATTACCGTTGATGCTCCACAACTCGGCCGGAGAGAGAAGGATATGAGGCAGAAGTTTGAAGCAGAAGATCCCTCGGAGGTTAGCAAAGCGGGCCAAGGGGGCGTTGATCGCTCCCAGGGAGCAGCACGAGCTATTAGCGTGAGTGATATCCAAGGCTCCACGGCGTGTGGCTCATATTATCTGATAGTCTTTCATCGATCCTGGACTGAACTGGTCTGATATAGCATGGTTCAAGAATATCACTAAGAGTAAGGGACAGAAGCACTTGTCTAAATATTGCTTGTCTCACAATGTCTCGTAATTTGCAGTGCCCCTTATCCTAAAAGGTGTCCAATGCTGGGAGGTACTTTAATTGTCCTTTTCTGGTATTGAGCCTTACATACGTTCTATGCCAGGATGCACTCGAAGCATACGACATTGGACTTAGCGGTGTCGTCCTGTCAAACCACGGCGGACGTCAACTCGACTTCGCACGGTCGGGTCTCGAAGTGCTCGTTGAAGTTACCACCAAACTCAAAGAGAAACGTGGACTTTCGTTCCCCAATGAGAGGTTCCAGTTGTTCATTGATGGTGGTGTCCGCCGTGCAACCGACGTGATGAAAGCTGTTGCATTGGGCGCTACAGCTGGTAAGCCAATAAATTATTGGTGAGGTAATGCCTCAGTCATCCTTGTACAGTCGGCATCGGTCGCCCGTTCTTGTATGCGTACTCAGCATACGGCCCTGAAGGTATGGACCATGCCCTTCAGATTTTGCAAGTGCGTTTCTTCTCCCATTTTTATAGAATCTACATCTTCTCATTACGCTGATAGGACGAGTTTGAAATGAACATGCGCTTGCTGGGGGCACGCAACATCCAGGAAGTTGTGCCAGAGATGGTTGATGCCTCAAATATCCACCTTCACATGGTTGCTGTGCCCACTGATAATCTTTATGAGAAAAATTGTGAGTCCTGTGCCTTTACTTTAGTATTCTAATATAATGCCCTCGTAGACGAGCGACTCCAAGGTGCCCGTCCCAGAGAGATCAAGAACAAGCTGTAGATGTATTTTCAGTGGACTAGACCTGGACCATTATACCGCTGTAGACTATCATTTACAGGATTTAGATGACCATATGCTAGCTTGATTTCAATCATTTTATATATACCTCGATTGATGTTGGAGCACGATGAGCTACGCTCTCACAAGCAGTAAAGATGGAACATAACTTGTCGTCAGCGCCGTAATTAAGAAGGAACGAATGATCGCTTCCTTCAATTTGGTCTGATAGAGAACACTTCGACACGTTATGTACTCCGCATGTACTAGAGACTGCTAGCGAGTAGAACATCATCCCATCTGTTGGAAATACTAGGAATGACTTGCTAGTTGATGGATCAAAATGGAATCTGATAACAAAAGATAGAATAGAATGATGCACCTGTTGGTAACCAAGCTATACGACATCTGCTCGTTAGTCGAGTTGCTGTTTGACCGGACGCAAGCCCCATTCTATCCATGGAGATATCATCGCAGCTGACGAGGACTTCACACCCCATGTGATTGCATAGTGTTCAAGAACGAGATTGAGCTCTTCGACCTCATCAAGCATTTCAAGGCTAGATATTCTGTTTCAAATGCAGACAAATGAGATTCTGTGAATCGCATTATGTGTGCCATAAGAAGACTTACCTTCCTAGTTCTGACAGCTCGATGTAATTACTTCTGATGTTACGAAGGGTCAGCGCCTTCGCAGAAGTGAACCCATGCCTTAAGAAACGGGCGGGGAGAGATTCTAAAGAAGGATATGGTTTTGCCCCTGGAAGAGAAACATTTCTCGCCTTTGTGGTACATCGCACTGAGATCAGACTGTCAACGTCAAAGTGGACGACTTACTCGAAGATTGTTCATCATGACTTGCCCAAAGGCATCCTCTAGTCCGAACATTTCATACACTGTACATCCCAGAGTGCCTGGCAATGGAGTGTGGGTGCTTGGGCTGAAGAAGTCAACAAACCATTGGATCAAGGTGGATGAGGCCTCCGGAGACATGTAAACCAGAACACATTCAAATAATAGAAGTGTTGGAAGAGCAGGGGACAGATAATCTTTGAAGAGCCCCGGAAGAATGTCTGCGGGGGGTTTGCGAAGATCACATGGCAAAAGATGATATCTGGACGAGTGCAAGGCCTGCCCGCCAAGATCTACAAGGAGCATTGCAGGAGTGGTTATTCGCGCATCGTTGTGCGACCTCACTGACCTAAATCCGAAGGACCAAGAGTAGTGCTGAGCCCACTTCTCGGATTGCGAATGGCCATTGCTTTCTTTGTGGTCACATCCGGAAAGTCGAGTTCGAAATACGTCCCAATCTGCTCTTTCCAAGGTCCTTCCTACTAGCCGTTTCACCGTCAGCCGGTCGGTGGGGGTAGGAAGCCATTAATCACCATTAAACGCCAAAACCGCGTGTCACTCCCTGCCCCGAGACTAACAATCTGACAGAGTTGCCCCTCCGGCTTGGAGAAGTCAAGCCACTGCTCCACGAGTCTGTCGATGGCTTCAGATCGCACATAAGTGCCAATATTGATCAATGGTGGCCGCAGGGGCTGTAGCTGCGCTCGAGGCAGCAGGGAACTGATGAAACGGTCGTTCAGATAGCCTTTCCTAACTGCAGATAGTCGTGCCAACGCTGCATCTGAATCTGTCTGACGAATAGCAGCATCGGAATCATGAGCCCTTTCGCTTCGATAAGCAGGTGCGGGCGGGTGCATTGACAACGATCAGTGATTGCAATAATGATGCAGAGACTACGTAAAGAAATATTTGTTTGTTCAACTTTGTACCAAATCATGACCAGGCGAAGTTCAGCGCTTCAGTTTCAGCCGTCGGCTTCTGCAGACTTTTGCATGCATGTTCAGCAGTTAAGATAGCATTCTCCTCCATGCTCTCAGCGCACATACCACGATTACAGCTGTTTTCCCTGACTTCCGTTACAGTGACCACCGCACCAGTACACCCTCACTTTGAAACTCATATGCCGGCAGCTGCTTGCTACTAACCATGCCCTCGCACAATCAGTACTGAGTTATGGAGACCACTTAAAATCAAGAAGTTTGTCAGCTCAGTGGCAGAACTCAGCAGCCGAACCGGGAATGAGACGCTCAGATCACGGAGGTATGGAAACAGGCAGCAAAGTGATTTTATGTGCGTCTAATATACCCCCTTTTCATCTTGGGCTAGGTGCTGATACTCAAGCCTTCATTTATATAGTTACTATTACGAAGGAGCAAGAAAATAGAATGCTGGGCCGCAGCAGCAGTGACGCTTGTTGACTTCGATGCCTCCCAAGTGAGCTTGACGACCGGCTCGGAAGAAGAAGGAAAGAAGAAATTGCGGACATGCATTTACTGTATCGAGTGCAAGGGCAGATTTTTCATGAAGTATTCTTTGTGAATGACGGTATCAGTTAATGTCATGTTCGTGGCTTCTTGAGAGGTATTTTCAGAAATTGACTTTGCTTGTATTTAGATTGTGACGCGCTGCAACGTTGGTCTCGGTCACTGACAGTAACAAGCGGCTCTGTTTCACGCTGGACATCACCGTCATCACATCTTCTTGCCCTGGCGGTCATATGTTAGATCTTATCTTGCATCACACAGCGGCACATAACCGTAGATATTTGTCGTTCTAATGTCACCGCGCTTGTTCTGGTCCTGCAGACATGCAAATGACTGGTGTAGTTCCTTCAGATTTCCCTGCCCTTCCTCGAATTTGTTGAATAAATTTCTGGGGGTAGATCTATAGGTGGATCGCCATCTAATGTAACCTCCCAAGTTTATTGTTCTATTGGGCCAGAGGTTACTTGGTTTCGAGGGTGTGTTTTCAGTGACTTCCCTTACTTGTGATACTCAATATTAGATATGGAGTTTTCGTTCACGGACCCGTCGCAGCGGATCCCAAACAGCCCTGTATGCATTGCGATTCCTTGTCAGTGACGATGGTGTTGAGCTCGGTAATAATTTAATTAATGTCGTCACAGAGCAACCGCTGGGGAATCCCGAACAAACCTTGCGAAAGTCGTCCAACGATTTGTTTTATGACGTGTCTCCTCCTTTCAGTTGTGTGCAAGCCCTCAGGAACTAGATGCTTATTTGTGATGCAACATTACTTTGGGTCTTTCACACTTCAGAACACCAGATCGGTACCAGGACGAAACTCCAAAAGGAAATCTTATATTGTCCGTAGGCTGCAGACTTCAGAGTACCCAACAAGTGTAACTACTCATACTCGGATTTCCCGCGCTCTACGCCACTGTCAGTTGACACGTGTACGTGCTCCTCGAAAGCAATTGTAGTCATGGCAGTTCCGCCATTGATATCCGAGTTTGTCACGAGCTTGGCGTGATATTCTCGAACGCTAAGCATGAGACGTGGTCCCAGCACAAACATCTGCAGAAGCGTTGTAATTTCAAGAATGCCAACATAGATCTCAGCTCCAACGGAAGATAAGTTCTATAAAAACGATAAAGAGGGGTCAGATCCGAATGACAATCGCAGATTGGCGTACCGAGATCTTTGGAGTCAGGTAGCCGAGGGTGAAGCAAGAAACAGCCGCATAGCTAGCACGAGAAACTTCAGCGGAAAGATCATCCTATTTAAATCAAGAACTCACGCTACGAAGTAAAGCACGTGAGTTTTGATCAACGCCGTGAACCAATGCTCGATGGTCCGTCTACTCGATGGCCGTTGCAATTCACGGAAGTGTTTTACAACAATCCAGACCGCAAGACAAAGTACGAGGACCTCCCATGCAGTAGCGAGTGTCCAAGCCACGGCCGTCAGAACTTGGACCTCTCCCTTGCGTACACATTGACGGGTGCCGGTAAGAATGAACTCCTCTAATGTTTGTCAACATAAGCTTGTTGTGATTCAATCTTACATCGATAATCAAAGCATACCCCATGAAAGGTGGCTGCATCCTATTGCAGCGATCACTCCGCAGGCAATCGTGACAGCCAGGAAGGTTACAACAACAAAGATGTGCATCTTTCTTGACCGCTGATACATGGCATATAACCGAGTGATCATGATGACTTGCATGATATTTCCATTAAGTCAATATCACTGAGGTACTGCAGCTGAATGGCTCACCGCTCAACATGGAATTTACAAAAAAAGACAACCACAATTGTGTGAAGCCAATAATAGCGCCTGAAAAATCCAGTTACTAATGAACATAGGAGGACTGGATGCTTCTAATGAACTCACACCTATTCCAGTTAGTCATTGTACTGCACCGACAAGCCAGTCAAGATTCTCACTCACTCCTATGTAGGAGTGCGTTAGACGGACGGCAATGGGTGGCAACAGAATACTGACTGCATCTGTCAACGAAACTGACGGGACACTTGCTATATGCCGAAGTCGGAAGGGAGGGACACAGTGAAAGTCAGAAGACGTACATGCTATGTTTAGGCTGATCATGGGAGACTGAGTATTAGCTTAGTTCCAACTTGTAAGCCCTGATCACATACGCAGAATATAGTATTCCAATGCAACGAACCTAAAGTGACAATAAATTAGCGTTGTGAGCTGAGCTTATAACACGAGAGATACCACGTACATTGAGATACAGGACACTCATGAGGGACCAGCGTCGCTTCTGCCGAATCCGCTGTCTTATCACATGTTGTTCTTTTGTTATGGGACCTGCTCACCCAGACCAGTTCAAACTATGAACCATTGTTAATGAGATGCGGATGCTCCGGTATTGAATGACACTACCTCTTGTCCGAATGTGAGTACTGGTGAATACCATTAGGACATTTATAATTGGACAAGTACTATCTCGCTCACCCCAATCGTATGCCACGGCAGTAGTGGATGCAACTGCATGACAAGGCCAGAGCAAAGATACATAAAGCGGGATATCACCAAATTATTCGTGCACGCACCTACAAAATAGCTGTATACACGATAGACATTGATAAGCGGCCACCAAGCTGGATTATCTGAGACCAAGGTCATATTCAAGGGATTGGAGTCAGGTTGTCTGCGAGAGGTGGTAAGTGTTCATGCTAGATATACCACATCCCAGACCTTTGATGCGCTGGAATTAAAAAGGGTTTATTTGGATATCGGCTCTAGCGGTCTGCGACATCGAACTGTTGGTGGTTTTGCAATAGAAATAGTTGCACGGAAATTGAATACCGCCGCGTGTCGAAAAAGCTCCTTATATTTAGTACTGTGGGACATTCTAAGTTCGCGGTTCTTGAGAGGTCTTGACAGTCCCTGACATTGGCAGTTCAGAATTCGTGGGTCATTGGGCGGTGGAACGATGTTACAACCTGACAATGTTAAATCGACCCTGGTAGGGACCGTGAGGTGCGGGAATATATATAAGTAAACCCGTTCAATTGCTGGCATGCGTTGTTTAACAGGCCTTATCGGCGTTGCACCAATTTGCGTCACCATCCCTAACCCTGCAACTCAAGCTTCTCAAAGTTCGAAGTTTGGACGTTGGCTAGCACAGCGACTTTGATGGAACAACAAAGAAAGTAGCGGAGTAAGAGCTGCATGGGCCATCAAGCACTAGTACCGGCGTACGAGGACATCGTGCTTCCTCCAAATCATGTAACACCGAGTCCACCGCGCTGTCAATCCACTTCACTCGTCCCTGTCTTGCAAATCTGGCAACTGCGACGCCAGCCATCTAAAGAGACCGGCCAGCATAATCAATACGACATATACTGCATTTCCTCCTAGAATGTTGTGCTCCTTCGACAAAGCAAAGAGCGAAGTCGCCAACGCGGGACCAACGGCACGAGCCACGGACGCGGAGGTTTGGCCAAGGCCATTGATAGCGCCAAGGACGTTGTTTGAAGGAGCAGAGGCTGTGATAAACAGGAAGATAGTCCCTGCAACGAAGTGGGTTGCTTGTAATGACAAGACAATTTCGTTGCAACACGCACCATATGCCAAATGCCATACGACTACCAGAACTAGTTGGCAAAACAAGGCAAACGTGACTACGTGATCAACTTCCCCCCTTGCGCGTAAAAGCCATGAAAGTATCGGATACATAAAAATGATTGGTGCGTAACACGACACTGACACACAGAATAGGCGCTTTGCACTAAGCCAATCCACGATTTTAGCAAAGAATAATGCCTGAAAGACACCATCTACGATACCAAACAACGCCAGCCACGACCCAATAGAAGAAGGAGAAAATCCAAGACCGCCAAGATAGGTAGGCGTCGAAAAGAACAGTGGCAAAAGAACCCTGAAAGAAATGTCAAGGAAAGCGAGCATGGCGTAGTTTGCAATTGGAATAACAACGGTAGGTGTGAGCAGATCTCGCAAGGGCATATTTGCCATGGATTGTTGGGCAATTGATTCAGTGTCGGCACTACTTGAAACGCCGGTCGTGGTTGAAGTCAACCTTGGTTGACGTTTTGTTGATAATGTCTGTTGATCGTGAGTAACGTGTGCAACACGACGGGTATGTACGACTTACTTCTTCTAATAAAATTGACATCAGAAGAATCGCAACGAGGAACAGACAGGCTGCCACCGCACAAGGCAGAAAGTATGGGTATTGTCCCCAAAATGAACCGGCAAACAATGCGGGCCAACGATCTTGCGGTCGCGCGAGTGTTCCACCCATTAAAGGACTGACATGTATTTCATCATTTGCCAACTCCATAGTCAACGGTCCTACTTACCCGACAGAGCCTCCAATGCACCAGACGATCGGGAAGAAGGCAAATGCCTGAGCCATATTTGTGGAGTCCGTCAATTCACCCACCATAGTCTTCATGACTCCCACATTGCCATTCAGAAAACCGCTCATGCAGCGGCTAGAGAAAGCTGGTGTGTCAGCATCCCTTATCTCCTTCAGCTGATGGCACACCTGATTACAAGGCTCCAGAAGGTCGTCGAGAGGCCGAAACATAGCATCGAAATGCAGCCTCCTGAGAGTCCAATTACCAACACCGGCTTGCGCCCAATGCGATCAGACAGCCGGCTCCACCTCAGCGTTGTCAGTGCCTGCGCGGCGAAAAACAGAGACTCCTGGTAATCATATCCGATGAAGAAACCATTCTCGCAAGTCGCAATTCCAGCACCTACAATGATTCCAGCATAATATCCTACAGCTGCATCATCACCCCCAGTGATTCCAAGTTCTCTGATAAGCTGAGAGAGCGAGCGAAACAATATCAAAGGTGGACGTCGAAGAGAAATATTATCATCGCGAAGTCATACCTGATTGATGTACGGGAATATAGACGTCGAAGCGATGGGTTCCATCAGTTGAAGCGCCATAAGTATGCCTATCTGGAGTTTTGGAAGAGGCGTTTTAGGTTTCTTCGAGCCCCCTGCAGGGATCAGGGGCGTAGTGTCGCTTGCTGGGACACCAGGAGAATTGGAGGTGTCCATTCTGATGAGTTAGTAGGGCTGATTTGAATCCAGGTAGAGCCGTGCAAGTACAGACGCAGATATCCGGCGGGCTGCCTTGATATAGAAGAACAGGACTCCAACTATCTGTATTTATATCTGATATGCGCATCCGTTGATACGGTCAGTTTTTGAAATGATGTCAAGTCAATTTGTCAAGCGACATACCTCCGAGTCAAAAATTTGTGAAGGGGAAAAACTCCGGTGCGAGTTATCCGAGTTCTTAATAGACGTGGTGTGTAAGGCTGACCTATAGTTCGATGGGGAATTGAGACGAGACAACGAGGCGAGTAGATTCTTAGGGCTTTTTGCTGCGAAGGTCTTGTCGTGCGTGGAGCGGGAATTCAGCGTCTCTGATTCTGCTAATTAGTGTAGGTAGACATGGGTGGTATATATACGTTGGCAGCGAATTCTACTATACCAGAACAAGTCTAGAGGAATGTGTCCACGTACTCGGACGCGAAGAGTTCAACTCTTCGCGTCAGTGAGTCACGTGGCTGTGTTGAACTTATGGTAAGCCAGGTAAGTTCGAACGCCTCATTTTGAAGCTGGATCGGTGCGTAAAGGATATACTATCCTTACAGGTGTTAGTGGTGTTAGCTCAGCAGCCCTACAGGCACTCCTGGACCCATTTTATCGCCGTCCTTGAATTTCATCGCTTTTGATGTCTCCCAGTGTTGTGTGAGAAGGCAACGCTAACACGTCCTATGGCGTGAGCGCCACGGAGTATTCGGTTACGGGTGTCATTAAAATCATCTCCTCCTTATGATACTAGGCTTTAAGATGCATGGGGATCCTCCGACCCCACGTTCTGTCTTCCAGGCTCAACAAGTGCATCATAGCTGCCACTCCCCTTCTCATCTTCCTTCAGCCGCCCCTCAAAATAATCCGGATCTTCGTTGCTGGAAGGAAGGCCGTCCTCTTTCGGAAGGGGGTCGCGCGGGTGCAGAGACTCGCTGTGGGGGCTTGATTGCCTGTCATCACGCGTGGCAGGGATGAGTGGTTCGTCGTTCGTCTTTTCGAATTCGGAGGGAAGCATGATGGCGCGGTCGATGGCCACTGGGAGACCACGATGTCGCCCGCGAAGCATGACGATGCATAAAATGAGCTTTGACAGAGGCTTCAAGGCACCGGAAAACGAGTAATTTTCCTACCAAAGAAAATAAGAATTCTTCAATTATAACACAACATCATCACTCACGGTAGGTATCCCGAGACTGAGACCAACAGTGCCGTATGCTGAGACTAATTCAAAAACTGGCTGGGATTGAGCACAAATGCGGTTCGATATGATGAAGACATACTGATAGTAAAAATATTGAACCAGCCCTGTATCTCCGTGTTGTCCAAATTTCCACGCTACCATTAGTTGACCCATTAGAACCGTCGTGAATACTCCGCCGTTGCACTGCTTACCTCTATGATACAAACTAACACCAGCGCCTACATCAGACAAATTCAGTCTACTCCCCCACGGTGACTGCGCACAAGCTTACCAGACACAACCACCACATGTCTTTAATATAGTCGGGTGAGACACATTATTAGACAATGAACAATCAGACATACCAAATGCCAGCTGTCGACGCGCATGCATGGCCAGATACCGAGACCATACCGTCATCCTTGGGCCTACAGTCGAAAAGGCGTTCTCGTCCATTGAATGGTCATCATGCTTGTATATACCCAGGGACTGCTCTTCGTATACGTTTGTCGAGCGAACACTAGATTGATAAGCGTCAGAAATATCTGTTTGCACGGTTGCCAAAGGTGAACGCACCTTAGTGCAATGGGGTCTCGAAAGGCAGTCAGTTTTATGCGTATCACCAATCATAAAGGCACTCACATACGCTAACATACATCATGATAACATACAGCACTCTATTCCTTGAAGTCAGCGCCTTTTCCATACGATGATTGCTCAACCTAACTTGACAGCCGGAGCTATTCTGGCAAGTGGAACTATTCCAAACCCCGCGGCACGAACAGCAATGGCCTGATATAGTCCAGCGACAATTCTCGTTCCTATGGGTATGGAATCGATGTCAGGGTTACCGATATCGAGGACCAAAAAGCAGAACCAGTCTGTAAAACTACATTTCCGAGTTCAGCATGCGACCGTAGAGATGGTCGTGAGATGAGCGTACTTCATGAAGACCAGAATCGTAAGGAGGAACCAAGTTTGGTACGAAGGGAAAAGATAAACAAAGCATCGACGGGGATGGTCCAAGAGGAAGTGTAGTGTTTCATTGACTCGAGAATCCCTCGGTACGAGTTTCGTCATTACCCAACTTCCTAAGATGAACAACCAGTTTATCAAAGAGGTAGCACACTCACATGAGAAAACGGAGTCTTCAGGTATTTTTTGAGTTAAAACTGTTATGCATCCCGAATTTGCAAACTCACAGTATAGGCTAACAATCATGATTTATTAATATGTTGTTAAAACGAGCTTACTGCCACTCACAAAAGCAGTGTTGCCAGCCAAGATACAAAACATCATAAAAAAGATCACTTGACCAAGAAAACGTCAGCATCATTCAGTACATATGATATATGATACTCACTTGGATAGGCTGTCTGGAAGGGCACCATGCTCTGATCGACAAGAGAAGTTCCGGTATTTGTGTACGCCGATACGACTTGGAAGAGTGAAAACCTACACTCGTGTTCTATTAGCTGATGCCTTGTTGACATTGTAAGGCACTGCTCACCAAGGGACCGCGACTTTTCTGAATAGGGCAGGAGGTTCGAGATCGCTCGACCACTTTGGCAATGTCATGTAAGGAGCGATCACCACGAAGGAAATTAGTTGTACGACTATGTGATACTACGAAGACCGTTTAAGCTAACGAGGACGACTGAAAACGAGATCACTTACAGATGCAATTAACCATAGCAGGGCGTTCAGTGCCCGAAATTCGACTCCACCCAACTCCTCAAGCTGTTCGTTCGTCGAAAAATGAAACGCAGAATTACGCCCGACAATTGCGTCGAACGAGATATACGTAACAGGCTTCGTACCTTCCTTAGCGCTAATACTTCCGCTATGGGCTGGTCTCCCAGGGATACTCGCAGCGCCACTCATAGTCCGTCCCAGACCACCGCCCGTCAGTGTAGTAGTAACAGGAATCGTTACAGTTCTCTTCAGTCTGTTCTTGGCACGAGGAAACAGCCAACCAAACAGCATCCCTAGCAGCTCGTGCGGCATAGGAAAACCCCCGAACCCTCGCAGCATCTGTTCTTGCGGCTGGTCAACGTGATCGAAGGAATGCGATGGATACGAGCCCGATGCGCGCCTAGCTTCGCCAGATCGATGAGTTTGAGTGGTTGGGTGCTGCGCCATTGGTACGTGCGAATGTTGAGGCACTGCGGAAGAACGGCGGCGGCGGGGAGCAGAGAAACCCGAAAGTGAAATATCTGATGAAATGTCAGGGGAATCTGAGCGACCGCTCCGGCTGCCAACAGGAAAGAGGGGAGGATGGGAACGAGAAACCGTGGGTGCAAACTCGATAGTCGCTGTCCGTGGCATTCCAGTCGATGCAACTGATGTCACAGCACCCCGACTCGCTTCAGGCAGCCAATTTGAGAGTTCCCCTGAAGGTCCTGTATCGGATGGACGACGTGTGCGTCCACTGATGTAAAACATATGTCAGGCTCACTGGTACCAAAAAATAGTGTTGTGGGTGCCTACGAGGTGTGTCTCTGCGGATCTGCGGGCCCCGCATTGCCAGTTTCTACACGTGGGTTCTTGATCTCGACATCAGTGCCCAATTCAAGCTGCTCCGGAGTGTGGGTCAACTCATCGGTAAACGCGAGTTGACGAGGCGAGGGCCCTTGTTCATCGTTTAGACTTGTTGCACTGGATTTCAACGAAAACCGCTTCATTGGGATCGCACCGCTTTCCGTGATCCGTCCGCTCGGGTTGACCAGTTTAGGGGGCGCATCCATGCGCCTGATCATATCGGGTCTCAGTCTCTTTGCACTATCCTTCGGTGTCGTTCGAGCATCATCACTAGCAGAATCCTCCGGTACTGTACTAAGGCCAGTCTTCCTCCGGAAAATGCGACGGGACCATCCGCCTTTACTGCTGACAGAACTCCCAGACGCAGTGGCAAGCTGCTGCTCCACTTTGATCGCGGCTTGTCGGGCAGCCTCTACTTCAATAATATGATCGAATGTCTTAGCAAAATAGTACCTGTAAGATTGTGAGCAAGTAATCGTTGACGTGCAAAATAAAATAAGGACCTCCTGGTGTACACCATCACCCACGATACTATGACCTTGAGCCAAGGTTAGAGAAGCACGATTTCTACCTGAAGCCGAGAAACGCACTGGGTTACCAATACACATCTGGATGAACAGCAAGACTTGCTGCCAAGCAGTAAGCTGACTCAAGTTCACGGTCGCTAGCCCACACATGGTTATTGCGCTGACTGAGTTGTATAGCGCATCGATGTATGCAACTGGATATCTGCCATTGCTGGCATAAAGGACCCCAGAGAATATCAGGGGTGTCAAAGTGCTAAACATACATGTTATCAGATGCCGACTGACAGCGGTGTTATGTCGCGGACTCACAAGAAGATGACGTGTATGCGGAAAAAGTTGAGATGCGTCCTGATGGTTTGCCACGCGTTGTGTTCTGAAGATGACATTGAAACCTGCTCCGGCATTCCGGCGAAATCGCGCGTGAAGATCGTGGGCGAACTTGCTAGGAATGAGAACAAGCCTATGTCAACGTCAACCAGTGCTTAATATCATGGTCAGAGATTGATGCTCCTTACTTGGAACTCGGGGTCGGCGAACAAACTCAAACAAGCGTGACATGCTGATGTAAGACCCCTGAACAACGACTCAGAGGCAAGAGGTAGAATGGTGAGAACACTGGCGGAGCCAAGAACATGTAAGAATGCTAGTATGTAAAAAGAACAAAAAACCGTATCGAAATGTATAAAAGTTGTTGGAGATGAGGAACTAAAGCTTCCTATAGCATTCGACGAACTGCACCCTTCACACCTCATCTGGCATACTATCCCTTGTCAAAATGTTTCGCCCATTCTTCACCTTCACTTGGTGTTCCGCTAGTATCGCCTCAGCTCACCCTTTCTATACCATGACCTCTTCTTGCTTCTTCTCTCGAAACTCGCATATTTTTTTTGAGAGCATCAAGCGTCACTTCCCTGCCATCCGTGCTTTTGATGGTAACTTTGGCTGTGGAGCGTCCGCCAGGTATGAAGTCTCGGGCGTTCTTGTTAAGGCGAGATGCGTTGGCGGTAGAAGGTGTTGGTATTGGCGGTGGGGAGGATACGGAGGGAGGCGGTTGAGGCGCATGAGGGGGATGCGGTGCAGCGTGTGCCATGGTGGGTATGCCAGGTAGTTGGGGGGCTGCGGGACGAGGTGACATGGGAAGGGGTCCAGGTTGATGGGGAGGAGCGGCTTGAGGGACAAGTTGCTGATGAGGCTGTCGGTGCATATGTTGGGGGGGCATAGCATAATATGTCCGAGAAGGTGGTTGTTGACCGTACGACTTGCATCACGTTGAGATTATGGTTGACTTATAGATATATATAATGAAATACTAACACAGTATGGGGCCCATGGCATGGGCTGCATGGGCAGCTGCTGTGTTACACCTCCAGGGGGGCCTTGATGTTGGCGCGAAACCATTCGGGGGCTGGCAGGCATAGGCGGGCCACCAAGACCCCCTGGCCCAGCTCCCTGTCGAGACTGGTTTTGCACGCTTGACACTGCACGAGAGAATGCAAGGGAACGTGGGGTGGCCTCGCAAACGGCAGCGATCGTCGTGGGCGCGGCAATAGCATTGCGGGTGACCCATTTACGGTCACGCAACTCAATGACGTCCTACCACGATGATGAGCACAACCGACAAAGAAACTAAAAAAATTCCACCAACCTGAAGCATGAACTGCATACGAGAGTTGACATCCAGGCTCTTACTGAGCACCTTCATGCGCGTGAAGTAGACGTCCATATGCGCACGAGCCTTAGGCTTATCCATCAACTGGCCAACTATCTTCAACAGCTGGCACAAACTCTCGATCTCCTCTTCCTCGGGGTCCTCGAAGCTTGCCAACAGCTTCCTCACAATATTGTGCATGATACGCTCTGTGACCATCTGCAGCTTGAACAGCTCGCCGGTAAACTTGATGAGACCAAGACCCTGGCGTTTCGCCTTCTGAGCAGCGTAGTACTCATCGAAATTAAACTCAGCATCCAAGGTGCCCGTTTTGTTTGTAGCCTTGGGCGCTCGATAGTCAGAAGCCCCCGCAGCAGCAGTGGCTTCCTCGGCTACCCACCCCCGCTCGAAGTCCTCTTGACACCGGCTGAGGAGGTGCTTCCGGAAGAGAAGACCACCTGCAATAGGTTTGCCGTCCGAGTTCTTGATTCCGTCATCCTGCACCTCCGGACTGATCTGCTCCATCATCTTTCGACAAAGCCGTGCATACATCTCGCTCCATGCAGGCTCATCGGTTGCATGCTCAAACACCAGCCGGCTGACTTGGAGGAGCGTCCGCCCGTCCTTCTCGATCACACTCTTGTTTGCCCAGTAAATGATCTGGTCTGAAATAGACTCGAACTTCTCCATCGTGAGCTTGTTGAGCAACGCCCTGACCTTACGGTCGACCAGCTCAGGTGAATCAACGTCAGGTTGGGCCTTACGAGTCGTATTTGCAGGAACCCAGCGGTTGGCAGAAAATTCGAGGGTTGGGACGGGCTTGAAATCGGCGCCTAGTACGGGTGCCACGCCGGATGATCCAATGTCAAAACCCTGTCCTTGCTGGGACATCGTGGCTTTGCTAGCATCACAACGCTTCTCACCACGTTTGGTGCGGGTGCGTTTTCCATGCATGGGATGACCAGGGCCACCCTGACTAGGCGTGCTTCCTATCAAGGAGCGAAATTGAAACGCGGTAGCACCGCTGGTTGGATCAGAACATACGTTAGATGACAGGGCAAAGCGCTGCTCGCTGGTAAGCTTGCGTCCTGGGGACTGGAAGTTTCCCATCTGGAAACCATTCGGAACGGATATTTTCTGGAAGCTGCCGATTCTCGGACCTATGGAAGCCTGACTTGAACCACCGCCAGCCACGTCAATCGAGGGACGGGGTTCAATGCCAAGGACACCGAGAGCAGCTAGGGTGGGCGGCTTCAGCTTGCAGATATGCATGAACTGCAAAAGGAAGTCACGATCGTATCTACATAGAATCATGGATAAGTCACTTAAGTGAAAGAGGCAAAACTACCAACCTGAATCGGCCGTCCCTGACGTTCGCATTGAGCTCAACATTAGGGCGCTTGATACCTTCAGGGTACGCCACCTCGCTGAGATTCTCAATGACACGTGCGGTGAGGAGTACGGAAGGGGGAGGTGCAGAAACATCTCCCTCCGCTGAAGCAATGTCGAGAGGGCCAGGACGTCGTCGAGAAATCTCAGTGGGAGGAGATATCGCAAGGGTATGTGTCTCCAATTTCTTCCCGCTATCGCTGTTGAACTGGGGTTCAGGAACTTCGCCAGCCTCAGCGATGTGTGCCTTCTCTGCCTCGGCCTCAAGACGTCGTTCTTCTTCGTCCTTAACGCGTAGGCGCTCTTTCTTCTCCTCCTCCTCAGCTTTCTGTGTGGGTTCCGTTTCTTCCTCTTCTTTGCGTGCCCGCCCGTCCTCCACTGCCCTCTTGACCTTACGGTCGACTAGCTCAGGTGAATCAAGACCCTTGCGGATCGTACTTGTGGGGACCCAAATGTTGGCAGACATGTTGAGGAGCTGGGGATTGGCGCCCACGATTCAAAGGTAGAATCCTTGCTGCCTTGGAATGGTCCGACGGGCCGCCCATGGCTGGATCAATACAACTCCTTGCAATGAGGCTTGCATTAATACTTGTTGGACGAGAAGAAACCTGAAATGGTTGACGTAAGCGACGAATCTAACCCAAACGAATGCGTGTGTCAGACGGGTCTACTCAAAGCACTTGTACTTCTTTTGCATGTCATGGCACGTCTTGTAGTGCTGACATATTATACTCATGTATCCTCTATAAGCTATAGAGACCCTTGGCAACGTGCCTTCCAGCAACAAACTAGAGGGTGTCCAGATAATGTCAAGGACATCTCGCGCATCGTCAAAAGGCACATGGGCGACCGCTGCGACTCTCAGCGTGTGTATATTGTGCTGTCAGGTGGGTCTGTTCTCCCATCGTTCGGTCTACAGTACTTGTTGTCTTGCTATTTGGATATTCTAAGCTTCCAGATTACTCTTTTCTAGTCGATTCTTGAAATTTACTCCGTTCCTTTTTTCTTGCTATTGAAGTGAATTGGCTAACAAATCTAGGCCTTATTGGCTCACTTCCTATGCTAACTTTCAGTGCATCGCATTCCACGCGCGTCGCGAGCCTACTCAATGTTGTGAAGAATATCGCTGACGTCTATGCAAAGTATGTCGTTGTTTTCCCCACGTATGCCCTGAACTTGCAGCTATTGATAGTCCCGAGAAGAATCTGGCATCCCTTCTTTCGTCGGATTGTGGTGCACTTTCTTTGGCATTTATGGACGTGTACATTTTTACGTCAAGGATCCCCAAACCGATGAGCTATTCAGGTCAGCTAGGGCCACTACGTTCACAAGTGTTCAACTTCCTTTAGCTCCAGACGGTGATGAAGTGCATATCCATTGCGAAACGATGCGCATATGTATTGCTTTTAAGCGAATATATACAGCACTTTAACGCAACACACCCTATCGCTAGCAGACAATCCAACAACTGCTTCAGCAACATGAACATTGCCCTATCTCCCTGAGGCTGTCACGGGATGCCGCGATGCCCGCCCCCTTCCCTGGGCTGCGTTTGTACCCCGGCTCTGGTTCACTCTCTCCTAAACGCGGCGCAATATTAATGTATATGACTGAAGCCTTGTCTATAATCGCATCGTTCAAGCTTTCCCCGAGCGTCCCATCTCGACACCACTGCACGACACCACCTACGGCGTTCTAAACAGCTCCTTTGCGCTCCTGGTTGCACGCGCATCCTGCATTGTCGACCCTTGCGCTCGGATCTGAATCCAGTCATTGCACCTGAAGGAGGCCGCCTAGTATTCACATGGGCATTGAGGTCGACGGAAGATGCCTCTCACATTCGAGCATCATCACTGTCTCCGGACCGACTGAGCAATGTTTCCTGGCTTTTGCCCACTATTCAAGTCGTTGCCTCGTATGTCTGCTATTTCCTTGCTTATCTGTCGTATGCAGTCTCTCGTCCCTCACACACAGCTCGTTCATACTTTTGGTCTCGCTTTTCTCGTGCAGTATTGATGTACTGCCAGTTGTAGCTATAGCCTATGTAGTGAACGGTAACAAAAAAGAGGGCGACGCAAAAGTGGCATGATGTGATGTGTTGGTGATATTATGTGATTTGCAAAAAAAAAAAAACAAGAGCAAAAACGAAAAATACACGGCCATAAGAATGCTGGTAAAAATATCGAAAACAAAAGTTGCGAGTGGACAAGATCATGCCACGAGAGAGAGTAGTTTGTCGCTATCCTCGAGCTTCGAAGCAATCCGTTGGAGCCTCTCAGGATCCTTCTCGAATCCAGCACCCCTGAGCATGATAGCCATATAATCAAACGCCTTGGGAGCATCAATGGCGATATCGTCCAAAAGCTCCGCCGTAGGTGTGAATCCCTCCTCAAAGACCTCAAGCGTGCACTGTCCATTGATCATAGCCTGCGCAAAGAAATCGCCCACCAACCTTGCGTCCGCTTCTTTGCTCTCGAGCGCAGACGCAACCAGCTTGTCCACGAGTCGGAAGCGGTGTTCGTCGGGAAGATTGGTGAAGTACACATCCGCCTCTTTGAGATTGCGAACTGCGAAGAACTCCTTTAAGTCTTCATGAATCTTCTTCTTGGCGTTTGCTTCTGACATGATGGTGAGTGAGCTCCCAGGCACTTCTTCCGAAGGAGTCATCGTATTCTCTTCAGCAGTAAGAATAGACCGTGGAAGAAGCTGGAGCTTCCCGGGCGGTACAGGGGTTTGAGGAACACTAACACGACTAAAAGCCATTCCCGGCTTCCAACTTGACGAACGACTGAACTTGGTGGGAGTGTCAGGGGTGAGTTCCGGGTTCTGGCTGAGCATGTGGAACATATTCGAGCTCGAATTTGTCCGTGAAAGTGCCTCACGCTTGCTGTCCTTCTTGCCAGCCGCGAAGATGCCACTTGGACCCATTACCATTGCCATGGGCGCGCCCTTGTTGATCTTGCCGAACTGTGAAAGATCGCCAACCTTGGGAGGCGCCCGTGGAACTAAACCACCTGCAACAGCCCAGCCATCAGGACCGTGCTCTTGGTTGCGATCGCCACCACGTCGAGAGCCACCACGAGACATGCTTATCTGACGGTTGAATGACTCCTTCTCTTTAGCTTCCTTCTCCTTGGCAGCCTGTTAACACAAACATTAATGCAATAATCCTCCACGATGTTAATGTGCCCTACCAGTTCGTGAACGGCAGCGATCGTTGTAGGCGCGGCAATAGCATTGCGGGTGACCCATTTACGATCACGCAACTCAATGACGTCCTACCACGATGATGAGCACAACCGACAAAGAAACCAAAGAATTGCTACCAACCTGAAGCATGAACTGCATACGAGAGCTCACATTTAGGCTCTTGCCGAGCTCCTTCATGCGCGTGAAGTAGACGTCCATATGCGCACGAGCCTTAGGCGTGTCCAGTAACTGGCCAACCGTCTTCAACAGCTGGCACAAACTCTCGATCTCCTCTTCCTCGGGGTACTCGACGTTGCCCAACAGCTTCTTCACACACTCGTGCATGACACGCTCTGTGAGCATCTGCAGCTTGAACAGCTCGCCGATGAACTTGATGAGACCAAGGCCCTGACGTTTCGCCTTCTGAGCAGCGTAGTACTCATCGAAATTAAACTCAGCATCCAAGGTGCCCTTTTTGTTTGCAGCCTTGGGCGCTTGATAGTCAGAAGCCCTCGCCGCAGCAGCTTCCTTGGCGACCCATCCCCGCTCGAAGTCCTCTTGACACCGGTTGAGGAGGTACTTCCGGAAGAGCTGACCACCTGCAATAGGCTTGCCGTCCGAGTTCTTGATTCCGTCACCCTGCACCTCCGGACTGATCTGCTCCATCATCTTTCGACAAAGCCGTGCATACATCTCGCTCCAAGCAGGCTCATCGGTTGCATGCTCAAACACCACCCGGATGACTAGGATAAGGGTCCGCCCGTCTTTCTCGTCCACACTCTTGTTCGCCCAGTGGATGATCTGGTCTGAGATAGACTCGAACTTCTCCATCGTAAGCTTGTTGAGCAACGCCTTGACCTTACGGTTGAGCAACAACGCGTTGACCTTACGGTCGACCAGCTCAGAATCAAGACGCTTGCGAGTCTTACTTGTGGAGATCCAAATGTTGGCGGCCATGTCGATGAGCTAGATATTGACGCCCGATATGCCAGATAATACATGGTCTGTTCGCCTGAATAGCTATGGGATTGTCCGACGGGCCGCCCATGGCTGGATCATACCCATTAACACTTGCTGGATGAGATCGATGAGAACTTAAAGCCCACACGCTTATGTAAACAACGAACTGTTCGTAATCTGAAATGCATTGCTGGTACCTGATGTACTGCTAGCTGTAGCCTATGCCGCTGTAATACTGTAGTGAATGATAACAAAAAAAGAGGACAAACGCAAAAAAGTGCCGTGCGATGTACATATATTAGTTTGCAGAACACCAAGAACGTACGCAATACGACCAGAAAACGAACGAAAACGAAAATGCGATGAGAATGCAGGTAAAAAGAACAATGTATCGAAAACGTGAGATGCGAGTGTGGAAGATCAAGCCACGAGAGAGACTAGCTTGTCGCTATCCTCGAGCTTCGAAGCAATCCGTTGGAGCCTCTCAGGATCCTTCTCGAATCCAGCACCCCTGAGCATGATAGCCATATAATCAAACGCCTTGGGAGCATCAATGGCGATATCGTCCAAAAGCTCCGCCATAGGCGCGAATCCCTCCTCAAAGACCTCGAGCGTACACTGTCCATTGGCCATAGCCTGCGCGAAGAAATCGCCCACCAACCTTGCGTCCGCCTCTTTGCTCTCGAGCGCGGACGCAACCAGCTTGTCCACGAGTCGGAAGCGGTGCTCGTCGGGAAGATTGGTGAAGTAAACATCCGCCTCTTCAAGATTGCGAACTGCGAAGAACTCCTTTACGTCTTCATCAATCTTCTTCTTGGCGTCTGCTTCTGACATGGCGATGGGTACAATCTCAGGTTCTTCTTCCGAAGGAGTGGTCGCGTTCTCGTCAGCAGCAAGAACAGACCGTGGAAGGAGCTGTAGTTTCCTACGCTGTACAGCGGGCTCAGGGACACCAGCATGACCAAGATCAAGGCTGGGCTTCCGACTCGACGAACGACTGGGCTTGGCGGACGTCTCGGGGGCGAGCTCCGGGTTCTGGCTGAGCATGTGGAACATATTCGAGCTCGAATTTGTCCGTGAAAGTGCCTCCCGCTTGCTGTCCTTCTTGCCGGCCGCGAAGATGCCACTTGGACCCATTACCATTGCCATGGGCGCGCCCTTGTTGATCTTGCCGAACTGTGAAAGATCGCCAGCCTTGGGAGGCGCCCGTGGCACTGAACCACCTGCAACAGCCCAGCCATCAGGACCGTGCTCTTGGTTGCGATCGCCACCACGTCGAGAGCCACCACGAGACATGCTTATCTGACGGTTGAATGACTCCTTCTCTTTAGCTTCCTTCTCCTTGGCGGCCTGTTAACACAAACATTAATGCAATAATCCTCCACGATGTTAATGTAGCCTACCAGTTCGTGAACGGCAGCGATCGTTGTAGGTGCGGCAATAGCATTGCGGGTGACCCATTTACGATCACGCAACTCAATGACGTCCTACCACGATGATGAGCACAACCAACAAAGAAACTAAAAAATTACCACCAACCTGAAGCATAAACTGCATACGAGAGCTGACATTCAGGCTCTTGCCAAGCTCCTTCATGCGCGTGAAGTAGACGTCCATATGCGCACGAGCCTTGGGCGTATCGAGCAACTGGCCAACCGTCTTCAACAGCTGGCACAGACTCTCGATCTCCTCTTCCTCGGGGTTCTCGACGTTGCCCAACAGCTTCTTCACACACTCGTGCATGATACGCTCTGTGAGCATCTGCAGCTTGAACAGCTCGCCGATGAATTTGATGAGACCAAGGCCCTGACGTTTCGCCTTCTGTGCGGCGTAGTACTCTTCCGAATAGAGCTCAGCTTCCTCCGTATCCTTCTTCTCGTTAGCATCCTTGGTGGCTTGATCATCAGATGCCTTCGCCGCAGCAGCTGCAGCAGTGGCTTCCTTGGCGACCCACCCCCGTTCGAAGTCCTCTTGACAGCGGTTGAGGAGGTACTTCCGGAAGAGCTGACCACCTGCAATAGGCTTGCCGTCCGAGTTCTTGATTCCGTCATCCTGCACCTCCGGGCTGATCTGCTCCATCATCTTCCGACACAAACGTGCATACATCTCACTCCAAGCAGCTTCATCAGTCGCCTTCTCGAACACCAACCGGATGACTTGGATAAGGGTCCGCCCGTCTTTCTCGTTCACACTCTTGTTCGCCCAGTGGATGATCTGGTCTGAGATAGACTCGAACTTCTCCATCGTAAGCTTGTTGAGCAATGCCTTGACCTTACGGTCGACCAGCTCAGGTGAGTCAACGTCAGGTTGAACCTTGCGGGCCGTGCTTGCGGGGACCCAACGGTTGGCAGATTGTTCGAGAGGTACAACGGGCTCATAGCCAGCGCCCAGTATAGGTGCAACGCCATAGCCAGAACCTTGTCCTTGCTGGGACATCGGTGTCTTGTTAGCGTCACCACGCTTCTCACCACGTTTACTGCGCGTGCGGTTGCCATGCATGGGATGACCAGGGCCACCCTGACTAGGCGTGCGCACCATGGGGGCGCGGAATTGAGCGGTGGCACTGCTAGTTGAAGCAGAACGGACGTTGGATGACATGGCAAAACGTTCCTCGCTCGTAAGCTTGCTTCCAGGCGACTGGAAGTTGCCCATCTGAAAACCGCTTGGAACGGATGGTTTCTGGAAGCCGCCGATACCCAGGCCGACAGAAGCCTGACGAGTGGCAGAAGGAGGCATCGCGCCAGAGGCATTGCGATGACGTCCAGAGCCACCGCGGGCCATGGCAAACGAAGATTGATCGACGGGTTCAATGCCGAGGACATCGAGAGCAGGAAGGGTAGGCGGCTTCTCCTTGCAGATGTGCATGAACTGCATGAGGAAATCGCGATCGTATCTACGCAGAACCATGGATCAGAGACTCCAAGTGAAAGAGGCAAAACCACAAACCTGAATCGGCCATCGCTGACGTTCGCATTGAGTTCAACCTTGGGGCTCTTGATACCTTCAGGGTACGCCACGTCGCTGAGTTTCTCAATGACACGTGCGGTGAGGAGCGCGGAAGGGGGAGGTGCAGAAACATCTCTTTTCGCTGAAGCAAGGTCAAGAGGGCCAGGGCGTCTTCGAGGAATCTCAGTGGGAGGGGGCATCGCAGAGGTATCTATCCGAAGTGACTCCTTCAATTTCTTCCCACCATCGCCGTTGAGCTGAGGCTCAGGAACTTCGTCGTGCTCGGAGACTTCGCCATCTTCTGCCTCTTGAGACTCGCTGGCTGGTGATGGAGTCTCAACGACATCATCTGCTTCTTCAGCTTCAAGCTGAGCTTCCTCTGCCTTGAGAGCGTCTTGCTGTTTCCGTTCCTCCTCTTCCAATGCGATACGTGCTTCCTCTGCCTCCTTGCGCTCAGCCTCAAGACGTTCTTCTTCCTGCTCGCGCAGGCGTTCTGTCTCCTCTTCCTCAGCTTTCCGTATCCGCTCCTTTTCTTCCTCCTCCATGCGTATCCGGTCTTCCTCAGCCTTCCTCTCGCGTGCAGCCTCCTCCTCCTCCTTTCGCTTAGTCTCTTCCTCTTCGTCGCGCTTCTTCTTCTCTATAGCCTCTATCTTCGCACGCTCCTCGGCATCCTTCTTCTCCTGCTCTTTCCGCGCATTCTCCTCGCGCGCGCGCTTCGATTCCTCACTCTCAATCCGGACCGAAACCGAATGTTGCCGTCGGCTGGTCACAACAGGCGATGCGGGTGGGATAGGAACGGTTGGTGGTTGGGGGCTGTGCTTCTTCAGAGCATCAAGCGTCACTTCCATGCCATCCTGACTTTTGATGGTCACTTTAGCTGTGGAGCGTCCGCCAGGAACGAAGTCGCGGGCGTTCGTGTTAAGGCGAGGTGCGTTGGCGGTGGAGGGTGTTGGCGGTGGGGAGGATATGGAGGGAGGCGGTTGAGGCGTATGAGGGGGATGCGGTGCAGCGTGTGCCATGGTGGGTGTGCCAGGTAATTGGGGGGCTGCGGGACGAGGTGACATGGGAAGGGGTCCAGGTTGATGGGGAGGAGCGGCATGAGGGACATGTTGCTGATGAGGTTGTTGGTGCATATGTTGGGGGGGCATAGCATAATATGTCCAAGAAGGTGGTTGTTGACCATACGGATCTGGCATGTACTAGCATCACGTTGAGAATATGGTTGACTTATAGATATATGAAACGGAATACTAACATAGTATGGGGCCCATGGCATGGGCTGCATGGGCATCTGCTGTGTTACACCTCCAGGGGGGCCTTGATGTTGGTGCGGAACCATTCGGGGACTGGCAGGCATAGGCTGGCCACCTGGACCCCCTGGCCCAGCTCCCTGTCGAGACTGGCTTTGAACGCTTGGCACTGCACGAGGGAATGCAGGGGAACGTGGGGTGCCAGCAGGCTGCTGCGGTTGGCGCATGTTGGGCACGTACTGCGAATATGAATGTGTGCCGAGTTGCGAAGGTTGCTGGGGCTGTTGTGACGAAGATGACGATGGTTGGTGATGTGAGGGCAAATTAGAGGGCCGGATGGAAGGAGAGGATGTGTCGGAAGACGGCTGGGAAGAAGATGACGAGGGAGTCTGGAAGAGCTTCGCAATATCTGCTTTGGATGGTTTGGGCGTTGATGCGGTTGACGTTGCGGCTGTTGAGGAAGGAGTACTCGAGTTGGAGGGAGTTGATGATAGGGAGGGTCTTGAAGGTTGCTTCGACGACCCTGTGGCCGATGCGGAAGCTGAAGTTTTGCCATTTACATGGTTGGAAGACGTAGCAGGTACGGATCCGAAAGACTTTACGACTTCGGTTTTTACGGCGGGAATGGCGGCCGGTGATGAAGATAACGGGGCCGAGGCATCATCTATTGATCCAAAAACAACGGATGCTAACAGTAACAGTTAGGTCTGGACATGGTATCAGTGTGAGGATGAAATCAGACCTGGTCGTACTACTGATCCCACATTATTTCGAGGGACTGAGACGCCATCTTTTACGGACACGCCCTGGCCTAACGCACTTGGACGTCTCGAGTGAGAAGTAGCTATTGGAGATGCAACATGGGTGGGAGCGGGAGACTGCGATCGCGGGGAAGGAGCTGAAGATGAACTGCTCTGCGGCGGGCCCTTTGCCCAAGCTGACTGCGTCGGGAGCGGCGTCGGAGTCTTTCCAGATGAAGTGGAAACCTTGCTCATTCTACGAGCACCAAAAAAAACGCAGAAGGCGCGCAGAAGGTAGTCGTCAGTAACAGCAAGCATATAATGAATTGAACTCACGAATTTTCGAAGTAACAGATATTTTAGCAAGCAGTCGATGATTTGTTGCGCGTGTTGGTCGTCAAGTATGACCTGCCAGCAGGCGAAAACAAAAGATCAGTTGGATGAAACTTGGTTCTGTCTATGAAAAACGAAAGCCCGTCGCCGTCAGTTGCGATCTCGGCAGGTTATAAGGATGTCTTCCTGCTATAGCCTGAGGCTGTAGGGAAACGACGGAGTACAACAAGTGCGTGGGACTCGAGCCAAAAAAATGCACCCCTACGATGGACCCCAGAAACCTCATTTGGTCCCCGTTCACTCAGTCGGCAAATCCACGTTTTTATTGTTTACAAACTAGAACCGACGACGGAACCGTGCTTTTGACAGTGAGCTCAACCACGTTATTATCCATGAGTCTGTTTGACGTCAGGTCCACGTCTCAAGCCCAACGTTAGCTCGGTTACAGGCAACGCATGGTCGACACAGACTGCTCGATGTCGGCGATAACAGCAAAGGATTGTCACACCAATTGAATGGCAATTATTATCGTAACCGGTACCGCAAGTATGTATCGCCGCAATGAGTCACGGGGCTAGTTGAACGTTGAACCCTCCAAGGGTTCGCAAAGCTGCCTGCATTCTTCGCTTGAACCCTTCTGGACCGTCGTGCTATTATGAGCGACTCTAGGTTGAGTCTAATATGGACTGTTTCAGACTCATGGGCCTCTTGTACTCAAACTCAGCCTCTGGTCCCTGCCAGTGGGCCTTGCCGCTCAGACGCAGCCTCGTCATCGCCAGCACAAGATATTTGTATTTCAATCGCGTGTACAGTATCACCGTGACGAGATTTCGATCCTGGGGTCGATAATTTCGTCAGTTTCTTTCTTATCGGATCGCATGCGCTTTATTGGGTCCATTCCGTGCAAAAGTTTGTCGCGCTGAGCTCAGGCGTCTAATATATATTTACGTTCTATTCCTTATCCAGGCAAACTCTCCTCGAGGGACACAGACGGGTCTTCATACCAGGCTACTTGTTGTTTCTGATCGGTTTAGCCGATCGTTCCATATGGTAAGACTATTCTAACCTCTCAGTCGTTCACAGGGAACCCTTCGATAACCGGCTGACGAACATCCTGCAAAGCGTTACTCTCTGCAGTAGATGCAGGCAGATGTTGTCACGGTTTGCGCAGCTTATTCATCGCTCTCATTGTGACTGGCTAGGATTGTTACATTCGTGATGACTTCCAGTAGCGTTGAATGTGATTCGCCAGCCGGCATGAGTACGGGTTGCGACGCCCTGGTGATTTGGTTCTTACCTGATACAGATACCGAACTTTCAGCTCTGTGCGTGCGTTATCCCACCCACTTTCGCAGTGGATACTCGATTCCTGCTGCCAGCCCAAGTTCCGAGTCATTAGACCTAGACTTAGAGTCAAACGAGATGGTGCAGAAATACGGAGCGGTGCTCACAACGGCGGCTGACGCAATCGCAGGTGATAGCGAGCACAGTGCCCTTCTTGGAGGTAATGCTACTCCTTTAGTAACGCAAAGGGAAGGCCATGGAAACATACGAAGCTCCGTGAACAACCTCTCAAATGTGAATAATAGTTTTTCGCTTTTGTTTCGTGTATACTAACGACTTCTACCAAGGTCGGCCCTAATATCATCGCCATGTATCCATCGCTATTGGGCAGCTGGCTATCGTCCTGCTCATCATATTCTCGTATTCACTGCAAGTATTGGGAAATTCGGCAGTAATACGTATTCAACGTACATAGGCTTTGGGTCTGATTGCGACGTGTGCCAAGACGCGACGGTGACCAACCACCTTTCAGTGAAGAACGTGAAACTTCAAAGGGACGACAGGAGGCAGCATTGCAAGTTGGTCACTCTCACTACGCGCAAATTTTCCTGGAACCTGCGAGACATTGGGCGTTGAAGGTTTCCTGGCAGCTTGCGCATGATCACATCGGACACTCACCGGCGCTCACTCCCAGTGAGCACTGGCTGTGCTGGGAAAGGGCTGTGTATGTCGAGGTGTGTTGGTAGAACTGCTTGATCCAACCGATGATGAGAAAAAATGGCAGGTTTTTTGTATGCCGGGGCATTTGTTTTCACGATCCAGCACATGAGCGCATATTATTACTTGCTTGTTTGTCCCCCTTGGGGTATGCTATCTTGTGCTCAGAAAACAGTGCAATGGTGATAAAATGCTGAAACACGTTGAAAGCATCTGTTGTCTTGTTACTTAAGCTTAAGTCCCGCCCCGCACTATGAGTCTATGAGGTTTCAAATGAGTGTGTTGCGGCATTAGTAGTAATGGAGGCAGACGCGGCTTCACGCACCGAGAACTATAATTAGTAAGGCAATCGTTTGAGTCTCAGATCTTAGCAGTGGTAGTTCTTGATCCATTACGGTAAGTACGACTTTTTTTCTAGCGAACGCAGCAAGGTAAGTGCCGCAAAAGCCTTGTGGGATGGCGTTCTAGAGGACGCACAGCAGGTGCGCTTGAGTTTGATCCTCGTTGTGCAAGAGCCCCGGATCTCGCTGACGATATGTAATTCACTGTCAGGCGATTGGACTTGATCCCTCATCGGACTCATCGCTGCCATGAGGTTTTGAAATGAAACATGCGGCACTTCACGCCTTGCAAAATTTTGGTAAGTTGACACCCTGATTATAACAGAGTTGCGCCAGCAATGCCATCCGAAACAAATAGCGCGATTAGGAAAGCTGTTCTTGCTGAGCTCGCCGACGTGTCACTGCGGTTTTTCAACACAAACACAAGCTGTTATGCGATCACGAAGCGCAGAAAAGGACATTCTTGAAGCCAGCACCGAGTAGTGGGACGTCAACAAATTCTTCCAGTACGTGATGTTGTCGCACAAATGGAAGCTGCTGTTACCCGATATTCAGGACGATAATAATTTACACCTTCGATCCGGTCCACACCATCATTAAATTACAGAAATGTAAAACTCCTCGCCAATGAGGACACTCGGAGCAATACGTGTCGTATCGAGAAGTTACATAACGTCGAGCTCAAAAGTCACTCAGATCAGCATGTTCCTGTGCATCACGTACTTGTTGGATGTTTCCAGTACACGGAGAGCGAGAGGGTGGCCCAACTGACATCACCGGCTAGGTCGACTCACCCGAAGCACCCTGTTCGTGCATCCATCCGTGGAGCTATATATTCCAACTGCTTTCCTCTGAGTCCGGGACAATAGTGAGTCGGAATATATTTCGCCAACGGAAACTCTTCATACAAATCATATGGACTATTATGCAGAGATACAGTTTGATAATCCCGTGGACTAATATATAGTGACTGTATACAGAAGCGTATTATTGGATCTCCTTGTCGTATTGGGGCAGCCATTCTCTGCAATCTTGCTCAGGCGGTTGCAGAATATAAGAGGGTCGCATGTGACCACCAGATCACCACCCACTGAGTCGATGATATGAATAGCGTCCTGAACTCGGTCGAAGTTAGAACGTTAAATACTTACACTTTAGATGCTATACACGAAAAAATGGGAGTACTCACGCCAACGTCGTTGGAGGCAGCGAAAACCATACGAGCTTGATGGGAAGTGAAAAATCAAAGAGAAGAGATAGATCACGAATTTGAAGTGATGATAGACTTTCAAGTTCGGGTCAGTGAATCTGGGTGTGTTCTGCTAAGTACGAGGAGGCCATTTTATATGAGAGAGTAGAGACAAAAGGGTTCATACGATACTAAAAGTGGCGAGAAATCAAAGGGAGCGTTACGGTGGCATCAAGACAATGTTTAATTGTGGAACCGTGATGAAGTGATGGGCACGACTCGAGCGCTGTCATGAAGACTTGCGCTGATGAGCGTTCGGTGGTTTCGATGTCATTCGGCGTGGCTCGGAGAATACTTGGAAGCAGCGGCAAAGGGGAAGAGAGTCTCAGGCTTGTGTGGTATGGCGGCGGTTTGAAACAAGTTGGCCTGCCATGACCTGAAAAGGCAGCTCGGAGTCACCCTGCTTACAAACATGATACTCACCTTGAACTGACACGCCGTTTCTCTCCCGGGGAGTCCTCTTTCATAACACTCTCTTAGGATGAAGTATACTGCAGCGAAGCAAATTGACGTCTGGTCCTCGTGTCCAGCATGTGCTGATGGATCATCATGGGTTTGATAGTTCCAGCGATCAGCGTGGAATTACAGATACCCTCGTTTTATAATTTCTGCGCGGTTTCTACGCGTTTCTTGTATAGAGGTTGATAAAAGAGCGATCAGATCAGCGCGGCTAGATATGCTGCACTGCTAATGCATACCACGCCATGAGGCTGGAACTTCGCGACTGGTTTTAACCATACCAATTGTTCTTCGCCCGTTCCTAATCATGATTCCATAATTGCCAACTTCCTTGACCACGGGCGGCCCTGGGCTAGAGCAACCCAGCCTTCGTACACAAGACCCTGGAACCCCATGACCTCCCTTATCGAGCATGTCCACAGTTTCACACAAAGTTATCGCCCAGTCACGGACCATCCTCCCAAACAAGTCATTGCTAGACTCGAGGTAATATTAATTGATTGACCAACCGGTATCCGGAATATCATTGTCCCTCACTTCCAGTTTATTTAGTGCAAGTGCAGCCGCTCTCAGTACACACTATGTGAGCCTATTTTGCCTCTGATTTCGTGATGAGTACTGATGCATTCTAGGATGGACGTAGATCCCGAGTCTGGCTTCCATGTTCAATTTCATGCACCCCAGCTGGCACCGATGCACATTCCGGGCTGGGATTACAGCAGCGTTCCAGAGCTCGTTGTGAGTCTAATCGCCATCGACGCCATCGATGACTCTCACTTTAGATTTTCCATCTCCTTCCATACACCCAAATCGTCGTGCATATGACCCTTGGGCTCCAACTGAAACCAATCTCCATATCCATCTGCTCTTGTTATTTGATTCGTCGTGACTACTATCCCCCAACTCAAGGACTTACCTGGCTGTGTGCCTGCCGAAGATGCACTTGCTCTTACAGAGCTCCTCCACAGTCTGCAGTCTGCGACCACTCCCGCCGATATCGAACGCCATCTCCGAGCGCTAGCTCTCATCTGGGAAGATTACTACCTTCCAAAGTTTCCCATTCCTTTCTTCCAGGTGCGCGTTGCCGATGTACGCGCGGCCGGCGGGTCCCTCAGCACTGCTCTCCCACTCTACGACGAGGCGCGTAGTTCGGTGGTATCTGTGGGCTGGGGCTAAAATATTTTTATTAATTTGCTTTTTCTTTGGTGTCACACCACAATCATGTTGTTTTTTGGCTCTTGTCTTTTAATTCAGGTTCTGCATGGTATCAATGGTCAGAATGGCGCGGCGTTTGCTCAGTTCGTGTCGACAGTGCGGATGCTAGCGCAAGGTGATACGGAGCAGCAAGGTGTGATCCTGCATACGCGCTTCACGACACTCTATATTTACCACTTGATAGCTCGCAGCACCGGTTCCCTGACTTTTTTCCAACGCTGGAAGCCTGCGCGCGAGCATGCTAATCCCTTCAATTGGCCCATGCTCCCACCAGCGTCAGCCGACATCCTAGCGGCGTGGCGCACTAGTCCATACCAGAGACAGTACCTTAACTACATCTGGATCAAGGCACATCACCTCGAGGGCACCTTCCACTTGGCAGGGGAGGTGAGTCGTCCAACCGCAGATAACCAAACGCAGAATTGGCGTTGCGGTTGAAATGGTAGTTATGGCACTAATGTTTCTGTCGACCTAGTCTGCAGATGCACTCACTCATTGGGGTTTTGCCCCCCACCTAGTGCGATGCGATGCTAGAAGCGATCTTAAAGACCCTGAGGCCATCATTCAAACGCTAACTGACCTCGAAGACGTAAGCCCTTTCCCATTCTTATTTACCATCTTCCCCCTCTCAACCTGTCCCAGGCTTTCTCTGCCACCATTCCATGCCATGAGCGTCCAGAGCTCCTGACCCCTGGACTGGTACAGGCTGTGCATGCCAAACTGATGCGCACATCAAAAGTGAAGATCAACGACCCAATGGTCGGAGGCGTGCATTATATCAATGCAGGATTCACTCGGCAAACAACGCAGAAGTCAGTGGTGAGACGCAGTCAGCAGTATAATCTCGCATTTTGCCCTGCGGAGCGCGTGGACCAGCAGCTGGAATATATCTGTCGAATGGGGAAGGTGTGTGGGGTGTTTATTCGCAGGACTCCGCGTGGCGCTTTGCGTCGACTGGGGTACTGATGGTGAGATACAGCAATACATTGCGCGCTGGAGGAACCCGTTTGCAACGGCTGCTTGGCTCCATGTTACTTTCGTGCGATGTCATCCATTTGATGTGCGTTTTCCTTCTTTCTTCATTCCTTGTGATCTGACTTGAGTCGTGACACAGGACGGAAATGGTCGCATGTCACTCCTCATTTCGTCTATCCCGCTTATGCGTCATGGATTCCCGCCGCTCTGCATCACTCCGTCGCTGAGGAGTGTATATTACGATGCGTTGAACATTGTGAGCGTTCGCTACAGTTTTGTGCTCATTCCATTTCTGTTGAGCCGTTTCGTCATTCTGCTTTGTCCCCGTGTTTCACTTTTTTTTTTTTTTTCATTTGCTGTTCCGTTCTGAGTTGTAAAATTTTGTCTTGTCATCCCACACGCTACACTACTTCCTTCCCACCTATACCCACACCAGTCAATGCTGACATCCTATAGGCCTGGGAAGGTGACTTCCAGCCCCTTATCAACTGCTTCGTAGACTCGATGAACACGAGTCTTGAGGAAGTACAACAGATTATGGGAGGTGTTTAATCTCCGTGATCTGTTATTCAGGTCGAAGAAGATCAAGTCGTTGCCCGCTCGGCGAGTTGGGCGTTTCTATCACCACGGTCCGTTTCAAAAAGTGAAAAAGAAAGTGTAGAAGTGTTTTACAGTAATGCGTGTCTTTGTATGCGTTCTTTTTGGCGTTTGTTCGCATCGTTCGGTAGTGGATTAGGAATCTTTAGTATATTAATCCCTTTGCCTTTGCTTCTTATCAGGCTCATGCTATACTCCTCCCCCTTCCTTTCAATAGCTTCCTCGCAGAGTTACCCATCCCCATTAACTTCATGATATCAGTCCCGTTACGATCACTTTTCAGTGATTCCAAATACTAGTACCTCGCCATGGATGTATGATAGCTGTCGATTCTATTAAGTATTTGTTAAAGCGAAGGATCGGCTCATATGAGGATTGCAGCTGATCGCGAGTCGCGAAGAATTTACAAGTCATGGGGAAGCTCAATGATTCACTGATCAGTGAGTCAATGATCCATCACCCCTGCGGGCTGGGCCTTGTGCCGTCATTCTGAAAAATCTGCCGTAACAGGACAGCTTCCCCAGCTACTCCCAAAAGCAAGGTTTACGCCAAGAAAATAGGCTCTTCATGTGAGTGTGATCAGTGCGCCTTCAACATTATCTGGACATAGAAGTGATCCACGACCAATCCGACGCAGCACCATCGCCGCTCCATAACGACACTTGGAGTGTAATATTAGAATTAGCCAAGTCCCTTCAAGTTCAAGTTCGCCGAACCGCCATGGACTCCACTCCAGCCTTCTCGTCATTCTTCTTTGAGAGATATAATCCGTTGTATCGTATCATTGACCATAAGGAAACGACTATAAAGAGCCGTTAGGCTTTAAGGTGCACTTTGATCTCGAGTAGTTATCCTTCCGTACACGCAGGGATGTTATGCGTGCTGTGGATCCTCTGCGTCTTAGTAGTATGTCAGCACCGAGGATGAAGACGAGAATGACAGAGCATGACACTTCACTTTCCAATCTGCGCTTGTCATGAAGACGAAGATTTGCAACAAGATAAGCTGAGATATGAGAGCAAGGGTCAGAGCCTCACGATTCGCTAAGGAGGTAGGAAGGGGAAGGTTAGGTTCCGCCAGAGCGGGACGGGAAGGGTATCCTTGTGTGTGATCTGGATTCTGTATCCAGAAGAAGAACAATTGAACAAAAAGATCGCGATCGAAAAAAACAGACCTTCTCAGAAAAACGCGTTCTGATAGCGATAGTCTGGGACAGTGTGCAGGTCACCAATCACTGAACCCGTAAGTTATGCCACACATGCTGCAGGTGGCCTGCGCTGTCACGCACATTTTACCGATAGGCACCAAATATTGCGTGGAAATCACGTCAAAGGGCAAGCGAACAAAATTTCCGAGGATCCGATGGAGTGAGGAGAAATATAGGTGTGTGTTTCGCCGATCGGAGACGTTCCACGGTATCAAAAGAAATTGGAAGAAGTGCTCGACTGCATCGTGCAAGCTGCAAGTGAATCTGAAAACTGATCGTTGCGCTAGTATGTTATTTCACTGCATCCCTTAAATTAATACAACATCACATGAAGATTAAGAACACCGAGATCTACATCATACCTTAGCCAAGATGTGGGTATGTACATCAAACTCCAGACGCAATGCGCAAGCACTCCCCCACCCCCACCAAAACACCCTATTCCATCCCCTTGGCAGCCTTCACAAACGCACGCACCTTCTCCTCGTCCTTCCTTCCTCCCACTTTCTCAAGCTCACTATCAACCCCATCACGCTCAACGCCCCCGCTCACATCCACCACCCACGGCTGCACACGCTCAACCGCTTCGCGCACGTTCAAAGGATTGAGTCCACCAGCAAGGATAAGGGGGAGAGGGAAGGTGCTTGTGCGTTCGTCATCGTCATTTTGTTCTCCAGCACTGTTTACGGCGCTGCTCAGGGATGCGCTGATGCTCACGTCCGGAGAAATAACAGGCACCTCGCCCTTCCTCACAAGACCTGCTGCGAGCGACCAGTCGAGAATGTTTCCCGTACCACCGCTGGGAGACGAGGACTGAGCGGAGGAAGTGGTGTCGAGCAGGATAAAGTGATGATATCCGGGTGTCGTGAGCATCGCGAGGGGATCTGGAGATGGAAGAGGGGCGGTGTGAGTTTCCTCAGCCTCGTTCCCCTCGCTTGTGCTCTCAGGATTCTCTTCAGGAGCAGACTCCGGCGCTGGAGGAGGAGGCACCCCGCCCACCCTTATGACTGGGACCCCGATGCTCCTGGCCCACTCGATGGGTTCTGAGCCGTGCAGCTGCACTATGTCGAGGCCAACGTCACGCACGACCCGCTGAATGAAGCGCAGGGGCTGGTTCTGGAAGACTCCAACGAGAAGGGGCCGCACCTTGCGCGCGTGTGATGGAATGTAGGAGGCATGGGTGTGCGATGTGAACCACGGAAGGGGTAGATTCGAATTTTCATCTTCAGCCTCACCCTCATCGTCATCGTCATCAGGAAGCGGGAAGGCGTTGCGCACAGCCAAAGAGATCTCTCGCGCAATGTGCACGGTCACGCGGCGCTTTGAGTTGGGGACAAAGACGAGGCCAAGGAAGTCTGCGCCAGCATTTGCTGTGCTGAGGGCTTCGGAAGGGGTGAGAATGCCGCAGATTTTTACGAGTGCAGTAGGGGGGGTTGATTTTGGGATTTCGGGTGAAGAGGGGGATTTTGGAATAGGCTCATCCCAGTCCAATAAGTTTCTTATGAACTTGCCCGTATCTTCTGCGCGCATGAGTGATTCGCCGACTAGGACAGCCTTCACCCCCTGCTCCCTATACGCCCGCACATCAGCGGGACTCTTGATGCCACTCAGCGCACACAAGATGACCTCTCCAGTTTTACCTTTCTGCTCCAGCACCTCTGCGACGCCCGAAGTCGTGCTCATGTCAACAACAAACGAGTGTAAGTTCCGGTTGTTCACCCCAATGATCTTGGCCCCAACGTCGAGCGCAATGTGAAGTTCGGATGGAGAGTTTACTTCCACCAAAGGTTCCATGCCGAGGGTCATGCTATACTCGAGCAGTGCCCGTGTCCTGTCCTTACCCAGCATAGCCACGATGAGAAGAACACTATCTGCGCCAGCCAGGCGGGCCTCCACAACCTGATACTCGCTGAGGACAAAATCTTTCCTGAGCACAGCGGGCCTGCAATCTAGCCCGTCGATGGCCGATCGGACGGCCCGCATGTCCTCGAGGTGGCCGTGGAAGTATGTTGGTTCTGTGAGCACGCTGATAGCACTTGCACCGGCGAGGGCATAGGATAGTGCCATGTGTGGGGCAGATGTATGTGGGGCAATTGATCCGGCGCTCGGCGACGCGCGCTTGATTTCGGCAAGTAGTGCCATCCCGTTGCGCGCTTGGAGCAGCCGCTTGGAGAGGGATATCGGTGGAGGTGCAAGGTGCAAGGAGAGGTGCGCGTTTAAGGCTGGGAGGGTGAGCCCCGGGGTGTTGGACAAGATTTCGACGTCAGAGGTGCGTTTTTGTGCGATTTTTGTGAGGATGGAGGGGGCAGAGGACTTGGCGGCTTCTGTGGTAATGGATTTGGACTTGTCTGTGAGAGCTTCATATGGGAAGGGCGGCATCTCTGGATCGTTCACTTTAGCGTGGGGGTTCTCCTCCCAAGTGCCTCCTTTTAGGGAGAGGAAATTCCTAAGGAGACCTTCACCCTCCTCTGATAATATGGATTCTGGGTGGTACTGTACAGCTTCGACGACATAGGTGCGGTGGCGGACGCCCATTATGACACCCGATTCAGAGGTGGCACTGGTGACCATGAGACAAGGGGGCAAACTAAGGAGAGATGCGGAGAGGGAATGGTATCGGGTGCTTTGGATGAACTGCGGGAGGGAGAGGAAGATGGAGCGGGCGTCATGGGTGATGGGGGACAGCTTTCCATGCTTTATTTCGCCGGCATAACTGAAGGGCAAGGTGTTATTTTAGAATACAAGTAAGATGATGACTTTGGACTGACCCGATTTCACCACCATATACATCGACGATACACTCCAAACCCATGCATACACCCAAAACTGGAACTTTACCTGCAAAATACTTGATTGCATCTCTGGACACACCCGAGTCAGTCTTTGGGTGTCCAGGACCCGGGCTAATTATAAGACGGTTGATGCGGAGAAGGGGGAGCTGGTCTGCAGTGAGGGCATTGTTACGGATGACAGTGACATGTGTGCCGAGAAGTGAGAGTGATTGGTAGAGATTCCACGTGAATGAATCGAAGTTATCGATCATCAGCGTGTCTATATCGCCAGAGAGCGTTGCAGGCAGCGGAGTAGGCGTCATATTGACCTTGGACAAGGACTATGCAACGAACAGCGCGCTTTAGCAGTACTTGCTATTTAAACAATTGAGTCAGTCACGACGATCAGCCAAATCAGTAATATTGATCACGTATCATCTTTAAAACTCCGCTCGGCTGTGACTCGTCCATTTCACTTATGCCTCTTTGTACTTGATTATGGTTTCTTTTTCTGCTATTCAATTTTTGTCTTCTCGAGAACGAGCTCGGCGTCGTACTTGGTCATGTAGACTGTAGATACACTTTTCTTTTCTTTTTGAAAGTTTCATTCCGTTCGGCAGTCTCCACATTGCTGATTCAGAATCAGTTTCAAGGGAATCATTTATTCGGGTCTGGCACACCTCCGAGTCCAACATGTACGTACACCTAGGCCTGAAACCGACCTGAAACCACTGGCACAACGTCATACATAGTATGCTCCACTGACTTCCCACGAGTTCGCGCATTATCTCAGTAAAGAAAACGGACTCGTAGTCCGGAGCGCTGAACGGGTTTCAAAGAAAAAACCTAGCAGGCTTCGTATTTTCATCAGGTGAAAGAATTGCACTTTTGGGTGGATGTGTCGTAAAGTCATATACCCCTGAAATGCGCGAACTCTAGACTTTTTATAATATCACATAAACTTGCACTTATCTCCAGAAATTTACACCTCGGCTCTACGAAAGTTCAACGACTTTTCCAAGACTAGGGTAGATTCCGTTGTCAACCAGCGAGAGATGCAAGCTTGAACTTCGAAGTTTGCGACCAATATCAATCCAGCGTGGACCATCGATGATCGCCGCCCTTTGCGACTTGCCTGCCTCGGGAGCACAAATCAATATCAGAATCAGCGCATCCATTGTCATGTAATTAGACGCACCATGGCTATCTTCCAGCTGCTTCAGATGACGCTTATCATATAGAACGGGAGGCTCTGGCCGTTGATGTACCCAGCCCCACACGAGGCACGCACAGCACAACACATCAAACTGAATGCAAGGCGAGTCCCTTTCGCCCAAACGGACGCGTGGACTTCAATTCAGCCTTCTCGTCATCCCTTCTTGTTGGCATAATGTAAACACCTGTCCAGCTAATGAGGCAATGAAAACCGTTATCGAGAATATGTATAGCGCGCTTACAACGGCTTGTACATCAATCCATGATCAGCTGAGTGTCGCTTGGAGTGCTTCGACCACGTATCCGTCCAGAAGTCATGATACTTGCCTGGTATTTCAATGACCAAGAGATGGTTCACCTGGAGTGTTTTATGTACACCCCGCTTAGCTATAGTATAAGAAGAATGTATCAGAATAATTTTTCGACTTTGAATGACGCACAGTGTGAAGATCGTGCATGTCTTCAAAGTGACCCGTACTAGAGCCTACTTAGAGCCTACTACCCGCACTGCCTATTTTGCGAATCGCCGTGACCCATTGCGGTTCGTTCCTCGGTGATTATTACTTCCGTGTGCTCTGGATGGTATTTAGGCGGTATATCCCATCGGGACGGCGAGTTTAAAAAACTAAATCGGAATAGATTTATGAGAATTCCAATTAGGTTTGGGAGTTGCCTCGCCCCGTCCTTCAAATACCGTGGGACCAGTCCGAAGGACATTATCAGTTCTTCAATTTCAATGTTTATTAGTCGTCCCCCTAGTACAACCTAGTACCTACCAATACTTGCGTAGGCACTGCCCGGCCTTACACGTGTTGTACCGCGAAATTGTGACACTGCAAATGGCTGAGCCGGAAGGCATACCACAGCCTTGCATAGCACATATGTGCCTAATTCCTGCAAAAGTTGTATACGTTTGTGAAATTTTGATAGGTTGATTGCACGGAGAGATATACTGGTCGATAAACCGTGATAGCTCGGACGGGCAATTTACTGCCATGGATGCCGAGGCTCCAATAGCATGTTTACGTTCACCGATGAATAGCTGGAACTGCAATCTGCGCTCGTCGGCGTTGCAGTGGAAAAGTCTCTTGAAAATGCGCAGTCGCAATCTGCCGCAGCTGTACTTTTGCAGGGCTCGCCTTGTGACATGAATGAATCTGAGGTAAAGACAATTAATACGAGGATAAAATAAAACTTTGCTGACGTCTAATATTCTTGAAAGCCTCGGCGGGTCTACCAGGTGACAGATTATATTCTCGGGTGGCAGAAACAAGACCAAAGGCGCGTGATATTGAAAGGGGAAAATTTGTACCCAAAGGACGGAAGTTGGTTTATGCGCGAGAAAGTTGAACAGTTATTGCGGGAAAGCAAGTCTGATATTAGACTCGTAACCATTCTGCCCACGCGCGACATTGACATACCAGGATCCGTGGTAGTATATAAGACAGGCTTGTCACGAGGCTAGGGCTTATATGGGAAACGATCAGAGAGTTACTGCGGTGTGAAAACCCAAATGAGAATACCTGTCTTGCGGAGGGGTGGTAACCCTCCACGGATCTGCAACGGTGAGGTACCGTTTGGTCGTCGTTACCCCCTCTCCACGGTTGTGCTATGCTGAATCCTGTGTAAAGTGTGATATCAGTACAGTGTATCGTGCCTTGTAGCTAGATGAGAGTGCGGGACCGACATGACCGTACACTGCCGCCGGCTTATTTTTAGCCTAATTGGGCGCACTGCCCGTGACAACGGCCTATTTATCTGGAATGATAATTGTCCAACGACCTGCGACTGCGTCCAATTTCTCTTTCGTTCCCCTTAAACTTCTTTTGGTTTCTTTTTTCTTTTACAGTATTTTTTGTCTTCTTTCGGGGCCGGCCCACATTTGATAGTTAGTTTATTGCTTTTCATTCCCTTCTTGTTCCGTTGCCCCCTCCAGGTACTTTGTTGCTGCGCTTTTCTGTGCTCTGTTTCAAAGCATTTGTTCGCGTCTGGAACGCCTCCCGTACCTCCACATCATCCTTAATCGCTAGGAATAACTATGGCCACATCCTTGAAAGCAGAGTTGGACACTTGGGCAGCAGCTTTGAAGGCCTATGATGAGCAGGATTTCGAGAAGGCCCTGGATTCATTTTCGGTCCGTTCTTTATTCCATCCAGCTATTCATCTCTGCTTATCATTTTCAATAGCGTATTGCAGATTCCTCTAAAATCCTCACGAACATGGGGCTAATCTACGCCACGATCGGTGAGCATGAGGCTGCAGTCGAGCAGTTCATGGCTGCTACAACCCTTGATCCGTTCCTTGCTATTGCGTGCGTTATTTCTCTGCCTGTTATGTTATCATGCTGACAACTTCTCGGGACCAGCTACTTTCAATGCGGGGTCTCTAACTTTTTACTGAGCCGATACGATGTCGCTCTCCAAAACTTTGATGATGCGCTGCTTTATCTTCGTGGGAACCAAGCCATGTCAGTGTTCTTTGTGAGCTCTTCTGTGTGTCGATTTTCTAATTATCCTGCAGTAATTATGAACAAATCGGCCTCAAGTTCAAACTATTTTCCCCTGAAGTGCTTTTCAATAAAGGCCTTTCTCATATTTATCTTGGCTACCCGGCTGAGGGGCTAGCTGAGATGGAGGACGCGCGCAATCAGAAGGTGACCGATGAGCACAACGTGATTGACGATGCCCTTAGAGATCGTGGAGAGGGATATACGGTCTTTAGCATTGTAGGTCATCCTCCTCACTTTGCAGCGATGATACTTAATGGTGCACGTTTATAGCCTGTGGGCGTGCTGTACCGCCCCTCGGAGAATAAGCTCAAAAATTCCAAGAGCAAAGACTATCTTGGGAAAGCGGTACGTCTCCATCTAGTTTATAAATGGATCCTTGCTGAGTTCCTGTCGTGCAGAGACTTGTTGCAGCATCAGACGCCACTGATGCGTTCACTGAATTCACTGGCGTCAAGAAACTCAAGGAGGAGCGTGAGAAAGCAAGAGAAAGAGATCAAGAAAAAGATCAAGAAAGGGACGACGATGGGTTGAGGAGAAGTGCAACCGTTCCCGCGTTACGTACGCTTTATTCTTATCCATTCTCATGTTTTTTTCCATGCTCATTGTCTGCAGGTGCTGATCCCATCGGCCGGCCTAACATCGAGCGCTCTAAAACAACGACTGCGGGTCTAAGGCCCACTACTCCCGCCTTCCCGTCTGGTGCTAATGTACCTCCCCTGCCCCCCACGTCAGGTTTGTCGAGGAGCAACACTGCCGCACCTTCGCGCATCAACGTTTCCACCCTCACTTCTAGTCGCCAACCATCCGATTCTGCTGAACCACCTGCACGGTCACCTACATCACCTTTGTCGAGGAACAACTCCATGGCACCTTCGCGCAGCAACACGACCATAGCATCTATTCGTCCCACAACCCCTTCATCAGGTGTAGCCGTAGCTGTGTCGAGAGGACTGACTATAAGGAAAAAAGAACCTATGCCCAGCCAACTTGTCAATCAACCTGGGACTCTCTTTCAGCCTCCATTTGCGCCTCAATCCCACCCTGATTCAACGCAGGTGCCGAGACAATACCAACAGCAGTTATATCAGAACCAGCTGCCAGCACGTAATCAGTATCAGCAACCTCAGCCGTACCAAGCTCAGAGTCTTCCTGACAACGGGTATCCTGCGATGCCAGCTAGCCTCCAGTCAAGCGTTCCCGTACCGAAGGCGCCTTTCGTGCTCCGTGCTGCCCCTCCTTCCCAAGAGGGTAGGTGTTCTTTTGAAGCCGTTGGTTGTTTTATATTGACCAATTATTTTAATACAGTATCGGCTCGACAGCCAGATTTCTTCGATGACTACATTGGTGCCTACACGGAAGACTATTCAGTTTCTGCCGTGCCAGGATCGCTACCTAACATGGGCGTCGATCGCGTGGCATTGTGGCCTCAGGGAAGCGTACAGTCAAGTCCAGGGACTACGGGCTCGAACTTGAGCACTGGTTCGATGATTCAGCGGATGCCCTCACGCAATGCGATCGCCACGCCGTATCCGCAGGGGTCCTTGAACCCTGAGGCGCCAATCGGAGCCAATATCTCCCGCGCCGGTAGTGGAAGCATGCGCCGGAAACCAACCAGACGAGCGACGCAGAGGCGGCCGAAGACAGCGTACGAGGAGGAGGAAGAGGGGTATGTGAGTGGGGAGTATGACGATCCTTATGAATTGTCGAATATCCGTGTCAAGGTCCGTTCCATCGTCTTCTTGATATTATTTTAAGTGGCTCATCACGTGCATTGCAGTTGCACTACCAAGGCGATGTGCGTGGAATGACGCTAACGCCAGACACATTATTCGAAGAATTTGTCGAGCGCGTGACGAGCAAGTTTGGCACTGCTATGGACGGTCTGGGTCTCAAGTTCAAGGATGAAGATGATGTGAAAGTGACGATAAGAGATGGCAGCGATTATGAACTTGCCATCGAGACTGCACGAGCGAACGCCAAGGGGAGGGGTGAGGGGAAGCTGGAGATTTGGTGCACAGATATGTAAGACTGACGTGCTGACTCTTGCTTGCATATTATCTCTCTGTCGATGGGTTTGGATTATTTTTGGAGGACGTGTGTCGTATGCACTTAATATTTTACTCCTCTATCACTGTTGTACCAAGATCTACAATATTATCTTGTTATTTTGTTTTGTGGTTGTCTCAGATCTGAGAATAGGAGGTATATCCTATATAGGAGGTTGTCTCGACTTCCATGCTCGGCGTTTATATAGATGGCTCCTACATAGTACATAATTATTCTCTCCAACACCAACTGCCTTTTCTCATTGTCGTTCACCAGACACGTATTGTCGCCCAACTACACTACATTATTTTTTACGAAGCGAGGAGTATTCTCTCTCGGACTTAGCAGTCATTCACTCATGGTTGTTCCCCTCATTGGACGTCTCAAGGGGCACGAGTATGCATCCCTCATCGGAGGCTTCTTCTTTCTAGTCTTCGAGAATGCTCTCCGCTTCATCATCATGTTTCTCCCTGCTCCCATCGTCCGGTGGTTTCACGACCGCTCACGCACCCTCTTTCACCGTTTCTCCGCGAATCATGCAAAAGGCAAGTCCAAAGCCGAAGATGTTGCTGACGCTATTCGGAAGGCGAAAGATTTTGGAGAGCTATGTCAGTATTGGGGCTACACGCACGAGGAACATGTCGTTTTGACAAAAGATGGTTATTTATTGGGCTTGCATAGGCTCCCGACTAAGAGGGGGCAGAGGAAGCGAAGTCCTGGGACGAGCACCGGAAAGCCGGTGGTGTATTTGCATCATGGGTTGCTCATGAACAGCGAAGTATGGGTTTGTCTGACAAACGCGGAGAGGTGTTTGCCGTTTGTCCTCGCTGAGCAAGGTGCGTATTATCATAATAATTCTGCGTCATGATGCTAAGCTGGTAATAGGCTTCGACGTATGGATGGGCAACAACCGAGGGAATAAGTACTCCAAGAAGTCTGTTCACCATGACCCGAATTCGGTCAAGTTTTGGAACTACAGCCTCGACGACTTTGCTTGGCATGATATTCCTGATTCTATTCAGTATATCTTGGATATTACCAAGTCGAGCAGCTTGAGCTATGTTGGTTTTAGCCAGGGCACCGCGCAGGCATTTGCCGCGCTCAGTATTCATCCACAGTTGAATGAGAAGGTGAACGTCTTCATTGCACTCGCACCTGCTATGAGTCCGGCAGGATTAGCGGCTCCGTTTGTTGATGGCCTAATGAAAGCTTCGTGAGTCCATCGTCTGACTACTGCTTATATTCTCGAATCTGACATCTCCTAGCCCGACATTGATGTATCTGTTCTTCGGACGCAAAGCCATTTTGTCTTCTGCGATTACCTGGCAAGCCATCCTGTACCCACCCATCTTCACAAGCGTCATCGACACTTCGATGCGTTTCCTCTTCAACTGGGACAGTCGAAACATCTCATATCTCCAGAAGATCGCTGCATATGCCCATCTCTACTCCCTAGCGTCTGTCAAGTCCGTTGTGCACTGGTTCCAGATCATGCGCGAGGGTGCATTCCAGATGTATGACGATGATGTCAGCGCGTTTGGCTCTCCTGGTGGTCGCGCATACCGACCTGCGAGGTTTCCGACGAAGAATATCGTCACGCCGATCGTGCTGTTGTATGGAGACAGGGATAGCCTTGTTGACATACAAACGATGCTTAAAGAGCTCCCGGATCACACGACTGTGACGCGTCTGGATGGATATGAACATTTGGACATCCTTTGGGGGAAGGATGTTGACAAGGATGTGATTCCTGAGGTTGTGAACGCCTTGAAGGTGCACTGCGACTCATTCGGGAGTTCGGACGAGTTTAAGGATGGGATGAAAGTGTTTGAAAGGTAATCGTGGAGTGGCCGCAACACAACAAGGGGACATTTATATTCATTTATAGCGGACGGTTGAACTTATTCTTTCTGTGTTCCTTCAGGTATAGATATAAATTTGATAATGTAGTACTGGCCGACAGTAATGGTATATATCTTGACAGTATAATAGCGATATCGACTGGTCATGAATCGTCACTGACCGGCTCTACGCGCTTTTTGGATTTTTTGGACCGCTTTTCACCTTCATCTAGTTCGGCACCAGGCTTTGCTTTCTTTTTCTTCTTGTCATCTTTCCGCCTCTTCCTCTCGGACTCTAAGCCATCTTCTGGTTCTTCTGCTGACAGGGCAAGGTCAGACGGTTCCGCACCTTTCGTTTTCCGTTCCTCTTTTCGTTTCTTCTTTTCTGCCCTAGCATCGCTGTCGGGGGTCTCAACTCCTGCACCTACAGGCACGTCAAGTGCCTTTGCATTCCGCATTTTCTTCTCTTCTTTTCTCTGAGCTTTGCGTCGCTGTTTCTCAGTCATCTCTTCATCTCTAGAACTGTCTCTATTAGATATCGCTGTCGGCTCGGCAGGTTGAACTATAGCTTGAATAGCGGAAGACGCCATCTGGACGACAGTGGCGTGTGATGACGAGGATGTATTGAAGAACTGGGCGAACGCATTCGAAGAGCCACCTTCTCCAAAGCTGCGACCTGCACCGAGTCCACTTCGCGGTTGATCTATGTCGTCTCGAGAAGGGGCACTGGAGGAACCAATCCCTCCCCGAGAAATGCTGCCATCGTCATTTACCGCTGGGGTATTAGAGCCAGATTTCGCGCCAAGTTTTTCCTTGAAATAGTCTGCGACGCTCTTGTTCGACGTTGTGAGCTTCTCGAGGGGGAGGTCGCTGTCTGCGGGTGTGATGGGTGTTAGAGAACCTGAGGGAGTTGTGGAGGAAATGGATGAAGGAGTGGGTGCGATCCCCAGGATTTCAGAGATGGCAGCCGCTGATTTGTTTGCAAGGCGTTTGGCAGCTTGTATGCGAGCACGGTGGCTAGGAGAGGTAGTTAGCATTACATGCTGTAGTCATTAGAAAGAAACGCACGCCATAGGGCGACCCTTAAGCTTTGTTGGAGGATTGGATGATACGGTATCGGGGGATGAGGCAGGAGGATCGATATGCGTAGAAGTAGGTTTTGTCGAATCCGCTGCAGCTTCATCAACATCCTCATGCTGGCGCTTGTCTTTCTTCCGTTTTTTCTTATCTTTTCCGTCCTCGGTATGTTCCCCTTCCCTTCGCTTTCGCTTCTTCTCTTTCTTCGATGATTGGTTCGGCTGCTCGTCCTCCTCGGATTTCTCCCCACCGTGTGCGTCCACTGCAGACTGCTCAGGCCGAACAAATTCTCCCAGCACATCCTTAGAAGCCGAATCTTGACCATCTTGCGCATTGAGCCTCTGCAGCAAAGCCTCAAAGTCCTTATTCTGTTTCCACGCGATACCATGCGGATCTCGCTGATGTGCAGCGCCAATCCCAAGCATATCGAGTTTTTGATTGACCTTGAGATGGGATTTCATACCATCGCCAGAGGCGCCTAGACCTTTTGAGGGGTCCCAGCCGAGCTTGGACATGTAAGACTGGCCAAAGCGAGCTGCATCTGTGGAGAGGTGATAATAGTATTCGGGAAGTAAAGTGGTGACTTACTATCTGCCCAGGATAAGTTTCGTGGGTCGTTTGGAATGCGTTGTTTCTCTTTTCTGCCGGCCAGTCCCATGGTAGATAATACTATCAGGCAGCCGCCAACTTGTATGTCTGACTCTAGAGGAGGATGAAGAAATCCAAAAATCTAGGGTTCCCAATTGGGCGTTCCACCCTTGGTCTCGACGTTAATCCTCGGCAATTCATGATTGAATTTGGCCTGTTCAAGTTGCTCGATACGCTTTCCCGTTCATTCGCCCATCGATGCAGTTGACTATGTGGTCGGACTGGAATAAGGCTTTGCTCATGGAGCCTGGCGTGTCCTTCGATCTCACATATTTGTTTCACTCAGACTGACCGCAAAACTGCTGTGCTACTAGACACAAGCAACGGGATAACGCAGGAGCTCGTTGTGATGCAGTTATTAATCCACTCCTTCGAACGTATCACGAAGTTGTCTTCCGTACCCTGCCTCGCAACCCGGTTCTATTTCCCGTTTTACTCGAGGAGTAGCCCCCCGTAGTCAGACCCTACGGAGGGAATGGCTGTCTTTCATCCTATTGAAGATGAAGACAATCGTTCCCTCCGTAGTAGGCCTCTCTATCAATAATCGCAGAGGCTGCTGAAGAGCCTTGTATCACCTACTGTGTTCATTCCAACCGCAAGTACTTGGGTTCGACGATATCATTCTTGGCCTTGTCTGTCCATCTCCGCTAAGGTTCAGGCTGTGGTTTTTAAGCCCATGATCATATGTTTGAATTCTGGATTATTTCTCCTTAATTTACCCGCTTATTCTTGTGCTAGGTTCTTCCTACATTCTCGCCGTGAAGTTCTGCCAGGCTCAACCAATCTACCAACCCAACAGAACTTCCAAGTTCTGTCCATAACACTTCCAGGAATCCAGGACCAGGATATAAAAGCACGCTGTGTCTAACCACGCCAGTGATATCAGTTACAAATTTCCCTTTGCAAAGCTCAAATCACCTCCCACAAATCATGCATTTCTCCTTCCTCGTCGTCGTTACTGCTTTGGCAGCGTGTATGTCTGTCAGTGCATGCAAAGCGCGAGGCCAACAATGCAAGAAGAACAGTGATTGCTGCAGTGGCCTTCGTTACGATACGTAGTTCATCAATGCGGTTTCTCCCGGAGTCTGGACAAATTTCACTGCTACATAGGCAATGGAGGCGCCTTTGAATTTATAGAGGCAATCCAAAGCATTCAATATGAATTTAATATTGACCATTATAAGATACAAAATGTGTGAAGGTCATGAAGCAACAGCATTCACTTTATCCCATGTATTCTGAAGGACGTCGCAGCACCGAGCTAGATGAGATCGGTTGTAAAACTGAACAGATACCTACGGATATTCACCCTATTATGGCACTGCTCCATTCTGTTTCAGAAGGTTGCTTTATGCAGACGCGGACTCTGTGGCCCGCCAACGGTTGTATCGGGAAGTCGCCCGCAGGAAGCGTTCGAATCTGACTGAGTCCACTGCTTCTTGATTGTCGTCAATATTGTCTGTCTTATTTTTTGCGGGAGAGGTGACAAATGAAAAGCAGTCCGGCGAGTGGAAAGCGTGGTATTATGGATTGATTGATTGATCAGATGGGAATAAGATTCTGGCACAGAGATTAATTCGAAGAGGGTGCAATAGGCGGGCGTGTGGACGTCATGAATGCATAGTCATACTCGAACGGCCGAGCCGTTCGAAGAAAATGAATTGGTAAGTGTTGTCGCCGGCATTATATGCTTCAGAGACAAAGCAAAGACAGCCAGCAATTAGCTTTCGGCGTTCTTTTTCTCATCCACGCAGTTCTGGGCACTCACAACTTGGGGAGACAGTACAGGGCGCAGCTGTTACTGCACCCAATATTGTCTAACAATCTGCTCTTGAATATCAAGCGTCGAGTGTCCAGTGATTCGATAGTTAGAAACCAGCGGTGACAATAAGACGAAATATGATAATGCTACAACTTCATGGAACCCTTCGCGCTGGTACCCAGTGTGGTCCACCAATTACTGCTAGCAGTTTTGACTGGAGTTTTTGATTTCGTCTGTGGTGTCCGTTTCACTATTGTAGAAAGTCCAGAACTGACACCCTTCCTCCCTCTACCTGGTGGAGTAGGCGCATCTGGTTCATCACTCTCGACACGTTTTCGTTTTGTCGATGCGCCAGCCTCAGGTGCAGGCAACGGTTTGAATCCTTTGTCCCACTCTTTTCGGTGTAGCCGGAACACGGCCATCGTCGCCCTAGCGTCTGTGACCTGCCCGAGTGTAAAGTCAGTCAGGAGTTGGGGATGGGTAGAAGACTTACACTGGAGTGTTCCCCTCCCTGGATAACAACATCGAGTTCTTGTTTTACGAGGTTGCGAAGAGCAGGGCGTTTACTACTTGTTACATTGTGTTTTGCCGCTAAGCGTTGTGTGTCCCGTATGTATGGACCCGGGTGCGATAGGAACAGAACCTGAGGACGGTTGTCGGTGAGCTGCCGAAATAGGGACACATATATTGCTAACCTTGAGATCATTGTGTACGGCGTGTCCCACGAGGATGCGGTCTTTGGTCAAAGCCGCGACTGTTTTCTGCACCTCCTCGAATTGTTTAGCTAGAGGCAATATTAGCTCAACCACAGGGTGCAGCGAGCAAAGCCTACATACCTTTGACCATATCAGAGGGGCGTATCCCACTCCATTTGGTCCGATAATCCACAACACGTTCCTTCTGCCTCACGAACTCATCCATCTGCACTGCGCCCCAATAATTAACGATACTAACGCGCGCAAGCGACGACTCCTCGCCGTCGATGCCCACGCCCACCATCTCGCAATCAATTGCAAGGTATTTTCCTGGACTGTGCGTCAAAATAAGATTCCATGGTGGCACCCTGTGAGGGTAAAATTGACGCACTCTGTCTGGGTAGATGTATGCTCTAGTCGTCCGAAAATCATCTTGCGCAATGTCGCAAGGGATTCGCCATTTTTAGTTTCTTGGGTCGTAAAGTCGACGGCAAGCTCAGTGTCGATTGTGGTGGTTTGTCCTCTTGGAAACGCGGATGTAGACGCGTCTTGTAAGGTCAGGCCTGGAGATGCGGAGCTCAGCTGTGATCGGTCGAGCTTCCGCCGTTTGTGGGGTGGACCATCTTGCTCTGGCTTTTTGCCCTTCCGAAGTGTCTGTACAAAACTTGAGATCGTGAAGAAAAGCTGCTGTTGGAGACTTACTTTTTTAGATAGGTTTGCAGCAGATGCACTCATGGCTCGCAAGCTACGTTGTAGTAGGTCCGCAAGTATGTAGTACTAGTAGGAGGTCTGAGGTCGCTTATCTCGATTCAGCGTGTGACTTTGCACAGCGACCAACCGCTATAATCACGTCAGTCTGGCATGTCTTCTCAACTTTCCAATGTGATTATGTACATACCTAGCTAGTCTTCTGTCGTCCTCCATCGTCTTCAGACTGCTCATCCAAACATGCCTTACCTTTCAACTGTAAATGATTTGGTCGCTGGCAGCGTAGGCGGTGCCGCCCAAGTGTTGGTAGGCCAGCCACTTGACACCGTCAAGACACGCGCTCAGATCGCTCCCAGTCAGTTAACCAACCGTGATCAAATATCTAATACTGAGTCATAGATTACAGAGGGAATGTTTGTACGTGAATACATAGGTTCAGAGTTAGACGGCTCACGGCTGGCTTAGAAAGGACCTATGGATGTTCTTGCACAAACCGTTCGAAAAGAAGGTTTCTTCGCGCTGTACAAAGGTTAACCCCACGCATGATATGTTTCCGAATGCTCATTCTGCTGCAGGGATGGCCAGCCCCCTTCTTGGTATAGCTGGGGTCAACTCCTTGCTATTTGCCTCATACGTGTACTCTAAGCGCATCGTTTCACCGTTCCCCCAGCTATCCCTGAAGGAGATCGCCATGGCAGGTGCAATGGCTGGAGCTGCAAATGCCATTCTTGCCAGTCCAGGTTTGTTGCACCATTCGCTTTCGCGGCTCAATCATTACAACACTTATGTCATCCAGTCGAGATGTTTAAAGTTCGCATGCAAGGCCAGTATGGTGCTGCCACTGACAAGAAACTGAGAGATGTCGCAAAGGAGATGTGGAGAGATTGGGGCTTTCGGCAAGGTGTCATGAGAGGCTACTGGGTATTCGCAAATATCGCGTTCCTGCAGGAAATTTGGCTGACCAGTGTTTCAGGTCACATTTGCGAGAGAGATACCAGCATATGCGGGGTATAGCGTCCTTATTCATATTGACCGGGAGTTCTGATATTGAAAGCGTATTCCAGGTTTTATACAGGTACTGACCCTGGCGCTAATGAATACCCACCTGCTTTGTCTGACTTCATTTAGCGTTTGAATTCTCAAAGCGGAAGTTCCAGAGTAAGCACGGAGACAAAGTGCCTGTCTGGGCACTCCTTGCTAGCGGTTCGACTGGCGGAGTACGTCACACGACCTGATTCTTTATGATATATTGATATTCTATAGATTGCATATTGGCTATCCTGCTACCCATTAGGCGAGTTACGGAGCGCAGTTGAAGAGGGCATCACTTACATTGACATCTCGGTAGACGTTATCAAGTCTCGCATTCAGTTGCGCCAGACACCACCGACTGGCAGGCCCTGGAAGTATATGGCCAATGAAATCAGAATGGTGATTGCCGAATCAGGAATGTAAGATTCCCCCCTGTTGGTATTCACGCACTTTTGACCAGCACGCTACTAGAACGGGCCTTTTCCGCGGTCTGTCGCCATCATGTAAGTAAAGCCAATTGTTTAATGTGCATATCGCGGGACTCATGATGATGGTTCTTGTGCATCAGTGCTAAGAACGTTAGGGTGTTACTGCTTTTACACATCTCGTGATACTCATAACTTCACCAGTATACCCGCTGGAGCGAGCACATTTGCGGCGTTTGAGTTGACCCGAGGTGGGCTGAAGGCTTTCGTTCACGAAATCCACTACTTACGACTCCTTAGAATTCCTTACGGAGTCCACCGGAGCGTAAGGTCGAAATACATTTGGAACAGATGTACAAAATGCGGATGAAATGTCACTAATACAATGATGGCTCGAATGCATGAATCTCTGGCGTGCGACTCGATATACGGTAAATCCCTCGTCGGATGGCTTGCAGCATTAGTTAGGCGACCTCGACCACTTGGTCAAATACCACAGTGGCTGATGACCTATCCAATATCCGTGCAGTTAATGTCACAGGTCAAAGGGGTGCGTCGTCCCTTACCTTTGTTCAATCCCCTAAATGTCGCATGTGCATCAATATCACGCACCTTGGCGCAAGATCACTAGAAGCACTCACATCTTCTTTCCAGGCAAGTTGCGCCTGCAGCTCCGTCAAGCCAAACATGAGGACAATACTAAACTCTTGGCGATAGAACTGCAGCCCAGCATAACCCCGTCGCGGGCTGATGGTGCGTGCCACTTTCGAGGTGTCTGCGTGCACATTGCATAGGGTCGAGAACATGCCTGGACCCCCTGAGGATCAGCGATGCTCGGCATTTGGAAAGCATCTACACGCGCCTGGTTCCGAGTCTGTCCAGCGCGGATTGGGGCTCTCACCCCTGTAACACACAATCTCCGTGGTAATCATACCGCATGCAGAGCGGTCTACTACCTCCGTAATGAAGTCCTTGCGGAACTCTTTCGTCTCGGATACAACCGTGCCCTGCAATGTGCGTGTCAGTGATTATTCTCATACACGGCGTGCGATAACAAGTCGTTACCTTGGTCAGAACTGCGCTGAATGCATTAGGCAGGACGGTCCTACCTGATGGGCGTGGGACGGCCATACTAGCACGTAGCTTGTGTTGAGGGTCATTCCTGTCAAATTGTGTCGCGCAACGTGTACCGTACGTGAACTTTGCGACACGTGCAGAAACACGATGATCCAGGAAAAACGCTACGGCGCCGTCCGCGACTGCTTTACCCCTATTGATAGTCCAATTCACTGGTCACCTAGGTCAGTTTCCTCTGGGAAAAGGACTACGCACGTGTGGCTGTCAGGCCGACAGAAACTGAGTTCCAATGGTCTTAGATGGTTTTGTAGTCGCAGGAAGAGCCATTCACTGGCCGCGAAACCCCCAACGAGGAAAACGGTCTGAGGTTTATCAGTTAAGCGAAGTAGGTAAAGCGAAGATCTAACGCTGATAGTTTTGGTCGCAGTGTTGCGCTGCTTCTCAATAGCTTCGATTATGCCCACTGCGGATGGCTCGAATAACTTTGCTACATCGGACCTGAGAGGAAATGAGATCATCTGGAATGACGGGCAATAGGTATCTTTACCCCATTAACTTTAACTGCCCAGACCTGATGTTGAAACTAGGTTCCTTGTCCTTGATAGTACCAAACTTGATATATGCGGGGTCACTCTCGTTGCCAAACCGTAGCTTGGTTGTCGTGTCGAAAATTTTGGCCATATGAGTAACCATATCTTCGGCTCCGAACTGTGATCCAAGAAGTTTCTCTGCGGCCCATAAGCAAACATGCACACTTCAACACAAGCCTAAAAGAGTACCTTGGAGCATTTTCTTAGCCCTACGGCTCACGAATATAGATCCTTGTAAGCGGCCTAGCAAATTCTGTGTAAATAATGACATGCCGAGTTATATTGATGAGACTTACATTCTGCAGGTGCGATCTCCTCGAAGGATGGTGCTGTTGTCATGTGATACGCACTGACGTCGATCGTTCCTCCACCAGCGTCGACAATGATCACGCCTTGGTCATCCTGACATTTATGGTCAGCTACTTGCATGAAATACTCCATCTCAAATCTCACTGTAAATCCGTCGGCGGCAAGACCACTACTGAGGCAATAGTGAAGACTCGCCTCGCCCTCCGTGACGAGATGGATCCTTGACCGGCCTTCTGGTGTGTCAGGTACGAGACCCGCCATGATCGCTGCATTGCGGATCTGCGTCTGCTGTGCCCCCTCCCATCCATTTGGGTGGCTGAGCACAAACTCGGTCGTGTGCTCGACGGAGTGCAGCATGTCCGCGCCGTTTGCCTGCGAGTCCTCGATATACCTCTTGGCGCACTGATGGAGGTAGCGCATGAAGTCAGCGAGGACTTGAACGGCTGTCTTGTTCTCTGGGAGGGCCGGGATGTCGTTGTCTGTGATATGAGAGGACGCCATCGTTTTAGGACGAAGATGAAGCTTCCACCTTTGTTCGACCGAAGGTTAGTGAATTACGCGAGGACTGATGGGTTGCGGGAACTAACCATTCCAACTTCACCCATCCGTTATCTTCGATTTCCTCTTCGATATGTTCCTGCGTTGCTTCGGCGCCTACGGCACGCACAGTGCCATTTAGATCGTAGCATATGATGGACGGTATCTTGCAGTCCCCTCCGACGTGTTCTTGTGCTGGGAATCTGTGTCTGAGTAAGTAACCGATGCTGTAACCCTGGGGAACGTTATCGCACCTATTCACGCCTTGGATGATAGGGACTTGCCCAGGGTCGAGGAAACAGTAAGAGACACCACTAAATGTCGTCCCGACATCAAACGCGAAGACGAGCTTGCGACACGAACCGGTGAATGCTTGTCGAGGCGGCATGTTTTGGTTGTAAGATACGGCAGATAGGTCAATGTCATCTGTTATAAACAATCCTCAATGAGCTACACGAGGCATGTGACCCTCGTTCCCCCATCAATGAATTCTTAGCACATGTTTTGTGGCATGTATGATCAGTCAAGGTTTGATCAACGCCAGCTTATAACGTAGCCCTCGCGAATCTCAGAAGAGTGGTATATCACATTGTGCAAAGGGTGAAGTAAATGACATGTTCCGAAAGCAAACCCATAGATAGGAGCGTAAAATTACAACCTCAAGAAGCCACAGGGTACTGTGGGCTCACCGCATAGCACGAGAGCGAGGTGGTTCAACATAACGACTAGGCTTCTTCCTGCTCATCGTCATAAACTACTACTGCTGGAGTTCTGCAAATGCAGTCAGAATTATAAAACGAAGAAGCGGGATGTAAACTTGCCGTATTTCCACTCCCTGAGATGCAGAGGTTAGGCTAGCAATGCTAACGGGAGACTGATGACTCACATCGTCTTCCCAGCTGATCATAGCCTTCAATTCTGTCAAACCGAAGAGAAGAACCACTTTGACCTCCATCGCATAATACACGAGACCTTCGGTGGATCGCTTGGGCTTGAGTTTCTCGGCGATTTTCGATGTGTCTGCGCGAATAGTGCATAAAGTCGAGAATAAACCTAGTTCATCGGGTAAACATCAGTGCAATCGGCAACGATATCTATAATACTTCGCTCTGCATCCATCCATTCCGGTTTGGAGAGGATGCCCCTGTACGACATGATGCCGACATCGACTTGGTTACACCCCGCCTGATTATACCGTCGGATAGCGAATGTCTCACTGAATTCTTGCTGCTCAGAGACCCGCGTTCCCTGCTGCGCTTAAGCATCAGACCTTCCAAAACAAGTAAAAAGCCACCTTGGTCAGTATGCATGAGAATGCATGAGGCAGAGCAAGAATTCCTGAGGCGCTTCGGAAAACTAGCTTTTGCCTGGCGCGATGCTCCATATCGAAGGGGTTAAATGGGACGCTGCACCCAGTGCCGTACGCGTAACGGGACACACGGGACGATACAAGATGATCAATGAAATACGACACAGCACCATCAGCAACTGCTTTATTGCTGAAACAGGGTCCGTGAGCGCGCACGAGGATTTTTGTCAGTCATTGGTGCTCACGTATGGTTGTCTGGTCGACTGAAGCTAATACCAAGCGACTGGAAGTACTTTTGTAACTTCGCGAACATCCAGTCGCTCGCAGCAAAGCCTCCGACGAAAAATACAAACTTCAGGTGACACGTCGGTCAACACTTTCTCGTTAAGCACAATAATGGCAAACTTACTGTGATCGGAGTGCCTGCGGCCTTTCTTTGTATTTCGAAAGCTTCGATGATGTTGCTGATGGATGGTTCAAAGAGTTTTGCTACGTCTTGTCTTTGTAATAAAATGTTAGATATTAACGGTCGCGAAACACTCTACTACAAGACTTGCCCACTCAATTTAAGCTGACCGTTACGAATATCGCGCTGAGGATCTTTGTCACGGACATTACCAAACTTTATGTATGACGGATCTTCCGGGTTGCGGAACCTAAGTTTGGTGGTGCTGTCGAAGACGTCCGTCATTTGTTGGACTATATCCGGTGCGCCGAAACGACTGCCGGAAAGTTTTTCTGTCAAGTCAAGTCAACAAGGACATAGCATGGCTAGCACGAACATGCTGGCAAACCTTGAAGAAGACTGTGAGCACGACGAGTCACAAATACAGAACCCTGGAGTCGACCTAAGGAATGGAGAGTAAGGTGTAGTTCCAATAATCTCATGTTATTTACATTCGGCTGCAGCAATCTCCTCGATCAGCGTCGGGGATAAAGTCATTGAGTAGGCGCTAAGATCAAGGGTCCCTCCTCCTGCATCGATGACTACAACGCCTTGGCTGGTCGAGGTGTCCTCATCTTCGCCATCTCCAGTTACAAGTATCGGTGTCTTTGAAAGCGCATCTGAGCCCAGGATATTAGCGACACAGTGATGCAAGCTCGCTTCTCCCTCGGTCAGCAAATGTACACGTGCCATGCCGTCTTCTGTGCTGGGAATGAGACCCCCAAGGACGGCAGCTAGCCTGATCTGTTTCTGCTGGGGGCCTTCCCAGCCGTTTGGATGCGTAAGGACAAATTCGATGCGGTTCTCAAGTGACCGCCAAAGATTGGATCCGCTTGGATGAGTCTCCTCGATATAGGTGCGTGCACAACGAAAGAGGTACTGCATGAAGTCGCCGAGTACCTCGATGGCATTTTTGCCTCGTGGAAGTGGTGGGATGTCATTGTCGTTGATATGGTTGGCTGCCAAATTCCTGGCCCGCAGGTGAAGTTTCCACCTAAATGTCAAACATGACAAGTCAAGTAAACGCGAATTCCAGTATTTGCCAGACAAACCATTCAAGCTTCGTCCATCCTTCTTCATCGGCTCTTTCAATAATATGCTCCTGTCGTGCTTCAGCGCCAATAGCACGCACAGTTCCATTTGAATCGTAGTAGAGTACAGAGGGGATTTTCGAATTTCCTCCGCTGTGCTCTTGGGCTGGATATCTAACATTCGCAGTGATCGGCAACGAGGTAGGCACGTTGTATTACGAAAACTGACCTGGTTACAGGCTCAATCTTAGGAACTTCTCCAGGATCAAGTATACAGTAGGAAATTCCACTGTATGTAGTGCCTACGTCGAAGGCAAGAACCAATTTGCGGGATAGTCCACGATACGGCTGACGGGGAAACATTTCTTTCGTAAGTGGATGGATATCGTGCGTTGTTCGCACCATCTTATAGCCTACCTCATGCATGTAGAGGCCACATGGATGCCTATTTGTTCACGACTTTCACCATCTCACCTACAACGTTTAACAGATGGTAATCTAAAATAGGGGTAGCGGGCGTACTGTTCGTGTCAATGTTGAGGTTTGGTGTGGGTGATCTGCAGAGAGCGGGTTGGCTTGGCTGATCCTGGGTACTCTTCTTGATTGTTCTAGATAGGGATAACGCAAAATGGATGCCTCGAGGCCACCCCACAAGACCGAGCAGATAGATGCTTCCGAGTCAGTGATGGCAAACTACTCGCGCCCCGCGCGGGTAAGGAATGTAGCGTCTTCTATGTGGAATTCGTCAGTAGAAAATTTCACGAATTCATGGGCTTACTGCGGTGATTAATTGATGCCACAGGATTGTATTCGTTCTAGCTAACCTGTGACAACAGGAAGTTGCCCATGTACACTGGTGAAGACACGTTTTAAATGACACACCGCAACCATACAAATCAAGATCTGACGAAGAACGGCCATATCACAAGACCATATCAGCGGTGTATAATGGACGTAATACGCCCGGATTGTCATGCACCACGAATAATGCCGTCTAAATTGCAAGAGAATACACCGCGGCCCAGGGTGTAGCAGCATGCCGCTGTGACAGAATATGACTGACCACAGCATAACTAAGGGACTGATGTGAAGACAAAATGACTACAGACACGCCTACACGCGGTCCGCAATGTGATCTGTGAGGCGACTTTGGAACGCTACCGCAGCGTGCCTCCGACGCCGCCTTCATGGGCGTCGTACCGGACACGAGGCAGAAATGAACATGCTTCTACCACATGGCATAGCCCTTCAAGATGTGGTGAACGTTCGTTACCTCGCAACCAATACGACCATGAACTTGTCAACCTACGGGTTCTTACCATCTAAAGGCTTCGCTGTACCCATTGCCCTTGTCAGCGCTAGCTTCCCTTTTTTCATGTGTATCTGGTTACGCCGACCTCGCCGCGTCATTGTCTGGGTGAAGTCTCTGCGTCCCTTCCGCGACGTGAAAGCGGAAGAACGGCTGCTTGAGTTGAAGAAGAAATGGGAGGAGGAGGAGAGGAAGTGCATATCACTAGAGGACAAGCTGAAGAAACTTGAGCAAGAGCAGCAAGTTTCGGCCCAAGAAAAGGGCGGACTGAAAACGGAAATTATCCGGCTTACGAGCGCTCTGAAAAAAGCCACCAAGGACGCCGATGAAATTCAGGTCAGGTTACTACAGGAGCAAAGGGAGAGAGAAAAAGTCCAGCAAGAACGTTCCAAGCTTCAAGATGCGTATCAAAAGCTACAGCAAGATCTCAACTCATACCAGCAGCAGCTACAGATGCGAGAGACTGAGAAGAAGGCCTTGAGGAACGAGCTCCAGGCCCTGCAGACCAAGTTCAACGATCAAACCACCCTTCTTGACGACCGCACACGGGAGCTACGGGGTGCACAGGCATTCCTGAGCAAGGCCGACACGCTCTCGGGAGCGGAAGTCATCAGACTGATCGACGAACTCAATCAAGAGATCATGCAGACGGCAGCTTTCATCTCGGATTCCTTCGATTTCGCTCGCAAGCCTGAACATATAGACGAGATCAAGGAAGCCAGCGCGCGGACCAGTGAGCTGATTGGACCTGCCATGACGTCACTCCTGGGTACCGTGCAGCACGGGGAAGACCCTCTCTTGATCCAGATTGCACTGCAGGCCGCCACAGTCGAGTTCTCTCGTTGGATCATAATGACCTGGGACTTTGACGGCTTGCAGGCTGAGCAACCGATAGCAGAGATCTATAACGACGTTCGGGAAACAGGTAAGGATTGATTTGTATCTAAAACAGCGAACGTACTTATGCGCATAACAGAAAGCCAGGCAGTCAGCGGCCGATGGCGCGCTTTGACTCGATCTCATGCGCAGAAGGTTGCTCTGCAGGAAGCGGACGTGCACGCGACCATGGTTGCGCATATTAGCGACACCCTCGTGATCTTGATGATTGCGGCTGGCTGCACGAAGAATTACGAAGATGCGTATCGCGAGTTCACCATGAAGTTCGGTGAACGAGTATCGAACATCGTCCGCATGGCAGCAAGGCTTAACAAAGCCATGGGCGAGGAAGTCACGTCAGCAGATCTCTGGCCCACCCATGCTGCAGCTGGAGAGAAATTCGACACGGATACAATGAAGGACTTTGACGAGGGGAGCGGGGCGCAATCTGGCGTGGTTTTGTGTACGACTGCACTGGGCTTACAGAGGTCAGAAAAAGTTGGGCATGGGGAGAGCGCAGTGGTCAAAACAATAACACTGGCGAAACCCAAAGTTGCGCTTGAAGCTATCGCAGATGGGATGGACAGGGAGGTAGAGGTGTCAGGAGGCTAAGTTACTGTCAGGACAGTGTCAGCCACATATTCTATTCGTTTGACTTTTGTTCGTCATTGCAGCTGTTTGTAAAGTATTCGTGGTCATTCTATTTGATGATTTATTAACGCAGTGCATAACTGGTGAACCCTTCCACGTACCTGCAGGACGTGCCATGGTAAATGCTCTCCGAACGGCTCGACTTGAAGTCCTGTACAGGCTTCACTGCTGGCTTAAGTCATGTACGACCCTAGCAATTGGTTGGTTCATTTCACAACTTGCTTATGTAATCGACCTGTCTTTTATCGTTCAACCGCAACTTAGGGGAGACTAAGTTAGTCCAACTCGAATTCGAGTGGCACTAGCACTGAATGGCAAAGAGTAAATCAGGACCCCCATACACAGGTCGCACTGCAGAATATGTCGTTGTCACCACCCCGTGGGGGATGAATCGCGTCCCCAGGAATCGCGTCTCGCAGGACTTTAATAGGCTGGCAGCGTGGGTCCAGCATATCCTCGAGGATAAAGATGTACATGCGAAAGTTCAATTTATATTCGGTATGGGGACGGTATGTATCGTACCAATCTCGAGTCAGAATAAGATTTAATGCCAGCAGAGGGATGAAGTCATTCTCCAACTCCCATACGGGACAGATATTCAGCCGCTTCTTGGGGAGCATAAGTTAGCGATTATTTCAGAGAGGTGGGAAGGGAACCCAAACGATGATAGAGCGTCCTGTTTCTTTGAATATAATTTTCGCAACAACGGTGACCCCAGTAATCGTGAGTTTAGTTTAGGTGTCTCAATTTTCCTTTGTTGTATGTTTAACTTAGACCTCTAGACAACTGGGCAGAAGAATGTCCTGATGTTACTCCAGAGTTAATTCCTCCCGTAAAGTCCCCGTACCCGGAACCAGGCTGGGCTGAGCCCCCTCGTTCTATCCGCAGTCTCGTCCTTCCAATACCACTTAGACCACTGCTACCTATCCCCGAAGCTGCCAGTGAGCCAATACCAATCCCTGTCCCTGTACCTCAAGAAGCAACACATCTACCTCCCGTTCCTCCGCCTGCAGCGCCTTCGAATATCACTGTAAGCTGAATGTGTTTAGAATTCACGATCGCTTGGTTAAATGCATATAGCCTACATTCAAACCTTACGAGCCCCCTACGCAACACCCCGCTCACGGAACGTTCATTAACCAGATAAATCAGCCTAGGAACACATCTGCGAACCGGCAAAGCCACCAGTTCTTTCCAGCCGAAGGTGAACGTATTCCAGCTTTGAAATACGTCAAAAAGTTAGATCCCTACCAGGAAGGTATGCCAACACTTCTTGCTCTCGCACATCTGTGGCACGTGTAACCTTATTTGCAGATGAAGAAGCTCATTCGCTCTTGCAAACACCTCCACGAGATTCTCAGAGTGGCTCCCAGCCCACCAAAGACGAACACGTCAAAAGGGAGTCGTCTGACATAGGCTTTGAACGCAGTAAGTGAATAGTGTTGGGACCAGTTCACTCTCCTTAACGCACGCAGAATACAAGCCATCTTCGGAACTAACGGACTCCATTGCCAGTTTGATACATGAGCAGAACGAGGAACAGAAAGTTCCAGTCTGTGGGGGATCGAGCATAACTAACGGACCGCTGCCAGGGCCTTGTACGTGAATCGGTCATCATTATGTTGCACAAAAGTAATGTGGTGCAAACAGCAACTTCCTACCAGCCATCTGCAGAGCTCATGGACGCAATTGATAGTCTAATCCAGGAGCAGAATCTTGACAAGAAGCCTTGCACAGAGAACAGCCCTCAACGCCTACAAGACTCTCGGCAGAAGCCTCGTGCGTCATCGCCAATCTAACTAATGAACCTACGTGACATTGCGTACCTCAGAATATCAGCCATCCGCCGAGTTGACGAATGTGATTAACAATTCACTTCAGCAGAGTACAGCCAGCGAAGACGAGCAGAAGCCGGTTCCGAACCCACCATGTGCGCATTCTCCGCTCATCCTCAATCATGTTGTTAAACCCAAGTCCAGCGCAAAACAAGAGGAAAAATATAGATGGAAGACGTTCAGGTATGTGTTATAGCTTCTAAGTACCAAAAACCAGAATGAAGACGCATGCACAGTGACGAAAAAGTTCAAGTTGGAAGAGGCATAGAATCTCTCATCGTACTTTCGGATGAGACTACCATTTACCCACCCATGCTGTTAACCACTGTCTCCAGCGCAACTTTTGGCTTCAGTAAGAGCTTGCTATCCCACTGTTTGTCTCCTGATGTGGCCAGCCTGGTCATTCGGCCCAGGCCAAGGTCTGTCGTGCACAGCACCCGCACGCCACCAGTAGCCGGGTATCCGTCTACGTACGCATCCTCCATCCTCTCCGCAGAATATGTAATCCCAATAGGCACTATGACCGGTTTCAAGTCGGCAGACGTGATCTCCTCCATTACGATCTTGTTAAGCTGCATGGCCAGTTTGAAGAGGAGTACGATCCTGTCACTTAACTTTTTTTCTACTGATGCGCGAAGTATATCTGGTGCCAAGGAGCACCCCGCAGCAAGCATGATGTTGGAGAAACGTTCTGCGAGGTGTGATGTAGCCATTGCGACGAGCCGGCTCTCTTCGTGACTGTGGGTGTATGCACTCGTGAGCGCCCGCCACCTCCCTGATATCGCCTGTGCCTCTGGTACGCAAGTGTCGTCATGTACACTCTATCACATGATACCATTTACACTCACCGCCATGTTTTATTCTTTCATATGTGCCGGCAAACATTCTGTTGGCATCGCCGCCAGGCAGAGTCCATGAGCAGATCACGAATTCGAGGAATTCGACGAAGCACGACTGAAACGTGATTTGGATGAGAAGGGGGTCATCTTTATGCTTTTTGGTGGACAAATAGTGCGCGAGCGGCTGTCCAAACAATTTCGTGACTGCTGCACAGGCACTCTCGTCCCTTACCCCACCCGTCTCAAACGAAAACGCATCCACCATAGATTCCGCCATGTAGGCAGCGCTCTGGAGTACCTCGGCATTGAGCCTCTGCAGCATGGAAATGACGTCAGCGCCTGAGGAGGCGTCAGCTGTGGTCAAGAAGCTCTGTGCGCCTTTCAGCTCGGAGGTGCGGTCGTCGAGGAGGGTGTGTAGCTGTGCCTTTTGCTCCGACATGGCCTTTAGTTGGTTCGTTGCGGCATCTAGAGCGTGCCCTTTTGAAGCGAGCGTGGTTTCGGTTTCACGGAGCCGGGCTCCGAGCGAGCGAGCGATGTCGGCGTGTCTCTTGAAGTGCTCCATCTCCTGTCGTAATTTATTGTTTTCTGAGTTGCTCTTGCTCAGCTCATTACGCAGCCTTATCACGTCGGCGTCCGCTGTACGTAGGGCGGTTTGCATGTCCCAGGTCACTGCTTCAGCATTTTTGCGCTCGCCAGCCAACCTCTCGTTCTCCTTTCGACATCTATCTAACTTCTCCCTGATCGATGCAAATTGTTTATTCAATTGCTCAATCTCACTCTCTAGGCTTTGATCGCTTCGTACAAGCACGTTCGAGCTCCTGCTGCGCGTAACAGAAGGTGCCGGTAATGGAAGTTGCTGATGACTTTCGTGTGCCGTGGCGTACGAACGGGGGCGCCTTGTGCTTGTGTTTTCTTCACCGCCTTGAGTTCCCGGAGGGGTGTCGGAGATGCGTGGTGAGTGGATGACTGGAGACCCTGAGGGGCGGCACGAGCCCGCGTCTACCTGTGGTGAAGCCATCGTCTCATTATCCGGTACTCTAGTTTTTGCCGGAGCGCGTACCTCTTGTTTTCCGGCCCGGGCGGTGGTTGGAGACAGTGGATAGTAGGGTTTCGTATTTGTCTGTCCTGAGGGTCCTGACTCATTCATTTCTGGGATTGTGTCCTTTGCCCTGGCTTCCGTTTCTTCTGGTGTGGGGTACTTAGTACGCAGCCTTGGGGCTGATCTTTCTTGTTCATTGCTTGCTCTCTTCCTCCCCGCCATGTCACGGTCGTCTGGTGACCAGCGGGTATGATCTCTAGCGTGTCTTGGCTCGGGTTTAGAAGCTGCGGCCGATTGAGTAAAAGAACCTGTCACCAAGTTACGAATAAGAGGAAGTTGGCTTATGGTTTGTAACATTGGGTTGACCTGAGACTTCAGAATGAATGGGAGGCACTGTGCAGGACGACGTCAGATTTAACCCACAACCTAGACGATAGAAACATACACCTCTCACGGCCATGTGTTATCCGCGTTTTCGAATATCAAGCTATCGGGGGTTTGGATCGATCGCTCAGAAAGTATGTCCACTTGCGCTCTACATTCAATCAGGGGCTTTTTCTCACCCGTGTGATTTGAAAAGAGATATATAACCTATTCGAAAACACGAGGTAGGTATGTCACAATACTGTAGAGCCACGACCGTAACTTCGCGCCCTTTCGGGCGACCATGAGTACACAGAAGAAGTACAGAAAATCACATTCAGCGTCTGGCATAGCAAATTTGAAAACCCCAACTCAGTCGTCCAAGTTATCCACCACAGATTCCAGAGCGATCTTTGGTTTCAAAAGAATCCTCACTCCGGCATTGACTCCCTTGGAACGCTGCCGCAACCCCATATCAGTGGGACACAGGACACGGTTGTTCGCAGTATTCTTGTCATGTTCGCCGTCATCGTACTCATCGTCCATGCACGTGGAGTCGAACACCGTGGCAGGTTTGATCACCATGACATCAAGGCCCCGGTCCATGCTGTTGACGATAAGCCTATTGATGCGCATGCTGGACTTCGCAAGCAGCGAGATCTTTTCGCTGAACTTCTGCTTTAAGGCATCACAAAGTTGCGACCGAGTGGCATCACAGCCCGCAACGAGTAATATGTCAGCGAGCCCGGCTATGATTTTGGATGCGGCTGCGAAACAAAGTTGGGTATCGTCGAGCTGGAGATGCTTGGAGAGAATATGCGACAGTGCATTCCATGCTGCGGTGGCTGCCTGGGCTGCAGATGAGTCAGTAAACAGTCACATTAGTGCGTCGAATATAGCACTTACTGGTGTTACTCTGATCGGCTGTGCCAAGTCTTTCCTTGCCTCCGCTAGCGATCCATGCAGTCGAGAGCCAGCAGAGGTACCGAGATATGTATGCCTGGAATGCAATCTGGATGAGGATAGGATCCTCGCTGTGACTCTTGGTGCCCAGGAAGTGGACGAGACCTGCACCAATGGTCGTGCCCACTTGCTGGAATAGCGCCGTCTCCGAGTTCCCATTCTCTCTTCCTTTCTCAAACCCGAAGGAGTCAGCCATGGACTCGGCCATAAATGTGGCGTCTTGGTGGATATCGGAGTTTAGTTTCCGGAGTGCGCTGACGACCTCGTTGCTCGAGGACATCGTGCTAGCTTTAGCCGCAGGACGGTCTGGAATACAGTTTGCCAGCAGCGCCCGAAGGTTGCTGAATTCCTGCGTAAGGACTGTTGAGTCATCGCGGGCACTGGCGGAGTTTGCGCTCTTGGCCTGCGAGCTGAGCCGTTTCATCTCGGCGAGCTCTGTATCTTTGGCCTTCAGCTCAGCCTCCAGCGCAGCAACTCGGTCTGTCAGACTCATCCTTGCGGCTTGCTCTTTCTCCAAGGACTCAAGTTGGGCGGCGCTCTGCGAGAGCTGCTGACGGTACACCAGCATACTGCTCTGTGCGTCTAGTAGCTCGGATTGCGCATGAGCGGTGGAGCGATTCAGCTCCTCGAGGGCTTGCCGCATTTCCTGGTTTTTTCTGCTGCTGCGTTGCCTTGAGGACATCGTTCTTCTTTGTGAGCACCGCAATAATATCTTCTTTCTCCTTCTTCGTCCGTTCACAGTCAGCGAGAGCCTCCTTGTTCCGCTGCCGCAACTCTGTGATCTTGGACTGAAGGCTGCTTGTCTCAGTCATGGACTGATTGAGCAGCGACTGCACCTGCGCCTCAAAACGGCGGTTCTCTTGCTTTGCCTCGTCAAGGAGCTTCGACAGGTGTAGTACTTGCATGTCGTCATGCGTCCTGCTGTCGTCAAGGCTGACAACGTCTGCGTCGCACTCGACTAACACGGGGGATACTTCCTCCCATTCGGTGCGGTACTCAGCATGGGCGGCGTTTCGAGAATTGGTCTGGGTAGTGAGGACGGGTCTGGGAGTTGAGGACGACGATGCCGTCCAGTATGGGACGCTCCACGTCATAGCTGCTGGATTGGAAAAAGGTCGATGAAGTTGTTCTGTGTGGGTAGGACGTTGTGGAATACTTGTCTGCCGCGCAGTTCTCATTTCTCATGCACATGACTGACCTCGAGGCGCAGGCCCCTGCGATACATGCGTCCTCCGTACGACGTGATTGCTCCCATATTGATATAGATCTCATATTCTGGGAGGAGTAGATCTCAAGTAGCTGACGGTGAACAGCCTTCATATCAACCCCTAGGCCACGTAACGTACTTCTTGAACCTTCACAAGCCTAGTTCCGTGTGCGTGTCCGTATTCGTACAACTGCATGAAGATGACATAATCTCGTGACTCTGTGGTCGTGAATATTATTATTGATTTCCCGTAAAAATTGCACACCTGTAAGCGGTGAAGGTACAGGTCTGCTCATTCTGATGTGCTCAAGTTCCCGTTGACGCGAAGCATCAGAGGAGGAAGTTCGTCATCGTTGAATAAACCCTCGTATCAGTTCTACAACCCATCTATGTTTGCTTACTGTAAATGTTACAGACTTTAACGGTCACTGCTTTGCTGTCTTGCTGGGGACAAAGAGCCACCAGATACTGATGATAAATCTCAAGCCCGTGCCAACGCCAAGAGTACCAGCGGATCCTATTGCGTCGAGTACTGCGCGTCCCAAAAACCCGCCCAAGAACAACGAGCCGATGGCAAGGATCTTATGGTCTCGGGAGATTACGAGCCGACGTATGTCAAAGAGCTTAGGGTCGACCATCAGCTCGCACCAAGTCGTCGTCAGTACCACTGAATAACACACTCAGTATCGGGTGCCAAGAGGACGAGCGAATGTTGCTAAAAAAAAAACTCACCCGTCGTGGTAAACTGTGTATTCAGTCTTTTTCCCATGATCCCTTGCAGACCCATGCTTGCGCTCATGAACCCGACACAGACAAAGGACAGAGTATTGGTCCATGCAGGGTTAGCACGTGCATCTGCGACGCTCATCTGCCCGCTCTTCCAGATGGCGATGGCTGCAGCCATGGTGAAGAGGGTCTGGATGAAGGTGCCGAGCACAAGCCAGGCACGTGTCTTGCAGCCCATCTTGTCGCCTATGCGGGCGATGGATGCGCCGAAGATGAATGTGATGACGGAGCAGAGGGCTTGTTGATCTGCGATATGGAAAGAGTAGTCGTGTTGGCCATTGAAAAGGCGGGCGAGGGCTAGTCCGAGCTGGACGCGGATACGTGAGTACTCTGGCCGTGAGCCGAATAACAAAGGACGTCAAATCGCACCTGGACAGTGTTTCCGGTTTGAAAAGCACACCACACGAAGATGGCAGAGAAACAGACAGCGTCACTAGAGATCAGAACGAATATGAGTGGTTGAGAAGGTGCACGGAGCATATCGGAAGACGCACATAAAACCTGTCATAAAACAATATGCAGACAACGGAGCGGTGGCCTTGTCTCCATCAATATCCGTGAAGAGATACTTCTTCAAGCTCGTGAGTGTCGTAGAGTCGTTACTCTCAAGATCCCGCTTGTCCGACATGAGGGAGCAGTGGACAAACAAGTTGACGGAAAGACCTGAGAGAGCCGGATATAAAGTCAACCCGTGAAGATATTTTAACACATGGGAGCATGTTTCTTATTCGATTTGTGGGCCGATTAAGATTACGATGGTCGGCGATAGGCCATGGAAAATTGCCAGCGCAAGCTTGGCTCAAACACGCCGAGAGACTAGGCAGGAGGCTTACAGAAGCTCAGTGGTATCAAGGTTAGCACCAAGCTAACTAATAATCCGAACTACCGCGTGTGATCATCTTCCAATCCCACTCTAAACCCTATCTTTTCCCTCAGGCTCTCGGCGTTAGGTAGGCCAACGACAAACGAAGCGCTTGGAGTTCAAATCGCATTGAAAGGAGACCCACAATTCCGCAGATACCGACATTGTTATCCGTCGCCCAACCTCCCTAGTACCAGGAGACGTGCTATGAAGGAGGCACCGCCTAGCTCGATGTCTTAACCCCGAATACATAACGGGGGCCAGGCGTTCCAGAAGACTGCACGCCAGAGGAGATAAGAGCCAAGGCAGTGCGTCATAATAACCGATGGGGATGCTATCGAGCTTACGACTAGTTCCGGCTCTCGCTTTTCGCGTGTCCAACTGAGAAGACGAGAAATAATTAGCACAACACTGTCGAAACCATCTTCAGACAAGCATGGTCGAGGAGGTCAGCCTTCATTCGCTTTGCACCTCTTCGACTCCACTTTCCGGCGTAGGCCCATGTTCGCGATCGCCAATCTCATGAATCAATAATATCAATTATCCCCTGGTAGAATGAATACAAACACCCAGCGGAAACGCAACCCGCTTGTATTATCCTTTCCTGTCATTGAAACCACGCCTTGGGGTTCAGCCATCATCGTGATGTAGAACATTGGAATGTGGCCGAGATAGCCTTCATTCGCTTTGCATACAACCTCTTCCACCCAATTGTGTAAGCCCAAGGCTAGTTGTGGATACCTATTTCATGAATTAATATTTCTCCCCTGATAGAACGAACGCAAACGGCGGAACCTCAGCTCCCTTGTGTTGTGCATATCTGAACGTGGCATAGTCCGATCAGTCCACGCGAACACGAGAGGAGTTTGTTGACAACCTCAGCAAATACATTTCTATGAGAGGCTGTAGGCAGAAAAATAATTCTTAATCAACATTGGTCTAAACACCTTTGGAAAACTTCATCGTCTGGGAACTTCTATGTTTGGTTAGTCGACCAGGACATATATGATTCTTCTTCATATACGATCGCTGGAACGCCTTTCCGCAGCTAGTGCAGAGAGCCCTAAACTGTCGCAGATGTATCTCGTTCACATGGCGAGCGTAATTATCCTTTTTGATTACACTCCAACATCCAGACCATGTGCACTTCACTTTGTCTTCACCGTCCTGTACAACGGGGAGACACAGCTGTCGGTGGCGTCTGGCTGACGGGCCAAATAACGATAACGTCTGCCCCTCAGAACTCGTACCATTCTGAGGTACGAATGTCTGAAATGGCTGTGTATCGAGCCCCTGGCTGACAGAGTCGGAGGGCCATGGATCTATCGTCGCGTTTGGTAAGCGTTACGTGAAAAGCTGCAAATATAACAAACTTACCTCGAAACAGTCTGCAGATGGCAGGATCTGCCATCTGTGGCAGGGTGCTAGTGGCTCCGACAGATTCTTGTGAAAGAGGACCCCCATTTTGGTCCAAAAGATGGGCATGGAATGCTAGTGGCTGCAATGAAGGGCCAAGGTCAGGTGGAGTCGACAGCCATGGAATAGCATCGAGCCCATCGTGCGCAACTGGTGCGATGGTCTGAAGCTCATCACCGATAGCTGCTTGGAAGTCAACACCGCCAACATTTTCCATGATGACTTCTGACTGGCAACCCGCAAGAACCTCTGCAATGCGGGTGCGGACGTCGAGGATATCCTCGTAAGCACTATTAAGCCTGGTACAGTATGGGTCAAGCAATCTAAGACATAATTGCAGGGATGATCTCATTGAATTTCGATCAATTGGTGCACGACCACCGCTCGAGTTTGCGCATTGCTCGAGAACGTCCAGCTGCGCAGACGAAAGTGATAGGAGAGTTGTTGGTGTCGATTGGAACCTATAGATTCATGGTACGTGTTCATCCTCAGTCTACGAAGTGCAAAGTAGGCTTACTGATGTAGATCCATGCTATGTTGGAGTGCGCGGAAAGTGGTATGGATGCCCAAACAGATGGTAGGCTTGACCACCGTATTCCTGAGCCGTGATTCAGTGGTTTGATGATATCGCGGAGGCCGCTTTTATATGACTTACGTGGCGTTTGGCGTCTAGAGCACCAATTCCCGACTACGTAGGCTCCCGGTTGGCGTCTACAAAACTTCAGTCCCCGACTGTAACCTTGCATCAAATGGTGGCCACCTCCATCACCCTCTCACGCCCGTCACACTTGCTAGCGCTGACAGAACTCCTGATTCTGTCCACCGCTTTGTCATAACTATCGGATGATTCACGCTGGAAATAGCGCAAGTTCAACCAATCGCTTCTCAGTCCGCGTCAGGGGCTCCTACCCCGCCAAGAACCGCGACCTGATCTTGTTGCTGGATGAATGGACATGTGCTCTGGTGCGTCATCGCATTTTGAACAGAGTAATCTAGATCTTTGATGTTATTCAGGTTAATACCATCCCTTTCCGTGTCGTGGACGAATCAAATGATACGATAACATGCAATGAGATGGCACTTGATTTCAACTTGATGAGCCCACCAAAATCATATCGTAACAGTGAAGCGATACAGGCCCAACAAGAGATCCGCATTTGATACCGCACTTGGAATGCTGACGTCCGAATCGCGCATGCTTGACAGGAGGGCAAAAGGGATAATTGCTGTGGGTCTGTGGCCTTGAGATGTTCTAGGGATGCTACCGGGAACATAACGCTACACAGGATCATGGGACGATGCTAAGGTAGGGGATATTATTATACTTCTGAACATAGACATGGTACTGAGAGGCACTGTAGAGTAGCCGTTACTACTCTGTCACTGTCAGCTGCCAAGCTTCGAAAGCGTGGTCGAGCCAATAATGCATTTGGAGTGACACAATCCGGTCTCTGAATCCTCCGGTCCAAGCTGACACTCAGGAGTCGCAATAGTGCTTCCATCCATGATTCTTGAAGTACGGGCTTCTGAGTCTCTGTGTCCTTGTCCCTGTTGTGCCTGGCCCCCCATATCCCTGGATCAACGGCCTTGAAGAGCCATGAACTTCGAAGCAGTTGGCCTATGTAACTGGTAGATCTTTCCAGAGATGTTGCTTCTGAGCCCCACTTTTCTACCGGCTCCAATGATTCGGACAAGTTCTTGATAGGCCGGTAGCCATTGTAAATAAGTAGCCGAGGTAGCCAACTGCAGCATAATAGACTAGATCTGATTCGATAATTCTTCTTTGATATCCGCCAAGGTAGTGGATACCATGCAAATCCTATCTGTCACCATTCAGCTAGTTGCCACCTGATATTCTTTCGGTCTCCCGAATACTTCGCCAGACAACAATATATCAATGCGGCTTTGGGTATAATGCTCGGCGACAATAACGACTATCGTGCACTGGAACAGTCTCCCTTCAACTGCTAGGATGTAAGTGAATAGGGCGGCAATAAACTCGAGTTGAAGAATACCTTTGGCCACTACTTCTAGGACCATGGGAATCGAGTGTGCACACGAGGCGTAGCAAGTACTGTCACGGTGGACATGCACTATGTATAGCTTTGGAAGATAGATACTAGTACTGTCCGGCCTGTCAAACGCATTGCAATGTTATGTCCTGTGAGACTATTTTCAGGCGCGTCTGATTGAACACGTCGTACTTATACTCTCTCAACCTACGCTCTTCTAGCTATCCGATAGGAGGAAGTTATCCTTGACCTGCGGGCCTCCAAGTACCTCTGGTTCCGCTTGCCTCAGCTAGCTCCCGAGCCTCGGGTCTGTTCGCGGTGATCGATGATCTCCGATCATCTTGATCAAATCTACATGTTTTCCGATGATGTCGAATCGGGCTGTGGTTAGTCAGCCCGGCGGCAAGTTCCGCCAATCTCGTGACACTCTTCCTGAGCCATCCTTGGCAAGACTTCGTGAGACTTACACATTTGCCTGACTGCGGTCATGATTGGGCAGAGTAACAAGGTGTGGTGCCCTTCTCTGCCTCTGCCACTTCCAGCACTGGACTGTCTTCCCCATATCCATGGATAGCCTCTCCAAAGGTCTGTCCGCTCGGGCGCGGTGAACACGTAGGTGTCATAAGTGCACAGATCTCAACCTCGACAGCCGCTACCACATTACCATTTTCGCCAGTGACCCAAACCTCCTTACTCAAGCCTACTAACCATGCGAATTCATGCTCGGGCACTCGTAGCAGGTCGTCGAAATCGTGCGACTGGTGTGTTCAGAAGTCAGAAGACCTCTTAAAAAAGAACATTGGAAAATTGAACCTTAGCAAGGACCGAGTTAAATAAAGCGGCAGAATGGTGGAGCTTGGGGGGGAGGATTAGGTAAAATTCGAACGGTATACAATTCGATCAACATTGATATAGACGCCTTATGGGGAGCTTCCTCGTTCTAGGAACTACTACGTTTGGCATGTCGATCCGGACATGCATGAGTCTTCTTCATATACGGACGCAGAAACTCCTTTCCACAGTCAGTGCACACAGCCTTAAACAGTCGCTTGTGAACCTCGTTAACGTGGCGAGTGTAGTTGTCCTTCTTTACAACACTCGAACACCCAGACAACATACACTTCACTTTACTGTCGCCATTCTCCGCAACAGGGAGAGACAGCCGTTGGTGGCGTCTACCTGAAGGGCCAGATAACGTCTGCCCGTCTCCATCCTGAGAGAATTTCTGCAATGGCTGTGTGCCAAACCCATCGCTGATGGACCCGGAGGTGCCGGGAAGAAATGGGTCTATAATCACACACGGTTAGTGTTTGAATGAAAGGCTGCAAATGTAGCAAACTTACCTCGAGGAAGTTGGTGGACGGCAGGATCTGGACCCTTTGGCAGGGTACTAATGACCCCGACAGATGCTTGCGAAATATGTCCGTACCCTTCGTCCGAAGGTTGGACGTGTAAGTTATGGAATTCTGGCGGCTGTGACGGGAGGGAAAGGTTGGGCGGGGTTGATAACAATGGAATAGCATCAAACTCGTTGAGTGCAACTGGCGCGATGATCGGAGGCTCATCACCGAAGATTGGGTCAACACTGTTATCCCACTGTGACGCGCCCGTATTCCCCATGGCGAGCATCTCTGTAATGCGGGCGCGTATTTCAAGGACTTCTTTGTAAGTACTGTTAAGCCTGTCGCAGTGTCGGTCAAGCAACTCAAGACATGAGTTCAGGGATAATTCCATTGAATCTTGATCACTGGATGCACGCCCTAGACGCAACAAGCATCTGTCGTTGGTCAAGCTTGTGCATCGCTCAACAACATCAAACCATGAGGACGACGTCGACGGCAGTGATGTCGGCGTAAATATGGACCTAGAAGGTAAAATCACGGTAAGCTTACGAGTTTATCATTGGCTTACGAGATCTAGCACTTACTTATGCAAGTGCATGCTCATTTTCGATAATGGATTTGAGACGTGAATTGCGCGGTAAGCGGTACGAACGCAAGCCTTGATCAAGTGGTGGATGTTTGACTGCGTATATTGGTTAATAATGTTGGTATCACAGCAGCACTTTTAAGCAGCTATCCGTCGAAAGGCGATACATTATTTGCATATAAAATTGGTGGGAACTTTGCTATATTATACATAACTGTCGTGCCACGATGTTGGATTTGGGGTCAAGTGCCTAATAGTTGGGGGTGTCACAGGAAACCTTGGTAGTGTTCGGGTTGTTCGGTGCCTCATAGTTTGGGACCTTTGGGTGCCACAGGAAGCCTTGGTAGTGTATACCGGGTTGTTCGGTGCCTAGTAATAGTAAAGGGAGAACCAATAATAGAATATAGCTGTACGGCGCTCCCTTCGGAGTAATTATCTACTGGGTTGTATTGCTCATATGGTTGTTAGATATAAGTCATCAATAACAGCCGGACTCCTCAAAGTGTTGAGGAGCCGTTCTTGGCTATACCTTTGGTGATTGCGCGCCTATCAAATCGTGCGAGGTCCATTAGGATCTGTTTAAATTTACATGAACCTTAGCATAATAAAATAAATTGCGGTTAAGTGTCAAGTAAAATCTGTGGTGCTCTTCGTGTCGCGGATTCAGAGAGTGAAATACTAGCAGCCGACTGAATATTTCTGGGGGGGTTTGCAAATTGCAAGACAGAAATGTAGCCCCATATATGAGGCAAGCTCGATCGTACGAGTGGCAAATAAATTGGCGAAATAGTTTTGCTTGAATTGTCGTTACAAAATATTGGGCATGGTCGACGCTTCCGGCGGGTCTGACAGGGGAAGAGCCAAACAATTGACTTTTTAGTGGCAAGACCAACGAAACGCTGAGAATATCTAGCAGGTCGCCATCCTTTGAGAAACTGACGACGCTGGGCTACTAGACTTTCTCGATTGGGTGCCTGGCGGGGGCGGTTTACCATGGCGTTTCGTAACAAGTTCCACGAATCATGCACATGTCCCTCAGGCAAGTTCTACCGCAGTCTACCGCCCGTGGTTGATCATATCATTCAACAGGAACGGAAGATTGGCTTACAGCGTGTAAGCCCCTTGAAGTGCGGAGATCAAATCTCTGCACAAGCAAAAATGCGCACTGATGAGTCTTGTTGGCGGTTGCACGTCAAATGATCAAATACAAGTACCTCTCTCCATTGCGTTTCGAACTCTGTGACATAGCAATATTCACTGATAAGACATGGCCCTAGTAGGACGGCGGAAACGAGACTAGCTAACCAAAGGCATTCCCTTGAAGCAGTGTCGACATTTCAACATTGACGGCAAAGAATGGCAACTGATGGCAAGTGCAATGACTCGGAAGCGCTTTGACGAGTTCACAACGAAGTTTTCTTGCTAACAGCCAGCTTCTTGACACTAGTGTCATCTATGTGAAGCGCTTGCGAAGCGAGATGCTGTCCATGGCCCATATACTCCATGACTACATGCTACACGCATAGGTGTACTTCGACCGTCTTATACTTCAACCGTCTTATCGATCATCCACCCCGGGCTTCTGAGAGTCACCGTTCGTACGTATGGATAATCAATTAAGTTCACCTTGGGGAGGATGGGCAGGTGGCAGGGCCATTCTAAAAGGATAACACGGGAAGACCCGAAGGAAAAGTCTGCTCAGGCACGTTCGTCTAATTATCCTGGTATAACATAATTTAAACTCGATTTATTTCGTTTCCCTTGTACTTTAGTTAGTCATGCAATTGCCCCACTGCAGTCCTAATCCAGGTCCAACATGATGAGAACGCGATTTTTGTATGCATTTTCTTGAGGCGATCTCCAAGTTGTCTGCAAGGTTGTGCTAGCCAGGGCCAGGAGCCTACAAAGTCCGGTATTCTGTAATAGCCATTCGAACTTCGAAGTAGATCGTGCGATGCTGCTATTTATAAAGGGGCCTGCGAGACCCGGTTTCGGTAGGGTTTCTCTAATGAGAACGAAATCAGTATGGCATTCACCTCAGGCAGCACTTCTCGGTGCCTGTAAAGGGTCTAAGAGACCCAGTTTCTATGTTGGCGGCAACTAGTCTCTGAGACCCCCCCTCCCGCCTTCTAATTTTAGATCGCGTGAGAAATTAAATACATACCTACACGGCGTCTCTCGATACTCCTCCCAATAGCTACCTGTACCTTCCAATAGGCCTCTCGTGCTACTCAATACCACTTTCACCCGCTCAGAACTGCTCTCGATAGCTACCCGCACCTCTCAGTAGGTCTCTCCACTTAATAGGGGTGCTTCCACTCTGGCTTGTGGGTATGTACCATGCTGCATATGCGTGGTCTTCTATTCTACTGGTACTTAGTAGTTCTATGATAGCAGTAGCTCATCAACCAATCTTGAATCAGAATGCACCGTGCAGAGCAAGTGTCGTCCTCTGGATGGGGGCTTGGGAAGCACTTTGTTAGTCCACGCAAGTCCCGAGACAAGAAGAAAACACAAACGTTTGTCGATATCCCTCGCGCAGATGTCAAACACCGCCAGCTCGCCCTATGCATGCAAGCACTTATAAATCTAACATTACCAGAGGCTGCAGCTGTATTCAATCCCAGCAGTTCAAACATGGGTACAGCCCGCCCGTTTGTGATCCTGCAACAAACTCTCAAGAGGTCCGCGAGGTACATCCTTCTCAAGAGGTCTGTGAGGTACATCCTTCTCAAGAGGTCCGCGAGGTACATCCTTCCTTCTCAAGAGGTCTGCGAGGTACATCCTTCTCAAGAGGTCCGCGAGGTACATCCTGTCCCCACGCCCTATAACATCCTGGATACCTCCCAAGAGCCACGAGCTTCCGAGTCCAACTTACACATCCCATTCACCCAGTTTCCCTCCTCAACAACCTCAAAATGTTCCTTGCCAGACGAATATGGCTCTGGGCTCGTATAACGCGGATGTGTGCTGTCCACACGAGGTGGCAGCTTGATATTCAGCTTCGTACTCTGGATCCGCAGATCATCCAAGGATGTCTGATGCCGCTTGACTCTGCCAGTCAGGAATGGAAGGCTGACCGGTTGGTAGCTCGGGCTTGACTGGATACTCATCATTGCAGTGGAGTCGAAACTGGGCCGCACGAGTTGCTCTTTGATCTCTGAGGGATGGCTGGGGTTGTAGTTGGAGGAAGGCGCAGTGTGGATGAGATGGCCAGAGTAGGTGTTGTTGCGCCGAATGTGCAAGAATGTGTAGGGATAGGGCGAGCCTACTGGTGGTAACATTGCGCGATGACAGGAACGTGCACTGCGTATATCTCTCGGGATCTGCGAGTATGTGAGGAGGGAATAGGAAGTCCACAGCGTCTTTGATGTTTGATATGTCTTCGACCATATCAATCGAACGACGTGCACTGGACTTGTCTTCTCCAATTTCATCAACAAATTCAGTGTACTCGGGATCTCCGATTGTGCGAACTGGTGTGGTGAGCGTGAAAACTCACATGCACGAAGGTCCACAAGTGGGATGATTTGACTGATGCTGCGAGGGAAGGATAAGTGAAACTATGCTGGTCAACAGCACAGCTAGCACCTCACGACGCGTGCACCCAAGTGCGTCTAGAAGGACGCAACATCACAGCACCTAAAAACAGTGCAATACCCAATGTGCGAAGTTCAGCAAGATCAGCATCACACGAACATGGGGTTGATGAAGGACTCACTTCCACGATGTGACATGCGGTATTGTTATTCAGACAAGCTGCAGCTAGCTCTTGCAAAAGTATACCAAATGCCCGCTCATGCTGGTCCGCATTGAAAATAGCGATGGCTTAGAGTGATGTGATAAGTTTTGGTTTAGCAGTACTGATAAGACTATGATAGCTATTACTAGTAGCGGCCGTTGACGGTAAAGTCAATAGCCCACGACACTGCACTTTGCACGAAAAGTGCCATATCCCAGGTCATTTCCCTTACAAGAGTACTTCATGGTGTCTTGCAATATGCAGGGACTGCCGTGCTGCTATTTCGGACCACTCAAAATGCTGCTATCATCAATATTCAGTCCACAATCAGTGTTTTATGTTTTAGTTAGAGTTTTATTCATCATTTGATTGGCTACTGAGCGCTGAGCCAGAGTCTCGCGAGCTTCAATGTCAACCTTCGCGATAGTGTAGGCCAATTTAACAAACCAATCCTATGTATAAATCTACCTCGAGGTTGTCACTACACCATCATCAACTCCTCAGGAAGACTAGCTCCTCAGCCATGTCCATAGTCGTGTTATTCAAATCAGATTAAATATAGCGATGTACAGACAACGAGTAAGGTGGATAACACTATCATGCTCCACCATGGTACCGGCGTCAGATCCCGCGTACGTCTCTCCATCATCTGAGAGCGCCGACGTATGTCTCCTCCGGAAGTCTGAGGGAGCGATGGATGTCGGTGAAATGGATTCTGGCGCCAGAGAGCTGGGATCTGGAACAGCCGCAAGACGATCCCGAAGCTGTTGATCGACCCGTGCAACTAGAGGAGAGGGTGGTGGTGAAGGTGGATGCACACTGACGTTGACAACACCGACTCGACCACTGGTAGATCTCTGGAATTTGAGTTCCTCCCGATAAGAACTAGCCTCTTGAGAACTGTTCACCTCTCATTCTGGTGCAGGTGGTGTGGCGGAGCGCTGGGGTTGCACAAGCGGTGCAGCTTGAACCGTGTCGTCGAAAGTGAAATCTGGCATAGGTGGAGGAGGGCGCGACTCTGTATTGTTGAGAGTTGCATAGTTCTGCAGATGGTGCGATCATATTCAGCCATTCGAATCCTCCAAAGTGGTCAAAACACTCACAGATGGACCACCAGCGTGCTCTGCAGGAAGGACGGTGACGGGAGGCATAGGGGGCTCCACATGTCCCTCATCTTCCTCTTCAAGAGTTTGTCCTTCGGGTGGGAGGTATACAACACAGAGTTTTTGCTGCTAAACTTTCCACTGTGGCCCGACATGATGATGAGAATATGCTATGCACGAAGAAAGACTTACGAATTACTGTAGGTCTCTGGTCTCCTTCTCGGGTGTAATGAGCGTACTTTGGATCAGGAACTTGTTCTTGCACTTCGACGACAAAGGTGGTTCGTCTTTCATCGGTTGTAGCATTACTGTTGGACATGTAAGCAAAGTCGACACATAGACATAACACGAGGCGCATACCGGAGAGCATTGACACTTTCACCAGGCTCTACCCTGCCACCCACGGACGCAAGCGACGCGATGAACTTTGATGAGGTGGAGGCCGTGATGGAAGGTGTCTACAGATGTGACGTCAAGTTCCCATGGGCCATCGCGTCGCGTCACGTCACATGACTTTGTGTACTTTGTGCAAACGTAGTGGTTGGTGCATATGAATCCCGTCTTTCTGTTGTCGCTTACTCCTCCATCTTCCAACAAACGGTATCGTCAAAATTTCAGCAACACCCGAACCTACAACTGCACCAGGCATGGTTATCCAGCCCTCTGCGGCCTCTCTCGTCTATTCGTTGGATCGGTATGCTCCACAGTATGAGGTGCTATTGCTGGCGGTAGACATGGCACGTCATCATCGTGAGTGCTCGAGTCTCTTCTGGTCAGTATCAATTAGACACTTACCAATTACATGAGGCTAGGAGCAGCAGAGAATCTTCACCCGTTGCTGTAAGTAAAATATTTATCCTCTTTGCCCGTGTTTCTTCTACTCTTCATGGCCACGCAGTTGACTCACACATCCTACCCAACCTTACAGAAACAGCAGAAACAGTCTTTTACCCAAAACTCTGATGATGAGACCCTCGTAGTCCCTGCACCAGTCGAAGCTAATGCGGATGCACTTTCCAGAGATGGCACCCCAGCACCATTGATTCGCCAAGCAGTTGGATTCTCATGGCAGCCGTCCGTGCTGCCTATCGCAACTGTCAACACCTACCAAGCTGTCCTCCCCTCAAATACAAGTGCATGCGAGACTTTGCGGGCCAGACCGTCGCAGATAGACGGTAAGCTACCCTGTCGTCGGCGGGTATGTTTTTGTTGGTATTTGCAGACTGGCTCATATATTCCGTAGTCGAGGCTGCTGCTGTTGCTCGCATTCATGCCTTGAATCAACACTTACAGCCTCCGCACAAACCTCTCATTCACCGTCGTGAGCCTCAATGTCAACCCTCGCGAGCTTCCTTTCAACCCTCACAAGCCCTCATCCGCCTTCACGATACTTGCGCAAAACCTCACAAACCTCTCATTCACCCTCGCGAGCCCTCCCTGTCCCTGACGACTGGTGCTGATGCCCTTCATTACCAACTCTGTTTGTTGGCGCGGGTGAGGGAATGACCACGCTGCTCGTATCTGCACTCACCCGTTTTTAGAGGTCAGACCACCCTCTCACATCCTCTCGTACATCCATCACACCCTCTCATACATCCAGCGCACCCTCTCGCACCCTCCCTTATACCCTCTCATATATCCAGCACATCCTCTCGCATCCTCCCTCGCACCCTCTCATACATCCAGTACACCCTCTCGCATTCTCTCATACCTCCAATGGCTTCTTGATGACCGCTTCTCGTACCATACAATGTTCCATCACTCGCTATGTCTGTTTTGTGCCGCTGAAAATAAACACGTTGTTTGGTGACTTACATGAGTGATCTCCTTTGGTGAAATGAGTCAAATATAAGTGCTGGATTGTTGGGTGCATCGTGCGGGGAATAAATGGTTTGTATTATGACATATGAATATAGTAAAAAAAAACATAAACACGAGTATCGAGGAGCGCTTAGAGGTGCACAGGAGGGTGGAGGAGGGTGAGGAGGCTATGTAGAGGTCGTGCAGGAGCCTCTACTAGGAGGTACGAGCAGGAGCCACGCAGAGAACATCGTGGAGGGCCAAGAGGAGGAGCGGGAGCACCGAGACTGACAACAGAGGTTACACGAGGGGAGAGGTACTCACAATCCTGAGAGAGGACTTGTGCTCACACGAGAGGGTAGGTCTCAGAGAGCTCACAGGAGGAGAGAGGTACTACTATCCTCGGAGAGGTCTCATGACCTCACGAGAGGGGGGGTCTCACAGACCAGTTGCGCTCTACAAGGAAACCGGGTCTCTTAGACCCTGGGAACGGGAGGAAAGTGGTGCCAAGGGTGATGGCATTACAGATACAACTGACGACCAAGGCTAAAGATCCGGTTCTGGCATATGAGGACCGGTAGTTTGGATAAACATCTTATTGAAATGCCCTGGCTGATAATGCCTTTGGAACCAAATCAGCATGGTGTTACAGGATACAACTGACGACCAAGGCCAAAGATCCGGTTCTGGCATATGAGGACCGCTAGTTCGGATAAACATCTTATCGAAATGCCCTGGTTAGATAACGGATCGCGGAACTGGCGCTGAGAAAATAAGAAACTTTCGATGTACATAGATCTACAATGCATAGGTACAGTCCCCGTGATCACTGGAAGATTATTGAATACTTTCCGACGACATCGGATCGCCGCTTCCCGAAATGTCAACATGCATATGGCTGATTCCGATGAAGAAAGAACTTCAAAGCAGTGAGCTGTGGTTAGTCAGCTCGACGCTTACAGACGGCAAGTTCCGGAATCCGCTAATCTCAGACCTCGAAACAAACAAGTTACGGGCCCTCTGAGTCTGAGAGTCTTCCCTTCGAGGTCTGGGCCGTCTGGTTGGGGAAGACTTCATGAGACTTACATTTGCCTGACTGCGGTCATGATTGGGCAGAGCAACAGGTATGGTGCACTTCTCTCCCTCTCCCACCTCCAGCGCTGGACTGTCTTTTTCATATCCATGGATAGCCCAGTCTCAAAAGGTCTGTGACAGTCCACTCGAAGTCATGCTCGGGGACTCATAGCAGGTCTAAATCGTGCTACCGGTACGTTCAGAAGTTAAAAGATCTCGTAAAAAGTGAACATTGGAAAATTGAACCTCAGCAAGGATCGAATTAAATAAAGCGATAAAATGAGTGGGGTGGGGGGGAACTAGGTGAAATTTAAATGGTATAAAATTTCATCATTAATACAGTCTCCTTGTGGGGGACTTTCTCTTTTCAGGAACTACCACGGTTTGGCATGTCGACCAGGGCAGGTATGAGTCTTCTTCATATACGGACGCAGAAACACCATACCGCAGCTAGTGCACACAGCTTTAAACAGCCGCTTGTGAACCTCGTTTACGTGGCGAGTGTAGTTGTCCTTCTTTACAACACTTTTACACCCAGACCACATACACTTCACTTCACTCTTGCCATTCTGCGCAACAGGGAGAGACAGCCGTTGGTAGGGTCTACTTGAAGGGCCAGATAAGGCCTGCCCCTCGTTATCCTGAGAGAATTTCGGGAATAGCTGTGTTCCAAACTCATAGCTGATGGAACCGGAGGTGCCGGGAAGAAATGGGTCTATAATCACACACGGTAAGCGTTTAAATGAAAGGCCGCAAATGTAGCAAACTTACCTTGAGGAAGCCGGCGGACTGCAGGATCTGGATACTCTGGCAGGGTACTAATGACCCCGACAGATGCTTGCGTAAGAAATTCGTACCCCTGGTCCGAAGGATGGCCGTGTGAGTTTTGGAATACTGGCGGCTGTGACAGGAGGGCAAGGTTGGGCGGGGTCGACCACAATGGAATAGCACCAAGCTCGTTAAGTGCAACGGGCGCGATGGTTGGAGACTTATCACCGAAGATTGGGTCAACATTGCTATCCAACGCGCCCGTATTCCCCATAGCAAGAATCTCTGTGATGCGGGCGCGGATCTCAAGGGTTTCCTTGTAAGTATTGTTAAGCCTGTGACAGAGCTGGTCAAGCAACTCAAGACATGAGTGCAGGGCTGGTTTCATTGAATCTTGATCATTGGATGCACGTCCTAAAGTTCCATGATGTAACAAGCATTCGTCGTTGGTCGAGCTTGTGCATCGCTCTACAACGCCAATCCGCGAGGATGTCGATGGGAGTGATGTCGGCGTGAATCTGGACCTAGAAGGTAAAACCACGGTAAGCTTACGAGTCATAGGCTTACGAGATCTAGGCTCACTCATGCAAGTGCATACTCATTTTCAATAATGGATTTGAGACGTGAATTGCACGGGAAGCGGTATGAATGCAAGCCTTGGTAAAGTGACAGCGGTTGTTTGACTTGCGTGGATGGGTTGATAACATTAGTATCATATCAGTACATAGGCTTTTAAATGCAAAGAAGCTCTCCGTCAAAATGTGATGCGCATCAGATTATGTACGGCTATGGGAACTTTGCTGTAGTGGAAATGAATATGTGCCACCACGACATTTGTTTTGGATAGAAGTCGGAACAGGACCCCAACGGAACTATTGGTTGGTTGGTGCCTTATCGATATCCCCGACATGCTCTTTGTCGGTTTTTTTTTTCGTGGCCGGGGTATACTCGCGGGGGGAGAATCACACACCAGGCCTACCACGGGAGAACTTCATCCCTATAGCTATCACTAAGTCTTAAGTTTCCTAATTGAATAAAAAAACGGTGCGACTGCCATCATATCTGCAAACAGCTGTAAGCAAATACGATGTGCCTTGATATCGAATGTTACTCGTTAACAATAACAACGAGCATGTCGACTAGCCAATCATCTTTTAGACTTGCCTCAGCTCAAACAAGTACTAGTCTCTCACACTCTGAGAATGGTGCCTGGCGACAGTTTCCTCAAGTTCAAGTTGATGCCGCAACGAAGCTACTGCGCAGGATGTGATTTGTTTGGGAATCCTGCCACTCTGTGACTCCTCCACTACCTGTCACACGGTGTTCCAGAGGGAACTATGACATTTCCGGTACAAGATCCAATTTCAACCGCCCGAGATTTGCCCGAGATTGATGATATCACCACTAGTACTCCAGATTTGCTCGATAAGATAGGAATGATGACATCAATCAGTGAACCGGCAGTGAGCAGATTAGAATGGTATCAATCAACCAAGATTTGTGCACAAGCAAATCGCCTATGACACATTGAGGGAGCCATTGCATTTCCGTAACACGCACTGACGGTTGCATGTCAATGAAATATACCTCCCTCCATTGCCTTTCGAACTCTGTGACATAGCAATATTCACTGATAAGACGCGCCCCTAGTAGGACGGCAGGAATGAGATTAATTAGCCAAAGGCATTCACTTGAAGCAGTGTCGGAGGATACTTGTCCCAATACTGTCCATGGCCATGGCATATGCTACATCCAATTGTGTACTTTGATCGTCCCATCGATCGCCCAATATTTACGGCCCCGGGCTTCTGAGAGTCACCGTTCGTATGGTATGCCTTAATCAAATAAATTTAACCCTAGGGGGATGGGCAGGTGGCACCGTGGCAGGGGGAGGCCCTTCGAATTCTGGAAGCATAACTCACCCTAGTATAACATAACTTAAACTCTATTTATTTCTCTTCCCTTGTGCGTTAGTTAGTCATGCAGTCGCCCCACTGCAGTCCTGATCCAGGTCCAACATGATGAGATCGCAATTTTCGTATCCATTTTCTCAAGGCGATGGTCTTCAAGTTAGGTTTGCGGTGGAATTTACTTCGAGTGGGATCAATAGGCTGTATGTTGCGCTGCCGCTAGTGCTTGTGGGTCAATTGGCAGGCTTTGCGATGGTACTCGATGTCGACTAGTCAATTCCAATTTCCGATACATCTTTTAGACTTGCCTAGCCTCTCACACTCCGCTGTTTCTCGAGAATGGTGCCGGGCGACAATTTTCGAGTGGTTTTACCGCCGTGATTTGTTTGGAAACGTTCCCTGCCATAACCCTACACTACCTGTGACAGTACTAGCGTTCCGAAGCTTCGAAGGAAACTATGGCATTTGAATTCCGGAACAAGATCGATCAAGTTCAACTGCCCGAGATTGATGATATCACCACTAGTACTCCGGATTTGCTCGAGACTCATTCAGGTACTAGTGATGACATCCATCAGTGCCACGGCAGTGAACCAGAGGTGAGCAGATTAAAATGGTATCAATCAACCAGATTTGTGCCACAAGCAAATCGCCTGTGACACATTAAGGGAGCCATGGCATTTCTGTAACACGCGCTGACGGTGGCATGTCAATCAAATATACCTCCCTCCATTGCGTTTCGAACTCCGTGACATAGCAATATTCACTGATAAGACGCGCCCCTAGTAGGACGGCAGGAATGAGATCAACTAGCGCTGCTATAGCCAAAGGCATTCCCTTGAAGGCAGTGTCGACATTTCAAATTTCAACACTCTATTTATTTCTCTTCCCTTGTACGTTAGCTAGTCATGCAGTCGCCCCACTGCAGTCCTGATCCAGGTAATTGGCAGGTTTTGCCATGGTATATATTTATAAAGGGGGCTGCGAGGAGGAGATCTGATCTGAACTGATGTGCATAGGTCTACATAGGTACAGGCCATGGCTTGCCGTCGGAGGGTTATGGGGTTGAACGTTGATCGTCTACATAGGTATAGCAGTACTAGTATGAGCCAGGAATGCTGCACGAGTTGTATATCATCATCGTCACTTTGATAGATTTTATGTAACAAACAATCTGTCCGTACTGTCACACCAAAATATCATTCATACCTCAAAATAAATATCTTCCCGTCCCTCACGCTCAAAATTACAGCCCCTTGGCTCTGATCAATATTGATCGTCTCAACGACATCCAAGTCCAGCTCCTCCGGGATCTCCAGCGTGCGTACTACCGCCTCTTCGGTCCGCCCTCGGCGACCATACACAGGAGGGAAGGTGACAAAGCGCAGACATTTGGGAACCCGCCGCCGCGGATGCGGATGTGGGTGATCGTCTGCCAAGTGCGCAAAGTGCGCGTGAAGCTGCGTGACCGGCTCTGCATTTGGTTGAACAATATCTGCGCCGTACGTGTCTGGAGAATTGCTGTCGGCGCGCGCGCGAACATCATGGGTGGGAGGGACAAAAGGGGCACCATATTCTACCCATACTGCGTGGCCAAAATCAACAGCCACGAGGGGTCGTGGCCGGTCACCAGCATCTTCATCGTCGTCCCCCTCTTCGAGCACGCAGACAACTTCAAATGGCGTGCTGACATACCATAAATGGAGCATGTCGTCGTCATTCGCCTGCGTTGAACCAGAGGAACTGCTCGTGCTCGCCTCTCCTACAACAGGTAGCCCTTCAGGGGCTATGGGGACTTTAAAATAATGCTGCGCGAGCACAAAGCGCGTGCGGTGCGTCTCAGGGTCGTGTGCTGCGAGAAGGACAACCGTGCAGCTCAGCCGCGGGACGCCAGGGAGAGTGGGCCACCACTGCCGCACGAAGTGTGCAGACTCGGGGTACCAAGGGGGGAATGGATAAGGGTTTAAGAACAATTCGGATGTTGTCGGGCCTACTACACCTTGAGCAGGCTGCTGAGGTCCGTCGGGAGTGGTTGGAGTGGTGGATTGAGAAGATGATGCATCCTCGTCATCTTGCAGTCCAGGATCAAGGCTGGTACCGGGTTGGCTTGGGGAAGAAGACCCTGCATCGAGTGCGTCCTCAACACTGACTTCATCGACATCCTGGACACCGCGGGAGCTAGTGGGCTCGTCTGCGCTACTATCATTTCCTGCTTCTTCATCTTCGAAACGCGTACGCCTTTCGCCTTTCTTCTTCGGAGTCAACGGCGTCTCTTCTTCGCCCTCATGAGCATCTCCTCCTTCTCCTCCTCCTTCTCCTTCTTCGTCTTCATCATCATCATCATCATCATCATCATCTGGTAGCTCTTCTTCGTCCACGGGTTCTTCGTGACCCGCCGACTGCTCATCCTCAGCATAAGGTACTGCTGAAGATACCTCAGTCGCGCAGGACGGTTCTTCCTCACTGACGGGTTCAGTACCGTCCTCGGTCTGTCCCTGATCTGCTTCCGCCGCGCCCGCTTCATCCTCCTCCTCAGTATCATCTTCACCTTCATCGCCCGCAGGAGGCATGCCAATCACCGCGCCCGAGCTCCCCGACACAGAAGGAAAGACAAATTTCTTCGAAATGCTCCTACTCGGCGTAAGTCTCGCAGAGATGGTTGGGAGCTTATTCCACAAGTTCTTCAGCGAGTCCGTTACGTCCTCGCCGTCGGCATCATTCTCCTGTGGGGTGCCATCGTCCCCTTGGGGCGGCGTCTGCGCGTGAGCAGGCGGGGAAGCGGAGCAGCGGGGACGGCCGTATGTTCTGAGCACCTCTAGCGGGTAGAAGTGCTGGTAGGCGGCGTCGGCTTCTTCGCTGTGGATTACAATTTGGTCTTCGTGGAGGATGCAAGACCAATTGGAGGAGATAAGCTGTGAAAGGAAGTTAGCAGGCGGATAATATTGTACAGTTAGACAAAGATATGCGTGCTGTTGGAGTCACCATATTCGTTTAAATGCCCAAAAATGGCAGATAAGTTGCGAAACGTGCCAATAGTTCGTTATATGCGCACACAAAGCCGGACCACGTGCACCGAAACCAACTACAGTCAGCAGGATCTTGAATCACGGATGGCATGGTGCAAAATAACAAAACAAAAAAAACACGAGGACCACTCACACATCCAACGCCAGTATCCACAAACACATAGTCGTCTTTCGCCCAATCAAGGAGCACGTACAGCCCTGTAATATGCAACACAAAGCAGTCAGCACGCAGCTCCAAAAATCAGCGACGCCAAAAAATCGAGCAGGCTTGGGTATCCTGATCTCAATTCTCAAAGTAAGATAAACTCACCGATAGTGTTACTAGTTGCGATCCATACAAAGGCGCTCAGCAAGCGACGTGGCGGGTCGAGAAGGAACACGTTCATGATGACCCCCGTTGTATGAAAGCTTGTGAGTGTGTCGAATATAGGTCGCGCTGATTCTGGAATGGGAATATTCGATATTGGGGGCGGAGGCGGGGGTGGATCTGTGAGAATACATTATTTATTAACACAAAAACGAGTAAAAAGTTAGAAGGTAAAAAATCACCAAAATGCAGAGGAAGCGGGATATATCTCTCCCAAGAGGGCGTCGCAGGCGCACTGCGGATAAACATCGCTCGGAGAGAGGGATGGCAGAAGACAGGCCCCTGGTATGGCTCCCCGGCACCACCATCGCCTCTAATTCCAACTGTATTCGCCTGATTTGAGGGAATCCCATTTAACTGCGGAGGATCGCTGCATTCTGCAGAATCGGGCGGTAGCATTGCATTGATCGCCATTGGGGAGCATTGGGCGCTGGATGTGGCGCTGGATGGGCCGAAGCTGCCGGAGTGAAGAAGGGATGAGTCTTGTGGTGATGGGGTTTGGGAGGTGGGTGGTGAAGGAGTAGGGGTGGGGGGTTGATCGTAAATCGGAATCGACGGAGGCGGATCTTGCGCGGGCGATGGGACTCTGGGAGTAACCTGTATCGGGGAGTCCTCATCACATTGTTGGTGATGAGGCTCTACAGCACTGGCATAGTGATCAAGGTGAGAAAGAATTGGAGATTGGACGAAAAGTTGTGCCTGATTTATTTCGTCGTAATCGTCGAGTTCGTGAGGAAAGAACAATCGCATGAGCATGAACTCCATCACGCGGTCATCGTGGTATCTGTGAGGGCGTATCAGTTGAATGTGAAAATAAGATAAAATAAAAAACTGGCAACCCCTTGAGAACCCTCGCCATTGTGAAATATACTGTGCGCTCTTCAAATTCGACACGACATTTCCATAGCTCCCATTTCTCCTCATCGTCCTCGTCTTCATCGTCGCCCCCTCCACCAGAACTACCCAAAGACCTCGGGTCCCACTCAGCAAGACAAATATCCCTCCTCACATCCCAGCATAAGACACGACCGCTCTTAGTCGCACAGAGTGTGTAACTACTGGTGATGGGAGATAGCCAATCGATCTCCTCGTGGGAGGGTACGCTGATTGTGATATACCACTGGTTTCCGTAGTACGGATTTGGGCGGGCGGGTCTAGGGGCACGGATCGCCCACGCCTTCTCCAAACCTCGAGCACGATCGACAGCGGCAATGAGCGCGGGTGTTGAGAGATCAGAGAGGCGCTGGAAGGAGTGGAGAGGAAGAGGCCTGGATCTGGCAAGTAAGTCATGGGCTAGCTGGCGATACACAGGTCTGGTAAGGGTGAACAAACGCAAGGACTTGCAAGTCTAATGAAAAGATTGAGTGAGCTGTAAGATCATATCATGGTAGAGAGTGACCAAAGTGAACTGACCGCCTGGAGATTGTGCACATCGTCGATATCAAGATCCTGTGCGATATTGAAGAGAAGATCATATGGCAAGAACTGTAACGACATGACCGGCGACAAGCACAACTGACAGCCAAATGATGGGAAATCACCTACGCGTTATCCATCCTTGTAGATCACGTGGCTACCACTCTGCTCCCGGTGCTGTCTACGCGGCCAGTCGTTAAGTATGAATACAAGCCTATCAGTTAGTTCAATTACAGCACGAACAATTCAAATCTGATTTGTAAAGTCGTCAACTAATTGAAGAGGGGTTACTGAGTCGGTCATGCTAACTAAATGGCGATGAATGCCATGGCCGTGACTATTACATACCAGCAGAACTAGTAAAACCTCGACATTGGCTTCCACTTGCTATCCAGTGTCCAACCACCACGATGTTCGTCCGCTTCACACATGTCGTTATCCTTGCCCTTGCTAGCATCGTAGCTGCGTCTGCAGCCTTAAACACTCACGGAACGTCCAGAATTTCTACCAAAGTTTACAACCTGTGAGAATGGTACCACGCTGGTGTGCTGCAAAAAAAGTTGGAGATGTTAGTAATTCTGTGCCGGCCATTAATGCACAACAATAGACCAACAGCGGCTGGCAGTCAGCACTGCGAACAAATGCAAGCATACCGCTCTCTGCTATAATATCAATGTTGTAAGTTTGACGTCGTTTCACAAGAGTATTTTCACTACTGGCCTGCATACCCCACAGAAGGGAACCTCTGTTGGAACGTGCTACGAGACCTCTTAAGAGATACACGGCGCATCAATTCGGGTTATAGACTTGCAATTGTGTATTTCTTGGAAGGCGCGCTGATCGACTACATGAAGTCTACAGCCAGCTGTCACGGGGTATGTCAGTTCTCGATGTAAATGTCAGTAGGAGAACTCAGACCCATACTCGCAACAAGTGCACTGTGCAGCAAAATATAAAAATTACAGCATTCAACATACCCCACGGTCCTCGAGTAAGGTGCACGACAAATGAGTTGATTTCTGCGCTAGATCGATGGCACGTAGTTCAAATAGACCTGGACTACCAGTGGGTTCCAGACCGGAGTACTGATATTAACAAAGGTGAGCCATGCATCAGTCTGCATTTGTTGGCACGGCCTTTACCGCGATAAGACCTTGACATCTTACTCGGGGAGACATTATAAATATAGAAGGAACGACGGTGGTATGGGAGACTTAGCGGTGGCTGAGCGCTGAACGAGTGAATATGGTTTAGGGCAGGCAAGTTCGTGTTAAATATTTATTAATATCACTTCGCGTTCTTGCAATAAGTAATGATTGATGTTAACTTGAAGGCTAGGTCTCAGACAGCCAGATAATCTTTGCCAGCCAGTTTCGGGGACGATCTAGAGCTGCCATCGACTCGGATCCGACAGGCTCTATCAACGCTTCAAGTAATATCTTGGTCGACCTGGCCCACATCACCTCAGCTCAAACCATTTTGAACAGGCCGCGCACGTCAGGCTAATTGGCGATGTGGGCGATGTGAGGTGCTGATGTGCATGTACACAGGGTTGCATGAAGCTTCGAACTTCGAGGCCGCTCACACGCCATATCTGAACTCTAGATAAATTTCACAATGAATTGTACGTGAAACTGGGCGTAGGGCTTCGGTTTGGGGAATCTGCCCTGTTCAAAATAGGTCATAGGAGATACACGACATGCGTCTTCTCTATCCTAGCACAATCAATTGCCGCGAGGCAAACATGCCTTGATCTGCGCCGCCAACCTTGGTATGTGACCTTTGAAATGTAAAGCATGTCCATTTGCATATAAACTTCGAACAGAGCGTATGCTGCCAGGCTTCAGATTACTACTATGCTTCCACGGGAACCGTACAAGGGCTTAACGCGAAAGCTAGTACTTGCATTTGATGTCGGGACCACGTTCAGTGGAGTCTCGTATTGTATGCTAGACCCAGGGGAGGTGCCTGTAATTCGAGGAGTAGCAAGGTTAGTAGCCAACTCAACCACCATGTCTCTTGCTCATGGTAGCATCGCAGATATCCCGCCCAAGAACATGTCGGAGGTGACTCCAAAATACCATCAATTCTCTACTACGACCTTGATGGAGACGTCCGCGCTGTGGGTGCTGAGGCTCTACAAGAGCATATCATCGAACAGGCAGAAGACGAGGGATGGGTGAGACTTGAATGGTATGTGTGTCGTCATGGTTAAAGCATAGGCTGTGTATTAATCTCGGTCAGGTGGAAACTTCATCTTCGCCCCAAACATCTGGCATCGTCTGACATACGGGTCAAGCCTCTCCCACGAGGCAAATCCGCAGTAGAAGTCCTTGCTGACTTCATGCGCTACCTCTTCCAATGTGCTCGGACTTACATCCAGGAATCACATTTGAATTTCTGGAGATCGGTCGAGAACTCTATTGAGTTCGTGCTCACACATCCGAACGGTTGGGAAGGCCAACAACAACAACAAATTAGACGCGCTGTCGAGCTCGCTGGTCTCATCTCATCTAAAGACGAGCAATCTCACGTGCACCTCTTGACTGAGGGCGAAGCGAGTCTTCATTTCTGTGTTACCAACGTGATTGCATCGGATATATTCTCTGAAACCCCTATAGATGTGTCAGCTTACTCCGACGAGGAGGAAGATCAATCTGACAGCCAAGGAGTCATTGTTATTGATGCCGGAGGCGGAACCATCGATCTCAGCGCCTACTCGATGAAGTTATCTCCAACCTCGTTTGAGGAGATTGCCCCAGCTGAATGTGAGTCCCGCTTTCCCGCATTGTTCCCTTGCTGAAGTCCACTCAGGTCGCCTACAAGGCTCTGTCTTTGTTACTGATCGCGCTCAAACTCTTTTACAAAGTCCGTGAATGAATCAGTCATGCAGGCAACCAAAAACTAATAGTCATTTTATTTCCCAGAGAAACTTTCGGGTTCGAACTACTCCAGCCCTGATATCATCGACGAAATGACGAAGATATTTGATAAAAGCACGAAGCTTCGGTTCCGTAAGCCTGATGAACCATCGTATATCAAGTTTGGTACCACCCGTGACAAGGATCCGAAGTACGACATTCGATCAGGGCAATTGAAGTTGGTCGGGTTCGTCCATGTTCTCTAGGATGCCTTTCCCGACACTCACGATTTATCATACAGCCAAGACGTCGCGAATTTGTTTGAACCATCCATCGAAGCCATCATTGAAGCTTTTGAGCAGCAGCGACGCGCGGCTTCGACTCCAGTCAATGTGAGCATCATATTCCGCTCATATATGCGGATGGTGACTTCGTCGTGAAGTTCGTTTGTTTGGTTGGTGGTTTCGCTGCCAGCGACTGGCTGTTTGCGAGACTCCAGGAATATTTTTTGCCTCTAGGCATAAGCTTCTGTCGTCCTGATGCCCATGCGTAAGCCCTCCAATATTGACGTGATTATTTCTACTCATCAGGTAACCGCAGCAACAAGGCTGTTGCTGATGGGGCAATTTCGTTCTACATTGACCACCTAGTCTCATCTCGAGTTGCACGCGTTACTTACGGCATTGAATGCACTAATCGGTACGACTCTCAAAATCCTGAACACCTGGCTCGACGACATAAAACCATCATCGGTATAAACGGCGAAAAGTACTTATCCGATTGTTTTGGAAGTATCTTGCTGAAGGTGAATAAAGATTTTCCATTCATTCGGTACATGCTGATCTGTCTTATAGGGAACTCAAGTATCTGAGCTACGCGAATTCCGGAAGTCCTTCTCTACTACCTCAAAGTCGCTCGCTGCATGCAAGAGTCACAGCGCTGAAATAATGTGCTATAAGGGTGCCCTCCAGGAGCCACGGTGGTTGGACACGGAACCGTGTATGAGTTATTCGCGGCTTGAGTACCCTCATCTGACTTGACCCAATTCAGCCTCATTCACCACTCTATGCACGATCCATGCCGACCTCAGCGAGCTATCCCGAACACTGCGTCCCAAAAGATCGGCTTTCAATCAATCGAAGTATTATCAGTATGAATTCGACGTCATCATTTTATTCGGCCACACAGAACTGAAAGCACAGATCAGTTGGGAAGAAAAGGTTCGCGACTCATTTCATTGATTCACTTCCTCGCTGATCGAGAACGTTGCAAAGGGTGTTCGAATGCGGTAAGCCCAACTCACAGTTTTCTGATTCTGTTGCCTTAATTTATCATAGGAGCCCAGCAAGTATAGTCTACGACGAGTAGTGTCAAGACCAAATTGTAGCTCAGCTCTTTGCACATGCTGTAGCTACAGAAGCGTGTTAGCATCATGTAGGACCGTCGTGTCATCTGAATCACCTGTATCTATGTTGCCTCAAATATTATCGGGCTTCGTACATATTCTGAACAGCCCAAGTCAAGTCGAACATGCTGAGGCGGTGTAAGCTATTGATCACACTCAAAAATCTACGCACTGCTTCAAGTTTGACCAAGACGACGATGGAGTAGTTTGGCCCACTCGAATTCATCCCCCTTTGATGACCTGGCAAGGCTGATAGTGTCCACTGTCTATGACGTTCGAACCAATATTGCTTGGACGTCTTTGACCCTGTTGCTTCATCAAGTCGAGTCTCCTCACCATATAACACCTCCCGCATGTCCTATTCGCTGATTTTTGTACCGGATCATACAGATTTGACTAGCTTTCTTGCCTTGCAAACACCCAGATCAGACCACTCATTAATCACATACTTACATGCACTGCTTGGACCACATCGCAATTCCTCAGACTTGTTCACAAACCGAGCGCATGAGTCGTCACACTCTTTTGGTCGCCAGCGCTCATACTCGCTTCACTATCATAACGCTGCCCGACGTTGAATTCATTGCACACGCGGATTTCACAATCGATTGCGGCGAGCTAGCTGGCAACCTTCTGGCAACAATCGATACCAATTATAAAACGTCAGCAAGCCGCCCTTTGACCGAGTGCTATCACTTCATATGATCGTGCGTTCTCAACTCCGTACTTGAATCCAAAGACTGTAAGCGACACGCTTACATTGCAAATGATACTTGTTGATCGCAGAAGCCACTGGCCAATATGATCCTAATAATCTTCCACACTTATCATTGCAAGTTTACATACAAGATCTCGGCATGTGAGTGAATGTACTCTGACATTTAGAATACACGCGTCTTCCATCCACTCTGATAGTAACAAGCTTCGGTGATAGTCTGAGCAGCAACAGAAGACTGGAACCCAACCCTCATGTAGGGCTCCTTGTTTTGGTGCTGCGCATACAAACAAGTGCTGTTGTCAACTGCAGCACCCAAATGCGCGTCTTTGTGCCAACCAACGCCCTGGGTGTAGGAAATCTCCTGGACCTGACTGTTCACAGTGATATAATACACGCGGATCTTCCACGATAAGTCAGAATGGCGAGGCACATGACAGTGGTCAACAACTCGTACCTGTCGCAAGTTGTCCCACGACACGGCTGCGATTGGCGTGTTGATGCGGGCAGCGGGCATAGCACCAGTGGTGAGTTTGAGGATGGTATGGGTCGTGTTGTTTGGGTCGTTCAACGACATTTCGCAGATCTGGTAGTCTTTGTTCTGGAAGTAGATGCGAAATTTCCCATCCTCATTCTGCACACCGGCCATAGTGGTCCCGACGAAGTCGGTGGGCAGAAGGTCGGACTTGGTTGCTGACTCGGACATGTTTTCTGTAACCCATGAAATGAATACAATCAGTCATGGAATGGTGGATGTGCTGCTAGCTGTGACTCACTTTGGTGGATTGGTTGTGGATGTGATGACTGCTAACTTAAAGCAGGCGATGAGTCTTGCTTTTATACCTCCAGCCATATCCCCTGTCTAGAGCATAATGCGGATATCAACGATTCCTTGGTCGGAAGAAGACACAAACAAATGTAGTGGTGGGAGTCTCTGCGGTGTCTGGGCACCGTCATATACCCGCCAAGACACCGTCTGACAAGATCCGTGGCCCCAGATGTGGTCGTTATGCACCAGTCAGGAATGAACGTCACTCAGTGCGCACCCAGGCCTGCGCATCACCCAGGGATCATGGCTACATAGTCAAATGACAATTGGTCAATTCGCGCACAGGACAGCGCGTGATACACCTCTGGGCCAGAAGTACTGAACCTAAAATGACAGCGAATCTAGCTTCGATGACTGAGGCAGATAATGCAGTCATTCTAACTGTCAACAGTTGCTCGATGGGGGCGAGACTCTGTCATGAACAGCCAAATCCCATGAACGTGTACTACAACGGGAAACGCCGCTGTTCAGTGTCTCCTTGGCTCAGAAGGAAAAGGAGTCGCCGCAGTCTCTGGGCACAGAAGTTAACCGCGATCCAGAAACTCCAGGGCTCCAGATTCTGCCGGTGATGTGCGCCCTCAGGAGATTCCATGGGCACCCAGGCCTGCGCGTAATTCAGGGATCACAACTATGATAGTCAACTAATTCACTCACAGAGCAGAGCATGACACATATTTGGGCCAGAAGTGCTGAACAAACCACAATTGCCAATGACACCGGATCTTACTTTGATTCTATTACAATGTTTTGTTCGGCGAACCGAGAGTGGTGTTGCAGTCATTCCAACTGTCGGGAATCGTTAGATAGGTGCAAGAATCATGTCCGCGGACGTTTCCTAGCACGAACAAATTGTCTCAGCATATTCCGCTGTTTAGGTGTTGGTAGTAAGGTCAGAAGGAACTATAGTTTACAGGGTCAGGGCGAGACTGCGCCTGGCCAAACCATCGTTCTCAAAAGCGCATGTGTCGCTCTCGGCCCTCTTCGAAATGCAGCTACGTGGCTCAGATTTAGCTGTGAGTCCACATGTTGAGGTTGTATCTGCCATTCGAAAGAGGGCAGAAAGAAAACTTCTATCCCAGCGAAAAAGTGTTATCGACATCGTTGCAAGTCAGGAAGGGGGTTTGAAAGATTCTGGTGGTTTGGCAGTGGGGCAAAAGAACGACGTTTTAGATTGATCGACGAGTTGCCGTTGAGGATAAGGAAGGATATCGAGCGTCAAGGAGGTGTCGATTGCATTGTGAGAATCTTAGAGTAATACTAGTGGGAGGTTCATTGTTGAACATTGAGAGGCGAATCCGGCTTGAAAATAAGTGTGAGTCGTGATGGTCGAAATCCATGTTGTCCTCGCTGCCAAGATCGGGTTCTTAGGTTTGCAAGTGAGAGCCCATGATGATGGAAGTATCGCGCGTCGCCTTTGCCGTGCCAAGAGCCATCGAAAATGTAGTGGTGGTCCTACTAGTTCGTGGTTTTGTCTCTGCGGTTCGCGATTAGACTGAGGAGTTCGCAACAACTTCCGGGTCGGCACAGACATGGAAGCGTAAGTACCGGGGAAGGTGCAAGTAGAGTATACGACCGTGAACCAGCCCAGGCTGGTTACGACGGTGGTCACGGCCGCCAAACCAGGGAAGCGTGACCAGGCCGGTATGAGTGAACCGCCGGATGTAATGCCCGATTTGGCGCTGGGCTCGGCCTGATCTCGGTTGCTCGATTCGGTAAGTCGTGTCTTTGTCTCTCATCCACCCAGCGTGCCTTCAACGTCGCCGCTTGCAACGCACTGCCATTGAACACCTGAAACCCATGAGCGACGACTGAAGGGGCTTCAGAAGCCCTCTGCCGTCCCTTTTCCCACTTACTTATTACTTTATAGCTCATACTAATTCTCATTCTCGTCTGACTTTAGGAAACTCGGCTAGATCGTGTCGCGCCCACTTCCCTCCTCTTCGCGAGGTCGCCGTGCAATATCCTCTTATTTATTTCTGCAATCTCCGTGGATTCTGAAACTTGCCACACGTTTTGCGGTATCAGACGATGATTCATATCTGTACTGCCAATGAGGCGAAGCCAGTATGTAAGATGATCGTTTCAGAAATGAGTTGGGTCTAATTATATTGTAATTCTAATGGTGTGATTGGTGACGGTGATGAACTACTTTGTGCTACTCTAGTTGAGCGCACATGCGCCGACAAGGTTTTTCCGGGGAAATGGTCGTCCGCTCCGACGCACACTCATACTTGTTACCACGGGGACAGGATTGGGCTGGACAGGGGTAACTGCCGAGAAAGCCCTTACAAGTTAACGTGACTCTGTGCCTTATAAGTATTGTACGTTGGTGATCAGCTGCCCACCGCTCACTCTTTGAATTCGCCATTTGATTTGCATAGTTTCATGTCGCAACTAGAAGACGATGCCTATGCTCTTAAATGGAACAACAACATATCTGGTTCGTCAGCCTTGCTCTTAACGACCCATTAACTTATTCCTCGTTTTCCAGTTGCAACAATTACCCTGGTATCCTATGAGTACAGTTAGTAACTTTCATGAATCTTGCACTGCGGCTGAGCGTAATATTATCTAGTTCTTCAGTTCGAGAAAGAGGTAACGAGGAGCTCGTTTTATCTTCGTCGAGTACTCACAATCATCTTATCGCAGGTCAAGTTCGTTTGGGTTAGAGTTCAACTCCAACGATATCAAGCTCTAGAAACTGACTGAATATCTAGGGAAGACAGTGGTCACCGATGACATACCTATACCTCGTTGTGAGCTCTACCCCGCCAAAGCGCTTCATGGTTTCCCATTTTTGTTACTATGTCAGGTTCGATACTTTGGGGTTTTCATTGCAATGTATGTCGCGGTGGTTGTGTCCCTCAGATGGTATATTGCAGGTTGACACTGAACCATAGGACTTACGCCTGTTGTACGTGACATGATGTCAACTGAGCTATCACTTGCTGACTAGCGCTAGGGGGTGGTCTGTTTTATATACCTGAAGCAGTGAGTGTATCAATTCTTCCCCCTGATTTCTAGGTTGATTCAGATTCAGCCGTACGTCAGAAGTTCGTTTTGCAGCTAAGCCTGATCTGCTGCTTATCTCTTATTTAGTTGTGGGTGTATCGTATTCAGCTAAAACCGCCCTTTGCTCATCATGAAATTGAAATAGGCCATGGTATTTTTCTGTTAATGCAATGGGGGATTTCTTTATATTTTTGCTTGGCGGAAGGTCAGTCATACACGTTCCTGCATCTTTGCGCGTACTGATTGTGCGTCCGCAGTCATTCTCATCTGGCGTCTTTACGTTCTATACAACCAATCCAAGCCTGTACTTTATGTTCTCCTGGGGTTTTTCATACCTGTCATCGCGCTCTACATAGCGATGGATATATTTTTATGGAGTCGACCTTCAGCGATCTCAAGTGAATGTCTATTTCGATCAAATCCTGTGCAAGCTAACGTCTGGTTGCATAGCGGAGGAAGTGATGATAACTTCGAACATCAAGTATTGCACGACTTCGTTCCACATTGGGCCCATGCCTGCGATATATGCTTCCATCCCCATCATATGCTATGATATTTTCCTAGTTATTCTCGCAATCGCTGTCCTCAAGAAACACCTCAGAGAACGGAAGGAACTCAAAATGAGGCCTAACACCTATGTAATAATGATCGTCCAACATCATATCATATACTTTGTCCTGTAAGTTCCCCTTCCCCTGTCGGGATTTCTAACTGGATTCATTGAATCCCGCTAGGAATCTGGCATGCCAAATTTTCATGGCGATACTGTGGGCCAACCTTCCGGTATTATCTCCCATTATTCTAGAGAGATCAGCTCTAACGCAGGCATGCGCAGACGGTAGCGAGGTATCTCGTACTGTTGTTCATAGATACAGCACCATTTATTATCGTGCCTCGTCTTATCATCAGCATTTGGGATACGCATGCCAATGAAAGCTGCGTACATGTCAGTACGACGTTCGAAGATTGTGTATGTTGGACTTCGCCACCAGTATTCGATCAGCATGAGACGGGCTCCTGCGCATGATGGTTCCAAAACGGGGAAGGAGGTAGAGTGAGGTCCTTCAAGCCCTCGGGCTCTAGCAAAACTCTCAGATACTTGTGCATGGGAGCAAGTAGTTCGGAGCCGATTTTTTCTTGTATCTATGTACTATCATGTCCACAAAGTATCAGCATATCTCGAGCTTGTACTAGACAGCCAAGCGTAAAAGTGGGGCTTAGCATAATTTATTCTAGAGGACTCGACATGCTCTTGGCTCGTGACTCTAAATTTGAGAACATTCCGCTGATGAACGTTGAGGCCGCATATGAGCGCCACGAGGTGAAGGATCATTATTGGAGAAATATCGCGCATGTAAAAGACGGTCGACTTCGAGTTGGCCGTACGCATTCAAGTTAATGCGTTCGCATTAGGAATGTACTCCGATGGACTCATCGAGATCAAACAGGACGCCCCGCTACGGAAATCTGGGCTCAAAGTATTTAAGGACTGCTTCATCTCACTCGAGAATTGCCGCCTGCATCGACAGAAACCTTGCTTGACCCAAACATTAAACTCAAGGAGTTACAAAGTAGACGCCAGTTGTATAGAAATTAAAAACATACGAATCAAAACATAACATGTTGCCGGGCGCGCGGCGAAGCCATATAAGGAGATCCGTTCTGGAACGGGTCACGTGAGCCCCGGAAATCACCGGTTGGTCGAAAGTTGGCTATTAATTATGGGGGTCGTAGAAACCTTGTCAAGCAAGGTAACTAACAAGAGTCTCGCTTGTATGATATCCAGTGAGACGAGGCTGAATACGCACAAAAAGAGCGGAGACCTGCGAAGGATACACGTGACCTGTGTCAGCGATGGTTTCGCGACTGATTTGCAATTATATTTTGCTCGCTGTCCGTCACACCGACGGGCATCCCACTGCCGCATTGAGTCCACGCGTCACAAGTCGAACTGCTGTTCAAATGGATATAGAGGCATTTCAGGCGCTATGATTTGTATTCATGCTACACGACCGACTGCCTGAATCGCGAAACCAAATTCCTGATCAATATTGAAGACAGCACAAGTGCAACGACGATATTTGGGCTCAAAAAATGAGTGAAACTGTGTTTTCAACCGGCGAGGGACGTAATTTTGAGGTAGTGGTCCATGATCAATCCAGCGCAGATCATTGCCCCGCCGTAGCGAGCTGCCTAAAATACAACACAATATCAAGATTAGCGCACGTGGCTATAACAGCTAGACGCACCGTGAAAACTTTCCAACAGTCTTGGGGATCATTTTGATCAAAAGACCAAATGTGCCAAAGACACAAGAGGAACGGGGCAATGGCACTCATCACGTAGAAAGGAAGGCGCTGGTCGTTCAAGTAACCAGCCCACAAAAGACAGACGAAGAAGACCACATCGAATAAACTCAATACAGGACGAATGGCTTTGCCCAGACGGACTGCCATGGACTTGACTCCGGCTTTCACGTCGTCCTTCTTGTCCTGAGCAATATGATCAGCACATGCCTCTGGATGCAAAACTTTTCGAGGTGCTCACCTGACATGCGTAAATGGTGTCGTAAATACAAGTCCAGCTAAGAAGGCATTATCAGCATGACACGACGAGAACCGCCTTCGCCTTCCTCCGCACTCACCAGCACGACGCAATTGCTATGTTCAGGATTATACCCCAATTATAATGGCCAGTCGTTGTAACCCACGTGCCTGGGACGGCCCAGCTAACAGCAAAGCCTTAAAACCAAATAAGATGGCGCACTGTTTCTCATAAGGGAAAGTCGTACCGAGGTACAAGGAAGGCCAGTTCATCCAGCGCTTCATCAGCGGATATGACGTAACACAAACAGGGAATGCAACGACACCCAGTGTGAAACTTAAAATAGTCCGTCGGAACTGTTTCAACATTTCTTGGAATGATTTACTCACGCTTTGGGGCCACAAGTCGAAAACATGTAGAATAGGGCAGCAACGAGAACAGCCAGAAGAACAGAAGCCTCTGTCGTAGTAACAGCTCCTGATGCGATCGGTCGATCCTTTGAACGTTCTATTCCACATTAAACATGTCAAGAAAGCACAGTCAGGATTGAGCTGAGACGTACCAACTTTGCGATCAAAATCGCGGTCAAGTATGTCATCTATGATACAGCCTGCGCAATGCACTAGTATCGCCAGTAATGCATAAAACAAAGTATTCCGAACAACTTCGTCGAAGGGCAACGACAAACGATAGGCTGCTGACAAGAATCCCCAACCTATACATGCCATGAGTTATAATCGAAGAACAAGAACATCACATGTCTTACCGAACGGCCAAAACATGCAGTCACACCCCACTGGGAACCAGTGGAGCCTGGTGAGCTCGAACAATGCTCTCGCCTTGGAAGGCATCTCAACAGGTAAGTTAAATGGCAAAAGAAAAATTGGAGTCGATGGTGGGGAACGTCAAAACCATAAAGTAGTCCTGCCTACCCTTTACGTTCTTATCCCGCTGCCGAACAGTGGCGGAGTGATAACATACACTCGACCCCGTTCACGGAACTTGGTGTATGTAAGTGGGCGGTTCAATATCGCGTACTTATTGTTTCCTCCTTTTGGGATAGCCTGTCCATAACGTTTACTGAACGTACAGAACACTAGGTTTTTGCCGAAACAGACCCAAGTGGCTCTGCAGTTGACATTATTTGTTCTATGCCAAGGAGTCTGGTTGGAGCTCCTCTCAAGTCTGCAAAGTGATTATCATCTATCATGAAGCTTGAAAAATACGTGACTAAACTCGTCTTTATTCTGTGACGTGGTCTTTGGTTTTTCTGTGGGATCAAGTTCTCAAAAATTAACAGTCTCGTACCAACTTGAACTCACGGCGGCATATTGTAATCAGAGTTCATTGTATCACGCCAACAAATTTACCATTATTTGGAGATATTTGGAAATTACATAAAATCATCTATGACGCATTGACAAGGTGACAGGATGTTACATAATGGCCTCTGGTCTTGCATCTTTGCGTGGTGCACCCACTGTCATCGTCAATCGATGATCGATGATCAAGCAGCCATGTCGTGACGCCGCGCGCGCATGCCTGAAGATCTTGCACTTCCATTTCGCATTCTGCAAATACTGTCTGGAGAACGGGGACCAGTCAATACTTCAGCGCTTCAGCGCCTGTTAACATTCAAGTTTAGGCTCGAAGTCCTTCATCAACATATCGAAGTCGCCATCATATAATTACGCGGGGCACGACGGAAGCGTATAGCTTCCCGAGCTCAGGCGAGCAAAGTCAATATCGCTTCCAAATGGCAAATTTACCTCTCGCGAGGAAGACGCTCTTAGAACTGGGGCGACGATTCAGAGGACATTCAATCTCGGGGGTCCAACTTTGCTGGCCGAACACCAGAAGCATGCAGATATTATGAATTATTATCACATCGCCCTTATGCAGAATTCCAAGGACTGGCATCATGATCAGATACTAAAGGTCGTCTTCTTTGCTCACAAGGGTTCGTTGATTCCTGCCTTAATCTCATTCCGCACATCAGCGTCAAGTTCAATCCCACCGCTACCCACACGTACACAATGTTGCATGCAGATACCCGGAGCAAGTTCCTTGCAGTATTCGAGCGCATCCGCGAGGAAGTGATTGCGCACATGAAGTCCGAGAAGATGCCTGAGGATGCCATAGCGTGGTTCAACGAGGTAATTAGTTATATGTGATTTAGTGAATGTCAATATTCACCTCTCGCTATTGTATATCTTTCACTACCTGTGGCAATTTGTCTTTTCGACCCCCCCCCCCCCCCCCCCAACCCATTAGAACCTCACCTACAACGTCCCTAAAGGTAAACTCAATCGTGGCGTATCCGTCGTCGATACCGTCGCAATCCTCCTAAACCGCCCTCCAACCGACGACGAATATTTCAAAGCTGCCCTCCTTGGATGGTGTATCGAGCTCGTACGTTTTCTGTTATCCGTTCTCTGCTATTTCCCCATAGTCACCTCCTGACAGCTTCAAGCTTGCTCACTCATTTCCGATGATATTATGGATAACTCCATTTCTCGCCGTGGTCAACCCTGCTGGTACCGCGTCTCTGATGTCAAGGGCTTCGGAAAGGTAAATAACATCGCCATCAACGACTCGTATATGCTTGAGGGCGCCATCTATCACATCCTCAAGAAGTACTTCAGGCGTGAGAGTTATTATGTTGACTTATTGGAATTGTTCCATGAGGTGAATACGACACCTTACGTTGTACCTCATGCGCCTCTCTGATCCCAGTTACCCAGGTCACATACAAGACCGAGATGGGTCAGCTCGTTGACCAAGTCACCGCTCCCGAGGACAACATCGACATCCGCAAATACACCCTCGCAAAACATACCTTCATCGTGCGGTATAAAACAGCCTACTACTCCTTCTACCTTAGTGTTGCACTCGCTATGCGGATGTGCGGCGTCCCGGACGTGTACGAGCTCAACGGAAAGATTTATGAGCCGTACAAAGAAGCCGACCGCATCCTCATTCCCATGGGCGAGTTCTTCCAGGTACAAGACGACTACCTCGACTATCACGGCACCGAGGCACAGATCGGGAAGATTGGCACAGATATCATAGATGGCAAGTGTTCCTGGTGCGTATGCACGGCACTGGTGCATGGCACCGACGAACAGAAACAATTTCTGTTCGAGAACTACGGCAAGAAGGGTCCTGACCAGGCTTTGATGGAGCAAGCTGTGAAGGACATGTACAACGACGAGCAGGGGTTGAATATTCCCAAGCGCTACGAGGAGTATTCGAAGAACACGATGGCGGAGATTGATGCCATCATTGAGCTGGTACCAGAACCTGACATGCAGGATGGGTCCAAGGGTCATTTTCTGAGGCGGGACGTGTTCCGGGCCTTCTTGAGCAAGATTGCTAATCGTACGGCGTAGGATCACATGAGTATCTGAAGTGTAGGATTATTTATGAGCATCGGAATTGTAGGATTATTTATGAGCATCGGAATTGTAGGCTACTAGAAAACCATCGTTTGTTTAATTGCTGACATACCCATGAATGTTTACAAGTAGCTTGGCTTGATTGGATGTGGCAGGAGTCTCAAAACCGAACGTGCGGCGCAATGACAACGGTAAAAGAGGAAAAGATATTGATGTGCTAACTCTCCGACGTCTCGGGATCGCTCACCGTGTAATGTGACTTGATGTGAAACCATTGTACAACTACAATATATCCAGAAACACCAGTCAGGCCTACTAAGTCAGGTTCGGGACTCATATATACTCGACTGACCAGCTGAGTACTAATAACTACAAAATTCCACCCTTCTCAAAGATGTAGTAAGAATGGTCACGCATCCAAATTTTCGCTATCGACTTGGAGCTGAAGACCTTGATCTCCATCCCACCCAAATTAACATTTACACATGGAGGATATCAAGGATCATCTCAAGCTGGGGATTCCCGCCAAGCCGCGCAACCTCCTCCCGGGCCTGAATCACAAAACAGAATTTCAGCAGCGACTATGTGCAGGCACAATGGGCAAACAGACCTGCTGCTCCAAGCTTCGGATCACCGTGAGCGTGTAATCAAATGACTTTGTCTTCGTCCGCAGGTAGTCAATGACATGGTGCTTCAAAGTTGGTGTGGTAGGACGTTTTTGTAGCACGCCTGTATGACAGTGGTTAATCAATCGATACACCTAGATGTCGATATCATCAACGCACTCGTCACAATGTTGTTTCCGTCATCCGCACGAACTCCGTGGACAATTGGGAAGGAGAATTTGCCTTCTGTGAGGTCTTCTGCAAAGCCCTTATTGTCACTGTACTGGATAACACCTTTTAGTTCTTTTGTCTGGTTTAAATTATGAACTATGCGTGAACCATGAGTGGCCCACAGTGCATTACGACCGGATAGCAGATTTTGCTGGTTGATAGACACTCGAGGTACAAGCGCAGGCAAATGACAAGCTTACCTCTGCACTTTGCAAGTTCATGTAATCATCCCGAATCTGGAAGTACACCCCAATGATATTCGTCAGAGGGACAAAATCGCTAAGGATTTCATGAATAACTATTTACAATATTCTTAGAGTGAGAAGACTCACATGTCGAGATTCTTCGTTGCGAGTGCCATCATCAACTTGACAGGCATCCTAAAACCACCGCCAGTTTCTGCACACTGAAAATTAGAGTGTGATATACCCAAAAGGGTACAGACGTACTGTTGTTGACCATGGAAGTATACTCTTCCATCGTTGGGCACTGCAACAAATCCCGCCACAAGATCTCCAACCCCTGCCCACGGTGTAAGTTCAAAAGCTCCTCCGTAACTATCGAATCTAAATCCCTAAGGTCTACCAACCTCGCCTCCTCCCCATCTTCACACTGTCTTCTCAACTTCGCGAGCTCCTTATACGCCAAGAAATATATGTAATTGGCAGTATTAATGGTTTGCGGGATGCCGTATATTTTGTGCGTCGCAGGCCGTCCCCTCCGCAGATGCGCATCATCTTCTATGTCATCGATCATCAAGCTTGCATTATGCAGCATTTGAACGATGTGGTGTATGATCTTAAGCTGGTCGCTCGGGACTGCAAGCCAGATGTTGAGAGCCTCAAGGAGAAGTGTGCGGACCCCCTTGCCAGGATTGGAGGCGATATATGTAAATGGTTCCAATATAAGCGATTCATTCGCCTGCGACCATTGTGAGTCTGGTGTAGACGAGAGAAAATTGAGCAGAGGAAGCTGGGAGGACGACATTGGAGATATGCGAGGAGCACACAATTCGCGTCGGTGCAGTCCTATGTAGTAGGGGGAAATCTGCATGTGCTGGCGTTGGTCCCAAAAAGTTGCACTTCGGAAACCCGTGGCACAGGTACGACACCTAAGCAGGCCCTGAAGATGAGCTGTGATAGTGTGTGATACCGTCCAACAAACTTAATCCTGGATGTGACTTGCTTTGGGGTGACGGTATTTTATTTTCTAAGTTCATGAACGTATCTGAGATGATCTCCAGTAAGTCGGCCAGCCAGTCAGCTACTGAAGAAATATAACGCACTCGGTTCATGGAAATAACAAGTTGCAGGTTCTCGTAGACAATTGACGTGGCAGCTACTCGCGCACTGAACGGCGACAGCCTCTTGAACGCTCCACAACTTCTAAGTGTGCACGCTAATCTCCGCTGCATCAACAAAAAGAGCCTGCCGCATATATATCGTTATATATGCTGCTCGTAGGATGTATGTCAAAATGTAAGCCCTTGTGCGGGTCTTACGTAAAAGGTGGTCAACAGACATGCATGCTCGTGTAAGCTTCACAACTTGAAGCTTGAAGGCATTAATATTGAGCTCTTTTGTTGACTCGGGCTGCTATCAGTAACTGTGAAACTGCCACACCGTGAGCCCATCACAGTTGTGCCACATCTCGAATAAAAACTATGCACGTGTGAGCGACTCACAGCTAATTCCTGCAACAGTCAGTCATTATTCACTGACTTTGCGACGCACCGCATCACCGTACATAGTATGAACGTTTGAACTTTGCAGTGAGCCCTGATTTAGACTCTCAGGGTATTCTCGGCGACATCCGACGTGACATACCCGCATTAGCTAATTTTCATGGCCTATAATTATATCAATTTGTATGTGGCTACTCCTGGCCATGGTGATTACTCCCTGCGGGCTGCAGACTGTTAACTCCTACCCCTTGGGGCCCTTCCTCATAAATATTTAACCCATTCATTATTTATTGCTTAGTGACACGCACCTTTCGAGTCTCCACACAGCTGACGCCCGCAGACTGGATTTGATTGAATCTGGAAACACGAGCGTATATTCATATGGCAGTCACCAAGAAGTTGCTACATTGGAAATGTGCATTTATTGAAAAACATTGTCATATTGCAGGCATAAATTTCGGGCTCTACGGGACGATTTGTATTGGCAAAGCGGGTTCTTGACCAAGCGTCACAATTACGAAGAGTTCAGTAGATGAATGGAATTGTATTTTTAACCGGCGAGGGACGCAATTTTGAAGTAGTGGTCGACGATCAATCCAGCGCAGACCATTGCCCCGCCGTGGCGACCTGCCTAAAATACAACACAATATCAAGATTAGTGCACATGATTATGACGGCTAGACGCACCGTAAAGTTCTTCCAGCAGTCTTGGGGATCATTTTGATCAAAAGACCAAATGTGCCAGAGACACAAGAGGAACGGGGCAATGGCACTCATCACGTAGAAAGGAAGGTGCTGGTCGTTCAAGTAACCAGCCCACAAAAGACAGACCAAGAAGATCGCATCTAATAAACTCAATACAGGACGAATGGCTTTGCCCAGATGAACTGCCATGGACTTGACTCCGGCCTTCTCGTCGTCCTTCTTGTCCTGAGCAATGTGATCAGCACATGCCTCTGGGCGGAAAACTTTTCGAGGTGCTCACCTGACATGCGTAAATGGTGTCGTAAATACAATTCCAGCTAAGAAGGCATTATCAGCATGACACGACGAGAACCGCCTTCGCCTTCGCCTTCCTCCGCACTTACCAGCACGACGCAATTGCTATGTTCAGGACTATACCCCAATTATAATGGCCAATCGTCGTAATCCACGTGCCTGGGACGGCCCAGCTAGCAGCAAAGCCTTGAAACCAGATGAAATGGCGTATTGTTCCTCACAAGAGAAAGTCGTACCGAGGTACAAGGAAGGCCAGTTCATCCAGCGCTTCATCAACGGATACGTCGCGATACAACTAGGGAATGCAACGACACCCAGTGTGAAACTTAAAATAGTCTGTCGGAACTGTTTCAACATTTCTTGGGATGATTTACTCACGCTTTGGGGCCACAAGTCGAAAACATGTAGAATAGGACAGCAACGAGAACAGCCAGAAGAACAGAAGCCTCTGTCGTAGTGACAGCTCCTGATGCGATCGGTCGATCCTTTGAACGTTCTATTCCGCCCACATTAAACATGTCAAGAAAGCAGTCAGGATTGGGCTGAGACGTACCAACTTTGCGATCGAGATCACGGTCAAGTATATCGTTTATGACACAGGCTGAGCTATGCACCAATGTGCCCAGCAATGCATAAAATAAAATAGTCCGAGCAACTTCGCTGAAGGGCAACGCCAAACGATAGGCTGCCGATAAGAATGTCCAACCTATACATGATGCCATGAGTTATAATCAAAGGACAAGGACGTCACATCATCTTCCGTCTTACCGAAAGCCCAAAACATGAAGTCGCACCCCACTGGGAACAAGTGGAGCCTGGTGAGCTCGAACAATGATCTTGCCTTAGAAGGCATCTTGACAAGTTATGCGGCGGAAGGAAATAAAAACTGGGGCGGACATCCTGGTGCAGTGTTCATTATTATACGAGGCCTTGCTGTGCACTGGCAGCATACTATGCCACGTTTGCTACTCGTTCGGCGGCCAGTGCGCTCATTCAGCGGCCCACCGCTTTGCTTAGTTTTTCAAATTCATCCTATGAGGTGGCAATATTTACTTACCTGTATAGTTCGCTGAGTAGCCAATTATGGACCATGCAGCACCCTGGCCATGTAGATCGTGAGTTTCCATAAATGTGGAAATGAAGACAAGGGGACTCAAGTGTATTACAGTATCTTGTGATCATGATCCAACGTTACAACGTCCCAGATAAACCGAGTGGTTACGTTGAAACCCTACATCCTCAACGACGTGGTTACAAGTCCAAGATTCACTCCCTAATCAAGGTACAACTCCTTCATCTACAAATCCCAGATCATGTCCCACATGCAGGGCATCCAATATCTTTTCAATCTTAGGATTTCCGCCAAGGCGCGCAATTTCCCCCCGGATCTAGATTAACGTGTGAAACTCGGCAGAGAGCGTGCATAAATATAAGTCCAACAGACCTGCCGCTCCAAGCTGCTCATCACCTCGAGCGTGTAGTCGAACGACTTTGTCTGTGTGCGGAGATAGTCAACCGTGTGGTGTTTCAGGGTCGGTGTCGTAGGACGTTTTTGTAGCACATCTGCATGATAGCGGTTGATCAATTCATCCACCTAGAGCGTCAGTGATAACTACGCACTCATTACAACTCGGTTCCGTTCATCCGCACGTACTCCATGGACGATTGGGAAGGAGAATTTTCCTTCTGTGAGATCTTCTGCGAAGCCCTTGTTGTCACTGTGCTGGAAAACACGTTAGCCTTTCTTCTTCTCATACGCTATGCGTGGACCATGGTGTATCACGACCAGATTGCAGACGATAGACTTTCTAGGTACGAGTGTAGGCAAATGACATGCTTACCTCTGTGCTTTGTAAGTTCATGTAGTCATCCCGTATTTGGACGTACACTCCGAAAATATTTACCAGAGGGACGAAATCGCTAAGAACATCATGAATATCCAATTAAGACCTATGTATAGAGGGATGGGACTCACATGTCGAGGTTCTTCGTTGCGTGTGCCATCATCAACTTGACAGCAATCCTAAAACCACCGCCCGTCTCTGCACCCCAAAAGTTAATGTTTGCCTAACGTGCCGAAGGGACAGACGTACTGCTGTTGACCATAGAAATGTACTCTTCCTCCGTTGGACACTTCAACGAATCTCGCCATAAGATCTCCAACCCCTGGCCACGGTGAAGGTTCAAAAGCTCCTCCGTGACTACCAAATCCAAATTGCTGGTGCCCACCACCCTCGCCTCGTCGCCGTCCCCGCCCAGTCTCCTCAGGTTCGAGAGCTCCTTATAAGCCAAGAAATATACATAGTTGGCGGAGTTTATAGTTTGTGGGATGCCGTATATCTTGTGCGTCACAGGCTGGCCCCTCCGCAACTGCGCGTCGTCCTCTATGTCATCGAGCATCAAGCTCGCGTTATGCAGCATTTGAACGACATGGTCTATGACCTTGAGCTGGTCGTTCGGGACTGCAAGCCATTCGTTGAAAGCTTCAATGAGGAGCGTGCGGATTTCCTTGCCAGGGTTGGATGTAATATATGTAAATGGTTCCAATATGAGCGATTCGTTAGCCTGCGGCCATTGCGACTCTGATGTGGACGGCAGTGAATTGAGCAAAGAAACCCGTTGAGAAGACGACATGGGAGAAAGTAATGAGACAATGACCTTCGATGTTGGACTACATATGTAGCACACCGGTTACCGGTGGCAAAGGAATCAACTGTCAGTACCTGTCATGATATGCAGCGACTGATACGCGATAATTTGGTCTGGTAACGTTCCTTTCTGAGAGCGAGCGTTGATGCTAACGTGATATGTAACTTGAAACGCGTCGTGGATCATTACGAGACAGCGGTGATAAAAAAGCATGAGAACGGTACATAGGAGACTATATAAAAGCATTCTCCGTTATCGTGGACCTCGATGCACAATTGAATAGGCTTGATGTATTATACTAGCCTGCATCTGAGAAAAACGAGATGCCGATAGGACAGAACTCCCCGTCAGTATAGTTCCTCGCACGCTAGCACGGGGGGCAAAGGAGATGCTATTGGTTGATCAAAACCTGCGCGATTTACGGAGGGGGGTTATACAGGTCATGAAGTGAGAAGATGTGACGAACCCTGAGCCTGAGGACTGGATCCTGCCACCGACCTTCCAGGTATTGTCACTTGACGCAAATGTTAGCCTGGACTGCCTTAGCTCATGAAATTTTTCCTTGATCAGAACCTGCCGCGATATATGGAGGGAGGTTATACCTTTGATGAGCTTGAACCTGATCCCTGGCGACCTTCCGGAATCCTGGTACCACCATTTGTAGCCCGGGCTCACCTTGGTTCATGGTATTTTTCTGTGATCAGAACCTGTTATGTCTCTTGTCATGACATAGAAAGACGATGAGCCCGAGCCCACCTGTTCAAATCTAATAGGTACCATCCTGATCTCATGGTGGCGCCCCGACGACGCAGGCGATCTGACCTCGGCTGATCATGATGAACGTGAAACACAAGCTGTGGGTCCGTGCGTCAGTATGTGGGAAAGTAAGATATTGATGTGAAAAAGCAACTTGCCCGCCGCTAGATCGTTCGGATTCGCTTGTCGTTGGCTGTTTTTTTTCTCTTCGTCTGATTCACGTTCGCCTGCTGTCTTCGTCGTCGTGCTCGTCGTTGCCCGCGTTCCTGCGATCTTTGTTTATTATTTCGCTGGGACCGTGAATTGAAGAGACGATCTTGTCTTGACTGGTCTTCTTGTGCTAGGACTTGTCTTGACTCGTTTCTGTTCAGTTCTTCGTTGCAAGTTTATCTATATCAGATCGCACTCTTCGCCCATCTTTTTTGTGCGTGTTTTTTTATTATCAGTCACTCTCATTTGCACAGGGCAGGCTACGAGTACTACGAGTACTACGAACAGTACATCATAGCATTGCCCTACCCACGCTCTCTACCTCCCTGTCATTCGTTATACCTTGCAAAACCTTTTCTAACTTGGTCTTCGGTTTTTTTCTCTACATACATTCCGCCGTTGCTCTCCTTCTCAATCCATTTCATTCTCCTACATCATACCCGGAAATATGGACGACTCCCAAACAGCTTTCGCAACTCACTACCCTTCTTACGGCTTTGAGCTCGATATGATGAAGGTCTGTCTTTTTTACCGTCTCCTCGTCGCACAGTTGACCCGTAAATCAGAGGTCCATGGATGCCGTAGGCGGTCCTGATGCCAAAAAGGCACGTTGGTCCCCCACATTTAGTGCCTCCACTACTTCCGCGGCACCCACTACTGTTACCCGTGATGCCTTCGCCAACTATGGTTATGGTCCACATGCCCAGATCAACCAACCTTTCCAACCTTCATCTCCTGCCTTCTCCAACCAGCTTTACTCTACTCCGAACCTTACGATTAACACTGCTGTCAATGGTGCAGGCATGAACCCTCAAATGAGCCCCGCGCACCCAAACGCATTTGCCCAACAACAACAGCACACCCAACAGCCAAACGGTGTGGGACCATATGGGGGCTTTGGTTACAATATGCTTGGCATGGGTTTGCCCGGAATGAACATGCTAGGTGGTTTTCCCTACGGTGCGCAAGCTGGTAACTATGGTCAGGTACATGTCATCATTATTGACACGCATATTGGTCTGATCGCTAATCTCATTTTTATCATGTGCAGCAATCCCGGCTACCTTCTTTAAATGTCAACATTCCCCCGACCCCAGGCGCTTACTCACCAGCGGCTATTTCTGCAGCGCTTTCCGCAACGACGAATGCTACTGGTCGCACCGTTTACGTTGGCAACCTCCCCGCAACAGCATCCGTGGATGAGCTACTTAACCTCGTGCACTTTGGCCCCCTCGAATCCATTCGTGTTCTTCCTGAAAAATCGTGTGTCTTCCTGTCCTTCCTGGATGGTGCAACCGCTGCGGCGTTTCACGCCGACGCCACCATCAAGAAGCTGTCCTTACATGGTCAGGAACTCAAGATCGGATGGGGGAAGCCATCTCCTGTCAGCGCGCAGGTGAGCCTCGCCATCAGCCAGAGTAACGCGAGCCGGAACGTATACCTCGGTGGGCTGGATGAAAACACGACAGAAGAGCAGTTGCGGGACGATCTCAGCCGGTTCGGGCTGATCGATCAGGTCAAAATTGTCCGTGACAAGAACATTGGGTTCGTACATTTCTTGAGTATCTCGGTTGCTACCAAGGTATGTTGAATTTGAAATTTTCACCACATTTTGGTGCCGATGTTGCGGTTAATTAGGTGGTTAACACGCTCCCTACGGAGCCAGCTTGGGCTGGAAAGCGCGTCAACTACGGCAAAGATCGTTGCGCATACATACCCAAGTCTCAACAAGCTGCTGCACAAGCTGCCCAGGCTGCCGCTGCCCAATCTCTCGTTGCTCAGTCTGCAAATATGAGCCCTGCTGGGGGTCCGAACCCATTCGGTTCGCCATTCACGCCTTACCCTTTTGCACCCGACATGACAGGTGGCCAAACCCTCAATCGTACGGTGTACTTGGGCAACATTCATCCTGAGACAACGACGGAGGATTTGTGCAACGCGATTCGCGGTGGTGTGTTGCAGAGCGTAAGGTACATGCAGGACAAGCACATTGCCGTGAGCCTTTTTTTCTGGCATGTTTGAAGTGCATTTGCTGATCTATTTGGGTTGTAGTTCGTCACTTTTGTGGACCCAGCAGCAGCGTTCACGTTCTACCAAGTGGCATCCTATCAAGGCCTTACCTTGAACAACCGTCGGCTCAAAATTGGTTGGGGCAAAAATTCTGGTCCATTGGCACCTAGTCTTGCACTCGCTGTGCACTCAGGGGCCACCCGGAATGTTTACGTGGGCAACATTGAGGATTTTGAATCGTTCAATGAAGAGAAGCTCAAGAAAGACTTCGGGGAATTTGGGGACATCGAGCTGGTCAATTTCCTTAGGGAAAAGTGCGTTATCGTAGTTGGCGGTCGATGGCGTTTTCTGACGTTATCATCTTTAGGAACTGCGCCTTCGTTAATTTCACCAATATCTCTAATGCTATCAAGGCCATCGATAGCATTAAGATCAAGCCTGATTACGCAAACTTGCGCATTGCGCATGGCAAGGATCGGTGTGCAAACCCGCCGCGATCAGGTCCCCAAGGTGGCTCTTCAGTCAGGCGGAGCGCCAGTGGAAACGGTCCAGCAAGCGCAGAGCCCGCAAGCGCTATCGAGTCCATAGAGACTTCCTCATTTGTGGTTCTTGAGGAAGAGGGGAACAATGCCAACGTCATTGTATCCGCGCCAGAGGAGATGGAAGCGTCCATTTAAATCTCAATCGCCCCAGTGTGCTCTGCTGTGGAAGTGTCCCCGTATACCCCGTGTTTGCGCCCGCTCTCCCTCTCGAAAAAGTCGCCAACAACGAGTGGATGTGAAGGATGGCCTCGGATGTCCTCGTGAGGGGACCCATTGGGCTATTGGTTGTTGTGTTCTTTATTCACTTCGCTTTCTCAGTCTGGCCGTTGTTAGTGTTACTTTACTCACATTTTGGTATCCGCTTTATCTTTTACTTTCTTTCCATTCCATGTTCACACTTACTTATATCCTCTTTGTCCAACTGTGTTTCTCGCACACCCCACGCTCGTTGCATTGCTTCACTTATGCCTCTCATTAACCCCGTCAACGCGGACTGTACACCCCACATATCGCGTCCCATACCGAATCCGACCTGAGACGATGTGCTAATTTCTCTTTTTAACTCACGCTCATACCGCTACCGTAGCTCATTTCTCCTTGTGGAGACTACACATCGTTTTTCGCGTTGTTTGTCTTTTTCGTGTGTTTATTTGTGCAGTAGCAATATATCGGAGTAATCGCAGCGTTTCTTGTGCAACCCTAGTGTACTACCACGAATTGATTTCCTCTGCATGATTCAGACCACTGACAAGGAATGTGGTCAATCTGAAGACAGTAGTCGTAAGGAATGGTATACTTAGCATGGTTGATCTCAAACACCGCTAACGTTCCATAGCTAGGCTCGGCGACCGTCCGTGACACCCGTTTCCACCACGGACTGTCAAAACGGACGATTCGGTGAAGTCACTATCGTAACAAGTTCCGTTTGTGTGGAATCGATGCGGTCCCGGACACCTTGAATGTGGGGCTTTCCATCCATCATGGTGGCGTCCTTCGATGCCTCGGAAGCCTCCTCCCTCCCAACGTCACTGGATCGTGTCTGACAACCACTGGTGAACCGAAAAGAACAGTACACATTGTTTGGTGGGTAACCGTGCTTAACTTCTTCAGCTACGGCATGATGCAATTTTTTCGTCGAGGTACACACTTAATGTCCAATTTGAGCCCCGTCCAATCAGCTCCATTATGATCCTCTGACGTCTTGATGATTCATTTTCATCAAGGGTCTACAGTCAAGGACCCTAGCATAATAACAGCGCTTACCTCGCGTGGATTATATGTGTTTGATGTCGCCTAGGTATGCGCCACTCATTCCGTCCCAGAGGATCCTTTGCTCGTCAGACCTCGGTCGTTTGGGAGCCGATTTTGACCTCTAGCGTTTAACTTGATCAAGTCCATCATGCAATCATCCTGTGCACTTCCCATGATTCCCTGATTTTACCGGCGGCCCAACGCCTTCTGTTGGTCCAATTCCTGCTTCTGAACAGGGAAGTCTATCCAGTACGCAATCCATTACGTTTCATTTTCATATAAGGTTGGTTTCGGGTCTTCACGATGGAGTTGACGCCCATACTTTGCTTTGGATAAAGATAGCGATGTAACTTCACGACAAGACCTAACATTCTCTCCCTCCCGAGGTGGTCGTCTGAGCTTGCTGTGGTTTTTTTTTCCGAATCCCCCTTCCTTCCTTCCTCCCTCCCTCCCTCCCTTTAAATATCTTTCCGATGAATTTGAAGTGTACGAAGTTCACTGTTGATAGATGCACTCCTCGCGACCGTTTCGCTACCCGTTTTGCGAGAGTCGCCCAGATATCATTCCCAACATCTATCAGGACAAGCATCGATGATTCATGCCTTGACCTCCCCGTAAGTCTCCTTTTGTCAAGGCTTCTGACCGAGCATCATGATATATTACAGGTCACTGCGTTCTATTCTCCCACCGGAGAGTCCTTCGCTCGCCCTCGAGCGACCTCGGACGCGTTCAGGAGAGCAGAAGCGCAGATCCCCAGCACTCCTTTCGCACGCCTATTCCCAGAATTTCATTACGACCACCCTGATCCCCCACGCTCACCGACACCTATCGATTCCTTCCACCCACCAAGTCTGCCTGTACTCGATTTCAAAAACTCTCTCGCTTCAGACCACTCGCAAAGCCCCGCACTAACGCAGGATGGCTCGAGTCCCATTTTTACCATTCCTGTGACCCCAGGGTCAGCGGGACTTGAAGCCTCGCACCCTATATGGATTTTTGACAGCTCGCTACGCGAAGTGGATTTTGACGTTACCTGTCTTGGCGCACTAGACGAACAGCTTCTGTATGCTCCAAAGGACTGTTTTTTGGACATCTGTTGGGCAGAAGCTGTGTACGATGACGAGGAGGAGCCAGTGCTCCAGCCCTCCCCGGAGGACAAGCCGTGGGTGTGGCAAACAGAGAGGGAAAGCGATTCGGAAGAATCGGAACAGAGGGGCCCGGATCCTATCATGACGCAGGTGGAGCGCAAAGTGGTGAGCATTCTGTAATGTTCTCGTATCTTACCACGTGGCTGACCACGGGATTCAAGTCGTTCCTTCCATCTCCCGAATCATACACGGCACAGTCTCCCCAGCGCATGATTATTGCAGAGTCTGAGTCACGTATGTTGTACCAAAACGCGAATCACTCGGTACACTTCTTCCCCGTGCCACAGCAACGCGACTCCCGCCGCAATCATACGGCACAGGACCCGCCTGATGCTCCTTCCGGGAAGCTCAAGCTCTTCTCGGGCGCATATGGCACTCTTACAGGCCGGCGGCGTACAACATCCCACTAGTCTCCGATGCACTAAACACGCAGCATTCACATCACCGCACCTCGTCTCGATCCACGCGCTCCTTGCCACGTTCCTTACCACGCCCCGACATACGCTCATTGTCTTAATCATATTTATCAGTCTGAACGCTCACTAATCCGCCCGTATTCTTTGAGATTAAAATGTATAATGGCAGGAACCATACGGAGTATTAGTGCGCTATACTGTACACATCGTAGCTAGATGACATGGTAACATGGTAAATCTAGATACGTAGATACCATATCTTGTTGAATGCATTGGAGTTGACGTTTTACTCTTGACCTGGTGCGTCCGAAGCGACGAGACTCTTAATTAGAGCATGCAGGCCAAGCTCGCGTTCCAGCTGGGATAACATAAGAATACGCAAGACTAGATTGTGCAGGACAGTTCTCATACCTCGAATTTCCGTTTGCGGTCTTCCTGACCTGCTGCAGAACCAAAGACTGCATCCATTTCTTCGAGAGAAACTCCCGCCGTCTCTGGCACAACATAATTAGACCACAGATAGGCCCCGAAACAGGCACACGCGAATATCATAAAGGTTGCGCTGCCAAATAATGCAGGGTCCGTAAACGATAAATCACCGCCGAAATATCTGAATACGAAGGATAGACATACGCAGCGGACATCTCCATCAGTGGTGGCGTGATCAGGCCAATCAAGACTGTGAAAGAAGAACAGAAGCAGCGGGGGAAAATAAGTATTATGTCAGTGTTGAGTTACGGAAACAAAGAACAGAACAGACAATTGTTGATCCAGTTCGAAGCGGTTGATAGGGATACCCCCTTGCTTCGCATAGAAAGAGGGAATACCTCACTGGGAAGAACCCAACCAATAGGTCCAAGGGACATGCCGTAGGCTGCAGTAAATGTGTACGTGCAACTATAGGGAATCATTCACGTGGATATGTGAAGTGAAGCGGGGTGAATGAACTTACAACACTGCCACCCAAGCTGCCATGGTGTTCGATCCCCAGTCATCTTGGAAAAGGTGAATCTGTACAAGAAAGGATTCTTGTGGCTCAGTAAATATTGATCATAAATAGGGGACATACTAAGATTGCGATCAGGAAATGCGACACCGCCATAATTGCGCTGCCGCCTTTGCTGCAGTCAGCCAAATGATAATTCAAGAACAAAGATGCGAACCTTTGAGAAGGGGTTTACGACCTATGAGAAGCGCACTGAGATAACACACAATCATAGAAACGACAAAAAGCACACACCCCACCGGTCGAGAAATATAATGGCCGGGAAAACAGCGAGAAATTGTACGATTCCGATTCCACCTGAAACGAGTAGGGTGACGGTATCCCCGCGCATCCCTATGCTTTCAACCAGAGTAGGACCATAATAGAGCAGTGCATTAATGCCACTCCATTCTATAATATGATCATTGTTCAGGCACAGACTCGCACGCAGTTCATAAAGATGGCACTGACGTTGAAAGAACATGATCATGATGCCAATAAAAGTCTGTCTAACGTACTTGCGGCTAAAGAGTGTTGTCCATGCCTCGCGTGAGAGTCCGTCTGTTGAAATCTGTCGGACGAGAGCAACACTAATTTGCATTTCTAATAACTCAAGCTGTGATACGTCAGTTACTGGATAGACGCAGAACAGGAAAAAAAAACACCTGAATCAACGGATCTTCCTTTGCTTCTTCAGGGGTGCGCAAACGGAGTTTGGCTAACGTTTGTCGTGCGTCATCCATACGACCACGGAGCACCAGTAATCGGGGTGATTCCGGTAGAACAAAGCATCCAAGGCAAAGCGAGATACCTGGGAAGAACTGGAACGCTAGTGGAATTCTCCATGAAGCAGATCCGGGAACTAGAAACCCGATACACCAAATGAGAACAACTGAGATTCATGACAGAAGCACGAACTGTTTCTTGTAAGAAAACCTGTCCAAAAACCAAGTACAACTCCAAGGACGATAGCGAGTTGCTCAAGCGCCATGAGTGAGCCGCGGAGCTCTGGGGGACTAATCTCGGCCATATAAAGCGGCGAAAGCATGCTATCGCCACTCAGTTACATAACTAGAGCACATTCAAGTTTTGAAATCACCTCAGGGCCCCAACTCCGAAGCCACCAATTGCTCGCCCAATAATAAGATCGTTCAACGACTGCGCCCCGCATTGCAGCCCTGAGCCAATGCAGAAAATAACTGACAGAGTGATTAGGACATTTTTCTGGGATAAACAAAGGACCCACTGGACGCAAAGAAGATGGAATGACGTCTAGAATACTTGTCTGCCAAAATTCCGCTCGTAATGGCACCAAACAATGCGCCAAGTTCGAGGACAGCAGCTGCCATTTTCAACATGAGCAGATATACCAAACGAGACCGCGACTTAGCATACTCATCAATCCCTTCTCCCATGGACCGATTGGCCATCGAGCCAGAAAGTCTTTCATGACGAGGACATTGGAGATGACGCCTTGGTCGTACCCGAATGAAATACCGCCAATACCAGCAAACGCTGCGCACGCAACAGCATAGCGATTGTGAACTAGACCTGGAATTCCGCTTTTTCCGTATGAATAGTTATAGGTATGACCACCTCCATGAACTACTAAGGAGCCTCCATGCGGTGTGTCAAGTGTGATGCCCTTCTTATCTCCTAGTAATGATTCTAGAATAACGTCGACGTCCTCGCTGACATTTTCCGTTGACTCGCTCGAGGGAAGAGTTCCGTAGTTATGATGTATCTCGAGGAGGACCTTGTCACTCATCAGCTGCAGCCTGCAAGGTAGCGTACGTAGGAGTAGCGACTTACCATCGGTCCATAAAGTTATCCAATTGCAAAGCCAGATATTCAGATAATATTGACAACTCGGGATAACTTCGTCTGAGCGATGTGTTGAAGCGGTCAAGCTGCGCTGCCGGCAAAGTTCAAACAAGTCTATTTTTATTGCAACTTACGCAAGTTCATGGGACTGATCCGGGACAGCCTTCGGAGCGGCATACTTAGTTTTCTGATAGCAAATTCAGGGCAAATTCTCGATGATGTGCAGGGCGTATTGTGTTCATTTAAGCACAGGGAAGAAAATTTTTTGAACAATTTATCAACGACTTGGGCGCTGCGCTTGACCTGTCTTGGGGGTAGTGCGTAGTGCTCCATGGAGCCCATGGATGTAAAAATGGCATCGCTTATCGCTGAGCGTAATACCCAGCTAGACCTGGTCCCACTTCCATCCTTCAGCTCCCCACTCTGGTACATCCGTCTCAAAGGACCCGAGACTTGTGGTATATCTAAGTGCATGCAGAAAAATATACAACTTTTCTGGCTTCGGATCAGGATGCAACGGTAAGTAGCACTCTGAACAATACAGAGTTCCTGTTGCTGGGTCGACAGCTGGGGGAGGGGCCTCCATCTGCGAAAGTCGTGCTAGAGCTTCCCCTTGAGTCAACTGTGGGGCCAAGGCCATATCTTCTGGCAGAGCAGTTTGAGGGAGGGAAGGACCCCCTTTTTTGCGTTTGTTCTGTGGAGGAAGGGGCGCACGAGGGATGTTCTTTGGTGCGAGTGATCCCTTTGCTCGAAACACGACATCTCGCCAGCGACTCCAATCCTCGTCTTCATCCTGATTTCCATGAGTGAATCCCACACCAACTCATATTTTGTATCACGCACCTTCATATTCCGGAGCCTTGTTATAATCTCCACCGCTTCAGACGACAGCGGGACAGGCGATCCCATTCCAATATCGTGTCCAGTTTCGCGGGGGAACAATTTCGCTCCCGATTTCCCATTGTCCTCCACTTCCGAAGCAAGCAATAATGGGGAGCCTGTGGCGTCGGAGGGTTTCAGGTTAAGAGCTTCCGGACTATTATCACTCAGCAGATGCGCTGGTGGCGCTGGTGGAGCACGGTTCTCGCAAGGAATAACATCAACGCCCCCTTTGCCAAGATTAGCTCCCTACGGAGGGAGTGGGTGTTATGCGGGGCATTCTTGAGACAAGACGAAGACTCTCACCCATATTCGTTCCTCGGAGTAAACAGGGTCATTGGCTATTGGATGACCGAGGTATTGTAGATGGACTCGTATCTGATGTGCTATAACGAAATTGGTCAGGAACATCCGACATGGCATCAGGGTGAGTCCTACATCGACCGGTCATGGGACGACCTAGGGGTAAAGAATGAGCGTGTCCATCAAACACAGTATATAACTGTAAGTCTCACAGTGTAGCACACTCGTGTTAGTCGCAGAATCGTAATGAAGCCGGTTGAAAATCGTCTTCGCTGGCTGCAAATTGTCAAAAACTTCACTGGCAGCAGAAGCCTGCACGTACCTTTCCTTCTGGGTGCACTATGTTTAGCCCCATTTGTCGATCAACAGTCAGGAGGGGTTCTTCACATATCACTTCCTCACTGTGCACATTTCCTCACTACACCATATAAGGAGGCTAAAATACTCACGCTGGAAAATCCCCTTTGCATCGAGCAATATATTCTTTGCGGATTAGACCATTGACGAATTCGGCTGATAAAGAACGCGCCAGATCGGCGTTCAATGGCACGATCATCAAACCAGATGTAAGTCTATCTAGGCGATTGATCGCTGTAACTGGATAAGTAAGTTTTATTTTCGAGCAGATCGGAGGACACACTGTAGATTTTCGGGAAACCAAATTCATTACGAAGTATCTCCACTAAGCTGTGGCGGTAGTAACGACCAGATGCGTGTACTGGCTGTGTCACTAGGTTAATTGCACTACGAGGAGATTTAATAAGGACGAACTATGCTACCAGGTTTATCGATGACCAAAAAGTCGCGCTCTTTATCGTGTAATACAATTTTGACGGGCGTAGACGTGACTGGAGGCTCATGCCGGTGCACAACATTCCTACACATACGATGAATAAAGACTTCCATCCCAGAAAGAATGGGCTTACTCTATACGATCGCCATTCCTCACTACTGTGTCTGGTGTTGCGACCTTACCGTTAATTGTTGTCACGCCGGATTCAAGGGCGTACCGCTGCACAATGCATAGTGACTTCTAGAGAAGAAAAAACCAATCGACTTGTAAGCACCTACATAGTACTCCATAGATCGATCCCTGAATTCTGTCGATACGATTTCTAGGATCTCCCGTCCAAGCCAGCGCTCCTTTGCCATAGTCGTATACGGGTACCAATATGGCGGGAGCTTCTTCAACCCTGCATCCTTTTGTGACGATGGAGGCGATCGTGACTCATCAGGTAGTACGGCTCCATCAGACATAGCTGCGGTTAGGAATCTCGCAAGGACGTGACGAAATTGACCGAGCGATGAGATTGTTGTGAGCGGAAGGCGCTCACGGGACTCGCGCTTGAATCGGAGAATGTGGGCCACAGCGACGTTGCTCCAGAAGAGCTTAACTGACTTGAGTGAGTTCAAAACGATAGAACGAAACAGTCACGGTCCTAGAACCTAGGTGACTAGGTCAGTTCAGCTATATCTGCGAACCCAGTTGAACACTTTCAATTTGCTCGCAAAGATAAATCAGGGAGGTAAATTACGAACGTTAAACGTTGAATGTTTCTCTTCGAGCGCACAATTGCAGCTTTGCTAGCAAGCAACTACTTTGGTTTCAAGATCTTTGGTCAAAGTTTGAACTACTAATGCGTGTGGCTGTGCACACTGGTAAGCGCCGCCGTAATTTTTTCGAACCAAGTTTACATAGTGTCCATACACCATGACTATCTAGCATGCTTCATGGATTGTGTCTGACATGGCAAGAGCTAAGTAGCATATGTGTGGTTATAGCTTTCTCACATGATTTTACCAGGTTACGTTTGCCGCTTCCACTAGCATCACTTGTCTCTCGAGCATACTCAAACAGACTCAAACCTCCTTGGGTTTCGCTTTAAAAGTTGCAAGCAATTCGCGCATCGGCATAGAACGGCCGATCGGGACGGCCAATCAACCTACATTGGCTCTTTACCGGCGTGATGATAAAGATACCATCACATGCTTTGCAAGCCCAAGAGCTGATAGTGGCTTGGCCGAACAGAATGGCGGGTTGCCATTAATAATGTCAGTTTTTTGCAGGTCCCACATCACAAATGCTGTCCAAGATCACGAATTGCGTCTCAGGATCACCACGTTGTTCCGTTAGCGACGTCTTGTGACCAATCGCATCAAAATTTCCATCATATTCACATTGTACCTCATTGTACTCACTGCTTCCAGGCATGCAGCTACATTCCAAGACTGCGCAATTTGGTAAGACGGCCTTCTCCAGGACCAGATATCATGTGTCCGGAATAGCATCGGCATACTCCTCCTTTGCTGGTGTAGTATACTTGGTGGTATATAGCACGGAGAATCTGATCACAGCTCACTGCATATTAGTACTACAACAAAAAAACTTGGTAGCTGTTTTAAGCACCAACTTGAACACGCGAACTTTTCAAATGGAGAGGCCAATACAGCCAGCGGACCAGACTGGACATTTTGACAGGCGCACCTCCCCCCTGGAGTTTATTGCTCAATCTACCGTAGACTGAGATCTCGGTTCACCTTATAGCCTAAGCCCTTGGCGGTGCAATGTGGTTCCGTTGGAGGTGTCACGGAGGGATTAATCTTGGTCAGATACTAGTCGACCGAAATGCCAGGGCGCCTGTCCTCTCTCGAGCTCTATATATAAAGGCACCCTGTAGTTCACTGACCTTCCTTTACACCGACATTATTAGACAGGCGTTATCATGGGCAACAATCACTCCTCTCCTGTGGTTCCCCATCAATCTCGCGAACAGCGTATCGGCATCAACACCAATCACAATCATTCCGCCCCTGTATCTCGCATCAATTTGAGATGCCACAAATCGCAGGCTTCACTGAGGAAATCAATATCCTCCCATGACACAATTTCGAGCGAGAAACCTGCGGCATCGCCCCATAATTATCATCCGAACGTCACTCATATATCCCCGACACTGACAACGTACACGCCCTTGACGCCCTCCATCTCGCGACAAGATGCTGAGGCACGCGCATATAATGCATTTCTCAAATCATTCCCGGAATACCAGAACACCTGGATACTTGACACTCTCCGAAGAACAGATTTCGCCAGATTGGATCGAACCGGCGAAACATATGTAGATTACATGGGTGGGGCACAACACCCCGAGAGCCTTGTTCGCGTTCACAGCGCATTCCTAACCGAAGCCGTCATGGGAAACACACATTCGGTCAGTAATAGGTATGGAGCTTCCATAAAGCGCTCGCCAATCATTGCTAATTCAAGTCGTAGCTCCAAATTGTCATCACAGCGCGCTGACGAGGCGCGGGATGCGGTTCTTTCATTCTTTCGAGCACCACCAGGGTACACCGTCGTATTTACAGCAAACGCAACAGCTGCATTAAAGCTTGTTGGGGAGGCGTATCCCTTCAGAACCAATAATGGCTATATCCTCGGTGCCGACTCTCATAATAGCGTCCATGGAATCCGAGAGTACGCTTCACGTCGCGGAGCTGAAGTCCACTACATACCATCAACTAGTACTGGAGGTTTCGTTCTATCTACTGCCAAGGTATGTCCTTGGCGCGTATATGCGCCCCAACTCCGCGTAATTAGCAGCTGAATACTGATTTCCGCGGTAGGATATCTTGAGTCAGCACAGACCACAAAACGGTTCCTCGCTTTTTGCCCTGACGGGCCTTTCCAATATTTCTAACGCAAAAAATTCACTCTCAATCATCGAATTCGCATCTTCACTCGGATACCACACACTTCTTGATGCTGCTGCGCTGGCACCATCATCCGTCATTTCTCTTTCGGAAACCCCTGTTGATGCTATGGCCATCAGCTTCTACAAAATGTTCGGTTACCCGACGGGCGTCGGGGCCCTCATTGTCAAGGAGTCGTTCTTAGGGATCTTGGAACGCCCATGGTTCGCTGGAGGAACCGTCGATGTCGTTCAGGTGCCTGGTTCGATTTTTACTAGAGCGAGCAATCTTCACGAACAGTTTGAGGTATGCTTCTCTCCCAATTTATGTGCTTTCAAATTTATTTACATTGCTAGGATGGAACCATCAATTACATGACGTTACCTGCGGTCACAGACGGTCTGCGATTTCTCTCGGCATATCTTCCATTCCTCCCTCTCCGCCTCTCATGTCTTACCCACTACCTTGCCACCTCACTCTCTCTATTGAGACACGATTCGTCCGGAACCCCTGTCGTCAATATTTTATCCAGGCTTCCTTCGAGAAGACTCAAGTCTGTTGGAGAACAGGGTGACACCGGGTCTACGATCTCTCTTATCTTCCTCTCGGCAAGTTTCAGCTCCCATTACTTTACTATTGTCATCTTAATAAACCTTGTCTGTAGCCTTCAGGAGAGATGATCCCCAACAGCTTTGTTGAACATGTTGCAGTGTCCCGGAACATTTCTCTTCGCACAGGCTGCATGTGCAATCCCGGGGGTGCAGCCACATTACTGGGTGTTCAAGACCAGATGGAGCGACTGTATCCAGGTGTTACGCTCAAAGACTTTGAGCGGGTCGTTGGCCGTGAGCTCGGTGTTGTGCGGATTAGTCTAGGACTCGCAAGCAATTTCCAGGATGTGTGGAAAATTGTGATGTTCGCTTCATCCTTGGCAGATAGCCGCACGCGACAGGCACTCTGGGATGCTTGGACAAACGTTCCTATCGGACAAGCTATGTAAGTACGCCAGCGTTACCACCGGATATCTGGGCATGCGGAAGAGAAAATCCCCATTGGAAAAATAGAGCCAACAAAAGCGGAGCATTTCTGGTTGGAACTTGTATATCTTTTTTCTTGGATATTTCTCGCACCCCATTTCGTCGCACATTCACGGCCCATCTCTTTCATCACGGATCACTTGTATAGCATAGCATCATCTCATTGTACTATTGTACGCGACTTTCTACATTTGTCCCTCGCTGGTCGGATCTCTTATTCTACGTCTTCTCATTGCTATCTTCCTTAGTGTAAGTACCATAATATCTGAATGATGGGACAACTCGCACACTCCCCTTATTAAGTTTGCAAACGCTCACATTTTCCGTCCCAGTGTCCTCACCGACCTCTTCACACAGTACTAAACTGCATCTTATCAGGACTTTCATGTAGTTTGACCATATATATGCGTGTGCTCTACCACGCCGCTCAAGGAATATCAATATTAGCTGTGCGTACAGTGATACAATTGCAAACACTTTGTGCTGTCCTTTCTGTTGTGTGGATCCCACTTCTTTATAGCTTCGAACCGGAGCATTCGTGCTTGGAACTGAAGAATGCTAGACAAAATAAAGCCATGCTGCGAACCTCGGGGTGAACATGGGCATCCGGCACAAGGTTATGTACTCGAGATAGCCTGGAAAGGTGATATGTTCAAGTTGAGATGCGGCAGGGCCCTAGCGGAAATGAAATCTGATGTGTTCTGAGCTTTATTCATCCTCTTCTTCGTCATCATCGTCATCGTCATCATCTGCCTCATCCTCGGAAACCTCCATGCCCGCTTCTCTCATCCGCTGCTTGTCCCGTCTGCGCTTCGTGGTTATGTCATCGAGGAGGACTAGAAGATCCTCCTGCTCCTTCTCGACCTCCCTCTTCTTGCCATCTGATATTTGCAATTCAGCCTCAAGCTCCGCAACATGCGTCTCTGAGTCAGCCAACTGTCGTTTATCATAGTAAGCAGCAGCGTCCTGATACATTCATGAACACTTACTCGAGCTTCGGTGGCTGATAGCTCCTTGAGACGAAGTTGCAATGCGTCAATCTCCTGTACCTGGGAGCGAATGACTTCTTTGAGAGAATTAATTAGCATTGCGGACTCTGCACTTGGACCTGTTGCCGTAAGTAAGTTAATGCGGCTGGTCATAGTCCTTGTCTTGCTACTGACCTGACGATGAAGCCAGAGTGCTAGGGTCCGCCGTCAGACCCCTCTGGATAGTATCTTTGAGGAATTCATTAGATCAACGACGGGTGACGGGAGAAACCTGGTAGCGCACGTTGATTTGACTTCCAGAAGTCGACAAAAGACCAGTCAAACCAGATTTCGCCTTCTTGTTCCGCGGGTGAAGTACCCGGGAGCGCTTTGGATGGATAAGGGAGCACCATGGACTCGGGGCCGATAGACTTGAACCAGTCGTGCTCTCGTACGCGGGTCATATGACCGACAAGCACATCTACGCCCAACCGAGAGATAATGGGATGGATAGTAGTGCTGTTGAATACGCGTATAAATATGCGTGTGAAACACAAAGGATGAAAGACACCTGCCGAGTGATCTCCCCCGGTTCCCGATTGAACTCATAACAGACGCCCAGGAGAAAGGCACACAGTCCAGGAATGAGGTTTTCCGACTCGGAAGTCTGATTAATAGGCTCCACTAGCTATGGGTTCCTGAGGTCTTGGAATTGTTCATGGAATCAGGTTGAAGACTCACTGTGCCCAGCCCGCCGGCTTCCAAGAATTCCCTCACGGCTTTAGGATCATCCCAGAGCCACTGTGCAAGCAGACAGATGTACCCGACAATCAATCTATTCCACTCACGTTCCTCACGGTCGTCCTCAGCCCTCGAACAAGATAGGAAGCACAATGAGAGATTCTCGGAAAAGAGGTGCAACAAACTCTGTGGGGCATCTTCCTCGTCCTCGTCCAGCGGTGTTGGTGCTGGAGTACTGTCTGCAGGAACAAAAAGTGGTCCCTGACTTAGGGTCTCTCCTGGAATGTTCGAAGAAGGCTTGATAGACCGAGCGGCAGTTTTTGCTCTTGGGGAGCCGGAGAGTAGGTGTGCAAAGAGGAGTGTCGCGAGATGAGTGGAGGTCACATTAGCGATGTTGAGAGGGGATGATGGGGAGAGGCAGAGAGAGTGCAGAAGGGGCGATATCATTGGAACCTCATTTGGTTCTGCAGATACAATCTGAGTCATTTTTTCCTGGCATGGAAGATGTCGCTTACGTTGGGGAGGAAGCATCCCTTGCACAATAGCCTGTCTGATGTCCTCTTTCCGCACAAAGTTCTATAGTGTATCAATGCTGACCCTTTCTGCCAGAGGATGAGGACGATGACGTACATCAAAAACAATTACAGCTGCACTCCTCAATTCGAGTCCCTCCTTGGCACGACTATCACTGTATAGTCCGTTGTACTCTCCGTGCAGTACGAGTTCTACAAGTGCATCAAGCGCGGACGCCGGTTCCAGTCTGTCCCATTCTTCCCCGCGTGTCTCAGGCACAGGCATATAGGGGGTCAAAATCACCTCCGAAAGCGGGAAAGTCAACGTGCTGGGAAGGAGATGGAGCGCCTGATGCACACATGCAATCAGATCTTGTATTGTGATATGCTTATAAAACGGACCTGAGTTTTGAGGGGCGTTGGTGCATTGGATGCGAGGGCTAGTTCGACAAAGCCTCGCACGAAAACGGATAATTCCTGACCCTGAAGATCCCATGAAACAAATGTAGGAAGGAAATTGGAATGTACTGACGCTGCCTTTAGACCCAACTAACATTCCCATAATACCAAGCACCAGTGACACATTTGCCACTTTTTGTGAGTCCCAAAATTGTAATGCAAACTCTTGTGGAGTTGCGTCTTGCAGGGAAAGGTTGGATGGTAAGAGCAAGAGGGAGCATAACAACGTTGGAAGAGACGTTTCGCGGAAGTAACTCTATCATAGAAGTTAATGGAAATGCGCATCAGGCGGGAAACATTAATCACCTGATTCGAGCTATTATACCGAAGAAGACTGTCGACACACCGAAGCGCGTCCTGAGAGATCACACCTCCCTCCAATCCGCCTTCGTGCGTAACAGTATTGAAGAGCTTTTCAAATGCACCTTCAAAGGCAAGCACCTTCTGTATATCAGGGCTTTGAGATATAAGCATTTGAATCATGATGATGCTTTCTGAAAGTGTATTGGCATTAGTGATGTAAATCAACAAGTCTTATGCTGGCCTAGGTAGACCTGCGTCGAATACTATTTTTTAAAAGCCCTGCTACAGGTGAGGCCTGTGAACTTAAGGATGAGCACGGCCACGCCAGGACTAAGTTATGTTCAACATCCAGCGTTGTCGAGACAGGACAGGTAGTATGAGCAGGTCTACCAGTGTACCACGAGTAGGACCAGATGCCCAGATGGAGTAGCTAAAATACACACCATTACGAATGATCTCGCGCTTATCCTCCAAGACGGCGATGACACTCGAGGCACCAGCCGGGGCTTTGAGGAAATATCCTTGAACCTGATTCCGGCGGTTCTGTAGTAGCACCGAGAGCAACTGCAGTGTCGCGTAACGGGTATAGAAGTGCGTGTCACCAAGGAGGGAGAACAAAATGTGAATTGCCTGTTCGTGTCCGATAACGTAGTCTGTGTGTTTTAATGCAAGATCCTTGGAATCGTCATCAGGTTCACAGAGCTGGGTAATAGTCTCGAGCACGGCCTTCGCAATTTCCGCATCTATTTCCGCATCATTCTGTAGGACTTCGAGGAGACCAGGAAGGGCCCTATCACCGACATCTTGCTTGCAATCACGAGCCAAACCCTTCAAAGCAAGGACAGCAGCGCGTCTATCCGCAAGGAGAGTAGAAGGAGACAACCGATCACTAAGTTTTGCGATCGTGTCCTGCGCAGACTGAGGAGCGCCTGTCGGACCACGAAGGGCGATGTATGTCTGTGATAAAAAATCCATGCGAGTCCAGCTTGACGCTTGAAGACCAGACTAGTACTTTGTGGTCGTGGTTCAGGCCTGCATTGCCACTGACACGTGGCCTTACTAATAGGCGGTTGAACTTCGCCTGAGCAGTTAGGCTTGACTCGGACTACAATGTTTAGACATTGTCCCACTCGACTCATTAAAATACTGCAGAGGGAACAACTGTTCTTCCTTCTATATGGTCTGACTATGGGAGGCTACACTCAATTCCCTCCCAAAACCTAAACGAGTCGTGATTGTCCTTCAGTCATAACTACTTAGTAGGTCATGATTCAGTCAACAATATGATTAATATTATGGATGATCGTGTCAATGATGACAGTCAGCCTTCATCTGACCTCGGCTTGGCGCTCCCGGAGGGGCGCTTGTGACCTAGTTTTGCGGCAACCGGGTGAGTATTATATTATATTTGTCGTTCTAGCACGATGAGAAGAAGACTGGAGTCATGGGTCTGGCAGGAAAATAATGTTGCTATCATAAACACTCCTGACAGGGCGGGTGTCCTAGCCGACCGTGTGTAAGCAGTTCCCAAGAGCTGGTGCTGATTTGTGTAAAGCCCTATGATATAGTATCCGACACTTCATACAGGTCTAATTTTTCTCTTTGCAGCCCAACTCGTATGCATCGGAACCGCACTCACGCAATCATCAACTTGTAAAAAGATCAGGAATAGGCAACTTCTGGACCTCTTCCGACGCACACGCGGGTGCAGAGGAAGTTGCATCATACTTCGAGTGTCATCTAATCCATATGAGAGACTGATAAAGCTGGCTTCACATGCCTTTGAAATCGCATCCCTTGCAACCATGGATCTTGTCTTCGTCACTACTGGTTTCGCAGCTCTAGTGATTGTCTATGCGGTGTACCGTCGATACTCTCATATTTCTTTGGCAGATGTTCCTGGCCCAGAGTCCGCATCCTTTATTATGGGTATCTTTATTCCTTTTTGCTGGATCCCTCCACTGCTGATGTGATCATCAGGAAATCTGAAAGAGCTCTACCAAGGTCAGGCAGCAGAGGCTGACTTCAAGTGGCAAGCTCAGTATGGGAACATCGTTCGCTTCAAGGGCTGTTTTGGCGTATGTAATGACACCCACACTTGCGCCATACATTTTTGATTCTCCGCCGATTCATAGGAAGACCAATTGATGATTTCCGACCCGGCCGCGCTGCAATATATATTCGTAAAGTCAAGCTATCGGTTTCCCAAACCACATGATCGCCGTGTCCTCTCCCAGTTGATGAATGGAAAGGGAATTCTCTGGGCGGATGGTAGGTTTTTGGCCACGAGATTATGTAAAACATGGAATGATCTGTATTTAATTCTTCAAGGTGATGATCACAAACGACACCGAAAAGTAATGCTCCCTGGATTTGGTGGACCAGAGTCCAAAGCTTTCTTGTTATTATTCAAGAGCTGCGCAGAGTCTGTGGGCATCAAAGTCACTCAATACCGTCCACACCCATCAATGACGTAAAATCTCACAGATGAGCAACAAATGGATGGACATCATCAGTAATTCCAAGGAGCAGTCAGTAGTGTTCGATATTCCTGCCTGGATGTCCCGCGCAACCTTGGATGCTATCGGGGAAGGTACATGCTATGCAGGGTACACGATTACCTTTGTCTCATCTTGTTTTCAGCTGCTTTCGATTTCCGCTTCAACTCCATGGACAATAATGAAAACGCTCTTGCGCGCTCATACAGGAATATAATGTCAGTCTTGTCTTTTACCAGGCATCTGGTTTTCCCTTAACTTATCTGAATTGAATGCGTTTTCGTGGCAATAGGTCTGACGTATTCGGATCTCCGTCGGACCGGCAGATACTCTTTCAGGGGATTTCAAAGTATATCCCACCTCGGATTCTCGAATATGTCAGGGAGATGGGCAAAAGCCCACGTATCTTGCGCATGCGTGAGACAGGCAGCATAGCAACATCTGTTGCAAAGCAATTGGTGAAAGACAAGGCAGAGATGTTATTGCAGGGCGAGGGCAGCAGAGATGTCTTAAGCTTGCTTGGTGGGTGGTCGGTCTCAACAGCCTCATTTGGATATGGTCATCTGATTAAAGCATAGTCAAAGCCAATATGGATGCAGACGCAAAGGTGAAGTTAACGGAAGACGAGCTGTTTGCTCAGATGCGGTGGGTCCGTTCCGTGTGTTGTAATTGCACAGCCTACCGATCACGGATCAATATAATCATACACAGTACTATCCTTCTAGCAGGTCATGAGACAACCTCGAACACTGTCAGTTGGGCGCTTCTCGAGCTTGCCAAGCATCCTGAGATCCAATCCCGCCTCCGGGCAGAGATTTGGAAAACAGAAGCCACTGTACACGTACGCGGGGACGTCAACTTCACAATTGCTGATTTCGACGCTATGCCGTACACTACCGCTGTGATGAAAGTGCGTGACGTCATGCAAACAATATTCATGCTATCATAACGTTGCGCTTGCCGTTGCAGGAAGTTCTGAGATTTTGTTGCGTCATATATCATGCACACCGATTCGCTAGCCAAGATGACGTACTTCCGTTGTCCAAGCCAATCACCACGCGATCCGGGGACGTCATCCGTGAGCTGCCGGTTCCGAAGGGTACCCGAATTGTTGCATCAATTGCAGCGTACAATCGGTAGGAGGCTCCACATAGCACCGACGTCTTTTCCTCTGACGTGCGCTCATATTGGTCAGAAACAAGGAGCTCTGGGGCGAGGATGCACACGTGTTTAATCCGGATAGATGGCTTAATGGCACAGCGAAGGAGAAAAAGGCCACGTCAATAGGAGTGTACTCCAATCTGTAAGCATTGATCTCCACTCTTACAACGCGCATGAACCCCAATTTGTTGTAGAATGACATTCCTTGGAGGAGTGAGGTCTTGTATCGGATGGCGCTTCGCGTGAGTTTTACAAAGTTATCCGGCAGAGGTGGAGTAAAGCCTAATATGAACTTTTTATCCAGGGTGATCGAATTTCAAGCATTTCTTACGGAGATAGTTGGAAAGTTTGAGTTCGCGCTTACTGAACAATCCGAACGGGTTCGGCGAGAGGCTTGCTTGGTGATGGCTCCAACAGTAGAAGGCGATGTTGAGAGCGGGAGTCAACTGCCGTTGAGGGTTTCATTGGCACCACGCATCGACAAGGGGTACTAAGCGTCATATGCGCCGAGATGCCAGTGGCTGTTTCCTAATGTGCCTGCAAGTAGTTTTCTTGGATGGTTATCTTCGCGGCAACTACTCGGTATAAGTAGGTAATCATGTAGATGATCCGATTGGAGACTGTCACGCGCTAAGCTGCGCCTAGAACTTGGCTCCTGAAGGGCCTCAAGTTACAGGAACTGAATGTGAATATTTTTATCTACATATAGCATAGCTTGGGTGGAATTCCAGAGTGGTCTGTCGGACATTGATGTGGGGCTTGCTGAGGCCGCTGAGCTGCGGACCTTAACATACCTTATCTGATAAGTCTGCAACCCTTGATGCATTGATGACCCAGCAATGAGGACAGTTACATACCTTATCTGATAAGCTTGCGACTTTATGCCAGCAAAATATGGTACATATGCCACACGGTCTTAAAGTGAACAACTGATGTCAGCTAGTTGGAGTATAAGAATTGAAGACCGAAACACTCTCACTGCAGTAAACGTCGAACATAACTGAGCGATCAGCGCAGTGAAACTTACGGTGAGAATTGCCAAGAAGGTCGGGTGGGCAGCGATTGGAGCGGATAGTGCCTTGACGAGTCAGGAATGACTAAGTTGTTCGGAATACGTACAGAAGTATGGCCGCATCGGAACCATAAACCTTGGTTCGCCGCGAGGCCGGATTGTACACGCTCCAGCAATGAATATTTGAATGGCCAGCACCACAAGCACCATGAACGATTGGAGCCAGCAACATATAATATTGGTACTTACCGGAACGGCTGTCAGCCGCATTCCGCGGTTGTGATGGGGTGAGAACAAGGAGAGGCTAGACAACGTACGCGCGGAAGCTGCTGTGTACCGTGACGTACCTACATTCCATGGGCATGCGGCAAAGGTGCCACAGAAAACGACCAATTTGGACTCGAAATACGTGAACATTGAAGACTTCAGGGAGACGATCGGGGCTATATAGAAACAGCCGAATTCCGAAGAGACTTGGTGAATTAACGTGTTCCGACTGTGCCAGTGGACGTTCAGGCGCCTGCAAGATCTAGAACATTTCAGGGTGACCACGAAGTTAACGTTGATCCTGCGGAGACTGATGCCGATCGATCCAGAATTAATGTTGGAGTGACCGCGAAAATGAACCCGCGTCCGTCATGAAAATTTGGTTCATGTTGAAAGGCATCGCCTCCAACGCCTCAGGCTCCCATTTATTTACTCACACATATCGCCATGCTGTCCTATGCAGGATCCCAAGCAATTCGATTTATACACAAACTGCACCTAAAATTACAATCAGACCCTCCAGATTAATCACGTCCCTCTTTAAAAACCAGTTGGATTCGTACCTTGCTGATCAGAACCTCGTTATTCCCCTCTTCTAGACTTGCTTTCAACTTTGCTTTTGAGCAACTCATGGAGGGAATTCGCCTTGATACGGCTTTTAACTCCCCCTCTCCACTATCAGACGTCCTCTACCAAGAACTCAGATCGACCGTTCGCGGGGAGGCATACCGGAGAGATGATCCCAGGTATGTATTCTAAGATCATTCCCTGATACCTCTCACGGGCTGCATTGTAGTTTTCTTGAATATTCTCGAATGTTCAACGGCGACATCAAAATTTCTGCTTTGGCTGTCGTGTGTCCCCTTGATGCTCCGGACGTCAGCCAGTAAGTTCCCAACTCTCAGACCTATCAGATATTCAATTCATCTCTACAGAGTCATCTTGTTTTGCAGAAAGCATTCATTGTCCGCTTCTGCTAAGGCCGGAGGCTATGGCACCGCTGGCTGGGCTGTCGGAGGCGACATTATCATCGACCTATGCAAGATCACTGACATTGACATTGAACCCCCCGCTGCCGATGGCTCTTTTACCAGTATTCGAGACATGCCTTCTCTTGGCAGCAAAGGGAAAGTCAAAGCTGGTCCACCACTTCTAGATAGACCTGCTACTGCGTCTAGCAGTAAGCGAAGAAGGGAAGACGACAACGAGCTGAGGTCTTACGACCTGGCATCTGCAAACGTCGCAGATTTTCTTCACCCAGGAGGATCATCCGCCCCATTCGCCGATCGTCCTCCCGTCACTCGACGAAGGTTAGAATTCGCAGCTCCCGTCCTGGAGACCCCGCGGTTGTCCACCTATTCTGCGACGTCGAGCAGTAATTCCAACCCTAACACGATGCTCTTATCCTCTAACTCCCTTGACTCTTCTATTGCCATGGTTTCTAGCCCCTTGGCTTTTAATCTTCCATCCATAGACGGTGTCACTACCGCTGTTACCCCACCTTCTCCGATGCCAGATACCCGTTCGAATCTGCCCCCTTCTTCATCCTCATTGGGTGATCCATTTTCCTATCTAGACGATCCGCCCAGCAGACCTGTCGCCTCGACTTCTCGGCTTGCCCAGTCCATGCCCAACGCATTGTTTGCTACGCCGAGTTTCCTCGAGTCTCCGACTAACATTCTGACCTATGCAACGCCCATCTACTCTCACGCATTCATGACCTTTGGTGCAGGAAAGAGACAGAAGGAGATCGATCAGTTCTCCGCGGCAAACCCTCTAGAAGCGATGTCACTCGCTGGCGGACGCGGCGCTGTCCCATACCACGTCCCATTGTAAGCCTTTTTCTTTCCTTGGATTTTTATCCCCATTTACTTAGCGGACCAGTGCGGCTCATCCCGTTGGTTCGGCAATCATGATCTTGGGAGGCTTTGGATTTCTGGGCCGTCTACACGGCTTGAGCAGTGACAACTTGGTAGAAGCAGAAGTTGTTTTGGCTGACGGTCAAATCGTGGTGGTCAGCCACAACGAACACCCAGGTACGTATCGTACATGTAATATTATTCACCTGGTCTTGACTGAGATCTAGATTTGTGGTGGGCATTGCGCGGTGCTGGCCCGGCCTTTGGTATCGTTACACGCTACAAAGCCAGAGCTTATCCAGTCCCCGTTGTCTTCGCGGGTAATCTTATCTAGTGAGTACTGACTCTTGTCGAATTGAATCAGAATTTCATACTGCTGTTCACAGCCGTTTTCATCGCGCAACTGCACCATCATTAGTCAAGCACTTTCGCGATTGCGTCAAGGGTGCTCCTCGGGAATTGTATGCCAATGTTCTTCTTACGGCTGGCCCTGCAGGGCAGGATTCCCTAGTTGTTATCCAGATGTGCTACGTTGGTCCCAAGGTGAAGGGTCAGGAGTTCTTACAGGCCATTTCATCGTGGGACGGCGAACGGTGTCTTCTCAACGAGGTTGATGAGAAGTCCTTCCTTCATCAACAAGACAGTGTTGCACAGGTTCTCCGAGGGAAAGGTGAGCAATAAAGTTAATTGAATCAACATGCGTCTTCTGAGATGTCTGCTACTAATAGCAGGAAACAAGTGGTTCATACGATCTGCGCTTATCAGCTCGCTTCCGGACGACATCGTGAATAAGACGGTTCTTCAATTTGCGGACACGCCTGTTGGCTGCAGTACGTATTTTTTGTCCCGTCCTCGTTTTCGATCCCTCATTGGTTCATCTTGGACACAGCATGGTTGTTCGAACTGGCTGGCGGTGCGCTTGGCGATTTTGAGGATAATTGTATACCGAAGGCACAACGTCAGGCTTCCTTTACTGTTGCCGCGTTGCATCAGTGGGATATTGATTTCCAAGATCCGCGCTGTGTCCATTCCGCGGAGGAGGTAGATATTTTTTATATGTTGTTTGATCATATCATATACTCATGCGCCATGTTCATTAGTGGATAGCGGAAACTTTGGCACCAGTGACGCTCGGTGGCCCATTGCCAAGCGTATGCGTTTCCTCCGTACCCGCATCTGATTTTTTTCATTCACATCACCGACAGTTCTTGGGCAGACAGGAGCCCCCTGGTCGGGTCATTGCTTGCTATGGCGAGAACTGGGCCAGGCTGCGTGATGTGAAAAAGAAGTATGACCCTGACAACTTCTTCAGGAACTCATTCTGGCCACTAAATGCAGAGGGGGAGATCATTGAACCCGATGAGCATGAACCTCCGCATATCCAGTTTTGAGCCAAATTGAGTGCTTCTCGTTCCGTTATTTAACTAGATACCTGGATTAGTTACGCCTGCAGGATCTAGGGCTAAGGGATTGTTGCATGTTTGTACACTGTACGTTTTTTGGGCTTTGGGGCATCCGGATACGGTGATTCAGACTGGGTATATATCTTAGCTATGTAGTTTTTGGTTAGTCTCTAGACACGACGCTTGGGTGCATGTATTTTATGTCACTGCTATCATTTGTTTTCTCGGACTATGATTTGTTCTCTCGGAAATGGGCATCACCATCATTTTATTTCTCCAGATTTAAACCGAGCGATTTCATGAGGAATATTGCGTTAATAATTCAGACTGGTAAATGCCGTGCCCCACAGGCGGTACTGTCGTATTCTTTCATGAAACCATAATTCAGCGCCCATGCATGATCGATCTGATCCACTGCAGCATGAGCTTGTCTAGCTAAGGATTAAGTACTCCGTCGTGCACAACCACTAGTCATGCATGCACGGTGATACCAGTTCAGCGACATCACTACCATAAAGGGAAATCCTGGTACCGCATTACTTCCTTTTCGATACATCTGCTCCCGCAAATCTCCGAGGCTCAACCGCGCCAGCCAGTCCAAAGTGTGCGATTGGTACACTTCGTACAAGCGACAGACCTGTATGTCACTTAATACAAGTCCGTGCATGAGACTAGGTTTACACATACTCCTATCAGCCTTGTTACTCGGTAGACCCTTGTTTGGGTGATGTTCGATACATGCTTCTACAATTATTGTGACAAAGTTGTGCTTCCTGGTGGTCCCTTGTGTGAATGATGAACTTAGATACATATCCGGGACCCCTGGTCTTGTTACCCTATTGTGCGGTAATTGTAGGCTCCGTTTGATCACGATAAGGCTTTCAGATGATGCGGGGGGGGTGCAGAAGGCTACTGAAAGTTAGAAGACAGAGAGAAAAGTGGGAATTTTCATGCACAAGGTAGCAGCAGTGCACGAGGGGAAAGGAAGAAACAGAAAAAAAACTTACCGTAGGATTGAGTGCGGGGATGCTACTAGTAGGCAGCCCAATGCAAGGAAGAGTCTCTGCCAGTACTGCCGCAGTGAGTAGTACTCGATATTAAGAGGAAAATAGTAAAGAAAAGGACTTACAATTGGGGCGGCGGCGGAGCAACATCAGCCAGAACATAGCGGGAAAGAGGTGACGACGGTGTGGTACTTATGATACGAGGACAGTCATTCACAACATATCTATTGCTATGTCTTGCATACATGCAAGCTCATGCATACCGTACCTTCTACCATTCTGTTCGGGGTTTGTAATCCATATAAGGCAATCATCAGTAAACCGATGAGACCTTGATATTGTACCCGTGCGAATTATAGAAGGGCAGAATTCTGCTCCTGCTAAATATCGCCATTTATACTATAAGAAATTTGATTTGTAGATACATCGCCTGCAAAGCTACAGTAACATGAGCGGTTCACGACAAGGTTATGATGTTCCTCATTTGCAGCCGACGAGGGATAGTAGCTTACATATGCCAAATATTTTGCGCATTGTCATTTTACCTTAATTACACTTTGCACCACAAGCTCATCCAAGGCAATCTCGTGGGAGGTACCTTTGGCACTCGTCAACGAATGTATAATGACGTGAGATTTCATAACAAAGTCTTGATTTGCGGCCATGAAGACCAACGATGCACGACAGCGCACTCCTCTTCACCCCTTTGAATATTCTTGTTTTGCTTAGTCTATGTCTTGAATTAAAACATTATCCAGGACCTTATAGTGGGAAGCGCCTTTGGCAATCAACAACGCGAGTACAGTAGCATTCAACTTTGCATCAAAATTGTGACGTTCAGCCATCACCGCACAGAAGAACAGTATGCAAAACGGTTGGAATGATTTCAAACCCTGGCCTTGGAGAAGGTATTTTTCGCATCTTCTCAGGCTTGATTAGTAGAACGACGATGAGGACTAGGAGTCCGCTGAAAATAAATTTTCACATGTTCATGGGTGCGTAGTAAGATATGAGTAGAAAGAGACGTAGTAGTTGTTGCATATTATTCAAAGCTTCATTATCCCTCTCGCTCGCCTGTATCACTAATCACAACTTCCTCTGGTGTTAGAAAGACACGAGGTCATCGTCCTCGTCGATACCGTCCTCAATATCTTCCATCTCTTGGTCATCCGGATCACCAATGATCTCGTCATCGTTGCACTCCGCTTGGTCTTCTTCACTGTCATCATCATCTTCCTCCCCTCCGGGTCCTCCTTCATCGTTGTCATCACCTCCACCCATTTCGCTGTCGCCCTCACAGAGCCGAACCTCGTCGGCATTGTCCGGGCAATCCATGAGGTCCGCGTTGATAGAATCCCTTGTCATCTCACGCAGCACAGTGGGATGTCCAATCCCATAGGGTGTGTACCGCATGAACATATCGCGGTCGACAAATCTAAGGGTTCGCTAGCTCGAGTAAGGACAGCAGGATGGGAGATTGCACTTACATGCCAACGTAGTATGCCTCCCAATCATCTAATTGGGCATCTTGACGTGCGAACGACTTTCCATGGCGAAGGGAGGTTGTTCCACGCCCAGAAACGAAAGCTGGAATTAGATGAGCGCCTCGGATAACTTGGCCGGGATCTAAAAACCCGAAGGCATCGCGATCAGATTCATCGACAAAAGCAAGCTTTGGGAGTCGAGCGCGGTGCGTCCCTGACCGGTGGTCGACCAAGCGTGCTAGCCATCTAACATAAAGAACATCAATTTTGTGCTTTTTGATCATGCCTTCAACGTTGATCAATGCATCCATGTGGTAGATGCCCAGGACGCGGGCATACCAATATGGATGATTCGGCTTCGTTTCCCCAGAGAGTACCATGATGTCGGAGTGCGTCCGAGGATTTATGGTATCATACTCTCGCCTAAGATCGTAAGTCGTGTAGTGGACCTATGAAGTTGAAGGATCATACACTAGCAAAATTTTACAACATATATGGCGTACCTGCATTGTTTGAACAGAGTACAGTCTATTGTCTGAGATGATGACCGAGTTGCGCTCGTCATCTGAGAAGGTATGGTCGCAATAACCAACATCTAACTTCTGAAGCCGGTATAAGATATGGTCCTTAAGTTTCGGTATGAACATCTGCACGTTATGGTGAGCCGAGATGAACAACGGGGAGAGCGGCACTTACTGCTAAAGCTGGGTCGTTTTCGTTATCTCGAAGGAAACTGAAGATATGCAATGGAGTATTGAAGCTAAGCTTCGGTATATAGTGGTGGCCATTGAACCCTGCCGGCGACTCGACCTGTACCTGCTCGCAGCTGTGACCTTTCTGTGTCACTCGTCGAAGGACACGACGACGACGCTCGTGCTTAGCCAGCTGAGCCGGTGTATCTAGTTTATTAGTCAATGGATAGAAAGCTTTCAGTGCCCTATGCGCCAACTCTCCCTGGCCCAAAATCAGATTGAAATCGGAAGACACTTAGCAAAGAGTCACATACAATTTGCGAAGTAAACGAGTCTATCGTTCCAAAGAGACGGATCGATTGTAGATAATCTCCCATGGCGTGAAATTTGTAAGTATGCAGATTGAATTTTTTGACCCTTTGGCCGCCACTCGCCGGATCTCGATTGTTGGAATCTGTTCGCGCAGCCTTACGTTCGCGAGCAGCCTTTTCCTTTGGTAATTCAACTGTGGTGAAAACAGCACAGGTAAAATCCCGGAAGTTGCGCAACTGGAAAGAGAGCCTCTTGAATGTGGCATCCAGAACTGACAAGGTAGTTTCGGAATGGATCCTTAGTTTGGCGAGGGCGTGCCATTGGGCAAACCTGTACAACAGGGACTGTATGATTGCGTCGTGGTCTCCTGGGAACAGCCCTTCGAAGGCCGGCATAGCGCACTGGATAGAATATCAATGATGCATAGCGGCAAGTTAACCAGCAAGACAAACCTGCAAAATGTCCTCGAAGTCGCGCGCTGCGAGTTTTTTCATTTCGGAGGTGTTGTTCGCAAATTTGCGAATGACTCCATTGCCATACGACGGAATTTGACGAAATCTATATTTAATACAATCACTTTCAAATCAGTGAGGAGAATGGTGTGACAAACCTGGTATCGAGAAGTGTAACCAGGTCGTTACCCCCGGGAAGCGCGTACAGTAGCCGGATAAGATGGGTAAATAATGCTTTCCATGTACCCAGCTCGCATTCGTGCATAAAATCGACCACAAGCATGCGAAATGTGTCGAATCCTAGTGGCCCGAGTTTTTCTACAAATGCGTTCTAGTCGAAATTTAGGTATCAATTGAAGGAAATTTATTCCGAAGGCACTCACCACAGTTGGCACCCATGACCCTTCTCCAAGTGTGGCCTGTACCTTTGAGCCGTCGACAGTATTTCCCTCGCGATAGATAAATGCGCGGGCATTGGTTACCTTCACCAGACAGTAAATTCGAAGATTAGTGAGGCGATCTTGCATATCTTTAAACAGGCCCAGGAGATCGAACGAGGATTTCGGCATGAGACAGCGTGGACATGGGCAAGCGCCCATGTCTTTGATTGTCGCTATTAAAACCCTGAGACATTGATTAGTGTTTGAGTAAGGAAACGAAAAAGTGCTCACTTCTCTGGATAATCAGCCGAGTAAGTGAAGATGCGCGGAAAGACTCTTCTCAATATGCCATCCGGACATCGGAGTATAATTCCATGGCGGTATGCCTCGAGGAAGTCCGCGTCCAATAAATGTTTCCAACATGCCTGAAATAAGTCCCGCCGACAATGCGCATGAAGGGTTGCCATCCCGCTTTTCGATATCCTAGGTAAGGTGCCGAAGACATCCTTGATACTATCCGGGAGCTTAAAGTCCAACATCAGAGAGACACAACTATACGGGAGGCAATTGACTTACGGAAGGTAAGAATCCAACGAGATGACATGCACCAGATTGAGGTGCCGAGCGCGCATACTTCGTTAAATTTCCGAAGTACAAATAAAGCGGCCACGCTTTAGCCGTTCCGAAGGCTGCGAGATGAGTGGCATCTGAAAAGAACATTAGTCCAGCAATGACACGCTCGAGTGAGCAACCGGGTTCTTTCGGCTGCCTCTGCAGGTCGTCCTGAGCTTCAAGCCACGAGTCGGAGGTGTAAAGCTCGTCGAATACGCGTTCTTGATGGTCATCTAAAGGGTCCTTCCACAGGCGCTTGAAAGGAAGAAGGTGGAATGCGCTGGCTTGGATGTCTGCGAACGCGGAACGAATCACGCCCACAAGCGGCCGGTAATGAAAGCCCGGAATGCTAAATGACGTGGATGAGTCGTCTTTCGACCTCGTCGGTATGTCGAGGGTTATATCTGTCTCCAACCAGTCATCAGGAAAAGTGACAGCACCCTTCCCTCTGTTGTCGTCCAACACGCGCAAACTCTTCCTCGCTGAAAATCCATCCAGGTCCCTGAGGTTGAAGTCCTGTGCTTGAATCACGTCCTTAACGAGGCGCGTTACTTCAGCCTCCGATTTTTGATGACTCCCAGAGTTCATCCATGACATAAGGCGGTAGATTGTCATGTTAGGGAAAGGATAAGGCGGCTCAGAGACACCGGAAAATGGATCAGACGTCTCAGTATTATGCACATCGGCCACTGGACAGGAGTGAGCTAGTTGTGAAGACGGAATAAATTTATCGGGCTCGAACGAGGGCCGCCTTGGGTATTGTCGACAAAGGCCGACCACGTTAAATGCTGTTTGGAGAGAATCGCGTAGCGTAAGAAGGACTCTCTGGATTCTGCGCTGTGGTGGATTCTGCGCTTCAGTTACGGGAGGAGGATCATTCCCAGAAGAATCAGAAGGGTTGATATCTTCATCTGCAGGTAGCCGATCCTCGAAACTTCTTGGGGGTAGCCGCCTAACCGTCCGTCGCGAAGAATGTTGACCTGGGTCTGCTAATGATTTATGAGTACTATAGCACAGATAAGAAATGTCACGGAGATGCGCACCTGGTATAGCATGATCTCGCTCAGTCATATCCGAGTCCTCCATTGCAATAACATCCAAGGCGTCTGGGGTACTATCATGATAACCAACGGTACCGACTGAATCATTGGTAGGCTCATGTTGCGTCCGTAACGCCCTAGGTTCGCAAGAAGCTATAGGCTTCACGCAGCGGCCACGGTCATTTGTGAGTCGAATCGGTTCGAGCTATTGGATGATAGATTGGAAGGTTGGGATCCGATTATGAGTTTTGTGGGCAATAACTAGTACTAGTGGTGTCTTACATTAGGGGTCCTAGATGTGAGCTGCGGAATTGGCTTTTGCAATGCTTCAATCAACCCTCTCGCCCGGTCCCGCCTTCTCTGCGTGGCTAACGTACTTGCCTTCTGGTAATGCTTGCACGTAGAGCGATGCCTACTAAGTCCCCGAAAATCTGTGTCCCTCGTCCAAGAGCAGCGTGATGCGCCGCAGGACACCATTGACAATACCAAGATAACGAAAAGAATCCAATGTGATCGTCGCATTCCACCGAGGCTGCGACGATAGTTTGAAAGATACCATCATCTATGCCGCGCGTTCAAGATTCGTACGTCCTCATTAGGCATTTCCATATTTGCCAGACCAAGATGTTCATTTTCGTAGTCACATCGACGAGTACATGTAGTCAACAACAGATAGTACGTAGGATATCAAGATAAAGTAACGATCAGAAATAAGTAGCAGAATGTCAGAGACTACGGTCCTTGGATCACTCGTAGTAGGGTGATCAATAGCACCGGCACATCGCTCTGGGCTGGTAATCCGGCATCACACAAGATGCCTTCTGAAAGCTCTGTGACCATGCATCTTCTTCGCCCTTCAGAATGGTCAGGAAATGGGTGTACTGGCGGACTCTGTGCTGGGCGGCAAGATAGTTGGCTAACACCGTGTGAGCGGTGCACTTGAGTAACATATCCTGCTCGTCGTCTTCCACCTCGATTCCGTCGAGTGTCATCCTACACAAACTCTGTTCCGTCACTACGTAGCCTGCCTCCTGAAGTCTCTGCGCCCACGCATCTTCATCGCGCTGAAGGAGTGTCACAAATTGCGTGTATTGGCGGACCCGACTCTTTGCTGCCAGGTAGCTTGAATGAACGGTGTCGATACTGTACATGGCGAACAGCTTATCTTGCTCATCGTTATCTGTGTTGATTGTGTCGAGCGACAACTTACACACACTCAGTGTTCGCCGTAAATTAAAACAAGGAAATCCTCGTACTATGTATATCCGCTCCTCAAGCTTGTGACCAGCATATATTATGTTTGAAAGATGTTCGGACTTGGCAGAATTGCTTGAGCTGCCTTCATGAAGAGAGCACTCAAAATTGTAGGGAATTGGCGATAGGGTTGAAATTGGAGATGTTAACATTGCGGGAACCTGAAAGCAACTCAGTACTCGAGGTTTGAAAGCAGACGCATACCCTATGTATTTTTGATGAGATTTTTGATCGGAGTATTCGGTGTTTTAAATTGCCTCTTCCTATTCAAAAATTCATACCGTCACGGTTGCGATTACTAGTGTTCAGCGAGGTTGGGGGAGATGCCAGCGCGTGGCGTTGCCGCTTCCATCACTTGGCTGAGAGGGCTCGTCAATACGAGTACTTGGCATCGATATCTCACTTACTAGTAAGTGCCACAGGGGTTGATGCTATCCTGCTATTACATGTGGATATATTTGGCAATGCCAAATAAGGGCGTCAAATCGAGATTCGAACCGCTTCATTTCAAGCTCCGAGAAGACTCCGACTGATCTGAATCATCATTGAATGTTGTACAGACAGTCCGAGTCACTACTGTACGAGTAGGCATGGTAGTACTACTAATCCTCGACAAAATGAATGTAAGAGATCCACATTTCGGTAAAGATCTTGTCCGACTCCTTCTTGTCCGAAACCTTTTTGCCTCCACCTTCAGGTTGGAGGCTAACACCTGGCATTACCGTGACTGTAGCAGCTGATGACCGGTCTGTCCCGCCGGCCACCAATGTAGGTGATGCAGAGGGTATGACGAGTAGAGTTGGAGGCGGTGGTGGTGGCGGCGGCGGCGGAGGAGGAGGAGGAGGAGGTGGTGGTGGTGGTGGTGGTGGTGGTGGTGGATGCGGTGGTGGAGGAGGGGCGGGAGCGGGAGCGGTATGAGAAGGTAGCGGTGGAGGTAGCGACACGGATGGGGTATTTGATGGCACTTGGTGTGACGAAGAGCCGACGGGTGGCTGCGGAGACAAATGTTGGTGCTGGTAATAAAAAAACGGCACGTTTTCCTCCGCCGCTGCTACATACGCCTGCCTCACAGACCGCTGCGCCCTAGACGCACAACCGGGATCGTAGGATTTGAATTCGCGACCTTTGTCATTGTTGTTGTTATTGCGTTCTATAGTCATAGTAAGTTCACGTTGATGATGACTCGGGTCATTCAGAAGGGGGAAAACGTACGTGGGGGCATGTCTGAGTCCTATTACCCATAAGCCGTACGAACGAGGGCGGCAGCGAGTAGGTTCGAGTGCAATTGTTAGTCCAAGGACATGAGGGGTATTTAAAACTTACCGCGACAGTTAACTTACATATTACAACACATGTTCGAACCTTGAGGTCGTTGTGTCACAGAACATTCTATTGAAATTTAATGAGCGTGCGCAGGGCTTGCGACACGATGCTCCCTGGCCTGATGGATGGTGCTAAATCGAGAATTCAATGACACTTACCTACCGAATAGACTCTCGGCTAGAGCCTCGAGTGCGGAAATACAAGAACCAGGGTGCGACTCGGAGACCTCCAGCTCCAACCCTGGGGTTCTTGATATGGAGGGTTTTAAAGACCTCGGGTTGTTCCTCGCTGGGCAATGACCCCGCGAAGATCTGCGGGTATGAGGGCACAACAGACAATTGTGTATCTACTTCCGTTCCATTGAAAGAACGCCTGGCGTTGAAGGTCATGGCGCTCGTCTTGTCAAACATCCTGCTTTGTGGGGTCACTGAGAGATGGTCGTTCGAGGGCCTCTGCTAGGACGCGATGTGCGTTTTTCTTCAAATGCAAGTGTAAAAGGGGGTCAGGTAGAATTGTGGTAAATTTTCTATCAGGCAAAGTCAAATGAAAAGTATGCTAACTCACATTTATGTTCTGTCGAAAATTCCTCAGTGGTGACGCCGAGATAGTGTCAGAGACTCGTGAAGAACGAGAGTGAACAAGAAATCTACATGCAACGTCAGAATGCCGCGATGGGCGGCTCGGGAAGAACGAGAGTGGACGAGAATACTTAGTACATGGGTCAGAGCGACGTAATTCACGAGGAAGACTCGGGAAGAACAACTGAAACTTCGAATGGACGTTTAACACGTATGATGAAGTTTCAGTTAATAGTAGTTAAACCCATGAGTACCCACCATATTAATAACACAGCAAGTCACTCTTCATCACGTGACCGTATGGTGATATGTGAATGAGCCTGTTGCTCATGCCATGCAAGGCCTCTTAAAAGCTGGTCAAAAGGCATGCATGCTTCATAAGGCTTTACTGTATGCTTTGAGCTTTTTTAAACAGTCAGTACTAGTCAGTGATCATACATATTCAGATCAGTGAAAATATTGGTGAGTGTGCACGTGCTGCCGTTCCTGGCGATGATCGTTATCATTTGTAATCTTGATCATCTCTTTCCACGACTTCTCTATACTCCAAGCTTGTCAGAGCTCGCCACACGAAGTCAATAGTCACCACCCAGCACCTAACAACCATGCCTACCCTAGTGGCTCAGCATGAAAAAAAAAACTTACCACAGCTCTTTCATTCCCAAACACCCCTACAAACTCTATGAAACCAGAACCAACTCTGCTCCACAGACAACTTCTGCCAACCACAAGACAAACCTCATCAAAGTTGACAAGCCAGCATCCTCAAAAGATAGCACTGAAAAAAGAGGTGTTACCAAATCATCCGTTGGGAAAGAGGAGACACCAGAAAGCACACCAGTTACAGCTCATGCCTCCACAGATTCCAGTCCATTGCATGATGTCTGCCAGCGGCCCATTCATTATGATCCATCTACCAGTATGTCAACGAGAATTAAGTGGTTAATTAACAATATTCTGACTGAGTTGAAGATATGATACGGAAAGTATTGAGTTATGTATCCAATCCAGCTTTACACAAGAATCGCATGGTATGTTTCCTCATGTTCGATCCTGTGTTCGTGTGCTTACTCAATATCACAGGAATTCCGCGGTGTGGGAGCGCGGGGAATTCGGATCAATCGAAGAGATTTTTGAGCGCAACTTCCCGATTTTCGACCAAGCCCAGGCAAGCTATTTGTAGCTAACGCTTTCGGGCAATACTAAATCTGTCCAGGCTGACTTACGAACGCAACACCCATATACTCATCGTCGACATGCCCACCGTTCTCCACGAAGCATCGTTCGACGTGGTGAAGGATGCCATCATCAAAAGTATCGACGCCCTTCCGTATGATCGCGACATCATTTTTACGACAACCAACATGAATTGGCCGCTAAAAGTCAAGGGCGCATCGATCACAGCTGATGTGATCGTCTCAATCACTGCAATGGATCTACCAGCAAAAGTCGTTCTGGTTCCCTTCCTTGCTGAATGCGCTCTCTCGGAGAAAGATGAGCATGTATTTGGAAAAGTTGAAAAAGTTGTTTTGGCGCGTCCAGACATTAAGTGCGCGGTTGTTGTTTTAGTACGGGAGGATACAGACTACGCCGCTCCCGATGACGATTCCATCGCATCAACGGTCCTACGTGGCGGCACTAAGGCTAGCAGTGACCCGCGCCTCCTCACTCAAGAAGAT